TGTTTTCATTCGACCACAATGAAATCTCTTATCTACTCTGCTTTGGGTGAGATATAAAAATCTTGGTTAAAGTTCATTTACAATTCTGCAAGTCCCTATTGGGTAGCAGAAGGCATAAGCATTGTCGAAAAAAGCTTCCTGACTATAATCAACGGCGGCATGCGGACGTTGAGTGTAAAACCAGACGCCATGTCGACGGTTGTTGTACCGCAAATCCATGGTCTTGGATTATTGTATCTAGGTACTGATAGAACGGGGGAAGCCATTCACTAGGAGCACTCCTCAGTAAGAGGCGCTGTGGCGGCACCCTGTACAACCGGAACTGAGACAAAGAATGGTATCAGAGACAGGCTGAGCCAACTCAACGAAGATTGTGATGATTGCTAGGCATGCATTGGACCAGCAGCCATATTGACGATCTGCGCCGGACGAGCCTCTACCCGCTTCTGCTTTTGTCGGACAGCCACCAGACCAAAGGATCCGCAGAAGTCGCCGAACTCTAAATCTATTTCTGACACAAGCGTAGCAACATTGCAGTTAGGAACGCTACCTCGATAATAGCGCCATATGGCATTTAAGCCACCTCGCGTGTCACCCGGTGGTAAGCCCTCGCCTAGTGCTCACCAAACCCCGGGTATCACAGCCCACTTGTCCCGGATCTTCTCCTCTCCAAACTTCTCAACGTACCACTTCTTCCCATTAACCGCCCGCGGCAGCATAGCTGAGACCTCGTTGATAACAAACATGCGAGCCGGCACACAGCTGAGCCCACACGCGATGTAGAAGCCCGTCCACTCGACCCACTCGACAAAGTAGTGCGGGAACAGCATGATCTTAAACAGGCCGGCCTGCGGGATGCTGTAGTGCTTGTCGATGCTTCCCTGCTTGACGCCCTGCTCCCTGGCCAGGCGCTCCTGCCGGCGCTGCTCCCGGCGGCGGATCTCACGCAGCTCGTCGTCGTGGAAGTAGTTTGCCGACAGGCCGACGTAGAACACGGCGATGCCGACGACGAACTGCAGCGTGGAGAAGGGCGCTAGTTGCGCGTTCCATGCCTCCTTGGTGACGGGCCCGTAGGCGGCCAGCCAGCCACCGATGCACGTGGCGTTGAAGAGCTGGAAGACGATCGCGAAGGCCCAGACGAAGAGGTGGATGGGCGACATGGAGGGCTGGATCCAGGGGAAGATGACGGCGCGGTATATGTAGTGCATGACGAAGAGGGCCGCCAGGACCTTGTTCTGCCACGGCAGGTCTGTGATGCCGTGCTGCGCGGGGAGCGTGTTCATGATGTACAACAGGGTCATGAAGCCCGGGCACTCCATTGTCATCCAGGCTATGCGCCCTGGCAGGTTGAGCGCGCTGTCTGTGGACGTCTTGCCCATGCCATACCATGAGATAGCCCATTGAAGTGATGCGCCCTGATGCCTTTCGTTAGCTGGACTGCGTGCCACGGGAGGATGCTCCATGGGTGATGCTAACCAATGGGAAGAACTGCCAGACAAAGAGGACTAGATCGTAGTTCTCCTTGGAGGGCGGACACCAATTCTCGATGAGCGCCATGTCGTGAGGCGTGAGGCAAATGAGTAAATGATATAGGAGGCAGACAATTGGTCTTGTTTCTGGAATTTCTGGTGCTCTAAGGGAGAATGGACAGCCAACCCACTTCCTGCCTCTTCCTCTCTGCGCTGAGCAGAGCTCCAACCAACATGACTTCAATGGGTGACATCATGAGAACTTTCTACAGACCCTAACCCGGGCCGTTCTTGCAAAGTCACGCCCAGCAGACCAGCGGACCAGCGATATCACGCCCTAATACGATTGCAAAATAGCTGAAGATGAGGCTTTTTGGTCCATGAAAAGAGATGTGTGTTCCATTATGTTACATTCTTAGAGGATATTCCGGGCCGGTTTTCTCTGAAATGACTCCCAAATTTGTATATGTACGTTCGCAGCTGATAGTCTATCATTTCCCTGGATTTGTTGATTCGGCAGAACACCAAGATGGTCGAGCTGAATGATGGACCATGACTATCTAATATTTGGTGCGAAGGAGAGGCATAGTTACTTCACAAAGTAAAGATAGAGTAGGCAGACACTACGTCGATCCTTAAGACCCAGTCCTTAGGTACTGTGCCTTTTGGTAGCTTTCCATCGACTGAAGATGCCATTCCACACCCACCTCGCTCGACCTGGCCCGTAGTAAGGCACGGAGGTCCTTATTCAATGACAATGAGAATCCTTATAACATAGCGATCTCCCGGTAAGCCCCGTAGACTGATACCACGAGCCCACCACCCTCCGCCGCAGTCCTCATCACACTAAGTGATGCGGTTTGAAGGTGACTATCGCGAGATAATACTGAACGTGAGTGACGGCGTATACCTAGGTGGTCAACCAAAACAGCTGAGTCGGTATCGATTGTAGCCAGGCAAGCTGTCGTCGGCTGTCCAACCACTCCAACAAAGACCAAGAACAGTGCTCTCTCAGGAAGCGATCAAACTGGACCCTCGCCACAGCTGGGATACCGCCGAGTAGATACCTATACTACCCATGCCCTAAAAGATGCAAGAGAATATTTCTTACAGTGCGTTTATGGAGCGTAGTTGCAGTTTCTGCCGTCAAGCTTCAGAAACAACACAATGCTTCAAATGGAAGCTCAATTCTTGAACATTCGTGAAGAGAAGCCAACCACATTGATCTCGTTCTATCAGCGGCCTGCCCTGGCTCTCCAGTCATGTCACGGAGCCATACCACGATCAAGTCGCTGAGAACGGAGCCGACTGACTTTCGGCAGTCATCTGCATCCTGCAAAAGGCAATTAATGCAGGTATGTATTCAGTCGTTGTGGTTGGTGACTGAGGGTATGCTGGAGATGCTTCGTGCAGACACTTTACGCAGCTTGCAACTGTAGTCCCTGAACGTAAACTTACCAGACCTGAGAAACCATCCCAAGCAGCGAAAGTGCGTATGATCCTTGCCCGGGGCCTTGTCCTACGGGGATAGGCGCGCGCAACTCTCCTCCGCAGAAAGTGTAAATGCCGCCGAGCCGTCCTCAAACCATCCAGACTTTTGGGAGGCGGATGAAGGATATCCGATGTTCAGCCATACAGGCCCGTAGTCGCTGCTGGCCCTGTCGACCGTCATCGAGCATGATTGAGCCGAATGGGTGATCACATCGAGGTTAGAGAAGTTTTGGCCAGCTGCCGAGTCGTCGGCGTGATCTCGGGACGGGACGGCGGAAAGGCGGAGACGGCCGCCCCGACATCTGGGTTCGCTTGGTTAGAGGTGCCTCCGCTGACGTGAACTAGCCATTCCTCAATCTGACACATATGCAGGACACCACCTGAGAGACATGAAACATAAGAAGCTCTTAATGGGAGCAGAGGACGAGGCAGTGCTTCCCGCCCGCTGACTGCCATAGCTCCCGCCGAATCTGCCGTATGCACGTCGTACCATACTGGGTGTCCCTTAGCCCAGGCAAGATTGGTTGATAAGCATGGTCAGCGACCTGATACTCCGGAATGGTCGCGGGAAACCTCCGGCCACAAAGGTCGAGACTTCCCATCGTGCATGCGTGCATGATGAAGGGCGCAGCAAGTTGTTGCTAGTATCTGCAAGTGGCTGCAGGATGGTTGCAGTTTCATGGTTCAAGGTTTCCGACTCCCACTCACCCGTCTACCACCCGCCCACTCTACCGCCTCGCCGTGTAGGCAGTCAGACCCCGGAATCTCGAGCCACTCTTGGCGAGTAGCAAGGCTTCACCCTCCAGGTGTTACAGCCTTTCTGCAGGCGGACCAAAAGGGGAGTGTTTGCCGCAGCTGGCGCCTGTGGGTGCTAGCATCCCCATTCTCAAATGAGCACGGCCCGTGGGGTTTGTGGGATGGCTGTGTGGCAAGTGTGGTAGGTGTGGTTGGCTTCCCCTTGCTTCGGGCATCGGTTTCTCCAAACGGCGGTGTGGCAGGGTTCAAGCAAACCTTCTTGGTTGTGGCTCGCATGATGGCAACCAGCGAAGAATGTGGAATGATGGCAGCTGTCCCTCTAGGTGGAGCCTTCGACAACGGGCAAGGGGAAGTTCACTGAGCATTTTCTGCTGCATGCGCTCCGATGCGTGCTGCTGTGGTGCCCAAGTGGGCGGGACCTGGCTATTACTCGGAGATCTTCAATATGAGATGGACGTCGTAGTCGGAACAAGGACAGACCGGATCTGGAGAATGAGGGCCTCGTGGCATGGGGTTAAAATAGAAACACTTTAGACCCCCGCAACGTAGGCATCGACCCATTGACCAATCCAACCCCTTATTCCACCTGCCTTAGAGTGCTGTGCAGAGTGGCATCTCGAATTGGAGATGACTCGCTAAGGGGGCTATCTGCAGCTACCTTTACAGAGCACAATGCAAGGATGGCCCGAACGCTCGTGAAAGCGAGTGCTGGAAGGGTAAGCTTCGTGGCACATCTACTGTTAGGTGGACGAGGATGGACGCTTCATGAACCTGTTTCCTTCCGTCATCGTCACCCCACCGTTAAAGGAACGGCTGTTGTGCTGGTGTTGAGGTTGTCCTGGATGCGGTGGGTGGGGTGACCATGCTAAGCATAAAGCAGTCAGCAAGCACCTTGGCCAAATACTACCATCCAACCCAATCAGTCAAGGCGCTTGTTTGAGGAAAGCTTCCATGTTCCAAGAGATTTTCCATGCTAACACAGCCGGTGCAGCTTCTCCAGTACCCTTGGGGGCCTGGCCCTTTCGCGGCCGCCGTCAACCGATTCAAACTTCTGTGAATCGCAACCCAGAGATGATCGGGATTATCATTCCATGCACAGACGGGGCGCGCACGATGCGGCTTCTGTGCCCTGTCAAGCTCGTCCCCAGGTCACAGACGCCCAATGTGGGCCATGCAGCTACTTTAATCCAATCGCTGGATGGCGTGGGTTTATGCAACAGTCAGCAGTTGGATTGTCGTGGAGAGAGGATCGAGCTGTTATGATTTGGCGACCCCGGGAGCAACATGCAGTATTACCGTGGTGATAGGGCAGGATCGAAAGGCATGCCGACCATGGTCGGTGGCCTGCAATACGTCAGAGCCCACCACGAACTAGTGGCAAGGGCTTTGTTGATGCTAGCACCAGGCAACTCATCAGAAGGAGATCTCCCCATACGGCTGGGAGTCATCCAATCCCGCCCGAGAGCCCGAATTGTTAGTATGTCCGCTCCGCTTTTGATTACGACAAGTCCGTGCGAAGTGAGTCTGGACAACCGAGAATGCTCGACACTGTGGCTCCTAGCAGCCAGTGCCAGCCGCCACGTTTTGAACTGGAACGCAGCGACGTGGGAGCGAACAGGTCACGCGGGACAGGGCCTCAGCCCTCGGTCCCTCCTCGATCAAGGAACGCTGCGAGTGTGGACGGCGGCAGCCAACCAAATCGGGTTCGTGGTCTTAATTCGCCACAGGGCCTTGGGTTGGGAAGCCGCCGGCGGGTCCGTGTCGCTAAGTGGCCACTGCCTCGTCCATGCTCATGCACAAAGGCACAGAGTGCCGCCGTCGCCTGCAGGCCGACAGGCCGACCACTCCTGCGCTCTGCCGCTTGGTGGGAAGGTGGCGAAGTTGGAGGGCTTGGCGGCCAGGGAGCCCCAGCCTGAGTGGCAGGTGGTGCTTCAGACCTCGATCGTCCAGGGCCACGAAGGGGCATTGACCCGGCTGCAGGTTTCAGCGACTCTCGAGGGTCCTCTCTGCCTGTCTGCCGAGGGGAACAATGACGAGGGGTTCGTTTGAGGCTCGGATGAAGCGCCTCGTGTGTTTGCGGTGAGTAGTGTGTAAATTGAAGGAGTTTCCAGGAACATGAAAGCGCCCCCTTCAGACCAAGAGAGAATGCATCATTTGGAAGCTGGTATGGTATGGTATGGTATGTGCAGTGCAGTGGTCTAAGATTGTGTTCGGCCGGGTCTCTCAGCTGGGTGTGTGTGTGTGTGGGGGTGTCGTCAACGGCCGGCGGCTCTGTCCCTCTGTGCTCTCGCTGTGCCACACACTCTCTCTCAACGGCTTCCTGTACCCCCGTGTAGTGTGGCCCCGTCGACCGCCGCAACGGAGCAGGCGGGCAGGAGGGGTGGTTCCCTGGCCGGTCATGTCCGGGCGTGCAACCTGCGGGCTGCACTCCGTACGTGAGTCGGTTTCGGAATCGTGAATAGACAAACATGCATGTTTTTTTTGATCGAGTTGTGGTCACGACGAAGATGAGCCGTGACGGTGCTGGGTGGCCTCGGATCATGTCGGACAGTGCGGTGACGGCAGGATGGAGAGCACAGTGTCGATAAGGAGCGGCGCCGACGGTGACCACATTCTAGAAGAGCGCTTGACCGTTTTGGAGCACAGCCTTGGAACGATGGAGAGCTCAGGGCCCAATGGCAGGAGTCGGAGGGTGGTCAGGTCAACACTAGATCCTGAAGAGGGGTGGGGCTGTGGTTGGACACCTCAGACACTCACGACACTTCACTTTCCGCGTCCAAGATGGAGATCTGCGCTGGCGACGCCCTTCTGATTGGCTGTTGCCACCGCTAGGCCGACTCCCTCCTTTCTTCTCATTCCTCTCGAGCGGCTTGCCATTTCGGGCTCGGTAGCTGAAAGCGGCATTGTGGGGAGCGAGCACAGTGCTGGGTGGGTGTGGGTGTGGGTGTGGATCGTGTTCTCTCTGCTGGGTGAAGCGGAGGGTGTCTGTAGCACTGCAGACATGCTTTCACGCCGTGGTGGTATGTTAAATCATGCTCGAAATGGAGGTGTTGCTCATTGGATTCTCTCCAGCCTCTGTGAGGTTGCGTGAGGGAGAGACAACAGCATTCATCGTCATGTGTGCTGGGAGGGGGTACTGGATGGTCAGAGGGTGGAGGACCAGGGGCGCCCTGCAGGAATTGAGGGTGGCTGTAGAACCATGGGCTCCATCCCCTTGGGCACCTGGTTGGGAATACGGTGCAGGTGCTAGGCCTGGGCACAGTGCCACAGTGCGCTCTGTCTCTCCTGCCCGCCTGCCTCGCCCCCCAGGTGCGTTCCGTCTAGTCCGTTCAAGCCAAGTTGCAAGTTGCATGCACCACCCTGACACCCCCCTGCGCCCTCGCCAATCACCAGGGCCCTCTCCCACCCTGGACCACCACCCCCCCAATTCCCCCGTTGACAGGCCCAGTCCCTCGCCCACCCGCCCTCGTCCAACAAACACCCGCTCCGTTCCCTCCTCATTCCGCCTCTCCCTTTCCTTTACTTCTACCACCACCTGCCACCTCCAATCTTTGCCCAACCACTCCGAACCCTACCTGGCCACTTCCCCATCCCACATACAATCGAACACACATACATACACACCTATCTACCAACCGTCATCATCCTCAGCATCGTCCGACCTCCACAGGAATCAAAAAGCCATCCAAAAAGCATCATAATTCCAAAAAAGCGATCTCTATAACTCTCACATCACTCGGATTTAACTGTGTCGTCCACGAGAACCGTCGGCTGATTTTTTACACTTTGTCGCTGAAACCTGACCTTAATCCCGCAAATCATCGGCGTGCAACATCAACGGATTCCTCCAAACATATCTGAGCCACGAGCCCCCAAATCTAGATCAACACTCACGAACAACCCTTCGACACGCAGTTTTGAGATTCAACAACCATGGCTTCGTACTACCACTTCAACACCCACCAGCAACATCCCACACCTGCAACAGCCTCGGCTGTCTCCCACAACCACCATGGCGGCCGGAATCGCCGGGGCCCGAGGCTCTCCGTCTCCCAGAACTCGCAGCACAAGCAGTTCAGGGGTGTCCGAAGTATGAAGGAGCTGTCCGAGTCCCAGTCCGTGTCGAGCTTCCGCTCCAAGTACGAGCTCGGCCGTTCCTTCGATCTTGAGGACGATCTGGAGTTCTGCCCCGGCCTCGTCACCGAGAGCGATGTGAGTATTTCCGATCTGGCCTAGGATTTCCCATGGACGAGTAGACCATGTCACCACGGTAGACTGACAACCCGGACTCGCAGTTGGCTTACAGCGGTTCTGAACGATCCTCTCTCGCCAGCAACTCCCCCACTGGATCTCCAACACAACAACCCCAACAGGTTGCTGCTTCCTACACACTGAACTCATCCTCTCCCGCATTCCTGCCTCCGTCTTTCCAGACTCACCACTCTCACCCGAAAATACATCAGCCTGCCGCCACCAGGGCCCGCAATGCCATCCCAATCATCAACCCTGCCAACGGTCAAGGTCTGACAATGCCCTCGCCGCCATCGTCGGTCTCGCCCTCGGTCCGGATGCAGCAGAGCCTTCGCTCCCGCTGGTAAATGATGTCGCTCCGCTTCTCGTCCGAGGCGGAGTGACCTCGTTCCAGCCGTCGTCGTTGATGTGATCGAGGATGTTAGGTTCGCCGCACATTCCTCCTTCAGACAGCTGTTCATCTTGGCGGGCACCGACTTTCAACAAGCAGGCAATTGATCATGACTTCATTCACGGGGAGCCAGGCACGCATTTTGGTCGACTGGCTTCTCCACACCGACTTTGGGCTCACGCCCGCATCACCTTGTACAAAGACACTTTTTCGACATATGCACCTCTCACACCGAGGCAGGAGTTGATTCTCCTCAACGGCGCCACACGAAAACTTATCGATACCAACTTGTCGGTTCTTTTGCTGCTTGTATTACAACAACTGAGCGGTTCGGTGCTTCGACTTCTGAAGATGGGGGCTGTTTTGATATTCGAATGGGCGTTCAGTTTTCTTTTCCGGACCTGCATACTCGACGACATAATCATCTGCATCGGTGTTTAACGACGGAGTTTTGACGGGGTTCTCTCCACTTTATACGAGAAGCGGCGACTTCGCATGATAAAAAGGGTTCATCTTGGGTCTCTTGAGCTGTCCAAAGACAAAAGATCTTTTCGACACATAGAACGAAATCATTGAGCGGGGTTGCGGCAAATCTCAAGCAGCGGAGTTCTTTGCACACAGTCGGGGTTTTGATGCTTTTTTGGGCTTACGGAAACAAAGACCTGGAGGGGATCAGGCGGCTGGCAAAGACAATGTGGATTTATGTGTTATTGCGATGCGAGTCTTATATGCAACGCTGGGCTACGGGGGGGCGGCAAACGGACAGCGGAGTTGGTTGACACATTACTTTTTGGGTCGTATATCTCTTTTTAACTTCATGTATCTCGGGCAGCGCTTTCACCCCATAATCTGCCGGCTTATTTCTGTCGAGTTTCTCCTCGGTCGCTATATTCAGGGTTTCTGGAAGGGTTGCATGCATTGGTGTATGCGTGCGCTGTGGAAATCCTGGCTTAACGTCTTCGGGAGGGCAATACTGATTGATGCATCTGGTTTGGCTGGAGCGTTTGGGGGTGTTCACAGGGGTCTTATACCCGGATGGAGCGCAGCGTGTGTGCTCAAAAGATATTTGTCTCCAGCAACATCAAAAAGGGCACAACTAAGGCCTCTTCTAACATAAACCCGTCATCATTTCACATTGTGCCTGTGTGTGCTGGATGTTTCACTCATGCTTCTCCGCTACACACTGAGCGGCGCATGAGGAAATCCTGACCCACGAGTAATCTCCAAATTCAGTTGGGCAATGTTAATATGACATGCGTGGGTTGACATTTATAAGAGATGGGGGGCTAGATGCAGAATACTATATGACTTGGATGTCTCCCAAGACAAAGGCACCTCTCTAAGGTTGAGGCAGCACTATGCCAGGGTGTTGGTTGATGCCGGTAACTGAACGCTCTGACGTCCAAGCCCACTGAACTTGTTCTCTCGTACACATCTATATCCACGTCCGGAAGACAGGCGTTACATCACCACAATGAGCTCAAAACGGGACAGCCTTGATGATGATGGCTTTATGGACACACGGCCCTGGCCGATACACAAGCGAAGTACCATATGCTCTTTCCTCGCGCGCCTCTTTCCGTCTTGTGCCCGTTGCGTGCTGCCCCTTCCCCACACATTCACGCTGCTGTAGTTGTCAGATATCTAAGCGAACGGGTCCCGTCTCACCAACGCCATGCCCTTTACCAGCCCTGTCAACTATGGCTGACCTGCGCTCGCCTCGCTACAAACAGGGATGATCAGCAAGCCCCCAGAGTCAGACGATGCTGCTGGCACCAGCAGCACCGTACATGGGTCCGTGGAACCATCATCTTCTGCCGAGGCACCAGTGACGGGGGCGCTGGCGGACACGATGGGTGGTGTGTCTTCCTCGAAAGATGCTGGAGGTCGGGAGGGCATCGAGGAAAGCGGAAAGCCGGCTGGGAAACCAGGGAAGCGTCGAGACACACCCAAGTCCGTGGAACCTCCAGAGCGTCCAGAGCCTCCGGTCGACAGGTAGGTGACACACCTCTCTCCGCGATCACATTCTGTGAACGGCCTGCCAGAAGTCACACGCACCGTCCAGGGCCCTGGGAGATCGCATGAAGCATATTGATGCTGATATACCGCAACCCACAGACTGTTCTCCGACCGAGTCGTCACGATCCTCGTGGGCCCGAGTGAAGTTCAGTGGCGCCTGCACGAGAACCTCCTCTCCGGCATCTCGGACTTCTTCAAGTCAGCGTTCAACTCAGGCTTCAAGGAGTCCCTTGAGGATCAACTCGCCATGCCCGAGGACGACCCTTCCTCCTTCGAGCTCTTTGTCCGCTGGGTATACATCCGCACCCTCACGCCCGCGGCCGTATCCAACTCGACCCTGGCCGCCAATGTCCTGCTCGGCAAGGACTTCACGGCGGGCCCCTCGGCGGCCTGCATCCAGGACTACCTCAAGCTTTACGTCCTCGCGTCCAAGCTCTTGGTGGAGGAGTTGGAGAATGCTTGTGTGGATATGGCCCACGCATTCTACAGTGTTGGCATGCGAAGGCCTGACATCAAGGATGGTATGAGCGAGTGGACCAGACCCGTCCTCGTGACAATTTAAATGACTGACTTGCAAATCTCCTTCCTCAGTGCAATACGTCTACGCGAACACCATGCCCGGCTGCGGCATGCGGAGACTGCTCAAGGAACGCCTCACGCTGGGTCTATTTAAGGGAAAGCAACACAATCCTGTGACTCCCGAGTGGAATGAGATCTTGAACATGACACCGGACCTGGGATTCGACATCGTGAGCGAGATTGCTTCCTTCAACTGGATCTCGGGCGGTAATGCCCCCGCGAGGACAGTAGCCCATGAGTGTACTTTTCATCGGCATGAGAGGAGCAACCCGTGTGCCAGGCTCTCACCTTGACTTCCCTATACACAGTTATGCTGAATTGCCATGCTCTACCTGGCGGCAGGGCGGGATCTTGCCGGGATGAAAAAGCTGATATTTGACCGGTGACGGGCGCTTGGGGATCGCTTAAGCGCTAGTTGCAACTTGACCTAGTGGAACAGTCTGTTGTTAGTATCAAATCATCATGGCTATTTGCACAAGATCGAATTTGTCTTCCCTTAAGCCTAGAAACTGTTTCTGACTTCCCACTTGACCTCCTCTCCCATCATGTGCTTTGTTGAGTAAGGATGGATCGAAGAGCATGAACCCTATTCTTGCATTTCTCCGTCTCTTTCTTATGTGGTCTATTTGCCGGCTAGCAGCAATGTATCAGGTCGTAATTTACGCGTGAAGCTGGACGTTGAGGGGGAGGCTGTTGTTGTCAGGAGACAAAGTCAGCGATGTAGGCGCACTTTGCCTCAGCTGCATCACAGCACGACAAACAAGCTTGGCCCGCACTTAAAAGTTACAATGAGTTGTCTGAAATCAAGTGTTCTTGTTTAATGTTTTAACTTTCTCGATCTATCCACGTGTCAAGTCTGGTTGTTCTGGGTGCCTCAAAATCGGGATTGAAGCCATACAAAATCAACGGGAGGTCACTCCGTGCTGCTCACCAAGCAAAGTTGAAGGCACAGCCAGCTTACAATCGTTAACGCTGTCAGATTTGTGGGAGCCTCGAATGGGGTCAAACAACGCTTTTCTTTAAAACCAAAAAAGTCGCATCCTATCAAGCCTCCAACCTCGAGATCAGCAACCCACACAACATTTGCCTTCTTTCCGTCACGTCGAAAGTTCTTGAACCTTTGACACCACAAAGTTTGACGACAACTAATAACTTTCTTTAACACATACTGAAGAGAAAATCATCAGCTGCTCCAAGAATGGCACCTAAATCTTCCTCTGCTACGCCTCCCTGTCGCAAGCCATCCACCCGCAAGCGCCGTCCACCTGCGAGCATGTCGCCCGATGCACCAACAGCTCCACCTGCCAACAACGATCGGCCTTCGCAGCCATTTAAGCCCGCCCCGAGAGACGAGGTTCTCTCGGACAGGATTGTCACTATTCTCGTCGGCCAGCAGAAGAAGAAATGGTTAATCCACGAGAACCTCCTCTCCGCCAAGTCCGAGTTCTTCAGAGCATCTTTTCGGGGTGGCTTTCATGAGGGCGAGAGCAGCGTTCTAGAACTGCCTGAGGACGATCCTCGGGTTTTTGAGCTATTCATCGGAGTAAGGAAGCCTCATCAAACTCATTACATCCCGCTGTTATCTAACTGAACTTGATGTCTGCCAGTGGGCATACGCGCAACCCATCAACAATCTGAATGCTTCTCCCATGAAAATTTTCTCACAGCCCGACGACAAGAAGACCACCGTCCGCGACTATCTCAACCTGTACCTCTTTGCAGATAAGTACATGATGGAGGAGTTGCAAAACGAGACCATTGATGTTGTCTACGACCACTACAAGCTTTCCTGCAATGAGCCACATTCCAAGGACATTGAGCTCGTCTACAACAACACAACCGCGGGATCCAAGATGAGAGAGCTGATGATAGTTCACTCCGCCTTCCGACTGTTCTCAGGCTCTGTGGTGGTTCGTTACTGGGGGGATGTTCTGAAGAGCAACTCGGAAATTGGACATGATCTTATCTTGATGATCGGCAATTGGAGGTTGAAGTTTGGGCAGAAGATTGACAAGACCCTGCAGCCCGTGTGCCACTTTCATGTTCACAAGAAGACCGGGCACTGCACGTCCATCAAGAAGGAATAGAAAGAACTGGAGTGGCGAATTGCGTAAAGATTGCACAATTTGGAGCAGTTGTCCTAGATCCAGGCAACCACGGTCAAATGGAAATGTCAATGGAAACATTGGAAGGATCATGAAGGCACAGAATGAACGGGAAAGATGAGCAGAACGTTTTCGGCACTTCATTCAAAGACCACGGCATCGACAGTCGTAGGTCAACGCGATTTGCTCGAGGTAGTGCAGCTGCGAGGAGAAATAATACAAGCAGCATTTCAAGACTCGGTAATGACTGCGATTCTTTGACGGCAACAAAACCACCCAACACATGCACATGTTCCTAAATCGTAGGACATGGTTTTCACGTATCTCACCATTTTGACCCGTATCAATACGCTGAGGGTCATTGGACCATGAAATGTCACAGTCAGTCTTCGGCTGTGGCTCACTGGCTTGCAAGAGCACAAGGGAGCCTCTCAACCTGTTCGGAAACTTGTCATGAATCACAGTCTTGCAATTACATACTTCGAACAAGCCAACTCCACTGCTTTTCATTCATTTTTTCCTTCGGCTATGAATGCATCTGTTGGCTGTCAGCTTTCTCCCACAATCGCACCTCTTTTCTCTCCACACTTGTCTTAGCTTTTGGCCTCAATGCTCTTATTGCCTCATCTATTGCATCTATACTCCTAGCCATGACAATATTGACCAGAATCAACGGTACTCTGTTTGTGTTCCCGCTCTCAACGACTAACTTGACTTTGTCTCCTCAGCGTACGCTGAAGGCTTGTGAGTCCCGAAAATTCAAATTTGACATCGTTAAAGACACAATATCATCGTTGTGTGAGGCAAGGTGGTAGATTTGAAGCTATGCAAACATCCTGGCCCGTACGTTCTTCTCACCGATATTACAACCTCCCTTGTAATTCAATTCCATGGGGTATATGACTGATCTTGGTAAAGAGTGTATCCTCCTCCGTGAAGTTTTGTCAATGTGACTATTGGACCGCAGCGGACCATATCCAGCATTCCACCAGTCATTAGAAGAGTCGCTAACTTTAATTTTCGCCTTGCTCTTTTGAGCGACGGATGTACGTGTGGCCAGTTGGCTCTGCCAAACGAACAGCCAGAACAATTTCAACAATTCATCGACCGTTACGATCGTCCCCAGCCTGGGTTCTCTCTCTCCGGCGTCGAGACCAACGACCTCGTCGAATTTTACGTGCTCGGGCGCATATACGAGGCCGAGGAGGTCCAGGATATAGTCATGACAGCTACGTTCGCTGCATGTAAAGACGTCGATTGGTGGAACCTTGCAATCTCATGGGACACCCGGTTGCTACATAATCTGGAAAAGATAGTGCTAGATGACTCTCTAGCTATCTGCTTGGGAGTGTCATTTCGCTTTTCCGTGAAGGCCAGCCAGATGGATTGAGAAGAACTTTTGATCGTGGCAAAAATCTGCATCAGGAAGAAAACGCGCCTGGATCAGCAATCTTGTTCGTCGTGGTCAAGTCTTCATCTTTAAAGGGACAGAAATGTGAGGTAATAGACAATCAATGAGCGAGATAGCCTGCTATGAGACCCGTGAGGCAGGAGTTGCAATGGGCTGCATTCAAGCCTCCAAACATGCATTGTCGTCAAGTCCGAAAGCTTGACTTGGTCTCAAATAATGATTCCAAATGTGCTTCGCATTGAGCTGCCCATTCTGCCCTTCTTGGAGGCGCCCGGTTGTGTACACCCGCAATGGATGAAATTGTTGACATAATTGATTCAACCTAGCCCATGGCAAGCTCGCAAGTGAATACAGCCCGAGTGACTTGACTGCCAGGGACCGGTGCAGTCAGACCTGGGCTGATACCAGGAGAGGATGCGATAACATTGCAAAGAACACAGGTCTCTCTTAAGTTTGAGGCAAGCGATTCTCTCATGGGCTTTGAAATGCGGCTTGCAAGTAGAAGACTGGAGCCTCGTGATACTGTTTACCTTGCGAGGCAACCACATGCATAGCTAGGTGAATCAAACACGCATAACTCATCTCGTTTGGAGACATCATATTGGAATAAAGAAGCACTGCGTGAGTGCCTTTGTCCCTCTCTTTTGGAGAAGCATGTCCCTTTCGGTATCACCGAGTAATGGATGCCTCAAGTGCTCTAGCTGTGTACTGACTGTTGTCTTCAATCTCTCGGTGACGGCCTCCAAAGTGAATGCTGTCTCTCTGAAGATTAGAGCCCCGAGGTAGGCAGCACCTGAGCTCAAAACCAAAGTGACAAACAGCGTAGTTTTGTCCTTTCCAGTTCTTTCTACTCGGGTCTTGCCTCTTGATCAACAGCCACTCTGAGAACCAACTAGGTACATGCACTGCAACGTGCCAACCCGTCTCGCTTAGTACCTCGGTATTAAGAGACAGCCTGCAGACCTGCTCTTCTTGCCCTGAAGATTCACCAGAACCCCAATCCATCTGATTGGTATCCCTTGGGTTCATATCCATCGCGGCACCAGCAAAGTCTTGTGCCATCATTGTTCTGATCACATCGTCACTACACCCCTGTTGTTGCAGACTCGAGACCAACCTTGCTCATCTCATACACATCAACACTACGACTCTATGACTCTCATTCGAGGCACGGGTCTTCCGACCATAATGGTCTCAAAGAAGTCCTTCGGCAACACCATGTCCATCCAAACAAAGATGGAGGAGCTCGAGGTATCCAAGTCCGAGTTCAAGTAAGCTCGATCCTGCTATCCCGGATGTTACACCTACACTAAAACACTACATTCCTTCCATGTGGTGTCCCTATGTCCTACCAAAATCATGATCATAATCATAATCACCGTAATCACAACCATCGCTCTCATCGCATCGGTTGACTACACTTTGCCAATTAAGCAGTTCTAACCCTTCAGCAGCGACTCGATCTTCGGCATTCGAATGGTCACCATTGCCGTGGGACCTGAGAAGGTCAAGTTTGTTGCTCACGAGAAGGTCGTTTCTCAATACAGCGTTTTCCTCCGCACCACTTTCGCCAAGGAGGACGGAATCGAGTACCTCACTCTTCGTATGTACATGGCCCCTACCCTCAACAAATTGCTCTACCCAACCCCTTAAGGCCTTCCCACCGTTAGTTAGAACCGTATCAGCAGGCTAACAGATATCAGCCGACACTGAGCCCCAGACTTTCAACCACTTCATGAAGTGGGCCTACGGTGCCAAAATTGGCTCTCCCGACCTCAATCGCCTTGCAAATGGCCTGACTGCGTCATCTTTCGACCTCGTGAAGCTCTACGTCTTTGCCCAGAAGTACGACGCCACGGTTCTGCAGGATTCTACCATCTCGGCCATCTACTCTCATCTGTCCGATGGCTGTGAGAACTGGGGCACTCTGGGTTCCGACACTGGAGTCCTGAAGTACCTGGTCGACCACGTCGATCCCGGCGCCCACTTGTACACCCTGGTCACTCGCGCGATGGCCTACTGGATGTTTTCTGCGGCTGCCCCGAAGCTGATGGGTGGCATGGCATTCGACTATGGAGGCTGGAATACTACTTCTTTGGGAGGAATCGACAACCATACCAGTCTTTTCAACTTGAGCAGCTGGGGAGTGGCTGTGCCACAGGCAGTTGAGAACCAGATCGTGGGCGAGGATTGGGGCAGCGGTTGGAGCAGCCCCCAGAAAGTCAACATGGACAGAATTTTGGACAGCATGCCCATTACACTTTTGCGCCCGGTCGTCAAGGAGTTCATCCGCATGAAGTCTCTCGGTTGGTCGGCATCCTCGACTTTCACGGCTTGCGTTGGAACTAAGTTCGACTACCATCTGCCACGTCCTGCTCATGATCGCCACTATGGACAGTGAGTGCATTGACGGGCTGGTCGAAGCTTCTACGGAGGACTACTTGAGCTTTTTCTGAGATAGATTGGTACTATCGTGGGTAGCTGTCCCGACCGTGGCTGCTGGTTGCTTGTTTGGTCTTACGAATTCCTGAATGCAGCAACGCCCATAGGTGTTGTTCTGGAAAATAGAGCCATGGCACAGTAGACAGAATGCAGAACAAGATGAAAAAAATAATTTTCGCGCGTTGTGACCGCAGCCTTGCTAATACTGAAAATTCTGGAATCACCGTTCTGTATTGGTGGTGTTTCACAATACCTAGACTCAACTTCAGAGGGCAACAATGCATGTGATTATCACCGTCTTCGCGGTCGCCCAAGGCACCTCGCTGTCTTCGCGGTCATTGGAATACATCTAGTCTTGGACATTGTCGTCTTTATTTACAGTGTTTGACCTTGTTTTTTGTGTTTGTGATTACTCAGGTAAATTGAATGTTCGAAATTGTTGTCTTGATTTTACAGAGTCAGATATCATAATGCTCATTCTGCCGCCAGGCAGGGGCCAGGTGGGGCCATTGTACCATCGTTGTCTTCGCGGTCGTCAGAAAAGAATTAGAGTTCTGAATTTTTCCCATATTGTTCTTGTTTGATCTCTTCTGACTCACAATGCAGTGTTCATCGGTCCCATGTTATACTATTGTGGTAGTTGGTGTCGTCGCTTCAACAGTCTGGCCTTACCTGTGGTGTGACTTGGATTCGCTCCAATTGCTCTAAAGAATTTTACGAGCCTTTTAATATTTAAAGGACCTCAGAACCTAGGCCTCCAGAAATCTCACTTCTTTCCCAAGCCTGCAGCGAATTTCTCTGCAACGCGTTCGGTGTGGTCCTTGACAAGTTGACTTCACCATCTACCTAAACATAAGAAGGCCCACGCGAACAACATTCAGACACCATCCAAGTCGTTAAGCATGGCTGCCCCATCTCCCCATGAGTGAGTTCAGCAAACATTCCTACGGCTCCAAATACAGCTTGGAAAAATTTTAATATGTTTGAAGTGTTGCCCCATTTGGTGATGGCATCCTCACCGTCACCGTTGGACCACTCAAGGACAAATTCGTCGTTCACAAGGAGGTCTTGGCCGCTGTAACCAAGAATGGTCTTTTCTACAACATTCTCGCCAATGAATGCTCGGATCCCAAGACTGACCACGCCAACCTGCCTGACGAGCAGTCAGAGACCTTTTTGGCTTTCATGAAGTGGCTCTACGCCACTCACATCGGTATCAACGACTTCACTCCTTTGCCCTCCGCATTCGCCGCCCTCTTTCGACTGTACGCCTTCGCCCATGAGTACGTCATTATCGAGCTTGAGAACGCGGTTATCTCTCTTCTGTACACCAAGTTCCTCATTGACAGCAACATCTGGCTTACACTCGGATCTGACAAGTTTGCCTTCGACACCTTTCTCGAAGTGGTTTCATCCGACACCCACCTGTACAAGCTTGTCATTCGGTCCATGGCGTACTCCATACGCTTGCCACCTCAGCCGCACTACTGTGATGCGACTGACTGGCCGACTCGCTACCCGCCCACTATGGAGTCCCAGGTCGACTCGGTGATGGAGTCCGTGCCGGACGAGCTCTGGGGTCCCATAGCAAAGGAAGTGATACTCATGAAGACGCCGAGTAGCCCGATGTCATTTTACATCTTGGTTGGAAACGTGACCAGCTTTCTGAGGCAGTATCCGGCATCGCGAGGCTGGTAGAGCTGTTCCTTGGACACGCTTAGGTGAACACACCTGCGTTCAAGCATCTCAAGAGCGAACCTGTAAGGAGGAAAGGAACCTGTGGTGAGGCAGTGGACTGGTAATATCAAGGTGGATCAGCAGTGGCAGGAGTGGGAATCCAGTCAGGTTGTGGTAGCATCACCCATAATGCTCCTTCTCCTGGTAGCCGTGTCTGGGAAATCAGAAAAATAGCAGAGGGATCGGGATGCCAAGGATCACGAATACGTGGAGATACCGGAAGCCTTGAATGGAATATTGGGCTGGAAGAGTATCAACCCACAAGGGGTAGTAATAGCTCAGGCTACCTGCTCAGTACACATTCATTTAACGGAAGGCTGCCATCCCTATCAGAGTTGAAATGCTCTTCTTTGTGATTATGACACAGTCCAGTGTACGTAAGTGCCCGTTTACATACGTTATGACACCAGTCTTCCGGAACGCCAATACTCTTGCACCAGGGGATCGAAGCCCTCTCTCTGTCTGAAGTGTGCAGGCCTTCATGCCAAGAACGGAAGAACTCAAACATTCAAGATATATCAGTTGTATACGCTAATGCCTCGTACTTGGGTAACGGTTGGATTGAGGCGAAACTTGGTACTCTGAACCTATTGCTGCTCTTGGTGGGAAGTCAAAGCAGCTTTTGGATTTGGTGATGTGTTTGGGAATTGTGCTTGGACTTCTTTTGAAATGCATACCTTCAAGAAGTAGAACGAAGCAATCATCCCTTCCATTTGAATGGGTATGTCTGTGGCATCATCAGAACCAACAAATGCGGTGCCTGCGGCACTGCTTGTCTGCTGCTGTTGATTAAGCTGTGACACAAAATATTGCCAGCGATTACAGGGTCAGGAGGAGTCGGACAAAGACTTATTCTAGGGAGATCCTTTAATGACAGTAATTCTTGTGAATATGATGAGATATCGTCTAACTTAACTCCGTACAGCTCCTTCTGACACGAGAAGTCAAAGCCGTTTCTTTCCTTCATCGGAAAGAGCTGCTACCCAGGGGCGTCATCTGGATCTCTTTCACATTCTGACTTACATGCAGCCGTATTTCTTTCACCTTTGCGTCAAGAGCACAAAACAAGACAATACCGAAGATCTGATGGTCAAAGTTGCTGATTGGTGACACAACCTGAAGAAATCTATCTTTGAACCTGAGCAGGTGAGCCCATCACAGCACCAACAAAACCCAGGCAACGCAAGCTTGACTGCTATTTTATCTTTGAGATCCGCGGCCAACCCAACGAAACTGTTCTCCATCGCATGCGAAACAACAACCAGAAATAGCTCACGATGAGTGACAAGGATTCACCTCCTAAGGCGGCAGCCACGTAAGTTGACCTCGACCAACAAGCCCAAATTTCCATTTGCACAAACTGAAAGCTTAATGCCACAAATACGAGACGCAACAGCCCGTTGCGTGATTTTTGGTTGCAATATTTCGATGCACTGATACCTCACGTTCACTTATTGATGCTTTCTGTTTTTCGCATGTTAATTGGGTTTTAGGGCCCCGCAATTTGACTCTCGAATTGTCACCTTTGTGGTTGGACCTCGCAAGGTTCGATTCGGCGTTCACGAAAGTACGCTCTCCCAAGCCGAGGCCGGCCACTTCTTTAACAAATCTTTTACCAACGGCTTCCAGGAGACAAACACCGGATGCATGGAGCTGCCCGAAGATGATCCTGAACAATTCCGATGCTTTTTGAGATGGCTCTATGGCATCTGGGTGCAGCCAAATCAGCCCTTGAATTGCTGGACAGAGCTCGACTTTTCGCAGCAAATCAAGCTCTACGCTTTCGCGCACAAATACGCCATTCATGCTCTCCATAATGCGATCATTTGCGAGCTGCACAGTACCGAGATTAAGAAGAAGTGGGGTCACATGGGCATCCGTCGTGAAGAGCTCGAATTCCTCGTGGCCAATGTGCCAGATGGATCTCCCATGCACAGACTCCTTGCGGATTGGCTCATCAAGGATGAGTTGAATGTGATCTGATCAATGAGGAGGTACTGGAGAAGCTACCAGAAGCGTTCATGCGTTTTGTTTTGAAGCACTTGCTCGTACACAAAGTTTGGGATACGCTCGAGGGCCTAGAAATGAGAGACCAGGGAGAATACATGCTGCCAGAAAATTCGCCAGCGGAAGAGGACGCGTAGTCCTAGGAGAAATTCACGGCTTGTTCACGGATTCTGACGACATGATCATTCGGTTCCCGACCCTCGGCCGCGGTGTTTCTTAATATCGATCCCACCTTGCTTACTTCCAAACTATCCTCGAAATGCGCTCCTGCAATGGGACACCAAGTAAAGCAAAAAGATCCAAATCTTGAAGAGAAATCATCGAGGATCATTCCTGCTAGGACTGTCATACAATATCGAAAAGGAAGAAACCCCCGGCGGAAGTTCATCGTTTGGCGGACAGGGATATCTACACGCTTATCCACTTTTGAAGTGTCCTCGAAACACACCTGGGGTTTTTGATGGTCATCTCCATTGGGCTGTCGAAATTATCCTCAAGGAACGTGCAATGACTCGGCGATTATCTGGGCGAGTTCCCGGAGTCAGCATGGCGGCGGCAAGAGGCGCAGGGGCAAATCTAAAGTGGCCAAGAGGGAGCGTCCAAGGGGCAGTGAGCATGGAGTGGAGAAAGAAAAATACACATTCAAGGCCATACTTGCGAGTACGTCAGTCCAGGCTTGATGCGGAGAATTGGGATCTCTGCAGGTACCATGATTTTGGGATGCCGAGAGCTCACTTCGAGAATTGCCTCCGCAGACGTCGACAAGCATACATGCATTATTTCATGAAGCGTCTTATTACAAAGGTGTCGACTCGAGAGGCTGGCCATAGGATCCCAGCGATAGACTTTAATCCTACAACATGACAAAATTGAGCTCAGACCAATGATGTGTGCCCAAGTTGTGAATTTTCAAGGGGAGGGAATGTGGTGTAGTTGAAATATGCTTTGCGGCTCCTCCACAGCCAGGATCCAGGGGTAATGGAAGCTTTACCCGAAAGCTCGGCAGCTCGAGGAGTTCCAACGATGTTGAGCACGGCGATGAGCGATGAATTGAGAATGCCTTAACCTGGCCAGAAATCAAATCCCACACCCTGAGCAATGACGAGGTAACTGTACTGTCCACTGACGTTGCCCGGATTGTCAGCTGCAACCCTGGTCTCGAGCTCGACGATCCCAGAGCTGCAAGCCCGCAATCATGACATCATGGGCAGCTTCCCTTCACCCCTTGGCCGAGGTGGTGCTAGTTGTGTGTCAAGGTCCAATACCAGGTACTGTACCTAGGTAGGCTAGTTAATGATCAACTGTTTCTTCTCACTCCCGGGAATATCTCGCACTCGTGCCACAAACTAACAATCCTTTCAATTGATCAATTTCTATACACAGATCTCACAAGCCCATCCTTCTCCTCTGCCCCTCCATCTCACACTGGAATAGGAGCTCTCACAACATCCGAACGCAACCTCACAACAACAGATACCATGGCTTCCAGACTCTTCCGACCAGCCGTCGCCCTGCGACCATCAGCTGCCTCCACGCCCATGCTTCGACGGAGCTTCGCCGTGTCATCAGTCAACCGCATAAAGGAGTCCTCAGGCGGTGCGTCTATCCTTTTAACACCTCCCTCCCTCGTCCTGGTCTCCAGACCCCTTACTAACACTTATTCCTTGACCACAGACGTCAAAGACTACGAGAAGCACAAGCAGGACTCGTTGTCCAAGCAGAAGGACGGCAAGGGCCACTGGAAGCCCGAGCTGGCATCGGACGGCGAGGAGGCCGTCAAGGCCGACCGCACTCCTCACGAGGACATCTCCAAGCTGCAGGAGCGCACCAAGAAGCACGCCGAGGAGAAGAGCAAGAGCGGCACCAGCGGGACAGACCCCATGTAAGGACAACCAAACCAAGGGACACATACAGCCCACCAATTTTCTTCCGACATGTCACCTCTCCATGAAAAAAAAAGAATAACAGAAAACACCGACTCTTCATCTCTTCTCCTCTCTTCTTTCCTCCTTTTGGACCTCTGGACCAAACTCGACCAACAAGGCCTCGAGGAGCGACAACTCCTGTCTGAGGAAGGCTGGGAGTGCGAGGGAGGGGTTCAACTGCCGAATGGGCCGGCCATTGCTAACGCTTGAGCTCAATTAAGTTGAGGACAGGAATGACGATTTGATCTTGCAAATCCGGCGTTCACCGAGTATGGGCAGCTTTGCAATCTAACAAGCACGGAGGGTATGGGGTGGGCATTGGCGGGGTTAATTACGCATGGAGAACCGCGCAGACAGCATTGACAGGTGGGAGGAAGCATTGATAAATCTTTTGAATTGACTTGGTTGTCATCATCATGGCTGTCTTCAACGACCTTCACACGTGTGACCTGATAAACTAAGCACAAACTGCATACGCGGGTCAGGAGACTGAAACCACGCGTATTAGGGTATCAATAAATCAAGAGCGCATTTGTGGCTCTGTGGCACATGGCCTTAGTACTGTGGCATCCGGTAAAGCCAGCTCACATCCTAGCCCTGCCACGGCCACGTCCTCTGCCTCGTCCTCGTCCTCTTGCCCCGCCTCTCGTAGCCATGCGGTAACTGGGACCTGGGTTTGCTCGGACCGATGGTTGGGCCGGGATATCGCCGTCGTCGTCGTCATCCTCGTCAGAACCAGAAGCAGAGTCAGAACCAGCAACAGAACCAGTGCCAGACACAGAGCCAGGGTCACTAGCGCCGTCATCACTGTAGTAGCTGTATCCGTCATCGTCCGAATCGCCCAATCTCACAACTGTCGGGCCTCTCGTGTCCTCCTCGTCCTCTGATTCAACAAGTCGCACGACAGTTGGGCCCGCCCGTTTGGACTGAGGCGGCGGCGGCGGCGGCGACGCCAGTGCCTCGAGAGATGGCTCGACTGGCGCACGACTCGACTCCTTTGAGAATGAAGGCACCATACTTGCAAGCCTCGACCGAGGGGCAACGCTGGCCTCCTTTGACTCAGGTGCGACACTTGCTGGTCCTGATGACATGTACTCTTCGTCGCCTCCATCAGACTCAGCATCCTGCATTGGCACGTCACCATTGTCCGGAGCTTCCTCTGCCGGAGCGGGCGGGCTGTCAATTCCTGGTGTGTCCTCTGCTGGAGCGTGTGCGTCATGGATTTGTGAAGTCTCGTCTGCCGGGGCAGTCGCGTCGTCCGTAGGACGGACTGCCTGGGCACCATCATTCGTACTTGTAGCTGCCGTGACCGTTCCTCGGCCACTCCTCTTTTTTCCGATCTTGACCTTCTTGCCTCTGAGCGCCATACGCTCAGCCATTGACATGAACTTTTCGGATGGAGGGCCTGTATTAGTGGCTGGAGATCCCATGGAGCGCGTTGCTCTTGGCCGATCTGGGTTGCCAGGTCCCTGAACAGCCTTCTTGGGGGGTCGCCCCCTTCGCTTTGGAGCAGACACAGATGGTGTTGATGACTCTCCAAGTGTCTCATCTTCTTCTAGTTCTTTAGCGAGCTGTTCCTCGAGCTCGTTGATAGCGGAATCTGGAGGAGTTTCTGACTCGTTCTCGAGGGCCAGGGCATTGACGGCCAAGGATGATCTTGGGGGGCGGCCACGCCGCTTGGGCGGACCCGTCGGTGGCAAGGCAGGCTTGACAGTTGCCTGAGGCGAAGAGAGCGCAGGGCCTGTGTCAGATCGTCGAGGTCGACCTGGTCCTTTCTTGCGGATGGGAGCTGATGCTGGACCAGGGGGTTCTTGAATACCAGTGATGGCACGCATAGCTTCCGCAGCGAGGTCGATAGGGTCTCTGCTCGCTTCGTCCGTCGCCGGTGTAGTCAAAGCCATGGGCTTCTTAGATTTTGCTGGCACAATGTCGTTGAATTCCTCAACATCCCCCGTATCTGCATAGGAGACCTTGGGTCTCGAGTGACGCAGTGTGGGTACATTCGGATCAAATGGTCGACCACGATCGACGGGTACTTCATCTTGCTCGTTCTGCTCAGCAAAAGGATCATCCGTGTCATTAGCCGCTTCCTCTCCCTCAGTTGCATCTGGAGCGGCGTCGTGCATGATCGTGTCACCACCGCGAAGTGCCGGATCAAGGTTTTCTGCAGCATCTCGGGGAGGTTCTGTGTCAGCTTTGATCTTCTTCCTCTTATGTGACCTGCCCACCACAAAGTCCGGGTCTTGATCATCTTCGTGACGAGCTCGTCGCTTGGCCGCACGCAGTGACTTCTTAACCCACTCTGACTCCTCAAAGTCACCGGCGAGATCACCCCTTTCAGTTGGCTCCTGGTACGGATTGAATAGAATCTTGTCAGGACTGTCATCCTGCTCATAGTAGCCCATTCCCAGTCTGCGTTCTGCACCAAGCGCCGAAGGGTCAGGGTAGGCTTCAGTCTCGGGAAACAGAGAGGCCTGAGCGTCAGGAAGCATGGACAGGTCCGCACCACCTGCAGCACCGTTGACTGCTTGTTGCTGAGAGCCGATCATATCAGAATCGTGACTCGAAATCCCATTGGTGGCTTCAGTCATCTCTCTCTGCCCTCCGAATCCATCTGGGACGGGCTCTTGCGCGGAGCCATCCTGATAGGAAGCTGAATCGTTGCCCGCAAGGTCACCTGCAGCGTCGGCGTTGTCTCTGGCCTTGTCTGCTTCGGCTTCCTGACGGAGTCGCTGGATTCGTTTGCTATTGTGATTGCGACTCCCGTCGCCAGCGGCATTGAGCCAGTTCAAGTTGTGCACACGGAAATCGACCAATGACTCTTGGCTTCGGTCATCTGCGACAGCACGGGTGTCGTGGCCGATGTACGTATTCTTTGGCTCATACGGATTCGTGATGCCCGTTCTCCGACATGAGCCACAATTGCAAATCAGTTGGCATCTGGGACACTGCCATCGCTCTTCTTGCAGTACATCCTGTGGCATCATGTCGAAGGCTCGATAGAGCACGCCAAAGCAATATGCGTTATTACAACCTGGCGTGCTGCAGAAAGCCAACCGATAGGTATAATCCTTGTGGCAACACGTGTGACATTTGTACGTGTCACCTTTCTTCTTTTTCCTCTTTGACTTTTTGGGTCGCCCTTCCTCATTTATTTCAGGCTCTGACGGCTCAGGATCAGGCTCTTTGTCAGGTTTCGAGATATCATTGAAAGGTCGGCGCCGCAGTTGCTCTTGGCAGACCTGAGCCAACGCTTTCCTGCCAATCTTCATTCTTGCAACCTCAAGAGGCGGCGGTGACAGGTTGATATCGACATAACCGTCATTGAAGATGACCATGCTCCGCCACGCCTCATAGCTTTCAACTAGTTCAGACCAGTCCCACTGCTCGCACCACGAGAGCCCTGATACGCAAAGACAGGACCGTCCCATGGCGTAACACTCCATGCAGACATCGTACGTGTCCTGGTCACCATCGATTAGGTCTCGTACGCAGTGTTTACATGTTAGAAACTTGTTGAATATGTTTGACCGGCAGTAAGAGCAGATGATGCAAGAGTCGAACGGAATCATCTCCACATTTTTCTCTTTCGAGGCAAACATTTCATCTACCAGGATTTCAGTGAAAAGCTGCAAGAGTTTCTTGAAATCTTTCTTGAGTTGCGTGAGCCTTACAGAGTCCCTGCCGACTTCATCGCCCAAGAGAAGCGACATCTGGGACTCTGCTGCATCTTGCAGCTGCCGATAGTAATTTTGCAGCGTGTAGTAGATGATGGCCTTGTTCTTATATTGCTCGTCACGGCAGACGAGCCTCGCTCGGGGAAGCGCTTCGTGTAGGGCATAATCAAGCGTTTCGACGGTTGTACGGTTCCACGCAACTTTCATTGTTCTTGTACCGCGATTCCAAACTTGATGTGGTGCAAGAGGTGGGATTAGAATGAAGTCACCGGGTCTCTGCTCGACGACGTAAACTGGGAAAGTCGCCTTTTTCCAAGCGTTAATCTGGGCGAAGTGCTTTTCGATTTCGACATCGTGACCCAGCATAGACAAGAAGTATTCCCGAGTGACCTGTCTGTCTTTGGTCTCGGTCATGAACCAGATCGAGCTGCCCTCTTTCTCTCCATTCTCATCGCCCGAAGCTTCGACCATGATGTTCTGGCCAAGTGAGCCACACATCTCACGATGTGCTGGCGTGTACGTTCCTTCATGCCCAATGTAGCACATCAAGTTTTGCGCCCGCATTTCTGGGGGGAGGCTGCTCATAAGGTCCCCCGCGGGAGCGGCCGTATGCTCCTCCATAAATAGGTCATCGTCTCTGAGGCCGTGATCCTCGACATTCTCGTTGAAGTAGAACAGCCCCGGCGGCATGACCTTGCGTAGATGTTCATGCCACTCTGGCGGACAATCTATATCCTTCAAATAGAGTCGCTGCCTTCGCTCGTCTTGAAAGTTGTGCGGTGTCCACTGGTCTGTGAGCTGGCGCATCGATCGGAGGTAGTGGCCCATGGTCATTGGAATGTTGGACTGGGAGTTGATGTCGCGCACATCTTCCTCTGCACAGAAGTCAGCTACTGAAGGGCAAGTGGCAGGAGCAAGCCAGACTCACGCTTCTTGTCGTAAGTTGCCTCAAGCCACTGGGCACTGAATAGAGACTTTGGAAGCTTGCTGTTCCATCCTTCGATGACGAGAGGCTTCCCTTGCTTGATGACCTGGTACCACACAAGCTTCTCGAACTCGAGCTTCCTGATCTTGGAAGCCGGAATGCGCTGGACCCATTCAAAGTTCGGAGTTCTGTCGACTAGGCCTTCCAAGTCGAGATCCGGTGGAATCGGGTCGAACTTGGCTTGTGGATGCGTTGCTATGCTAGGCATCTTGGTAGAAGTGGCGTGACGCCCCGGGGACGCTGGAAAGTGGAGGATGCTGGCCGAGGTCCAAGATCGAAGGAGGCGGCTGTTGTAGGGCGATGCGACGGTGCGACGCGATGGTGGGGGTAAGGACCGTTCAGCGCATGTTCGGCGTGCCCTCCGCGAAGATCAGAGATGGCTCGTGAAGCATGTGAATCTTTGACCGCGCGAATCGGCTGGTGCGACTGCGGGCAGATACGACAAATTGGACAAAGTCCAAGCCGTTGAGGGAGAGGGGAGAAGAGCGGACGTCTTGTCCTGCAAGTTGCGCGGGACGCGACAGGAGCAGCCCACTGGAAATCCGGGGTGAAGCTTCCAGTATATAAGCCAATAAAGTTGCTGGAAATGAGACGGTCTCCACTTTATTTTCGGCAGCTAGCAATTGGGACAAGGCTGAAGGAAAGTGGTTCTGTGTTAGTGGTCCTACCAATTCCAGCATCCCTTCACAAACCAGGACATGACTTCTCAAGGAAAGCTGCAGGCGATGTTTGTTTCCATGCTCGAATGAGAGTGGCAGTACTGTGTGGTTAAATCAAGGTAAGCATTCACATCGCACGCTCTTGAACCACACAAGCTATAGAGTTTTTCTTTCCCTCCAAATCAGGTCACTAGAAGAGGAGATCGCTTGAGTTGGCTTGCAAGTGCCAGCTGAATATCCACAGATATCATGCTGGAAAGCAGGGCTGAGAAGGCTGGAAAGGTTGTCTCTCTCGCTTTTTGTGACTCTATGAACTGGACGGTACAACCGGGAACGCCTCCCTTCGGCAACCCAATCCGTCTTGGGCACGACATGATGCGAGAACACATTCATATCAACAAAACGGTGATCGAAAGCTAACAAAATTCCTAGGTCGTCAACAGAGGAAGTTCTTGCAGCCGTTATGAACACAGTCCGGGCTGTCCGGGCAAGAGGAGCATCGTCTCGCCTGGTTGCTCCTTGCGTCCTGCCTCGGAGCTTTCTGCGCCATAGCCAAACATGGTCAGTCTTGAGTAGGCCTCAATTCCGCCATGAAATCAAGGCCCAGTCAGTCCAAGCCCAACGGCCTAGATCATTCATATCCAGCGGCGCTCAGGAATCCGTTGCTCGCGCTGGATCATCCCTCAGTACTCCTGGACAACATCCTTCACCAGCACTTACAGCCTACGAGCCTCCCAAAACCGGTATCCTCGGCCTCCTACCACCATCATGGGTCCCTTATGCAGAGCTCATAAGACTCGACAAGCCTGCCGGCACTTATTACCTCTTCTTCCCATGCCTCTTCTCAACGCTCATGGCAGCCCCTCTGGCAGCCCCCATGGCCTCACCAGGATCGGTGATCGGGACATCAGCGCTGTTCTTCGCTGGCGCGCTGATCATGCGTGGCGCAGGCTGCACTATCAACGACCTCTGGGACCGCAACCTTGACCCGCATGTCACCCGGACACGGCTGCGGCCCATCGCCAGGGGCGCCGTCACGCCGTTTCAGGGGCTGGTGTTCACGGGCGGGCAGCTCCTCGCGGGGCTGGCCATACTGCTCCAGTTCCCGCTCGAGTGCTTCTTCTACGCCACGCCGAGCTTGCTCTTCGTGGCCTCGTACCCGTTGGCCAAGAGGGTGACGTATTATCCGCAGTTCGTGCTCGGACTCACCTTCTCATGGGGCGCGATCGTGGGGTTCCCAGCACTCGGCGTCGATCTTCTCTCGAACACGCCGGCGCTGACGGCTGCTGCTCTCCTCTACTCTTCGAACGTGGCGTGGACGGTCTTGTATGACGCCATCTATGCGCATATGGATGCCAAGGACGATGTCAAGGCAGGCATCAAGAGCGTTGCTCTCGCGCACGACCAGTCGAAACGATTCCTCGCGGGCCTGGGTGCCGTGCAGATCGGCCTCCTTGCTGCTTCTGGACTCGCTGCTGGCGCTGGCCCGGCATTCTTCATTGGCAGCTGCGGTGGCGCTGCTTTCACGCTGGGATACATGATCAAAAAGGTCAATCTCAAAGACGTCAAGGACTGCTGGTGGTGGTTTGTAAATGGATGCTGGATAACTGGTGGGGTCATCAGTGCTGGACTAGCCGTAGACTATGCTCTCAGGTACATCTCTGAAGATGAGGCTGAGGAAACCCAGAACAAGCTATAGCTGTCGTGTACCAACACATAATCTGTACGAACTAGCTTCACTGTTGCAGGCCCATTTGTGATAATCTCCTTCGAACACCCTCTCGTCTTCACAATCGCAATTCGCAAAGCGGTAGGATGGGGTATCCCTTTCGTTTTCGTCGTGGCGTGATGATCTTTTCATTCGTCGACCATGTCTACCGTGTGAATATCAGAACCCCCTTTTGCCTGATAAGATGCCGATGACAGCAAGCACAGATGACGCCAGAACCGAAAACATCCCTATTCCATTTTCCGTCCATGCACACTGCTTAAGAACGGGGCTTCTCCTTCTTCTCCTTCCACAGAGCGAGCAGACCGACACCGGAAACCTTGACGACCTTGAATCGCACACCGGGAATATCACCCTTGGCCTTGCCCTTACGACCGAAACCAGCCAGGAGCACCTCGTCGTTCTCGTCCACGAAGTTCAAGCAACCGTCGTTGGGGACTAAGGAATCATCACGTGTCAGCTCATCACATCCGCATAATCACGTCTGGCCGCCGTCTCGCAGCGCTCTACGGCTCGTGCAAGAGACGTCCACCAGATTGGGAGGAGGATTGTTCGTACCGAAAGCGGTGACCTTCTTTCCGTTCTTGATCAACTGCACACGCACACACTTTCGGATAGCGGAGTTGGGCTGCTTGGCCTCAACACCGACCTTCTCGAGGACGATTCCCTTGGCGTGGGAGGAGCCACCGAAGGGCGAGGACTTGAAGGCGGTTCCGAGCGCACGCTTCTTGTAGGACAGATCGGCCCATCGCTGCTCGCGGCGGTTGTTGCGCAGCTTGCGCGCGGCGTTGAGACCTCTAGGCTTGCCTTTTCCCATCTTGAATAGCTGTAGAAACGCGACAGATTGTCAGCCACGTACGTTCGTTCCCGGAGACCTGGTGCTTGGTTGTGTATGCTGTCGTGCGTCACAGGGTGGATCGGTGGATGGATGGATGGATTTGGAGGTTGTTCTTCGTTCGCTGAGGCGCTCGTTTGGTGGTCGATTCGCAGTCGATGGCGGGAATGTGTGTGTGAAGACGGTCAAAATGGACATGCAGCATCTACTCACCGATTATGACTTGATCGCTTGAAATTGGGTGATGTGGGGGGGTAGGTGGTTGTCGTGGAAAGACTCCAGAGCGGGCTGCTTCGACTGCTAGGAAAACTTCGAAAAGTGTGCGGGCGCCTGTTACTTTCGATTCGGGAAACGGCGGGCGCTCGGACCACTGGGCGATTCGCGGAACAGGAAATTCCTGCCTTCCGAACGAACTCCAAAGCACACCGGGGCCCCTCGTGAGCCTAAGCTCTTGGGACACTGGCCTCTCCGTGGAAGCGAGGTGGGGTCCACTTTGGATGGATGGCCCCCCTGTTCATTACGGTATTGGATTGACATTTGACAGTTGACATTCACTCGCACCTTCAGGCCGGTCTCTCCTGTCGTAGCACGGCGGACATACCTCGACAACGCTGTCAAGCGAGCTTGTCCCACTCCCGCATGCGCTTGACAGAAAGGCGTAAATCTGTTGTTGAGCTGGTCACAGAGCAAAGACTCACTCAATACCAGCGCACTCTCGAGAGCCCTGCTCAATTTACAATCGAACCCTGCCAGCCATTTCCTTCGGTTGTCTTCCGCCTTGGGAACTTGGCTGCTGGTACGTAATCAGCCCAACAGACAGGCAGCCTTGGGATCCAGCACCTCCCTCGGGCTCTGGGCGACGCGGCACGCCGCATGTGTGCGTTCCCAGGCAGTCCAGACCTGCTACGGATATAAGCTGGATGGATGAGTAAGACCAGAAACCATGCCTCAACCACGGCACACGCAGACAAAGCCCCAGAGGGACCCGCCACCATCTCTGTTCCTGCATCCCTCCCCGGCCGCTTCTCATGTCTCCTTACCCAGTACTGTCGCTGGCCCTGGGCCTGTCATCACTGGCCTGCCGTCTACCTCGCAAGCCCATCCGCGGAGCTCGTCCACGCTCTCCCATGACCCTCTAGCTGCAGCTCTCTCTACTTTGTCAAAGCCAATGGAGACTCGCACCAACAGGAATGCGGGTCCGGCTGCTTCCAACACCCGCCGGCCGGCCGGAGGCTCCGGTTCAGGCGCACTCGGGGCCGGCGGGCTGAACTTGCCACCCATACAAACCACTCGAAGGGAGTCTACCCGGGCGACCGATAGGACAGATGCGCTGTGGGCAGAGATGCAAGCCACTCTGGAGGAAGTGGAGCTCTCCGCCAGCGGTGGGACACGAGTATTTGGGCCAGAACACGACCGAAAGCTTGCAGAACTGCGCGCTGCACAGATCGCTCTCGCTCAGGCCTGGGCGCGGAGTGAGGCAGACGAGGCAATAGAGACATCCATCGCACCTGGGACAGCATCAGAGAAAGGCGCAGGGGCGGAGTCCAAGACGGAGGGGACCACAGTCGGCGGTGCAGGCGCCGGCACAGACGGTGGTGCACGCAGTGCTGGAACGGCCAGTGTGAGACCAGGGAGCGCGGGCATTGGTGCCGAGCGGCTCGGACAGAAGCTCGAGGAGGAGACAGAGATCGACATCAAGTTTGCACGGAAACGACGTGAGGCCAATGATCGCTACTTCCAACGAGTCAACCAGGGAGTGCTGGACGTCGTTGCAAAGCTTGAAGATGTTGCCACAGCAATGCGCAAGGTCGAGCAAGAGAGCAAGGACGTCTGGGGGGAGACGGAGAGCGTGCCTTCGAGCGCAGTGCCTTGAGCATCTCTTAAAGTGTTTTGTTTACTTCGTTGGAAAGCATGGCGTCCCGGTCTTGTCTGCATTGCGAGGGCGTCACCACATGACTGTTGGGAATGGTAATTGACTCTACCACTGGTCTCACTATCACTAGAAATTTGGTTCTGGATCAGATCCATTCGCACCACCTGCTATCTTGGGTCTACTTGAGCACCTCATTGCAGTTCTGCAGAACGCCATGCATCGAAACGGCATCTTCACGAACCCCCTGCGTCGCCTGAACCCCGCTCAACCAATCCATCAAGACAAGACTTGTCTCTGCCCACATTGTTCAACAACGGAAGATGAAGAACGTAGTGTTGAACAACAAAAAGAGAGACAATTATAAGTGGTGACGACTGGTGTACTATGCCACTTCAACGCATCATGGTGAGACACCAAGACCGACTTCAGAGAGTTTGGTTAGAGCATACTCGTATTCGACCTCTTCTTCCACCTTGCCTTGCAAGCAGCATACCTAAGACTCTTCGATCGTAACATCCGCAATAATACTTGAAATGGCCAAGCACTGGCAGTGTCCACAAGTAGTACTCGGTCAGTCATAGTAGATGGCCGAAGTCTTGGAGGTGACGGGTAAATATCCCAAGTTCGGCTACCAGGAAATCCTATTGAACACTTTGAGGTCAGTTGTGCTGCAGAAAGTATACAAAAACACCATTTCGGTATGATACACTCCGTCACTCAAGACTACTTGTGGTCCAGAGGGGGATGTCAAATCACCAGTTCGCGGTCACACTCTTAGTCAAGCTAGGAACGTTGGGTGACATCTCCGTAAAACAAGCGGCACGCCACGTCGAACGGTTTGCAGCCAAGCCTTTATGGGGTGGCCTAGGCACGGGATGGGGTCCCCTCCCCCGGCAAGTCAACCCAAGTAGCCTAAGCCAACCCAACTACGGCCTGTGTTTAAGAAGCGACCCAACTACCCCCATCCCAACTTGCTCGAGTCAATAGACTCCATCTTGAACCTAGACGTCCAAAAGCAACCCTTCAGCAGCACTACCACACTTCAACTTGAAAAGGCCCTTGTGACACTCGAGTCAAAGGTCTTTGAATCTACAAGAACACCACCGGCCCACCCCTTCTCTTCCCTCGTTGCCACAGTCTTAACAGCATCCCACTACTACCACGACCGACGTCACCGAATTTCCAATCTGTGCTCTATCAACCTCATCAAAACCGCCTACAGCAAGGCTACATCGCAAACATGAAGCTGATCGCATACCTCCTCCTGGCTCTGTCCGCCATCAGCGGCGCCTTCGCCGTCGAGCAGCACAAGTCGTTCATCATCTCATTTGAGCCAGACACCGCCCAGACCGTGATCGATGCCGCAAAGAAGCAGATCACCGATGCTAAGGGGGTCATCACCCACGAGTACACCCTGATCAAGTAAGTTGAACAGCCTGGGAACCCACCGCCATCCCTCTCTTTATCATTCGGTCCATCAAAGTGCCAGATTCGCTGACAATGCCCGCCGTGTTCAGGGCATTCGCCGCGACCGCCGGAGAGAAGGTGTACGAGAGTCTACAGGTCTGGGCCCAGGACAGCGGCGCACATGTCGAGGAGGACCAGGTTGTCTCGATTGAGGACCCAAAGATTTGAGCAGGCCGAGGGTCCGTGGGGGTGTATTTGACGTCCATGCCCTCAGCCCACCCTTGACGGTTCTTCACGACGTTCCGAGAATGACTGGCGTTGGGAGGCGTAATATGTCCTGCAGGAACAGGAGATGGTCCTTGAACAGAACATGTTGATGACCTTTCTGTTGGTCGGGCCTTTAGGAAAACACTTCGCCTTATGCCGGAGGATGACTCCGGTTTACACATAGACAGGCTATGGATTCAACAGTACCTTTTCGCTTGGCCCTGATGAATGTCTTCTGCTCGACACCCATGTGTCTCTATTTTGAACCGGCAGGGCCGTGGGAGGTGGCTGCCGATGAAATTGTGCTCGCATAGACAGTCACAAGCTATGTGACTTACTAGGCTACATTATCTGGTGGACGGTGCCGAATGACGACGGATGCTATTCCTGTCGTAGTGACAAGGCTGAGCAACTTGCAGCAGGTGAACGCCACATGCGAGGCTGGCGAAATAACCTTTACAGACGTCATGGCAACTGCCTCACATTGAGCACCCGTGCCTGGTTAACACAAGACTTGCAATTCGTCGACATGATTGAAGGCCACATGTTAAAGGACTATGCAGTCAATCTGCTGCTCCTCTCCCCGATTGCGCTACCAGGCCTGCGAGTAACCATTCGACCACATGGCCACAAGTGACTTGGTCGGGGATGTCTCTGCCTGCGTCCCCGTCTTAGGGTGTCATCTGTAGATGCACCCACTTCTTGACCGAGGCCTAGTTGGCTCCTCCACTTACCGCGCCAAAGCGGTGAGAAACTCCGGAGCCACTGGGGCAGTTCATTTCCGCTGCTCAGACTCTGAACATGCGTTGTCAAAGCGAACGTGGATGACCAATAGAGCAGCCCGCACGGGACATCCGTCGCGCGGCACCTCGTTGAGGAGATCTCATTGATGGGCCGACGGGAGAGCGGGATAATGAACAAGGGAACATCGTGAGATACTAGTGGGGAAGCAGCGTGCCATGGTCCTCGTGGGCACAAGGACAGACGGAGTAGCGAATGACAATCAACAGGGAGTTACAACGCGCTGTTCTCGACAGAGCAGAGAGCAGAGGAGAGAACGAATACGGATACCGCATGTCTACGATCCAGCCAAGGCTAGCGAGGACCCTGTAGCGGACGGTGACTCGCCTGGAGAGGGTGCGGTGTAACGAGAGATCGGCACCAGCGTTCATGCAGGAGGATTTGCGTGCAGGTCGAGAAACAAACTACGCACGCAGACTGTATCCCTTATGGTTGTGCGTGCCGTGCAGGGGCAGCTGATTGAAACGGATTAGGTCTGCTGCTTGTCGAAGCGTTTGCCATTGCAGCTTGACTGTCTGACTGTCAAACCCTCGGTGAGGGGGTTGGGGGCGGGCACAATTTAGAGTTTGGCCCAGCTTGAGATTGCGTAGCAGTGGTGGGCAGATGCAATCCCCAAGGCCGGGGGCGTCGAGGCCGAGGTGAGCACTCGAGGGCTTCTCGAGTCACCCTTGGAACTCTTGGTTGTCCCCAGTTCTCGGGCCTCATGACCCCTGCCGGAACTTCGAAACGTTGGCGTCAGACGAGCCACCCTGACATCCTGCCACCTGCAGCGCCTGCAGCGCGCCGCGTCTGCTCAATGCCGGGCACTAGGCCATTCTGAGAAATACAACTCATCGCCGGCGAAGCTCGACAGTGATAGGCGAGAGGCACGCCGGTTGGCAGATTGCGGACTGCAGAAGGGGTCGAGCTCGAGCTCGAGCTCCAGGTTGTCAAAGCTTCTGCCTCTGCTTCTACATTTGCTTCTTCTTCTGCTACATGCTTCGTCGGATCTCGCGCACGTTGTGTTCCCACAATTTTCCCATAAACTACCCGATCTGATCTGCCCGGCGTTACCGTCAATCTCCCGCCCTTGACTGAGTACGCATGACAATCAGACCGACAGACACGCACGCACAATAGCCTTTGAGTGGGTGCCGACAATGAACACGGCTCGCTCCTCTTTCTCCCCAGGACAATCACACAATCAACCAGCACGCGGCCGGCGATCAAAGCCAGAAGACAACAACGGACAACAAGGCGATTGATGATAATAATAGCAGAAGCCCCGTGAAGGCGACTCGGACGGCACACGAGGCCAATTCCATCCGCCTGAGAAAGGGGCTTTGAGGAATCCACTTCCATTATATACTCGTTACCTCGTTTAATTTTTGATGAAGCCGTCCACTCACCCTTCCAAATAACATTTCCTCGGTAGACCATTTCAAACAATCCGTCCGTTTTACACCACGGGCTTATCCTGGACATATCACTTATTTTTGTCTTTCCCTTTCCCCCCTCCCTGACTAGGTATTCTGCCACCTCTATCTGGTACGAGACCCGTGCTGCTCCTCGTGGCTGCTACCACTATTACTCTTTCACCGACACGTCGTACCTGCCCACCTGGCAACCCACCCTTAACAACGCTTCAGCTGCACGAACCTCAGTTCAGTCCTCGATACAAACGTTCCCACCCCGGTGCAGGGGAACACTGCGAAGATGCCATTCAGTCCAGCCGCGCAGGGCGCGCTGCTAAAATGGGTCAACACCTTCCCAAAGGAGGGGCAGCCCGCCCAGTCCATTGACGAGCTCGCCGACGGCATCGTGCTGGGCCAGGTGCTCCACGACATCGACCCCACATACGACACATCTGAGCTCGACGAGCACATTGGCACCTCGAAATGGCTCGCCCAGAAGCGCAACTTGCAATCTGTCTACAAGGGTCTCTTTAAGTACATGCGCCGCGAGGCCCCCGAGTGCGTGCCTCTAGCCCAGGTGGCCGACTTCCGTGCCATCGCAGAGAACCCGGACGCCGACGGTCTCGCTCAGGTAACTCCCCCAGATCCCGAACATTGGAAGATGAAGCTCCATAGGCGCGAGGCAAAGCTAACCAAATTCACTCTCAAGCTCGCTGCCGTCCTCCTCGCTACTGCTGTCATGAATTCGAACGAGGACATACGAATGAGGGCCATCAAAAAGCTGCAGACCGACTTGGGCGCCACAGAGCAGGTCGAAATAATGCGGATAGTGGAGCAGAAACAGCAGCAGATGACGGAACTGACCGCGAGGGCCGAGAAGGAGGAGGCGGCTGGCGACCGCGATCCTGACCTCAAACATGAGGAAGAGCTTGCCCGTCTTGAAGCCTCGCTGGAGAAGAAGATTCACGAGCTGGACATGGCGGTAAAGCGATACGCCGACCTCAATTCCCGACACAGCTACCTCCAAGAGTCCCACGACCTGCTCAAGGCTAAGCTTACCGAGGTCGAGACCGAGCTGGCCGACCTACGCAAGCTCCACGGTGCCGACGAGTCGCAGAAGGTCCAGACGCTTCAGCGTAAAATCGACGAACAGGCTAGCCTCATTGCAAGCCAAGAGGAGGAAATCGAAAACTACCAAACTAGGCAACGGCACTTGGAGGTCGAGCTCGAAAAGTTCAAGGCTAGCAGCCAGGAGGGCCAAGACTACAAGGACAAATATGATGAGCTGGCCCATACAATGCAGGATCTGGAGAGGAAGGCCAATGCTGCGGACCGTTACAAGCAGAAGCTTGCCAAAAACCGGAAATTCGAGACAGAAGTCGCATCGCTTCAGTTTGAGCTGGACGCGCGAAAGGACCTCGATACTCGGCTCCAGAAGGCTCTGCTCGACCGCGAGAGGCTGCAAACAAGCGAGAGGGAAATGCTTGTTGCGATGACCACCATCGAGAAATCGCTCAACGATGAGCGGGCCCACAAGGACCAATACAGGCAACTGTACGAGGAGCTCAAAATCGAACACGACCAGCTCGTGATTCAGAACAACGTGAACGAGAGATATGTGCTCGACCTGAAGGACCAGCTGGCCGCGGTCGGAGAGGCCCCCAGGGCCCCTTCACCTAGTTCTCAGACTGGGGATATTGGCAACCTTGAACGTGAGCTTGAGCAGACGACGAATGACATCTCAAAGGTAAAGTTGCTCGAAGCCGAGGTCGACATCCTCAGGCACGGCGCGGCCTCCGCCTCACAGGCGGATGACCTCCGGCGAGAGCTGGACCGCATGAAGGCTGAGCGTGATGTTGCGATGTCGAAATACAACTCGATATTTGAGAAGCACGGAGTTGCCCAGGAGCAAATCGACGCTCTCATTGCAAACATGACCGGTGAAGGGTTAGTCAATGGCATCCAAGAAGCCCTCAAACTTGGCAAGCTCGGCACGCTCACATCCGACTACAATAGGCACGTCGCGTACAACAGCATGCGAGAACAGTTGGGTCAAGCCACCAGAGAGCTCGACGAGCTCAAGGTCCGGAACCGCAAGCTCGAAGAGGAGGCCAAGGACAAGGACCGCGAGAATCTGTCCATGAGGACCGACCGTGCGTTGATTGAGGACTCCCGATATAACCTCCAAGAGCACAACACTGACAGTGACCATGATTCTACAGTGGATGCGGTCGGCTCAGACCATCTCGATGCCCTCGAGAGGCTCAAGCAGTCTGACCAGCTAATTGCAGCGTCTCTCAGATCCGAGCTCGAGGCCTTGCGCAGCAAGTACAACAGCCTCGAGATCGAGAACAACATGCACAAGTCGCAGCTTCTCGACGCCCTCGTTGCCAAGGAGAAGCTCTCCAAGGAGAGAGAGCTTGAGGGCCCGCCAGCTAACGTGGCTCCCGAGGGTGTCAGCCAGACCGAGTTGGACGATAGGGTGAAGGACTACAAGTCGAAGACCGACAAGCTTAGAGACCGCGTCAAGCTCCAGAAAGAGGCAAGTTTCTTGAAAGCTCTCAAAACAACTGATTCATTGGTTACTGTGACTTCTGTGCGGTCCGATCCAGGGCCACAGAGGGACTCCGGGAGTTCTGAGGTCGTATTGCAGTCGGCACAGTCTAACAAGAGCTTTCCAAATCTTGGGTCGGTCCTGGAAGGCGAGCCAAGTGGACGCCCTTCCACCGGACGTAACAGACCTGTCCAAAAGCCTGTGCTACAGGCTCCTCTACCAGTGGCGACGAGGCGATCTCTTGACTCTAGTAGCTATCAGGGCTCTTCTGATCCTCAGCTGCTACGTCGTGTGACGCCTCCGCCAGAGGACCTGGCCTGGCAAAAGACTCAGAAGAAGAAGAAGGGCCGCAACTGGTTTTCTCGCTTCAAGAAGTCTAAGGGGTAGATTTTTTTTCGTGATTGTGGGCTGACAGGTGCATCTTTTCACAGCAACTCGAGAAAGCGGACCAAGAGCGTTTCGAGCTCCAAAAGCAGCTCAAGGCTCTCGAGTCGGGCTCGGCGTTGGCGGCGCAGAAGGTATGTTTTGCTTTTCTCTACCTAATAGATCTCATATGTTATTTTCAAAAACTCCCCGGAAATGCGTTCCAAGTCTTGTCCCTGTGAATAATTACTTGTAATTGTTGTCATCGCGAATTCTCATGTCGGTCATTCTCATTCTTATAACCACAGTGGAGGGATCCGGTGTCGATATTGATACCCAACTACAACATGTCAATACTCCATACCTTCACCCCGGGAGAGATGATCCCCTGTGTGCGCTCTGTTGTCTAACACAGGACCTTTTCCCGCAGGCCGCCCACGAACAGATCATCAAGAATCTCCAGCGCGAGAATGCCATGATCTCCACAGCTTGGTATGATCTTACGAGCCGGCTGCAGAGCAATCACGTCGTCCTGCAGAGGAAAGACCAGCCCAAGAGCTGGCTGAACAAGCAGAGGCAGATGGTGAACGGTAAGAAGCTCTCTCGCCCCTCATGTCCTTGGTGACGGTTCTGCGTATGTGTGTGAACTGTGGTTGACTGGTCCCGAACACAGCCACGCCCCGAAGATAGCAGCTTCCAGGCCTGTAGGGAATCCTGGCAGAAGGACTGCGGGCACGCGTCGAGGCCTCATCCGCAGTCAATGCCTGGGCCTTGTTCGCAGCCTTCGCGTGGACTGCGCTGGATGACTACTACAAGATGTGCCTGCGCGCGAAGCTCGGCGCGTCGCCGCCGCCGCCGCCGCCGCCGCAGTGGTCCCGCCCATGCACGATCACGAGCGGCACATCCCTCTTCTCTTCTCTTACTCCTTTTTCCTTCCGCCTTTTTTCCTTGCGTATTGTAGTCACGACATCGACGGCTCAAGATCATCAGACGAGTACTGCTGGCAGTAAGAGTAGTAGAAGTGGTGGTGGTAGCGGTGGCAAAAAGAATGACAGAGGTGGGGGTGGCATTTTCAGCAAAGCTTTTCTTTTGTTATACTCCATAGCGTGGCGCTCTCTGGATAACAGCTGGTTGGTGAGGAAGATGTGGGAGATCATACTCAAGAGTATGTTGGGGATGACAGGAGGCAGAAACAGAGAAGCTGGAGTCCCCCGAGCAGAGAAGGGCATAGACCAGCAAGCCGGCGTCTCTGAGACACGTGGGAGTTGATCCATAGAGCAGGGAAGCGGAAAGAGAGCCTTGACTTGCATGCTTGAAGAAGAAAGAAGGGATGGCATATATGTTCCGCTTTTATGTATAATACCCTCTGCTGTTTGCAGCTGCGTGGGTGGCACTGAGTGCGTAGATTAGAGAATCGATTTGGCGGTGCATCGGGTTGCAACAGTTCTTCTACTCGTCTACTGTGCCAGGCTGATGTGGCCATGAGCACATTGGTACCCTCACAGGATTTAGTAGATCGTTTGTGGCCTTGACTCTGTCACAGTTTAGTGGAAACTCTTTTCTTCATAATAGCATACAGAGCGTGAGCACGAGGTCTCAGAGCCGCCCGTCTTGATATACATAAACACGTTCGAGAATAGCTGATCCGCCCAGTCTCTCGCGCTCACAGAACACCGAGAGAATGCTTTTCGATTTGAGTCTTTTGCTCGCGGTGCAGACCATTATTCATTCGTCTACACCTCGTTGTTCTTCCATTTTCGAGATCTCATTTTTCCATTTCTACATTGAGGTGGTTTCTCGACCTCTATTTGTTCATGAAGATCTACTGGCCGGTTGGGTGGCAGCGTTTTTTTGCCGACGAGTCGCGCTGCTCCCCCTAACGACCAGCGATCCTGCTCAGGATGCCGGAGCCGCCGCTCTTGGCCTTGTCCTTGTCGCCGTCGAAGATGGCCAGCAGGCTCTTCCAGACCTGGCCGGGCTCCTGGCTGGCGTCGATGGCCTTCCAGATGCCCGTCTTCTGGTAGTAGCCCACGACGGGGGTGGTCTGCTGGTGGTAGGTGGCCAGGCGCTTCTTGAGGGCCTCGGCGTTGTCGTCGGACCGCTGGATCAGCGGCTCGCCCGTGATGTCGTCCGTCATGGGCACCTTGGGCGGGTTGAAGGTCTGGTGGTAGCTGCGGCCCGAGGCAGGGTGCACCAGCCGGCCCGTGATGCGCGCGACGAGCAGCGCGTCGTCGATCTGCAGCTCCACGGCGTGCTGGAGCTTCTGGTTGCGCTCCTTCAGCATGGAGTCGAGGCCCTCGGCTTGCGGCACGGTACGGGGGAAGCCGTCGAGGATGAATCTGCTCGGGGAAGAAGGACGGGTTAGCATGAGCGGACAGCATGGTGGCTAGCCATTGAGCCTTTGCAGCTGTTGGGGAAAAACTAACCCTCCCTTGCACTCCTGGTTGTTGTCCAGCTCAGCCTTGATCATGCCGATGACAATGTCGTCGCTGACGAGACCACCTGCGTCCATAATCTTCTTGGCCTCACGACCGAGAGGGGTCTTCTTGGCGACTTGAGATCGCAGCATGTCGCCGGTTGCCTAGTACGGGTCAAAGATCGTTAGTATCTCAACTACCACTTGCGCTATATCTCCCGGCCGGACTGGGCTTGTAGGAATCCAATTGGCATACCAGGTGACAGCAGTTGAACTTCTCCTTGATCTTGGGGGCTTGCGTGCCCTTTCCTGCGCATTTCAAAGCTCCGTCAGCAATCCGATGCCCTTCGAATTCTACCGTCCCCTCTCTCTGTTTGTGTGCAGTCGACAACTAACCAGCGCCAGGAGGACCGATCAGGATCATGCGGATCTGCTCGGAGGTGAGGGCGCCACCGAATTGCCTGCTCTCGAGGGACTTTATGCGCGACTCGAGGCCCTCGAGCTTGGCGTGGAGGCCCTTGACTTCATCCTCGATGATGCCCATGGTGGATAGACCGTTGACCTGAGGAGGGAAACCGGAGCAGACTGGCGGTGCAACCGAGGCAATTGAATGCGACGGCCGGAGGGCAGCAGGGCTTGCTGGGTGGTACAAGGGGCGGGAAAGAAGTAGCGACGAGGCTGAGAGTGGAGATTTGGGATGCGCTGCTGCTTGGGCAGATCTCGGTCTGGGACAGGATCAAAAATGCACGCAGGAGGGTGGAAGTTGGCCAAAAGAGCCGCGGTTCGCTTTTAAGTTACGACGAGCAACGTTCACAACTCAAGCCATCGGAGCTGCCCAGGTGCGCACGAGTAGCCAGGGACAGGGGGTGCTATCTCAAAGCTGTTTGGGGGGGGGGTCCCGGGGTTAACGGCCAATTGGGGGTGGTCCAAGACACTAAAATCTGGGAAATAGGTGCATGTCGGCTAACTCTTTGAGCCTCTTGTCCGGCGATTTCGATCCACTCCCCCGAACCTAGTTAGATTCGAGTGACGGAGTGACGGCAGGGCAGGTGAACAAGTGGCACTGGCGCAGCACTCGAGTGCGAGCGAGTATGTATGTATGTATGTATCGTGGCTGCTTTGAGAGACTGAGTAGTCTAGGTACCAGGACTTGGACACTGCCCACTGAGTACGTACACAACACCCAGTCGCACCCCAGGTATCCGAGGATCCGGGCAGAGGCAAATGGGTGGGCTCGGTGCATACTCGCTCCGCGAAGTAAGCATCTGGATATCCGCATGGCCCCCGCGAGTCCACTACCGGATCGCTGGGAATGGGACCTTGCAGAGACGAAAGGCGCGAGATCGAAATAGGTTGTAAGGCTGGGGAGCTGGGGAGACTGGTGACAACCCACCAAGATTGACCTTGCCCAGTCTTTCATTGTGCTATAGACTACTGTCTCTCCACCACTCAGCTGGTCTCAAATGACACTTCAAGCTTGAGAACACATGTCGTGTCGTCTTGAGTCAACAGGATTTGCATCTCCAGATAGCGCTCACGGAGGCATAATAGAAAATGTTGCAGAAGCCATTGTTGTAGGTGCTAGTATTGGAAGTACGTGACGATGATCTGTGCATCCAGAGTAAAAGATTGGCTGGCTGAATAGTCCCAGCAAGTCCAGCCGGTGTTCATAGCTTGCTTCTTCCATTTCCGGTTCTGTGCTCTCTGTCTTGGACGAGTCCAGCTGAAGCATAAGGTCCGACCAAGCAACCCCCATACTCTTCTAACATACTCTTCTAACATACTCTTCTAACAGCACTTGCCCTTACTTGGTGGCATAGACTCTCCATGTAACCTGCAATAATCGAACAGTAACTCCTGTTGGAATGTGGTTGAATTGTATGTTCTCTCAAGTCTGCCGGAGTAATTGAAGCGTCACAGCAAATTTGAGCAGTTGGTCCTCTTCCTTCAACCCTCTGTCCTTATTGTTCGGCTTCCGATTACGGGGGTTTGGGTTTGGTTGGTAGTTTGGTCGTTGGGGGTGGGGGTGGGGGTGGTCTCTCTTATCCAGCCTCCTACCTGGGTAAGCCCGATGCCTGCCCGGGAAGCTTGGCTCGTGCTTGCTGCCCCTGCTCGTCTGGGTACTGTAGCTTGACGGCAACCAAAGGCAGCCGCCATTACGCAGCTGGTCAACGCCAAAACCAAACACTCCACGAACGTCCAGCTCCCGTCTCCCTTTTCCAGCCGCATCATCAGCCCCTCGATACCCTCACAATGCCTTCCACGACAACAGAGACCTTGTCGCTGGTGGACGAGAGGAAAGTCAGCGTCGCGCCTCTCGTATTGCTGTCAGTCGTTGATCACTACAACCGTGGCGCATCCACATCCTCCAAGAACAAGCGAGTCGTCGGTGTATTACTAGGGCAGAACGATGGAAAGGTGGTGCGAGTATCAAACAGCTTCGCAGGTCAGTCATGGCGGTCTGGTGACAAGACTCTGGAGCGATTGCGATCTGACCCTAGTCCCTCACAGTTCCCTTCGAGGAGGACGAGAAGGACCCATCCGTCTGGTTCCTAGATCACAACTACATCGAGTCCATGAACGAGATGTTCAAGAAGGTCAACGCGCGAGAGAGGTTAATAGGCTGGTACCACTCGGGCCCCAAGCTGCGAGCATCCGACCTCAAGATCAACGAGCTGTTCAAGCGTTATACTCCAAACCCACTCCTAGTCATCATCGACGTACAACCAAAGGAGGCTGGTGTGCCTACAGATGCATACTTTGCGGTGGACGAGATCAAGGATGTACGTTGACTTGGGATCATACACTGTGCTTGCTTTTGCTCGGCGCTGACAAGACATGAACTGCAGGACGGCACAACAGCATCCAAGACTTTCGTTAACACAGCATCCATCATCGAGGCCGAGGAGGCGGAAGAGATAGGCGTTGAGCATCTGCTTCGTGACATCCGCGACGTCGCAGCTGGCACTCTGTCCACGCGCGTGACCAACCAACTCCAGTCCCTTCAAGGTCTGCACCTACGGCTCCAGAACATCCAGGTGTATCTGAAGAAAGTCCTCGATGGCAAGCTTCCAGTGAACCACGTCATATTGGGCAACCTGCAGGATGTGTTCAATCTGTTGCCGAACCTGTCGACGCCAACAAAGGGCAAGGGCGAGAGCGAGCTGAGCTATGCGCTGAATGTCAAGACCAACGACCAGCTCATGGCAATCTACTTGAGTTCTCTGATCCGGGCGATCACCGCGTTCCACGACCTTATCGAGAACAAGATCCAGAACCGTCAGCAGCAGGAGGAGAAGGACGCGGCCAAGAAGGAGGGCGAGGAGAAGGAGAAGGACGGAGAGAAGAAGGTGAATGGAGATAAAGCTACGAATGGTGTGAACGGAGAAGTGAGCAAGGAGGGCTCAGAGAAGAAGGACGACAGTCCAAAAGACAAGAAGAAATAGAGCACCGGAAAAGGGAACGGGGCACTGGGCCGGCGCAGGGGGTCATGACGCATTGTACGAGTTCAGGACGACATAGAAAAGTGACTGGTCCGCGGGTGGGAAACGCGGATTTGTTAATATTTTTTGGCACTGCCCATGAGGTTCATGACAGGAAACCATCGGAGCAGCCAACCAAAATCATACGCCATGAGCAAAACTGCAACCAGGAAACCTCAAACCCTCCATTCCGCATGTGTGCCTTGACTCCTATCCTTGATGCCCATTGATGTAAATGCAGTACCTGATCCTGAAGCGTCTATTCTCCTACATGTGCCTGTTTCAAAGACACCGGCCTCCGCCGTCTCTACAGTGTTCACTAGATGCCGTAATCAGATATCCGCGAACACACCCGCCATCTCCTCCCTCCCTACCTCCCTCTGGGCCACATAGCTCCCCAGGCCACGGCCCCAGCGCTCCACAAGGACACATGCGAGAAGGTGCTTACAGCACGGCGGCACGCCTCCTCCACCGTTGACGTCGGCGCCCGTGCCGTCGAAGCTCGCCCCGCCGAACTGCCACGCAGATCCCCCTTCCTCCTCCCCGTCCGTCCCGCCCTCGACGTCGTCCGCCATGGCCATCGCTGACATGAGGTCTGCCTGGCGCGCACCGTCTTGCGGCTCTGCCTGTGCTGGAGTGAGGAGGGAAGGGCCCGTGAGGGGCGGGAACGCCGCGAAGGCGAACGCCGCGCACGTGCAGTTCCACGCCGCCGTGTGCACGATGTAGGTCCTGCTGCTACTGCTGCCGGGCGCAGATGTTGTCGATAGTTCGCCGCCGCCGTAGGGGCGCCGGGCCGGCTTCTGTGCTGAGCGGACTAGGTACACCATTGATGCTGGTGTTGTAGGTGGCGCGGGAGGGTCGCGCATTTCCACATCGCCTTCATCCTCCTGCCTTGACTCGTGAGGTTGGTCGTCATCCTGGCCGCTTACTTCTGCGGGCGTGGTGTCCTCTCCAGGGCTCAATAGGCGCGTCACGAGGCCTCTGTCCAACAGGTCCAGCGCTGGCAGCAGGAGTGAAGGGAACAGGACGTGTAGGGTCGTGAAGAGGGGCCGGTACTTGTGATCTACCAGCCTGAGGGGGTTCGTCGCTGGTTCGTGCGCCTGCAACGATCCCGTCCTGGTTATCGCACTGCTGCCCTGCGCCCGCTCATTTTTCGTGGTCGGTGCCGTGGGCGCTGGGATCTGGGAGATGGCGTTCAGGATGGAGGTGAGGAGCTGCCTTGGTGTCGGCAGGGCAGATGACGATGAGGACATCCTGCAGCGCGGATGGTTTGAGGGCCATTTGGGATTACTGGTGCGTGAGATTGTTTGAAATTTGCGGTTATCAGGACTAGATAATTATGTGCTCTTGTAATTGAGCAGAAAGTGATCCTGAGTTAGGTGCTCGGTTTACATGACGGGTTGTCGAGGTTTTGAAGCCTCTAGCTAAGCTAATGCCTAGATTCGCAGGGCACAAAGAATCAACCTGAGCCTACTACGCCTCATGTCTTTGGGGCCGCCAATCACGGGTTATGATATTGTCATGATTTTTATGGTCATAAATCTTGTTTTCTATTTTCGTATCGCTTTTGCTTTTACAAGACAGTACAATGAGACATCTCTTCCCCGTGTGTTCTCATACCCACTCCTTGGGCTCCTTCAAGATCTGTGTCAGCCTCTCCTCTCTGGGCCCTGGAGGCGTGTACATGTATCTCCAGCTGGCCGTGACCGGCAGGCTCATGAGGATACTCTCTACCCTCGCGCCGGGTGTATTCAGACCAAAAGCGGTTCCCCGGTCGTGCACCAGGTTGAACTCGACGTACTTGCCCCTGCGGATCTGTTGCCACTCTTTCTCCTGCTCGTTAAAGGGCATATCCTTGCGCCTGTTTATGATGGGGATGTACGAGGGCAGGAAGCTCTGCAGGCCGTCCTGGATGAATGCGAACAGGTTCTCCTTGTCCGCCACTGTCTCGTCTAGGTCATCGAAGAAGATGCCGCCTACACCACGGGACTCGCCGCGGTGCTTGTTGTAGAAATACTCATCGCACCACTTCTTGAACCTCGGCCAGTAGTCCTTGTTGTGCTTGTCGCACACATCCTTGAGCGTCTTGTGGAAGTGGATGGCGTCCTCGTCGAACAAGTAAGACGGTGTCAAATCTGCGCCACCGCCAAACCACCATGAGTTCGAGGTCCCATCGGGGTTCGCCGTCTCAAAGTATCGGTAGTTCAGATGCACCGTCGGGGCCATTGGGTTCCGCGGGTGGACGACCATGCTCAGCCCCGCGGCGAAGAACTCCAGCTTTTCCGGGATCTCGCCGTCGGCGGCGATGCTCTTGTGGTTTGCGCGCATCTTCTCGATGGCGCCCTTGGGGAGGGCGCCGTAGACGACCGAGACGCCGACGCCGGCCTTCTCGAAGACGTTTCCGTCCTGGAGGATGCAGGTGATGCCGCCGCCGCCCTCCTTGCGCTGCCACTCGTCCTGCTGGAACCTGCAGCCGTCGACCTCGCCCAGGCCCTTGATGATCTCCTGCTGTTGCTCCTTGATGAACTTTTCCATGCGGAGGCGCATGGGTGACTGCTCGGTTACGCCTTCTTCGCGCTTGGCGAGAGCATCGCGCTCGGGGAGCGACATGGTGTCGAGCTGGGTGGGTTCCCTGGAAAGCTGCATTGGTGAAACAGTGAGCTGCGGTTCCTCAAATTCTTAGTTGTAGGTAGGTTATGGGAGACTCCGTACTGTTGTGATGAGAGCCGTGGAGACCAGGGCCACACCTGAGAATGCTGCCAAATACGAGTACCTGGAAGAGGTCGGCCTGGTCAATTGTGCAGGCAACGAGTTCGAGGAAGCTCTCCGTGTCGAGGCCGTGAAGAAGCCTGGGGATATGCGCTTCGAACAAGTCACTCTAGAGGTGAAGAAGCCCTCCGCAGTCGCGCGGAGGGCTCTGCTTCTCGATGCCATGGCGGCTTGGAGGCGGCAGTTATACTGCTGAGCCCGGATCTCGAGAGGGTTTGGAAGATGGGCCCGCGCAGCTCGCCAATGGAGATTGTGAGGCCACTGGCGGAGTAGCTGGAAATGTTTTTGCGAGAGCGAATGGTTTAAGGCGGGTTTGGGAGGATCTCCGGCGTGGTTAAATCAGATGTTGGCCGGAGCTTATTTACGATGGGCAGATGTGGTGCTACGCCGCATGAGCTCAGCTCACCCTGTAGCTCCGAGTCAGCCATGATTGGCTCACCTGCGCCGTCAGCGAGCAACCCGCCAACGATGATCATGGTTCGAGGAATAGGCCAAGCCGAGGCGCCGATGGAGGGGGCCAGTTCCAGGGCAAAGAGGTACGCCTGGAAGGTCCCTGGGTGCAGCTCAACCCCATCAATCCGCCTGGTTCCGAGCAGATGCCCCATGTTCTGTGGGGTGACTTCTGTCCTCGACAGCAGACCCGAGGGAGCAGTGAGGCCGGCTCGTTCCGGGTTGCAAGTCATCGGTCATCAGTCATCAGTCACCAAGGGGGTGGGACTCGTCAGCCAGTACAAGGTGGATATAAGAGGTGGACATGCGTCTTGATATTCATCTTTGTTGCCTAACATGCACATCAAAGACAAGACGGGAGGCAGATTCTCAGGTTCAAGACCCTGTGCCTGTTTGATGCGCTACCTATTGTACATAGGGCTGCGGGAGGCGAACAAGCATCAGGACTTAAACCGGATTCTGATAAGAGAAGGGAACGGCCGATAAGGGGAGGAAGGGGGAACATGTCGTCATCCGCGATCTGCGTGGGCATTGTCTGCTGTCTGCTGTCTGCCTTCTTTGGGTTCTCTCCTATGGTCATGGTAGGAGACTATACTGTAACAACCCCATCCCATGGGAACAAAAGCGTTCCAGGTGCCACCCTGCTTCCGGCCAGGTCTCTCAAATGACCGTGTTCACGTGGGATGGAGGAGGAGGCAAGAAGCCCAGCCCCTGGCCTCGCTGAGGGCCCCCCATGTCCTCCCCAGGTGCTAGGCTGCAGGTGCCTCCGTCTCGTCGGTCAACTGATAAGGGACACCGCCTTCCCCCCAAGCTGCACGGTACGGGGTACAAGCTACATGGCCAGTTGCTGCTAACAGGTTTCAGTACAAGCTCTGCTGCCTCGCAGATAGTGCCGTGCTGTGCGCTCCCCTTTAGTCATTCCCTCCTAGCCCCGCCCTCCGTCACGCCTTAGCTCGCTGACCACTCATCCATTCCGGCAACCTGGGGCGCCTTCATCACAGGCGGCAGCCCGTCAACGTACTCACGCAACCCACCCTACAACCTACACCTTCATTCTTCCCATCGACAACGGCATCATAGAATTCCACCTACAGGTATAACTCTCGCCATATCCCCAACAGCACTCCAGATCACTCCTCAGACGTGCTGACCCCGTACGCCAGCCAGACGCACAGCAGCCCATCCTAGCACATCGCAACCGCGCGACAGCCTCACCGACTCCCACCAAAATGCGATCCAAGTTCAAGGACGAGCACCCCTTCGAGAAGCGCAAGGCCGAGGCCGAGCGTATTCGCCAGAAGTATCTTGACCGTATCCCAGTAAGTATTTTGAAGAACATCCTCGTTCCAACTGGGAACTGTCGTGGGCGTTCACCCAGACACTCGCCGCTCCCGCTGCCACCGCTGCCTATCGCCTCCACTGTCCACGGAGCAACGGCTAACACGCTGTTCTCTTCCAGGTTATCTGCGAAAAGGTCGAGAAGAGTGACATCGCTACCATCGACAAGAAGAAGTACCTCGTACCAGCAGACTTGACAGTCGGCCAGTTCGTCTACGTCATCCGCAAGCGCATCAAGCTGTCCCCCGACAAGGCCATCTTCATCTTCGTCGACGAGGTCCTCCCACCAACAGCCGCGCTGATGTCCTCCATCTACGAAGAGCACAAGGATGAGGATGGGTAAGCACTGCCTTCAATATGCCCTGAACCCCTCGCAACGCCATAAGACCGAGCTGACAAATGCCCGACACAGGTTCCTATACATCACGTATTCCGGCGAGAACACCTTCGGAGGCTTCGAGTCGATCTGATCCTGCCCGAGCAGCCTCGCACTTGCAACTCGGCAGAATGATACCTTGACATGACTTTTCAGGCGACTCTTGGGGCGTTTTCGGTTGGGATCGATCCGTAGGGACTGGATGAATTTACGCAGTGTTATTGTCTGGTAGCTGGGGCACTCGCGGAAGCCTTGAGCGAGACTCCACAGGAGTGGTTTTGACGGCCGCCAGAGGAGGTAGACATGCGTTCTGTACCCCTCTGATTGTTACCCGCATACGGCCCCGTCCTTCCGGTCTCACTACTTAGCTCTATTTTCTCAATTTGATCGTTTTGACGACACGACTTTGTCTTGCTACTCTCTTCTCCGTGAGGCTTCAGAAAGGGAGCCTCGCTAGCTTCGCAGACTCGGAGTTGTTTTGCTTCTGTTGCCAAACTTTCAATATTTGCAGCGGCCCGATGTTTGAATAAGACGCACTCAGCCCGCTCACCGTGTTGGATGGCGAACTCTGCCGCGCGCTTGTGCCTTATACGATGATGATCTTAGGCCCGGAGAGATGCGATGAAACCCAGACAGTTTCTCGTTTCTGCCAGGCGCCTTCTGAATGCCTTGTTGTTGCTCATCTTGGGTCGTCTCAAGAAGACTGTTTCCGTGTCATAGTGAAGTTGACGGTGGTTAGCTTTACTGACACGACACAGGGTAATCCTTTCCTGTTTCCAAAGCGAAATTGTGCGAGCGATATACTATGGGACCGCTTTCCAACGGTTGGTATCACTTCGTCTGGCACCTCTCGTTGGTTGCCTGGTTCTGAAGGATACAGCGCACTGCACGTCGTACCAGAAGGAGAAAGGAACCCGTTTTACAGCTACTTGACTTGAAAGCTTGGCCAACATCTGGTGATATGACGTCGAAACCCTCCTTTGGCAGGCAACGTGTGTAGTAGCTTCAATTTGGTATTCATGTTAGAAGGTCAATGTATTAGCTGCACCTGGGAAGAGTCCTTCGGCGTATTAGCTTTGGTCTTCGTTTGACATGCTCTTCAATATTCAAGTCTTTCCACTCGCACAGCTTCACAAGGATGCTACACTAATTGATGGTTTTCATGAGGTTCATCATCTTACAGCCTCGCCATGCAGCCTCATTATAGGCATCACAAAGTGTGAAGCTCCATTGAGATTCTAACGTCATTATCATTCTCATACGGAGGATCTTTGAAAACTCTCAATAGGAAGTTGATGAGAACCACGCAATACATGCATATCTATTCTATGAGCACAGTCACTGATTGACACCAAAGACTTTCTTGAATGGCTATCGATCTTCGTTTCCACAAACCAAATGCAATGTGATAGCCTGTGGTAGGATATTCAGCCTCGCCAGATTGCCAACATGGACTGCTTGTACATTGAGGTTGAACATGAGAGCCCTACTGTCCGGTTCAAGTGGACATAGACTTGTGTTGAAAGCATCACGTAGCTCTCTGGCATCTTGCATTGTTGGCTTCCATGTGAATAGTTGAGCAGGGCTGTCAACAGGGCTGTGGCAACCATGTTCTTCCGCTTGCGGCGCAATGGCTTCGATTCTTCTTTGTGAAGACTCATCTTGCCACATAGATATTGTCCACGTCACTGCATAGGTGACTTTTTTTCTTCCTGGTCAGGTTTTTTTGATCAATCGTGATTCACTGTCAACAATGCACGTTCTATTTTCGTCCGTCTGTTGGCATTGTGACATAGAGAGGGCATCAGCCAGATGGTTGATAGCCGACTTTCTTTCCTTGTTCTGTAGCCCGTAACTCAGCCAGATAATCTATATCCTAGAAGTTCCAATCAAATGTCATTCTCGAATAAATAAATACTGAGTCAGAATTAATAACTACTTTCAAGTAGATGTCAGTCGGAATGCGGCACTCTTCCCCCGTTATCTTTAGGAAGCGCATTATCATCCTCACAAGTGTCTGCATCACAACCAGTTGACACTAATCAACACTTACGACAATCTCAATCAGAACACACAGCCGTCTTCTCACATATATTCGATCGAACACAAGTTGAGAGCTCGAAGCAATATCCCAAAAGCAACGATGTGAGCATTGACAACGAAACGACGCCGAGTCTTTTGGACATACCAGAGAACTACCACGATCTGCGCAAAATTTCATCGCCATATGGCCAGTGTCTGGTGCTGCCATATCTCGCCAGCTGTCGCACCGCCCAGTTGAAGTCACACAGTTGACATGCTTCTACAACGAGACCAGCAAGGAGTAGCGGATCAACTCGTCGTGTCTGAGCACAACAGGCCAGGCTTGATCAGACTGTCACCACCAACCTTCTGTGAGCTCCATAGAGCCGAAAGAACAGACGCATTGTGAGTGCTAGAGGAACAAGTTGCAATAGTGCTTAACCAACTATGCGCTCAAGTATTCTGGCCTGCCCAGCACTCTCAAACACGTCCACACAAATTTGCTCTTGTTACCTGCTTCCAGGTGCCGCTTTCAGGGTTTTGGGGACCATGTTGTGTAACAGACCCTTTGAACAAGTACTTAGTCAACTGAAATGCCTGAGTGCACTTTGTGGGCAGGGCTTTCTCTATGTGGCTGATCCCGGAAACCGTGAGCAGTCGAGAAGGCACCTCAAGAGTGCTTCGAGACACGCAATTTGCTCTGCTCTATTGTCGAGGCGGCTTGAGAAAACGCTGGCCCTATACCTACGCATTTCATCCACACACTCACAAAGGCATCCAGGATGCACAAAAGACGAAGAAGCCTGATTCGTCGAATTTGGGTATGATTGACTTCTCTCCACGGCTCTGATCAGAACGACCTCTTCCAGTGACTACTACTAAGGACATCATTAGCTACCAAGAAAGCCCACACCGACGCCGAGCCCTGAACAAGTAGATAATCAACCAAGTATGAAAACAACAAAATCCCCTACGATTCCCACTAACCTACCCAGAGTTCCCGTAAACACCAGCGACCGTGACTTGCTTTTTTGGGGGATCTGTTGGACTTTGCCGCACCGCTTCTCCGCCCTCTCTCCTTGCATCTCCCCTCACCCCAGACAAGGTCAGCCATCCAAAAATGAAAACAGAGATTATGTTCTTCCGTTGATGAGTATGCACCGAGAACAAGCAGTTGGGTTTTATGATACCAATGAACGCCACAAAAGCAGAAAAGCCTCCCCCAGGGATTATCGTACAAGTAGCGGCGTACCACGGCGCTCTCGCGTGAAGATGACTAGATTCTCATTATCATTCGTGTTGCGTCGGCGTCCTTGATTTTTCGTCCTCGAGGGGCTGTCAGCAACACTGTTTCGCCGTGATACGTTGCTGAAGGGCTGTCGAGGCCGCCATATGGGTTGCGCAAACGCGTTGCAAATCGATCAGGAAGCGAGATCTTTTGCATCCTCTCGGACCCGCAACAGCCCTGGCTCCGCCTGAATACGCCCTGCCTCGTCGCACGAAGGTGGAAAGATCTCGTTAGCACCAGAAAGGTTATCAGATATCCCTCGACCCGAGACACCGACTGAAAAGGCCAGCACTCAAATTCTCAGGTTTATCCTGCTAACGATGGTTCGATCCGGACCCTGTTGGAAGGACCGCTGATTAAGTAAAAGATGTGGTGATGTCGAACGCCAGTCATGATATTGAAGATGCCGCCATGCTTAGTGAGAATTCAAACGCCGGCTGAAGAGAATGTCCAAGAACCGAAGATCAGCAAGGCGACAAAGTTTGTCGCCTATTCTATTCTGCTTCCTGCCCTCTCGGTCTTGAGTCGCTTCCGCTGGGCTCGCTAGCAGCTCTACGCTGGGTTGCCTTTCATTCTCTTCTGCATCCTTGGTGTTGGAGGCTTCGTCTTGTTGCCGGCAACTCCATTAACCTGTGGGACGCCACCTGCAGCTGATGGCGTTGGGGCATTTCCTGGAGTGTCTTCCTCAACCTTGACGCCGGAAGGTCGTCTTCTCTTCTGGCCGGCCGGCGACGTATTGGCGCTAGCATTTGAGCTGCTTCCCTGCTGGCTGTGTTGCATTGCCATGGCGGGTGCCTGCATTGCACCTGCTGCCGGGCTGCCAACATGCGGTGAGCCTGGTAGCTGGAGGTGCGCGGCGTGAGGGCTCGCGCCCATTGGGAACTGGCCGAAGCTTGGAGTCCGTGGTCCGTTTGGCATGACCTGGCCGTTCATGTTCGGTGCACCGGCCTGGGGGATTTGATTCGAAACGTAATCGTCCAAGACCTGATAAGCGCCCATACTAGGATGCTGATGTGCGGCTTGGAATAGGGGGTTCATCGTGCCCATGACCTCGACAATCTGTCGGCCCCTACGTTAGTGTTGATCCAAGCTACAAAGTAGATGTTGGATTCAGTACCTCTAGGAATTGAAATTGCTGCTCCGTGATTCCTACACCATGCTTGACGGCGGAATGGGGGATGTCGAGGTCTGGGGGCGGATTCTGAGGGCTCTTCTTCGGCCGCGGTTTGCTCTTCTTGCTCATTTCAGGAGACGCGGTAGAGCTGTCCGAGTTGACCGTGCGCCACTCCTTTATCCACTGGTGGTTGGGCTTCGCGCCATCGACGACCACAGTCCTCGAGACGTACTCGTCATGATCTGTTGAGACAAACTCGAACAGATCGATTTTTGACTCGGCGTCAAACTGGACGCGGATGTTGCCAACGTGTACCACCTAGATCAAACAGGTTAAGTGACCGATCTCAAGGGTGGAAAGCCGAAGAAACCTACATGAGATGTCTCGAACCACATTGTGACACTGGCATTGCCGTTCTCGATGAGATGGCAGTCACCCGGCAGTGGCTTATCTATCGTCCCTGCACCGAGCTGCAGTTCTATCTTGGAAGCACCGCTGGCCTGAAAGTAGTGCGGAATTGCCGGATAGTTCATCTCTACCTGCTTGTCTCCTGACGCCTCCGTGTCGGCTTTGTTGCGAACGTTTGTTCGGTATATACCCCGAGGAGAGAAGAAGCGATGCACGAATTCCTGCCAGTGTGCGATATCCTTGTCTTTTGCAAGCTGGAGACAAAAAGTCAGTACTCAGGCCGTGGTTAGCTGGAAAGGCACGAGTCTGGAGACTTACAGACGAGTATCCACTGAGATGCTCTTGGAAGTTCATCAACCGAAGCAAACAGTGCCCCTTCATACCCTCGCGCTTCTGCGCTTGAGCCATCATACTGGCCTGCTGTTGCGCAGCGACCAGTTGTGCGGCCTGCGGCTGGTTTGGTTGAGCCTGCGCCTGAGGCTGCTGCTGCTGCTGCGCTGGCGGCGGCGGCTGTTGCTGCTGCTGTTGGTTCGGCTGTGCCTGGTTCGGGCCTTGGGGTTGACCTTGGGTTGGCTGAGGTCCATTGGCTTGCGCGGGGCCACCCTGTCCAATCTGCTGTTGAGGTGTTGGCTGAGGCGGCCCCGGCTGGGATTGTGGCTGTTGTTGTTGCTGCTGCTGCTGAGGAGGAGTTTGGTGGGCTGCCTGCTGCTGGGCTTGTTGTTGTTGCTGCTGAGCTTGCTGCTGCTGCTGTTGCTGTTGTTGCTGCTGCTGCTGAGCTTGTTGCTGTTGAGCTTGTTGCTGCTGCTGCTGCTGAGCTTGCTGTTGCTGCTGAGCTTGCTGCTGTTGCTGCTGCTGGGCTTGTTGGGCTTGATGGGCCTGCTGCATGGCCTGAAGTTGAGCAATATTGATCTGGGGGTTCATCTGACCGGGCTGGTTCGGATGTTGCCCCTGAGCCATTTGCTGGTTCGCCTGCTGCTGTTGATGATGTTGTTGCGCTTGTAGCAGCTGCTGCTGTTGCGCCGCCAAGAGGGCCTACGCATGCATGGGTCAGATCGCCTGCGAGTTGAAGAAGGCCACGGCCGAGCTCTGCCGACTCGGATGGGAGCTTACCTGTTGTTGTGGGTTCGGCGCCTGCTGACGAGCTGCCATCTGCCTCTGCTGCTGCATCGCTTGGAACTGGGCCATCTGCGCAGGGTTGATCTGCATGTTGCCCATCATCTGCATACCACCTGGCATGTTACCGTACATCTGTTGCGCCATCATCTGCCTCTGTTGCTGTTGCAGTGCCTGGAGGCGCTGTTGTTGCATGTGCTGTTGGGCGGCTGCATCTGATGCATTCGACGTTAGCCCAGACGCAATGAAAGGGGGGAAGAGGTGGCTTGAGGTGAGGCCAAGCTCCTCGCGCACAAGGCTACTCACAGTTCATCTGAGTCACGGGCTGCTGGGGGAACATGTGCTGGACATTTGGGTTCAGGTGCTGCATGGCGTGGGCGTTTGCACCGGGAGGCATTCCTGCGCCCATGAGGGCTGGGTTGACCTGGCCGCCAGCGCCGGACACGGCCATCTGATGCGCGAGGTGGTGTGGAATTCCGGGCTGGGAGCCGGGCTGGCTGGGATTATGAGCCATGCCTGGAGCCATATGATGGCCGGGAGGGACACCGGGGTGCTGCATGCCACCAGGGTGTGGAAAGTTCTGCGGCACCTGCATGCTTGCCATCATCTTCGACCCTCCACGGCGTGGGTATGGACGTTGTGCCTATCCTGTGCTCTCAGAGTCGCATGCGCTGGCTCGTGCAAGAGAGAGATGGGGGTGGCAGAGGGTGAACGATTGATGGACCCGGGCCGACTTTTTTCGCAGAAGGCGCAGTCACCAACACCAATGGCGGAGGGTCGGGGCGTGTAGCGGGTCGCGTCGATGCGACGAGGACGATGGGAGCGGTCGCGGAGGATCGTCGGCACAATCGCGAGGGACAGGTCGCCGGCGCGAGGAGCGAGTGATCGCCGTGGATTATATCGAAGAAGGACGGGATGCGGGTTGGCAGGGCAGGGTCCAAACCGAACAAGGAAGGACGGATGATTAAGGCACGGCGGGAATCAAACGGACGGCGGGTGGCTGACGGTTGGGACAAGGTTGATTGACGTCTGGGAAAAAAAGGGTAGACAGTCGAAGTTGTCTGCCTCGCTGCACCCAAAAAGCGTGATTTCCAATTGCCCGTGCCGGTGCAGCAAGTGGGGAAGGGGAGCAGCGATGGCCGAGCGACACGACAGCACAGCAGAGCAAGGCTGTTTTGAGGCCGGTCGTGAAGTGGGAAAGTGGGTGGGCGGCGGTGGCAGCAAGAGGTGGCAGCAGTCGGGGGGGTTTCCAAGGTGCAGCAGTGCAGGTTGTCGACGGTCGAGGCTTGGTGCAGCGGATCGACGTGTCTGGGAACTGGAACTGGAACTGGGACTGGGACTGGGCTGGACTAGGACTGGACGGGCAGACGGGGGACTGGAGGGACTGGAGACAGCAGAGCTGCCAGGGGACCACCACGACAAGGAGATGGGGGGGGGACCCTCTATGGCAAGGTAGAGGGAGATGCAGTGCAGCTGCACAACGTGGTTGCTCCAAAAAAGGCGACGATGGGATGGGGAAAGGCCTGCCAAAGCCGATGGGCGGATGGCCGACTAATGCCCAATCGAATATTCGAGTGACGGGGCCCAGAGGGACGGGGTGGCTGGCTAGTTGGCTGGCTAGTTGGCTGGCTGGCTGCTGGCTTGCTTCCCTCCTGTCGGTTTATGCGGCTGACAGCAGAAAGTGGGTTGGGTTGGCTGGGGGGACCACGGGTGTCAGATTGTAGTCCTGCTCATCTGCAGCTTTGCTCGTAGCCTCGTAGAATGAGAGACAGAAGACGAAGACAACAAGCAAAAGTTTTGCCTTTGCAAAGCTATAGCAAGAAGAGAGAGAGGGGGACAGAATTATAGACTGCAGAGGGCAGATGGGGAGAAAAACACCAGATTGATCCCGACGGGAAAGGTCTTCTGATCTTGAATCCTAACGACTCCGACAACGCCCAGCAGCAGCAAGAGCAGCACCAGAGGCAGCAGCAGCAGCAGCAACTCGACCGTGGACGGCCTTTGCTGACGCGCATGGTGCATATCGTGATGAGATTGCAGATACTTGGGCAGAGTTATGCACTCAGGGGGGCCAGGCTTCTCCGTCTTCCGTCTCAGAACTGGCAGAACCGTCCACTCATAGAGCACGGGACTCCCCGCAGACCAGAGCACGGGCGCGTGATTCTCGGCTACCTGAGTATGGCAGGCAGATTGTTGAAATTACTAGATTACGTCCCTATCTCGGTCCCATCTAACGGTGAATGGATTCAAAACGAACATTACACCAGTCTTTCTAGTCTGCTTCTTCTCTTGACAAAGTCGCAGATGGGAGAGAGCCTCGGCCAGCCAGAAAGGACTGCTGAGGCAGAGCTTATTGCTGACCACGGCAATTAGTCTTTTTTTGAACAACAGCTCTCCCCCCAAAAATGGACCGGACCAGACCGCCCGGGTATCCTGGACATGACGGGATCCGTTTGGGCTCCTGACCAGCCCACGCTAGTCCGCCCGTCTCCTGATATGGACATAATAGATATATGCATTTATGCAGGGTCTCCACGCGATTCGCTTCGGCCCGACAGGGTTCCGTCCCAGCCAATGCCGGCCGAGATCAGAGATCAGCAGGTGGGTACGACAATCTCGCAGCATTGGGCAGTGGCCGAGATTTTTCCTTAGTCTTCCATAAAGGCCCCCACCCGCGGCCGCTGAATGCTATAAAAATTTCAGCCTCATACGCAGCAAACTTCGACCACGCTCGTTCACCTCTCGTCACCACCAACCTTTTCTTCTTCACTCCCTCCCGTGTGTCCTTGACACAACGCAACGTCCCGCCTCTCAAAAGCACACAGAGCGCGCACAGCAGACGAGCATCAGCATGCTTCATTTCCTCCTGACGCGCAGGTCTGTTATTTTTTGAGAGCCGGGACGTCAGCACTACAGGTAAGACTCACGCTCTTCTATTTTTGATCACACAGCACGAGAAAAAACAACAACAGCGGCAAACCCCCTGCAGCACGCAAAACCTTCACTTGATGACAACTTTAAGCAAACGTCTTCTTTTCCCAACTGAATCGACCATGAAGAAATCTAGTCTGTTCGGGTTCCCTCGCAAGCGCCTTCGCAAGCGCATTTGACGATACCTGTTACTTGCCAGTATTTTCTGTCTGAACTCATGAAGGATACCTCTGTTGCATGCAAACACACAATGCGAGCGTTCAACGACGCGACCGTGGGATGGCCCATTTGCTGACCTCGCATCACAGGGACACTCTTTCTTGTTTGCTACCTCGACTTGCTGAAATGCTAACCTCACCAGCATTTCGCGATTTGCTACATGCCAAGGTTCGTACATCGTCTTTCTTTCATCCCCACCCCCCATCAGATGATGAAATTTCCATACAACGTTCGCAGTTTCCACTCGAGTTCCCGTTCAAGCCTATAGGGAACAGATGAGGGGCAATATACTTCCTTGGATGTCTTATGATCAACAAAAATTATCCTTTTTTGAAACCGTCTGCTGTATATCTGCATAGATGCTGACTGGGTTCACAAAGTTCTAGGTTTAAATAAGTGCTTTAATGCTGGCATTGCTGGACTGTGACGGGCGTCGAATGATGCCGTCAAGAAACGAGGCGGTACTGCCTGAAGATTCAAATTCTTTGGTCCAGTCTGTCCTTGACTTTACTCTTCGCGTTCATAGCTATACAGACATGTACAAATACAAATTGATCAAACAATCACATTGTGTCCTTTCCCCCTAAAGCAGCCCCCTTCCAATCGGTGGGTATGTTCCCAAGTGTGTATTCCTGTGCGCCTTGCAGCAAAGACAGATTCCGTCCTGCCCTCTTTTGTCGTAGAAAACATGAAAGCCCACCCACGCAGCCAATTTCAAAGATACTCGCACACGGCACGAGCCGCACACCCTGCTGACAAGCAAAGAGAGACGCCGGTCAGTCTCTCGCCTTCTAAGCAACGCTGATCTCCTCCCTGTTGCTGTTGCCTCGCGCGACCCGCCCGCCGACGATGCCCCTCCTGTTCCTGCCCGTGCGGCCCCTCCCGAGCCAGTTGAGCTTGAGCAGCCGGCTCAGCTCCTGCACCATCGTCGTGCCCTCGTCGCCGCCCTGGCCCGTCCCCGCCAGCACGCTCATGCACTGCAGCATCCGCCCGACCATCTCGGTGACCTGCTTGCTGTCCTCGACGTTCTGCTCCCGCAGCGACAGGCCGAGCAGCGACGTAGACGAGGACGCCGCGCCCGCGGCACCGCTCCCAGCGAGGCTGAGGCTGCTGGTCCCGGGCGTCAGCTTCGGCGGCCGCAGCGAGGACATGTTCAGCGAGTCGGACCCGCCGTTGCTGTGCGCCCCGCTCGACGCGAACGAGACGTTGGACAGGCCACGGCTGCGCCCGCCCGCGGCCAGGTCGCCCAGCAGCGTCGTCGAGGTTGAGTTGTAGCTCGCCGTCGAGGGGTCCAGCGACATAGCTGTGCCCGGCCTCTGCTGCGGCGTGTATGGGAACCCGGGTGCCGACTCTGTACCGGGGGAGGTGGACATGAAAGTGTCGGCCTGCATCGGGCTTGCGAGCGCCATCCCCGGCAGGTGTTCGAGCGACAGCCGCGAGAACATGGTCTTGAGCTTCTCGTACCGCGGCAGGATGACCACGTCCCGGAAGCTCGTGAGCACCAAAGTGCGAATGTCGAGCACCGCAGACGCCGGCGCGAGGTTGACGTTGCCGTCGCCTGCTGGCGAGCTCGCGATAACGCCGCCCCAGAAGTCGCGCGCCTGCTCTGGTGTCATAAGCGTGCCGTTGCCGGCGAATTCCTGGTCCAGGGGCAGGAAGACAGCCTGCAAACAGGGCGTGATGTGCGTGAAGACGGTCATCCAGGCGTCTACCAGTGCGGGTATGAGGCGGTCTTCCGCGCCTCTAAGGAGGTTTCGGTCAAGACTGAGGAAGCCTGTCTGCAGCAGTCCACGGAGATCTTCCAACACCATATTAGGAGATCTTCGTTGTATGCAGTATTGGAGGTGCAATATCACAATGCGGTTGAAGTCCTCGATTGGGAGCTTCAGCTCTTCAGCCTCAAAGATGACCAGGAGCTTAGCTCTCAGATACGGCCAAGCATCGTCCAGAGACATGCTATTGAGGCCATACTTGGCCGAATCAATGGGCTCCTGATACATGGGATGCGCACTCAGGGAACCCAAGCTTCCTGGTCCGGCCCACTCGCTTGGATTGCTAATAGATTCGTTCGTTTCGGCCTTTTCTTCCTTGCGGCCGTGTCTAAGGGCGCGTCCACCATGCCGTAGGTCGAGTCCACTGATGTTCTTGAATGTTCCCGCGCTAAATGTGCTCGAGTTCGGACCAGGACTAGATGGTATGTTGAAGTTATATATACTGCTCGGAGCACTTGGATCCGTGGGTCGTGAGTTGCTCGCTGCAGAGGATAGTTGTAGATGGTAGTCGTCCTTGTCCTTGGGCTTAATCCTTTGCCTGGATAAAAAGTGGTGTTTCTTCTCCTTGCCTTCCTTCTCAGCAGGCTGGTCCACCGGTCGAATTGTCGCCGATGAGGCATTCGCCATGTTGTAAAAAGACTGGCCTGTCGAGTCCAGACTTGTAGTGCTGAAGTTGGCCCTCTGCAAGGCTGAAAGTGCCGAACCAATCTTGCTCGGACTGGGCAGCGGCTTGTCCTTCGACTCCCCCTTGGTGCCGATCTTGCCAGGCCGAGAGAACAGCTTTACTTTGGACGACTTCTCTGGTTTCTTCTCGGGCAGAGGCGGTGGCGGCGGAGGCGGGGGCTGGGGCGGTATTTGAGATATTGGCGACGTCTGCCCAGATCTGGGGAAGACAACGTTGGCCGCCGTCGTGGCAGCGTTGCTCCCAAGCAGGCCGTTGTGGTACCCTTGGCTGCCAAATCCTGTTTCTCTCGGAGCGCTCGCCTCTGTCAAGCTCAGCACCGGGGGGTTCAGAGCTGAACCGCTCCCTCTCTTGCCTGTGGGCTGTGGGGCCTCGTAGTGTTCGCCTGGTGTAGGCACGGTCTGTGAGCGCTGTCTTGAATGCTGCAGCATCTGCTGCGACTGCTGGTGGCTTAGGACGGCGGCCTGTGCCGCAATATGGCTCGCGGGAAGGTCGCGCTGGCTGGGCGATTGCTGAGACATGCCGCCGTAATTCGATAAATTTGATGTGGATATAGAGGGCAGGGAGGGCTCGAAGACACCGGCGTTCTGCGAGTGCTTGCGCGAGTGGCCTAGGGATCTGCTCAGGCTGGCGGTGCCTGCGTTCGATGGAGGGAGGGTCAGAGGCGAAGCGTTGCGGAGTTGTGGGTCATGGCTACCGGCCACTGACCTCGCTGCGACAGCAGCAGCGTTGGCGAGGGGCGAGGGGGTCGGGCGGGAGAAGTTTTGCAGGCTGGCAGCGCTCGAGTTTGAATGGGCAGTCGTGAACCCTGGGTAGGCGGGAGTGGACGAGCCAGTCGCCGGCGATGATGCCTGCTGTGGGAACTGTGGGTTATATTGTGACGTAGGGCTGCGTGCCTTCGCGATATGCACGGAGACGGAGTCTTCGCTCGAGGATGATTCGACCCGTCGCACTCGCGGGCGCTGAGGGGGGGGCAGGTCTGCAGATGCGGCGGCGGCGGCAGCGGCAGCATTAGCACTCGAGGAGGAAAAGGACTGGTAGTCGCTTTGGCTCCTATTACTACTGAAGGTGTTGGAGTTGGCGGTGTTGTTGTTGCTGCTGCTCTGGCTCTGGGTCGGCTCGTTTCGAGGCAGGGGCGCAAAGCTGCCAGGGGCCCTGCCCCCGAGCTGGGGTCGTGCTGGCTGCATTCTCGTGGGAACGACGTTCGGGACGAGTACATGCGAGGAAGCTGTTACATCTTGGCCAGCGGGCAGGCAAGAGAGGTATCGAGTATCAGGTATCGGGCATCAAGCGCAGTGTTCATCCCAGGTCACCAGCGTCTCGACTCCGACGTCTTGATTTATGCCTCGGTGCGGTGGGCGCAGGATGCCGGCCGCTGTAGATCGCTTGATGGCCCGCGGATGATCGCTCGCCGGGTTGATCGGAGGGAGGATGCAAGAGTAAGAGCAATAGAAGGAGACAGTGAGGGAGAATGACTGTTCGTGCGTCTTGTCAAGAGCTGAGTGAGTTTCTGTTCACAAGCGTCCGTCTCTAGGCTAAGGTGGTTGGCGTCCGTCTGGCTGAGTGGGAGGCGGGCAAACCGTCCGTGGCCTTGGCTGCGACCACCCACCAACCCATCAATGATCCTCGCCATTAAACCCCTTGTCGAGGCCAGAGGGCAAGGGATCCTGCCGATGACCGCATCCCCCATTCCTTGGTGTTCACACCTGGACCCCTGCTCTGCTTCTGCTGCTCTTTCTACCCCACTATTCAGCCTCCCAAAGCTTCGTTGAAAACATTCCAAGGTACCTTCCCACAAGCCCGCCGACGATCTTCGCCAAGGTATATCATTTTGACTGTTGCGGAGTTTTTCCCTTGACCTCGTCACGTAGCAGACTGCCACTTCGAGACGGACAATTGTTCGAGCATACGACAACTCCTCTTCCTCTTGCACTCTTCTACGACAAACAAAGATGGCCACCAACAACCAGAAGCTGTCCCTCACTGGGACCTACTCATCTCCTAGCAATGCGCCTTTCACCACCACCCACGATCTGCAGGCGCCCGCATCCGGCACGGTTAACCCGACCGTCGCAGACAAGACCAAGTACCTGAGCGACCTGCGCAAAGCCACGGCAGCAATGCAGGACCAGATCAACAAGGAGCTCACCCAGCGGATGGAAGAGGACAAGGCTAGGGAGGCCGGCAAGAACGGCAAGGTCGCGGCCGATGACGCGAAGGAGGAAGAAAATTATGGCGAGGAGGTGCAAGAAGAGGATTGAAGGACAAAAGCCATTAGTACCAAGGAGAAAGTAAAAAAGGAAGCACGATGGGTATTGCTAAAATGCTCCTCGACTATGCGATGCGCCACCTAAGTCCCAACACACGAGATATACTTCTTGCTACACTACACAAGCAAACATTGGCTGTCATCAACCATCGAACCCCCCGCGCGAAGGAGGAGCACCCCAACCTCCGCCGCTCCTCCCAGTCTTCCAAGGCCCAGTCGTCGTGCTCATGGGCGGGTTGGACCAGCTCGAGGCGTTGGACCAAGTCGACGCCCTACGCACGCTCTCGCTCATGCCGGTGCCCGCGCCCGCACTCCCGACTGCCGACGAGAAGGCCCTCTCGCTCCGGTTGAGGCACCCATAATGCACCACCGAGTTATCGGGCAGCGCCGCGACGACGCTGCCGCCCAGCCGCTTGTGGCACACGCCGCACACCCTCTCGTCGCTGATGATCACCCTTCGGTTGCGCCCGCCCTGGCCTCCAGGCACGCCGTCGCCCAGTAGCAGCAGCGCCTGGCTGGCCACCAGCTCCGTCTGCCGCAGCCCCGCAATTATGCGGCTCTCGTTGACGGCCGAGTTGGCCGAGCGGATGCGGCCCTGGAAGTACGAGACTAGGTCCGACACCGGTAGCGTGTCCGGGATCAGGGACAGCGTGGACGCGGCGGGGAGGCGCGAGCCATGCTTAGACAGAAGGCTCAGCGCCGGTGGGAGGTTTGGCTTGTTTGGCGGCGGCGGGTTGAGGTACAGTGACAGCAGGGTCTGGTAGATGGACGGGCCTGATTCGTCCTTCTTCTCCTCGTACACCGGGGAGGGCTTATTTGCTTTGAATGCGCCAGGAGAACCTGTCGCCCCTGAGGAGGGCGGCCTAGACACTTCTTTGGGCACTTCTTTGGATATATGGACACGGTTGCAGTACCTGGAATGCCAAGGTTAGACTAGACCTAGGGATGGAATCAAAAGGGAGACGGCCCAACATACTCTTCTGCTTTGTGATAGTCCTGCATTTTGAAGACGTAGATCATGAGCGCCTGTCTGTCCTCGCCCATGTTGCTCAGGACGATAGCCTGGGCTTCATAGAAAGCCGGATCTGTGAAGAAAGTCACGTTAGCATTTCTGCTCAAAAAATACGCGTAAGGTTCGCAAGACTGACCATCGCCCTTCAGCAGCGTGAAGGCCCGGGTCAGGCTATACTGCCTCGACCCCTTGAGGAATCCGATTAGCCTGATCATGTCCATCTCCCACTCTGCGTCCCGGTCGCTGCTGCCCTTAAGCTGCTTCACCAGCAGGTCGACCAGGCGCTCGTGATACTCGGGCGTGAGGTCGTTGAGCTCATTGATGATGTGCTCGAGGTATGTGACCTCGAGGCGTGTGTCGATGGCGTCGAGGAACCTCACGACCCGCTCGCGCGGTAGCGTCTCGGCGTTCTCGGTGTCACCAAGGAAAATCTCCATCGCCATGTCGGGAGCGCGACGCAGCGCCCACTCGCTAAATTCAAGGATCAGGTCGATCATCTCAGGCGGCAAGTTCTGCAGGTATCCGACGGTCCTGGCCGGGCCGTGTAGCGACGGTGCGCGCTCGTCGGGCTCCTCGCCCTCGCCGAATCGCTTGAGCAGCTCCAGCGCCTGCCGATGTAGCCGCTTGCCGTAGAAGAAGTCCACAAGCTCGTTGTACCTGTCGTGCTCCACCAGCTTCTCGTTGACTACGTCCGGGTCACAGAAGTTGGGGATGCGGAACAGCGAGCTGGCTAGCGTCGGCGCAGAGAACATGTATGCGCGGAACAGGCACGTGTCCACGATCTTGAACGTCTCTTGGAGCTGTTGCTCTAGCACGTCATCCGACACGTCCCTGGCGCCGGTTGTGCTGATCAGGCTCTTCAGGGCCTCCTCGCTCGAGCCAGACTGTGATAGCTTTGTCTTGAGCTTGCCGCTGACAGGGTCCAGGACACGCTGGAGACGTGCGCGCGTCCCAGCGAGGAAGCCTCGGAGCTCGAGCACAGCCTCCTTCAAGTCCTTGCCTTCTAGCGTTTTGCTGTCATCGCCTGCTTTTGACGATTTACTTTTGACACTCACAGCGTCATCATTATCCACTGCGCGTTTCGCAGATGAGTCAACCGACGCTGTCTCTGGGTCTTTGGCTTTGCCGCGGTGTCCTAGGAGCATTCTGGCAAAGCCTGACCCCATTGTAGCCGGAGACAAAGTCTCCTCAGCAGCCGTAGAAGCCGCATCGGCATCCTTACTAGCATGCTCACCATCCTGTGGCTCAGTCGACTTCTCGTTGGTCTCATCCGGCTCCGACTCACTGCCGCTGTCCTTGTCGTCGCTATGCCCGGACAAGTCTCCCGCAATTGATCTCGGGAAGAGCCGCAGCACTCTCTCGGGCGGCGCGTGCACCGCATCCTCGTTGAACAGATCCATAGACTCGCGGTACTTCTTCTGGCGGAACAGCACCTCGGCCTTCAGCATCTTGACCTCCCTCATTGTTTCAGTCTTATCTTTGAGCAGCGCATCCTCAAGCATCCCCAGCACACTAATCGCCTCGTCATACTTTTCGGAGCTGACTAGCTCCTCGATCTGGCTGTCGTAATCCGTCGCGTCCATCTTCCATACCGCCCTGTCGCTGCTGATATGGAAACCCTTGCCCGCATGCGCGAGGCTGACCGTTGGTGGAGGGAAGTGCAGGTTGGCCGCCCCGGGGAGGCTGATATTCTGTAGGAGGTTCAGGGTGTCCGGGTTCCGCACCTCTAGGGTGCCCTTGGCCGGCGGCTGCAGGGCCAGGATGTAGGGGTAGCTGTACCCGACGCTCTCGGGGGCGCTATGCCAAGGGATCTGCCGCTTGTTGGGCAGCGGCTTGCCCTCGTCTGTAATGAACAGCGTGTTGATGTCCTTTGCCAGTAGCATCTGGCCGTCGGCGAGCTTGGTGGCGAGCGGCCGCGGGACGTAGCCCCCGAGGCCCATGTAGCCCATGCCGGCACTGCTCATGGCCCCGAATCGGTTGCCCTGACCACCGGCGATGGCGCCCGGTGCGACGACGTCCTCGGCCTCGTGCGACACTACGTCTACTAGAACGTAGCCTGAGTTCATGCCGCAGACGACCTTGGTGGCGCTGGCCCACGTCACCGTCCGTATCGCCTCGGCCAGCACCACCTCGCCGACGTCGGGCGCCAGCTCGCTCTCGTGCCAGCTCCACAGAAGCAGCCTCCTCTTGACCGCGACGGCCATCCGGCTGATTATCTCTGGGATGCCCGTCTCCGTGTCCCGCACGATGTTGCTCGTGACGGCGAAGCACGAGGCATTCTTGGTGCGGGGCAGCGGTGCACACCCGTCGACGAGCTCGTAGGTTTGCAGGTCGTGCAGCGAGATGGCGTAGTTTGACAGCGACACCAGCGTGCTAGCCTCCTTTATGATGGCGAGCTGCTCGATTGCGCGGTTGGAGAACTTCTCGACTTCGCGGAGAAGGTCGGTGGGCTTCTTAGCGGCCGGCCCCTTCGTAGCGGTCTCTTTCGTAGCGGGCTCCTTCGCTGCGGTCTCGCTGGGAGGCGGCGCCTGTTGGACGGCGGCATCGAACCCAACAGCAGCGTTGCCCTGGGAGGCGGACGATCCATTGGTAGGTTTCACTTGTGGTGATGGAGGCTCGAGGTCGTTCAGGCGGTAGACACGTAGGCTGCCCGTGTTGAGGCCGACGAGAACGCGGTCGCCTGGATTAGACTGTGAGTAAGTGCTTCACCCACGGTTCAGGCCAGGGGTGCACAAGTACCATAAGCAAGTATCGTCTCTATCTTGGACTTGTCCCTCTGCTTGAGCTCGATGATGGACCGAGCTGTGAATGCGGAGAGCATGGCTGCGACCGGTGCGCCGCTGGCCGTGCAGCAGGGACTCGGAATGCTATGAGAACATCAGGGCTTCCAAGTTCAGTCAGGCTGAAGCTGGGCAAAGAAGGGCGACACGCTTCTGAATGGGACACGGTTATCTTTGGGTGAGTCGCAAGGCCCGTATGTACAGCTGTTCGTGGAGCTTCGTAATCCCTGTAGACAGTGAAGAGAGAGCTCCGGTTCGCGCATATGACCGCATCGCATGGGGGCGGACGGAGTGTTTAGTCTCTATCGAGCGGGTCCTTGCCGATTGGCCGCTCTCACCAACAACCACAACATCATCACAATGATCCCTTTCCCCCTCGGGTCGTTGTCCTACCAAGAGCAAGACACTGTTTTACATTTCATTGTTTTTGTGTTCTTTTTTCACGACAGCCAGGAAAGAATCTTCAGAGGATGTTCACATTCTATGCTTGCAATTATACCCGCACCAAATACTACGTTGCTGTTGATATATGCAATCAACACATCCAATTGGTCAGACTCGCCTCATGCGCCGTCTCCATGTGACCACTTCAACAGCACCTCGAACCAGTGATGCCGTGCAATGCTATCTAAACAATCTACGCAAAGCCTTCGAACAAAGCAAAATACGCTCACATTCCACTGACTCTCATCGCCCCGTAACCAAGCGTCACCACAACGACGAGCGTGATAAGACTGCTCGGCACGCCCCTACTGATGAAGTGCTTGACCTGGAGGTATCTCTGACCCGTGGCGTCCTCTTTCATAATGGCAGCTACAAAAAGAGTGGTCATGTTAGCGAGAAATCCACATACCAACAGTAATATTGTCGGATTGAGGGAGGCACTTACTCATGTTGGGGAATCCGCTCGTCGGCAGCGCCATTGCCGCAGAGCACATTAGCACACCAGCCATGACCAGTAGGTTGGGATGTGGCTCATCCATGCTTGCACCCACGTCGTACACCAAGGGCAGGATGATCAGAGCGGCGACGGTATGCGAGATGAATGTGGCGATGACGAGGATAAGGGCTGAAAACACGACTAGCACGCCGTACAGGCTCATGCCCTCGACACGGTGGGATATGGCTATCGCGACCGTATCGAGCAGGCCGGATGATTTGACGGCCTTGCCGAGTGATAGGCCACCAGCGGCAAGGATGATGATGGTCCAGGGGAAGTTGTTGAAGTCCTCCTTTGTCAGGATGCCGACTCCGAAAAACAGCACAATGGGAATGATCGCGATGACACCCATGTCACCAAAGACGCCCTCGAGCTGGTGGCTCGCGCACCACAACGCTATAGTGGCGACCGTCACGATGGTCACAAACCACTGGACGCCGGTGAACTTCTCCTTGTGCTCGCGGATGGGCACGATTGTGGTCCCCCGGCCGGGATGGAAGGTCACCAACAACAGAATCCAGATGAGCACGATGGAGATGATGCCGACAGGGATAACAATAAAGAACCACTGGCCCCACCCAGGCTCCGGCACCATGATGCCCATTGCGACAACATTTTGAGGGGATGCGATGGGGCTGAGCATTCCGCCGATGTTGGATGCAAGCGCAATTCCCATCAGGAGGGCCTTGCACATGTTGGAGTCTGAGGGGAGGTTTCGTAGCATAGGCTGGTTTGATTTTGTTAGTTCTCAGCGCCGACGTAGGGTTACGTTGGGGATGAACGCGGGACAAACCTCGATGATAGAGATGCACAGAACAGGAGCTGCAACATTGCTGACCAACATACTGGCGAAGGCAGCGACCAACATGTTCGCGAGAATTACTGTGCTCGGCTTCGTGCCGGCCTTGGCCAGAACGAATGTCGCGATGCGCTTGTCGATCTTGCACTTGGACAGAGCCGCAGCGAGCGTGAAGCCACCAATCAACAGCATGATGACCGGAGTCCACATCGCAGCAAAGATGTAGGCCGTGGCATCCTTGGAATTAAGCCTCTCCCTCGGCTTGCTTTCTGTTACGACCACGTTAAGGACGACGCAAAGGAAGGGTATCATTAGGGATGTGACAAATAAAGGTATCGCCTGGAAGTTGGTGTCAGTGATCTTTCATTATTGTTCTTGCCTTCTTAAAAGGGGTTCGACCTACCTCTGTGGCCCAAAGTAAACTGACAAAGACCAGCATGGCCAGACAATTCTGCTGCTCCGGCTTCGTCATGATCGGGATGAACAGCAAGACGAAGAAGACGACCAGAGCAGTAAGGAGGAAGAACATGCCCGAGCTGAAGAGCCATACCGGGCACGTGAACCTGCCGATCGGCGTTGAGATCTCCTTAGTATCAGGGAACTGCTCATCGTCTCCTTGCAACCGTGTCTTGAGCGGCTTGCCGCCGGTGCCCAACAGCGTCTGGCCGAGACTGGCTGCCTCGGCGCGCCTCTCTATGCCGATGAGATCTCTCCACACGGTGTTGCGCTCCCACACGACGTGCTCACGGAGGTGAGACCGTAGGTCTTTTTTGGCGGCCTCATAGTCACCGTTCGTCACGATGTCCGTGTAGGCCTTCTCCATCTTGGAGATGGTCTCCTCGAGTCCCCTCAATGTGCCGTGCTGGAACGGGTACGCCGGCTCGACGTACTTGTCCATGTACAGTGGCCTGTAGTTGCGGTCGAGGATCTTGTCGAACTTCTTGAGCACCTTCCTGAACCCAGTCTTGTTCAGCTGGACGAAGCTCTTCAGCTCGCATAGCTGCACGTAGAGAGAGATAATGCGCTTTTTCAGCATGATCCCGCCCGAGTACACGACGGCCTGCTCGTAGTCATCGTAGCCTAGGCTCAGCCGCCGCGATCGGGTCAGTTCCGTGGACGCCGTCAAATCCGTCGCTGGACCGGCCAGCGACTTCCGCCGTCCGCCGAGCAAGCTCACGCGGCGCTTCCGTGAGGTGGGCGCAGTGAGCGCCGTGGTCTCGTCGCCGTCTTCATCATCGTCACTGTCCTCCACGCCATCCTCGGTCGAGTGCTGGCTGTGTGAGCTCGGGCGACGGCCCTGCCGAGCTCGGTCCATCTGCCGACTTGGCCCGTTGGCGCTCCGTGTCACGGGCCTATCGTTGTCCTCATCTTCCTCCGATTCGAAATCCCCGATGTCACGTAGGAGGTCGTTCACGTCGTCGTTGAGCTCCCTCTCCTTGAGCTGGTAAAAGGAGCTGATCTTCTCGAGCTCGACGTCCAGCGCACGCTTGAAAACGGCGTCTGGGTCCTCGGACTGTATCAGGGGTCTCGACTCGGCGTCCCCATTCTGTGCGCTAGACTGATGGACTGTCTTCTCGAGCTGGTAGATTCTGTGTGACGTGTGTACGAGTCAGTAGGACATTTCACCATGTGATTGCTGGACTGTTGAGAGGGCACAAATCAGGTAGGGTGAACATACAACTTCTTGAGGTTGCTGTAGGCGATGTAATGGCTGGTCCAGTCCGGCACAGCATTGAACTGGATAGAATGAGCGAACCTACGACACGACTGTCAGTCTGCTGGCCTTGTCTATCCGATCCTTGGACTGGCCCTTCAATTCCAGCTGATAGCCTCGTGAGGAGCCATTCAGGGAGCCTACTTCATTTCGAATGCCTCTTCGAGCTCAGCGAGCTTGGTGGTGTACTTTGTAGCTCGCCTCGCCTCTTTGTCTTGAAGCTCCTGGCGCGCCCGAATGTGCGAGTAATCGGCGAGCTCGTACTGCTCCTGTGCGGCGGAATAATCTGTTCTCTCCCCCGTGGCAGATGGTTTCGTTGGTGTACTCCCCCCTCCTTTCGAGGTACCTGTCAAGGCCGCAGGCAGGGCCGTTGCTGCGGTTCGGTCTACTATCGCTGCTGCTGCTGCTGCTGCCGGGGCATGCGCAAGCGGCCTAGTGTAGTCGGTGTCGGTATTTCTCGTATCTTGCACAGAGGAGGAGGGATGTTTCCGGGATTGATCGTAGGGTGGAATGGTGGCTGAAGCTACCTGTATTGGCCGCACATTGGGGTGGGATAAGAGTGTGGAAAGAATATCGACCTGATAATATGTACAAAACCGGGCGATCAATTAGTCTAGCTATAGGGCCATCGTCAATGGGCAAGTGTGGGCGCGCCGGCAATCTGATCGCCTCATTGCGACTCGGTCTGGGAACTGACTGGGTGAGACATGGCCTGTGGCGTCACCGCTAGCTGGACGATCCGCCAAGCAGACAAGCGCAATCCCCCACGCCCCCCCCCCCCCCCTTATGCACGGACTGACTGCGTGCTACTGATTATCGCACACATGTGCCACCTTATATCACCACATACGCATGTTTCTCAGGGTTGCTTTGAAAGTCAGTCATGAGGACCTCTCAAAGAAGTACCAAGCTCGACTGACGACTCACGTGTACATTGAGCTGCAGCAGTAGTTGCATCGCGTGCCCTGCACTCTCATATGCATTAAGTCCTACCAAAACCACATTTGTGGCACCTCAATACTGCAATGTGCTGGATTTTGCTACACCTTTTTCTCATGAAATTTAGTTACTATAACTTCACAGGTATAAGAAATGTTTCTCCATGGTTGTATGGAATTATAAAGTTCATTTCTTCTCGGACATTGGAAAGACATTGGATCTTGTCTGGACGGAGCACCCTGGCCGACTTGGACGCTTCTTTATTCTCAGTTTCTTATTAAACAAAGCCTTGCGAAGCAAGCAAGGACATATTTTTAACGAGTCAAATGACGAGAATAATTTCAGATAGAATGATAGAATATTAGGTAAATTACATGTACACAGCTGATGACACGTGTGGAAGAAGACAAATTGGTGAGAGACCTTGCAGATGAAGTGAGTAGACCCAAAGGAGCACACGGGTCACATACGTTCTGTTCCAGCACCACCGCGCCTCACAGAATGTACAGCTCGGCTGATTTTGGCAGGTTCCTGGAGCTAAAACCAACGTCGAGTTGGAACTTGCCCGTTGGGATGCGCCATGTCTGAGCACTAGTATCCCAAAAACTGAGGTCTCTGCGATTCAACTCAAAAGCGACATCGCGGATCTCTCCTGGACCAAGTTCGACCTTGGAGAACCCCCGGAGAACCCTGATAGGGGTACCAGGAGGCGCCGAGTCTCTGGGCATCGACATGTATAGCTGCACAACGGCTGCGCCGCCTCGGTTGCCGGTGTTGGACACTTGTACCGTCGCGTTGGCAACTGGCGCGAAAAGGTCGCCGAGGGGAATAGACGACTGATTGCTCGCGCGAGCCGGCTCTGGCACCGCGTCTGCCAGAAGCTCTGCGGAAAGATCTGACTCCAGCTCAAATGTGGTGTAGCTGAGCCCAAACCCGAACTCGTACAAAGGTTTAATATCCATTGCGTCGAAGTGGCGATAATCAATCATCAACCCTTCAGTAAAGTTGGATTGCCAGGCGTCAGGCGAGGTCACCTCATCGCTGGTGAGGTTAGTGATGGGAATGTTGTAATCCTCCTCGGCGGCAGGTATGGTGTATGGCAGTCTGCCGGACGGATTTACATCGCCCCAGAGGACATCCGCAATTGAGTTGCCGGTTTGCTCGCCAGGTAGATGGGCAGCGATAATCGCGCGAACATTGGGATGACTTGCCCATGGCATGGTGTTGATGCCGACAGAATGAGTGACCACTACAGTGTTGTTACACATATTTGCAACCTGTGTGACCACCGATGTAGAGTTCCAATCCGCTTCAAATGAGACTCGATCGAAACCCTCCGCAGCAAACGTCTTGAGGAAGACAATGCAGACATCGGGTGTGGGATAGATGCTGTGGAAGTCACCAGCGGCGAGGCGATCGTTGTTGAGGATATACTGCACACGGGCACCGATGTCCTTGGCGCGCTCCTTGATGGCATCCAGTGGTGTTACCACGTACGTGTGTCGAACGCTGCTGGAGCCCCCGCCAATGTCCAAAGTTCCGTACTCGAAGCCTACGTTTGTCGCAGGGGGGTCTTGATAGACGAGACCGTCAGTCAAGTCGCCAGCATCATTACCAAAGACTCCAATATTCTGAGGGTTGGTGAGCGGCAGCGTGCCGTTGACATTCCTCAACAGCACAGCCCCTGCAGCCCCGATTTCTCGAATGAGCTTCGCGTGGTCACCTCGAACGTCTCTTGCGGGTGGGTTGGCGACGAGATCGCCCAAGTCTTGTTGATACTGAGATGCAATGACAGAGAGGCTTGAGGGGTCGAGACTCGGGAAGCTGCTGTCGTCTTGTCCCAGTAGGTAGTAAAGGGTCAAGATTCGACGGACCATTTCATCCAGCCTATCTGTTGAAACACTGCCATCATCAACGGCTGTCTTGACGTGGTCTCCGAACCAAGAAACGCCTTGTCCGGGCACGGTTGTGCCAGGCATCTCCAAGTCCAGACCAGCGTTGATGGAGGCGGCAGTTGAATGCGTAGCATACCAATCGGAGACGGTATAGCCCTCAAACCCCAGCTCTTCTCTGAGGATGCCAGTCAAGAGCTTGGAGTGCTCGCAAAGGTATGTCTGATTGAAACGGTTGTAGCTACACATTACTGCAGCTGTCTTCGCATGAACAGCATCCATGAACGGCCACAGGTACAGCTCATGGAGAGTGCGATCATCTATATTAGACGAAACTGCGTCGATATTGGATCCATCTGGAAGCGTCACATTCGTCCTTTGCGTCTCTTGCTCGTTGCCAATAAAGTGCTTTGCGATTGCCTGAACACCGGTGCTTTGCAAGCCTCGAATAGAGTGGTCCATGGCGATGCCAGTGAGAAAAGGGTCTGCAGAGAACCCTTCCCACACACGACCGCCCAGTGGGTGGCGCCCAAGCGGACCAGCAACGGGACTTAGAGTCAGCATGTTAGCACAACGACTCTTGCTTTGGGTGGGGATGAGAAGACTCACCCAAGGCAGGCATGCATGCCTTTCGCTTTGAACTCTTCGCCCAAGGCTACGGCACGTCGATACATCAAATCCGGATCCCATGTTGCGGCAGTCGTCAATCCAGCTGGAAAGACGCTGGTAAGATCGGCGCGGTTCACGCCAGATGATCCGTCTGAGTAACAAATTCCAGAGAAGTTGAGACGTGGGATTGCGCCGATGCTACCGATGCATCCAAGTCCAGTCAAAGGGTTCGCACCAGTAACGACAGCAGTTTTCTCTTCGACCGTGAGTTCGGCCAGAACATCATTAGCCTTTCCAACGGCATAATCCCAGTCGAATGTACTGTTGACTGCGTCGATGTCAGCCACAACTTGGACTCTTATTCGTATAGCTCACTCAAAGGCTTACTGTTGGAGGTTGCAGCGGAAGAGGCGAAACCAGCGCAAAATAGCGAGTTAATGGTGTTTCGATACATCTTAGTCGCTGGTATATTTGCTCATGCAGTGATTGATCAAAAGCTGAGCAATGGTTGGGTCCATCGGAGTGCAGGAGTCACCTTTATAGACACTCAGCAACAGTGCTATATCGTACTGGGCCCCGATGACAACTTTGCAATCTCTTGCTTAAATTTGTAATGAAAATGCTATTCACTTGACAAATGTACACTCCAGCATCCGCTGGTCTTCTATTCTTGGCCGAATGTCTAGGCCAACAAGACCTCTTGTCTCCTGGTCTGATTAAACATCAAGGTAGTGTTTAGCAAGTGCGGGCCACTCATCTTAGTATTTTCAGAGGAGTGGGCCCAATACACGTATTTGCACATCCTCTGTTCTGCGCCAAATATAGTAAAGTCCCAGTGTGGCGCCAGGACCCCGGAATACACGTATTCTTTTCACTGCCCCATTCGGCCCGGCCTAGAAGGCGAGAGGAGAGGGTCCTTGTCCATCAATGGCGTCGTCTCAGTAGCTTCGCCCCCTGCTTGATTCGGGAAAATTCCAGCACAGTCTATACTTCTTTTCTGAAAGTCGATGTTGATCTCAGGATTGACGAAGTTACTGGGGGTTACTGTAACCGGATTCAACTTGATGCCTACGAAAGCGGTAAAAACTGATTGTCAAGTACACCAAGCGGAATGTCAATTCTCCTCGAATTCTGTCAAGAAATTCATTTATTCGATTTGCATCGGTTCTGTGGAAAGCTCATGCCGTTATCATAATTCTGAGGATTTCTCGCCGGTACCAGTGAAGGTTGTCCCAGCTCATGATCAATTTAGTGATCGTCAAACTCCGTCCCGATTATAATACCATTAAGAGACACAAGTACCAGTGTTGGCAATTCTCTCTCTTCTGACCCGTTTTTCAAATATTTCGTTCAAGGTGGGGAGAAAGATATACGAGCTAATTACCGAACACACGTATTCTGACTGTCTCGTAGTCCACTAAGACTGCCCCGGTCATCATATGTGGATGAGCACTTCATGCATCACCGGCCGAAATTTACGAGCGGTGGAATTCTTCACCGATGCAAGCCATTTAAGACTTGAAGTTCACCTCGAGATTCTGATTTTTCCTTTTAATCCATCCCCATTCTACCTCTTCGAACCTTTGAATGTTATACCGACAATCTCCTCAAACCATGCTTCCAAGATTGTTTCTTGCCTCTCTATTAGGGGTCGTAAGTGGTAGCACAATTTCCACCCAAGAAAACGACACTGTTAAGTACCTTGAATCGCTTCCGAGCTTGAGCTCGGGAGCAGATTGCGCCTGTATCAAGCTGTCGGCCAAGTTTGAGGACTTGCTTCTGGGCATGAACTCGAGTGATTACACAACCCAGGCTGAAGACTACTACGATATCCGCGCAGTCCTCCAGCCGAGATGTATCTTCATGCCTACAACTTCCGATCAGGTCGCCTCGGGAATGTCTATTATCGCATCTTGTGGGACGCAATTTGCCATCCGTGCGGGAGGCCACATGAATGTGAGCTGTCGTCTGCATGAATACCTCCGTTCTTAAGACACTAACAGGGCTTTTTACTCAGTTTCCAGGCTCCAATGACATTGACGGTGGCGTTTTGCTGGCGCTTAATGGCTTGACTGATATTCAGATCAGCCCTGACAACTTGACCGTCGCGGTCGGCCCCGGCAACCGCTGGGTAGACGTGTACGAAGCCCTTGCACCTTACGATCTGTACTGTATTGGAGGTCGTATGAAGACTATCGGGGTGTCTGGACTTTCGCTGATTGGAGGATTTCACTACTTGACCAAAAAGTATGGGTTTGCCATGGACAACATCGTGAGTTACGATGTTGTCCTCGGTAATGGGACATTGGTGGTGGCGAACGCAACTTACCACGCAGATCTCTTCTGGGCACTCAAGGGTGGTGCGAATAACTTTGGAGTCGTTACGAGATTTGAGATCAAGACTCTACCAATCCCCGAAATTAGCACCACCCTACAAGTCTTCGATGAATCTGTGGTCCGAGAGTTCATTAATGCCACAGTTGATTTGGCAAGTAACCAGAACCCCGACGTTGGCGCAGGGTCCATTATCTCCATAACGTACAATACCACCACGAGGGGCATCTCCGCCGTCCTACGAGGTGTACAAGAGGGCACCGAGTCACCACCGTCGAGCTTTCAGAAGTTCTCAGACCTTCCGTCTATTTTGACTCAGAATGTGGTCCAACGGCCCATCGACTGGCATGCTCAGCTGGACAGTCCCTTCCAAATGTTCCGGTATGACCCTTGCCTTGTATTTTCCTCTTTTCCTTGCGCAATGGCGCGATGATGATGGATGTCGACGAGTACCAATAATTATGTTTGCAACAGGATTCAGTTTGGTCACAAGACTATAAGAGCTGACGCGGACCAGCTCTACCACATTTATGAGGCTTGGAGAGCAGCCGTTGAGGACATCAGTGATGTGGAAGGTCTAATCCCGACGCTCGTCCTGAACACCATGGCGCCCAGTGCCATGAGTGTAGCCAAAATCAACGGCATTGGGAACCTTTGGGGATTGGACGACAATGAGGCATTGATCAGTAAGTTAGGAAAACATGTCTTAGATCGGCTGCCGCTGACTAAATTGGATTCAGTTTGGCAAACTTCCACTGCTTGGGACAGCGAGAAGAGTGACTTGCGTGTGACGAATTTCGCTCGTGGAGTGCTCGATGATCTGCACGCTGAGAACCAGGCCAAAGGCGTCGCATCAGAGTTCATGTACATGGGGGATGCTGCGGAGTTTCAAAACCCCTTTCTCGGGATTCCCACGGAGAACCTCGAGAGGATGAAAAATGTTCGGGCTCTTTATGATCCTCTAGATGTCTTCACCAGACAAAACTGGGGTGGTTTCAAACTTCCGAGGACTTGATTGGGAACATTATAAAGGAGTATTCTCATTTCATATTTCGCACCCTTGGCATCATTACCATAATGAATTAGTAACTCAGATATGAAATATCCAGGAGGACCTGCATTCCTCCTCGATTACCTAGACTCGTCGTGCGTGTATGGTAGGAGCCCCAACACCGCGCTGGATGATGCAAAATCATCATGTATCTCACTCTTTATGTTGGATTCACTACTACTAGCGACTTCAGGTCTCAGCTCGATTGTCCACTTGAGCACGAACGGAGGCATTTCACATACGAGCCGCATCATTATCTCTTCCTTTGAAGCAACAGTAAGGCATTGAAATGAATTCAGCGTTTTTTATCAGGACTTTTCTGCACACAGTGTGCAGTGAAGTCATATAGATGGACGCTACTTACCCCAAGCAGTCGGCCAGCGGTATGACGTGTACCTTTACATATTCATGATGAGTGCCAAAGTCTCTTAATAATGGCTGAAATATGGGATTGATCATCCTTGAAGTCATACTAGTCGCTCTTTGTGTGTACATGAAGAACGCAGAGCAGCCTTCACACGGAATTCGAAGCGTAGGGCATACATTCAAATCCTCAATTCCAGTCATACTTCATTCTTGCTGGGGAGAGAAGCAACATCGAAATTAAACATACGCAATATATTTGATTATGACACCCATTGTTACATATGGAATGAAAGGAGAAATCCGACCGGAAGATCTCCTAGCATTCTAATCTTGTTGAACAGAAGCGATTGCCGCACAGACACACAACATCCCTTTTCCGACAATGTACAAAAGAAAACAAGGCAAAATACTAGCCATCCACTAGGCTTCAATTCGTGAGCTCTCTTTCAGCTCCATATTTCGGATATGAAGCCACTCTCAATTTTTGAACGCTGTGGGTTCCCAAAGAGACAAAGCTTCCCAGTTCCTGCGACCCGTCTGGAGAGACGATATTGCCATATTCGTCTACAGTCATCACTGCGCTGGGATGGAATGCAGCCAGAATGAATGTGACAAGAAACATGAGGGCAGCATCGAAAATGTAAAGAAATACTTCAGTTGTTTGCAGACTACCAAAGAGATGATCAGAGACTGGCAATAAGAAGCTGAAGCTGGGAATAGAAACTTACTATCCATCGTATCCTTGGATGTACTCGATAACACGAAACAGGGAACGGATGAGAATCAGTACGCTGACACCGTACAGAATCCAGAGGACCTTCGCCCAAGAGACGGCATGCCTGAGACGTCGTCCTCTGGTGTCTTGGGCGACACGCCGGTGAAAGATTGCCGTGACGGAGATGAAGAGGGCAAAACCAATCAGCTGGATGAGAAGGCCGACAATGATGACATTCTCGCCCAGCTGAATATTGCTCGATGTTTTTGCATTGGTGAGAATGCCGCCTCCACCACTCTGAACAAGAAAGGACAGAACATCGCTGGTGATGAAGACCTTGGTCAGGATCTCAGGTCGGACTGGACTGTATTCTTGGCCCTTTGCCAGGATTATAAGCCGGCCTAGCATGCCTTATATAGATGCTGCCAGCAGTGACGGAGCTATGAGCAGCATCAGGCTCTGCAGCGCGTATGGCACAACATGCCAGTTTGGGGTCTCCGCCGCCGATACGGCACGAGCGACATAACCAAGAATCTCGCAGACAATACCGATCAGAAATGGGATGAAATAACGAGTTCGCTTTCTGAAAAGCAAAACTGCGTGAGCAACGAAAGTGAAAGAAAATAAAGCCACGAAAACACAAGCAGCGGCGATTGAAGGATCGTATAAGTAAAGGGATAACATGACCTGGCTATCCCGTTGATGGTGCGTCGACGCCATGGTGGTCTTGGATCTGAAAATTCTCTCGATGATAGGTCGGTGCTAATTCGTATGAATGACTCGAAAAAAAAATGAAGCCAATTGTGATATATTGCTCTGACACCACATGATTTTCCAGCTCCAACAGCGAAGTTCATTCTCTTATACTTTTGTGTACTACGGTCAGTGAAGATGTCAACCGTGGCAATTCGATGAAGAACTGAGTGATACCGTGCATCTGTCGCATTACCAATACGTAACCAGGTCTTAATTCAAAAATAGTATCATGATGATGCTGCGGTGGCCAGAACTGTGGTTCGAGGATTCTGAGCGCTACTTGTCGTATTAACCCTGGTGTCTCCTCAGACAGGAGGTAGCCCGCCATTCTTTTTGCGTCAAATCCTCAAACCAGCAGGCATCTTCGCCAAAATGTTCATCGTACAAAATCTTCGACTATACGACACCTGCAATGGCGTTGAACAACGGATCCATCTCAGATGGACCCATGTCCGTGGTGGAGCCGGAATACACGTACAAGCTTTTATTGTGGAGATACGCGTACCTGATGCAAAGGCAAGGATGCATGTTTGCGATGAGGCGCACTTGTGGGTCTCAACTTGACTAGTGAACCCATCAATAGGAGCACACGCACACCATTCTATACGCAGCGGCCCGAAAAGAGGCGCTAAAGAACGGGTATCGAGCCTTTGTCGGCCTCTCGCCGTAGTTAAATCGGCCGGGACGGCGCCGGCAAGTCCGGTGAGGTCCCCAATATTGGACCCTTTGGGTCGACGGACACTTTTCTCGCCTTCAATCTACTCCCTCAGATAGAGGTAGACCCAGTGATTACCGCTCCCCAATCCTCTAGTTCCCATCATGTTACGTCGTCAGCACAAAAAGTCTAGGAATGGGTGCACTGAATGCAAGCGACGACACATGCGAGTGAGCGGGCCCTCAAGCCGGCGTCTAAGCACAATATCTAACTTTTTACAAATAGTGTGACGAGCAACGGCCCACATGCATCAACTGTATCAAGGCTGAGCGAATTTGCTCTTTCCCCAGCGGTACATGCGCAAGTATTAGTCGCCCGTCCCCGACCTGTCATAATACGCGTAATTGACGATCCGAACAAAGGCCAGGATACATCGCCCAGTCCAGACGACCAGTCCACAGGAATAGTATCCCGTGGCAGTTCAACCAGACCGGAGGCGGTGCGAGACCCTCACGAGGTTAACATGCTCCATTTGGAGCTTCTGCTCCACTTCAGCTTCGACGTCTATGTACCCGAGCTCGGTGGCAGTCTCGGAAGACCTGCGACAGAGCTGGTGCTGAGAATTGCCCAAGGCGCCCCCTTTCTGATGCATGGGGTCCTGGCCATATCTGCACGCCATTTGACGATCATACGGCCCGATGATTCGACGCGATACCTCGACCAAGCATTTCGGTTACAGACGAGAGCTATTGAGCTGTTCAATTTGACACATGACGAGCCTGGTCAAGAGAATTGCGTGGCCCGGCTACTTTTCTCCTCCGTCCTCGGACGTCACATACTAGCTGACGCGCTTCGTGATGATGGCCTTGACTTTCCCAGCTTTTTGCAACGTTTCGTATACGGTATTCGAATCCATGGGGGCGTCAAAGCGGTTGCGGCTCAACAAGACTGGACATCCCTTTTGGAGACAGAGCTTGGTCCTTTAATGACGAGGGGGCTTGCTGCGGACATGTCCGAGAAAACCATAGAGCTGAATGAGACTATGCAGTCACTCATATCTCAATCGAAAAACTTGGAAACTGAGGATAAGTCAGCCTGTGAGATGGCTCTTCGGTTGGTAGAGGCGGGTATCGAAGAACTAAGAGATCATGCCAGGGTTGAATTTGGGAGACGCATGATGTTTACGTGGTCGATCATGCTTCCAGATCGTTTTATCGGTTTGATGGAGCGCCAGGTCCCCGAGGCACTGGTGGTGTTGGGACGATATGCTATATTTTTGCATTTTGGCGCAATGTTTTGGCAGATTGGAGAGGCAGGACCCCATCTGCTTCGGGCCCTCAGCAATCATCTTGGTCCAATGTGGCAGCCGTGGCTCGCGTGGCCGGAGGACTTGGAGTATCAGACAAGTTTTCAAAGAGAAGCAGAAGCTTTGCGAGAGGGCTCTAGCGCACGATAGATAAACAAAATCCAGTACGTACTCACTTTTACTAAGTCTGCAGCTCTATCATTGGCATTTCCATGGTCTTCTAGCGGTTTCGTTCTCTGAATAAAAGAAATTATACAACATTAAAGCTGACTCTGCGTGTAGAAATGCTACAGGCCCTCGCCTCTTCTGCGGAACAGATTAAGAGAATGACTCAGAAAATCTGCCAGCGGACATTCCTCAGAGTTGACCAAGTTGTCCAAACCGAGCTGCTAGTAAATGCCGCTTGTAAATGAGACCCCTTTATTCACAAATTGGGGTTGAAGTTCCCGCGGATCCGTCCGCCGAAGATATAAAATGCCACCAGAACTGGGGCAAGACTGAGGGCTATGAATCCTAGGAGGTTATTGCCCCAACCCAGACCCAAGGCTTCATACATCGTTAATCCAAAGATGGGCAGAAGCGCGGGTGGCACTCTCTGGATTCAGTGCCTTTTCCATGGCTGCCACTAGGACTGGGAACGTACTTTGGTGATCATGCGAAGGGAAGACGGACAGCCCCCGACTGATAATTGTAAATCCATCGTTTAACCCTGATCAACAGGTACTGGGACTGCAGGGGTGGATAACACCTCCATTGTAACTATGTACTCCCATAGGCCTTGGCTGGATCCACGCTTCGGTAGACACGCGAGTACTTCTCGCCGTCCTGCAAGAAGTGGCACTTGCGACAACAGGATCCACCGCAAATACGGACTAGAAACCTGATCATGGATTTAGAAATTAGGCATGGTACCGCAGTAATTGGCTGGCCGGAGAGGAGGGGCGCCACCCTGGTTTACGCGTATTTGAGGTGGAGCAACTTCAAGCGGAATCCCCGAGCTGTTGGGAAATGCCCAATGGACCTCGTCATGAATGGCAGCGGCAATTTGGCACACTCGATGCGGCCTTTAGCTACGTACTATCTTGTTGGTCGTTGCTGCGTTGACCGCAGCATGAGCCGAGCCGAGCGAAGAGTCTGGATACTGGTGTTTTATGAATATCTCCACAAGTGGTCAGGTCTGGCTTAGCCTTTTAAGATATTTAACTGCTTCTCTCGATGTACCTTTATTCCTTGATCATGTTGTTCAACACCTCTCCGGCATCACTGGTGCGATCCAGGTGGTGGGCTAACACCTAACGGATTCTCTTCAACGCAGCTTTTCTCCTCAAGACTACAGTCACCGGCTGGTACGATGCGTTCCGTTTTGACCATCTCCTAAGCGGTTGGTTCATCGTGTTTCCTACGCTGATATATTAAGTCTGGTTACGCATCTCTCGCGATTACCGAGACCATCTTGTCTAATAAAGAGCACTCTGCATAGGACAAAGGATCATACACTACGAATTGAAGTTCAGCGGCACCGCATAAGCACTGTGTAAGCCATAGCAAAAGTCCTGAATGGTCGACACTTACTTGAAGGGGCTGCGTACCACAGGCATTGTCGATGAAGGCGGTGGTGCCTCCCGCATCAGATCGCCGAGCGAGTGGGCTGGTCCACCGCGAGGCTCTCCAAGTTTATCCCATCGATCGATAACGAAGGATTTTTTTTCTTGCGTTTGGTTTGGGCATCCTACCATTAGATCATACATGTTCAATTCAGTTCCTTATGGGCCAGAGTAAGACCGAACGAAATACACCTTCTCGGCCTACATCCCCCGGCTGACTGTGTATGGCTGCGTGAGTAAGCTGCCCACTGAATTATAAGACAAGCAATCTCTCACAACATACTTTCAATGTCGCTTGATTTCACGTCATGGACAGTCCAAAACGAAAGGGACCGACCGCGAGGAAGAGTATTGATTAGCTTGCCCAGCACAAGGTAGGCAGGTATCTACAACCGCCTGCGATACTGACACCGCGGGAGAACGCTTTGTCTATGTAAGTCATGTCATCGTTATTAAATAGCACTTTCAGTGCTCCTGGACAACGGTACTGCCATCAACAGGCTGATTAGGATGTTGTCCATGCCCAATTCCCAATACTTTCTGAAGGCTCCTCCTGAGGGCCTTGCCTGTGGCCGACCCGCCACTTCCCTCCTCGGCCAGACTCTCCCTCCTCCCTTTCTCGCCGCTATGACCATGCCCACCTAGCAGGGAGAAGCTCAGCTTCCGCCCGGACCCGGCAGATCCGTTGATGGCTGCAAATCCGGCCGGGCTTGGCGGCACGGCAGTTGCGGTCGTTGCCGACTTCCTTCTCTTCACCGCGACCAAGGCGGCGGGCTCGGGGCCGGTGACCCGGGGCGGCCACTCACCGTCGCGCTTCCAACCCGCCACGCATGCACGCACCATGTCGCTCAGGTTGATGGGACAGGAGGGCTGGAGACTGTGCACGACAACCTTTTCGTAGATCGAGGCGTACAGCGCCGGGGTGATGGAGGCGCGCATCGGATTTGCGGGTGGGAGAAGGGGAGGCGCGATTGGCAGCAGTGTCTCGACAGGTAATTGTTCGGACGGCAATTGCCCCTGCTGAAGCTGGTCGCTGCGTGATGTCTTTGGTGACAGGTTCTCATTGGGGGTTGAGTTGCCGCTATCTCCACTGACCGGGTGTGCTTGAGAGGTGTCTGGGTGCGAGTTTGTCGTGACTGGCGATAGCGGCGACGTCATGGAGGCTGGAGATGCGGCTGTCTGGCCGGCATTGGACGATGAGTGGGTGTGCGTCCGCCAGAAAAAGCCTTTCCTAGGCGAGGAGGGCGATATTGGAGAGGGCGGCTTGGGGCGGGCTCGAGCCACCTTTGCACCGGTCCATGCATTCCTCCTGGCCTCAAAGCACGCGAGGCCTTCATTCCATGCGGCCTCCTTTCGAATCTCTCTGCGCCGGCGAGTTTTGCCGGCAATATTGGATGCGTGAACGGCTTGGCCAATTGAATCTGGGGTATCAAATTTGAAGGGTGACGGGGAGTTGTGGGGCAGTTCGTCTTCAGACAGCTCCGACGCCCATTCCAACCTCGGCCGCCAGTGGACGGGGTCTTCTATAACGGTGCTGTAGACAGAATCTGTGTCTGAGTCTGCGTCCTCGGCCGAGTCACTATCAGACTCCTCGGCGACTGCCTGACTGTCAGGGTCCGGGCCATCTGAGGCGACCTCGAGAAAGCCCTCGAGTTCTTCAGCCGCCGGCGCGTCCTCTTTGACTTTCAGCGGTTCAGGCTCTTGCACTGGGGGCGAAGAGCCCGTGTGCTCGGCCGGTGGCGGCCAGGTGAAGACCCAGTCGTTGCGGACCTTGGTCTGTAGGTGCTTTTTGACGGCTTCCTTCTGCTTGCTCTTGTCCTTGCTGGTCAAGTCGGGGTCGTAGTCCGAAGAGAGCACGGCTAGTGGTGTGTTATGTGAGTGACGTAACCGGGATAGTGGCGACTTGGGCGATTTGTACAAGTCTGTGAAGATCATGTTGCAGTGCTCGTGCTTGCCGTCTCCTGGTGCATTCGGAGACGTGTGAGCCGGTCCTTGAGGCCGGAGCTGAGGGGGATGGGAGGGAGATTGGGACTGGGGCAGCGAGTGAGATGCAGGTTGAGGCTGAGAGGGGATGTGGTTGCCGGCTTTGGCGTCTGGGAGGGTTTGGGAGAAGGGACCCCAGGACAAATGTGTGCGGTTGAGGATGGAGCTATAGCTTTCAAGGCCAAGTAGGGACGGTAGGGCGGTGCTCGTCTGACGCTGCAGATCTGGGCTGAATAGAGGATGGTGCGGGGAGCGGGGAGGAGGCAAGGATGGCGCCGGGGATGATTTCTGTGGCCTCCAGGCCCTGCAGAGGTTTAATGACGGCTGTCACACCGGGGGTGGAGAGCTGCTGGTGGTGCTGCTTCTGCCGCTGCGGGTGTGGGTGCAATGCCTGCGATGCTTGTCTGAGCTGATGCGACGGCACAGGGCGGCGGGTGGCTGGTTGGCGGGCTGGCGGGCTGACTGGTGAGGGCTGCGAGGGAAGAAAGAGAAAAAAAGAGATTGCGGCGTTGCGATAGATATGTGTGTCCGTAATTGTGTATGTGCGCGTGGGTAATTAGATGTATGTATGTATGTATGTATGTATGTATGTACGTCTGTATGCAGCAAGACGGGGGTGAAAGTGCGAGCGAGGGTGCTCGTGACAGTGCAGGCAGGCTGGCAGGCCACCTCGTTGCGGACCGGGGAAAGATACGGGGGAGAAGAAAAAGTGGTATGATGGGAACAGCGTACCCGCTAAAGCTTCTTCAAGTGGTGCTATATCCCAACAATGGAACAGAGGTGGAGGTCTGGACTCTCCGAGCCTCGACTCTGCGCAGGTGCAGCTTGGGGGGCAATCTTCAATATGAACCACACTAGCAGATCATGCTCGCCTCACGCGACACAGGGTAAGAGTACCGAGCACATGTATCGTGATCTGTGTACTGACGGTAATCTACAGCCCAATTGCTGTCGCCCATGGACACTGTCGATACAAGCGCCGCAGACGTAGGGGGGTGAGAAGCAGCGGCACCACCCGGGGGCGCGGAGAAACATGGATCTTCGCCAGGGAACATGGTACTATGTATGCAGCGCACAGCACGGACGCCGGCGGTGGCTTGGGCGATCAGATGCCACAATGCAGGGCTTCCAAGGTTGGGGAGGGCGAAGCTTGCCCGGGCCGGCGAAGTCTGTAGACTACAGAGGTACTTGAACCCTCCTCTGCCCTTCGCCCTTCCTCCCCCCTGCTCCCCGGTGACCCGGCAGAGGCAATGAAAATCTGGGCGTGGTGTGACTCGGTGCGAGGGCGCACATGGTCCCAGTGCAACCCTGCGAGGCGAGACAGGACAAGACAACCTCCAAGACAAGACCAGACCCGCGGCGGGTTGGCGCGTTGGCGGGCTGGCAGACCATGCAGGCAGGCACCGACGAGCTTATTGTAGAAAGTATGAGGGTGGAAAGTCTATGGGGGAGGATGAATGTAGTATCGAGGATGGAAGATGGGTAAATTGATGAATGTAGATTTCCGGGCGTAACACCAAAGACGCGCTGCATAAAACGTGAACAGTGAGTGATGAGGACATACCTCCGTGATTCCCATGTCCTTCCTCCTTCATCATCTCCGTCATCTCCACCGTTGCTGTCGCCGTTGCAGCTGCCGCTGCCGCTGCCGCTTCAATGCCGACTCCTAGGTTCTGCGCCAGACCGTATTGGACTAGCGATGGAGGCAACTCTGGGGCCACTGAGCTGTTGGTAATCAAGCACGGACGTACACGTACCGTACTGCCTTGAGTTGCGAGGGGGTGTCGAACTTGGTGAGCACCTCAGCAGAGAGAGAGAGACGGAGAGACGGGTCACGCCTTGCACGTGTGAAGATTCTGACCGTTGAGAAAAGTCAAACATTGAAAAACTGATTCAGTTCAGAGTTCGACAGCGGCTGCGGCTCACATGGGAAAGAGCGAAAGAGCGGCCTGGACCGGACCATTCGACCAGTCGACCAATGAGCTCCTCCCCTTTCGGATCCGGGCTCGGACTTGAGAATGGCGAGAGAATGGGAAGCAGCCTCCAGCCCAATGCAAGTAAGCAGCAGTCGGGCAACTGCCTTGGCAACACCAATTAGACTAATTGTTCACATTCATCCCAAACATCCGAAATATCCACAGCAGCTGCAATAAAGCGTCTAGCTGGTCCACTTGTGTATTGATCATACCACTTGTCCATTCAGGACGCATGCATTGTCTCCGCGGGACAATATGGCCGTCGCCCTGCCCACAAGCTGTGTACCCTGCGAAGGCCATCACCACCTGGAATGATACATAGACAGGTGTCAGTCCTGACATATCTACCTACTTAAACCCTCAATCCATTTCCATACTGCGATTGAGCGTTACCACTACAAGCAGCTCTTCAGCCAGACCATCATCACTCCATTGGCAGCTTCTCCTTTCCCACCCCCAACCCCTTTTGTCTCTGGTCTTCTGTTCATTGTTCATTGTGTTGATCCATTGACCACATGCACTGTTGAATATATCACGTCAGGAACACGTCGAGGTCCAGGAAACTTTTCCTTCGGCAACTGTACGGCTTCCTGCTGTACCGGAGGACATGGACTTCAAGAGCCGTCACATCATCAACTACTGTCACAAAAAACATACTGTCACAGGCGGCAGGGTCATAATCTTAAGAAATACTCATCTTTTTTGTCCTATCTTCTGGTTTCTGTTTCCTGGATGACACTCCATTCCTGTCTGCATGATTCCGGTCCCTGCCCCTTACAAGGTCCAAAGCCTCGTCATCGTCATCATCAAAGTCATCTCGGTCTTCCTGGTCTCCGTTCCTCATGTCCTGTCATCGATACGACCATCTCAACCCTGCCTCGTGCCTTCGACTTGAGACACAAGCAGATGAACTTTTGCCAAATACCTCAAATGTCCATCACCACTGATCTGTCAACGACTCCTCCATCACCCTGCCAATGCCCAAGGACAGCGGCTTCAGACACCTTGAGCAGCTGCTGTGAAGTGGCTAGGAACGCCATCGCTCAGACCTCATCTCTGCTGTTTGCTGGAAAATCAACCACCCAAGTCGATCACTCCCTCACAAGCTATGCCGCCACCGCCGGTTCCCTCACCGAAAGCGCCATGCAAGCCCTAGATGTTCGTGTGTTGGCCGTTCTGAGGGAAGCCCATAGGCGCCGGATATCCATTCTGGCTGGAAGACATAGGAGCTGGGTATCCATTCTGGTTGGGTGCCATGGGCGCTGGGTATCCGTTCCGGTTGGGTGCCATGGGCGCTGGGTATCCATTCTGGTTGGGTGCCATGCGAGGCGGGTATGCAACGCTTGGAGCGGCCTGCTGGTAGCCCTGGTGCATATTCATCGGGTAAGACGCAACGCCCGGCGCCGGCATGGGCTGGCTTGGAGCCATCTGGGACGGAGCCCTGTGATGCTGATAATTCTGCTGCCGCATCTGCTGAGACTGACGCTCCATGCGTCGCTTGGCTTGCTTAGCTCTGAGCTCCTCTGCCTCCCGCGCCTCCTCGGCCAAATCATCATATGATGGCTGACCAACACCCTGCTGCTGCATAGGCTGGCCGAACCCCATCGGCTGGCCCATGTGATGGTGATACTGCGGCATATACTGGAAGCCCTGCTGGTGGTCCATTGGGTACTGCTGACCATTCTGTGGCATATGATGGAAGCCTTGCTGGTGGTCCATTGGGTACTGGTAACCGTGTTGCTGCATTTGCTGGTAATCATGCTGCGCCATAGGCTGGAAGCCCTGTTGCTGCACCTGCGGGAAGTCCTGCTGGTGCATCTGTTGAGCCGCATGAGGCTGGCCGTTCTGGGCGTAAGGTGCTGCCGAGTGCATATGGGGTTCGTTTCCAGCTATCTGGGCATTGGGCAAAGGCTCTATACCGTCCATGCCGCGCGCCGGAGTACTCGCAGGCTGCTGCACCTGCACACCACTGGCCTCGTCTTGATCGCGGGCTGGAGCGGGAGCAATGGGCCGGTAACGTCTGGGCTCGGGGGTGCCAGACACGGTTTCACCGTCGCCAGGCTGCGGGGCCACAGCGTCGGCAGTTGACTGCTTGGTCTTTTGCGCCTTGCGAGGAGCAGGAGTCTTCTTGGGTGCGGGGGCCTTTCTCTTCCGGCCCTTGGTGCCTTCAGCTATGTTTTTGACATAATCCTTAGGGGAAGTCTCCAGGCTCAGGGACCGATTGGGCGCAGCTTCGTAGTATTCTTCGGGCTTCTCGGGTGTGCCTCGCTGCTGTCCCGGGGGCACATCATCCTCGTCGTCATCCGCCTTCGCATTCTGCTTGCGGCGCTTGTAGCTTCGCTTGGTGGGCGCGGCACAAGGAGAATCCGGGTGCTTGAGCTTGTGTTTCCGAGGGCTGGCCAACTCGCTCTGGTCCTTATGGGGGCGTCCAACGTGACGCTTACCTGGCCTAGCTGGCTCTTGCTGGACCGGCTGCGCAGCATTGGAAGGGCCCGCCACTGGACCTGGGGCAGCCGCAGGAGTTGCAGGAATGTTACCGGCCACTTGGGGATTCTGAGACAGCTGGTGATTGAGGGCACTGTGGCGTTCCTGTACAGAGCTGAGCGAACCTGTGGCGGCACCAGTGGGTTTCTGGGCTGGAGACTGGCTGGTGGCCAGGCCCCGACTGACATTATCTGAGGCCACAGAGTATTTCATGGAAGCAAGCTCCTGATCCGAGGGCGAGTTGGGAGACGGCTCACTGTTGGAAAACGTCTGGTCAGACCAGCCATTCTGCCAGATCTCATCATCGTCATCACCATTACCCTGGACGGGCGTAGCTGTCTCGATACTGCTGATCGGCGTAGCAGAGACACCCGCGAAGGTGCCTTCGTCGACAGGTGCTTGGAGGTCAATCTCCGGCACGTTGTTCTTGATGGGGCTTGTGGCCTTCTTCTTCTTTGCTGCCGGCCTCTTGGGCGTTGAAGGGCCCTTGGCATTGGACGCTTTACTCGCTGTGGGAGGATCTGTCTCGATGGAAGCAACAATTTCCGCAGGTGCAAGGAGCGCGGGTCGTGGCACCCTATGAGGAACAGCAGTGTTGAGAGAAGGCGCATCATCTTCTGTCAGATCGATGACGGCAACAGACTTCCTCTGCGTTGTGTCCTGAGTTGGCAGCTGGGGAACAAGGCAATTGAAGACGGAGTGCCCATTGTCGACGACTTCTGTCTTCTTTCCGACCGGTATCTCACTGAACTCGTCCGCAAATTGAACGACGTACTGACCTCCAGCTTTGAATACAGATTCGTATTTCTTCAGCTCTTGAGCCTGGAACTCGTCCTTTGCCAGGGCAAACATGTGAAACTGCTTCAACGAGCACGATTCCCAAGAGCGGATGAATGGGCTGAGCCTCTCTGAAGCCGCAGCAAAGAGTTTCTCGATTTCTCCCCGCAATATGGGTTCTTCGAGGTTTGGGAGCAGCTCCTCGTAGGTTGGGCGCTTGGGCATGGTGTTCCACGGAGCCGACGACCTCCAGTCAGATGCATCTAGGTACTTTTGAGTTGCGTCGTAGGTAGCACCCTTGCTCTTGCCGGCAACGACCTGGCCCTGTTGGGCAGAGACGGCGACTTGCTCGACAGACGTGGCATCTGGGGTTGACTGGTTCTCCTGGGCAATCTGCTCGGCAATCTGAGAGTCTGCCCCGAGTCCCTCGCCCTCTTGGGTGGAAATGGCGACTGGCTTGACAAGCGCAGCATCTGGGGCTGCCTGTTCCTTTGGCGCAAGATGATCCGCAATCTGATGGTCAGCTCGAAGTCCCTGGTCAGGCAATACCGCGGAGTTCTGTTCTGGCAATGCGTCGACTTCCTGGTTGGACAGCGTGTTGGGAAACAGGCCGAGATTTTGTTCGAAGACCTGAGTGGAGGGTGCTCCGAGCAACGACTGATGGAACATTTCTCCATACTCCTCCCCGCTGCGTGACAGTGGCATTGGGCCAGACATCTCTTCGGCCAAGATCTCCTGAGAGAAGTGGTCTCCCTCAACCGGTAGCCAGGGACCGTCCCAGAAACCGGCCTCATCGACAACGCCGACGTTTGACTCATCTGCGGCAACTGGCATCTGCTCAGCGGGAGCAAGAGCTTGCTGCGGTACTGCAGCATCCGCGTTGGGAACAGCCTCACCAACCAAGTGCTCGGAACTCTGGCCATCGGCAGTGGTACCAGGGAAGTTGTTGGCCTCGCTGCCAATGTTGCTGATGGATTGTGGCTCATTTGTGATCTGGCACGGGACGGAGGCTATCTCGAGATCCACCTCTTGAACCACGCTGCTGACGAGAGAGTCATCGTTGCCAATGTTGCCCTGGGTGACTTGCTCCTGCACAGCTGGCTGGATGAGGGTGGAGGGTTTGGCTGCGACCTCAGAGATTTGTGCCTCCTCAGTGGCTTGGAAAGATGCCGGACCAGGCTCGGGCTGCTCATCTTCCTCGTCATCGCTGAAAAGGGATCCGAAGTCGTTGTTCTCAACAACTTGCGCTTCAGGAGAAACATGTTCTTTGACGGGGGCAGCATCGGCTGCGTGGTCAGAGATCCGGGGCTCCTCAGTAGTCTGAGAACATCCCAGAGCAGTCTCAAGCTGATTGTCTTCCTCGCAATCACCGAAAAGAGAGTCTGAATCATTGTTTTCGACAACTTGCTCCTCAAGAGAAACATGCTGGCCAATGGGAGAAACATCAGCTGCGTGCTCAGAAGTCTGGAGCTCCTCAGTGGTTTGGGAAGATGACAGATCAGGCTCGAGCTGGTCGCCGCCTTCGGAATCGCTGAAGAGAGAATCGTAGACATTCGTGTCGTCACTAGATTCGATTTGGTGCTCGATGGCAGGTACCTGCTCGGTCGACGCAGAGAACTGTTGCTGCTCCTGCTCTTCAGCGGCGCTAATGGTCGGATCCTCCAAGAGGCTCGTTCCAGAGGAAGCGAGCTGAGATTCGTATTTCTTGCTGAAATCCAGTGCCTCGAACTCGGCCTCAAAAAAGCTCGTGCCTTCTGCTTCAAATGAATGCATGGAAAAAGGATCCTCTGTGGAAACGCCATAGTCGCCTTCGAGGGTGCTAGCGCTCTGCGTGAGCAGATCTTGGCTGGCCACCACCTTGGGCTTCTCGATGCTCTGGGGCTTCTCGATTGATGGGGACTTCTCGATGGTCTGTGGCTTCTCAATTGTCTTAGGAAGCTTGACTGTCTTGGGCTTGTTGACTGGCTTTGGCTTCTCAGTGGAACGAGCTTTGCGATTACGATCCCGAGAGTCGACCCAGCCGGTGAAATCCCATGTTTGGACGGGACAGTCTGGCAGCTCGTTAACTTCCTCGAGTCGTTGCCTCCGCTTGCGGTTGAGGTCGTCAATCTGCCTCATCACGCGGCCTCTCTCGTCGGCATTCCCGTGATTGCACTCGTTCCAGAGCTTGCGAATCTTTTGGTTGTACAGAACAACATAGTTCCAGGCGATATCGATGGGGCTTAAGTGATACTGGCCAAGAAGTGCCAGCTGACGTCGGAGCTGCATCTTGTTATGCTTGATCTGTTGGAGTTTGCCCAGGAAATACTCCTCAAAGTCGGACTTGAATGCGTCGCGCGTCTGTTCGGCGATCATCACAGTGTATTCCTCGGCGAGGTTGCGGGCGAGGTCATCGTCGATCGGTACGATTTCCTCCTCCTCATCATCGGTCTCCACTTCTTCTTCGTCGCCATCTGATGCGTCGTCCTCGTTGCTGTCCTACTGCATCTCGGAGTCTTCATCGCTGGCGAACTTGGGGTACTTCGTTGAAGGGCCTTTACCGCCGAAGCAGACTCGCTCACCGTTCAGCTTCACGCCAACCTTGCCGCTGAGGCGAAAGGGCCTCACTGGTGGCTCAGGCTCTGGCTCAGGCTCTGACTCCGACTCTGATTCGGTGTCGGTCTCGACATTCTTGCCGAGACCAGGCCTGAAGCTCTCTGCCTCGAACACGACCTGCGTTCCGTCGTCCTGGGGGACGCTCTTGCCACCTTGAGGACGCTTGGGAGCTGCTTTCTCAACGTGCGGGTTGCGCTTGAGGCGGTACCTCTTGGGCTTGAAGGCGTACTTGTCGTACTCAATTTTATCGCCGTCGTCATCGGAATAGTAGTCGCGTTCCTCAAGCAAGACCCACAGCTTGTCGCCTTTCGCGGGCAGAGAGGTGACGGAGCCCTCGTCGTCCGAGTCGTCAGCGTCGTCCTCGGAAGAATCGCCGTCGGCAGTGGTGATGCTGGTGTCGGCCCAGGCAGGTTTCTCGATGGCGCTGGAGGCATCATCGTCCTGCTCAATTGGCTTCATGGTGATGTCGCCGTCGCAGTCAGACTCCTCGTCGCAGTCAGACTCCTCGTCGCAAGCAGACTCCTTGTCGCAATCAGACTCCTCGTCGCTGGCAGTGGTGACGCTGCCGTCGGCCGATACGGGCTCATCAATGGAGCTAGAAGTATCGTCGCCATGCTCAATTGATTTCATGGTGGTGTCACCGTCAGAGTCAGCAGTCTCAACGTTGCCGTTGGTGTCGTAGAAAGTCAAGTCCATCTCACGATCAGTGTCGGGGACCTTGTCGCTGCCGTTAGTATTGGCAACGATGGTCTTGGCCTCCTCAAGAACGAGCTTGGTGGCGTCAGTGACGGGCTTGAGGCTGATACCAGTGGTATCGGTGCGGCCAACCTTGGTCTGGTCGTTCTTGGAAATGTGGTCCGACATCTTGGTCGAAATTGTTGGTTTGCTTGATCGGAAGGGGTTTCGGATTGATGCTCTTCCAATATGAAGTAGAAGAAAGCCCTGTGCCTGAAGGTACCTTTCTTCGCTGTCGTGTCTTGAGAAGCGTGGCTTCTCGTCGTTACGGTCGTGAGAAGGTGAGTACAGGTTTTGGAGGATACCTTGCTGCCGTCTTCAAGATGAATGACAAGGCGAAGAGATTGAGGTGGGTATGAGTATCGTCACGGTCGTCAATTGAGTCTTTGTCGAGTCGTGATGGTATGTATGGTACAAGCGGTCAAATCGTCCTGCGATTGATGCTTGCTCTAAGTAGAAGAGGTCAGCCGAAGGTTCGAGAAAGTTGCAGTCGCTTCAAAGTTGAGGCAGATGTGAGAATGGGGACGATGGGGCAGCGCACACAAACAGCAGACGGGTATAAGTGAATTCCATCCGCTTTTGCGTGGTGGAGTAGCGCAAGGTCAGACGGCCCCCTAGCTGACGGGCAAGAAGGAAGGGAAAAGTGCTTGCAGGGTGAAAGTTGCATGCTGAATTGCGCAGGAGATGTGGTTTTCGTCCAGGTGCTCCCGTCCAGGTGCTCCCACTGGGAGTCCTCAAGACCAATTGATCGCCGCGAGAGGCGCAATTAGACAGAAAGCAGAGGGAAAGTGTAAATGTCGAGGGGATGGAAGCGGAAAGTGATTATGCAAGAGAATAGATACCCACCAAGTTTGCAGATGAGAGCCAAGTCTTGCCACCGTTTTCCCACTGGGATACGCAAGACCAAACTCGCCACCGCAAAAGGGTCAATACAGATGAAGAGTGCCTTGAGTGTAGAGTTGGAGGGGATGTGTCTTTGCGAGGGAAAGGTGAGGACGCAAGCTGCGAGGGCTGCGATGGTGAAGGAGGGTCTGCCGCTCTAAGGACGAACGACGTTGATATGTACTGGGTGTGACGCTTACCTCTGTGAATGGTGTCAGAAACTGTCTTTGCAGTTCTGGCGATGCGTTGTACAAGTGTACAGGTTGTCGTTGGAGAGCGTCAAAGTTGCTGAAGCTCTCGTGGGTTAAGGTTTGGGTGTCAGAAGCTGACTAGCAGTCCTGGCGAGTGGCTGTACGAGTGCACAAGTTGATGAAGAGCGTCGAAGTACTGAGGCTCTCGAATTGAGGTCAGGAAGTGTCTTGTCGTTCTGACGATGGTGTTGTGCAAGTGTACAAGTCTGAGAGTGAGAAGGATTTGCAGTTATCACAAATCGAAGGGCAAGGTTGATCTGGAGTGAAGTTGAGGAAATCTGACGAAGGGAAAGGTCAAAAAGTACAGTCGGCGAGCAAGTCAATCACTGCATTCGGGTTGGGAAATTCGGCGGCTGGTGACCAAAAGGTTGGATGAAAACTAGGAATAAGACGTTGACATAGGGGTTTGGGTCGACGATATACTTGCGCCGCCTGAATTGCGTGGGCTTCGTATTGAGCACCTACTTCGAGCTATGCGCAGGGCTTTTTCGACCGTCCAAACTCTTGTTTGCTTGCACACTTTCTTCACTGAGCGAGCTTGCGTTCGCTCAGGTGAGCTTCACTCAGCCCGAAGTGACTTCCGCAGGGAAACGTCACCCGTGTGATTCGCAGGATATCCTCACTTTGGGGCGAGGAGATACGGAGACATGCCTTTTCTCATACAGAGCTGCGTGTGCAGATGAAGCCGAGACAGCAGTGGCCAGGGTACACTCTTGAAGAAGACAGGAACATAAAGGAGCAGGGAGCAAAGCATTATACGGACTTTTCTATGCTATCTCTCGCATCAACTACTTCTAAGGCCTCTCATGAGACAGTCTCTTCAGAACGTTGTAAGTGGACGTAGTTAAGTAGGCACTGCAGCATCATTGGTATCAAATTTTCTACTTGAAGACTCGGAGACCTAGAGGGTAATTTCTCAATTATGTATGCTTATATGACTCCCTTACACCACATGCTGCTAATGTTCGAGGAGCTCCTTGCAAATGTCGTGTACCTCGAAGAAGCCTAAAGAAGGTAGCAGGGGAATGTCTGACCTAGAGAGGCTTGATGCCAGTACGGCCACGTCCACGATGTGTGAGACAATGACTTCTCGCGGCAATTGACAATGAATTTATTTGACCATTACGACGAGATTGCTTGAAATGATCACTTGCGGCTGGTCACTGTGCCTGTTTTGTCAAGCAAAATTTGCGGACGGCCAATAGCTAGTACAGAGACATCTGCGTTTGCTTTGCGATCAAGACCGGGCATCTGAGATCATCTGCATACCTTCACTTCAGCATCCTTCACTTCATCTCAGAGCCTCTGACTGTCATAGATTTGGTAAGAGGAACCATCGTATGCCTCTGGCCCCCAGCATGTGAGACCTCTCTCGCGATAGAGAGCAGACCTTGTTGTATTCGGCTCCATGGAGTTCTACCCAAGAAGAATTCTGCGCGGCGAGCTATACATCCTTGAATTTCAAGCGCGACAAGTAGCACTGGCTAATTGTTTTGCCGGTTACCTACTTCGGATGCGATGCGAGACCTTTCTTCAAGCTCGTTCAGGTACGAGACATGAGCGCATGGATACAAGGCGGACGTGTTTGTAATTCATACCATTACTGTGAAATAGTTCAACGTAGTTGAATGGGTCGCAGAGAGTTGGACTATCCTTCCCAATGACAGACACCTCGATAATTACTCCGTCCAAGGCGTCGACAAGATTACTCTCCACCAGCTAGTGGCAAATTGCCAACTTTCACTTGCTTTGGGCATGAGTGCCTTATTTCAATATGTCTTCTTTCTGCCCCCCTCAGACGTGACCCAGCCACAAAACTCATGTGTCACCTGAAAGCAGTGAGGGAAATTGGTTCATGATTCTTCTGTATACTGTGCAAGAGAACCCACAGTAATAAAGTAGTCAGCCGCCATCTGCCCAAGTACGGCGACCAAGCCGAGACTCCACAAGCCTAAAAAGGCCCCAAAGAGCCCAAGATCCCGGCAGAATTTAACGCGCCAATCGTGCCATGCGGCCCTGACAGCTGGACCGTTCGGCTAAGCGGACCTTGCAGCCATCGTGACCGACTAGTCGGGCTCCCCAGTCTCCCCCGGAGTCCCCGCACAAACACCAAGCCAATTGAAGGTGGTTCTCCGCAACCTGATGCCCCGAACCGAACCATGTCGCTGGCGAGATTTCTGCCACTTCTATGACGAGTGGGACGGCGCTCTTGTTCGATGGAGCCAAATATTGGCTTCGGCCTGGGCTACCGAGGCTGTGGAAACTTGTCGCAATGGACGAACTACATAAGGACGGTGATGGCGCCTGTATGGCCGAGTTGCCTTTCATTGGCGTGGCCACACCTCTCAATATCCCATCTCGAGTGTCAGGATGAAGTCCTCAATATGTTGTGCAGCCGCTTTGGCGGCCCTGACGGCATCCGCTAAGAAGACAAAGTAAGCACATCCCGACGCTCATGGCCACAACGTTCTATACACTGACCCATCCACTTAGCCCATCGTCCCATCAGTTCTTCTACAAGGGCCATGATCTATCATCGCTGGGCACGATGGAGGCCTCGGACAGCTTCTACGTTGACACAGCCCGTGGCAACCTCACGCGGCCAGCCGACGACATCCTAGCCGACGGAGGCATGAACGGCGTGCGGCTGCGCCTCTGGGTCGACCCGGAGGGCGGCACCAACGGCTTCGAGTACACGCTCGCGCTCGCGGAGCGCTTCCAGGCCAAGGGCCAGCGGCTGTACCTGGACTTCCACTTCAGCGACAGCTGGGCGGACCCGCAGAAGCAGCCGACGCCAGCGGCGTGGCCGACGCCGGACCAGGGCGTCGGCGCGCTGGCCTCGACGCTGCGCGAGTACGTCAACGAGACGCTGGTGGCCTTCAGCGAGGCCGGCGTGACCTTCGACATCGTGGCGCTGGGCAACGAGGTGCGGCACGGCATCCTGTGGCCGCTGGGGTACGTGGACGTCGACACGGACGACGCCTCGCTGGCGGCCAACTTCACCAACCTCGCGACGCTGTACAAGGCGGCGCGCAAGGGCGTGGACGACGCCGCGCGCGCGTGCGGCCCGCGCCACGCCCGGCCACAGACGATGATCCACGTCGACAACGGGTGGAACCTGACGCTGCAGCAGCGGTGGTTCGGCGCGCTCGAGGACGCCGGCGTGGCCCGCCACGAGTGGGACGTCTTCGGCTTCAGCTTCTACCCCTTCTACGGCACGTCGGCCACGCTCGCCAACCTGCGCGACACGCTCGGCTGGCTGGCCGATGAGTACCGCAAGCCGCTGCACGTCGCTGAGACTGATTACCCGGCCATCTGCAACGGCCAGTACAACCCCATCCCCGAGTCGTCGGAGCCCGAGATCCCGTACAACGTCGACGGGCAGATCGAGTGGATGCGCGAGGTCGTCCAGGTGGTGAGGGAGGTGCCGCGCGGACTGGGTCGCGGTGTGTGGTACTGGGAGCCGGCCTGGTTGAACAACACGTCGCTGGGAAGTGCATGCGAGGACGCCATCCTGTTCAGGCCGGATTATAGCGGGTGGCCAAAGACGGTTGGTTATTCGAGGCCCTCTGTGGACTTCTACTTGAATGTCTAGAGAAAGTTGGATAGAGCAAGGTACACTTGAATAAGATGGACTGTCCACATCTACACTGCGCCCCTCCCAGCCATGAATGGCCTGTGCTGGCGACTAGAAGACTGTTCCGTACCACTTTTTGCTTGACCAAAGACCAATGTAAAACAAAGCCATGCGAGCCCAGAAACCCTATGAATTATGCTTTTAAAATGCGTGTAGGCAACGCATGTCGACTGTGCAGTCCAATGTGGTGCCCTCATGTTTCCAGTATCTACCAATGACCACGAGACCCGCAAGAAGCACCGGCATCCCATTTCGCCCAAGACTTAGGCATGACGTCTTACGACCCATACTTGCAAATGCGGCCAAGGAAATGCGAGGTCTAATCTCAGCAACCTCTCTGACGGCTTTTACAGGTAGTTTGTCGACAATTGTCAGATCTAACGCTTCGCGCTCTCGTTCTCCTCAGGCGCATCTTCTGTCTCCTCCTACGAGACCTCCTCGACCATCTTTCTCGGAGGCGCCAAGGCAGTCGGGCCAGCGCCTGTGGGGCGGACGCCGTTAACGAACAGGCGGCCGGCAGGGCCCTCCAGTATCTCCTCAGGCACCGAGACACGCTCGCCGTCTTTCGTGCTGACCCATCGGATGAAGACGGGGTTGGGTTTCCAATCGCCGTCACCCGACCCATCCTCGTTAATGGTCTGGCCACCCTTCCGGTTGGTCTTGCTGGCTTGCTTCTTGAGGAGTTTGTTGATTGTTTCTTGCTACACACCAAATTTGCATTAGTGGGTGTCGTTGCGATTGTGTGGTAGCTGATCGAGGCATACCTTGACTTCCTCGTTGCGCTTCTCGCTGAGATTGCGCCGTCTTCGGGCCATCTCGGCCCGCCGCATGGCCTTTTCCTCTACCGTGAAGACCTTCTTGGCCTGGACCTCTGTACGTAGGCTGTGGTCAGTAGAGCGCTTTTAGGGTGGTAAAACTAACACGTACCGTTTGACAAGGCTTGATAGTGACTCTCGTCGAGCTCCTCAAAGCGCGCCCTCTGACGCACTGTCATGCGAGTCTTGTTAGGTGCAGCGCTTTCGTCATCACTGTCAACGTCTTCTTCTACGTCCTGGCCGACCTCAGCGTTCGGCTCCGGCTCACCCTCGGCGTCTTGATCCTCCTCGATTTCTTCGCCCTCGGCGTCCATATCTTCGTCCTCTTCCTCCCCCTCGGCATCCTCTTCTCCCTCCATCTCCTCATCACTCTCCAGCTCGCTGAGCTCGTCGTCGTCCGAGTCATTGATCGTTGCACCAGCCTTCTTGGGGGTGATGTCCTTGGTCTTCTTGCTCTCGGGCGACTTCTTATTCGCCTTTTGAATTTTGATGACGGGCGCAGGTGCTGGTGGAGCCATATCGACATCTTCTTCACCTTCTGCGTCTTCGTCGTCGTCGCCCTCGGCGTCAAGATCCATGTCCTCCTCGATTTCCTCGCCCTCGGCATCCTCATCGACGTCGTCCATTTCCTCGTCATCGTCCTCATCCTCGTCTGCCACTACAGCAGGCGCGCCGACCTGGATCTCATCCTCACCCACTTCCTCATCGTCCTCTTCGTCACTCTCGGATTCGACCACGTAGCTCTTCTTTCCGCCTCTAGTGGACCGCTTAGGAGTGGAGTCGTTGTTGACCGAGATGCTGGAGCCCTGCTTGTTGCTCGTTGCCTGGCGTAGCTTACTGGAAGGCAGCTTGACGGTCAAGTAGGTGTGGTCCTTGCCCCCCTGTGATCCCCTAGAGACAGAGGCAAGGTTGTCTCCGGACCTCCGTGAGCGAGATGAGGACATGTTGTCTCTATCGGCCATGTCAGTAATTGCGACGGATGCCTTCTGGGCCGCCGAGCGACGCGGTCTAGACGCCATGGCGGTGGCAAGACGGTGACAACGGGCAAACGCAGGGTGTCTCTTGTGAGATGTAGGTAGGGGCTGCGGATGATGAATTTAGGGCAGGATATTAAGTCAGGGTGATGAAAAGTGATGATGGTTGATGAGAAATGATGAGATGTCGTCAAAGGCAAGAGGCAATAAGAAGGGTTGGCGTTGGATTGATTGGATCGGTAAGCAGTGGGGGCACAGGCTGATTGACGAACGGCCTGGCCGATTGTGTTTGAGGTTCAATTAAGCTCCGGTCCGAGGTGCTTGCTGTCATGTGCGACCCAACGCAAGTGAGACGCGGTGACACAGAGGTGTAGATGCCCGGACACCAGCGGCTGGAGGGATTATGGAATAGATAATAGGCCAAGCCCACCCTATCAAGGGAGACTCCCGAAATCCCACGCCAACAGTCACTCGCTCGCGCTAGAAGCTTCCCGACCGCCGCGGTCTCTCTCACAACCCAGAAGGAGTGAGTGCGGAGTCGGTCGAGATCAAGCAAATGCCAGACAGCCGGCCGTGATGATGCAGTGAGATGGTAGTGCAGATTATCACTGGCCGGAAGCCGCGCCCCAGCCGACACTGACTAGCCTTGCGAGAGACTATCGGACTGTTTTGTTGGAGTGATGGAGTCTTGGAGTCTTGGTGGTGACTGGCAGGATCGGCCGAGCCAATTTCCACGTGGTGGCGCGGTGGGAACTTGTCACGGCGCGGAGGACCTTGTTGGTGATGGTTGGGCCGGCTCGTCTTTATTAGACACGACGGAGCCGGGCAGCCAATGCCAGATTATCCTACGTCCGCCCTGTGCCTTTTGAGTGTCCACAAACCGTGGTCGCCCAGCAAAACACTGCAACACACTGCATTGCGCTGCACTGCACTGCACTGCAATGCGATGCTATGCGATGCGATGCAACGCAATTGCCACTGTCCAGCCGTTGCTTCTCGCCCGGCTCGTTCCAGCCAGATAGCGCCAATCTTGAGTTCAGCCTTTCTCTCCTTTGGGGAGGTGAGGCCGTCTCCGATTGAGCCGTGCTTGTGCTTTGTGCACCGATTGTGGCACCCTGCCGGTATGATCGACCCACTCGGTGGCGACAATGTCACTTGAATGTCAATTGGCAGAGGAGTGAGAACGGCAATTTCAGTCAAGATGAGCGACAAGAGATGTGCCCCGGTGACAGATCTCGCTGTGCTCACTGAGTTCGGCCGCCGTGTTGCATCGATCTCCAAAGCAATCAAGTGCAGACGGGGCTCGCCCCAAGATGGACGGCAGCATGGATGTTATGTCGTACTGTACTGTACAAGGACGAATGACGAGATGAGAGCATACAACACGCGATGACAGCAAGAAAACGCCCCCTTACTTACAATTGCTGTACACAATACGTATGGTGTGATATGATAGACTATACCCAGGTGTGCTCCAACGGAGTGAGCCCTGAAGATCTCTGCGGCCGATGGATTGTGGCTGGCTGGCCGGCCAAGCCTCTTTGTCACCTGGGATGCAAGGTGAGACGGCCCTGGCGGATAAGATCGATCTATCGCTTTATGATCTGTGTACTCAGGTACTGTAGGTCACCTGTATGTTGAGTGCCTCTTGTCAGACATTCCTATTCCTGCCCTTCTCATGCCGGGCCAGCTTCCTAGCCCGGGCAAACACAAGCAACATGACTGACTGACGGGTTACTTACCGCTCGAAGTCTTTCTCTCTCTATCTATGTCTCTCCTTCTTCCCGCCCAGAACCAGTGGGTGGCTGTGGCTGTCTGTATTGAGCCTGTGTCACCAACAGGCCTAAGTCTTCGGGACTTTCGTCTTGGCTGTCCGCCTATAGTGGAGATGGTTCTTTGACAGGCAAATCGTGCCGTGACAAGCGATATTCCTGAGTCGGCCCTGCAGTAGTAAATGAGGTCGCTTTACCGAGTGGAAGCCGGGGGTGGGTAGCGGGTGAGATTCTGGAGCATCAGGGCAGCGAACCACTCAAAGAACGCAGGCTGATTTGCAGGAGGCAATCTGATGTGGATATTAAGCGCGTCCAATGGCCTTTGCAACCAGGTCTAGCTGAATGGAATGTGTTGTGGCTGTTGAATGTCACACAGCGGAAGAGGACTGGACTGTCGCAGCAGGACTGCCACAGCAGAATTGCCTGCATTTTCAGGCCAGCCCAGCCTGCAGTCAGTCGGGCGGTCCTCACTTTTCCCTTCCTCAGCGGCCAGAAGCAGCGGAAGGTTGACGGTCCGTGCGCACCACCGGCCACCCCAGCTCTGCCCAGCAGCCAGCCCAGCCCAGCACACGCCGAGCCGAGGTCCATGAGCTGCCCCAACCGGGCGCGAATGACCTCAACCCGCAACGGCTGTAATCCTGCAACTCTACCTTCTACCTGCCTGCACAATATCTTCCATCTCCTTCAAAATAATACACCACTGCAGCCAGGTGGAATCCAGATTTCAAACCTCTCCAATTATAATATTACAAAGTCACTCCAGGGCGCATTGCCACACAGCTGACCATGGGGGAGCAGGACAGAGAAGAAGGAGGCTCAATACCCTCATGGCAACAAGCAGCCTCCTCCACACCCAGCGACTCAGATGCCACCACACTGGAGCAGGCCAGAATATTCCTGCAGGATGAATCAGTCAGGGAATCCACCAGGGAAAAGAAGGTGGAATTCCTCAAGTCCAAGGGCTTAGGCGAGGCTGATATCAACACCTTGCTGGAAGAGACCGATGCTGTCGGTGCAACAACAACGACAACCACACACCACGCGACCAAGCTTGAACCTCGAACAGAACCAGCTCAGGATAGCACCAGGGCTGTCTCAGCCCCAGAATTCAGGGCAGACCAGCCTCCAATCATCACCTATCCGGAGTTCCTCACCAAGCCCGCCAAACCTCCTCCACTGATCACCGCCTCCGGTCTAGTCAACTCCCTTGGCATAGTCGCCGGCCTCTCAACCTTCGTCTACGGCGCCACAAAGTACCTTGTCAGCCCCATGGTCGACACGCTCACCGAAGCACGAGTGGATTTCCACGAGAACGCCAACAAGAACCTGTCGCAGCTCGTCGAGAAGCTAGAGCACGCCGTGTCCGAGATACCCGAGTCGTACCACACCGCAGGCAAGAAGGCGGCCCTCACAAGCACACACGCCGCCGCTCCGTACACAGACGCCGGCGACGACGACGCCAGCAGCTACGACGACCCGACCGAGCTCTTCCACCGGGACGTCGGCGTGCAGACCTCGCCGCCCTCGACGCCGGGCCTGGCAGGCGGCCTGTCGTACCCCGCGGCGGACAGCACCGGCGCCGGGGCCAAGCACAGCTCCATCGTCACGGCGCAGCAGCAGGCCGACAAGATGGGCCGGCTGATCAGCTCGATCCGCGACCTCAGCACCGACCTGGCCTCGCAGGCCGACGGCTTCGGCGAGACCAAGAACGTGCTGGACGACTTCGGCCGCGACCTGCACACCCTGACGTACCCGCCCGAGTCCTTTGGCGTGAGCAGCAGCTACCTGTACGGCGCGGCGCGGAACGAGCCCGACGACGAGATCAAGAAGGTCAAGAACAACATCAGGAGCGTCAAGGGCGTGCTGCTGAGCACGAGGAGCTTCGCGGCCCCGACGAGGTGATGGGCTTCGGGGTGGGAGTGGGAAGCGGGCCCGCGGCTGAAGTATGGCAACCATGTGTCGGAGAGAATGCCTTTCCCTGTGAGTAGGAGCATTCTTAGCGGGGAATGATCTTCTAGCAGGAAGCGAACGCAGGAGAACGAGGAGACGTCCACAAAAGGGAAATAGGACTAGAGCGCAACCTGTACGTAGCAAGCCACAAGTGGCCGACGATTGCTTGACGAGTGATGAAAATACTGTACCCAATGATACCCTTTCACTTGTACTCCAACCTCTGGCCGGAAGGGTACGCATTTCCCATCTCACACATAATCATGGCATCTGGACAACATGGCACGTGTCACCGACCTTTACACTAGTATTTAGCAGGAAAGAGCTACATTTGTGACTGTGATGATTGCCTGGAGCGCATCCTTTTGCTATGTTCATTTCCCTTTTCTTATGTTCGTTCCCCTTTTCTTTTTCCGATCCATGACCTTGTACATTTCCCTTTCAGTGGGAAAAAGAGCCACATACTCCCGCCAACTCCTCATCCAAAGCGAGAAGGCAGCCGATCATGCGAGCCGCGTTGATATCCCTTCAATTCAAGTACCGCCTAGAATCTTCGTACTCTGGCCTCGACCAATAAACAGAGACATACCAGATCACCCCTGAAACACCAACAAGCTGCTCACACACACAATCCGGCGTATTGCGAGTACCTAGTGTTGCCCCGCCTGATATGTTCTCCACTTTGCGTCCGTCTTTCGCTCATAGACCACCTGGACGCTGCCAGAAAGACTAGACAGGGCTCATATCCATAGGGCTGCTGTGGGTGCTAGACCCAGAGCCCTTGCGGGATATGGACCCTGCCTGCCTCGGCCGCTTCTGGCCGATCCTTAACTGGTCAAACACCTTCTCCCAACGGTCCACGTAGATATGCTCGTACTGCCGGCCCTCAGCCACGAGGTCCGCATACCATTCCATGGTCGGTTTGAAAGTGTAACTCATCGTGGTGACTTTGCTGTCGCGTAGCCGTGCCAGTCGAGCCTGTTCGAAGAGGTCGTTGGTGCACCTGGACGAGTGTGGGGGTCCAACCGCCGCGGAGCCGCGGGGTGGATGGAAGATGATGCGGGTTTCCTCATCGTACTCGCCGTCGTTTTGGTCGTCTACGCTGTCTCGACCGAAGGCATTTGTGTTGCCCAAGCCGGCCCTTGGCTCCGTTGAAGTCTGGGTCAAGGACACCTCTCGCCACCCGTTTTGTCGCATGAAGCCGTCCGAAGAAGGCACCATCCACTTAAGTTCCGACAAGGTTGACAAGGGCTCAAGGAACTCTGCCGTCATATCAGCCGGCAGCGTAGAAGATAGCCGCTGCAGGTGGGTTCGGAAACCACCCAGCCAGACTCTATCGATTCTAGAGCCTGGGTTCTTCTCCGCCCCATGCGCCTGCATGAACTTGACCACTTCTCGCTGCATCCAATTCAAATCAGATAATCGCAGTGAGTGATTGTTCTCAAGCTCATTTCCTGCACGGACGTCCCAGAAAATGAGCTCCATTTTCCCGTGCCTATATCTTTCCCATTTGACGTGAGGCTCCCATGGGCGATATATCACAAGCCACGGGTGCCGTTTAGGCTTGAGTCCCCTTGGAAATTTGCTGGGATCCCATTCTTCTTCGATTGTATAGAAGAACGCAATGTAAGTATTGAAGGTCTGATGTGAATCTCCAAGCCAAGGATAAGGCCATGAAAACCATTGTTTGAGTGTCGCGAACTCCGTCTTAGGATCACCGAAATGGTCTGCCATGCCGACGTCAGCCCATGACACTGGGATTCCGTAGATTCTGACCGAACCGGGCTTATCTTTGTTGCGCAGAAAATGTTGAATGTTATGGTCATAGTTTGCAAACTTCTGGCTCTGAAATGACAAAGTTGGCCTCCGTCCGATCTGTCTGCCATCGTCATTGGCAGGCGCACTGTCTGTCGCTTCATTGGGTCCCTTCATTGCAATCCGCAAGGCTTCGTTCGGATCGTTGACGACAGAACGCTCGTAATTGGGAATGCGCACAGAACGACAGGCCCTTGAAAGTGGCTCGATGCCGTTCTGTCTCGTCTGTTTGACCGCGGGGGAAGACCCAAGGACGTAGAATTTGCGGTACTTGTCGACTTTTGCCAAAGACCACCAACCAAACCAGTTGACGAGGCTCTGCTCATCATTTTGGTCGATAGACCGATCAGCGAAGATCACATGGTTCTCCTCGGACAAGATCCCATTTCTCTCCATACTGACGGACAGCCAGTCCTCGGCCATGATCCAAGCCTTTGCCCTTGCAATTAGATCTTGGTCACTCAGAGCAGCAGCATTTCTCTGATCGGCGGCTTCCAATTCACTCATGTACTTCCCTCGCTGTTGCTTTAACGTTGTCTGTAGCTGGTTCGCCTCACCAGCCAGATCGCGGAGGAAATCGATAATGTTGTACGCAGTAACAAGCTTGTTGGAGGAGTACATGGTCTGATTACCGAAGAACCACTCAAACAGCTGTAGAACTTTTTGGGGCTCAGATACGATGAAACTCGGCGTTACCAATATGGCCTTCCCAATGGGGAACAGCCGTGAAAAGACGTCCGGAGTCAACCGCGTTGTAGATCCTTCGGAAGACTGCACCTGCTGCAAACCCATGGTAGTAGAGAAGCGCCAGAAGCTGTAGTTCTTGTCGATCTGCAGTATTTCAGCAACGGCTGGAAAGCGCCGGACATAATCGACAACTGCCTCGTGTATCACGACGACACCACACTGGTTGTTGGCTTTCTCGAGGAATGCAGACCAACTGCCAGGATCCCAACTTGTGAAGATCTTGCAGTCAGGGTTGCACGCATACAGCCAGGTGCTGATGGACCTGTACCAATCAAGCGCTGCGTCGGGGAACGCGAGGAAGAAATGATGTTCTCTCCGCTCAGAGGGCCCTGCTACAAGTCTTTCGTACTGCATCCCAAGAAGACTGCGAAACACGGCCTTTTGTCCTTTACCAACGGCGGCGTCAGTTAGCTCGTTGGGCATGGCTGCGAGTGGTCTAATTAATCGGAAAATGTTATGAGATGACCTGAAGATGAAATGCCTCAAGGCTACTTCAGGAGAATTTGACGGTTCTATACCGAGTGAGTCCATCTGAAACCCGTCACATCTTGTTGGATAAATTACTAAGTTGTAATTCTCATGCGACATGAAAAGTCCAGAGTGACCGACTCTTAAATGCTCGGCGAGAACCTCCAGACTCGTACTGCTTGCAGAAGTAACTTTGCCAGAGCAGAGGACGTCATTAGCACGGCGATTATAGGGGTCCTGGCTTCTTAGCTGGCTCAGCTGATCAATGATTGACTCGGCGAGGACTGTATGTCTGAATTGAAGGCGGTCTGCGTCGCAGAACTCCCGCAGCCATTGCTGGTCTGCCTCGCGAGAACTATCCTTCGGAACATTATGGAAGGTGACATCAAGCGAACGATATCCTGTGGCCAGGATGATTTTCTTTTCCACGTTCTGCACGTTTCTTAAGTGGTATGTGGCAAGTGATAGCTTCGTCTTGGGTTCAGGCGGAGGCGATGGCGACCCCGGCGGCGGAGGAGGCGAACGTATCCTGCTTGTTGAAATTGGAGTCTCATCGAGACCCAATGGCTCGCTCACGAAGGGATCACCGTCCTCCCCAGTAAAGCGGACAGTCTTAGCCTTTTTCTTGGAGCGGTCGGCATCAAAGTCGAAGGATGTTCTCTTCAGTATCGCGGATTTTGGCTCGCTGGCCGAGGTGCTACTTCGGCGAATGCCGGCTGAAGGCGTGCTGTTGGACCTGATCGTGGCCTCGTCCGTCAAGTTGGAAGCCATGCCGTCACCGTCCCCAGACTGCCTCGTGTTCTGGGCCGACGTCTGCCTAGGAGGAGGAATATGACCAATGCTGAACAATTGATCTGCCACCTTGCTGACATCCGGTGCCTGATCGTCGTGATCTCTAGATCTCAACTCAGCCTTGCGCCGGAACCTATGCAATTTGAAGAACTTTGGATCTTTGCTGGGGTCGACCATTGCACTTGCGAGATTCTGTCTCGGCTGCCGTTTCCTCCCGTCAGTGAAGATGTTGGTTGCAGCGATTGGCACTTTCCCACTTTTCTTAGCAGTGAGACCCTTCCTAACAAGAGTAGGAGTGCTCGCCGGAGTTTTGGTTGAAGCCTCGCCAGATAGACCTGTGCCGCGTGGAGTGGTTTTGGCTTGCACGGTGCCAGTACTTGCTCTGCGAGCTGAGCCTTGATATCCTGTGGCCGATGGCTGGTCTCGTTGTCGGCTTGAGACAGTCGAGTTTGATCTAGCCTTGGGTGGTGCTATGGAGGCATTTGTCGGGGCTGTGGCTGGTGATTTTGGGCGCGACAGCTTCTTGTCCTTTCCTTTATTTGACGTTGCCTGAGCTGCTGAGGGGTCGACCGTGAAGATTTTGTTCGGGCGCATGGACTTTTGAGTCTGGACTGGAGATAACACTTTCTTTGACGGCACAATACTTTCAGCTTTGTGGTCGATCGTGCCACCATCTTGAACCTCTTCGGAACGAAAATTAGCTGCCGCACCAGACTCGCTCCGTGAGTCGTTGTTGTCCTCGTCCGGCAGCTCAGTATCGTCTTCAGTATCCGAGTAGAAATGATTTCGGAAGCAAAATCTGGTTTCGTCCAAACCTAGCTTCCTCCGTTTTACGTTTCTTCGTCGATGAAGTTCACGTCGCTCATCCAGAACTTTGTTGAAAGCGTCCTCATACTCCCGCTCGTACTCCTCAGCAATGCGAGGGTCTTGTGTGGCCTTTTTGTCTTCCCACGACCTTTTCAAGATTTCAGAAATCCCAGACACGGGCTCCCAGGTGCATTCATCGATTGGGAAGTTGGACCACTCCACGAGATACTTCAAGATGCCATCTGCTGGGTCGACCCGCTCACAGTGGATGTCTTCGACAACAAACTCTGTGTCAGGATCATGAACGTCGTCATCAATAGACGTCAATGAGATACTGTCCGAGTCGTCATCCGCGCGTTGGTCGAGATCTGAGCGTTGATGCATGTTGCCGTTTGTGTTCGGCATAAAAACCCCGCCAAGCCGAGTATGAGCTGTCAAATCCAGTGTTGAGTACAGTAGAACGTAGGCAACTCTTTCAGAATCAGTGTGACGAAAGCATTGGCGGAGAAATCAAGTCCATACTGCCCAGGCAGCCCTGAGTCTCAGAATTTCAAACTGGTACCTGACTGGGCAAGTTGGCTTACACACTCGGCAGTCGCGACAAGATGTTCAAGAGGCTCTCATAATGAGCGCGAAAGACGACTTCGCTTCTCGTTCGACGTCGAGCGAAAAGTGCGGTGTTCTCCAAGGTTCGACACACGAAGGCAGAGAGAAGGTCGATGTACACCGGCGCGCATCTAGCTCCTCACACCAACGCGCCTGTCAGCGATTGAGGAAAAGGTCACAGTTGCGATGACGGGGCTGGAGAATGGAGAAAACACATTTAGGATTGCTCGCCTGCAAGTTGCGCCTCTTATGGCGATGATAACAAGCTGTTAGTGAAGTCACGGCGGTCTGGATCCTTGTGTAGTTGCCCAGAGGCAAGCAGAGCCGGGAGGCAGCTGCATGGAAAAGCAGCTGCAGTGGGTTTGGGTCTCGGTGCAGGGATATAGACACTCATGTTGTGGCAGCTGCGACCTCTCAATTTTGATATCTACATCTTGAAAGGCCACTTCGGAACAGGCTTGAAATAATCTTGACACAATGAGTGAAAGAACGAGTAAACAATACAACATCAGCTACGACTAGCTAGTGGGTTCCATCACCGGCAACCAACATGTCAGACTAGACCAGTTCATGCACTAGGTATGGAAAGCCTTCGAGAGATGTAGGGAACTCGGGCTCACCTTACCCAGCACAGGACCAGGATCAGCTACCCTGAGGCAGCTTCTTGCCCGTTTCCCGAAAGACTGGCTGCTGCAAGCTGACTTATCACAACGACCTGAACCTAGAACAACATAAAAGGTACGTAGCAGCAGCAGAGATAAAGCACCCAGGGTCATCAGAGGAATCGAAAGCGTCATCGGCCCCCAGAGATCGCGGTCCGGTCTCTCGGTCGGACATAGCCACATGGCGGGGCGATAAACATAGAGTCAAAGCTTCCTTCGAGTGGCTAGGTAGTCTGCCTGCACGGTGACCACGCGACCTTTGGGGGTCTCCGTTTGGGCCACAGGTGCGTTTCAATTGTCAGACCAAGGGCCTCGAGTCTAAACTCTGCTGTATTCAGAAACCACCGTTAAGGAGGGAGGTTGATCGTCAGGAGCCATTCCTGTGTCAAATAGCACGGCGTTGTTGGGAACATCAACCCTGAAGGGAGGCTGCGTGTAGTCTGCTCTCATCGCATAGATATCTCGGTAGCAAATGAGGGGTGTGTAGAACTACCTAGGTGCCTAAGTACCTTCCCGGGGCTGGTGAAAGCGCGATGGTGAAACATTTCCAGCGTGCGGTTGGACGACTTCCCGAGTCACACAAGGGGGCCATGGCTGGACCACAAGTAGGCATGGTAGGTAGCACTGGTGGCTTTGACTCCGGATGCCCTTGCAAGTCACTGAAGACGGCCAGTCTCCCTTTTGTCTGGGAAACGGTCGGTGATAGCAACACACAGTCATCATCGACCCTTCTCAGCACCCCGTATGGACCCTTGAACAGACCCCTAAATCCATCAGATCCAGTAGCAGCCTGCGTACGGGGGAACCCCAAGGTCACCTTGCAAAAAAGGTCCAGCACCAGCACGGCGGCCCCCGCTTGACTGCACGAAGCCCCTTTCCAGCCAGCCTGCGGCTCAATTTTTAGTGTGGATGACCGCTGGGTATCTCTCCCAACCTAAACCGTCCCTGTCCGTCAACCCGCTGTCTTGCATCTACACCTCCTTTTCCCGTCGTTAGCTGGCATCACTTGAACCAAACACAAATTGCGACTATCCGCCCTCGACGATTGAAACTTCCCCCGACGCAACGCCTACACAACGACCGCCCACGACACATCGCCACAGCACTGCTGCTTGAGACGCATCCTTCTTTGAACTACGTCAGCCGAGCTTGTCGCAACCATGGCTAACGACGAGTACGATGTCAGTCTTCACCCTCAACCCTCCGTCCCTTCTCTTCTGCCCTGGCTTTGCGCTGACCTCGCATCTCTATACAGTTTCTTTTCAAGGGTAATGCTCCCCTCGATGCGTCCGCTCCCCCAGGGGTCCCTCCTTGCGATGCAAGCTAACACCGCCGTCCCGTAGTTGTGTTGATTGGAGACTCTGGTGTCGGAAAGTCCAACCTGCTCAGTCGTTTCACCCGAAATGAGTTCAACATAGACTCCAAGTCTACCATCGGCGTCGAGTTCGCCACCCGCTCCATCCAGGTCGACTCCAAGACCATCAAGGCGCAGATTTGGGACACCGCCGGTCAGGAACGATACCGCGCCATCACGTCTGCGTATTACCGAGGTGCCGTCGGCGCCCTGCTCGTCTACGATATCAGCAAGCACCAGACATATGAGAACGTCACGCGGTGGCTCAAGGAGCTGCGGGACCATGCCGATGCGAACATTGTCATCATGCTAGTGGGTAACAAGAGCGATTTGCGGCACCTACGGGCTGTGCCGACAGAGGAGGCCAAGGCATTTGCGAGTGAGTCTGCCCGCTGCCCGACAGGGTGCGTGGAAGCGAGGAAAATGGACTCAGGCATTGACCTTTTGAGCAGGCGAGAACCACCTATCTTTCATCGAGACATCTGCTCTCGATGCCAGCAACGTTGAGCTTGCATTCCAGAACATCTTGACCGGTACTTTGACCCCCCCCCCCTTCCTTCTCAAAGCTGCACCCTGTTCATTCACTAACCACCTGCTCCTCAGAGATCTACCGAATTGTATCAAGCAAGGCACTTGACAGCGGCGACGGTGCCCAGGCCACCATCGGGGCAGGAACCAACATTTCTCTGAGCAAGCCAGCCGACGACGGCACGAAGGCAGCGGGCAAGTGCTGTTAGACCACCAACCCGAAGGAGCCCTCACGGAAACAGCTCATGGAAACGAACTGATGATACATGGCGTCACATATTCTATGAGAAACATGCCGGCGGAGGAGAGCCATTACTACGATGGTGTGATGATGGGATTATGGATCTGCGGTTCTCAATGGGAGGTTTTTGACGATTTTTCTAATCAGGGAGTCATGCTACTCGTTTAACTGCTATTTTCTCTGTGTACCTTTGTGAATTCGTCGTCGTAGTCTGGCGTATGCCGAGTTGAATGAGAAACAACAGTAATGATTTGAAATGGGCCCCAGGGTCTCGTGCGCGTGTCCTTTGTTGCTGTTGGACTCGAGGGCGGCTCAAGACGAGCTAGCTGGCAGGCGGCACTCCGAGGATCACCTACCCCTCAGCGAAACGAAAACACTGACACGTGGATAGACCACCAGCAGATGTTGTTCCGCCTTGGTCACGGACACCCCGATGGTTTCGACAATGTTGGGACGATCAGGTCCACGAAACACGCCCGTTTGGCTGAGGTGTGTGGTCCACCTCCCGCCCACCGCCAAACTGCGACATCGAAGTTGCCCGCCATGGTGGGTCCGGACAGGAGGTCCCCCCCGCGCTAGAACTGGGCACCTCGACAATGCCTGGCCGTGCTCTGGCCAGGCCATCCCTGCTTATCGATAAGCACCTGCCAGAAATTTTGGCCGGCAGCCAAATCGAAATGCGACCGACCAACCGTGAGTCCAGTTCTGCCATACACATTTCGACTGAACTCCCGTTACCCAGGCCAGCCTTGATTCCTATCGAGAAGATGGCGACAGTATACAAGTCTCTCTCTAAATCTAGTGGTCCCAAGGACGACGAGAATTCCAGCCATGGCCCAAGGAAAAATAAGCAGAGAGTCCTGGCTCTCTCGTCCAGAGGCGTCACGTACAGGTGAGACAGTTTTGCGCCCGCGAGAGATGCGTCCTTGAGAATTGTGTGGGCTAACCGAGCGAATAAATATTAACAGACATCGACACCTTCTCAATGATCTCGCAGCCATGATGCCTCACGCGCGGAAAGATGCCAAGTTCGACTCGAAATCCAAGCTGTACCAACTCAACGAGCTGGCCGAGCTGTACAACTGCAACAACGTGCTCTTCTTCGAGGCGCGGAAGGGTCAGGACTTGTACCTGTGGGCGAGCAAAGTGCCGAACGGTCCGACCGTCAAGATGCACGTTCAGAACAGTATGGCCAACTTCGCACGAGTCGGGTTTTGGACTGAGGCCGCAGGCTAACATGAGCATCCAGTGCACACTATGGAGGAGCTACATTTCACAGGAAACTGCCTGAAGGGCTCACGGCCGGTTTTGTCGTTCGACGCCGCATTCGAGACAGATCCCCACCTGCAGGTCATCAAGGAGCTCTTCACACACATCTTCGGTGTGCCCCAAGGCGCAAGGAAATCGAAGCCCTTCATCGATCATGTCATGGGCTTCACGGTGGCGGACGGCAAGATCTGGGTGCGCAACTACCAGATCAACGAGGTGGAGGCGACGAGTGCCAAAGCCGACGGCGAGGACGATGAGGAAGCAGAGAAGGCGTCAAAGAAGAAGCCATTCGGCGGACGGAATAAGGACACTGACATCAAGCTGGTGGAGATCGGCCCGCGGTTCGTCTGCACGCCGATCATCATACAGGAGGGCTCGTTCGGAGGCCCCATCATCTACGAGAACAAGCAGTTCGTGTCGCCTAACCAGGTGCGTTCCGAGCTGAGGAGGAAGAAGGCTGGGCGACGGAACATCAGGGCGGAACAGGCAGCGGAGAGCACGGGCAGGAAAGGCCAGCTCGGCTTGAAGACGGATGGGGAGAACAAAAAGACAGATGTTTTGTCCACCAAGGCCGTCTTTTCTTAAGCGGTACCTTCTGTATTGGCGTTGGGATTTGGAAAACGAGGGGGCGTGTTTGCTATACCCTAATAGAGTGCTTCCTATACAGGCTGCCGGGATCCACTGAACAATTGAAGGTGCATCGAAGTAATCTAAGACCGTTGGGCAGACGTATAGTGCGTCTTAGAAAGAAGGGCAGTATAATCCCTCTGTTGCAATCCATTTGCAATGACCTCATTCAGATAGGCCAAAGTTAGGATTCTTCGAAGTAATATCTTTGTAATTGAATCCACGCAGAAGTGTCTGCATCGTTTCTCGCATCGGGGCTCGCGACCTGCATGTGAAAGGGATGGGTCCACAGGGCAGGCTCAATACGTGCAGACCCGAAGCTGGATGCTAGGTACTGTTACTCGGCACAGTAGATAGATGCGACTACCCTGGACCAGACTGGCTGTAGATATGTCATCATGCAGGCCAATGAGAGCTGCCTGCTGTATCGAAATGAACCTTGCTGCTGGTCCAACCACCAGTGCGACCTGCCGCGGCTAGTAGAGTCAGGACAACAACATTGGTTCTGCCATTTCATCCTCATCAACTCCAAGAACCACAACACGCATCTGCACATGCTCCCCACGAGAATGATATCGTGTGAAGCAATGATGCCTGCAAACTTGGATTCCCTGCTTGATAGCCCCAACGTCGGGGTCCGTTGCCTGTGAGGTTATCGGGACAACGACTCGGCTGCTGGGGCATTTGGGAATTAGAACAATTTCCAAATCTCTCTTGGTCGAGGCAGATCCATTCTAGCGATTCTTTTCATTCGAGAATAGTTAGGATATAGGACTGAGGAGCACATTCTACCACATTTCAGAGTCAGGAATTCTCGGGTGTTGTACGTTTTCCCTCTTCGGTGTGTGCCGCTGAGACTAATAAATATTAGAGGGATAATCACGTGTTGAAGTCGGCGATATGGCTTTCGGGATCTCAAAGGAGTCTTCGCGGGGCTCGCAGCCTTCCCCCTCTACTGAGGTAGAGCGGTTCGAGCCGGGGATTATGAAAATACCTGTTGAGCTCACTATAAAGATCATTGAGCTCATGGACTTCCGCAGTGTATTGAGTCTCGTCCGGACAAACAAAATGTTCAAGGAGATCTATGATGGTAATCGAGGGCACATTCTCTTGACTGTCTTGAAGACGGAGTTGAGCCCGTTCGATCAAGCCTTGCAAGTCGTTGCGTTCGAGCCCGAGGACATCGAAGTGCCACTGGGCCCCTGCTTGCGCCGAAGGATATACCACAAGAACAAGCTAGTTTGTGAGGGAGATAGACTCCAACCAGGGGATGATGCTCATGTTCTGCTTCGACCTCTTGTGCTCGATGAGGAGCATTTCGAGCGTCTCCTCCGCCTTGTCGAGACCGTCAAAGCATGGGAACAGTTATTTCCGCGGTACCGATTTCAGACTGCGTCGGATTGTCGAGAGCTACAACCTCATGAATCAGAAAGACTCAGAGCAGCTCTGTATCGCTGGATGTCTTACGCCCAGTTCTTCCACGGGGATCTCCCGCGACCCAACAACTTTGTACCTCAGCATGGTTCCACGGACATCCGATGCAAGCAGCTCCGGTTATTGTCGGACCATGAGCTGCATGAGCTGGACGACCTTTGGGAAACGGTGCGACGCATGGTACAGGGAGACATATGCCCATCTACAGAGGCAGTGTTGAAAGACATGGTAAGACTCTGGCTTGCCTTATTCTTCCATACGTCAAATGCTAATGAAAATTGCAGGATTATTCCATCTCGAGGGAAGAGGCTGAGCGAATCGGCTTTGGCACGTCCAGGCTGAGCATGATGCGGGCTGCATTTAGCTGGAACGACTCGACCTTTGTGGACTTCGACACCAATGTGAATTCCGCCATCGTTGACACAGTTCTCAAGCTGTCACCGGCTGAGATCCTGGACTTTGCTACCAACAAGTGCTCGAGAGATAGACTGGTTCGTGAGGTTCGCCTGGCGCACCCAAGCATTCTCCTCGACCGGCAGAGCCTTGGGCATGCTCTTTCTGCTGTAAAGGACGAGCGGCTTGAAGACCGCGAACCCTCACCGTCGATGGGTTGCTATGGCGCTCTCAAAGATGCGAAGGACGGCAGTAGCGGCGGAATTCTAGACTTCATGGCCTTGGACGAGGAGATACGCGGACCTTGGTCTCGGGAAGGCAAGAGGGGGCTCGGCTGGTCTGCGCAGGAGGAGCCAGACCTCGGAATCCGCGTGGTCATGAACAAAGGTCGCCTGGAGCCGTAGAGAGCCGCATCGCATCACCTTCATGTATGCACGTCGTGTTAGGCCGACCAAACAGATGCAAAGTAGTATCCCACGAACTCACATCTAGGCAGACGTCTATTGGCATACGCCTTTGATGCACGTTTCTGATGCACAGCCATGGCTCTTGAGCGAGCGTCTTAATTTCCTTTGTTGCAACATACAGCTCCTTTGAGACGTGGCGAGGAAAGCCGGGAGCAGTAGCAGTCAGCAGGGGGTCGAACAGCAGCATTCAAATTTAGTAGTGAAGAATCTAGTACAGTAGATCGTAAGATTAACAACACTAATTTTGATACAATTATCATCAATTGCCAGCCAGTTCTCTGCGTTTGCGTGGGTGAGCAGAGCAATCGGGCCGTAATATGGTATGGGTGAGTGGTGTTATGGCCCTAGCGTGGGCTGGCCAGGCCGGCTTTGAGACTGCGACCAGCCGCGTCGCAGTCGGTAACTTCGTCCTCATCCCTCACAACCACGCCGACTTACATCGACTACCACGGCGCGCAGCGCTCCGCTACAGCACCTCACTGGGCTACCACGGCGCAAGAGGCCTCTGAAACCCAATCTCAGCATAGCGTCATTTGTTTCGGCGCTGTGCCCGAGGCGCCACACGGCGACGCGCATCGGCTCTGCCCGTGGATAGCCCTGTGCCTTCCCTGAGCAGCCTTACAGCTGTTGCAGGACGCCTGCGCAAAGCGACATCAAACTGTTCTGTAAGCTGATTTTCTCCGTTCTGGATCAGATCTGCAGCCATCAGGGATTTCAGGCGGCTCAAGCGAACGCAAATGCTATCTCGTGGTTTTGAGAGTGCGAGATGGTGGGCGTCCCGCTTTAGTGAAGAGATCAAGAGATCATATGCTTCACCGATGAGCCGCCCACACAACCTCTCACTCATGAATGGGATGCGGTCGAATCGATTGTCAGATATTGTGGCAATGTCTCTACACGAATGGTTTCGACTTGCAATCAGAGACAAAGGCGCTCATTCAACAGCCATCCTCCCCTGACCATCTCGTTACATCTCACGCCATCTATGCCGCCCCTCTTGACAGCGCTTAGCTGACTCTTCCCAGGTCTTCAATTCTCAAGGTAGCCGTTGCACCCTTGAACGGTTGAGAGACGAGTGGTCGTTTTGGACTACGTCCCTGGACAATGGTCCTGACGACCACGATGGAGGAAGTCGACAATGATGTTGCCATGGAAGGCGACAATCAAGAAGACGCCACCAACTACGTCTTTGAAGACTATGGGGATCCTGCTGCAGGTTTCCAGGACAGCACACCGTCAGATGAGCCTGACGTTGGAGTTGAAACGGACACGCCGCTGGACTCAAGAGACCTGGAGCTCATAGGTCGCGAACGGCGGCAACTACCAACAGGCTGCTGTTACGATGACAGGATGAAGCTACATGCAAATGCTGACTTCGGCCCTAAACCGCACCATCCGGAGGACCCCGGGCGCATCGAAGCGATCATGATGAAGTTCAAGAAGGCAGGCTTGATCTTCATGGGGAGTGATTCTGAGTACGTCCAAGTACTGCGGACAAATCCTACAAAGTACATGTGGAGGATTCCAGCTCGAGAGGCTACGGAATCAGAAATCTGCAATGTCCACCTGCCACAGCATTATTCATGGGTTCGAGCTCTGTCCAAGAAGTCCACGGAAGAACTGCGACAGATTACGAAATTGATGGATCTCGGGAGGGAGTCTATTTATGTCGGCAGCATGACTTTCGAGGCCTCCCTCTTTTCTGCCGGTGGCGCCATCGAGACATGCAAGAGTGTGGTTGCTGGCAACGTCAAAAATGCTTTCGCAATCATTCGCCCACCTGGACACCATGCAGAATACGACATGCCCATGGGATTCTGTATGTTCAACAACGTGCCCATCGCAGCGCGGTGCTGCCAGATTGAGTACCCAGATATCTGCCGCAAGATACTGATCCTCGACTGGGATGTCCACCACGGCAACGGCATTCAAAACATCTTCTACGACAACCCGAATATACTGTACATATCTCTCCACGTCTATCAGAACGGCGCTTTCTACCCCGGAGCACCTGAAAATGATAATATTGCTGATGGCGGGCTGGACAAGTGTGGCGCGGATGCGGGTGTAGGGAAGAACGTCAACATCGGCTGGCACGATCAAGGTATGGGTGACGGCGAGTACTTGGCGGCTTTCCAGAAGATCGTGATGCCAATTGCACAGGAGTTTGACCCCGACTTGGTCATCATTTCCGCCGGCTTTGATGCCGCAGACGGTGACGAGCTAGGCGGATGCTTCGTCACGCCGCAATGCTACGCCCACATGACACACATGCTTATGTCTCTCGCGGGCGGGAAACTGGCTGTCTGCCTCGAGGGAGGATACAACCTGCGCGCCATCTCTGACTCTGCTCTGGCAGTGGCAAGAACCCTGATGGGCGAGCCGCCGCCAAGGATTAATCTTCCCAAGATCAGCAAGGAGGCCGCAAAGGTCTTGTCATACGTCCAGGCATACCAGGCACCATACTGGGAATGCATGCGTCGCAGCATCATCAGCGTCCCCGAAATCGTGCAAAATGATGGGAAGAGGCTGAACGAAGTCCTCCGGGGTTACCAACGCCAGAACTTCTCGCAAAACCATGGCATGTGCCCGCTATATATCCAACGGGACGCGCTGTTCAGAACATATGAGAACCAAGTGTTGGTGACGCCGGACATCGACATGGCGAGACACATTCTCGTCATCATACACGATCCGTAAGTGTGTCCCTATCCCAAGCATACTTGAAACAGAGTGTTGACTGGTGCAGGCCTGAGATCTTGGCGCAACCAGACCCCTTGAAGAAAACCTTGGAGCCTGGCAACGCTTGGGTGGTAAGTGGTTGCTGTGCAGATCCACAAAACTCTATTTGTGCATACTGACCTCAGAATTCGCAGGTTGACGGCGTCACGCAATATGTCGACTGGGCCGTATCAAAGAAGTTCGGCATCATGGACATCAACGTGCCTCGAAACCCTACAGTATGCGCATTTCACCTGATCTTTAGATTTTGTATGACACTAACATGTTCAGGGCAACATGCCTTATACCCCCGATGTAGAGGAGAAGCAGCTCGAGGCTGAGATCAAGGAGCTGATTTGCTATCTCTGGGATAATTACATACAGCTGTACGAGAATGCTGACGAAGTCTTCATCATGGGGGTGGGCTATGCTTATCTCGGAGTTAAGATGCTCCTCTTAAATAGAGGTGAGTGTGCGGTACCCGCCTAGGCCTCCCGCGACGCAAATTGCCCAGCAGTCGAACTAACAAGAATGAACCCACAGACTGCAAGATGAAGCTCTCGGGCGTCGTCAATTTTGTCACCGGTTCCCTACGACCCATTCGATCTGACACAGACGAGCGCCTGTCAGCGTGGTACAAGGAGAACTCGAGGGTGTACGTTTCAAAGGAACACTCGTGCTGGACAGACCCCAAGCTGCAGGGCAAGGTCAGGAAGAAACGCTTCGGCACGGTACTCCACAGCCCGGCAGTCTCACTCAACGCTATGATGAAGGAGCACGCGAAGGAGGTACAGGATTGGATCGCGGCCCGGAGCTTTGAGATGCCGCGACTAGGAACTGGAGGGGACAGTACGGAGGATGAGGTTAACAAGTTGACTTAGAAGGCTGGCACTGGGCCCTCGACTCCTGTCAGACATGCCGTGAGGAAGCGACAGCGGGGCATGGGGCGGGCTATGAGGCGGGTTCCGGATACGGATGATTCCCTGGGTGATGAGAATGAGTGTGAGCTCTCGCATTAGTAGATGACTTGGCATGCCCATGACTTTCTTTTTGGGCAGGCAAGCTTAAGGGCTCAGTCTGGTAATTTGGTGGGTCGTGCCCTGGAGGAAATGCAGTTGGTTGTTTCTGGGCGCTGGCGCAAGTTTGCCGAGATGCCTTCCATGATCCGTGCTCTGCTGAGGAAGTGAAAACTAAAGAATCACGAATGAGAGAAGCTTTGGCAGTAAAACCAGCAAGTTTGTGTTTCTTTCCCAAACACATTCAAACAATTAAATACATCCTGGACGGAGCTGGGGCATGCTGCTTATCGACACTGATGATCTTATCGATAAGATAAGCCAACGTCAGGGGCCAAATTTCAAGGGCAGGCTAGGCTGACTACCATCCATCGCGTCGCTGTCTCGAGATGAATCGTCAACCAAAACCAACCCAACATCAGGCACCGAATGTGAAGCCCCACTTACTCACCCTCTCAATACTCATTCATCACAGCCGCAGTCTATATTATCGAAGGCTATAGCTTCTGGGCCTTTTGCGCATCTTCTGCCCGGCTTGCCGGCTGGATCAGAACCTCTCCTCGACTCATCTCGAAAACTTGGGGGAAGATAGGAAGCTAGAGGACCATTATGGATCGGGACCGGCCAGCACCAAGCAGAAGGTTAGTGGAAAAGCTATCATGATTTATTCCTGCTTTTATTGTGTTCAAATTCCCTGGTCTCTGCCTTCCACTAGCCTGTGAGCTTCTCACTATATATTGTGCTTCGCGGTGGACAATAGGGCTCTCACCCAAAGTTGGGATGGAATGGCACAATGCGATATTTCTTAGGTGAATGGCCATCGGCACGGACGACGAGAATTCGGATCTCAGGGAATTTAAACCATCGCGCGCACGACGGACTCGATAGTGTCGAATCTTTTTCTTCTTTTCTGTGACTCTGGTATCGTCTTTCTTGTTGTTGTCTTTCTGTGAAGGGCATACTCGACAAGAAGATCCAGGCGGAAATGGCTTCCGCCAAGAGCATTCGCGCCCGTATGCGCATCAACAACCTCCTCAACCCCCTATGCCCTTCTTCTTCGCGCCCTTGCTCGCCTCCTCTTTCCCCTCCTCCCTTTACCAATGGCTCAATGCCAATGACTATATTGGCTGCGCCTCTCGACCCTCCCACAGCCAATCGGTGTGCGGACGTTGAGGTGACGGCATGGGGGCCGCCATCGGAGGATGAGGATGAGGATGAGGAACCTCCCTTCATCATCTCTACTCCAAAGTACGAACCGTCAAGATCGCTGGCGGTGAACACCTCTCCTCCGGTGTGGGCTCAGTCCAGCCAGCCCTCTCCTCCAACACCTACTCATACCCCAACTGGCGCCCGTCTCTGGGGAACACCAACTCCGCCTCCCTCTTCTTTGATACTCGCGCCATTCAGCCCACTGCTTTGCTGGAACATGGAGAAGCCACTTTTTCTTCAAGAGACTGATCCGAACTCAATCAGATACGACGATGGAGAGGTAGTGCGATATGGGGCTGGGGAGTCGTACAGACCCTTCAATAGCGGCAGTGGTAATAACAGAGACCGGTCACCGCGCAGAGGCAGGAGCCCCTTGAGGGATAGGGACCGAGACAGAGATCGAGACAGGGACAGAGACCTCCGACCAAGATCACCACCTCCTGTCACAAGCGACAGTTACGTCCCAGGTAGATCTCCGCGGCGCCGTTCTAGAAGTGCCGATCGGTACAGGGGAGCGGATCGAGGTCGTGACGCAGTTGGCGGTGGTGAGAGTTGGCGACGACGGGACAGCAGTCGCGGCCGGGCCAGGAGTCCAGTCAGACGGCCTTCACCTCGAAGGAGCCCCCGGCGGTCTCCACCACGCTACTCGCCTGCACCGAGACGGGACGATAGGTTTTCGGACAGAGCACGGTCTCCACGCCGTGACTTTGACAGCAGAGACGCTAGGTAAGCTCCACCATTTGTTTACCCCCTCCGCTCCACTCCGTTCCACTTCACCATCATCATCATCATCATCAGCAACGACAACCATCATGGCACGGCGCAACAGGCACTACGGCCGGTACTATCATGAGTACGACGACCGGGTCTATGACAGATACTTACAATGGCGACCCCCTCACAGACGAAGATCACGGTCTCCGTTTGATCGCGACCGCCGTGACCGACCCCGATCTCCATTTCGGCGCTCTCCCCCAGCTGGACCTCGCGGCGACAGATCTTATCGACCTCGATCACGCTCTCCAGATCGTCTAGATCGCCTAGATCGCCGCGATGACCGATATGGCCCAAGCTCAAACTACAGGCAGCGCTCGCCTGTCAGAGACCGAGAGGTGGTCATCCCCTCTGCCATCACATCGCGCTCAAACTCACGCTCGCGCATCTCGTCGCCCCGCCCTGGTTCACGTGGGCTCGATATCCGTTCTCGACCACGTTCGCCCGTTTCACGATCCCCAGCTGGCCTGAGCGGCGCCAATTCCATTCCTGTGCCTGCTCGCACGTCAACACCCAAAACCGCGGCAGAGCCCTTTCAGACGCCCCTCAAGTCGCCACAGCGTGCCAAGTCGCCACAGCGCGCCAAGTCACCGCCTCGTGGTCCAGCAGCCCTGAGGGCTCCTCCCACAGGTCCCAGTGCCACTAGAAACTTCAGCACTCCCCATGCGACGCCTGCTGCCTTGAGAACTACTCCGGCCCCATCGTACTCTTCGCGTGCAGATACTTCAGATACTCCCAGCCCAACAGTCCCACCCTCAGGTCCTCGTGGTTATGGGCCCCCGAGAGGCAACAGCTTCAACTCTCGCGGTCGAGGAGGATGGGGCACTCCAGCTTCTCGAGCGCCGTTCGCACCAGCGCCCGCCGCGTCACCAGCGACCCCTCCCACCGGCCCCAGCAGTGTTCCTACTGGCCCGCGCGCATCATTCTCATCTAGAGACACGCCTGCACCATCTCCTTCTATCGCATCCAAGCCCTTCAACCCGCCCACCGGCCCGGCTGCCCAGGGCGGCCAGCGCCAGACTCTCGCGCAGAACCTCATTGCTTCGATGCCGCACATAATTTCTGGCGGAAAGCTCGACCCTGCATCCACACCGCTGACCACCGGCGTAACCAAGGACCTCGAGGCACACCATCGTCGTCTCAAGGAAGAAGAGGAGCGCATCCGCGAGGAGCTGAGGGCCAAGGACGAGAAGCTGCGCAAGAGCCTCCGCATGTGGGAGAAGCTCGAACGCGAGTCCAAGAGCTTCGAGCTCAAGAGTGACCTGAGTGAGAGCTCCCTCAGGACGATCGCCGGGGAGGGCGTGGGCGGTGCTGCGTTTTAGTAAAGGGCGTCTCCCGGCAAAGGCTGGATGAAACATCACTTTTGCGAGCCGGTCACTTTCGATCAAGGTGGCCATTTTACCAGGCATCACTTGCATCTGGCTCCCTACTGGGTTGACCGATCATCAAAAGGGCCCGTCATTTGTGCTGCATTCCTACCTTTTTCTTTCTTCCTGAGCGTTCTCCGCACATTGCGACGACGGACAACACGACGCTTGCGAACTGAATGAGCAGAATTCAAATAGTCCTGCAATATTTGCCGCGCATGCAGAACTTCAAAACGAACAGCTGGAGTGCTCTCTTGTGCGGGCACATCTGGTAATCGGCAATGAAGGGGATTTGGCTTTGTGCGCTCGCTGTACGATATGATACGATACGATTACTTGCATACTGGACCTGCCTGCCTACCCTGGCGTATCCACGCCACCTCTATCATCTTTGAGGTTAGTCACGCAGCAGGACATGAAGAAAAAAAATTGATGGCCTTGGACCCCCTGAGAGAGTCGACAATCATGACGCAAGGGTGAAGGTTGAGAAAGTCAGGGCTGTCCAGTGAATTCTGGATTATTCGATTCATTAGCACCATACAGAGGCAGGCAGAGGGGACGATACTGGCATCAATACATATCCATACATCGTAGTAGTGGAAAGCATTCTGGCAATGACGTCCCAACAAGTGATCACGCAGTAGCTTGGAGATTTTGGCTTCATTGATTTTTTTGCTTTTCATTTTCTGGAGTTGCGTAGCTACTGATTCACTACCACTGCCCAATGGACCGACTCCATTACCCATCCCTTCCAATGACCGCAGCAGTCGTTGGACGTTACCGACTTTTGTTGCTTTCAAATCATTTAAGGCTTTTTAGGTTCCGGGTTGAGAGCATCCTGCACGTCCCGTGCGGCGCTCCTGAGGCCTTCTAGCGCGGTTCTAACCCGCATCCTGCATGTGGTCGTCTCTAATTTTCATACCACCAACTTGCACAGACCTAACCGGTCGAACAGCTTACTTGGAGCCGTCAACCTTGGCGACGTGGACGATGAGGTCCAGGACACGGCGGGAGTATCCCCACTCGTTGTCGTACCAGGAGACCAGCTTGACGAAGTTGTTGTTCAGGGAAATACCGGCCTTGGCATCGAAGATGGAGGAGGCGGGGTGGCCGTTCAGGTCAGAGGAGACGACGTCATCCTCAGTGTAGGCAAGGTAGCCTGTTTCATAACATGTTAGCGACGCTGTTTTCAACACCCAAAACCCCTTTGAGAACTCGCTCCTGAGAATATAACTCACCCTTGAGGGGACCCTCGGAGGCAGCCTTGATGGCCTGCTTGATCTCGTCGTAGGAAGCACCCTTCTCGATGCGGACAGTCAAGTCGACAACGGAGACGTTGGCGGTGGGCACACGCATGGACATGCCGGTGAGCTTGCCGTTCAGCGAGGGAATGACCTTGCCGACGGCCTTAGCGGCACCAGTGGAAGAGGGAATGATGTTCTGGGCGGCGCCACGGCCTCCACGCCAGTCCTTGGCCGAGGGACCATCAACGGTCTTCTGGGTGGCAGTGTAGGAGTGGACGGTGGTCATGAGACCCTCGACGATGCCGAACTTGTCGTTGACAACCTTGGCCAGGGGGGCCAGGCAGTTGGTGGTGCAGGAAGCGTTGGAGATGACGTCGGCGCTGCCGTCGTAGGTCTCCTCGTTGACACCCATCACGTACATGGGGGCATCGGCAGAGGGAGCAGAGATGATGACCTTCTTGGCACCACCCTTCAAGTGAGCCTTGGCCTTCTCGGTGGTGGTGAAGACACCGGTGGACTCGACGACGTAGGTAGCGCCGGTCTCAGCCCAGGGGATGGCGGCGGGGTCACGCTCGGTGTAGAACTTGACGGTCTTGCCGTTGACGGTCAGGTCAGAGCCGTTGACCTTGACCTCACCCTTGAAGTTTCCGTGGGAGGAGTCGTACTTGAGCATGTAGGCCTGGTGGGGTGAGGGGTTACATTGTCAGTCGGGTTTGCCCATTATCAAGTGGGAAAACAACATTAAAGGCCGCGGCCAAGCGCAGGGGGCTCTATGGTGCTACTCACAGCGTAGGTGGGCTCAATGAAGGGGTCGTTGACAGCAACGACCTCGACGTCATTGTGCTCAATGGCGTTGCGGAAGACGATACGGCCGATACGGCCAAATCCGTTGATGCCGACCTTGACGACCATTTTGACGGGTTGTTTCTGAGTAGTAGGCTGAAGTCCTCGTTGGGAAGAGTAGATGGTAGGATCGTAGGATCGTGGGATTGCTTGATGATGCTTCGTTGGAAGGATGGAGAGAGGAGAGAAGAGACAGGAACGGATGTTGAGAAGGAGGGAGTGGGCAGAGATTTAAAGGCTCAACGTCAGTCGCAGGAGGGGAAAGGGCCAACGGCAATTGGCTGGGCACGACAGCTCAACCTCTGGGCATGGGCAGGAAGGTACTGTTACTGTGTGGTACCCAGCAAAACCAAAACTACGCTTGCAAGCTCGAGCAACCTCTGGTACCTCTCTGGACCTCCGTGCGTGCTCCTGGAGAGCTCCGACTCAGGACGGGGCCTATCGACGTTGGCGGGGCAATTTTTTTGATGAAGGAGGCTACGGGCACGCAACGCAACGACTGATGATGGGGGCTGGTCCCCCCTTTGCTTAGTGGGCAGACAGGTGATGCCTCTCCTTGTCCTTGAAAATCTCATTGCTGGTGCTATCTGATGTGGGTTGTCCATGATTACGGGTGGCATAGCTGACTGACCGGTTTGCAGCCATGTCAACAGGAATCTGGTGACGAGGCGCCTCGTCCATGGAGGGGGAGGGGGAGGGGCAGCTGCACTCACTGCTCGACTCCCTGGTCCATTCGCTAGGGGCCTGGATGCTGGGACGACAGGGGCCCCCACCTTGCCCTCTGAAATCATCCCACCACCACGGACCACCACACAGCACACAGGCATCAACAGAGAGCGAGAGAGAGAGAGAGAGAGCTTCCCCTGCTCCCTCGCCCCCCCTGCTCCCCTGCTTCCTTGCTACCTTACCCTGCTTCACTGCTGGCCCTCATGGCCCGAGCTTGTCCGTCCCGCCCGCCTCTGCTGCTGGTCTCCCGGGTGCTGCTCGAAGCTTGCATGCCATGCCACGCCATTGACAGCAGCCAGCCTCGCATCCGTCGCGGGCTTCTCCTCCATGTCTTCCCGGCGCCAACGGGAGATGTCGCGGAGTCCGGTTAACCAGTTCAGCATTACCTAGGTTACCTAGGCTCGAGGACGACGGCCTCCAAACATCCATGGCAAAACAATCACCAGCTTGGCACCTGTCGCAAATGTCGTCTTTACTTCGCCCCTGTATCGGACAGGGCGTATCTTCGACTAAGGTGATATGCCGTGCACTCCGGCCTGTCGTCCCGAAAATCGCTCACCTACACGCCTCATATCTACGCTACCCTACTCAGCCAGGCCAGCACAGCACCATGGTCTGCTCACTCCATGTCCGAAAGGCGGATGGATTGATGGGTGGATGACAGAACACAACAGAAACCGCTGCTGCTAATTTGATCTCACCGCGCAACGGTTGTCTGTCTGAGACACCCCGACCTGTCTCGGCCGAACATTGAGCTATTACTGTACACACCATCCATCCTGCCAACGTCCAAGCATTCCAGTGTCCCAACGACAACACTTGTTTCGACATGCCTGACTCGGATAGTTCAGGCCTGAAGTCAGCACGGCCAGCACGGCCAGCGCGCCCTTCAGCACCCTGATGGCTGCTGCGCAGCTCCGTATGCCGCTGCCCAGATGATAAATCGACTCAACGGCTTGACCGTTGCCACCATGTCCAGCTTGTGCTTGCCCCGGGGAGCAAGACGGGTGACCAGTCGGCCAGACTAGCCTTGGCACTTCGGTCCCCGGCGTTGGCATTATTCTCGCTATAATCCGCCCAGCGGCCGCACAAGCATCACACGTATCATCATAATGGGTATTTTCAGCCTCGACCTTTTGTCCATGTTTCCAGAGCCCAGATTCTCCATTCCGGGCCCTAGGGTCCTTGCGGCCAAGCTCTAGGTCTGCGAATCGGACCATGAAAACTTTTCCCCCGTCACGCAACTCAGCCTGGTCAAAACACGTGCTGGAAACACACGTCGAACCATGCGCTCATACCATTTCCTTACGTCCTGGCCCTCTGCATTAAATCGGGCCCGGATCGAGCTTCCTCGCTCGCCTCCACGGCCAGTCTCCGCCCATGCCCAGCAACAACTCATGTTGTCAGACCAGATTGCCTCATCCCGTATCCTCTGGAGCCACTTCTGACATGCCTAGAAATCCAATTATGGCTCCCTGCAGGCCCGGCATGCCGCATCCTACGCTGCTGGGTTGCGTCTGGCGGAGTGCTCCTGCAACAATGACATGACACTTGCTTCTTCACCACCTTGACAGCCCATGCCGGAACTTTCTTTTCAGCCTCACAACACCGCCCCTATCTTGTATTAACTGGGCCGTGTGTCCGTCAAATCAACGGGATAGCATCATCGTCTGGGCTCTCCGAACGACGTCACGGAAACTGTCCATGGCCCAGTTTATTAACATTCACTCATCCATCGCGTGAGCTCATTAACCAGCTTGATGATCCATCTCGGAGCAGCGGAGGGCTACGCGTCGCGGTCTGCCACCGTACCCGTATTCCCCTCTCGCCCATGCAAACCAAGAAAGAGACTATGCAGCCAACCATGCAACACGCCAATCGATGTTGATCGATTCCTCTACTGATGGAGGAGGTCATACATGCCCCCGATCGACGCAAAGTTGTAAATATCGTAACGGTGCTGCCCAGGCTGGAAGCCCGCCGAGAGCTGGGCCCGGAGCTTCTTTACCCCGGAAGGAGACAACACGACATCTACCGCTGCTATCCTCAGCCAACCACTCAACGGGACTTGAAATTTTGCTGATTGCTAACGCCTTTCGATCCTGAAGAAACAACGTAGGTCATTTTCTCAAAATCCGCGCCGTGTTGCTGACGAAATCTATCTGAGGCGTCCCAGAACTAGCGGCTCAATTGACTTAGATGGACATTTCATACGCCGCGTGATCTGCGAAGACGCTTTCAACCCGAGAGGTCGGCCTTGGGTAACTGTTGTCAAGATTCGGATGTTCTTTTTACGGCATCATGTTGAACACAGAATCTCTTAAATGTTGGAAAAGCCAGACCTGAATCACCAACAACGCCTTGCGTAGCAATGGTGCCGATGATTCCTCTCTCCAGGGCGTTGTGCCGATGAAGCACCGCAGCATCTTCTGGCAGACGAGCCGAATGGCACGTTTTCGGGTGGCCGCTACCATTCCGGACTTTCGAGATGGTCAATTTGGATCAGTATTGGCTCGTGGGGGCTGATGCATGTCAGTCCATGTATATCATTTGCCCGGCCGGATTGAGTCGAAAGACTGAGTTCATTTTCCATGGCATCCATCGATGTCGTATTTTGCCGTCCCTACCTGTGCCACAAACAAGCTGCATACGAAACCAGATCTAGCACATTCTCATCGAATCTGTTCAGGCCAATGACCGATTTCTCTCATGAGCAGGGCCACCGGGTACTGCCACCGGCGACGACGAGTCATTGGGATGACGCTCTTGAACTACTTAGAAGACACAGCACCGGCCAAGTTCTTTTGCCTAGGCATTTTGGGGTATACGAGTACCTATTTAGCAGAGCGCTTCGCAGGCTGACAAGTTCCAGATTGACTACAGCTTACCCATCCATTATGATAATTCAATATAAAGAGCTGTGATGGTGCGTATGTACTCACGCGCTCTTTGCAACGTCTTCAGTGAAAAATAACCTGTGAGCACTTTGGCGTGGTGGTGCCACTGGATGTGGTGGGTCTGTCAGACCTAGCATCCAATCTGATCCTTGTCCTTCGTCCGGCGTACAAGTTGAATGCCGCTCCTCCTTAACGCTTGCAGTCAACGCCGGACATGCTGCAACTCCAGCATGCAGCTCGTCTAATTGCTCCGGTTAACGCGTGTTTTTCAGGCCTGACTATCACATTCTTTCGTCATGGCGGCGACATAATGCCCGGGGAGGCAATCCTTGACGCGATTGGCCTCGGTGTAAGGCCCAAACACGAGAGGCTGACTTCGTTCACTGTTCGGGTTATGCTGATGGGCTTGCCTGTGCTGGTGGTAGTAATCACCGATGGTGGTCGGCGTTTCTGGGATTCGTTGCCCTCCGTGTCTCTACACGGCTCTCGGCCACACCGCGTCCGTCCAAACACGGGAACGCCCTCACCGCGATCACCGCCACGGCTTTGGGGTGCGTGCCTGTCACTACTGGCTTCAGTGATGTCAATTTCGTGGATTTTGTTGACAGCCGAAGCCGAGGGACTCCCCTGCCCCTGCAGTAGCCACGGCTCCTTGTGATGCTGGCCTCTCAAGCCGCGTATTTTCCCTCGGCCTCATATTTGCATCGGGTCTTCGGGAGCAGCTTGTGGAGCGTAGGCTTAGTCTTCCCAAAGGCTGACAGGGCCATGACTGAGATTTTGGCCAGCGTTCGGGGGTATAGCAAGGTGATACAGCTTTCTGTCAATCTGAAGACACTTTTTGCCAGTTGTAAACGCCGCTCGAAGTTCAGAAACAATGCAAACGGTCGGAAACCGGTATCGAGGTGAGAGAAACTGTTCTTTGCTATAACTTAAGATGTTCTTGCATGCAATTCGTGCACTTACGCTGGCTATCGTTGCGTTCTTGCGTATTCGGATTTGGTTGATGATATTCGGTGAAACAACTCCTTCTACTGGTCGTTTTGAGTCCTTCATACGGGAACATTGACGCATGATATCTGGATCCATCACAAGCATACATATATCTAGGACCATTGGCCTTATGAGCGCGTCACGAAATCCATGATACTTTTCATCCACAAGTGACGAATAGAGGTAAACGCGTAACGCAGTAATTACGCGGACCAACTTGCGAGCAAATTTTCCAAGTTAGCTCGTGTGGCAGACAATTTCTGCGCCTAGGTCATTCAAACCAGAAGCCCAACAGCACTGTCTCGAGTCTAGGCTGGCTTTTCAATATACTCAAGGTCATTTTGTGTGTCTGGACAAGATAGAGTCCGAGCCATCCCAACCCGTAGTTCTCTTTCGTGGTCTGAATGTCTGACAACAGCAAGAGACTTGTAGAACCTAGTTCTGTGCTATAAAGACTTTCCCAAAGCTCCAAAATAATCATGGATAGCCCTTTAAAAAAAAAAAAGACTTACCAATCTTCCTCCATCTGCCTCCTTTTATATATAACCCGCCGATCTTGTATCTCAGAGCTTCTGCGTATCTCTCCTCCCCACTCAAGGTGCTCTGCAAGGCTCTTTCATCAAAAAGAATTATACAGAAACAGCCCCTGGTCCATCATATACCAGTCATAAGAGCAGTCCTAAAAAGTGCAAATTACCCCTGAATGTCCTTATTGTATTTTCAACTGCCTTCACATACCTCCCAGCCAACGATAAAGGCCTCACATAATTTGTCGTAGGCTTGAGGTCGCTCAACTTGTTGCAAGTTATCTCCCTCGAACTTGTCTTTTCAAAGATTTAATTGCTCTTCATAGTATGATCTTTGGCATCATCTGGTTGGTTGGTCATGTTATGTTTATGTGTCGTCCCTATATAGCCACGTTCCTGACTGCAGGTGTTGACAGAATCAAAACCTGAGGAGTGCTTTCATTAAGGGATTTTATCATCTTCTAAGAGTCTTTCCAATGAGGGGCTGAATAATTACGGATGCAAGCAGACAATGGCGACAAGCCTGGGTAAGACCTTACAACCATCATATGCTCTCAATTAAAAACCTTCGTGAATGGGTGGTTGATTACGGCTTGTTGTCCCGTGATGTGATAGTTCAGGAAAGAAGTCTTCTTTGCGTCAGCATATACAGTCATCATACCTCTTGTAAGTACCTAGAGAGTGTTATAGGTGTATTGCGCAGCAAGGCACTTCCATACATGTAAGCGCGCAAGCACGTGCCGATGTAAGTAAGACCTGTCCACCGCATCTCCAGCTACTTTCGCCCAAACCATCTAATCTGAGCTGGGAGAAGAATTCTTTCCGGAATAACAGTTAGAGCAAGCTCTCAAATCTCCTTTCTTTCGTGAGCCATTTCTGATCAGGCGCTCATCCTCGACTCTTGCTATTTGCACACCTCTATCATGCCGCGGGATCTGCCACCTTTCAAATACTCTCAACTCAGCAGCCACCAAATCCGACTTTTGACCCCTCAGTTTGACGACACTGGAAACTTAAAGTGGAAGCTTGAGTCAGTACAGTTACCGACTGGCGATGGCGACGGCGAGACTGTGACCCCTTGCGACTATGATGCTCTCTCCTACACGTGGGGTGCCCAGGACCAAACGTTCCCCATCAACTGCAACGGTCAAGCTCTCGGCGTTCACAAGAATCTGAATAGCGCCCTTCCATTCCTGGCCAGGCGACTGCAACAGGCGGACTCTCCGCCACGCCCAATCTGGATAGATGCCGTCTGCATCAACCAGCAGGACGAGGACGAGAAGATGATTCAGATCGGACGCATGGCCAGTATCTACCGCCGGGCCACACAGCTCATCGTGTGGTTCGGACCTGGCCACGGGGCACATAATAATGACACCGCCGTTGCCTTACTTCCTCGGATCATCGAGATTGGCAAGGCGACCTTCGCCTACCTGATGGACTCGCGCCAGCCTGAACCGGACTTCTCCCACGCGTCCATGCCGAATGCGTCCTCCCCCGTCTGGGATGTTCTCTGTGACCTTCTATTCAACGACTGGTACAGTAGACTTTGGGTTGTGCAGGAAGTTGCTATGGCGCGGTTCACGGTGGGTCTGGTCGGCGACAAAGCAATTGATCTCGACACAGTCGAGACTTCGTTGGGTTTCATGTTAGGTATTCTTGCCAACCAAGCTCAAAAGTTGGGACCGGGCCTCGATGTCTTGCGCAGGGAAGGGCTTCGGCGTGGCTTTGACTTTCTCAGGCTTCTGGACAGCATGAGCACAATCTCCATCCGTGGCTATTTCCACAGGAGTCGGTCTATCGAATTCCAACAGAAGTCAGAACTGCAAGGACTGTCCGACACCACGTCTGATTCTTCTCCCTCGCCCCAGGTCTCCATACTTGAAGATGCAGATCACCTGCTCCACGCCCTGCACCTGACCACAATGTCACACCATTGTTTTGACCCGCGAGACCGCGTCTTTGGGGTGCTGGGTTTCGCTAAGCATACATCACAAGTCGATAAGATCGGGTTACACCACAATATGGATCTCGCAGAGCTGTATACAGTATTCGTGAGCTACGTATTTGTCCATAGCGGGCGGCCTAGCTTTCGTAAGTTTCTGTGGGAATTGCTCAGCTATGCCTGCTTACCAAACAAGACCGTTACGCTTCCCAGCTGGTGTCCAGACTTGCAGGTGCGGCGTGAACCAAGCACACCATTCAGCCTTACACTACTGGGCAAGAGAGGATTCTCTAAGGCAAATGAAAATAACGCCTTGGGTTTCACCTCACATAACTACATTTACACAGCCGATACTGAGGAAGTAGATATAAGACAAGGATCGAGTCAGAACGAGATTGTAGTAAAAGGGACGCTGTTTGACGTTATAACAGATGTCTATCCGGCTTTTCCTGACATCAAGTACCGTCTGGACATCCATTTGACTGAACACTTTCAAATGCATGCGACGATAGGGGAATGGGAGAAATCCGTCGCCGACAAGGTACTCGGCCCTCCAGGAGACGGCAAAAGCGCGCGTGTGAGCCTAGATACCTACTGGCACACTTTGGTCGGCAACGTGACCACCCTGGCGGCGGGCGACTTGGAGTTTACGTACGAGACACTATATGCCCTACGAGACCTTCACAACCGGATGACGAGAATAAAGATAAAATTTGAAGAATTAACAGATAGGTAAGATTGGACAAGTCTCTTTATTTGACCAATCAAGCAATGCCTGGACCTAAATGCTGGCAGGTATGGAAGCTATGATGCAATATTTAGTGAGGGCGGCTACAAATTCACAGAAGAAGACAAGGAAACGCTCGCTCTCGGAAGACGATCACCGGCGATATCCTTCTCGAGAAACATGTGTGAAGTCCAGCTCGGCAGACAGTTATTCAGCACGGCCGCAGGGCGCTTTGGGTTTGGAAACGTGGGGGTTCGTAAGGGCGACTTGGTTTGCATATTCAACGGTGCCGTAACTCCAAACGTTTTGCGCAAAGCGAGAGTGGAAATTCAGGGTAATGCAAAGCATATATTAGTGGCTCAGGCGTATATCCACGGGATGATGAATGGGGAGCTTCAAGAGCTGGGCTTGGGGAGAGAGCATATGCATCTTGTCTAGACAGCTGAGAAATCACAAGAGCAGCTGAGAATGGTTTTCGAAGAGCGAAAACTTCAAAGTGATAACATGGCTTGATAGCGCAGCCAGATTCAGTGATTGATCATTAAATGTTTCTCATTGCCTGGCAGCCATTAAAATACATCAGCACCTGATAGCAATCATCAGATAACTTTTTACCTTTTATCTCAACTGCGACCAGTTTATGGTATTAACAGTATGCGTTAGAGTCTAATAACCGTATTAAGGCTACTCACATGACTCTCAGGATTCTCGAGTACATTGCATAATTTTAGACGTAGCGTGTTGGTCTTCAGGATCGAAAAAGTTTCAATGATATCTTCAACGGCTCACAAAGGCCTTAGAGATTTGCCTGGTCATCACACCAATTAACAAAACAGCGACAGGCGTATCAGGTGTGTGAGATTTTAATTTTGCAATGTACCAGAGGCTATCTACAGGGAATTCTCGTGCATGTTATCTGAGGTGCTGAATGTTACGGTTGGGGCATGTTAGTCAAGTCTCCGATGTTCCCTACAAGCTTCGTTGCTTATTGCAACAGGTAGATTCAATATCATCTGTCTATATTGTCTTCATTTTAGATAAGTAATTCTCTACTACTGAGAAATCAAATAGATTATATTGGCCGCCAAGTCCAGCAAAAGGAAATTTTCCTCCTCACTCCAGACAGGCTTGCCCCAAGCAGCACAAGCTGCCGTACACATTTCGATGTTGACAGCCTCAACCGACTCCCACTGTGCTTCTCCATATCACCCGTCGTATTGCTCGAAAGCTTGGGTCGGATTCGTAAACACAGCTCGTATGTTTGATTGGTACCCTAAGTGACTGAATCGTCATCTCGTGATTGCATTTAACAAGGCTGGGGACGACTGTTAGTGTTTCACAAGTAGGTTACCATGCCGTGAAATGTGGTGGCACCAGTCCACAGACATATGTGTGAGCTGGCAGTGTTAGACGCTGAAAAAGGTTGAAAACCTATCTTAGGAATCTCTGTAGAGCTCTCTATAGAGGATAATCCCACAGCAGATTGTCCCACAGGAGGTAATCCCATATCAGGTTGTCCAATTAGAATGAGGAATAACTTCTGGGGTAAAGGTTTTAGGATAAATTCCCTGGTGAATTGGATTTAGTAGAGTGAGTTGTCGCTTTGATCTTAGGAATCGCCAAGCAAGTTCTGGATGTCTCAGGAATGTGCCGAGTACGGCTGTAGACTTCCCAGACGATTCCTGAAGCTCCATAGCTCTAGAAAGTGCTTGTCAATTTTCTTTGGCTATACAACCAATTGCTTTATATAATTACGTTGAAAATTTGTAGCACTCTGTACTGAGTGTCACGGAGCAAAAAGCCCTATTGCCCAAAAGCACCAACCAGAGAAGGATGTTGTAGTGCCGAGTATCACCGTAGCTTTCAACACTACCCACTGCAACACCCTTTGTGTATTCATCTCCGTTCAGACCACTTTCCCTGTCTTCTTGCGGCCAATGTAAGGAAACATTCGAGCAGTACAGCAATGTAGTCATGGTTGAATGTCCGGAAAGATTATATACCAGGCAGACGGAAATAGCGAAGACATTTATTTAGCTCATATTCTACCGCGCTCATCTTTGTGTAGTGATGTGGTGATCTAGCCTCCAGCTGCACTAAATAAGAATTGAGCTTTTGGTATGACTTCCCACTGAATTTCGTTCTTGGATTGTCCCAAAAATCTAATGAGAGATGAATATCAGTGGGAAACTAAGATCAAATTCCCAATCGTCCCTTGGGAACCACTGAAGCCAAGTCATGTTATATCATATCATATACGTCTCCACTGAAATCCATAGCTTTCTCAATGTACAAACCATCGATGCAGTTCTGAAGCATCAGGCTACGCATGTATGCTTTTAGCCCAGCTAAAAGCGTTGTGGCGAAATCAACTTTGATGGTGCGGCTCTGACTCCGCTGATGACCAGGAAGGTCCTCCAACAAGCAATCTAGGTCGACCACAAAGACATGTTCGATCCCGAAAGCACCAGAAACTTTGACATGTCCAGTGTCGAAGTTCAATTCAGTGTCGGCTTTTGGAAGTCTAGAGATATTGCTGTTGGCATGGCGGACGGATTGGTAAATTAGCTCGCGATATTCGATGTTGGTGAGGACGAGGACTCCGATCATCAGTGACACCTCCGCAGTTCGATGCTGTATCCTAGACAAGAATTCGTCTAGCTCACAGAGCCCATCAATATCCTCATGTTTTTGCAGTACCTTGTCTGCTGCGGCAAGGAATTCAGCTGTATCTGCCTGGCCAAGGTGCAGTACGGAGTGAATTTTCTTCAACCGCAGGAGAAATCTGATGCAAGCGGATGCGGCCTGAAGTAAAAAACTGCGCACAATACTGCTGCCTAATACCTTGCCCACAATATAATTTTTCTGACTCCAAGGCAAGTGGAGAAGCCCTAGCGCGAACACTTGCGCTGAGGCACGGGTGATGAAGACACAATTTTGCGCTTTGTTGTCCTGAAATTGCGTGGGGACGGTAGGCATAGGTTGATAACCGACCCCCATAGAAGGCATAAACGGCATTCCATAGGATTCTGGAGTGTTGTGTGTGAAGACTCGCACATACTCTTCTTGTGGCGGGACGAAGGTCATAGCAGCAAGCTCCTGTAAATGTCCTTGAATTGCCATCACCTCTTTTGGACTGATTTTCCGGAGCAACCGAATCCATATTGCACTATTTGGGCCGCTTAAGTTTAGCGGTAAATCGGTCTCCTCAATCTTCACCTTCTGAAGGTTATACACCTCAAGTCTGAGATTCTCCAGATTCTTCTTATTAGCCTGGATTTGATGTAAAAATTGAGTGGGTCGAGAGTTATAATAGTCGTCAAGAGCCAAGTTCCGAGGCACATCACCACTTGCAACGACTGAGCTGGAGTTGCTGTCTAGAGAATGAGGCGCGCTATCTGTTCCGAGGGCACAGTCATTGCCTGTTGCCGCAAAGCAAAGATAGTGGCCCGAGGGCAAGGGAAGATAACCAAGCGCTAGAAAAGTGATGCTTGACCAAGAAAGTTTCTCTGCTGCTAGTTTCGATGGACATTGTCCGAGATTCGTCACGAAACTGACCTTGCCAGTAATGCCCGACTGGAGGTCTTTGTGGAAGATAAAGGACCCTGTAAGACCGTGTAAAATAGTGTATTGCGACTGTGGGTATTGATTCCAAGATGACTGAATCTTAGCGGGTAGGGCAACATGGGCCGTCATATCCGATGCTCCAGGTACAGTGAGATCCGGCTGGCCGAATTTCCTCTGATATCGACCCATGACGAGGAAAGTGAACAAATATGCCTTATGAACTGGCAGATAAAGCTGTAGTCTTGCATCCTCGGTTTCGACTGCGTTGATTTCCTTTCCGCGCCGTATGTTCAGACCATATGCCTCAAGACACGCTCCAAATTGGACCCATGTTACCGTCGATTCGGGAATGCTCTCCAGCCGTGACAAATCGAAATCTCGCCACTCGTCGGCTGCGAACAACTGAAGTCTCTTCAAGATTGGGACATGCTCGGTCTGAAAGAATCTGATACCCGGCCACACCGTTAAACCGCGAGAAAGGTACCCGTTGTTCTTGAGACCAATGCTCATCAGAGCTTTGTGACGTTGGGAGCGGCTTGCCGACCACACGAGGAGAGGGCCAACAATCGCGAATAGTCCAAGAAATGCCAGACCAGCAGCAACCCAAGTACCTGCTAGACCTGCGACTTCCACGCTCGACATTGTAGAATCGAGGGACTGATTAGGAGCAGACTCGACTTGACGGGATAGGATGTGTGAGGACACGACTTTAAGCGTTGAGAGAATTGATACGAAGGCTTTTTTTAGATGAAAGTGTGGCGAATTACTCGAGAACTCGATGAAGTGTCATGTTTTCATCTCCCCTCTTTTCTGCACTCATCTGCTCGCCTCATTGCACATGGCAGCCTGATGGTGAAGACTAGCCACGATTGGCTGCCCGCATTGTGTAACATCAATTTCAATATTAGTGGCACATTCTCAGGCCACAACTTACATATGTGTGCAGCCAATATCTTCGACTCGCTATACTGTAACGGAAATTTGATGGCTCCCCAGTCCTCAGAATAGCACAATGTATTTTCTCGGATGAGAACATGAGACTTGCATTCACCCCAAGATATTTTGAGAAAATAGCCACATTTCATGTTGCTAGAAAGGTGAGCAATGCAAAAGGGCCAATCATTCAATGTCTCTATCACTGGAGCAAAGAGCCCCCACTAGAGCTATTCACGCTCCCGGTGTTGTTGGTGTCCTTCATTAAATAAATATAAGCTTCGCCAACCTCCTCCGGAAGCCCAGGCTTGCCAAACAGCGCCCTAGACGTAACCATGGCCTCCAGCCTGTCGCGTGCCTCACCCGGTGGGCCCCAGAGCTCCGTAGCTGTGGCACCAGGACTGACCGCGTTGACCCTGATCGGCGCCATCTCGAGGGCCAGGGCGCGTACGGTCCCATAGAGGGAAGCAGCCCACCCGGAACCAACAGCGTACCCCTTCACGGGCTTGTCGCCGACACCACCGCCTGTGAAGATGAGCGAGGATGTCCAGTGCGGCTTGAGGAAACGGGGAGCCAGCTTGGCGATGAGAATGGGTGCGACGATGCGCCTGGAGGTGTCTTATGTGTCAGTATCGACAGCGAGCCTTCACTGGGTCTGAACGTGATGGATTGTGAGAGAGAGAGCGTACAGTGGTGCGGCCTCTTTGAAGTACTCGACAGTGAATTCTGAGATGGGCTTGACGTTGGCAAGGCCAGCAGTCAGGATGATGTGGTCAATCGGCCCCTTGTTGGCGTCCGTGACATCGATAAACAGCTTCTCGAGCTGTGACTCCATGTCGTCACCGCTGATATCGACAATAAACCCAGAGACTTTGGCATCAGGCACGGCGTCCTGTATCTTCTTGACGGCCTCATCGACACGGCCGCGATTGGACGAAGCAATGGCTACCTTGAGGCCTTCAACGCAGGCCAGTTTCGCTGCGGCGGCACCAATGCCAGAAGAGCCACCAACAACGACAACGGACTGCCCTTTGATGGGAGGCATAATGATGAGACGAATCTTAAAGCTAGATGATATGAGGAAAAGGGCAGTAGAATTTTGTGAAGTCAATGTGCTGGTAAAACGGTCCTTCCTACAAAACGAGGGCAATATTTATATTTCACTTCGCAGTCCATTCTTCTATGACAACGGAGTCCGGACTCACCGATGCCGGTAATCTCGATGCATGTTGCAGGGAAAGAGGCAGACCAGGCATGAGCAAGGAGCAAATGACTGGCGATGTTGTAGATACGTCCTATTCACAAAGTCGCTGTTGAAGAGATGAATACGAAAGCGGGTTAGACCCAAAGCACTCCTAGCGGAGTTAAAATCCGTTTTTCCCTTTTATGTCCGGCCTCCAAATCCGCTCCCTCCTTACATTCCCTCCCAGCTAGCATAGTGTCCTTTTTGTCCTCCTTATCCACAGCCTTGGAAGTATTTGTTTCAATAAATGGTCTAGAATAACCCTTAGCAAATTCTTCTTTCTAGCATGCCTAGACCGCTTTCGACGTTCCGCTTCAAACACTGTCCGACCTAGCCAGCGTCTGCTGTAAATGAGCTCGGTCCTGCAGAATGGACAAAACACTGCAAACCATCACTGGAAAGGGGAAGGCGACTGTGAAGCGCATCAGTATGACCAAACTGCCCTGCTTTGCCTTCAATCAAGGGACTCCAGTATTGACATTTCCCTGGAGCTGTCCTGATAGAGGAGGAGGGTCACTTGGGTGGCTTTTAAGTCAATGAGGAAACAGACCAAAAAAGAAACACAAAAAAGCACCCCGGGTGATGCGAAGCCAGGCCCCCTCAGCTGCGTCGTCTCGTCATGGCAAGGCAGAGAATTATTGGATTAACCGGTTCTCGACCACTGCACCAGGGCGCGTGAACGTTGACCTAGCTCCCATATCAGCAACGGTTTCGTCACCTTTATAAAGCTCTTTTCATCTGAACTTTGGTCTTCCCTGGAGCGCTATCCGCAGTGATCTGACACACGATCTACAATGAGCAAAGGTGAAGTTTGTCTCTCGGCATGAATCCTGACATCAAGTCCTCCTTGAAGCGTCTTCATTGCTCAAATATGCTCGCTTGAGCCGCAAACACTGCTTAGACTGAGCTTGAGCGATGCGCAAAACAACGAGTCTCGACATCTCAACTCGTCATACCGAGCAAGGGAACACGAACACAAAGCGCTCAAGTCTTACCCACGGCAAAGCAATGCCATCGTTTCCAGCGAGCCCAATGTGCCAAATTAGCAGCATTCTCGCACTTCACCTGCTTCGATTATTAATCCACAGCGATATCTGGCTTTGCTTCTCCCGCTTAGATAGTCTTCAACTCAATCCGACTTTGTTTCGCGCTGCTCCCCAGATAAGGACCTGAATAACGGGTACATGCGATCTCGAGCTGGCGAAACAAGATCGAAGGGGCCTGGAGGAAAGAGAAGTATGATCAAAGGGATTCGAAGCCAGAAAGGCCGACCTCGACACTTGTCAGGCTTGGCTTCAGAGCTTCCAGAACGTGTTACCTTCGTGAGAAGGGGAAGCGCCGAGATTGTTCCTAAGGTGTGTCTAAGCGGCCAAGACAGCCGTTGCTTTCTTGATAGACCTGTAAAACCAATGCAAGCTCATTTAAGATCTTTCATAAGTCATATCCAAATTCAGAAGGGCTATAGACAGCTTCGTGATCTTTTGTTGAGCCAATTGTGCTCGTGACGTCCTCGGGCATCACCGGCCTTCGATGGAGATGATGGCACTGGTGCTGAGGGGAATCGGGCAAGAGAATGGCTGGATCGTGTCATGTGAAGAGGTTCATAACGGAAGAGATGAAATGCTTGGCGAGTTTTAGGGATGCCAGTTGATCTGCCTGCTTTCCAAAGCTGCAAATGGGTAGAAAGGATCACGGACGCGCTGCGAGTGAAGTCGTAAACAGCAGGGAGGGGTTAGGTAAGCCGCGAGGACCAGGGGTCTAGAAGGTCTTATTCAAGGACCCACCAGAGCTACAGCTCGAGGACCCTTCAGATGATAACCCCGCGCCCAGACTTCTCTGGCCCTCGACCTCGACCCCTCGAAATAGAGCACTGCTGTATCACCAGATCTTGTCTCCAGCCAATTGCTCCAGTCAATCACTATACCACGCGCGCAACACAAGATCCTCGACCGTCTAACATGGCAACACACTCGCACGACGGGTCAGCCCCGCACTCGCACTCGCACGACGGCGGCTTCAACGCCCAGGAGCACGGGCACACGCACGAGATCCTCAACGGGCCGGGCTCCTACGTCGGGCGCGAGATGCCCATAACGGAAGGGCGGCAGTGGGGCTCGCGGGCGTTCACAGTCGGGATCGGCGGGCCGGTGGGCTCGGGCAAGACGGCGCTGATGCTGGCGCTGTGCCTGGCGCTGCGGGGGCGGTACAACATCGCCGCCGTGACCAACGACATCTTCACGCGCGAGGACGCCGAGTTCCTGACGCGCAACCGCGCCCTCCCCGCCGAGCGCATCCGCGCCATCGAGACCGGCGGCTGCCCGCACGCCGCCGTGCGCGAGGACATCAGCGCCAACCTCGCCGCCCTCGAGGACCTGCACGCCGAGTTCAACACCGACCTGTTGCTCATCGAGAGCGGCGGCGACAACCTCGCCGCAAATTACAGCAGGGAGCTGGCCGACTACATCATCTATGTCATCGACGTATCTGGCGGCGACAAGATTCCCCGTAAGGGAGGGCCAGGCATCACTCAGAGCGACCTGCTGGTCGTCAACAAGACCGACCTTGCTGAGGCCGTGGGCGCCGACTTGGGCGTTATGGAGAGGGACGCCAGGAAGATGCGGGAGGGTGGACCCACAGTGTTTGCGCAGGTCAAGAAGGATGTCGGTGTGGATCACATTGTCAACCTTATCCTGAGTGCCTGGAGGGCGAGTGGCGCTGAGGAGGTGCAGAAATCACGAGGAGGCCCCACAGCAACACCCGGTCTGGATGCTCTCAATTAAGTAACGAGACACTGTAAGCCTCATTGGCTCCATATCAAAATCGCTGGCCATTTACTTGGCCGCTGGTTGTTGGTATTCATTGTACTCATAAACTCAAGAAACATGATACCCTATACCTGAACGCCGTCTCATGATATCTGCAATCCTCGGAGGTGCTCCTATTCCTCCATGACCTCGACAAGCTCCGGAGCCTCTTCTGAAGATTCCAGCAGCGAACCTTGCAATGGCGTCGCATTGCGAGGCCAGACCCTCTTGTAAAGACTGACGCCAATTGTGTCTTGAGGGTTGATGTGTGCGTCGAAGGTCGCCTTGAAGTACCCGTGAGTTCCCAGCGCCTCCTTGACGTAGCCGCTTCTTCCTCTCTTGGTCCATAAGGGTAGCGCCTTGAACCATTCGACGTCTTCCCTGTTGAAGAACATGTATCGAATGGTCACAATCCTCTTGTGGATGTGGTACGGGTGACCAGTCAAGATTACGCGTTTAGCGATAACTCGGTTGGTAGATGGGCCCATGGCAGTACCCGTGCCAATCAACGTTAGAGGCAAGTCAGGCTCGTCCTCGCCCTTCTCCTCACCCGGTTTTGATCTTCTGTAGAAGAGCGCTGGCACGGCGCCCCAGGTAACAGGACCCATGAAGGTCGCCACAGCAGATTGACCTGGGTGCAAGTAGCGACAATACTTGTGCACGTCATTAGGGGTGTTGCCGCTCTGCGAGAAGAGAGGATTGATGACAATTCTCCGAGGACCACACTGCATGATGATCTCCTCTTTCGACTTGATGGACCTAGAATAGTCCGAGCTCAAGTTGATGAGCATATTGACCGCCGTCCGCTTGTGCTCGTGTCTCAATAGTGAGAACAGAGTCAAAGGCTTGTCTGGGTGATACGTCGCTCTGGCCTCTGCAGGTATTCCTTTGATGTGAACATGAACCCGAGTGCCAGGCTGCACACCTCCCACAAGGGCCTCATTACGTGCGCTGTTTCGAGAAGCTTGGTAGTTCTGAACTTGCAGAAGTCGGCGCCATTCCTCAGGTTCGTAAGCTCGATCCTCATCCTGTTCCCAAGGGCTTTCTCGCAGACTCTTCAGCCCACGATATCGCGCCAGCCGCTCGCGTGCGAGGACATTGGGGTGTAGTTCGATTTCGTCAGGAAACTCCAGATCCTCTTCAGCTTCGCTCTTCTTCTTTGACCTGTACTGAGCCAGTTGCGCAGCGTCATCGTTCTCATCGAGTTCCTCAAACTTCTCTGACTGTGGGTATTCCGACGGCCCAGCCTCGGTCATGCGATCTGCGACAATTCCCTCCATGCCATCTTCTGGTGCTGCAGAGGCCTCAGATGCTTCATCCTCGGCCATGTCCATGTCGGTCATGTCAGAGCCGTCGTCAGACGCATTGTCCTCCAGATACCAAGCCGACTGGTATTTTGAGGTGCCCTTAGGTACCCTCAACTGTTCTACTTGAAGGTTGTCCTCGTCTTCAGAAAAGTAGTGATGGTCGTCCAGCAACACTCCCTTCTTCGTTGACGGCGCCACGGACGTGGCATCATCCAAGTCAATATCATCATCTGCATCACGCATGGTCGCAACCTCTGGTGCCAGGTCATTCAGGTCGTCTTGGTCTTCGGTAGGAACGGCGAGCGGTTCCTCTGTATGGTCGTCCACATTCATGCCCTCGTCCGACTTCTTGCCTCTCTTTGACAGCGGTGCAGCGGTGATCTTCTCGATCTTGAACGATCCCCAGTCGCCCACTTGCACAAGTCGGTCTGCCTGTAGCCCTCTGCCCCTCACAACACCTGTGACAATGGTCGAGGTCTCTTCCGAGTCTGCAAACTTGACATCCTCCACCAGCATCCAACTTCGCTCATCCCGCCATTTGATACCCTTCGGTGTCGAATTGCAGAGGGATCTCATCAAATTTGAGCATTCCTGCCTGTTGTCGAGGTTGTAAATCTTGTGCTGCTCCGGGTGGAAATGTGTGATGTATGACCGCAGAGAATCGAGAACCAAGTTCTTTTGTTTTGCAGTCTCCGTCTTATTCAGGCCCTGGACGACGGTAAACAAAGTTGACAGACCTTGGCTCTCAACGCTCCGAAGGATGAGCTCGCCGAGGTCGTCTACATCGACATCTGCGGACAGAACGAGCACCACGAAGTCAGCGACCCTGGCGGCATCCAAGCAGGCTGTGAGATCCCGCGGCAGGGCGACGTATTGCAGCTTTTGCTTGAATCTATCGACAGGCACTCGAGCGGTGCCAGTTGTGATTTCCTGGTCGATGTCGAGACTCTGATTCAAGGCCCGGACGGCAGCAGTGGAATCGCCGTCTGGGCAGAGAGGAATGACAGCGACATTTCGGGGAGCCCCGTCCTTGCCAGCGAAGACCACGGTCTCCTGCTGGTGAGCTTTGTGCTTCTGGGCCTGCTTCTGCTTGGCCTGGTTTCGTCGGTCGAGTTTGGACATGACTTGCTGGTGAGGTGTCTTTCTGCGCTCGTTTGGTACTTTGCCTAAATGAAGGCAGCAATGTCTAGGTTAGCCGACTTTTCTTCAGTGTTTCGCTTGAAGATGGAGAGGGGCAATGGGTCATATGTGCAAGTATGAAGGCACATAATGCCCATGATGGCATGTGCTGTGAATGTTGGCCGGCGTGACTCATCTTACCCTTCAACTGATCTCTCATAGCCCCCTTGGTTGCCTTCCGGGACTTGAAGGCCTTGTTATTGACCTTGGTCGTCGCCCGGTGCGAGTGGCTCGCGACAGCGGACGGCATCTTTCCTCCGTCACCACCTGCCTTGAACCTAAACGGTAGAGATGAAGACGCCAGATTGTTAGGAATAGTCTTGATACTAGATAGATTGAAAGATGTGGGTTTTGGTATATGAGGGGTGAAAATGGAAAAGGACTTCGATTTCTCTACGCCGTCACTGGCAAATGCACGTACCGCCTGCACTCGCTTCTCCAAGTCGAACCTGCCCCGCCATATTTTGAAATTTCTTGTGGAAACTACCTGCACTATCCCTGCTTATCGTCTTATCGTCTTATCGTCTTATCGTCTTATCGCTCTGTCCGCTTATCGACGACCCTCTGAAAAAGTTCCCAGATCGCATCCAATTCCATCTTCTTGGGAGCTAACCAACACCACTGAAACACCACACAAACAACCATGGCTGATGAGACAAAGGCGCAGCCTAATGGCGCCCTGACGGTTCAACATGCCAGAACATCACTACTTTCAAAAGAGGAACAAGCAAAGCGGCGGCGACAAAAATTAGCCAATCGTGACTATGGCCGGGGCAAGGGCGTCGACGTGCGCGGCGTTCGCGACAAGAAGTTGCGGACCAACATGAAGAAGCAGGAGACAAAATACCAGGAAGCCATTTCGAAAGCGAAAGATGCCGAAATACTGTTGGAAAACGCACCCGGATTCCTCGAGCCTGAACACGAACTCGAGCGAACGTACCGGGTCCGGCAGGACGAGATCACAAGCGAGACAGCCGTGGGTACAGCGCAGAAGCGTTTTGATTTGAAACTGGACGAACTTGGACCATACCATTGCGAGTATACGAGGAATGGCAAGGAGCTGTTGCTGGCGGGTCGCAAGGGTCATATTGCGACGATGGACTTCCGGGAAGGAAAGTTGGGGTGCGAGCTTCAATTGGGAGAGACTGTCAGAGGTAGGCTCTCACTTTACAGGATTTTATGTGAGACGAGTACTGATCATGAGTTGTGCAGATGTGCGATGGCTTCACAACAACCAGTATTTCGCCGTGGCGCAAAAGAAGTATGTCTATATCTATGATCGGAACGGTGTCGAGCTCCATTGTCTGAAGAAACACGTCGAGGTGTCACACATGGAGTTCCTACCATATCATATGCTCCTCGCGACGCTGGGAATATCGACCAATCTGAAATACCAGGACGTTTCGACCGGACAACTGGTCTCCGAAATACACACAAAAGGCGGCGCTCCATGCTCCCTCACACAAAACCCGTGGAACGCAATATGTCACATTGGCCACCAGAACGGGACAGTCTCACTGTGGTCACCCAATTCTTCCGATCCACTCGTCAAACTTCTCGCACACAAAGGCCCAGTCCGCTCACTCGCAGTCGACCGCGAAGGCCGTTACATGGTCTCGGCCGGGCAGGACATGAAGATGTCAGTCTGGGACATCCGGATGTTCAAGGAAGTCAACTCTTATTTCACGAGATCTCCTGCCTCTTCCGTGGCAATATCAGACAGCGGCTTGACAGCAGTGGGCTGGGGCACGAGCACGACGATATGGAAGGGCCTTTTCTCTAAACACAAATCTGTCCAAGAAAAGGTACAAAGCCCATATCTGACCTGGGGCAAAGAGGGCAAGGCCGTGGAGCGAGTGCGATGGTGTCCCTTCGAGGACGTGCTCGGGATCGGGCACGATCAGGGCTTCTCCTCTATTCTGGTGCCCGGCGCTGGCGAGGCCAACTTCGACGCGCTCGAGGTCAACCCATACGAGACCGCCAAGCAGCGGCAGGAGGCCGAAGTGAAGCAGTTGCTGAACAAGCTGCCTCCCGAGATGATCGCGCTGGACCCCAACTTCATCGGCAACCTGGACCTGCGGTCCGAGAAGCAGCGGCAGGCCGAAAAGGACCTCGACGCGCCGGCCGTGAACATCGAGGAGGAAATCAGGAACAAGGCGCGCGGGCGCAACGGTGCGCTGAAGAAATACATCCGCAAGCAGAGGAAGCGAAACATCATCGACGAGAAGAGGATGCGCGCGGACGAGATTTGGGAAGAGCTGCAGAACAAGAACAAGGCACAGCACGATCAGCAGAAGGAGGAGCTGGGGCCGGCCTTGGGGCGGTTCGCGAGGAAGGAGAGATGAGAGAGGCTGAGCGGATGAGCAGATACCCAGTCAGGCACATAATGGATTACATCTATTGCCTTTGCATCCTATCACAAATCATTAAAATGGACCAAATTTACATTGTGAATAGCTGGCTGCCGACGAGCTCTCGAAGCCTCACTGCGAGCCCTTTATTCAGTTTCGAAAGCAAAAGGATTCTCCGACCATCTGATTCGTAGTTCAGGGCATTTATGTTATAGCTCATGCATGATATCTAACAGCCCAAGCCAGGGTGAGACCATGACAGGCGCCAAAAGGTTTACATCCCCAAGCCCCTTGGCCTTCCTCCCCTGTCAGGGTAGGTCAGCAGGTGGATTCTGTGATTTTATTTCAGACATCACCGTATCGTGATAGCAACATGGCAGTCATCCATCCTATGTTGGTCCCGTCTATTTGTTTCCCGGATCAAATTTCTTTTTGCCAGCCCCCTACCAACGCCGAGCAATGCATACATATTCCCTACAATTCGACAAGACCATGACCCTGGAACAAAACACTAAAGTGCGCGAGCCAGACCACCACCTCACAGCAGCTTCAGGTGCCCCGTGACCTGGTCCACCGCGCTCTTGGGGGCGGGCCCGACGCCGAGGACGGTCAGGCTGCCCGGGTCGATCTGGGTGCGGCCGGCGTCGGCGATGACCTCGGCGGTGATGCCGAGCGAGCGGGCCTTGGCCAGCAGCTCGTGCAGCTCGTCGGCGCTCTTGGTCTGCAGGGCGACCTTGGCCTGCCCGTGGCGCTCCCAGCGCTGCAGCAGCCTGGCCGCGGGGCTGCCGGGCCCGGCGGCGCGCGCCGCCTTGGAGATGGACTTGAAGCACGCGAGGGTCGCGTGGCCGCACTGCGCCGCGATCTTGCCTGGAAAACAGATGACAACATTAGTATCGGCCTGGTTTTGAGGGGTAGGCGTTGGGCTGGCTGGTCAGCTGGTCGTAGCGCTCACCCTTGGTCATGCCCAGATCTGTCCTGACGACCAGGATCAGCTTGCACTCCTCCCCGGTATCCTCGACTGACGACACGGGCTCTGGCTTTGAATTCTTGCTGTTGGTCTTCTTATCCTTCTCGAGGAGTCGGAGTCCTTGCTTCCGGTCCGCCTCCTCGCCGTTGGCCCAATTGGGCGCATGGTCCAGATGGGTATCATCCTCGTCGATGTCGGTCTCGTCGCTGTCGACGGGGTCTTCGTAGTTGGCGCGCGCCTGCTTGGCAAACTCCGGGGTGAGTATGTAGCCCTGGATGCTGTAAATTCCCAGCAGAAAGCCGGTCAGGAGGGCAACGACAGATGTGGTTATCACCACGAGGGTGGTGTTTTCGGGCATGATGGTCGGTAGTGAGTCGACGCGTTCAAGAAAATGTGGTTGATCGGGGAGTTGTGGTGCAAATCGACGCAGATATTGATGTCGACGAAAACAGGGTTAACTATCCCACGACGGCAGTACAATACAGTGGGGAGGCTCTTCGGATTGCGAAAGGAGCAATGTTGAAGATGGGATTTGTCATTGGGAAAGTTGGTATTCAGAGGCTCCTTTTTTTTCTTGGCCGGGCCAGGTCCCTAGCTTTGCGTCACTGCAGCGACTGACAGGGGCCCCCTGCTGAAAGACAGGATGGCAGATTCAGGGCAGTCCAGGGGTATCTCTCTACCACCACGAAAAGGAGGAGAGGGTTGAGGAAGCACAAGACCCGAGCCCCAACAAGTAGGAAGAAATGCAATGCTTGCCGTAGTTTTTGCACTTGCATTAGTTCTGTATACGGGTGATTGTCCAACAGAGAGGTCGCTGTAGATTTCGTTGTTGACTGTCATGTGCGAGACGTGGCCATTGATTCCTTAAATAGATTACACCGGAATTCCAGCAACGGAAACACCGGAGCAACACTGCGCAGTAGGGATGCATGGTACACCCACGGGAGGTGAGTTCGAAATTGGCATGTCTGCTCAGTTCTAAAATATGCATATGCCATGAACAGCAACCTGCATCTCGTATGCCGTCTACGAATTTACCCAGCCTTTCTTTATGTTGTACATTGTTAAGCAAGGCTAGACGGGCAAATAATAAGAGATCGGCCATCCTGAAATGTCTTTGGACCTGATGTTCAATTTGTATTGGCCTGGGTCAAATGCCAATCATGTCTCCGCTTGGCGGCTCGATCGTGGCATTACCGAAAACTTATTGGGTCTTCAACTCAAACTCGCGACGGCTTGCGATGTCAGCGGCTTGTAAATTGCCGTGAATGAAGGTAGATAGCGTGTGTTGTTGTGGGACTGTTGAGCAATGATATATGTGTGTTTTACATGTAAATACTGTGCACATACAATGCCAACTTCAGCTTATATGTTCCCATAATAGCTGGTGTTAGTGACAGAGCACGCCCGGCTTGTCCATGAACTCGGGCGTCTGTGCGTCTCCGGAGCCGGGGCGGCCCCGCCCGTCTTACGGCTCCGGCATTTTCAACCTCACTCGTCCTCTGTTGCCGGCTGGTGAACCTCACATTATCTACTGGTCGAGGGAGACATCACACCCTTTCGATACCTCTCCCAAAATGAGCGGCCAGAAAGCAGTCGTCGTGGGCGTATCCGGCTGCTCGTCAAGCGGCAAGACAACCCTCGCCAGACTGCTCAGAGATATATTCCCAAACACCTTCGTGCTGCACGAGGATGACTTCTACCGGCCTGAGAATGAGTGAGTCAGCCATCCAATCAGATGCTGCAAGCTGAAATACACGAGAAAAGTGCAACTAATGTTTACCCCAGGCTGCCGATGAAGGACGGGCTCCTGGACTGGGACTGCGCCGAATCCATCAACATCCCTGATATGGAAAAGGCCCTGGCATACATCCGCTCCGAGGGGACATTTCCGGTAAGCAACAACAGCTCTGAACTGGCCTGTACCCACCGCAGCAGCCACGGCGTAACCGCCACGCCTGCCAATGCGTCCCCACCCGTACCCACCTCGTCGTCTTCGCAACGCTTACCAGGCCACAACCCGCCTCCCCCGGAGCAGCCCTTCGTAGACTCCAAGGAAGACAAGAACTCAGTCGGCAAGTGCCCCGCATCAGACGCGAAGATCGACGCCCAGAAGGCGAGGGTGCACCAGTGGGAGCAGCCGGGGAGCCCCGGGCACGAGATATTCTCCGGGGAGGGCGCGCCGCGGATGTGCCTCCTGGACGGCTTCCTGCTCTACTCGCCGCCCAAGCTGTCGGCCGTCATGGACAACATCGACGTCAAGCTGTTCCTGCAGGTGTCGCACGCGAGGGCGGCGCAGCGGCGCGAGGCGCGGGACGGCTACGTCACGCTCGAGGGGTTCTGGAAGGACCCGCCCGGCTACGTGGACAAGATCGTCTGGCCCAACTATGTCGACGCGCACCGGTGGCTCTTTGTGGGCGGGGACGTCGAGCGTGGCGAGCTGGACTGGGACGTGCTGCGGGAGAGGCAGGTCCTGGCCCAGCGTGGGGCGGGCGGAGCTGTGGACTTTGACTTTGAGGAGACGCTGGAGTGGGCTGTGGGTGAGGTTATGGCGGCGCTGGAGAGGTGGCATAAGAATTGATCAAATAGGGGCTCAACAAGATCAAAACGGGTAATCTATTAGGATATTGCGTGTGTCTCAGTCTACGGCCCTGACGACTCTCAGCATGAATGCCGTATCACGATCATCGGACAGATCTATAAAATGGAGACAATTCCTGAGCTACACTGGCAAAGGCTAGGTCGCTTTTCTCTGCGCTTTTTGGACGCACTTATAGATTAAGTGCCCTGAATAACCCCGAGCATGGGATTGTCTTGTTAAAATTACTGGATTTATTTTATCTCTGTTGCTAATGGATGGTGGTATAAGGAAACCAAGGAGTATACTCTAGACGCGAGTCGGCAGCTTTGTTTCCCTTGCATCGTCACAGGGATAATAGGCAGCCTCCAGATATCTTGTCTTCTTCCCGTAAATACTGAAGAGACTTCTTTTTGCTATTTTCTAACGTCTCAACTCTGCCACGTCTCAACTCTGCCACGTGTTAGAGACAGTGGTAGCAGTGGCGCAAGAGGCTGCCACTGTAAGGGTATGGTTGGGGTCGGCCTCCCATGATACCGTGCCTGTAGAAGACACCCTGATGTACTTGTAGGCGACTACTGCGCCGGCAGCCAAGTCAATTGTGACAGACCACAGCGGATTTGACGAGGTATACTGGCTCGCGCTGAGTTCCACGGCCTTGCTAGTGTCCCAGCTGCCGAGGGCGGCATTATCACCGACAATCTTGATGGTCTCTCCATAGGTCGTCGTGACAAGCTCGTTGAACGTGACCAGGACCGAAGAGGCGGTGGCGCAGCCAGTCGAGGACGAGGTAGTGCCTGTCGCGGTGGCTGTCGCGGTGGTGCTGTAGCCGGTCTGTGGGGTCTGCGAGGCAGGGAAAGAGGGTGCCGCCGCGGACGAGTATGACCCAGCTACCGACGGTGTGGAACATGTCCCTGGGATGACGTTGCCAGAGGCGCCGACCCAAGACGGGGGAACGGTGCCGTCGCGACGGGCTGCGGCACTCAGGAACGCGGCATAAGACCAGGTCAGATCATAGGCTGAGAGGGGCGAGCCGCTTGACTTGTCAAATTGCTCCGACAGTGATCCGTTAGGTGCAGCGTAGGTTGCCACTATATTTACATAGCCATCGGCGTACGCTGTAACGGCGTTGATCAAAGTTGTGTACGTAGATGAGCCCGACTGGTATGTGCCAGCGGTGATCGAGGAGTCAAGATCCTTGAAGAAGGCCAGCGATGTCGAAGTAACTTGGATGGACCCCTGAGCCTTCCAGACAATCAGAGCGTCGTAGAGCTGCTCTGCTGCGGCGAGTGTGGTCAAATACCAGGGGTTGCCATTGTAGTAGACGTCTTCGGAGTATCTGCCAACAGCGACCGCGGTGCCTTGCGGAATTCCGGAGTTGAGGCCGTATACGGAGCGGAAAGAGTCCGTCACAGCCTTATGGTTAGCCCTATATGAGAATCCAGGTCAGTCAAATCCTTACTAACAGAGCTCACAGATCACAAGGTGGGCGGAACTGCCGGTAACAGACGACGATGGTAGGAAAGGATAATCGATCGGGAGAGATGCTGAGGATCAAGGGAGGGCCTCTTCCGTGGTCTCGGTGGGATGTTGGATGATATGTAATGGAATGCTGAATTGGGACCCAATTGGTTTGGATACTAGTAATAGAAAAAGAACTCACAAAGCCTTGTCACTGCACGGCTGGAAGGTTGCAGCATCGCATGCCACGGCAGGATCGAATGTTGAGATTGATGAGATAAGGGAGTTCGCGTCCTTGCCAGTGCGGCCATTGTTCACATTAACTGTTATCGTGTTAGTGTTTCCCTCCATGCAAAGCTGTGCATATCAGTATGAAGGGGAGCAGGGAAGGCATAGATCAACCCGCTCGCAAGGGCACTTACTGTTGGAAACGATGTATCCGCTAGACGACCAAAAGGTCTGGAGGAAGCAAAGAATTTGAGGAGCAACACTACTGCACGCCGTGCAGGAAGTACCCAGCGAGGATGCAAGTGCAGCACCCTGGACGAGTGCGCGATGCTGGTTGGCCGTCGTGAAGAACGAGCTGCCTTGGACCTCTTCCCAGAGATCGAACCCGGTCTGGTTCCAGTACTGGGCTACATAGCTCAAGTCGTTACGGATAATGGGCCAGAGAAGGTTTGAGGCAGTCGAGGGGTAGCCATTGCTAATAAGCCAGTTGGCATAAGTGATGAGTGCGACTGCTCTAAGAGCAGGTCCGTCTCTTTGTGGCCTCCCTGAGGTGTTTGTCAGTAAAATTGACAATGCAGGAAAAGGCTTATAATGCTATACGTACCCCAGGAGCCGGTGAATTGGCTCAGGTCGACGTTGAACTTGGGCTCTCCCAGACCAGCACCATTGGATAGAGAGCCCGACGGATTGGACACGCCTTGAAGTTTCGCTTGGGCAGTGATATAGTTCTGGATGTCTGATTGGAGGGTAGTGTTGTATTCATTGGCAAAGATATCAGTGATCTCCTTGAGGACCAGGGCTGAATCTCGTGTCCAGGTGTACCAGTAGTCCGGGTTGGCTTTGCTAGGGGATGCAATAACCGCGCCTGATGCTACACCGGATGCGTAGCAGCCATTTGCGCCTATGTTGCATAACAGGCGGCTCAGGGCGATGGGACGCTCCGTTGCAACGAAGGAGTCCACCGAGCGCTTGATGATATCACCGTTGTTCCTTACGAGGCCGGCATCTGGCCGGCCCAGAACGGCCTGGAAGGCATAGGTGCCCAAGAGCAAGAGGGAAGTGAGACCGGTCATGATGGGCTGAACCAAGCTGGAGCTGTTGACTGGCAGGGCGGTGATGTTGGCCGTGCCACTGGACTGGATATCGTAGGCCATTTATATCCGTGGGTGCAATCCTGCCTGGAACGATGACAGAAGCGGTGTTGACAGCCAAGCAGCAATTACAAAGTAACTTCACGTGCATAGCGTCTCCAGGGTAGCAGTTTTCGACAAACCAGCATCATGGATGACAGTCACGGGGCGGGCAGCGTCAAGAAAGAAGCACCGATGTCGTGCCGGGTTGCATAGCTTTTCCCGGGACGCAGCCGAGAGTTCCTGCATCGAGCTGCAGGGCCAGAAGAAGCACGGCGATGGGGTCAGCTTGTCGTGTCGCCAATTACACGCCTGTTGGCATGGTGGGGGGGGTTTCCATTCTTGGACTAGACAGGAAAGTCGAGAGGTGGCCCAAGGATTCTAATAAGACAACGGCGGAGATGAGATGAACTTCCCATGTGATTGTGGGACTCCCGCCACGACTCAAGCAGTCAGGTCTCCTGGAGCATGGGGGCCCAGGTCGACTATGCGGTCTGGGTTGTGCCATTGACGTCTATTTTGTGGGGTAGGTGTGATCGAGCGGCCCCTTTCCTCTGCCGCCTGGGCAGATGATCATGAAGAATAGGCCGGAGCTACGGGCGATGTCACGGCTTGGGGACTGGCTGACAGCAGGACCAAGTATCGAATCGGCCCGTCATGACATCTATCCGTGGTCTCAGATGGCGTAGACAGGGCAAGACATGCATGCATGCGGCTTGGGCTCTGCCACCGCCCAGTATTTGTAGGGTAAAGGCGCATGTGCGGATACATACAAACTCGTTTCCCCAGACTAACACCGAGCACAACATCAGCCCAGCCCGTCGAAAGCGCGGGGAAAGATCGTCCGGCGGGAACCGAATCCACTCGGGGCCCCGGCACTATCACAAAGACGGCAATGATACCGATGACAACGGAAGGCGCTGGATCTCAAAAGGACTTCGCTTCCATACTCTTCACGTATCATACAGAGGGGCGCTCATTACCCTGACCACACCACATCATGCCCAAGAGCTACGGCAGCCAGCCTCCGGAGCAGATGTGAATTTGCGCCGTGCAAAGGGCCGACTCGAGACGGTATGGGCATCGCGGACCGTCGAACGAACACGATGTGTGACACACGAGCGCTCCCAAGCCGAGGTTGGTGGAAGAAGGATGGCCTAGAGAACTTTGAGAAGCAAGGACACTCTCAAGTGGCAAGCGGGCATGCTGCAGGCAACAGAGACAGGAAGAGGGAAGAAGAAGGAAGGACGATATGCAAGAGTAGTGGGGCACAATAGTATTTCGAATGTCGGAAAGGCGGCTAGTCACGTTGAGGCGTGAAGAGATGACGGTCGCAAGGTTGGCAGGGAGATGTGTACACTGTGACGTGCTCGGGAGACGATGGCCAGCTCTGTGCGATAGCCGTGGTGTCGCTCAACTTCACAGTCTAGGCTGGCGATGATCTTGGGACGCATTGGTGCCGCGCTTATTCTCGCTCCATCCTCACTGTTGGATGATCATGTTGGCACGCTCGTGGCTTTGGCCAGCCGCATTGATCGTCGACTCCAGCGGACGGTCTGGAAAATAGTGTCCTCATGATGATGTGCTGTTCGTGCGCAGGCTCACCCGGTGTCCCAATGCAATTGTTGGCTGACCTGGAAATTGGAACCTGTCTGTTGAAATACTGACATCATATCGTCATGGTGTTTTCCTTTTCCAGTGTCTGCCGAGTAAAATTCTCAGCATTCATCCGAGCCTGCAAGAGCGGGCAGAAGGCCGCTGGACATAGGCCTGTAGCTGCAGGTGGGAAGTGAGGAAAGAGATCGCGGTGTTTGTAAAATCTGCAGCTGGGTTTGAATTGAATATGCGTAACGCGCGTCTGCAGCGCGTCCATCCCATTTAAGCAATAGACCCAGCCAAGTCAGTACATACAAGTCATTACATAAGCGCGCACAGGCCACCTCAGAACTCCAAGTCAGGTCCCAGGCATGATGGCGTACAATCCGATCCGACTTTGTCTTGCGCCCTGAAGTATCCCACAGCTGCATTCACCTGCAGATCTGTTGTTCTCTTTCTCAGAACTTGGCTCTCAGCATTCGTATCACGTCGCCAAAATGGATGCGAACACGATCGAGGAGCTGAACGAGGTCCGCAAGGCGATGGGCCTCAAGCCCTTGCCTGTACCGAATGCGGCCCCAGCACCGCCGAAACAGTCAAACAAGGACAGCACAGAGGAAGTTGCCAGCACCATCGAGACACGTGAGGCCGCCGCAGGGGAAAACTATAGAAAGGTTCTCGAAGCCGAGAAGGCCAAACGAGACCGCGAGGCAAAGATAGCAGCCATCAAGAAAGAGCGTGATAGAGCCCAACGACTGGCCACCCTGACAGGCAAGGGCCTGGGCGACATCGACGATGAGGACGATGGGGACGCAAAGTCATGGCTCAAAAGCATGAAGAAGAAGCAAAAGAAGATTGCTGAGTCTAGGAGGCAGGAGGAAGAGGCAGACGCTGCAGCCGCGGCTGCGAGGAAGGCTGCTGGCTATACTTCCAAGGATCTCGCTGGTGTCAAGGTCGGCCATGACATGTCGACCCTCCTCGACGGCGACGACCAGATTCTTACACTCAAGGATAGCGCCGTCCTGGCCGAGGACGACGACGGCGATGAGCTCGAGAACTTGAGCCTGCGGGAGCAAGAAAAGCTCGACGAAAGGCTCAACTTGAAAAAGAAGCGGCCTGTGTATGATCCCAACGACATTGACGAGACAGGCGAGCGCAGCATTCTTTCTCAATACGATGAAGAGATTAACGGCAAGAAAAAGAAGGCTTTTAGTCTGGATGGAAGAGGCACGATTTCAGACCTTGCCGATATCCTTGAGGCTCCAGCGCAGCGGAAGAAAACGCTGCAGAACCTCGATATAGACATCATGCAAGACGCGCCAGTTTCCGACTATCTCGACCCCTCGGAAATCAAGATCAAGAAGCCCAAGAAGAAGAAGAAGAAGTCAACACGCCAGCGGGATGAAGAAGACGCATTATTCCCTGGAGATCAGGTGCCAGCAGCCGACGAGTCCATGGACATTGACTCTGCGCCAATCATCAAGAAGCGAAAGATTGTTGACGACACATTCGTGGATGATGAAGATTTACAAGCTTCTCTTTCCATCCAACGCAGACAGGCCTTGAAGAAGCAAAAGCGCGTTCGGCCCGAGGATCTAGCCAAACAGCTGAAAGCCGAGGCCGCACAGGACGCGGAGAACGACGATCAAGAAGCAGAGACTGGAGGCCTTGTTCTTGACGAAACATCCGAGTTCCTCAGCGCCATCAATAAGCCTGACACGGATGAGGACGAGCGGCCGAGGAAGAAGTCCAAATCTAGAGAACCCGTCACTGCAATGGGTGACAATGATTCCGATGAGGAGATGGAGAATGCGCCCCAAATCAAGGACGAATCTATTGAGAGAGATGTGTCTGCAGTGCCGGAAGAACTCGCAACGACCGGTGTGGACGAAGAAAAGTATGTCGCACAAGGTCTGGGCGCAACACTATCACTACTCAAGGAACGAAAAATTATCGAAGAAAACGACTCCGGCGCTGAAAAGAACGAGCACTTCCGCCGAAGAGAACTCTTCCTTGCGGAACAGGCAAGACTAGTTGCGCAAATCGACGAGGACGCCAAGCGACAGCGCGAGCGAGATCGAGCAAGTGGTCACCTGGACCGCATGAATGCCCGCGACAGAGAAGAGTACGCCCGCAGACAGAATGCGGAGCGTGAGTTCAAATTGTCGAACATTAGGGCGAACCTGCTCAAGAAGCATAAATTCAACGTCGAGCTCAAGTACGTGGACGAACAAGGCCGTCATCTCAACCAGAAGGAGGCCTTCAAGGAGCTGTCTCACCAGTTCCACGGCAAGACCAGCGGCAAAGGCAAGACAGACAAAAAGCTGTCCAAAATCGAGCAGGAGAAGAGTCGCATCGCCAAGAGCATTTTCGATGCCAGCGGGGAGGCGGGTATATCATCTGCTACGGCTCAGCAGACGAAGAAGCGGAAAGAGGCTGGCGTGCGTCTGGCGTAATTTTGAGGGTGACATTCGGGGCTTTGTTCAACGACAGGAGTACAATAGACGCTACTTGGAATCAAAAGGTGCTTCTACCCTATCTCGAATACTTTTCATTACATGAGCTATATGTGCTGACACGGCTAGAGTCCAGCTTGAGGTGAGACTTTGGCCACCTGTGTATGCTAACCTTGGTCCTAACCGAATCTGCCAGTGCAGAGACATGTATCGAGTGATACATAGACACTTCGAATTTCCTTCTCACAGTCACGTTATTGTTCTAGAGCTTGGTTTCGCTCAATATGGAAGACAACCAGTTCCACTATTTTTCCTATCAATTCTAAATCTACTTTGGGCATCAAGCCCCTTTACTTACCCTCAGGGAAACCGCCCTTCACCAAATCAGCTGCTAGCTGTGCGAAATCTTCACAAAGGTCCTGCATGAGCTCGCTGCCGTACGTGCCGTCGGCCAAAGGCTTTGGCATCCAGTCCTCGACGCGAGTCTTCAGCTTGCCGTCTTTGTCGCGAAGTTCTGCACATGCGAGCGACAGTGATCGCCGGTGCTTGACAATGTCGAACTCGCTGGCAGCGCTGCTACTGGCGTCATGGCTTCTCCGTCGCTCCCCGGTGTAAACCTTCTTCGGCCGGGCAATGATGATGTCATCCTGGGAGGCCGGCATCTTCTTCGTGGTAGTAGAAGGCATCTTCTTCTTCTGTGTTGTTCGATTGACTGATTGATCGATCTCTTTTTCTCTTTGCTTACCTCGCAGGGCTCTGCTGGCTGGTTCACTTACCCTGAATATCGGCTGGGGTAATTAGACAAGTAGATTGGGCTGCAGAAGTTTTGTGGAGTGAGGAAAAGTGAGTCTGGATCGTTAGATCAAGTGGTTGTGATGACGATGGAATTGAGAGATACTCTAGTCGATAGTCCTCATTCCTTTTATATTAGGAGACCGGCGGCGTGTACAATGTGATTCATGGTTACCCGCGCCCTTTGTGAATCCCCGCCTCATCATTCATTGAAGACGTATTTTGGGGGCATGATTGTCTTCGTCTTTCGGTTTGGTCACCAGGACAATGCAGCCTTGTAAGGACGCGAGTTGCTCGTGAATCAAGACTATCGCAAGAGGCATAATCGCCATTGTACTAGGCCGCCCGGGTGGCAGGGACACGCTCAGTAATGGGATGTGCTCAAAGACTGACCAGCTCAAGCGACTTTGTCTTTGTCCTTGACGTCTTTGATTTGCTGATGATATTGTAAGGGAAGCGGCTCATCAGAAGTCATGCTGTGTCAAATGCCGCTCGTGTCAGAATTCTGATGCGCTTGGTAGACCCGAGTCTATTCTTGGGCATGCCAAGGAGCGCAGGGGATTGGTATTCAAATGATTAGTACCCGATAAATCACTCCTTACAGAAAAGGCATTCCCAAAGGCATGTCCGGCGTTGGCCATGTCCAAGTGAAATTAAATATTCTACCTTGCAAGGCTGGTAAGAATAGCTAAAGTATATGCTCCACCCACCTATCTTGACTCGAGTCCTGACCTAAACATACTCCGCGCAGATCAAATCGCCGCGAATATCCATGACTTCGCTGATGGTTGCATTAGGGACCAGACCGGCCATCCACAAGTTATGATTCAGAGTGGTAACGTTCCCGGGATCACCGTTGTCTTCCAGGAGTACGGAGATGGGAAAGATGTAGTCCTCATCAACAAGCAGATACGCGACTTCAGGAACATTGCGGCCGGTCATATCGGTCAAACGGGTGGAGAGGTCCACGGCCTGCCACTGCCACCAGAGGTAGTCCAGGAACGTGTGATGGAGATAGAAGAGAGGGTCGCCCGGGCTGAGCGTCACGTCGAACATCTAATACGAGACTTCGTTAGCCAGAAAGAAACTTGCGTTCACATGCCTCGAAGACAGATAGGACTCACAACTCCACCGACCCCTGAGTGGCCAGCCCCATGAGGATTGCTCTTGTAGCACTGCCACGCCTCAGAGTAGTTCGCACTGGCGAAGCACGTGTCGACATAGGACGTGTTCGCCTGCCTGAGGAAATTGCTCTCGCTCAAATCCCGGCTGAGGCAGTAATCAACAGCATAGCCCGTCTGGTTGATATGCAGCTCCAGGTCCGTGAACGGGCCGTCAGCCACGCACTCGTCGGTGCCGGTCCCGTTGCCCCCGAAGCCCGTGTCCGGGTCGAAGACGACCGAGTCGGCCAGGGTCATGGAGCCGGCCTCGATGGCGACGTAGTCGGCCTGCTCGTCCCAGTAGGGCTGCGCGCCCGTGTAGTTGCACTCGGACTGCAGGAGCAGCTCGTGCACGCGCATGTACAGCCGGTGCCAGGGGAGGAAGGCGCCGACGTCGTGCACCATGTTGGTCTGCGCTATGTGGATGTAGTGCAGCTCATCCCAACGCGTCTGGGCATTCTCAATGCCGCTCCGGGGCGCGGCCGACTGCAGGCAAAGCTCTGCGTCGATGTATTCTTTTTTCTCGGCATCTGTAAGTGTAGACCTACAGCGTCATGTTAGACTGTGCTCTAATTACGACATCAGCATGGAGTTATGCCTCGCACCAAGATTTCCGCTGGTTGAGCGTTGTACAGGTCGAGTTTGACTGTCTAGGAGTTACTGGAGAGGACTCGGCAATAGAACAAAGTGCAAGAAGGCAGATGATGCCGGACCGAACTGAAGAGAGTGACATGGTGGTGGTATACCACTACCGGGCAAACGAATGAATGATTTAAGGTAAAGAATGTTGGGAAACCTAATGAATGAGCGAAGATAGTCTTCGATCGATTAGAGATTCCATCTTCTATATTTATATACATCGACCTCACAGTGGTCGAAAATTATTGTGTAGTGGTTCATCACATCCTTTGCCAAGTCGGGTTGAACCTAAAGCCAAAGCGTATGCATGAGCGAGCCTATTCAACATGGCTTCGTAATGCAGCAGCCCTCACAAAAAGTAGCAATGAGAACGCGGCCGGAGCGCATAGAATGGTGATTGGCCTCCTGAGTTGATCTGCAAGATTTATACAACGCGCGTCCTTGCGTAACTTTAAAAAGGTCAAGGCCACGCAAATGTACAGCGGGTCTGCGTACGCGTTCGCTGCTACTCTGCCCCTGGGTATGTAGGGTTCCGGGGGAATGGCAGTGCCGATGCATTTCCTGGGCCATATTGAGCGCACCGCGATGCTTGAGTCGACTCCCTCAACAACCCCAGGTTCTGACTCGGCATGGTAAGTGCAGAATTGTGCCGAAGAGCCGCTCATGTCCTGTGCCTATACTCGATGTCACTCTCTTCCCTACGCCCCAATAGCCGATCCACGATCTGGCTACACGCCTGTGTGAAACCGACATGCCAGCCGTTCGACTTTGTAGTCTCCAGGAAAATCGTCCGCTAGCATGGCGTTTTGCCCTCTCTCTCACCCCTGACACGTTGTGTTGATCCTCCTGCATAGGCGGAAGCCTCCAATGACCGAGCGAAGCCATCGCGGGTCTGCGTCTGTTTGCCCCCTAGGCCATGTATACTTCTACTGGTCCACCACGATCTCCTTGGGCGGTGCCTCCGTCAAGACCTCGGCATAGCTCTCTGTTGCCACGCCTCGCCGGGTTGATAGGTACCAGGTCAAGAAGCCAATCGTCAGGAAGGTGAACAGCCAGAGCAGAACGAGCTTCTTGGAGCGCCTAGGCGGTCGGGCGTATGGGCTCCATAGGCTTGGCGCCGCCGACGAAGGGCTAGCTATACCATAGCTGCCATAGGCGCCTGGAAGGAGACCGCCATCACCGCCGCGCTTGTTGCTGAATTTCTTGGTGCGGGTGCGGGTGTCTTTGATGAGGGCTGGGAGGTTGAATTTCGTGGACATGAGCCGCGGGTTAGGAAGATGACGGCGAGCTTGGGTACGGTGGGAGGGCTGGCGCGCAATTGGCTTGGTAGGAGAGGTGTCGGCGGTGTGGTTGCGTTCTCTGGTGGTCGTTCGTGAGAAACCTGCTCGGCAATTGTCCACCGTCTTCCAAGCTTTAGGGTACCGTGTAAATGACGATCCTCGGTACGTGTTCGGGAGACTGGGCAGGGGTGACATCAGCCGCTTGGAACCCACTTTGGAACCAGGGTTCGTTCGTCCGGGGACATTGCAACCCCCCCACCTCCTCTCTCACCTTCCCCACCTTCCGAAGATCAAGTTGATCTCGAAGACGGCCGCGACTGTATCCTGCACTCCAATGATACTTCACACCCAGCAAGGAAAGATCCTCATCTTGAGATCCTCCAGACCTTCTTTGCAGCTCCATTGCAGTGAAGACCCTGTGCTGGTCGGAATGTCAGGCCCTTCCCTGCCGACCTTTGCAAAAGTGCTTGAGCGTGTAAAAGGGCACGTACCCACAGTATGGTTAACCTATCAAGTCTGACAGGCTAGCCCATACGACAGAAAATAATTCCCCGAGGGAGATTATCCAACAGAAGGTTATCCCAAAGGAGAATATGCTATCCCAATGGCAGGGCGTAGAGCTTATGTTGCTTGCTGCATTGGGACACCCGGGACCCCTGCGAGCTTACATACTACCTTGAACATCTGCGAGGAGTGGTGCCCGTTCGTGGGATAAAGCTGTCAAAGAGCAGATGCCATTTCTCCCGGCAATTGGGTCTTTGACTAAAAAAATTGGCAGACGACAATCACGTCCTACCGGCACGTCAAGTGGGTGCTATGAGGTGGGTGGCGTGCTACCCGCCTGCTGAGAGAATGAGACAAGACGTCATATCGGCACAACCAAGAAGCTGCCTTAGCTTGCTTAGCTGCGGCTCCTCGTTGCGACGAGAGCTGGGCCAGCCCATTCAACAAGTCCAGTCGCACCAGGCTAGCTTCTTCAGCTTGGAATCATGTCAAACAAGCCCAATCGAGGACGGCTGGCCGCCGATCTCAGTCAATGACCCGATGGCGTAAATCAATCTCATGCGCAGCTCCCCGGTCCTGATCTTGATCCTCATCTTGAACACCATCCTTCATCTTGGTGAGCTGCAGAGCACAACGCAGTAGTAGGTTGGAGTTCAGACCTCCTCCCAACCTCTCATATTTCTACCTGCTTTCTTCACTACTTACTCTGTGTTGCACCGCTTGCCCGCCCTCTTCTTGGTCTCTGTGTATCATCGACGGTTGCGGAGTTCTCAACGGCACAGTTGACAAACGGCACTGTCAACCCTCAATCGTGGCTCCTGCCCATCTCCTTATTATTTTCCAACTTCTTTTCCTCTGCCGCACCTAATTGGTCTCCCCAGCCGCACATTTCAAAGGTGCCCAACATGGAGCAGCAGGAACATAAGGCGCCTGGGGGCCACTATTCTGGCACCAACAGGATCCCCAACATCAAGCAATTCATGGAGGGCTTGGACAAGGAAAAAAGAGAGCGTGACGCCAAGATCGATGCCCAGCTAAAGCAGAACAAAAGCGCCGGAGGCGAGGTCAAGGCTCACCATGATGACCAACCCAAAGGAAATAACCGCCGGACAGTCCGTGACCCAGTCACCGGCAAGGACGTCGAGATCGATGATATCGGCCCTGAGATGATGAAAGCCGTCGAAGATCCCCATGTAAGTCCAATTGACATCCTTCTAATCGGACTCGAGCTCACTCTATGCTCAGCTCTTCGTTCCCAACGCCAATCTCGGCAAGGATACCACCGTCAAGACAGAAGCTACCCAGTCTGGCGAGGAGTATCGGCGCAACCAGGATATTACAGCACCGCCAGACCCGGTGGAGCCAGGAACGACGAGCGATGTGCCCATCCACGGCGAGAAGACCAACGTGCTCTTCCACCCGACCCCGTCCGTGAGCTACGAGCCCATGTACGCCACCCTGGAGGCCAGGGCAAATGTCCTCTGCGCAGGAATCTTCTTCTCCATCGCTTTCATTGGCAAGATCTTAGGTGGTTCGCTCTGGGGTCTGATCCCTCTGGGGTTCTGTGTTGCCTCGGGCGTGTTCCTCTGGGTCAAAGATCTTATCCGCCAGGGCCGAGATACTGAGTGGTCAAGCGAGCAGCAACGCGGCGAGACTGCGGTCGTAAACCTCATTCCCGAGTCGGTCGAGTGGATGAACACCGCGATCGGTCTGATCTGGGGATTGATCAACCCGGATATGTTTGTTGCTGTTGCGGATACCCGTAAGTCCCACCCCCTCCCCCCAAAGAGAGATTGTATTCATTGTCCTGGAGGACCTATTTTACTGTTCTTGGTCGCTAATCTATTGGATTGGAGTCGAGGACGTAATGCAAGCTTCGGTACCGGGTGTAATTGAAAATGTCAAAGTCAACGATATTTCTCAAGGAAGCAACCCCATCAGAGTGCTGAGCTTGCGTGCTCTGCCGGACAGCCACGTACAGGATCTGAAGGACGAGATCCGAAAACAGGACGAGAAGACTAAAGATCCCCAAGAATTGGCAGCTGATGAAGAGGGCGGTGATTTCTACAACCTCGAGGCAACTATCGCCTACCACTCACTGCCATCCGGGGCGGATGTGTCTTCAAAGGCCAAGAACATGGGCATGCAACTGGTCTTCTATTTGGGTTTGAAGGGTCTATTTGGAGTCCCATTTCCCATCTGGGTCGAACTCAATGGTCTGGTCTGCACTGCCCGTATCCGTGTGTCTCTTGCTCCTAATCCGCCGTTCATCAAGACACTTAGCGTCACCCTCATGGGCCTGCCCAAGGTCGAGGCAAGCTGCATACCATTGATCGAAAAGGGCGCGAATATCCTCAACCTCCCTCTTATCTCGAATTTCGTGAACTGGGCAATCGCAGCCGCCGCTGGCATGTACGTTGCCCCCAAGTCCTTGACTCTCGACATCGGCAAGATGTTATCGGGCGACGATATTACAAAGGAGACCCAAGCGCTTGGCGTTCTCTTCATCCGCATCCACAAGGCGACTGGTCTGTCGAAACAGGACCGCAGAGGCAGCGAGGGCGGCGGTTCGGACCCTTATATTTGCGTCGCCTTCTCTAAGTTTGGCAAACCCCAGTACTGTACACGAGTTATCCAGGATAACCTTGACCCGATCTTTTCCGAGTGCGCTGCTCTACTTGTTACCCCGGATATTATCAAGGCAGACGAGCAGCTCTCGCTGGAGCTTTGGGACAGTGATCGATCCTCAGCGGACGATGTGGTTGGGAAGGTCGAATTGAGTATTCAGAAGCTCATTCAGCACCCAGGGAAAATGTTTCCTCAAAAGTCAACTCTGAGAGGCACAAAAGCGGAAAGCACGATGCCAGGCACGTTGTCTTGGGAAGTTGGCTTTTTCGGCAAGACCCAATACCGGAAAGCTCTGCGTACCGACGGCAAGGATCCCAATCTCCCCAAGGAGCTACAGGACAAGAAGGAATTGCAGCAGGATGTTGGGTCTCTGGATACTGCCAACGAAGAAGCTGTGGTCCACACGCCCCCTGACCCTCTTTGGCCCAGCGGAATCGTCAGTATCGTTGTTCATCAAATCGTCAACCTGGAACTGCAGAATGTCAAGGGATCTGAAGGCAAGAGGAAGGGGCGGGAATTTGAGCCTGCCAGGCCCGAAGCAGGAGATATTAAGGAAGAGACGGGCAAGAAGCTGCCAAGCTCATATTGCACAATTCTCGTCAATGACGAGCTGGCATACAAGACCAGAACTAAGGTCGTTTCTTCGAAGCCCATTTTTGAAGCTGGAACAGAGCGGTTCATCCGAGACTGGAGGGCCTCGATCATCACCGTCACTGTGCGAGATTCGCGCAACCGTCAGCACGATCCGATCATTGGAGTGGTCCCTCTGAAATTGTCCGATGTTCTAGTGACCAGCAGTCAGAGCACACGTTGGTACCCCCTCGATGGCGGCATCGGCTTTGGACGCGTCCGCATCTCGCTCCTCTTCCGTTCCGTCGACCTCAAGCTGCCACCACAGCAGCTAGGCTTCGGCGAGATTGGAACTTTTGAATTCCTCTCAGACACCCTCACTGCCGTAAATTATGATGGCAGTCCCCGCACGAAACTGAAGCTCCGCACCGGAGGTAGTTCAGCTGTGATCAAGAGCGAGAAATGCACCAAAGCCGAGGACGGTAGTCTCGTATGGGATATCACGGAGTCTCAAGCTAGGAACAACAATGATGGGACTACTACCACAGTGGAAGGTCACATTCGACTTCCCGTGCGATATCGCTACCGCTCACCTGTGTTCTTCGAATTCCACCCCACTGGGAAACGGCATACTGATACTTATGCATCTGTGTGGCTGCAGGACCTGGTCGATCTTGAAGAGAAGGACTTTGACATTCCCATTTGGAGGTGTAACAACGGCACACGCCTGAGCCAGAATTATATCACCGAGGCCAACTATCGGGACGTTCCCAATCTCAAGATCGAGGAGATCGGGCGACTCAGATTCCGAGGAAGGTTCAAGCCAGGAACTGATCGTGACCACCTCAAATTTGTGAGCGACAACGACTCTCGTGAGACGATCGAGAGCTGGGAGGCGTGCTACGCCGAGGGTGTTAGGAAGGAGCTCGTCGTTGCAGAGGTACCACCCAGCATACAGAAACTGCATGATGCCAGCCTGACTCAAGGGCGCGACGTTCTCGCCCAAGCGGACGAGAAGGACAAGGAGAAGTGGCTCGCCAAGGACGGTACCGACTGGAGCGGAGCCTTCGGTCAAGATCCCGTCGAGACGAGGGGCAGAAGCGGCGGCGCTGATGACGGTTCTAACTCCGACGATGACCAGTACGACGACGAGGACTCGAGCAACCCCGACCTGGGCATCGCTGACGCCACTACTGACCCTTCCATCTACAGCGGTGGGGATGCCAACGGCGACCAGTCCAGCGTGGCAGACACCCGCCAGTCCGTCGACAGTGGTCATGGCAGTGTGCTGTCGGATCAAACGACCAAGAGCAGCGGCGGCAAGTCTAGTAGCAGCAAGAACCCCATCAAGGCGCTTAAGGACTACAACTCGCGGAGCAGGGATCTGCACCGTCAGCATCGGGGCTTGATGCAATGGTAAGGACTGTCCCATCTCTTAGATCTGATATGCTGAATTGCAGACTGACTGGAGATGATAGGAAACCCATGCGTAATGTTCAATTTGCCAAAGACGAGGCCACTTACGCAGTTCGTCGACTCACAAAGGTTGGATCTCTGAGCGGCCGGAAGCCTGACGTGGAGACGGAGGTGTAAGTGAAGAGAATTAGTGGTTCTCGGCCCATATTTGTTTTCGAATGGCGTAGCATCTGGTTTCGGTTGTCACGGGTCGCATAGGGGGGGGGGGTTAAGGCAAAACGACTGGACCCATCATGGTACACGGTTAGTAATGACAAGGAAATAAGTAATTGTATGAAGCATCGATAATGAAACAACATATCTTTCTAAAACTTCACTTCGTGTGTGATTGCGTAACTGAGTGGCTTCCCAAATCTTATCACCAGGATACTTCACACAATCCAGCTCCGAAAGATCCCAAACATACAGTATGGTAGGAGACATCTGGATAGCAGAGTCATTATGAACCTCTGGAGGTTGTCCCGGAGGGCGAGCTCTACAGGCAGTGCACTATAGGCGGTGCACCTACAGACGTTGCTCCTGTCGGAGGTTATCTTATAGGAGATTATCTTAAGGAGGTTATTTTCTAGGAGGTTATCTTTCAGGATGTTATCCTCTCGGGGGTTATCTTATAGGAGGTGATCCGGTAGGAGATTATCCTGTGGGAGGTTATCCCGTAGGAGGTTATCCCGTAGGAGGTTATCCCGTAGGAGGTTATCCTGTGGGAGGTTATCCCAAGTGAGGTTATCCCATAGGCAATTATCCTATACGGGATAATACCATAGGAGATGATGCTATAGTGAAATTATGCTAGACAGGAGTAAATTGAAGAAGTCTTGCCAAAGCTTGAATCCGCACCAGATGTAGAACCCATTTCAGTTGCTCTGGGTTACTTCCCAGGAGAGAGCTGGTGGCTGTAAGACTGTCTCCGAGGGTTTTCCTGTGATACCTTTTATCCTGAAATACCTCGGTAGTCGGAAATTCGACATATACAAAACCTACATGAATAGACGTGTCATGGCCTGCACATTTCTCCATGGCATAGCTCTCCATACACGTTCATCCGAGCTACATAATTCGACAGACTGAGAAGCAGTCCTTCGGCGGGCCGTGAGTATATGGCTCATTACTTGAACTCATGGATGACTCCCGTGGATCGAGAACCTCGCTTCAAGCCTTACACCCTATTAGTAAAACGCGGCTTTCAAGTACTGGCTGCACAAGGGTGGCCGTTGCGGGGGGAGACAGGGTTTCTGCTCCTCCATCCTATCTTGTAATCACATGGGATTGTGTAGTGCATTAGTCGGTCGTTCGGACTGTTATTCCTTCTTCAATTATGCGCGATGTCCGTCTCGCGACAAGAGACCAGGCGGGTTCGGGTTCAATTAACAGAGATAGGAGAGTCTACTAGGTTGAAATTTTCTTGGTATTTGTCCAGCCCCGTAGCTGTAAGCCTTGACAACTTCACATCCTGGGTACAGGAATCCCAACGCAAGGACAAATCATGGGGAAAAGGTTGGGCAGGATTTAAGAACAGACGAGATACCGCCTCGTCTGGCACGGCGACGATCTCTCCAATTGAGCAATCTTGATTGTCGTGACGTAGCCAGCCCATATCAGAAAGTGCTGCCTGTAAGCCTCTGAGTACACACTACAGCGACGACGGGATCACATTACGATCACCACAGTTAATCCCAGCCCCGGAGGAAACACCTAGCCTCAGGCTATTGCACGAAAACCGACAGGAAAGGCAAGCCCTTGGATCAATGTATCCTTGCTAGATTCATGAAGGAATCTTCCCCTAGTCCGTGGGCGTTCGGCTGACCCGTCCTGCCCACCTGACTGCCAGCAATTCCAGCTATTCAAGACCGCCCAACCAGCACTTGGATATCAACCGAGGAAAAACAACAAGCCCATGATCATCCCTGCCGCCTAGTTAAAGGACTCCCTACCCAATCTGAACACCCCCCGAGTATCCCGGTACTCCCGAGGCCAATGGAACGCCATGAAACAAACAAAGAAAGGCCAACGGACCACGCAGGCGAGGTATTGGCCCCCTGAGACCTCGTGCGACAAGCCTAAGCCGTGTTTTCCCTTCCCTATGCAACTTCCGTCGACCGTCGACCCCGCGTGGCCGGAAGTGATGCAATCAATTTACAATAGTTGACTTTTATGAAGGCTGGAGCCCAGGCCGAGGTTGCTAAAGCTGGGACAACTGACCCTTGAGGGTTTCGTTGCCGTCCAACAATTCCTCTAGCCACGCGACTGCAGCCTCCAGCATAGCGCTCTTGCTCGGGTTGCCACCCTTAATAGCAGGAACCATGACCGCTAAATTCTCAAATCCAGTCTGGATGACTTTTCTTCGCTTCTTCTCGCTGTTGATGTGGTTCTCACGCTTCTGGTCCTCCGTCAAATTTTCTCTCTTGGCTGCAGCAGACGATTTCCTCCGCTTCCCGGACCCCGCGCCGTCGGCGGCACCACCAGGGGAGTTGGCAAGGTCGGCTTTTTGTTTCCGTTTTCGTGCAGATGTCTTTGACACTGCCGACTGTGGCTCTTCATCGTCCTCATCCTCATCGCGCTTGCCCTTGCGCCATTTCTTCCCACCATCGCCGTTCGCCTCGATCTTGATGGGAGGTGGTACACGGGTCTTCAAGTTAAAAGGAAGCCCCTCGGCGTTTATGGTCGGACTTGTCGGCCGCGTTGTGTTTGCACTCTTGGACAGTTCTATCGCGCTGAAGTACCGCATGTGCTCTTTTTGTATGGCTTCTGAGCTGTCCTTTTCGCTTGGAGGTATAAAGGGATGGTTGTTATTGCTGAAGTTCTGATCCGAACCATACTGCAAGTCTACCGGAGCCCGTGGTGCATCATTTCTCTGGCTCGACTGGGCCTCAGAACCGTAGATCCAGGTGGCGAAGGCCGCTTCTTGCTCAGCAGCGTGAGTAGATTGTGACATGCGCCGTCCTTCTTGCTTGAACTCGCTCCATTGCTGGTGCCTCAAGTGGCCGACCGGAGGACCCATGGTATTTGTTCTTTGCTGGGCATTTGAGAACATCGATTCGTGCTGCACACTATGAGACCGGCCGTGAGATCCGCTGTGGAGCACATTGGCTGCCGCCAGGACATCCTCCGATGGTTGTGGCTGATCAATTGAGTGACGGTGTGTGGGAGAAGGGTTGGTGAGTGGAGCAACTGCCGAGGTGTAAGCGTTTGGCGGTGCGCCTGTGACGGGTGAAGAGGTTGAGTGCGAAGGACCAGGACCAGCGTAGCCGTTTGGTGTCGTTGTTGCGGGTGGAGCTGACGCAAGTAGGGAATCGCCTGTCGCGAAAGTCTGAGGGGTGGTTGTCTGGAAAAAAGCGTTGTTGAGAAGATGGTCCGGCATGGATATTTGAGGATGAAGACCGAAGGACGTAGCGGTGCCCATCAGGGATGGAGGCATCATCCACTCGTCCCCAATGACTCCCTCGCCAAAGTTCTGCTCGCCATAGCCGTTCGAAACGATCCCAGCCAAGATGTTCGCGAGGCCATTCTCTTCCGCCGTGGTGAGAATGGGGTTGCCAGGGGCAGGATCGGGTGGCGGGTCAGGGAGGAAGTCGAAGATGGACGGGTCAGAGTTCGGGTCCTCGGATAGGTCTGGCCGTGAGGTTAGCGATGGACGAGTACATGGGAAGAAGGCTACTTCTTGTGGTTGAAGGACACGTACAACCAAATGGCAGTCTGCTGCCGTTGTTCGGCTGCGACGAACCCATTCTGGGACGCTGAACGGCCAGCATGAGTGCGTTTTCGACCAAACCAACAACACTTGTGGCTGATGGGCAGTCGAGTGAGATCTCTGAATGTGTATGGACGTTTGTTCGCGACCTAGGCTAGTACCGTCTCACCCAGGGTAGACTTTTTGAGCCAGATGGCTGTAGATTGTGCAAGGTAGTGTCAAGCGTCAAGGTGGTGTGGCATGACGGGGCGTTCGAGGACGCAGAAACAAGTAGAGGCTCGTGCAGGCACCACAGGTCATGAGAGGTTGCTTATGAAGCTGCGAAGGTGAGACCGTGGGCGCTGTAGCTGTAGCTGCCAAGAAGGAAGGCTAGTCTAGGTCACAGCAATGGAGCGCTGACTATGCTATGACTGGGGAAGTGCCGCTCAGGATGGAGTTGTTGCACAGTGCAGTCGCACTCGCACAAAGTGCGGCGAGGCAGCAATGGAGCTCGAGTGGGTTTTGTTCGGCCGAGTGACACGGGAGAGCTCCTTCGACACCGGACTTCGGGCTGGTGGCTCCAAGGTCGCCGCTGCTGCTGTAGCTGGTCGAGCAAGCCTGGCCCTGGTTTTGGCAGTGATGATGGTGTTGGTGGTGGTGCTGGTCTTTTGTGTTGTGTCTGTCTTGAGCAAGTGGGCGTGTCAAGGCAAGGGTGCTGCTATGCATTCTCCATGGGGGCAGCAGGCGTTGAGAAAAGGACCCTGAGAACGTTGAGAAGGTTGAGGACGCTGTGACAACGTTGCTAAGAAAGAAGATAAGAAGGGACTTGCTCTGGGAATCGAAGTCGTCCGGACTAGAGAGACTGGAGAATGAGACTGGCGCAGGCGCAGTCACCTTTAGCACCAGCACCAGCACCAGTACTGTACCAGAAGCAGCAGCAGGAGCGGTAGTTTGGTCGACACGACCAACCCCCAGGTACCTAGACCGCGGAGGGCAAGCGTCCCCGCCTGACTCGAAAGCTGCATGCACCACACAAACCTTGGAACGGGAGGAGCTAGGGGCCGGCCAGTATACCCCACTATGGCAGAACCGGGGTCATGTGCTTCCCGTTATGCAGCAAGGCGAGGGGTAATCCTGGGGAGAACAGGGGTTTCCAGGCCCGTTTAAAGAAATAAATACGGGCTAAGCCCATACACCGTCGCTGCCATGCACCAATCCCACATGACGTCCTCTTTCACATGTCAGGCCTGGTCGCCCACCCATTCCCTCAGTCAGTGTCAAGTCAAGTCAGTCAGTCAAGTCGCCTAGTCCTGCACCGTACTGCGCTGCGCGGCCTGCGCTGCACCACACCGCACTGCACGTTCTTGGTTCATTTCCTTTGGCCGTGGGCACTAACTGTGAGCGGGAGGTGGCCGGCCTGGTCTGCATGTCTGACAATGGTGGGCAGGCAAGCCGAGACCAACCTGACCACTCAGTCAATGGTGTTGAGTGTCGATTCGACCAGGGGGGCACTCATCCATTCAGTCACACCTCGGCCGCGACTTGACACTTGACAAATTCATTCCCATCCCTCGTCTATCGCATCGCATTGTATCGCATCGCATCGCATCGCAACTCATCCCCTAACAAACTACTGAGCACCGCCCAGAGCACCAAGAGTTGTAGCTACACCCTCGCCTCCCGAGGTCCAAGGGTTTTGTCCAGAAGGCCCGCATGGGTGGCTGAATTGGGAAATCCCATGAGAGATGGCGAGGGAAAAAACATGAGCTTTTGGAGCTGGGTTGTTTGATGCGCTGCCGGGTCTACTGCAGCAGTTAAAACATGACAAGGACCAAGCAACTTGCACGCCAAGCGCTTGCGGGTTCCCTAGCCACCCCTTTGGTTGTTTGTAGATCTACGGATGAGCAGGCGCATCGAACTACTGTGACCTTGGGATGGCATGGATGGCCAATCCGACGAACGTGGCAAGGTTTGAGGCGCAGGTTGACACGGTATGTGCTGTGACTGTCTGATGGGGACGAGGAGGAGGAGGAGGAGGAGCAACATGAGCAGCAGCAGCAGCAGCAGCGGCACGAAGAGGAGGCGGCATTCGGGAAATGCCGCCTCTGCTGCAGAGTGCAGACTGCAGATTGCAGGGCGCAGACTGCAGACAGACACAGACAGATACTGCATGCGCTGTGCTGCTGGTTGTTTCGATGCTTGCCGGGCGCTGTGCTTCGTCCTGAGCCCCTGTCTTCCGTTTCAACGTCCCGACGTTGCATTTTGTCCTACTGGTTCCCTTTCTGGCCGCATCTTTGCGAGAACGACGGCGCCTGTCCCCCTTGATCCTCGCCCGTGTCCAAACACCCACCGGCCCGTCCACACTGCCCAGCCCCCAACTTGAGCATAACATCAAGTGCCATTAGACTTTGGCCTCGCCTGGCCGTCCGATCGTTGCACATCGCAGCCAAGAGCACGCTCTCCTGGCAACCGTATGTTCCTCTCGACTTTGGTCTGCCTCCACCCGTCCGTCAAAGTCTTAGCATCCGTCATCGACAGTCACATATAATCCTACACACAAACCCATATACCCCCTCATCCTTCTCCTCGCCCAAGACGTGATGTCTGACGCGCGATGCCCTCGCGCCGGTAGACGCGACAGAGATTGCACACACACACACATTAGATCCTGTCAGAGCACAATTCCAGTCTCCATATCACCTGCAAGATCCAGACAAGACAGTAACTATGTCTGTCATCAGCGGCAACGCTTTTGATCACCATTTCTGGCAGGCATCGAGATGCCGGGAAGTACGATCGATGATACGCTACCGTCACCAGCAGGTGCAGCTGGCCAATGGATTCTCCACCTGGTGTATCTGCACCTACTCCGCTGGTGTCTTGGACGATTTCAAGTGATCCATCGTCCAAGACACATGTCCACTACCACCTCGGGGACTTCTTATTGTATTCCGTTTCCAGCATTCTTCGGATCCGAACCTTCGGAAGACTGATGATAGCGCAGGGGCCCCCAAAGTTGCAACACGTAACCTTGGATCTCACGCGCGTCACGATCACATGTCACATCTCACTAAAATCCCATCGCCCAACAGCCTTTCTTGGTCTTCGTGACCACTACCTTCGCTTCGTCAATGTCTTCATCACAACTGTCACACAACAGTTCTGTCTCAATCAGGCTCAGATCCAGATCGGCAAGATGGGATAGGAGCGTGCCGCCCCTGTTCAGACCTATTCTTCGTGCATACCTACTTGGCTATGCGTTCACCGTCGGCCCAAGACTACTGGCCTTGGTCCTTTATCATGCCTTGAAGCTGGTCCGCACGCGGCGCAAGGCTGTAGATGGCCCGGCTGAGAATAAACCTGAGCCTCTGCTGCTACAGTCTCTGCTCAGGACGGTGCGAGCCGGGTTTGAATGGCAACGGTTTCCTACTTTCTGTGCTGCTCTTGTTGGAGGCAGTACCTTGCTGGAGGTATGCCTATTTCAGACGAGAAATACTTTTGTTTCCTTGTTGTACGCTCACTAACAACCCGCCTGGTAGCCCGCCCTTCGCAAGGCACTTACTCGTATCTTGAAGGGTCTCGCAGAAACAACAAGGACCAGGTAAGCCAAGGCGGAAGAGTCCATTACGCCAGCTCATGTTGGTTCTGTTGCACGTCCATACTGATTGATCTCTACTCAGATTGTCAAGATATCTCTCCTCTTTCATAGCAGCATGGTTCAGCCTGCGACTGCTCCAATCCAAACAGAGCATCCCGTCCACCACCACACTCACCACAGCTGCAACCCCCCTGGCTTCGCCCAAACCAGACCAGACACCTAGGCCCCAAGCCGGCCGCACTCTAGACCTCACACTCTTCGCCGCAACCCGTGCCCTGGATGTGTTGGTCGGGGAACTATGGTCCCGGCGCCGAAACATCCGCTCCCCTTCGGCTAGCACAACGACAAAGACCCTCGATCACTTCGCGTCCAGCCTGGCCGACCCCTTGATTTTCGCCTTTTCTTCAAGCCTCATCATGTGGAACTGGTTCTACAATCCCGCCACACTCCCTCGCGCCTACAACAAATGGATCGCAAGCGCCGCGTCCGTCGACCAGCGCCTCATAGTTGCCCTTCAGCGAGTCAGGGACGGCGTCATGCGATACGGCGAGGACACAGGGCACGCAGCTCTTCTACAGGACATGTGCGAAGAGTATCGCTGGCCCTTGCAATGGGGTGACCCTGCTACCAGCGTGCCGTTCCCCTGCGAGATGGTCCACATGGGAGTTGGACCATCGTGCGAGCTGCACGCCCTAAGCAGGTTTGGCAGGGCTTGGCTGTGGAGTATGAGGACATACCTGCCGCTGCAGCTGGCTGTGCTACTCCTGAGGCTCCGGAGTCTCAAGACTCTCAAGCGCGACCTCGTTCGCGCTTTCCTGTCCGCGTCACGGTCGTCCGCATTCCTGGGGACTTTTATCACACTGTTCTACTATAGTATATGCCTAGCGCGGACGCGGGTTGGGCCACATATCTTGGGCGTAGACGTCAAAGCACGGCAGAAGATCGATGGCGGAATATGCGTGGGGACGGGGTGTTTCCTCTGCGGTTGGAGCGTGCTGCTCGAGCCGTTCAGCAGGCGCAGGGAACTGGCCCTGTTTGTCGCACCGAGGGCCGTGGCGACGATGCTGCCGCGCAAATATGATGCCGACAAGCAGTGGAGAGAGACGCTCGTCTTCTCCGCCAGCACGGCGGTGGTGTTTACGTGTGTCATGGAGAACAAGAGGAGGGTTAGAGGCGTCCTCGGGGGGTTACTGAGGACAGTGCTTGCAGCTTAGATGACAAGACCGGTGAAGAGAAGGGGTTGCGCCGGAAATGTTGTTAGACTTAGAGCGTGTGATACACGAACATAAAAATTACAGAGCTGTTCACTTGTCTCAGATATCTTCCTCTCGATGTTCACGCCGAAGGACCTCGAGCTGTGAACTCACCGTCCTGACGTCGGTGATGCTATAGATTGTACCTGAATTTCCCCTCGAGATGCCCCAGATATGGCGGATATGAGCATCTTAGATCTTCATGGGTACACAGACGGGAATACTGTCAGACTTAAATTTGGAGCGAAAAGTCATCAGATCCCCAGGCAAATAGTTGTCACTGCACAAAAAGGCAGTGCAACGCCCAAGGTTGGTTAAAGTGGGGCTGCTTGCTTGTTGATGCATGTGAGCTCCGCCTCACTCCATTTGTACACAACTTCATGAATGGTTTTTATGACATCACTTCAGCACCACCGAGCTGGTATTGAGAGACAGCTAACCCACACAACTCTCACCGGGAGTTGAACCTGTCAGTCGGCCGCGGCGACATTGTCTCCATGATTCCTACATAACCAGCCGCGACAATGAGCGCCAACGCGACCATCCTGGGCCCCAATGTCTTCGTCTTCGACCCTAGCATGCCCGCTTCCGCGGTGCAGGCCCAGGCGACTGACATTTTCAGGCGCATGGAGTCCAACGAGTTCGGCAGCGAGCGCTACGCCCTTCTCTTCAAACCCGGCGTGTACGACGTTCTCTTCGACGTGAGTTTCTACACCTCTGTGTGCGGGCTAGGCCAGAACCCAGACGACGTCCTCATCCGGGGCGGCGCCAATGTCCCGGCGTACTGGATGCCCAACCGGAACGCCACGTGCAACTTCTGGAGGTCTTTTGAGAACTTAGCCATCGAGGCATCCGATGCGACTAACAAGACGACTACCATTGCTGTGTCGCAGGCTGCACCGCTCCGGAGGTTGCATATCAGGAGTCCCAACGGCCTCTGGCTGTTCCAGGTCGACCCTGACACGCATGCTGGCGGCTGGGCCAGCGGTGGCTACATGGCGGACACGGTCGTCGACGGCCAGGTCCTCCCTGGCTCCCAGCAGCAGTGGCTCTCGAGGAACAGCAGATGGGGCAGCTGGGCCAATGGCGTGTGGAATATGGTCTTTGTCGGCTGTGACAATGCTCCTAGCCAGGCCAATTGGCCTAAGGAACCATACACCACGATTGATCAAACACCCATTATTCGCGAGAAGCCATATCTCTACGTCGATGGGCAAGACAAGTTGGCTGTCTTGAAACCAGCTTTGCAGAGGGATACCAGAGGGCCGACATGGATGAATGGTGCTACTCAAGGGGGTTCAATTCCCATTGAAGCATTCTACGTGGTCCAGGCCGGCGTGGGTGCTGCATCTATCAATGAGGCACTCAGCTCGGGCAAGCACATTTTGTTCACACCAGGTGTCTACAATCTCGACGATGCTTTGAGAGTCACTCGCCCAGACACAATCATCTTGGGCCTAGGATTCCCATCTCTGGTACCAAGTACCGGTAAATCTGCTATTTCTGTAGACGACGTCGACGGTGTCACAGTAGCAGGTTTGATCATCGACGCCGGACCCGTCAACTCGCCCTCTCTTCTCGAGGTGGGTCCCCGGGGCAGCTCTGCCGGGCACTCCTCCAACCCGACATTCCTGTACGACCTTACGATCCGCACCGGTGGCGTCCAAGCCGGCAGAAACGACGCCGGAATAATCATCAACAGCCACGACGTCGTATGCGACCAGCTGTGGCTATGGCGCGCCGACCACGGGCCCGCGACGTGCGCAGGGTGGGACGTCAACCCCACACGGAACGGCATCGTCGTCAACGGGGACCGCGTCACGGCCTACGGGCTCTTCAACGAGCACCACGAGGAGTACCAGACTCTGTGGAACGGGAACCACGGGCGGGTGTACTTCTACCAGAGCGAGATCCCGTACGATCCCCCTTGCCAGGAGGCGTATAGGTCGGAGCACGGCGCCCGCAACGGGTACGCATCGTACAAGGTGGCTGAATCGGTGGAGAGTCACGAGGCCTGGGGCCTGGGCGTGTACTCGTATTTTCGTGACGCGCCGGCCAAGGTGGAGAATGCGATTGAGGTCCCCGAGACGGCCAAAGTGCATCATATGACCACGGTCTGGTTGAACGGAACCAGCGGGAGCGAGATCACGCACATTGTTAACGGGAGGGGCGGACGGGTATACGCGAACAGCCCCGAGGAGGCAATGCGGCAGACCTTGCATGAGTACCCCTGATGAAGTGCAAATGAGAGTGAGGATCTTCGCCGGGGATGCATATGACTGCAGATGTAAGGCGGAGGCTGCAATGCTGACTGCATATCGCAAACCTCGCCCCATTGCGTAGACACGGCGACTAGTTGAGTGTCCAGAAAACAGCATATTTAGCGAGAGACACAACGGCATACAGTAAGAACCGCTCCAGATGTGCCTTGACTATATTTAAGCATTGAATGACGCAAGGGTCCCCGGATTTTGTTCGTTCTTGGTTCATGTGACCCTGTGTCGGGGTCCCAATTTAGTGATCTTGATTCCTAATTTATGGAGGAGTCCGGCTGTGTGGTTGTTCAAAGTGATTGATCCGCTCTGTCTACATTTTACTCTGACGTATATTCGTCTGAATAGATGGAACTCACAGAGTTGAGGTCTCTCAAGTAGTAGCGATTGGAATAGTTTAGTCTCATCGATCTAGCTGACCAACAAGAAATTTACAAAGCACATAGTGTTCAACTGGCACATCGCTAGTTATCTGGTGCAGCTTGCCATTCCTTTCGTGCTCTACTTGTTTTTAGTCTCCTTCTTTTTTTCCTTCTTTTTTTCCTTCTCCTTTTTCAAAAAGGAGATAGTGTAGAGAATGATGAAGCCCACATACATTTGAGGGGGAAAATCAAGATTTCTTCCGAAGGCACGCTGACAAATATTGCGAAGATCAAGGCATAGCGGGTGCAGAAACTCCATAAACACCTTGGCAAAATGGCATGCATAAAAGGATGGAAGATCATAATTGTAACTTACTTTCTAAGGCCGTTGCATTGATGATAATTGACAGACTGCAAGGTGACTGGAAGCTGAGCACAGCATAACTTCCAAGCCAATTACAGCCCCATGATCCTCCTCGTCCGCAATGCATCAATATTGGCATGCATTCCTGATGCCACGGCTGCATATTCCGGACCGATCGTACCAACAAGACTTCTCATCTACGCAAGCAGGTATTTACCAAATTGACGGAATAAAACGTCTGCTGTATGATGGCGGCTATGCGTCACCGGTCACACTCGGTCGTGAGGCCAATGGCCCGCGGTGTGTGACACCGGACTTCAAAGTTGCAAGGGGCTTCCGGGTGCAATTGTGCAACATCAGAAGCAAGACCGGAAAATCCCTCCAAGCAGCTAATTGAGACTCAAAGTGTCACGATCCCACGTGGCCGCCGTTAGATCTAATGCGAAAGCGGCTTGATCGCAAACACAGCATGATCGCAAAATATGCCCTTCTTTCAACGTCACGAGACTTTTGCCTCAATTGCGTAGCATTTTCGTGAAATGTAGTACAATGTATTCCTTAGGACTTTGGAGTCCTTCTACTTCGAAAAATATGTCCTTGCTGAGGTTTGCCCCTATACGTCGAACCTCGATACCGTTTTTGTCCAAATATTGTTTCTTGGCTCAGTGAATTCTCACTAAACCCGTTTACATGCACACACACTGATTCTCACTGTCTCTGAGTTATTGTTCAACCACCATGTGCAATTCAAACACCCGAAGACGTCGAACGAGGGCTTCCTGATGCTCAGCGCGCACGGAAGAGAGACACCTTGGAGCAGCTGAATTCTTCAGTCAAGGTACTCGTGCCGTTCTAGTTCACAGTATATGTCTGAAACATGACGGACAGCATGTCCTGACCAAGATATAAAGTAATATCTCTCATTAAAGCTGGAACTATAAGATGGAATTTACCAAATAAAACCATGTTGTCACTGTCTCAGGAGAGCGGCTTGGGCCATTTCAGCGGATAATTTGTTAGATACACAATGACTTATGAATGTTAGAGGAGTAGACAGAACACTCAAGTTCGACCAAATTGCGTAGTCTCAGCGAAGAAGTTGCAAGCTCCGAACGACATAAAACTCTTCCCCCCCTTCCTTTCTTTTGTTTAATCAATAAAGATCTCGCATGAGCACACGCTTGAATCGCCTGAAATTGTTCAAAACTATGGGCCTGAAATGATCCTGGTATTCATAAAAAGGATAATGTGCTTTCCACAGCCATCTCTATTCTTTTTGGGTAGAAACATAATCAAAATTCGGTCGAGAGCGTTGTCAGACGCTATGAAATACTTTCATCGTCAGAATGTTCTCCCTGTGTCTCAGACTGAAAGGCAAATAGAGGCATCTAGTTGATAAGTCAGTGACTCTTCCTCAACCATCCGGTTGCAGAGGCAACTCAAAATAAATATTGCATTGCAGTCCAGACCGGTTTCCCGTCAAGCCTGTAAAAGCGACTCTTCATTTATGCTTCATTTATTGATCCATATGAATCTGTTCCGACACCATGAGAGATGGGGAGGCAGTCTCGAGCAGATTGCGTTTGGTTGAACCCACCAGCTTTACAATATTTGAGGTGCTCCGAGTTAGGAGTCGGGGGCCTCTAGTATTAGCCTTGTGACAGTCACACATGACACTCAAGTTGTGACAGATTATTCATGCCCGGGGCTTAAAAATGTATTAAGTAACTGCCTCCACAGCGTTGCTGATCGATAATAAGGGCTAATCAATCTCTAGCCAAGTCGTAGGGTTGATACGTGCAGTTCAAGACCTCAGCCATGAAGTCACCCCCAGCACAAAAACACAAACTAATATGTCCGAGCGAACTGTGGTGAAGATACGCGAGTACTTCAGCCCCGTAGTGACCAAGCTCTTCGATTTCCCATCCGGTATGAATCCCAAGATAGTCCCCAAGATTCCCGGAGGCGGCGCCCGGCCCTGGTCCAGGAGAAGCCTGCTCGTGAGCAAGATCGTTTCGGCGGTGGCGAAGGTCCAGAAGAAGTACTTGCGCCCGTCATCGGCCTGCCCGGTGCTGGCGGCGAACGCGCCTCGCTCCCTCTCGATCTTGGTGCCCGAGAAGTCGGCCAGCAGCGCGATGTACAGTCCCAGCCCGGCTGCGAGGAGGAAGTGCACCACGCGCCAGAACGCGGCGTAGGGGTCGAAGGCAGCGGCTTGCTGCTGCTGTTGCAAGCCTCCTGCGAATGGGTTTCCGCCGGCGAACGGGTTGGTGGCTGGGCCGCCTGCGCCGCCCGGGCCGCCCTGGCCGAAGTTGGGCGGCATCCCGCCGGGCCCGAGCATCTGCGAGAGCATCTTCATCATAGGGTCCTCCTCGCCATTTTGACCAGTGAACATAGATGGGTCGAAAAGTGGGTTGGCAGGCGTTGTGCCGTTGGCGCCGGGAGTTGCTGGGCGGTCAAAGCCGAGCATCATCTGCCGCAGTTGGTCCTCGGAAACATTGCTCGGGTCACTCCCTCTGGCTGCGGGCGATGGCGAAGGGATCCGATTCGTCTTCTGCGGCTCGTAGTAGTGCTCAGATATGTCGACCTCGTCGGGATCGCCATGCTTCTCCTCGGCGCCAGCCTCTTGTTTGGCTGCCGGGGCGGGGCCAGGTGAGGATGCTGTTGATGGGGGATTGATTGGTATTGGGTCTAGAGCCATACAGGTCAGCTAGGATCGAGAGCTTGTTGGATGCCACAAAGAGACAAACCTCTCTGAAGGCCTCCTCCCAGGCCAGTGATCCTGTTCAAGCGAGCGTTGCCTCCCGCCTTGATCTTTGCTTCGCGGCGTTCCTTTCGCAAGCGGGCTTGCTCGGCGGCTCGCGCAGCGGCCGCAGCCTCGTCAGGGCTTAGCCCTTCAGTCTCAGTCATTGTTTGAGAAGATGGGCGATGCTCATGCCACACGTTGTCTAGTCGATGTGTGCGTCTTCGAGGACAAGTCTTGGCTAAGGAAAGGCTGTCTGACGTGACCGTTGGCTGGAGCTTTTGAGGTACCGGTAGCTTACTCTAGGACCCTTATCTAATCAACAATGCCCGTGCCTCGGCCCAGTCATCCACGCCTTGCAAACAGGTCACATTGATCTCAGAATTGTGAATTGTGAATTATGAATGTGAGCATTTATTTATAACTTAGACATTTTGGGACTTATCCAAAATCACAAGGATATTGACAGTCGGCATGCTTCTTTCTGGCGAAGTCTCCAGATGGTGACTCCAAAGCGTAAACCGGCTGGATACCAATATCTCTTCAATTTTTCTCTACTAGGCTATTCTACGTTCCCCCCCTAAACCGGGCCATGCTCATATAACATGCATGATTATCGTTTTCTTCATGGAGTGGCCTTGCTCATACTGATCAACCTCTTGACTCCAACCTGTAACGTAGTTAGCATCCCGTTCTTGGCATTCTGTGGCTTGTGTGGAAGACTTACCATCCAATTACCACACTCCTCCGTTTTGTTCTCGTGAATGTTCACCTGGATTTGATGAGCTTCGCCATAGTTCCTGGACTCGAGTGCGTTGGCCAGCTGCGCGAGCTGTGCGATTGTGTCCGGCTTGACGAGCTCCTCGTTGTTCAGATGGTCGAACAGAAGGTTCAGCCGCTTCTGGGTGTCCTTTACTTGAGGGGCGAAGTTCTGCGGCGCTTTCGATGCGACCCTTTGCATGTCACGGCTGAGAACATCGACCATGTTCTGGGCGCTGGCTGGGATGTGCGACCGGTCTCCGGGAGGATGCCTGGCCTTCGGAGGAGCAGCAGCTGGTGAAGCCGCGGACCTTGGCGGCGGGGGAGTCGCTGTTGACTGAGCAGTTGGCGGAGGACCAACGGATGGCGGAGGTGCCATAGGCGGCTGACCTGTTGGTGTGGCAGCCGGTGCATATGGGGACGGCGCGACCTGTCCTGGCCCGGCCGGTGGAGACGCATAGGGGTTAGCTGGTGGCGGCCGGCTGGCAGCAGGAGGAGGCATTGAAGCAGCTGGCGGCTGAGCGAACTGCTGAGCAGCCGGGGACGGAGCATAACGGCTCGACTGCGGCGGTCCAGCTGGTGGCGCGCCGTACGGAGATGCAGTCCGGGGCGCGGCTACGCCTGGTGGGGGGGCATACGCGTTCGAGGCTGTGGGCATTGGTCGCGCCTGAGGGGGTCCTGTCAAGGGCGACGTGACGCGGGGTGGGCCAGCCTGGCCTGCCTTTGGTGGCGGGGGAGGAGGAGTAGGCGTGGCACGAGGCGGAGCCCCGTAAGGGCTTTGAGGCGGCGGTGGCACTCCAGAGCCCTGCTGGCCAGGGAAAGGTGATGTGATGGGTGCCGTTCGCGGTGTGGACTTCCGAGGTGGCACCTTTGTTACCATCGGCACATCATTCCAGTCACCCACGTCCTTCGCGCGAAGCAGGGGCGGGTTGGAACCTGGCGTTCCCGCTCTTGGTGGGCCAGCCATTGGTGGTGGTGCTATCGGTGTCTGCCCAAACTGCCCGTAGCCTTGTTGAGGTTGACCAAAGGTCGTAGCGGGAGACGGGGCATACGGGTTGGCTGCAGGTGCGGTTCCGGGCGGCGCATAGGGATTTGCAGCAGGTATTGTCGAAGGCGGAGCGTACGGGTTCGCGGATGGCGTCTGGACCGGCGCTGGCGGTGCGTACGGGTTGGCAGATGGAACTTGAACCGGTGTAGGTGGAGCATAAGGGTTCGTACCAGCCGGAGCGGCAGACTGCGGCGGCTGATAGCCAACTACAGGCTGTGCTCGAGCGGGCTGGGCCCGGGAGACTGTCCGGGAACCTGCCGTGGGTTGGCGAGCTGTTGTCTGGGCGGGGGCAGTGCTCTTCTGAGTCGCCAGCTTGACACGGTTTCTGGCGACCTCTGCGGTAGAATAGCTCGATGGCAAAAGATCGAGGTACTTCTGAGCCACAGACAAGAGGCCATGTGCGGCGACAATGTCTGCATACTCAACGTACTTGTCGTACAACGCCGAGAGTTTCCAGTCCGATGAAAGGGCTGTCTCGGTGTCCTGGAACTTGGTCACTTGCCGGAAGATTGTGACCTTCTCGATGAATTGCTGCAGAGATCTGGCGTGCACTGAGAATGTCGAGTCGTCACTAGGCTCCTTCATCTCGGCTTCTTCAGCCTCTCCAAGCTCCTCAATCCAGATGGAGACGACCTTCTCTAGTTTTGAGCCAACTAGATAGCAGAATGAGGCGTCTTTGCGCGAGCCTTGCTCCAGGATACGGTCACCGAGTGCCTCACAGAGGTCAGGGAACTCGTTTGGCTGTGCAAAGGTACACAGCGTAGCCATTGTCTCCTTCCAATTAACCAGATCCGCATTGTAGACAACATCCCAGAGGTTGCCAGCAATGACCGAGCTCAGGAGTCGGAGATAGCTGGGGCTACCCTTCCTGTTGGAAAGGTAAGCGGCCTGCACTTTATCCACGAGCTCCTTGCCACCACAGTTAGCGATGATGAAAGCATCTGCCATACGATCTTCCTTCACGCAAATGTCCGCAGCTTTGGCGAAATTGCCGAGCATGAGAGCCTTGGTGATCTGGTCCTCCAAGGCGGTATTGCCCTCACTGAGGAGATGGAATGGATCCTCCGTCTTGGCGCCCTTGTTGGCGGCCAAGCCCGACAGGAAGTCGTCACCATCAGTGCCATCAAAGATACTAGTCATCCTTTTGTGCGCAGCCTTTTTGATGCCATTCTCCTTCGGTGCTTCTGTTTCATCCTCCTCTGGGGCCTCCTTCTGTTCGTCACCATTGGCTATCTGTTCGTCCTTCGAAAAGCCGAGGTGGTCAATGACTTGCTGGCGCGGATCCTCCGCAACGAGCGTCTCCATGACACGCCAGTCGGCCTTCTCATCATCAGTCTTGGCCTGCTCCAAGTGCGACTGACAGATTTGCTTGAGATCCCCGCTGTCGACCGCAGTTTCAAACTTCTCGGCCTGAGCGGTTACTTCAGAGTCCACAGAAAACTGAGAGATCGAGATTTTTGAAGAGCGAGGGTGGCCACTCGCGATGGTGTTCTTCCTGAAAACGATGACTTTGCCGCCAAAGCCAAATGAAGCGCCGATCGGCCTCTGCATCCATACTGGAGCCTTGGGAAGGGAGAACGACGCCTCCTGTGGCTGCGTTTGTGCGCTGGTGAAAAAGTCTTCGCCGTCGAGGTTGTTTTGCGCAGCAGCCTGTGCATTTGAGGCATTGGTGTTCTGAAGTGTTTGAATGGCGATTTTGCCGTCGAAAGAGGCTGTAGCCGAAAGCGAGGGATTATGAGGGTTGAATCGAGTCAAGAAAGTCCAGTTCGTGACTTCTGGGAACTCTCCATAGCGTTCACCAGTCTGAGGGTTCCAAACAACGGTCCGGTTGTCCTTGCCAGAGGAGATCAATAGATCGCTGTCTTGCTCACACCATGACAGAGAGAGGACTCCCTGCTCGTGTCCTTGCAGCGTCCGCTCTGGTGCATTGGAGTTCCTCAGATCCCAGAGGAGGATGACAGGCGCACTGTCATCAGGAGTCGCCGTCAGGAGCTTGGTGGAATTCTGCGGATCCCACGCTATGGCGCTCACTCGCTTGCGGTTGTTGTTTAGCGTCAGAGAAGCCTTCTTGGTTTTCAAGTCCCAGACGGTGACGAAGCCTCCAGAACCTCCAGTGGCCAGAATGTGTGACACTTTCCTGTTCCACGCGACACATTCGATATCATCCGACCGAGCCGCAGCATTGCCCAGACGTAGCGGGTTTTCTATGTCGTTGATGTCGTGAATCCATAGCTCACCCTTATCGCCCGCGGTGGCTATGATTTGAGGTTTCAGAGGGTTGAATTGGAGGGACTTGATCGCGCCGCTGTGCTTCGAGGTATGTGCTATTTCGGCATCTGATGCTCCGGAAATCAGCTTCTCGGCATCCCACAGATGCAATGACCCATTCTCAAGTCCTCCAGCAATGATGCCTCGAGGGTGCGTGTCGTCTGGTGGTCCCCAAGCTAGGTCGTGGAATCTGGCGCCACCAAGTCAGCTGCTGTGGCCACATGCTCTTTGTGATAATACCAACTTTGAATCTGCAGCGATGCTAGCAATGGGCTGTAGCTCGAGTCCCTGCGCTTGATCATCCAGGTTCAAGTCCCACAGCTCCAGCTTGACCTCGTCCGAGAAGCTATCGTCGACGGCTCCAGCACGAGTACCAGTGACAAGGAGCGGTTTGGCCGGCCCGGATGACCAGGCCAAAGCCGCCGTGCGAGGGATTTCTCTCAGTCGTACCATGTTTGCAGGAATGGATAATTAGAAGAAGGGCAGGAGGCGCTACAATTGAGGGACTGCGGCCTCTTCACAGAGGCGCAAGGTGGTAATTGTTGATCTTTCAGCCAGACTACTCAACAGGCATTGGATGATGAATTGAGTCAGTTGCTGGTATGCCAATGGAGTGTGCAGAAGAGAGTCTGCCAGAGATTTATTGCTGTAGCATCGGCATGTGTCCTTGGGACAAGTTGCTGCATCGGGTGTAATAAAGGCCACTCTAACACTGATGCCAATCGTTAGGCCAGATCGCGCTGGGCGGGCACCTTCACAGGGGCCTGGCAGCCCCAGAGCGGGACCTCATTGGCCCACTCGGAACCGGCTGCCCCTCTAAACATTCCAAGGTCTTACGTAGCTGTGGTACAAGTTCTTGGTCGAGACAAGGTGCCTAGGGCAGCACTGAGGTACAACATCTGCAGTATCTTCGCGATAACGTCTGCTCTCCCCCGGTCTTGCCTCGTGCCGGCCCCGTGACCGTCTTGCGCATTCATCTTGCAGCTTCTGCCCCTAAATCTCGTTGCTATACTGGAGGAGGTTTTGCCGTATGGAGTGTGAACCCTAGGGAAGAATACAGGGATCAGACAGCTCGTACTTGAATCTGTCTTGCGACACGATCTCATACTTCGCAAAAGGCTCAGCATCAAAATCTCCAACATGACGGATACAGCGCGGTGGAAGGCCACAGTCCATGTCAGTGGCCTCGCGACAATGGCGTCCGTGGCGACACTTCACGACGCATTTCTTCCCTTCGGCGACATCGCAGACGTCTCGCTTCCTAAGAACGAAAATCCAAATTCGAACACGACAGAACCACATCGTGGCTTCGCGTACGTGGAGTTCGAAAATGCAGATGATGCGAAGGAGGCAATAGACAACATGGACCAGTCTGAGTTCTTTGGGCGGGTTATCAAGGTCACGGCAGCCAAAATACCAAAGAGTGCTGACGAGGGACTGGGAAGCAAAAAGGCAGTCTGGGAGCAGGTATGTGGACCCCTCTACTGCCTTCGAATCAATGGGCATGATGCTGACTACCATTACTTCAACAGGAGAGCTGGCTGGCAAAAAATGCCGTCAGTGAGGAAGATAGACTGGCCGCAGAACAAGCCCAAGATGCTGGAGATACGAGGGCGGAGGACCCGATGCAAGGCCTTGAGGGCCTGGATGTCGCTGGTCCTCGCCCAGCTTAGTTGGATGGCGGACGGCTTGAAGATACCCAAATGTACAATAATGCACTGCGAAGGCGTTCCGGAACATGGGGAGACCGCGGCTGAAAAGGGACTTTGCATCAAAATGATATTGCTGTTTCAGAGCCGGGGACCTCGGGCGTTTTGGTGATATCCATCACCTCTATATTTCGCAATGTACAGTCTGCCCGGCCACCCTTGATTTGCCTCCGCCAATTCCCCTGTTCGCAAAGATGCTCTAGTGGTGCTCGTGCTCCTCGGCAGCCTTATCCGCAGCTCGGTTCTGGCGCTTGAGGCGGATGGTCTTGTCGACGAACAAGTGACGTGTGATAGAGTAGCCAGCAGCGATGACAGCGAAGCCAACGACAACACCTGGAAATATGTAAGCCATTCTAAATCTGCTACAGCATTTTCATCCATGACGAACCGAGAGGGATCAACTCAGCGGGGATCTTGCGGAGTCGTCGGAGGCGTTGCGAGACGGTATGAGCTGTGAACGATCGTTTGTGTCAGCCTTGTCCTCGGCTGTGAGCCTGTGGATTCGCGTATCATCAACGCAGAACGACAGCCTCGTGGCCTTCGAGTCATCACGTACCGGCTTGTTCCTCATTCTGTTATGGCATGAGCTGATTAGACCTCTGATGTCACGCCACATGTACGGCTGAAGAGGAGTAACTCACGGGCACCGGGCGCATCAGACGGCGCGTGGGCTGGAAGGCGGATCGCATAGCTCGTGTGGCATACATTTCGTCGGCTGGATTGAGTGGAGATTGATCTGGATGGGTAGGGTTCGCGCAATGGATGCTGGAGCTTCGTGGGATCAATTCGGTCAAAGGGCCAATTTTGATGCTTGTTGGGTTCCGTCCCGTCAGAAGCAGTAACCGGTTGCTCTCCCCAGGTTGGAGCTCCACCCGGGCCAGTCAAATCACTCAATTTGAAAGCCTGCGCAGGCTGACCGTGCTTAGGTAACTCACCCAAGCCGGCCAACATCCTAATCATCATCGACCACAGTTCCGGTCAACCGTGCAGCTCCCTCAATTGCCCACGAAGAACTCCCAATCCATCCTCCGACAGCCATTGAGCCCCCCAACCCTTCCCTACCCAGTCGCAGCATACACGAAAGCCAAAATGTCGGACAGCGATCGCGAGACCAAGCCCTTCAAGTTCGTCACTGGTATGTCAAACCCCCCTCGCCCATCGGCCTCAATCGTATGATTTTCTCCCGCAAGGCTAACAGTGGACACCAGCCGGTATGATATAACCTCGAACCCCACGAATACACGCCGCGACGATGCGACCGTCACATGTCGGCATGGACTAGATAGACATGACCTAACACGAACCCCCTCATACAGGTGTCGACGCCCGTTTCCCCAACATGAACCAGACCAAGCACTGCTGGCAGAACTACGTCGACTACCACAAGTGCATCCTCGCCAAGGGTGAGGACTTCGCTCCCTGCCGTCAGTTCTGGCTGGCCTACCGATCCCTGTGCCCCAGCGGTTGGTACCAGCGATGGGATGAGCAGAGAGGTATGACAGGTCTCGTCTCGAATATCGCCCTGGCACATGCTGACATTTTTCTCAGAGGCTGGAAACTTCCCTGTGCGCTTGGAGTAAGGGAACTGGTTACATGGCGAATTGCACAACACAATAGACGAGGGGGACTTCCCGAAATAGCGGCGGCGGCTGTTTCAGTAGACGATGTTCATAGGGCCGAAATCGCATACATTCCGACTCTGACCATACCCGTCATGCACACGTGAATGTCCACTCACCTTTCGCGGCCTGCAATGAGAGAACGTGTCTAATGCCCTGCCGCGCGACCGACAGCGGCTTACTTTATTAGGCATCCGCCGTGCGAACACTCCATGCGGTCCCAAATCGTCCTGCTATCGGGGCCGCCTCGCTAGGCACTGAACCTCTTTGTCGCGTATTGGTGTGTCTTTCGTGAACGCAGTCAGGTGGACCAATAAAGTGGCACTCTTGACAGGTCGAAATTGTTTCGAACTCCTCCTCTTCGCGTCATCCATGTCATGTCTGCAACAGAAGTGCGTGCCGATGTTGTGGTGACGGCCTCATTGGAGTGCTACTTCGCTTTCATGTGTCTCGCTTTGGCCAATCTTCCTAGTTCCATGACTCAATGGCCAGTTCCAACATGGAGTACATATGTCCCTCGATTTCATACTCAGCTTCCTTACTGAGGGCATGTTCGGGCACTAATCACGGTACACGCAGTAAGCGCATTGGACACGATATGATCACAATTTCAGGCAGATTGCTACGCTGCTATGGTTCCTGTGGAGGATGCAGCATACTTGGGTCGAGGCGTTGCCTCAAAGGCAGTTCATAGGATCTTTAGGTGGAACAGATTTGCTTTTGCTGTCACATACATTCTTGTCCACTTCTGTGAACGGATTAAGTACGGAATTTAGAAAGCTTTTTTTCCCTTGCAGCGACAGACATACTGCACAGAAGTGATTCCATAACGCCGCTCATCCTCGCTTTGCCAATGATAATGCGATATTGCCCCAACGCCCGCTATATTCCCGTCCAGTGCCTGATCGTGTGAATCCAGTTCAACGCTGTTGTCCAGAGGCTGGGGGCTATTTCTTTCCACTTGCGCCCTCGCCCTCCTCATCGGAGCTCATGAACTCGTCGTCTTCCTCGAAACCAAAGAATGATCTGGGCTTGACGTTGCCTTTCGATGTCGCAGTCTCCTTCCCTTTGCCCTTCTCTGAAACCGGTGTCGTTGCCCCGGAGCTTCCCTCGCCTGCTTCCGCCTCTTCAGGGTCTGAGTCTTCCTCCATCGCATCGGCCGAGGCCGACGAGGATCCTTCTGACGTTCCGAGGAGATTGTCTTTGTAGCTTCCGGACTTCATGGCAGCAAGAACGGCATCTCGTGTCCGCTCACCAGCCTCCTCCTTGTCCTCCACCCACTTGCCGTCCAACCTGCCCTTGTTTCCGTTCTTGATCTCTTCCTCCCGCCGCTCAGCAGCCTCGACAATGGCCGTCCACCGCTCTCTCCTCTTGTCCTTTTCCTTCTGTTCCATCTCAGGCTTGATGGCGAGGAACTCAGCCAGCGCCTTTGCCTCCGTCACCGTGCGCAGCCTCCGGCCGTCGAGGTTCCTGCTCGAACCGTTCTCGTCGCCCCTGTTCTTCTTGCGCTTGGAAGACATACGTCCACCGGCAGCACGTAGTTGCGAGCCAAAGCCGCCCTTGCCGCCGAGGATGGGATGCGAGAGACGGAGGGGAAGGAGGTCATCTTCTGGTGTGGCGAGAGAGGAGATGGGGAGGTCTGCATGTTGAGGAATGCCGACATTCGCGTTTGTGGTGAGCACCAGGGAGCCAAAGGTTTCGTCGTTCAGATGCCGGGGGATCCGACCTTCTAACTCGTTCCACAAGTCCTGGGTGGATGTCGATGGTGGCAGAGGCAGGCATAAGGTCTTTGGCAGGCCAAGGCCGCCGAAGCCTGTGATAAGCACATTGATATGGCTGGAAGGCATGATGTGCTTTGCCAGCTTTGGTATTCTGGGTGCGCACTGACTCAGTGTTGAGTGCGAGAAATGTGTCGATCACACTTTGACGTTGGAGGGGTTCAAGGTTGAGCGAGTGAAGAAGAGATGTTGTTGATGTTCAGTCCAGTCGCATGACGGCGCAAAGGACGTCGACTAGGCAGACTACCACAGTACCAGTGGGGCCTACCCGCTACGCTGCGGCCTCCCCCCCTCCCCCCCCAGCCTTTATTGCACCAGGTCGTTCGCCACCAAATTTCAGTGACGAGTGACTTACTAAGACTGAATCCTGATAGGTGTTTCTATCCATCTTTTACATTCAAATCAAAGCATGATTTTATATTTCTTGTAACGATTGAATCCAGCTTGTGACCAGATCTATCGTATTGATTCATTGCTTGTAATAAAAAAGAAGTCCAAAATAATGGAAAATGCAAGAAAAGCTGCAAGGGCGTTAAGGCGCCCCCATACGAGTGAAGGTTGTGACTTAACGGATAGAGCGACTAAGCAGCGCTAGCGACAGGGATCGAGACAGCGCTGAACCAGAAGAACCAAGAGGCGGCCAGCCGCCTGCACGGAGTTTTGTAGCGCCGGTCCGTCTGGAAAAGTGGGGACTCTTTCGAAAAAGGGCCGCACAACTGGGGACCTGGTGCCTCCCATTCCCGTGCAGAGCCAGAGAAATCCATCCAGCCCATCGCGACAACGACAGCCCGCCTCGCCTTGTCTCTCGATCCTCCGACTCAAACACATCACCCACGTCGTCGGCAGATAAATCGCAATCATGCTTATTCCCAAGGCCGACCGCAAGGCGATCCACGAGGTAGGAACCATCCATCCAATCCCCAATCCTCAACACCGAAAACCGATTACGCGATCCGCAATTCCAACGAACCGATATCGAAAACTTGCTCCGCCCGACTACACAAACTTTTGCGATGATATCGACGATGCGAAATGAGACCGCTGCTATCATGCTATTTTCAACAGCACTGGGAAGGAATTGTGGCTGACGTTCATGCAATTATAGGCCCTCTTCCGTGAGGGAGTCCTCGTGGCTGCGAAGGACTACAACCTCGCCCAGCACCCCGAGATCCCCGTCAAGAACCTCTACGTCATCAAGGCCATGCAGTCCCTGAACAGCCGTGGCCTGGTCAAGACTCAGTTCTCTTGGCAATACTGTGGGTGACCCCAATCGAGCGAGCCGTTTGGTGATGGCGGACGACGACGGGGCGGAATGGAACATGGAACTAACCGTGGTTCTCTTTGCTTCAGACTACTACACCCTCACCCCCGAGGGTCTCGACTACCTCCGCGAGTGGCTCCACCTCCCCGCCGAGATCGTTCCCGCCACCCACATCAAGCAGCAGCGATCGCACGCCCCTCCCCGTGGCATGCTCGGAGACGAGGAGCGCCGCCGACCTTTCGGTGGCCGTGGCCGTGGTGGCGACCGTGGCGACCGTGAGGGTGGATACCGACGACGTGACGCTGGTGAGGGCAAGGAGGGTGGTGCCCCCGGCGAGTTCAACCCTCAATTGTGAGATTAACCCGAGCCTGACGAACGAACGACATGAAGGGACCCAGATACTAACAACGTTCTAGCCGTGGTGGTTTCGGCCGTGGCCGCGGTGCCGCTCCCCCATCTTAAATCGACCCCGTTCTCCGGAAAAAGATTTTGCATGGACGCTTGGCCCCCGGTGTTTCTCCAATGACAAGGACATGAGGGCCAGAAATGAATCAATTCCACGCCGGCCCACATATGGGAAGACGTGCAGGGTGTTTGCTTTTGGAGTTAGGAGGTTAGATCTCCTCGGAAAACATAGCATCAAGGGATTCATCTACCACGATTGGGTTTCGGGTGCGATAGCTGTGACGGACGAATCAAAAAGGTCACGAACTTCAAAACAAAACACAGTTGCCTCTTCTTTGGGAAGTTCTCGTGATTCCAACTCGGGTGGACGACGATGAGCCGCATTGCGGCTGCCAACAGCCAGCAGGATTCGGCCAACTACGAAGGGTAGGGGACATGCAGGTGTCTTATCCCAAGTTTAATACCCCGATTTTCACCAGCTGCCTGTGCACTAGTTGAATATGAGAAGCCTGCCAAGAGAGAGGACTTGTGTTGCGGGTTCTGGAAGTGATATGCACTCTCTAGAGCTTATCCCTGGCCGAACTAAGGCTAATCAGACATCGCAACACCGGGATGCTCGTTCCAGTATCAAGATCTCAAGGTATTCTGTGTCTATCAGACCACTTCGGATCAACCGCACAATCGTTCCCCGTGGGGATCCTTTACTAGCTAATACTTATGGGGCAAGAAGCTGTGCTCATGTAGTCTGGGGCATTTATGGCTGTGGAATATTGCGAGCATTTAGAATGAGCTGATCAGCTGGCAAGGTTGCCAAGATCTGCGCTGGATTGTCCCATTCCTGGTGTGGGTTCTGGGCAAATTCTCGCAGCTTCAGTCCTCAGTACATAGCTTTGCAGGCTAGTAGAGTAAGCCAGAGTTATCAAAGCCACAACCAGCGTCTAGAGTTGGAGAACAAATGTGGTAGCAGTGAGACCAGCCTCCAGGAATACTGCTGAGCGTCTGTGAGAAACTAAGAGGAAGTGTTTGGTCCAGCAAGCTGGTGGCATGTTGCACACGGCCCATGTCTCCGGATTTGTGACACCTCGGACGGGCATCGCGGTGCGGGCTCTCGCCGGGCATTCCCGTTTTGTCTCACAAACCTCACCGGCCCAGGTCGATGGTGTACAGGTATCGCAAAGACACCACAGCTGTTTCATGCACCCTCAACACCCAACACCCGAACATCTGGTGAGGGACACCTGATCATCATGAGGGGTCTTGTCTTCCACACTCAATCCAGACCAGGGCTGACCCCGGCGTGCCTGGGTTCCTCGCTTCTGGCTCAAGCTTACAGCCCTCCAGGGTGGGGCGACAGTCCACCTTGGAGCTTGGAATGCTGCAGCGTGACGACGATCCGGGCCCCTGTTGCCCCGCAAATTACCGCGATTGATAGTTCGAGCGAGGGGCAGCTGTCAAGTTCACCCCCGCCTTTCTTGTGAGGCGATCGCTCTGGGCAGAGTCTCATCGACACTTTCTTTGCTTCGGAGGAGCCAATATGCTCGGGAATGGGCGGTCAGCCGGGATCCCGCAGCTGGGGGCGGCTGCGAGAAGCTGTGAGGAGCTATCAGGAGGAAGGACCTGGGGGGCTGAATCAAGAGTGAGACTGTAGATAATTTTCTCGTGTTGAGGCTGTCAGATCTGTTGACTTTGGTTTTCTTCCTTCCTTCCTATCTCAACCGCTCCTAGAAGTATCTCTGTCAGACTTCAATTCCTACTTTAGATTTTCAAAGAACATTTACAAAACATTTCAATTCATCTACAACTAGCAGTCAGAATGGCGAACCTTCCGAAGACCATGAAGGCTTTGCAGTAAGTCCGTCAACTTCAATGTCCCGTTTGAGGAGGTGGGCAAAGGGGTCTATAGGAGCTCGGGTCTCGGTCGGTCTTGCAAGCTATCACCGATTTCCGGTAGCGAGCATACCAATCCAATTCTGTTTCTGACCAGACTTTGCGCAGATACTCAAAGCCCGAGAATTTCTCTATTGTGGAGGTTCCTCTTCCCGAGCTTCGAGAGAATGATGTTCTTGTGAAAGTGAAGGCTTGTGGTGTGTGCGGAACGGACTTGGTAAGAATCCGTTCACTCGCTTTCTCTTTGTTTTTCAAATGGGCATCTCCCACCAGTGGACACTCGGAACAAGCCATTCGAAGTTTCTCAACTGACTGACTGGGGTCACAGCATATCCACGAGGGCGAGTTTATTGCCAAGTTCCCTCTCATCCCTGGCCACGAGACCGTCGGCGTTGTTGCCGCCGTGGGCAAGGTGAGTGCTTGGTTAGAACCGGATACAAGGGAGCCAAGCACATACTGACGAGAAGTGTGCAGAATGTCAACAAGTTCCAGATCGGTGACCGTGTAGCGGCAGACAACTCCGAGCTCTGCGGCCACTGTTTCTACTGCCAACGTGGCGAGCCCCTGCTCTGCGAGAACGTAAGCTTGGCCCCCAAGAATAAGATGCTGCGTCCTGATCACTAATATCTGTTTTCGCAGTGGTCTGGTCACGGCACGACCCTGCCCGGCGGCTTCGCCGAGTACTGCGCGTACCCTCAACACCAAATTTTCAAGTTCCACAACATGACCGATGTGGAGGCAACCCTCATCGAGCCTGCTTCATGCGCATGCCACGGCCTCGACAAGATCCGACCCCGTTTGGGATCGTCCGTGCTCATGTTCGGCGCCGGCCCCACAGGTCTCATGCTTGCGCAGCTGCTGAGGCAGAACGGAGGCTGCTCCGTCACCATTGCCGCCCCCGGCGGTCTGAAGATGAACCTTGCCAAGAGCCTCGACGCCGCCGACCACTACGTCGAGCTTTCCCGTACGGACCCTTCAGCTCAGTTCGATGCGCTCAAGAAGGACAACCCGTACGGTTTCGATGTTGTCGTTGAGGCCACCGGGTCCGTCAAGTTGCTCGAGGACGCGATCAACTACGTCCGTCGTGGCGGCACCCTCGTCGTGTATGGTGTGTATGCCAGCGCGGCCCGTGTGTCCTGGCCGCCGGCCAAGATCTTCGGTGACGAGATCCGAATCCTGGGTTCTTTCAGCGAGACATTCATGTTCCCCGCTACCATCGAGTACCTGGACTCGGGCAAGATCAAGACCAAGGGTATTGTCAACAAGACCTTCAAGCTTGAGCAGTTCCAGGAGGCCCTTGACTCTATCAAGAATAAGAGCGCGATCAAGGCTGCTATTGTCTTTGACTAAACGGCATGGCGTGGGTTATGAATCGGGGCCATGGGTCCTTGTTTGTGGAGTTGAGCGGCTGCTAAATGACCTTGAGGTATATCGATGATTGATGAGGTTGGGTTCACGGGCAATGGAAAAGTAAAGGGTTGGGTAAGAAAAGTCTATATACCAGAAAATTAAAAAGGGGCTGTTTCTTTGGATTAGTTTGCTCTGTCCGGTGTCTCTTGTGCCTCGTGTCTTGTGTCTTTTGTCATGTAAGATGTGTGTTCTACATCGCGTCGAAAATTCTTGTGTGCTTAGGTGTGCTCAGCTACGGTCGATTTTGTGGAATGGGTACGAGATGTATCTACCGATAGCAGAAGAACCATGAGACTCATCCGAGACGCAATTCGGAATTGGAAATAGAGACTCGTCCCGATGTCCTTTGGTGGTTTTCCCGTGGTTGTTCAGATCTTCGTAGCATCGGTTGCCCAATCGGGAAAGTAGCAACAGGTTCGTTTCGGGACTGGGGTAGCTTCGACTCAAAGCCCCAACATCCCTGTAGGCGTCCAGTGCTTCGTCAATGCCTTCCTTGCCCCATGGGCGGCCACTTCCTCCAACAGGCCAAGACCACGTCGATTCATCCGTACCGAGGCTGCGGGCCTGCCCACGGAGCACATGTCTCTGGCAAGCTAGCTGTCCAGCCGTGCCTGCACCCTGATCACACGTCCACATGTGAAATGCTCCATCTCCCCTTCCTCAGCCTAAAAAGCAGGCAGCCTCGAGGATATGTATGAATGAGGTAATGACGAGCGAGCTGTCGTCTCAAGTCAGGACTTCAGGCCCAGGCCGGGAATGCTCAAATATAAGATCAAGCCCATGTCCTCCCAGGCATGTGGATGATCATATGCAACTATCCCTTCGAATCTTGTGAGACCTTTTAAACTAGTTGCTCGGGAACACACAACGATCACTGCCACTTGCTCACCCACAATTGTTTAATTCTCGTATAACTCTTCGTCTGGAACGGTGATACCCCGTACAAAATGGATTCCATAGTAAACTTGATCCTGAACCGGTCCGTAGTGACCGTTGAGCATATCAAGATCACTAAGGCAACACCAGAGTACGTTCCACTGCTCATGCGCACCAACCTTTGAGACTTACTACTGGGAAATGCCGCGTACACTGAGACACTGTAATTTTACTGACATGGTCACCAACAGCACACTCACAATGTCACTCGTCAACCGTGTAACAGGCACCGGCCCGATGGGCGCAACAATGTCCCCAATGGGCGTCGACATGGTGTTCAACGACCAGCCGTGGGGCAAGCTCCAGCTGCCCGAGGTGAACACCAAGTCGGGCGGCACGGACGTGGTCGTGCAGGAGCAGGAGGTCAAGATCACGAACCAGGAGTCCTTCCGCGCGTTCGTCAAGGCGCTGATGCTGGACGACGAGCTCGTCCTGGTGCTGGATAACGGCGACTGCCACATCACCGCCAAGGTCATGGGCTGGCCGCTCAAGAGCAACGTGACGTACAAGAAGCGGCTGGTCATCAAGGGCATGAAGGGCCCCAGGCTCAACCTCGTCGACACCACGGCCGATCAGAACGTCATGAAGGTGCACAACCCCAGCCCGCTCGAGATCGACCACGGCGTGAGCATGTTCGACATCGTCGACGGTGATGGGCAGGTGGTGGCCGAAGAGAAGGGCCAGCTGACCATCGTGAGGGGTGATTTCGACAGCACCCTGGGCATCACGTTTAAGTCTGGGAAGAAGCTCACACCGGGCTCAAAGCTGAGGCTTGTGGGCAAGGGGACGGAGAAGGACTCGTGGATGAATGACACGTTGAAGTACATCAACTCAGAGTTCGAGGCCAACGAGAAATTTTCCTCGTTCCTCACGGGCTAGCCAGATTCAAACGCGGTCTTGGGGCTTATATGCATACAACACGATGCTGTGCAGTCCAACTTCTGTCAATACGCGCTGAGTTAAGCGAGCTTTTTACATGCATTCACTAAATATCCATGAGTACATTGCGTTGAAATCACCGAGAATTACTCACATGTCTTCACTGTCTTTTTAAGAGATGAATTCATTGAGCGTACGCTTCATTTGGTATTGTGCGATGCTACCGGCCCAAAATTATGAGATGTCCAGTTTTCTCGGTCTTTCCTCAAAGAATGCCGTGTTCCTGACGAGGCCTTTCCTGTTCACTCAGGAGCCCCGGAGTAGTGACTTAGGTTTACTGGCCATCTTCTTGATCAGCTGGAAAGCGAAACCGGGGATTCCATCCACGATTGTCGCCACGTCGTCACATTCGATTACTTGGTCGATGACACAAGCGAAATACATGACGATCAAATCCCTCATCTCGTCGCCTGGTACCGTATGATCGAAAACATATGTAGCGAGGACGCAGAGGTCTTCAACACGGTTGGGGTACAGAGTGAAGTCCCGGAGTGTAGCGTACAATCGGTGTAGAGTGAGCTGCTTTAGCTTGGGGATGAGCCACTTGTCGCCTACCACGTACAATCTGGCATGGCAGAGAAAACATGAGTGCAATTCACGGTACTTGTCGTATTCTTCCGAGGGGTGAGGACAATTGGTCCCGCTGGCGCAGGGTAGTCCACACCAGCCTCCTTCATGAGTTTGTCGAGCATGCTCACGGTCGGGGTGTGAATGCTCTTGGGTGACTGATGGCACTTAAAACATGTCTTTGGAAAGGTCAAGTTGCAAGGCTGACAGTAGAAAGGAACAAACCACTTTGAACAGGGGCGGCCGCAGGTTTTGACTTTGTTGAAGCGGATTCCTGAACGATCGCACTTCGGACAAGTCCAAGCTGGTGGGGACAGCCCAACCAAAGGCTTCTCAAGTGCCGTAGTTTTGACGTCCTCCATTGACGGTAGCAAGGCAGAAAGATAACCGGCATTGACGTCCTCGGTCTCGGTGACAGGCTCTGCTGGATCGTAATCTTGTGTGGATATCCACTGACTGAAGCGAACGAAGGTGCCCTCATCGACATCGGGCCACTCGATTCGACAGTCCTGGGCTTCCTTCATCTCTCTGGCCAGCAAAGCATCAAGAGGCTTGGACAGCACTAAAATATTCTTGCCGTGGACGCGAAACTCGGTCTTTCCCTCTCCGATGACGAAGATGAACATGCTGGATTGCAGCTTACTGCGGCTGCCAAAGAATTAGCACGCTTCCTTGCCAGGAGGAGTTTATGAGCACAGAGGGGAGCGACAATGACTGTCAAACTTACTCTGCAGAGGATGTGGCCATGTTTACGGTCAGTTGATGAAGTATGAGACTTGCAGTCGTTCCCAGGTGTGGATGCTAATGTTGGTGAAGGCCAGGGAGAAGTCCAAGACCATGGAGCAGTGTCGAGCGGGAAACCTGACACTTGATCGCTGCTGTTTCGAGAGACACAAAATCACATTTTTCGAGGCCAGGTCAACTTGGGTTTAAACAGGTATCAGGGCGTGAGTGAAGAGTGAATCGGTGACACAGTTTGGAAAGTGAATTCCCAAGCGTTTGCGGGCGGATGAAGGGGAAGATACTTCATGCTATAGGCCATTGAATATTTTTCTATACCATCCAATACTATGACTGCTGAGCACATAAGCGAATGATGGTCAAAATGTGATCTCTACTCATCTGTTACATCTGACCATCTGAAATCTAAAATCTTATTCGAGTGCGCCCCTTTGGAGGCATGTACGGGCGGGGAGCGTCGCCAACAGGTGTCGAAGCAGGACGATGATGACATAAACACGACGAGAGATGAATGACCCTAGTATCTCATGCTTTGATTACAGAGACTTTATCGTCTTGACTTACCAAATGAACCGAGATTGCTTGCGTGATAAGTCGCTCATGGGAAGGACGGCGCAACGGAAGGGAACCTCTCCCGATCTCCCACAGGGCACGGAGCAGAACAAGGCTCACGATGCGTACAATGCAGCTTTGATGCAAGACATAACTGTGGCCAGCATGTATGCACAAGGCTCCTGCATCTAGGCACTTGCGCCTCATTATAAGTCAAGTGGAAGGAGTGTAGTACCGCAGCGAAGGTCCCCTGCCCCTGGCATGTTTATAACCCGGCGATCTGGATCCACCACCACAAGGGGCTAGCGCTATGGGGATCTGCAGGCCTGCCGAACAAGGGGGGATTGCACTGCAGGCCACTCGGCATTTCGGTACGAGACCCTTTGTTTCAAGGCAGGTACTACCCATTCCGCGCGCCAGGCAGTGTTAGGTAAAGTGACCGTCTGTCAGTCTGTCCGTTTGTCTCTTGCATCCAAACGTCGAGACAACCACAGCTCACGTCTTTGGACCAGAGCAAGCCAGGCCATACCTCCCCAGGCATGCGACGCGCTCTGCATTCGCACACGTCTTCGTCAGGCCTCTAAACCTTCATCTTCGAGGCGGGCCACATGCAGGGCTTCGGACCTGGCGTCTGCGCCCTGTCTCCAGCAGCTTCAGCTTCCAAGCCTTCATATGGGCAGTGCATTTGCACGGCACCCCTGAACTCATAGAGATATATCTGTGCCCAGCACTGCACCGAAACACCTCTCGTTAACGCCCTGTTCTGCTCTGCTTCGTTTCGTTTTGCTCTGTTTTGCTCATGCACACGCACACGTACACGCACGACCCTGTTTCCTGATCACTCCTCCCGACCGGGCCGTCCCACTTCGAAGGCTGTGCTGTGCTGCACTGTGCTGTGTGCTGTACTGGCCTTCGCGTCTCAACTCGAGTGCCGTGTCACCCACGCCGGGTCCTTGTGACAGGCCCATCCATCTGCGACGTCATTGTGGTGACTTTGTGTGGCTGTCAACGCTTTGGAAGCTGCTACCCACCTGCACTTGATAAGGCGACCAAAGCAGGCGTCGCACATCTCGGCAGCTTGAGTGTCTAGATGCCCGTCGAGACCCTCTTGCTCTCTCAAAAAGCAGCCAGTGCCATGCCAAGTCTTAGAAGATACCCCCTTTCACCACGCCCGCCCCTCCGCATACAGCAACAAGACCATGGCGCCCTGGCCCTCTCGGCTCAACGACCCTTTACCGGCTCCGCCTTCGCGAGAGCCTCCTCTGCCGCCTCTGCCGCGGCCGGAGCTTGAGGATGTTCGCAAGCAGCTCTCTAGGCCGCCAGTGCGCAGGCCGGTCGCCAGCTCCTCGCGATCTAACGACCCAAACCTTGTGGATGCCTCCCAGGTCCCTTCAGATCTGATACCCACCCTTCCTACGGAGAACCGTACCGCGCCTGCTCAAAGACCATCGAGCCACGGCCGCTCGATGAGCCATCCCTTCCCGTCCTTGTTTTCTGCAAAGAGGAAGCAGGCCCCGAAGAATCCATCGCCCGATGATTTCGATTCGGACTCGGACTCGGATGCCGAGATGCTGGGTTTGGGCCCTGGGTCTAAGCAGAAGAGGCCCGCGCAACCTCTGGGCCCATCAAAGGTCCATGTTAAACCCGCCGGGGACAAGGACTTCGCCTCGGGTAACTGCATGACATGTGGTGCAATGTCGAGATGGCCTAAAGGGCTCAAGGTCTTCAAGTGCACTCTTTGCATGACCATCAACGACCTGGTCGACATTAACAGTGCGGCCGAGGTGAACAACCATGCCGTAGGTTACAGACGAGCGTCGGAGGATGCCACTCCTAGTTTGAAGGGTGAGTTCCTGCGTCATAAGTTCTAGGGTATCAGAGAATCTAAAAATGAATGCTAGCACCCATATCGCCTGAAGGCACGAAACACCTCGTCAGAGACTGCTTGAGGAACTACCTGGTCGCAGCCCTGGCAGCTAGGCGCACTTCAACAGACTCGAAGGATGGAGGCCGTCCTGTGGAGCCATTCAAGCCGCATGGAGGCGCAAATAATATCGATACGGCAGCCGCTGGGCGACAGCGGTATGAGAGGGACGAGATCACGACGCCGAATTCTGGACCTTCGGAAACAACTTTTGGAAGTGCCGAAGACCGAAGTGCCTTTGTGAATTTCTCACGACCAGGAATGTTTCCCCAAAGATCTTATTCCTCGTCGTATCCGGAAACACGACCGGAAGTAGGAAATCTCGGGAGACTGTCGATCGACCAGAACGCCAGATGCGTCGATCCGGATGGGAAAAGGCTCTTTAGGCCCCTCGAGGACTACCTTATCACCTGTTTCTCTCCGCCACTGACCTGTATCAACTCGTCTTTCATGCTGCGACATCCACGCAACAACAACCGCCGAGCTCCTCAGCCGTCTAGGCGACGACCATCGGAACCTCCCAGGCCTCCCAGGGAGATTCCACCCAGGGAGATTCCATCGCAGGAGCAATCTATAACCGAGCTTGATGCCAAAATGCTGCTGGTTGGCGATTTCGCCGAGAATGGTTCATGGTGGACTGGTCGAAAGGAGAAGGCGGCTCCCAACCGAACCCCCTCATATCGCAGCGATGAGGACTCGACTGTTACAAGCAGGAGCCCTAATATCGACTGGGCAGAGGTAGACAATTGGTACCACACCGTCATCAACGCCGGGGAGCGTTGGACTGATATTTATGATGGACTCTCTCAGCATTTTGTGTTCGACGAGCCTACGGAAGTGGAACTCAAACAGATTGAAGGACACATTCTTGAAGCACAGGACCATCTGCGAAAGACGCTTCTTAAGGTCACAGAAAACATTCTCAAACGACCAGGAAAGCCCATCAACAGCCCTGAAGATCTTCGCTTCTTGCTAATAATATCGGCAAACCCACTTCTGCACGCCTCATTTCAAAACTTTACGGGGCGCTTGCCGCATGCTCAAAATAACCAGATCAGTGGCCCGTACGCGTCGGGCCCATTGCGCGGTTCAGGACCGGTCTCTGGGCAGCACTCACCCATCATCAAACGCATCCTTGGCCTCCTGTCTAACACACCGGCTGATTGCCAGAATCACCTCGTCTCCTGGTTCGCGAGGCTGCCGGAGTCTCGCTTCATCCAGTTGAAAGACTTTGCCGGAGGCTTCCTAGCCTACAGGCTAATAAGACAGCATGAAAAGAAGCACGAGGTCAAGGTCGATGTGACAGCCGGTCTTATTCCGAATATGGCTGCGGGACGGTCTCCAGCCACCCTCCATGCTGCCCTTGGTCAGCCACGCCCATCCAGATCAAAGAAGCCTAAGGAGCAACCCAAGATCGTGTACCAAGATGACTGGCAAACAAAAGCTGCTGCTCGGGTTATTGGCCTCCTTTTCGCCGCAAACAACAACGCGCATTATCGAAGACACATCGCAGGCACACCGTCTTCACAGGACGAAGTGTTAAACAGCACAAGCGTTAGAGATCAGGTTCAAGCGAGAGGCCAAATAGTACCTACGAGTGACTTCTATATCACCCTACTCGACGACTCAGACCTCGTCGCTGACTTTGAGGCTTGGGAACGTAAAAGGAGCAAGTTCTCTTTCTGTCAATTTCCATTCCTTCTCAGCATCGGCGCCAAGATACAAATATTGGAACACGATGCAAAAAGACAAATGCATCTCAAAGCGAGGGATGCCTTCTTTGATAGCATCATGAGCCGGAGAAATGTCGAACAGTACTTGACACTCAATGTACGACGCGATTGTCTTGTCGAGGATAGTTTGACTGGAGTAAGCGAAGTCATTGGCGGCGGGGGCGAAGATATCAAAAAGGGATTGCGTATCGTGTTCCAAGGCGAGGAGGGAGTCGATGCCGGCGGCCTGAAGAAAGAGTGGTTCTTACTGCTTGTCAGGGAGGTCTTCAACCCAGATCATGGTACGTTCAAAGCGTGCCCATTCTGTGATTTCAATAATACTAACGAATGGCGCAAGGGATGTTCGTATATGATGAAGACTCGCAGTATTGCTACTTTAACCCCAACTCTTTCGAGACTTCGGACCAGTTCTTCCTTGTGGGCGTGGTCTTTGGCCTGGCGATATACAACTCCACCATTCTCGATGTCGCATTCCCGCCGTTCGCTTTTCGCAAGCTTCTCACAGCCGCCCCGCCGCCTTCCCAAGGTCTCTCCACCCAGCCCAGGCCAGCTATAGCGTACACCCTCGACGACCTGGCGGAATTTCGCCCGCGCCTCGCCAAAGGGCTGCGCCAACTCCTCGATTTCGATGGTGACGTCGAGTCTACCTTCTGTCTCGACTTCGTGATTGATGTCGAGAAGTACGGTTATACCGAGCGAGTGGCCCTCTGCCCTGGTGGCTCGAATCGGCCTGTCACTAATGCCAACCGCCGCGAGTATGTCGATTTGTATGTCAAGTACCTTCTCGATTCTGCCGTTACTCGCCAGTTCGAACCATTCAAGCGTGGTTTCTTTACCGTCTGCGGCGGGAATGCCCTCTCGCTGTTTCGGCCAGAGGAGATTGAATTGCTGGTCCGCGGCTCAGACGAGCCGTTGGATATCACATCGCTGCGCGTGTCAGCCGAGTACGAGAATTGGGGAAACAAAGCCAACAGCCCGGACCAGACCGAACCAACACTTAGGTGGTTCTGGGAGTCGTTCGAGCGTGCGAGCCCAAGAGACCAGAGAAGGCTGCTGGCATTCATCACGGGCAGCGACCGCATCCCCGCCATGGGTGCTGCTTCACTGACCATTAGAATCTCGTGCCTGGGTGATGATAGTGGAAGATACCCAACGGCCAGGACATGTTTCAATGCGCTACAGCTGTGGAGGTATAATTCAAAGGAGAGACTGGAGAAAGTGCTGTGGGACTCTGTGCATGAGAGTGAGGGCTTTGGACTCAAGTAAAGGCCAGCACGCATGCAGTAGAAGTGGCATCATTCATAACTAACTTCTTGGATCATGAGATGAGGTAGTCTCCAAAGAATATCCTGGGACTCGGGTTGTAATGCATCACACGGCGCATGTTTCTTGGGTAAAAAGCTGTCCCTCAAGGACACAAAGTGCAAGATAGACAGACATGCTGCAACAAGCCTAGAATCAGTCCCACGTTTCATCATGTGCCTGTCTATTGTGATCATTGCCCAGGGTTCAACTCCAGATGGGGGCACCATAAAAAAAGACCACTCGAGTAATCAACCAGCTGGTGGGTGCCCCGCAGTTTCGGCTGGCCAGGCATCTACCCCCGGAGGGATTCGAATTCTAGACACCATCCTACTTTCCGCTCAAACAACTCCGAGGTACTAGAGGCAACTCGAGCAGTGGAAATTACCGCTACGCCACCGGGGCAGCGAAACGGGGTCGATGCATGTGGTGGTTCACTGGGTATTAAATAGCTGGGTTCGTTGAAAGAGAGATGAGATGAAAGGTTGGAGTGAATTTGGGGGGGGGGGGGGTGATGTGATAGCAGGCACCGAAGGGGGGAGGCGTGGGATCTTTGCACGCTCAGCTCAAGCAAAATGGAAATCCTGCAGGTGAGATAGATCGCAACACTGGAGAAGAATACCCAATTCAAAAGAAGCAAAGAACGCCACATTGTACAGAGCCGTTGTCTTATTTCCAGCGCGTAGGCATGCGCTTCAACTACACGACACCTATCGTATCATGGACCAGCCGCGTCTCTATCGCCGTCATCAAACCCAAAGAGCGCGGGCCCCTCACTTGTCCGCCTTGATCGCGTCCGCCTCCTGCCTCGCCCTCTCCAGTAACCTCTTCTCGGACTGGATCTTCTCCCGATACCTCCTCTGCACCTCCTTGTCGTACGCCGCGCGCTCCTGCAGCTCCACCAGCCTCGCCATCTCCTCCTGGTCCTCGGGCGACGGCTCGACCTCCCTCGCGCCCGTCTTCTCCATGAACTGCTTCAGTATGTCGTGCGACCGCACGTTCTTCATGTTGATCGTGACCACCCTCTCCCCCTCGCCGGCCGGCGGCGCCCTCGCGCCGCCCGTACTCGAGCTCGCGATGGTGCGCCAGGCGTCGGTCGCGACGACGGCGCGCTTCGGCTCCGCGCCCGTGGTGCCCTCTATCTGCGCCGCCTGTGGCTCCGCCGGCGCGCCGCCGCTCATGTAGATGCTCAGCGTCGCGGGGCCCGCCTGGTCGTGCGTCCGGTTGACGATCATCGGCACCTCGGGGTTGTGGTACTTTAGCCGCGGCAGGTTTTCCCTCCAGAACTTTCGGGGGCCGAGGTGTCCGTCATTCCACTTGTGCCCGAACTCCATGTGTATCTTGGTCACGTTCGCAGGGAGTTTTGCTGCGCCGGGGCCATTTCGTACACCGACAAGCTGTGATGCGCATGACAGTTAGCACAATCGGGGATTCGACTGGGTAATGGGCACTGCGTCGTCGGAGGAGGAAGGCTATTCACCTGCTGTAAAGTGAGTTAGTTGATATGGTCGGTCGCATGAGAATGGCACTGGAGGAGGGCTTACAGATTTCAGCTTGTTCATTCGCATCCCTATTCTCGACATCTTGGGCGGCGGAACTGAGCCTTCTTGAGGCTCAAAAGTCACAGTGGAAGAGAAAAGGGTTGGGCGAACGCCGTGTGATTGCTCTCGCCGCCGTCGCCGTCATATGTCAATAGGTTTGGCCTGGTGGTCGCTCCCGAAATTTCATGTCGTTGAAAGCGACCAGGGCCAATTGAGGTCCTGCCGCGGCGGCAGCGAACCCCTGTTCAAGGCTTATCGCGCGGCTGGCAGGTCTTATCGCAGCTCAGGGGTTCAAAAAAGTCTCGACGGGCGTGCATCATTTCAATAGTGCTCTCACTTTGCTGCCCAGAACTGGATAGAATTCAATCTTTCAACTCTTTGCGCCGCTGCAAATTGCTATGCCTTGACGCAATGAAATCCGGAGCCAAGCAGATATCGTGCTCGCGACTGCTACGGGGTTTTGTCAACATTGATCATGGCACCTCGCTAAGCTCTACTTTACCATTATACCTTTGTCCCGCAGCGGCCAAACCTCCGACATTCCAGAGGTTGGACAGAGTTACAGCCACAGGTGTGCAAGCGCGTCGACTCCTCCCACTGCGTCAGGCCCGAAGACTGCATGCAACAAGTCAGGCAACGCAAGATGGGGACTTAATTCAATCCACTCCGGCTCGGGCGCTACCTGTACAGTGTGCGGGCTGTGGTGCTCTTTCGCAGACGGCCGTCCCAGACGAGCCAGGGTATTTCAACCTAGATAGGAGGGCCGTCAAGGCTTACTTGGGCCTTCTGAAGGAGGAAAAGCGCCATAATAGCGAAGATGAGATTCTTCAGAGCGCCCTGCAGGATCGTGGTGATCTACTCGAGCGCCTTGGCCTCTCGGACGCTGCGCTACCACGACGTCCCAATGCAGAGAGCAGCGAGGAACCAGACATGCCGTTCTGTGACCGATGCCACAATCTCATTCACCACCACACCGGGACTCCTATCTATCACCCCACCATAGACGCGATCCGTGAGACCATCCAAGAGTCGCCGTATAAGTACAACCATGTCTACCACGTCCTTGACGCCGCCGACTTCCCCATGTCGCTCCTACCTCAGGTCCACCAGCTGCTTGACCTGATGCCGCTTCGCACCAAGAATCGTCGCTCGCAAGCTGGGAAGTTCTTCAAGGGGAAGAAGACCGAGATGAGCTTCATCATCACCAGGTCAGATCTGCTAGCACCAAAGAAGGAACAGGTGGACAGACTCATGCCCACTCTGGTCGAGATCCTGAGACAGGCGCTCCCGCGTGAGTCAAGGCACGTGAGGCTAGGCAATGTGAGATGCGTGAGCGCCAAGAGGAGCTGGTGGACCCAGGAGGTGAAGGAGGACATATGGAAGCGAGGAGGTGCTGGGTGGATGGTAGGCAAGGTTAATGTCGGAAAGAGCCAGCTGTTCGACGCAGTGTTCCCCAAAGGTCGGATGGATTGGCAGGAATCGAAGCACGATATTTCAGTGGCTGTCCAACCTCGGAACGAACACGCTCTCTCGCCAACTGTCCTCCATGAGAAGAAGAATCTCATGGATGCTGTGCTACCGGACATTGACGAACTTGAGGACGATGCTTTGTTGCCGCCACCACAAGAAGAGACGAACTTCCCTCGCATGCCGGTCGTTTCCGCACTGCCGGGGACCACTGCGTCTCCCATTCGGGTCCCTTTTGGTGGAGGAAAGGGTGAGCTCATCGATATGCCCGGACTCGAGCGCAGCGAACTGGAGACTTGGGTCCGTGAAGAGCATCGACCCTCTCTTGTCATGAAGGCACGCACCACGCCTGAGCAACAAGTCATCAAGCCTGGACAATCGCTTCTGATTGGTGGCTTCATCAGGATAACACCACGGACGTCAGACCTGATCTTCCTTGCCTACGCATTTACGCCAATCGACCCGCACCTGACGGCAACAGAAAAAGCAATTGAAATACAGCAACAGACATCTGATGTCAATGCGGGCAACATATCTGTCCTAGGGACTGGAAAGAAGATCAAGCATGCCGGGTCATTCAAACTACAGTGGGACGTCACCAAGAAACGCGCCGGCCCCATCACCAGGAAAGACGCAGTGGGCATCAAGGTTGACCGCCTCCCATACCGTGTCCTTTCGCTCGATATCCTCATCGAGGGTGTTGGATGGGTGGAGATCACTGCCCAGGTCAGGACGAAGAACTTGTTTCTGCCGGCACGCCCGCCTGCTCCAAGCTCAAGACCATCATCCAAGAAGGACATCAAGGCGGGCAGAGAGGAAATCTTACAGGAATTAGACCTGTCTGAGCCATGTCTGGAAGAGGAGAACCCTCGCAATGCTGACTACGGTGAACCAGAGCCGAACTGGCCGGTCGTGGACGTCTTCTCCCCAGAGGGCCGTTTTATAGGCTGCCGACCACCCTTAAATGCGTGGCTGTATAACAAGGTCCGCAAGACTGCTGAGACCAGCAAGAAACGCCCGCGGAAGAGCATGACGGGGGCGAAGAGAAGGGAAAAGGACACGGGAAGAAACAGTTCTGCTGCAGCATGGTAGGCTCAGGTGAACAATAGAGATCTCATATGGAAGAACATAGTCTAGCATGTAGAATATACCACTCATCATATCAAGAATCAGAAGAACTACAGGCGACGTAATTGGGTCATGTGTGGAGAATGGAATGGAGTGTTCGTGGTGCTGGAATGCGACCCGACCCATGGTCAGCCTCAGGCTTGAGCCGGGAGCTACCCCACCGAAACAGCGACCTGGTAGCTGCCGGCCCTAGAGGGCGGGATGACGCGGGGTGTCCAGAAAACGTCCGAGCGGTCTAGCAACCCCCTCGCTGACGGTTGACAAACCGATCCAGACCATAACCCAAGCCTAAATAGAGGTCACACGACGCAGTCCGACTTTTAGCCAGGCACGAACCACACCGACAAGCAGCCGCCTCTTTGGGAATTTTTCATCATCCCTACTACGAACGACCTACACCGACTCTCTGTGACCTAGTGAATAAGCAACGTGAGAACCTTGTTTGGAAACCGCCACACTCCACCTATCACTCGACAACTCCTTTGAGGATTTCCTCATCGGACAACAAAGCCCCTCCAGACGAGGCGCAGGACCAGCACATTTAAGGAGGACCTGCTCCCGGCTGCAGCTCTTCCCCTAGTCGTCAGTCGGCCTTGAAAGCAGTCTGTGACAGTCTTTCTGAGCGTCCTTCGTTCCCTTGTACAGTTCACCATGGCCCAAGGTCGATCAGATCAACAAACAACCGGCGATGGCGGCGGCGCCGGCGGAGGACCATCGCAGGCGACGAGGGGCACAGAGCCGGGCACAAGGTCACAGACGCAGACGCAAGCACAGACACAGTCACCTATCCTACGGCTGCGCGGCGCGCAGAGAAACAGGGGGCCCCGGGTGCAGTGGGCGGAGAGCGTGGTGGACAACGAGGGGATGGGCAAGAAGTCGTCCAAAGGTAAGAGGGGACACTTTCTTCTGGGGATTCTATGGCTCTCTATGCTGACGATGGCCACAGTCTGCTGCATTTACCACGCACCCAAGGCGGTGGACGAGTCCAGCGACGAGTCGTCCTCCGACTCCAGCTCATCATCGTCCGACGAAGACTCCGACTCGGGCGAGGGGTCTTCGCGCCGGGCGAACGGCGATCAGGCGGGCAAGGGCTGCGGGCACAAGCACGACCACGGGCGCCGCCGGCGGAGAGACGGCGACGGGCATGGTAAGAGGAAGCCCAGCCCAAATGCGTACGAGAAGGTGCCCAAGACGAAACCTAGGGATGGGGCTGGTGGCTCGGGGCCTGTTGGGACAGGCTGAGCCTGGGACAAGAAGGGGGGGGGGGTCCAGATGCATTGCGGTCATGCGCGAGGATCACGGTGTGGATACAGAGACGAAGGGGTCCTCTGTGAAGAAGATGATGATACCCACGATTTAGACGCATTACTCGAGCAATCTGGAGTTGTCGAGCCAGGGCCGAGATGGCTATCGCCTAGGTCGCTGACCTGGAGCCTCTGGATCTCTCGAGTCACGAGCGGTCTGATGACAGACTCCTAAAAATAAAAGGAAGTCGCTCAGGCTTATTTCAGCGCGTGTGCCAGGGGCGGAAAGATCGTGAGCAGTATCCAGCCGGCCTTCACACCAGAGCAAGTAGGCACATGCAGTGGCACAAACAGTGGGATGAACCCGCACGGGCTTCACAGCTCGGGATGTTAGTGAAGTCTTCAGGGACAAACCGTCCCGCCTCTTCCTTTCGTTACCGAGCCCCACGACAGGCACGTGAATACTGTCCGTGGCTTCTTCCGCCACCCACGCCAATTGCCAACCATGGAATTTGGCCGACGAAGCTATCCATCACATCTCGCTCCCCACTAGTGCGAGTCAAAAAGCAGTAGCGAAACAAGCTTTGATTTTGATCTCCGCTACTGAGGAATAGTAGCAGCAGCTCTCAACCACGACGTTGTCTTCTCCTTGGCAACCCGAGACAAACATAAAAGACAGAAGTCGCCTCCTCCCACGTGGTGGACAGACACGAGTCACGCGTCGCGTTGGTGAACAGCGGTAGGACCGAGCGTACTATATTAAAGTGCCCAATCCAGGACCGGGCCTCTCCCAACCCCTGATCCTGCGCCGTCCATGATGATATAAATACGTTCCCACTGCTTGCGGCGACCCGACAGCCTGGTCAGGTGCCTTGAACCTGGACAGGAGACAGAAAATTAAATGGATAGAGAGTATGTTGTGTGTCAGTGTGAGTGAGTGACAGAGAAGGTCTAGATCAGTCCATCCACGCCCCAGAGTTGCAGTGCCCATGATTCCAAAGCCCCCCACCGCGGGGGCCTTTCCCAAGACATTTGCTAGATTGCTGTATGGCTGCCACGACCGGGAGCAGCCGAGCCCCGATGTTTTGTTAGGTCGTACCGACGATTGCGCAAGCTGGTGGCCCCATGGAGGGAATCGTCGTGGAAGGTAGACAAGGGGGTTGGGGGAAACATCGCGAACAGTGGTCGTGGCGTCGGCGTGCAATCGGCTTCCCCAGCGTTACCAAGATAAACATGCGTGCGGTACGTAGGTCTCGCACTAATCAAAAACAGGAGCATTGTGAACTTGTCAAGCTACCACTGGGCGGAAGCGAGATCCGGAGGAGACTACCTGATAAGAAGCGGTCCGGGGGTCGGGGGGGTCACATCTGTGTGGGAGTATTAAACTTTCCCGTGTTCCCTGCGAGGTCGTATATGAGCCTCATGCAGTGCGATGCGGGCCTCAGCCTCGCGCAGAGGCTAAAGAGTGAGAAAAATTCTTCTCGGCCTATAGCATCCGGTATATATTGGCGGGACACGGGACAGAAGTAGAGCCGTTGTGGCACGGCGTCGACAACTTACATGAGCGTCACCTGTTATCTTGTGGGCAACTGAAACTGTGGCACGCAAAGCGGGAAACGGCGGCAGAGGCTGTGGCACCGGAAGAGCTTGCCCGGCACGCAGCTCGCCTTGTCAAACAAGTGTGCTGCAGTAGGGCCTTTTCTGGTCCCGGAATTCGGATTTGTGTGCCGCGTTGTCTTGAAAGCTTCAAGGGTATATACGCGAGAAGCTTTGGGGCGCGAGCTTGTGCCCTGCGGCGTGCGGGAGGCTGTCCGACGGAACGTGATTTCTATAGTTACTATCACAATAGAAAGATTCTGCCAGGGGAACTTTAGCCAAAATACGCGTCGGCGCCTGCAGTGACAACACGCGCTTGTGGTGTTTAGGTCCGTTTGCATTTGAGCGTGTCCGTCCTTTGCCAAGAGACAAGGCTGAACTCAAATCATATAGGCCGAATATCACATATAGTCTTATGTAACGGAGCAGCGCCACAGCCCCCTGGTAAGTCCATATCCGGATGCGAGATCCCTTACGGCGAGGAGGGAGGGGTTGGGCCTGCAGGTCATGTCCGTCGACTTGGCACGAGAGCCGCATCTTGCACACAGACATTTTCTCTCTCAGAGTCTGTGCCTTTTTCTCGGCTTGCTAACCCGGAGAATATCACCAATACGACCCAGATTGGGTGACTCTAAGCAGGGGTTGTCCTTTGCGAAAAGAGCAAACCGGGATTGAGAGGAATCTTGAAATTTCAAGGGTTCCCCAGTAACAATCGCCAGTGGGAAAGAAGGGCCCCCGTATTCCCGTAATAAGAGAAAATGAGAAGTGATGGGAACCGGTACCAAAATAGAAGCGCAAAGGAAGGCCACGATGGAGTGATTGTCTGGTTCGCGAAGTGTGGTTGACGGGTGTTGGAGCAGCGTCTGGCACCTGCGCCTGCGCCCTCGCCCGTCCTTTATCCCCTTCTCGTTACCCCTGAGCTAGCGCGAAGGTTGACGCGGTGTCGGGAGATGGGCTCCGGGGACAGGAGACTGGGGGTTGAGTGGGGGAGAGAGAAGCAATCTGATGATCCGAACTGGACAAGCTCACAGGTTATGTGCTGCCCAGCGTGCCATCGGAGGTTGAAAGGCGTGTTGCGTGCAGATGAAACGAGGCGACTCGTGCCGCTGCACAGGCTACCGCTACGCTGCAAACGCAGCAGAGCGGATGGTTGTCATGTAACGGTAGCGGAGGCTGTCCACGGCTGTCACAGCTGCCAGCACCGATTAATGAGCTTGGGCTGGCATGTGAGACCATCCCACGCCTCATCACTCGTCACCCATCGCAGCCAAATACAATAGGAAGCCCGAGGCTCGGCTTTGCGCTCGGGGAAGCTGGATGATTGGACAGGGCGTGGACGTTGAGGTGCAGAGTCCTTCTTTGTTTGTGCTGCAGTGCAGTTAAATCTTCCAGTGATCGGCAGTTCCTTTTCCTCTTCTGAAGCGGTGGTTGCCAACCTGGGGCGCGTGTTGGACCCACCAGCACACTCACTCACTTGCCATTTCTGGAGTCCTGCAGGAGTGGTGCTGGGATGGATCGACGATCCAGGAGCGACATATTTTGTATACGGGTGGTGGTCGAAGTTGACCAGCTTGTGGGCACCCGAAACACGGCCGAGCTGCAAAACATGCAGAGAAAGAACGCGCCAGGGACAGAGGACTGGAGGCCTTGTGTATTCGAGTCATCGGCAAAAGAATATAGGACCGGTCAGAGCCCAGCGCGGGGGGATATGCTGGAGGTTGGAGGGAGCAAGCAGGTCCTGGTCGCTTGGGCACGAAAATTGGGCATTGACAAGATGTCTACCCACATCTAGGTTCATACCAGCATTGTCGAGCGGCAGGGTTATTGCTTCTGCATAAAAAGGGAACAGCCCAAATGAGCGAGAAATGAGGAGATGGAAATCCCGAAGAGAGAAGCATGGGGCAGAATGGGACGAACACATGCTCGAAGATGCAGAGAGTCTGATGGCAGCAGCAGTTGGGAGATGGGATGAGACTGAGAGACATAAGGCATTTCACCACCGCCGCCAACAGCAACAGTGACGGGCAACGGCAACGGCAACGGCAACAACACCAAGCGTCAAAACAGGAAGGCAGGGGTGATTTGGTAGAGGTTGAACCTAAGAAGCTTGCCCCTGCCCTTCTTTGTTGCCCTATGGAGGAACGTGCGGGTGTGCCGTGTATAGGGTACCACAGGACCTGGGCGGGAGCTACAGAGTACCGTATGCTCCTGCCCCTGAATTGAGCCTGCCCTACACAAAAGCCACAGTACTGTCGGTACCACAGTAGAATTACCTCCCCAGTTGGCGCGGGTAATTAGGCTGGTGATGTGCATACAAAGATGCCCACATGGGCTATCGTGTGTTCTTGTGTGCACCCACTTAGCCCTGCCTAGGTAGATACCTAGATATCTGGTGGGATCCGATGTACCAACTACTCGTTATCTACTCGAGCCCCCTGGATGGGGAGGGAAAAAAAAGGCGAATTGGGTTTCGACGCTGCGTCCGGGCAAACCACCTCAACAAAGCAAGTAAGTGGCATGAACTTGGTGTGTTACGTGCAAAGGACGTACCTTGCCCGCGACAAACCCTTCGACCGTGCTTTTGCCTGTCCTTGGTCATGGACAGAAGCATCAGGAAACTGCGGCGGGCTGTGGTGTTTGGTGGGGCTGGAAGTTACAGGTACAAATTGATTCACCAGTGCATTGTTCTACAGTTCGAGAGTTCTGCTGGACTGGTGGACTCAATTGGACTGGACTGCACAGGCCATACAGGCGACAGGGAGTGCGGGCTGACAGAGACGACTGGTGTGGAGTAGAGGAGACCTGGGACTACCCAGACATGTACTAGACTGGGACAGAGGCTAGCAGCTACCCCCGAGCAACCCCACCTTTGCTCTCCGATTTGCCCACCGCCCTCAGGGACCGTTCAAGGGACCGAAGCCCAGCGAACTGACCCACAGGGATTTCTTTTGAACCCTGGAGTCGTGGACTGCTCTGGGACCCGGGACTGGCCTGCCTCCTCCTCCACTGGCCACCACTGGCTACCACCCTCGGTTGACTTGCATCTTTTCTAAGAGAAAAAGGTGCGCGCCGTCAGTTTGCTAACTGCTACCGACGAGTCCAACTCTTCCTATACCTGCTCCTGCTCCTGCTCCTGCTCCTGTTCTTGTTTTGTTCTTGTTCCTGCTAGTAGATTGCTGTACTGTACAGTCAGTCCTGTACCGCAGGTAGAGCTGAATACGTGGACCGCGTGTCGTGATTTTTCTTCCTCTCTTCCCGACAGAGACAGGCGCGCCTCTCTGCTGCTTTTCCCTTCCCACGCTTCATTTGACAGCACTTGTTTGTTCCTGAACGGCGTGCCTGTGCCAGCCCAGCTTTTCCCGGCTCCTGTTCCTGGCCCTCGACCCCCAGTATCGCCTAGCTTGCTGCGCACCCCCTACTTTAGACAGCTCCCGTCGTCTGTCATTGATCCGCGGCCGACCTGCGAGAAAGCGAGAAAGAAACCTCAGTGCTCGTCTCCTCTTGTCTCCCCTCCCGCTCTCAACCTCACACCACCCCCACCTCGCCTCACCTCACACACTGCTGCATTCACGGCCAGCTGCCTCCCCCAGCTCCCAGTCTTGAGACAACACCTGCGACGACAGTCTCCCAGACCCCCACAGCTCGGTGGGCTACCACCACAGTACCTGCCAAAGGCTTCCCTCGTCTTAGGGGGCACAAGGCCCACCCGCCCAGCAGCCGCGTGTCGCAACCGCTTCTGATAGCTACCTTCGACCACCCAAGACTTGGTCCCGCCATACAAGTCCCGCCCCAGTCCTGGGGTCTGACCAGAACACATCCTCTGGCCGACCAATGACCCCATGAAAGGAGCGAGCGCTGTGGTTTAGAGAAGTGCAAGCTAGCAGCAGACAAGTGCCATGGACGCCTCCTCAGCGCCACTCGCCGACTACTTCTGGATTGCCGGCATAGAAGACATAGCCTACCATGACAATGACCCCGATCCACGGCCTCTGAGCTCTCTCCAGCTCAACGACACTATCAGGGAGGATGCCGAGCACGAGACTCCCGACAATCCTACTCAGACCCCTACCAAGGAGTCTGCCCGCCATTCTCGCCGGAGTTCTATAAACCGAATTTCCAGGATTCCCTCCAACGAAAACAACCGATTTTCCATACAGACATTGGGCGAAGAAAATGAGGGCACCAGGAGTAATAGAAGCAGCGCCACGATACGGGCAGTCCCACCTATCAATGGCGGCAGTGGTGCGGATGAAAGCCCTTTTAGTCCCATAGAATCGACCCCTGGCGAGGGGTCGTCCACGACCAATGGTGGTGGACAGGGCATGGGTTTCACCGGTCTGCCAGATTTCGACTTTGACAAGGCCCTTATGAAGTTCGCCGCAGAGCGAGAGATCTTTTTGGACGACCTAAGTTTCACTGCCGGAGCCAAGCTGCAGGCGCGGCCCCCCATGGTGAACAATCCGCGGGCAGAGAGAATCAAGGCCGAAGAGGGCGAGCTCAGTGGGAGAGTCAGCCCCTTAAAGAGCATCAAGGGAAGCATACGACGCAAAATTAGTTTTAGGGACATGAACAGCGTCAAGAGGCAGACCGCTCCTCCTCGAGCACGGCCAGGTAAGTGCTTTCGCAAAAGCGCCAGGATCGAATTGTGGTTCAGGGCCGTACGCTAACATCCTGCCAGCCTCTGTTCGGACCACGAAACGGTTGAGCAATTACAATTCAGTCATTCCGCCTCCAGAACCTCTTAATATGGACCCTGACATGCACCCCCTCAAGAGACGCTTCGAGCCCAAATTATTGGACAGGTATCCCAAGGGCGCACCGGACGAGAAGACTCGGAGAGGCAAATTCCCGGATTATGTACCTATGTTCGCCTTCCCTAACGATATTCAAGTCGTATCATCCGACGAGCGCCCGCGAGCCACGTGGCACGGCTTCACGATGACATCGGACGACAACTCCAAGCTCTACGGAATTACCGTGATAGTGTGGACTGCGTTGAGCTCCGACGTTGCTGAGCAGGTCGAGAAGAAGTGCGAATCGTGGAGGCAGAAACATATGTCGGATGAGGAGAGAGAACTCGCCGCTAGCCTGGGAGCCCGCCTTGCCGCCGAGCGTGCGCATCTTTCCCAGCTTCTCGCGAAACTTCCCACAATCCCCTCTGGTTCTCCCGCTAGGGACGCCCTTGACGATCAGATCAGCACCGTGGAGGAGAAGATCAGTCTCATGACGGAGATGTTAAGACCACTCAGGCATGGAGCCGCTTCCAAGATTGACGGTCTCACGGCAGGTGACACCGGACTATGGACACCACGGGCTTACGGCATTTTGGGCCGGGATGTGACCAAGATAACATTTTGGAAGGATTGGCTCCGGTCTATCATTGTGCCCATGACCGACGGTGCGGTATTGAGGGTCCCGCCGAGCTCACCCAAGGTTGGGCGTTGGCAGCCGCTCGAACATTACGTCGTCAACCTCTGCATCGAAGCTGTCAGCCCCATCAGCTCCAAGACCCAAGTAGAGCTCGGTGTCAGAGAGCTTCGCCTTTACTGTCGCAAGGAGGCAGTCAACGAGCTACCGGGCTCGCGAAACATCGACATTTACGCGCTTTTCAGGTGCCTGTCCCTTGAGAATATTGTGGCATTGTTCGAGTACGCCATGTCCGAGTCGCGGATCATTTTTATCTCATCTTACACAGCGATGCTGCACCTCGCATGCCACGCCCTTGTCAACTTGCTGTATCCCCTGAAATGGGCTAGCGTTTTCATTCCGGTGTTACCTGCAAGACTTCTCTCCGCGCTCGATGCCCCATGTCCATACATCGTTGGCATCGAGAGGCGGTACGATAACATCGAGCTCCCGGAAGACGACTACGTTCTTGTGGATTTGGACAGAGACACCATCGACGCCACGTCGCAGCCCCATCGTCTACCCCGGCAGCATCGCAGAAAGCTCTTCTCCTTGCTGCAAATTGCCGCGCCACACAAGTTGCGATTTGGAGTTACTACTGGCGCCCCCCCTTACGCCATTGAGGCTTTCCCCTATGATGCTTATTCAGCAGAGAATGACGGCGTTTTCAATACCAGTCCTGCCCCTGCAACAATAGGAAAATGGGTGTCACAGAACTCATCTACCTTCGGGGAGCCAGATCAGCCGAACACCATCCGGAAACCAATCTTCAATGCTTTCTGTCATGCCAAGCCTGGTTCTTCAAGATCCGACAGGCCGACGACAGCGCGATCCGGAAAGACAAGTCCCAACTCTTCGGTCTCGCCGGTGTCGATGACATTCCCGCCGATGCCGACCACGCCAACCTCACGGACTGATTCAGGATTCGCGGCGTCCGGTACTCTGAGGGAGAAGCGTTCTGGCCATTTTGACACCAAATCGCGACGTAGTTCGTCCTTTGGTATGGAACAGCACCCTCCACTCCACAGACCCAGCATTCCGGCTCTTAATGGTCACTCTCAAAATCTCTCTGTCTCATCCACCTCTGGGGATTCTCAGTCATCATACCACACTGGCTACGCGCCATCCTCATACGCACAATCGACAATCGCGGCCTCGACTGTCATGCCCAACATGCTTGTTCAACCTGTCGAGAACACGGATACGACAGTATGGGTTGAAGGCCACTGCATGGAATGGAATGTTGCAGAGCGTGATTCAGTCTGCGACATTTGTGACGAACGGTCCGAAGGTGATGGATTGTTCAAATGCAAGGGCTGTGGCAGTCTCTCTCACAATCGCTGTCTGGGTTTCGTCTGTCTTGTCTGCCCTGTCGCCTTCCATGCCGACCGTGTCCGCGCCGCCTTTGTTCGCTGCCTTGCTAGCTTGCTGTATACCTATAGGAAGTACATGAGTCGGCCGAACAAGCAGCAAAAGGAAGCTGGCCAGCTATATGCCTTTGATATGAGTGGTTTCATTAGGAGCTTGCCGTATGACCAACAGGAGTATGCAACAATGATGAAAGATACGCAAGGTAAGCAAGAATCCGGGAAATCAACCGAGAAGCCACAGCGAATCATGCTAATGAAACAAAGCTTTCAATGAATTCATCCACGAGCGAGAGCGGCAACCCGCGAGCCATCCTGACAACCGACTCTTTGATGAGATCCTGGTTGCCAAAAAGGCTCGCGGTCGACCGATGCTCTCGGCCGGCATATCGCGACTGTCAACTCTCAGAGCGAGCCACGGTGTCTCTGGTGGCTTAGCGCCCTCGAGGCAACCCAAACTTACGGGATTCATGGCCGACACAACAGACCACATATGGAGAACAGCAGCTGTCCCTGTTCCCAACTCGAAATTCCAAGGCGACTATCGGTCAATCATCACGAGGATTCCCGACAAGCTTGACCCGGCTCTACTCAAGGAGCCGCGGTCCATCGCTGGTGCGCCGAAGCCTGAGCCGCGGGGCAAGGGGTTTTTAAGGAAAGCAATCGGGAGTAGCAACAAGGCCTGAGTATTCTCAAGCCATCACGACACCCACCAACCAACCAAAAATGCTTGTAAATCATCATAAAGGAGAAGACAATCCTTGTGCGGGCCTCACAAATGGGTTTCTGGGAGGCAGCGCCTACCCTCTGAGAGGTAGCTACTTCCAATGGTACTACAGGAGGATACAGCACCCAGTTCGGAGAGACCGAACGCTCTGAGTCGTCGGCTAGACAGTTATGGTCTTGAAGAACCTGGTTGGTCAATCTGCATTGCATGAGAAGGTTGTTTGGATCAGAGCCAGATCAAGAAAACGGCATTGTGATTTACAAAATGCTATGTACAACTAGGTGGTTATTTTAAGAGAGGGAGGTGGGCTTTGCAAGGCCGGCACGGGGACCGCCATCTGTTGAATAAAATGCACAATCAGGCAGGCTGAATCCTGGTAGTATGGCAGTGTTCAGAACCAAAGGAGTCCGGTCATTTTGTCAAATGAGCGTCAATCATACATCATGAGTCTATTTGTTCCCTAGTGAACAATCAAGTGATATAGCACCACGCTGTATCACACTCATCCATGGGTTCACCTTTATTCTCGTCCGTAACTCTGTCATGTGACATGCCTGGTCCCCAACTTGTTCGTCGCAAGATAACCCCTCTGGCCCATCTCAGTCCTCCACCCAATGCCCAGGATCCCAAACAGTATCTTGCCGTCCTGCTCCTCGACGCCCGCCCCGCCCTCCGACTCCTCGATCACAAAGCACACCTGCTCCACCTCGCCCGGGTGCAGCACCGGCCGCGGGGACCCGCCGGCCTCCCAATTGCAGTCGCGGTACGACAGCCCGGGTTCCAGCTGGAGGACCACGCGCTCCAGCTCGGTGGTGTCCTCGGAGCAGTTCTCCAGCTGCGCCTCGAGGACCCACCTCCTTCTCCTCCGCCCGGAGCCGCCCTCCTCACTAGCGGGGTCTTTGTCCTCGCCGCCTCCCTCGGCTGGTGCCGCACCGTCACCCTCACCATTCTCCGGCGGCGGCGTCGGAGGTGGCCCCGCAGCCTTGCGCGCCGGCACCGCCGGGGCTGGCGCCAGCGGCGACGCCTTGGTCCGCACGATCAGGCTCGGCTTGCAGATGAATTGGTACAGCTTGCGGAACGTCCGCGTGCGGCCGGACGTGTCGGTCGCCTCGTAGTACGACACCGTCACGCCCAGCACGTGGTTGCCCTCCTCCTTGAGGTCGAAGTTGACGATCCGCTGCAGGGTCCGGCCCGGCTCCAGGTCCACGCCCGCGGGCTTGCCGTCGTCGTCGTCATTCGCGGCGCCGGTCTTGGGTGTGAGGTCGAGCTTGGTGACGGCTGTCGAGTTGGGCGTCTTCATCTCTGCTTCTATGCGCACGTCGCGGATGTACTTGCGCTGTGGTTGTGGAGGTGCTGGGGCGGGCGTTGAGCCATCTTCGCTGAGTTGTGGGGGCGCTGGCTCAGTGGCGGGCGGCGCCTCGTGGTTGGCGCATAGTGTGCAGCTGAATGTCTCGCCTACGTAGGCGGACCCGAAGCTTGGTGGGAGGTTGAGGATGGGGCTGAGGAGGAAGGGCGAGGGGTTGGTGTCGTGCGTCGTGCTGTAGGCGAGAGAGGCCGGTATTGGAGGCTGACGAGGTATTGCTGATGGTGATGCGCTTGGAGTTATGGGATGCTGGGCGACTAGGGACGGTCGGGAGAGCCTGAAGAGTGTGAGTTGGGCTGTGGAGTCGCGAGGCTGGAGAGTATTGGTGGTTTACTTACCGTAGGACCTTCAAGGAGATTGAGTGAGGTTCCTTTACAGGATCGTGGGAGGCATAGCGTTGGTGGCTCATTTCTGTGTGATCATGAAACGAAGCTCATCTGGAGAGAGTGTGATGTCGAAATTCTTTCCGGCACGAAGTAGGTCTGAGGAGGTTGCTAGCCATGGTAAATCCGCCCATGAGTCTGGCCTACCTTGAGGTCATCACCACTCTCCTTATCGATAAAAGCTCCGTGCCCCTGGACCCCTATCCCAAGTCCTAACCCCGCAAAAGAGATCCGCGAGGCTACCCCCACCCAATATTTGGGGGAGGAGGGCTGCTCACTCACATCACTTTTCCACTTCGTTCATTAGCAGGAAGTATCATGGCGCATGGCCGTCTAGGCCTGTCCCACTGTCAATACAAAGGGCCTTTCTATCATTTACCTGACCTTTCAAGGCATTCATCTGCATGAGGGGACCGAGTTGTAGAAGTTGGCGCATGCGAACCATTTGCGAACCATCTGAGCAGCCACACGCCCCGGCCAACAAGGCCATGAGCAAGCCAGGGCGACCTCGCTCGAACAAAAGGCCTGATCAACTCATGAGATGGTGTGTGGCACAAGGAGTGAGCCAATGCCACAGTCTGCCGCAATGCAGGTCATAAGCAGCAGATTTCCGAAGTCTTCCTCCATCCGGGCGATCATCCTGGCTCGCCCGCCTTGAAAGAGATTACCAGCAGGAACTTGCAGCTGCCGAGTGTCATCTGGCGAACCACCAGCGGAATACGGCAGGAAGGCGATGAAGGTGAGGCTCAAGCAGCCCCTCTTTCCGCCTGCGATGGAGCCTTGTGGTGCGCAACGCAGTATAGCCGCAAGGAATAAATACATGGCCAAGGCATACTCGGCCAGAGCCTCGCGCTTGTGCTCGACATTCCCAAAATTCCTTGGAAGATCACTGTACGAATTCCGGCAACTCAAAATTTAAACTTTCATTGGCCACGCTGGGAAAATGGTTGTCCAGATCATTCACCGCTACAGGCTTACCCAAGATGCCTTGAAGAAATACCTACAGGAAAAGTTCCCAGGCTCTGTCATCAACGTTCAGGTAAATCGAGACGGCTGCGTCCCCAGTATGCCTTGCCCCCAGAGTGCCAACAGAGACCAATCAAGGAACGAGATGACGACACATACGCGGTAGAGCTGCCGAAAAAGCTGTCACAGGTGTGCTTGCCTTTGCCCGACATTATGTGCTAGATACAGCCCATGAAGTCTTGCTAAGCCTTGAAAGGACCAAGAAGACGATGTCGAGAATCTCCGCAAGTGACACGAGAGGCCCATCTCGTTCGAACTCGGTATTTACCAAAAACGCAGCACGAGGTTGCGATGTGGCTGGGAGCTCATAGGGCATTAAATGTTTTTACGGTGTTTGGAGACAGCTGGGATTTTTGGGGAACGTTCCAATGGCCATTTTCCCTGTAATTCATGTTTTTCTGCTGTTGTTTTGGATTACTTGAAGCTGAGCCAGCATCAGACACTGGCTGCGTGACGGTCAAGGCTGTGCTTTAGGGGCATTGCCGGGTTTTTTCAGCTGGAGACATTCCTCTTACGGGTTGTTACACAGTCCACGTCTCGCTACAGAGGCCTGCACAAGAACCCTGCAGTCAGCTTTACTGGAGGAGTGGTGGCGGGTAGGTGGCGGGCACACGCGCACTCCCACTTCGTGGCCTGAGATATAGCCTGTTATTTTTACACATCTACTGACCACTTCGAATTTGGTGTTTCGCAATTTACGATCCCGTGTCCCAGCCCTATGGGGGTCATTGCCTCATTCAAGAACCTCTTATTGTTTCAACAACCTTCGATTCACATCGCGATGACCCCTTGTTCTTGGATGGTTTCACCGGTTCTAAGCCATGCTGTTTTGCGCCCCTAGAGGCCCTGACGCCGACCTCCCAAATTCTAGTTTCCAGGTATAGATGAGCCTCAGAGTAAGATTGATAAGTAGGATGAGATCGCCAGTTATGTGAGTAAATGCAAGCCAGGACACAGCCGTTCCCAATTCAATTCACCAGCGCAAGTCGTCATGGCCATCAATATGTATGATCAGCTCGTCGAAGCCTGCCGTGAGGCCGAGAACTGGCCTTTGAACCTGTTACGAAAGCAGCAGCTAAATCGAGTTCTCTGCAACTACCAACAGAGGCTACATGCGGACGAGAGTCGGCTCTTGGATACAAAACGAGCATCTGTGGACTTCTGGGAAGCCCCGATCGGCTCAGCGAGTAAGATATTTGACCTGAAAAACGTTGTGATAACACTTTACTAAGAGCTGGAACAGACTTCCAGGAGACAACGATCAAAAGCATTGAAGAACTCATCCAACACTTTCATAAATACCTCCTTAATCGTATCAAGGACCCAAAAAGCCGTCACGTGTAATGAAAGACCTAGCCATGATTCTCGGCTGCAAATGTAGCTGACAAGATGTTAGATTTATCTCCGCTCCTCATTCATGGGCAGCTCTAAGATGTACACCACAAATGCTCCACTACCTCTGCAGTTATGAGCAGGTGTCGCCAATCCTCATAGACGTCTTGGCCTCCTTTGGAAAACAGCGAGCACCCCTAGGCTTTCAATCTGCCTCGTTCTGCCAAGATGATTTGGCAAAACCAAGTCAGTCGTCTCTCGTTGCAATCCCAGAGGTTGGCAGATCAGGCTGGGAACTGAGGCATTGCTACAAGCTTCACGGCTTAGAGACATCGAGTCCCAACACCAAGGCGAAATGGTCCATGCGTCAAACTGCTGTCTATCATTCATTCGATCTGGAAAATGGCCGCGCTTTTTGGCTGACTGTTAAGGCTAATAATGAGATCCGGGACAGGATCATGGAGGGAACTGAGTCTCTTGAAGCCATGCGAGCCTCTAACTCTTCCGGTCTGGGTCCGTCATTCGTTGCCTGCCTCAACACTCATCTCATTGCCTTTGATTGGTGTACAGAGGGCTGGCGGTGGCACTTGGGCGACATCGAAAATGATGTAAGGGAGATCCTCGTAAAAGTCAAAGGCACGCCAATCGAGCCTTTGGGCGATGAACTCAATTTCACACCTCGGCTGATCAGCGCCGCCACTATGCCGTCACTGAGAGACAGGGAAGGCTCCATGATCTCGAGACAGAACACTTTGCCGTCAGTAAATGGTCCAATTCAGGCCCTCAATGCAGTAAAAGCTGGACTCACAAACGTGCGCGGAACATTGAATGCAATGGTAGCAGAAGCCGAAGTCGAAAAGAGCCAAGAGACAAACCCGCCTAGGGATGTTCAAGCCGACCAACAGGAGAAAATATCGAACCATTTGGAAAAGTTGAAGACCTTTTCGTTCGCCGAGTTCCAAAGATTGAACTTCTACACCACAAAATTGCAAGAAGCAAAGTTAGCAATGCACCTCAATCTCGGGGTTTTGAGAGGTACTCGAGAATACTATAAGCAAAGATATCAGTCAACTCAATTCCCGTCTGCGATCAAGGACTTTTCCGAGATTAATGGATCGTATGAGAATTTCACTCAACGAGTCACAAGTCTCGAACAGGACCTTGAAGCAGACATTGCGAGGGCTGAGGCCCTCATCCTATCCATTGAGGATGGGAAACGCTTAGTGAGTGTTTGGGTCAATGAGTAGCATTCTCTTGAACAAGATCAGCTAACCCGGCTCTTAGTACGATTCAATTCTTCAGTCGTACAATATGGAGATAAATAGACTCTTCACGCTCAGTGGCCACGGAATATCTGAGAGGATGGAGGATTCCGCCATGCGGATGGAGAAAGTCACAGACAGCATGCTGAAAATCGCACACGCGACAGCACGAGATTCCGCATCCATGAGCGCAATCACATTTGTGACTCTAGTACTACTGCCAGGCACCTTCCTCGGGGTAAGACTGGTGACTTCACAAATGAAGTCGACCAATTCTCTGACATCTGACCAGACATTCTTCAGTACCCCAATCGTCAATGCACCCGAGGACAACCCTCAAACATGGAACATCAACTGGAGTGTCTTTATGCTGTTTCTAAAGATATGTATCCCAATGACGGTTCTTGTGATGCTTATATGGGCCCTGTACATGACATTTGTAAGGCGCAGGAGATTGAGGCTTGGATGGACAGGGCCTCAAGAGGGAGGGATTTGCTGATTCGTGAATCTTGGTTGGAATCTACCGTCAGCTTGTAACCGAGTTTCTTTCCAGTTGTCTTTTCAGTGTTTTTTTCTCTTCCTAGCTGTTTTTCCGGAGTGGACTTCTACTTTGTTATCGAAGTTGGTATTCGTTGGACTTTTACCGCATCTAAGGACTGCTGCAATTGGAAATATCTGGGGCATAGAACGGATCATTTTGCATCTCCAATCGCTTTTGAGATGAATATTCTCGCAACTGTCAATTTTTGAATTCTTCATGATAAAAAGAGGGGTCAAAAGCTAACTCGCACCTGAGATCGCTGCCTGAAAATGATGGCAGATCAAACAGGTGGTCGTTCAGAGTGATTGGAAATATGTCTTCGATTGTCGGTCCCCCTATTTCTAAACACAAAATTTTATATGTAAACAAAGAGACTGCAATTTAATTATGGATTATGAAGATGTTCGTCGGGAGTCGCGGTATAGCCCGTTTCATTGTGGGCGCCTCCAACTCTGGGATGATGTGTTATAATACTACGCCCTCGGAGCTACTCGCCTCTGTTCTCGCTACCTTTCCCATTCTACGAAGCATTTCAGAACTTCCTTGTTCAAATAACTATGAATTCGTCAAACTTTGAACTTGTGGTGGTAAAAGATCGCAAGGCTTGGGGCTTACCAAATGCACGTAAGAGGATTTGGGATCATCTCGTCCGGCAGGTGAGCATACATTCAAGTTCTCCTGAAACGAACAGAAGGCAGAAAATTGCGAAATCTCCTTGGAGGTCACGACGGGTAAGTATTCATCAGAACAGGGTCCGAGATACCAGGAAAACAATGCACTGAACGTCTACCTGTCCTCCGTCAGGGGAATATGCAATTCAGCTAGCAGCAAGTCTCCGGTTTTCACTCTGCATTCAAATCCAGCTTGGGCTGTAAGATCCCTACGAAATATGCTGTCGTTGACTACACCACCTTTAGCCGACAACACTGGTAGCCTGCTTCTGGGGGCTGAGCTTTGGGTGCCCATGGGTTGCCCATGGGCCGCATGTAGTGCTGCACCCAATGAATGCATATACCAACCCTCCACGAAGGACCCGAGTGTTGTTGGTACAGCCTTCATGGAGGCCGCCTTCTGTTTCCATCTTTTCAGCAAGGCAGACTGGTGCCAGTTGCCTGTGTTTTTATACTAGGCTTGATGGGCGCATGGTGCAGCACCCCAGAAAATAACTTCAGCCACACGGAGACTGTGGCAGTACTCGCATTAATATTTATCAATCACCCCCAGGAGCGCCTGACTCGATGAATCCCATTGTGCTATGTCTGCCTGTCACCACATGTTGTGTAACTCAACTTATGGTGGGATAAGGCCCGGACCCACCATTTCAGTTGTCGGTCAGCACCTCATCCCCCCCGAGAACCTTGAATTGTGCACATTTTGGGATATGAGACTGGAAAGTCTCCGCTGAAACACACGAGGACCTTTAATTTTCTGCCCAACTCATATTCCCTTGTAGTAATCGAAACGAGCAAGATCGACAACCCGCGCTGTTACTCGACAAGACTGCTATCGAACCTTGACCACTGCGCTGGGACGATCTTGTTCCCCAATTCTAAACCGGCATGGAGCCACAGCAAGGATATCATGGGGAGAGTAGCTACGACCGCTTCAGAGTCCACATCAAGGAACACCTTGAAAATGGATACGAGGCTCAAGGGTCACCCGCTAAGTTCGCCTCTAAGTACTGTCTGATGAAGTACTGGACTGTGGACCTCGTCAAAGAGATCGTGTTCGCTACAGAAGACATCGACTATCAGATCGTTGAGATCCGCGAACAGTATTTGCGCATATCCTCCATTCTTGTGTGGATATCTACGACTGGTCGATCATACGTCCGGTACCTCAAACACTTCGTTCGAAATGGTAGAGACGACAATAGCTTGCCATTCACGGGACGCCCGGACTTCTTTCCCAACGCCAATGACAGCGAAATATTCTGGACAGCTTTCTTCGAGAACCAATGGATGTTCTGCCCGGTCCAGCTTGGACCCAATCGCTTAAATAACAGAAATCTGCACGCGAATCAAATATTGCCACTCACCATTGGCGAAGAACTGGGCGCTCAAAATATCGGCAGACCAGCTAGTATTCACCTTGCGCATGCATCAGAGATGCTTGCGCGGACATATCCGGTAACCTTCCCATGTTCTCCGTAGCATTCCAATGAGATCCAGCTGACATTCAAAATTTTGCAGACGGACTGCAATCTGGTACTCAAATCATATGGCAGCTTGCACGAGAGCAATTATTACAACGAGATCAGGGCCTATAATGCTTTCGACAACGCCACGCCTTGCGAGAACATAGTGAAATGCCTTGGGAGTTATCAAGTGCAACCGCTTGCCCCAGGAAGTGGATTGAAATTCACAATTCTACTTGAGTACGCGAATCGGGGCTCGCTTCTAGAGGTTTACCAGAAAAACGACCCGCCCTTCACATTTGCAGAGACAAAGGCTTTCTGGTCGAATCTCCTTCAAGTAGCAAAGGGGCTCATGGTCGCTCAAAATACGCCGCCTAAGAGGACTGGAGCTAGCTGGTATGTTCTTGAGTTTGATCGTCTTTGCGTCCGGCTTACTGACGAGCTTTCTTCACCAGTGTTCATCAAGATCTCAAACCGTCCAACATACTCGTTTTTGGCCGTGAAAATGTTTCCTCATCTGAAAACGACTTGACTTTCAAGATCAGTGACTTTGGGAACAGTCATACGAGAAGATCAGCGCCAGACGATCCAGGAAGACTTGGCTACGACAATGGTAGTACACGAACCTACTGTAAGTAGCACTCTCGGCATTCTTCCGGTCTTCCGATGGTAGCTGACACGTTCCAGGCCCACCTGAACTTCACTGGAATCATGAAGTTGATTTTATCGTAGGTCCGCTTGTGGATATGTGGTCCCTCGGATGCGTTCTTATTGAAGCTGCTGTATGGATTTGCTTCGGACAGCGCGGACGGATTGAATTCCAGCAACGACGTCGGAGCGAGAACGGAGAGAATGCTCCCACACAGCAGGGCCTAGGTCGTAGCGACAGTTTTCATAACGGCCACGCACGGCTCAAGACAGTCGAAGACGTCCTCGATCTCGTCCAGAGACACGGCCGAAGGTCTGATGAACTCACCCCGAAAATCGTCAGCCTTGTCCTACAGCATCTTCTTGTCCATGAGAACTCCCGATACGACGCAAGAGTCCTCTCCAGTGAATTGGATAACATGATTAGGACTACCACTGAAAGGCCTGGCGACCATCTTTTCCGCAGTATCTCAGCGGCATCATCAGTCTCCCAGAGTCACAGAAGTCAAAACATCCGTCATTCGCAACACGGTCCACCCGGTGATCCACAAATGACATTCGCAGGTCCCCAATATGGTACTCAAACACCCTCCACAACGATCAATTTGATGAATCAGACTCATGGATCTTTTACGGAAAGAGCCCCAACTATGAGCACGATTCCGGGCGGAGATTTCAGCGTTCACAGCCCGAGCAACCCTGCAGGACCATGGGACCATTACGGTGTGTCTCAAACCTCACCCAGCAGGGCCCCGGGTGAATCTTCTACCACGTTGCCAGAATCGAGTGCAATGGATAGTATACGTTCCGCAGCAACTTCGGTGAATGGTTTTGCTTATGAAATCCATGAGCGCGCACAGATGGGGGCGATCGGTCAGGGGCACAGTCAGCATCATACCGCGCACGCGCGATCCTCCGGTTCACCGGGGCCAGCTCCGAGAGCAGCGACGACTTTGACAAATAGTTCCAACTCTACGGTCACTCCTACGCAACCCAGCGATCATAAAAGGACCACCTTTCCACACCTCGCCATGGAAGACGTGGATGCGCGAAGAACAGAGGGTAACGCTCCAAAGTCCCGTCGATTGCTACCAGGCGAATCCGAGGCAATGAAATTCTTGAAGAAAAGAGATCATGTGAGTCAACCAAACACAATTGAAAGCAGACTTGTGAGAAAAGCATATGTACTAATAAACGGTGGCAAAGATTCTCATGATCGATAACTCCAAACACATGCGAGAGTTTAAGGTCCAAGTTCTGAATGTTTTCGCTAATCTAGCCCACATCCTCGAAGCCGCAGATCCAAACGGACTTGATGTGATTTGCACTTCAGATCCTGGGAATATGCAACACAACAGAGCTACAGAGAGACTGGTTCAATTTGTGCAGAACAACTACGACAAAGGTGCATCGTCCCCGTGCTACATTGAGCCAGCACTGAAGATTCTGGTCGACAAAATCATTAGCAAATTACCGTCTGGGCCAGGTGAGAAAAAGGGGCTGAGATCTTGGATCAAGAACGAAAGTGCTCGGCCTATCAGCATCTATGTCTTGACCAGTGGTGTTTGGGACTCCTCTCCAGGAGCCCGAGATGGTCCTTGTGGTGCAGATCGACCCATAAACCAGCTCATTACGGAGCTGAAAAGACGCAATCTTCATAAGAACCAAGTAGCATTCCAGTTCATCCGTTTCGGGGACTATGCGACAGGCATAGAACGACTGAAGTTCTTGGATAATAGCCTGGGGAAGCCAGACCAGTGAGTAACTCACCAATGCAGACTTATTCCCCGACCCATGAGATTTAAACTGATGATATCTAGTGATATTATTGACCACAAACCTAGTAATGGTGGAGTATGGCCTATGCTTGTCGGAAGCCTTGACGAAGGAAACGACAGGGAGGATGACACTTGATCCGGTGTCGTTATTTGCAGCGTTCAAGAACCGACCTGAGGAATCTAGCTGGCCACTCAAAGAAAACAAGACCTCGAAGAGAAGTAAGCTTCCTGTTCCTTTCATCCACACAGCTGAGTACATATATATTGAACAATCTTCCACGCACAGAAAAGATCTCAGGGTAGAGGTTGACATGAGACGATAGCAGCATGCATGGACAATAAGGGCTGTGAGAATGTGCGGACCACGGGTAGGGACTAGAATGGGGCCCTCAGCCATGAGTTTTGCGGCGAGCCTCGGGGCAGCAGAACTCAATGGGAATCGAACAGCAGTAATTACCTTGACTAATCCTGTTGGAACGATGCAGAGATTGGATGTCTGATGTTAGGCGGCAACTCAGTGTTCCAGAGCAGCATGGAACAAATACTAGATAACAAGCGTTGGAATGCTCGTTCAATGAGCCTGAGCCACATCAGTGATGTCTGTGTAACACTGATGGTGGGTTTTTGCCTGGAATACTGTATCAAAGCTGAACTGGGGTTTGATGATTGAAACCTACGCTCTAAATATATTGACTACTGCAGTGCAATTTTTTGAAGTACAAATACGCTTTGTAAAACTTGATGATAAAGTCTCCCAGAACGGAAATCGGGCTTGATTGTTGGCTTAGATGTGATGATATGCATTTGCACTGAGCCCTAGTATCTCATCTGGCTGATCGCCAAAGCTACGCTTTAAGGCGCATGGTCATGATGAATCTGTTCAATGCCTTTGTGTCCTAGTTATTTTCTGAGACAAGTTCCCAGAATTATTTCTCGTTGCACCTAGACTACGTGTCAGCAGCAAGACTTTGTTCTTGATATGGTCGCCTCCTCCCTTGTCCACCGTCGAATTCTTCCTAGCTGGCTTGACCCTACTGTGAAACAATCTAGACAATCTGGATGCGTGCGTTGCATGTCGTCATTCTTTTGATCTGACATGATTTCTGTGTCGAAATAGCCACGCTGCTAACCAAAAATGAGGTTTCTTGAATCGATTTTAGCAACAAATTCGCTTCAGAAGAACTTTACGCTCAAAGCACGCCTTTTCGTTTTGTCTCGATACAAATTGCAAAGGAATTGATTTTCCTTTTTTTAGTAACTACATGTCCCAGCGAATAGATAGATAAATAGATACATGTGTAGTCTGGGACAGCTTGATTGAGTTATATACCCTCTATCATTGCTCTCTACCCTTTCCCTTCCATGGCCTCATATTATTCCTCCAGAGCCCCATTAATGCTGAACTAGAACTCTGGTCCTGTGGCGTATCCGGAACAAGGTTTTCTGAAGGAGACCTGGTTCCAATGATAGAGGCACTGCCCCTTGTCTGTGGCCAAGAAGCCGACATTGCATCGCTCTGTTGGTCAACAAGAAGTCCTTCAGATTGTGACACGCCGGTGCTCTCGTCGTGCCTACCTAACAACTTAAACCTTTTCGTTGGCCGACAGGGCATACTCTCTGCTGCTATAGGGACAGCATCTGTGATATCCGGCTGTGGTTGGAGTGGCCTCTTCAGTGGCCGCTGAAGTTCCTCGATGCTATGAGTCTTGACTTGTTGACGATCTAGCTCCGTGTCTGAAACGGACTGAGAAGATCCACCCGCAGTGCGTCCAGATGAGCCAATACTCGATCCAAGACCGCTATCGTGGAAGCTAGCCTCAACTTCCTCCAAGTCCTCTTGTGGCTCACCCTGTTCGGGCGGCCCATGATCTTTCCATCTCAGGGGGAAACGCCAGCTATGACCAAACAAGACAGCTCCTTGGGCCGGTAGAATTCTTGGGCTTTTGAAACCTCGACCCCAAAATCCGGGAATTGACGCTGGGAGTATGACTTGGATGCGATCATGTTTTCTGATCGATGACTTTTTGCATTGACATTGCTCAAAAGCCTTGTCAGGAGTATGCCAGTATATCTCGTCGATCAGTCTCCACGGGCTGGTGTTTCTACTACCCCGTTTCTCAATAATCTCTTGTAGGTCAGACGTGCAGACTGCTAGATATTCTTCGCCTTTTGGCACCCCAATATTAGTGAGGCAGCCGAAGCAGCTGTCCAATGCTTGGGTTGGCCGAAGAAGCTCCCCAAAACCAGTTCCGAACAACGTAATGGCATGAAGAGCCCTCGTGAAGTCCATCCACCCTCGGCCGCGAGCATTGATTGTCGTCACACGCGGCCAAAGCGGATCTTCGTCTGTTGCTACATCCATGAAGTCGAAGCCTTCTAATTGGCGGCGAAGAGTGTATTTGATGCGGAAACCAACGCCGTCTTGGGAGAAAACGTCAGCTTGGTGTGACATGATTTGCTCCAAAATCTCGTAAATATCCTCAATTCTGTCTTTCAGCGAGTAGTTTCGTCTAGTACTGCTGAAGATCTTTGTGCGTGCCCCAGCGTCTGTCGTTGTTTGTTCCTCTTTAGACTCGGTTGGTTTGGCGTAGATAGGGAGCGATGTGTTGACTTTGTTCGTTAAAAATCGAATTGCCGCGTACTTTCCCACGAAGGGATCAGATGGTTCTTCAACAGAACTCTCATCAAACAGGAAGAGGTCCTTAAACGGGTCACTCTTGTCGTGCCTGAGTGAGGCTCGTACAAGGTGCAACAAAGCACTCGCCCCGTTCAGCAGCCATGCTCTTCGGTCCCGAAGATCGTACAAGACTGCGAACTTCTTGGATATCCATTTAAGACGCATGACATAGTCATCTCGGGAGTGAATATGGACAGCCTTATCTCTCTTCCCAATGATTGCCGTTACTCCGGCAGTAACGAACTGTCCTCCTGTGATAGAGACTTTATCAAAAGCGCAACCTGCACGCGGATGACCGAGACCTGACCACCCAATATCATACGTGGCAACTTCAGAGCCTGCTCAAGATCAGCTAAAATTCCACTGGTCATTCATAAGAAGGTTGATTTTGGGAATCGCGTAGATGCATGAATGGAAGAATCAAACGATTCGCGAAACATGTGTATTCCACGAGGTCAGACGCAAAACATCTGATTCAGATCCATTGGAGGCACTCAAGCAAATGCCGGTCAAGACCCATACATTACCAACAAGACATTGATCAGGTATGGCTGCCACCACTGGCTTGCTGAAGCTAGTGACCTCACCTAGCCCTAAAGTGCCGGAATTTTTTTGGATAGGGAAAGACAATGAAGTAGGATCATACACACCAGCGAGATTTTGAATGTTGTCACACCAGCCTAGGATATGTCTGCTAGTCTCTGGGATTTCGGTGCTCAAACCTGGAGGATAACTTGCCCAGAGCCTTCGAATCTTATGATCGGTGTAGGACATATACTCGCGATTCAAATTGGTGACGAGGTGCCAGTGGATAAGACCTTCCTGCAGTCTTGTTGGCAATATGACTGAGCAAAAACCCTTGATGCAGGAAAGTCCTTTGAATCGGCTCAAGCGTCGAGAATTTGCGAGTGCAATCATAACGGCTAATGGCACCTCCATACCTGTATGATGCTCCACCCTACGGGCCGTGGGATAGCCTCTGACATAGACAGTGTTGCCCAGTATGTTTGACCAGCAGTTTCCCGAAGTGGTAGAGCGTGGGCCTACAGTATCGCTGCTTTCTGTTCCCAGAGTTGAATAGATCTCGCATTCTGCAACAATGTCGGTGCCGGGCCGTATAGGTCTGCCGCCGTTCGTTATTGGCTCAAGTACAGGACTTGATACACGAATGCCGCTTGGGAGGTCCGATAAGCTGAGCGCAGCATGTAGCCATGCTATAATCTGTCCAATCTCGGCAACAGAGTACACTGTTCCAGTGACCGTGAAAATCACACTGCCGAAAACACCATCTTCGGCGTTTCCTCCCTTGGAAGGCAATGTCTCTATCCGCGTATCGTCCGCCATCACACCTGTTCAAGGTCTTGCATTAGATCCAGCTCGTAGTACATAAAAGGTAAAGAAAAGACAATCAGACTGAGTCAGTTTTCAGTAAAACCCAGAAGTTCGAGAAGTCAGGTGAAAGGAGGGTTTTGATCTTGACTAGATTACCTGGACAAATAATATGGGATACTCACAGCGACACGGGCCACCAGTTCTCTCTGTTACCATGTCCTGGTAGAGTTTCAATATCTCTGGGCCATAATAAGGCCATACCTGGGATATATACTCCGCGACTGTCAAGGCTTGAACATTGTTTCCAAGACCTGTGAGGACGAGAGCTCTCGGGAAAGCCTCCCGTGGACAGATTTCGTAATCTTGGTAGCTAAAGAACCTCGTCATTGTCCATGATGTATGAAATCTTACCTCAACAGACGGTGGAGCTAACTTGCGGCTAATGGTGTATTTTCGAGCATCTAGCATGTTGACGATGGCCTGAGAAATATTGGCGCGACGATCCTCGCCAATGGTTTCATGCTGAAGCTCAGAGGCTAAGCTAGAGGCCAGCCAGGAGTATGCTGGTGAGTTGATGAGCACCTCTCGATACTCACGCAGTTCGGGGAATTCATTCTCGTCATTCGAGATGTAATCATCTATGATTTCTCCATCCCTATCTGCTGGAGTCATTACTTGTGGTATAGTATCCCGTTCATGTTCCTTTCGTTCCCACAAGGACATCAGACCTTCGAGGGGCATGACGTCGCTAGCGGAAGGAACAAATGTGTTTTCAAGATTTTCTTCAAATTCGAAGAACTTAAGTAATGCTTCCGTGATTTGACTAAAAAATGATGATTTAATTACGATTCCTCGAGGGGTGAGCTAGAGCGAAATGAAGAGCAACAAAATATGCTTCCTAAGGGATAAGATGAGTGGCCAAGGCTGGAGTGGCTGCCGGGATACTTTTCAGATCCATTACTGGCTCTGCCATACCCTATGAGCTTGAAAGATGGTGTTTGAACGCCCAGAACGCTAACAGGGAAGGAATTGATTTGCTTACTGCCGATAACGATGAACAAGATACATCAAATTCTGGGCGATTGGGGATGTGTCGCAGAATCCAAGCTTAACAGCAAAAGCTTTCAACAGAGGAGGTAGAGTCGAAGATAGTCGTGACAACTCCGTAGAGGGCAGACTGGTTGGAAACATCCCACTCAATTCCTCGGCGAATTCAGCGACATAGCGAACAAGACCACTATCCTGGAGGCTTTGAGCGCCAGAGTAGGTTGTTGAGGCTCCATCCGAGGTAATGAGCCGAGGCCTGGCAGATTTCCCTGCGTGAGTCGTATGCGACAATGCTTGCACAATTGAGCTTTCAAGCCTCGGGTGGCTGATCGAGCCATAGCCAGAGTCGCTCGGTGCAGATGTATCCAGCAAAGACGGCAGAGACGGCTGGAACGTCTGAGTCTGGTCGTAGGTAAATCCGCCGGTCAACGAGTGGTCAAGTAGCTGGTTATTTAGAAGATAAGGCAGAGGGGGTTTGTAAGAGAGGGGAGGGGTAATGTGATCAGAAGCAATTACTGCGTCCAGGTTGCCTACGGCATGTATTTCACGCTGTGCAGAAAAAGGCGATGGTAATCCAACATTGGATGGCTCCAGAGAGCTATGCGAGCGGTGGTGTTGCCAATAGGTTTGCGATCTGTTAATCTCAACAGGTTGTTGAGTTGTATAATTGCTGTCTGAAGCAGATGTCCAGGGTGATGAATCGGTCGTGTGTATCAATTCAGGCAGTTGAACATCCTTTGTTTCCACGGAATCTGTTATAGTCGGCTGAGTTTCAGTAGCGATTGAAACCGGTACGTGCGGCTTTTGAGATGTTAATGTCTTAGCCGAGGATGACGAAGGTTCCCCATCGAAGCCAATGGGGCTGAGGCTGTCGCGCCGGCTCCCGCAGCCTGCGACCTCACTCGAATATAGTGAATAGTGTGAATAGCCCCCTGAGTCAAGTGATGAACCGTTGCCTTCTGACGGCCAGTCAATACCATGCTCTTCTTGTTCACTAGAAAGCCAAAGTCAACTTGAAATCAAGACAAATTTTGCCTGGCTACTGAATACGTACTGCCGTTGTTGGTGACGTGCTAGTAAGTCCGGTCTATGAAAAGCTCTGGTGCAGCCAGGATAAATACATGGGTATTTGGGAGTCTGGTGACTCAATTGGTGCCTCCTGTAAAATTATTAGAAGTGGTTGTAAGTCGCCCGGAACCGTCTGACAAACCGTAAATGCTCAGACCTGGTGAAAGTCTGTGTTTCGATTTAGCATGGAATATTGTTACGAAGCAATATGGTGTTCACCTTGGGAGGGTTGCATATATCGCAAACATGGACTGGAACGTTCTTCTTGGCCCTAGACACACGCCCAGTGATTGGAGTAAGTCGGATAGGTACCGAGTTGAAAGATTCCACCAAAGAACCCGATTGGTTGTCAGCAGATTGACGTTTCTCTGAACTGTGATCTTGAGGATTGTAACCTTGAGGATCCATGGTCTTGGTAGAGAATCGAGAATTGTGGAAACAAAGTCCACTGCAGCGATGAACATATCAAGGCGAAAATATTCAAAAGAAGGCGCTGCTTTGGAGTACCAGAGGATGGCAGCATATTAAGTACTCCTTCTTGCTGTGCTGAATTTGTTTGCGGATGCGCTATGCGTAAGCAGACTAGAGGCTACATGTCTGCGCCTCTGAAGTCCTTCCAATAGATGACCCCAGTCCCATGCAGCATGATCGCACACTCGCAGATGAGCGAGGCGCAGTGTGATACAAAGAATGCCCTATCACTGCACGAACCCACCGGGGAAGCGCCAAGAGATGGTATATAGCAAAGCCACACAAGAACCGAGAAGAAGCGTCTACCCTAAATCTTCAATCTAAGGCAACTGCAGGCGCAGAAATTTAGCAGCTCAAGTCTGCGTATTCAAGCCCGATTGAAACTTTTGACGGTGCTGTATCCAGCCGCGTCTAGAATTATTTATGCAATAAAACCAACCTCCCATCATTCCTTTTTTGTCTGTACACATGGAGGGATGTATCTACTGATACAGATATATATTAGACTTTATTTATCCATGATGGAGAAATAGTGAGGAAGCCGACTTTGATATTTTCCCTGTGTTCTGTTTTCTCATACATGATCCCGATTCGTAACCTTATTGAGGATATTCAAGTCTTCCTTGAAGCTTTGCTCAACTTGGTGTTGGGGGAGAATGAGGCATCGACCATCCGGCCCCCCCTGCGCCTTTAGTAGACAGCGAGAACCATGCTTTGAGAAAAACAAGACATTGTATTTCCTTGTTCTTGCTGAGTTTGTTAGACCATGCCATTCTTTATAGGCGTCCAGCTTTACATGCTGGAAGGCTTCCTCGAGCATGTGATCATTAAAACAATTTATTGTAAAAAGCGCTGCCGGCCCGCGAGAGTATGCTAGAACATAGGCAAAGCTTGGGACTTTCCAAATAGAGACTCTGGTTCATTCTGCCTGCATCAATGATCTTATTGATTTTTGTAACGATCTAGAGGCTGCAATTAGAGCTGGGACAACGACATAATTGGCCTGTCAATATTCATCTCTGTGTTTCAGCCAGAAGACCGGCAAATGCTTGGCGGGCCGTCCCAGCGCTCATAGACAACAAGAATTCCTAATTCACCTGTTATTGTCATTATATAAATGGAGGGCTGCTGATTCATGTAGATGAACTTTTGCGTTCTCAGTTGTTGTTCTAGGCCCACACTACTTTTCCAGCTTTCATCCTTGTCCTGAGCAAGCTGCAGAGGAGGCACATAAACAAGAAGTCTTGCCCAAGTGCTCTGAAGCAAAATTACTCCACATTCTTCACCGGTAGCGTTCTCTCTCAGGCTTTAGGGCTGCCGATGGTGTGTGAAAATGAAAAAGCTCGATACCCCGAATTCTAATTCCACTCATTTCCCCCCCCTCAGACATGTCTCGACAATCTGAAGCTGTACATACGTAGGAAACCGTCTACAACTCCTGAGATCCATGGATAATCACATTGAGTCTTCCAGGCTCGTCAATGTTTCGAATGAACCACCCACATGGTGACAGCAACCTCTGTGGCGGTAAATCTCCCATCATCCAGCTTCTTTAGCTACTGTCACTTCCACTTCCTCACCTCAAGCCTCAAGGATCCTCATTAGCGCCGCGTCTCTGCGGCCTCAAATTCCAACAACTCCCCGGCCCTTTCCGTTGCTCAAAATTGTCGATCCGTGGATTGAATTCACTTGTCAAGGGCGTTCTCGAAGGCAACAAGAATCCGCTAAATCAAGCAGTCGAGACCGCAAAGAACTGTAACAGTCCTCAAATTAACGATTTGGGTGTGCTCAATGCAAATGAATGCTTGTTGTTTGTGAGTGGTATGCTGAAGTGGGCTCCAAGGAAGACTTGTGACGGGAAGCTCATCTACAACGCAATGTACCTATTCTGCTTTATCCTTACTCAAGATCCCCCCAACAACCCTATTTTCTCGACTCAGATTCTCCCAGAATCTGCCCACAAGTCCTTTGCTCCCTTGAAGACTGGACAGTCAAGTTCGCGTAGAAGGTCGGCGATTGGATGAGTACCAGTGGATCTATTACAGAGCAAGCTAGCCAATCCATCCAGATGTCACCCAAATACAACTATACGAGGCCGTGGTGCCGCCGGATGGCTGGCAGAGCTTCAACCATCTCTTCGCTCGGTATCTCAAGTAAGACATGCCTCCAATCAGCGCGAGCAACTCAAATAACGCCAACTACGACTGCGTCGTCCTCTACCCTGCCGACAGCACCTTCGACGAAGAGGAGAACGTCAACACCAAGGGCCGGGAGTGGAAGATCAGCGACGTATTGCAGTCGAGCCAGTACGTAAGCCACTTCAAGGGTGGGATGTAGATGCACGCTTCTTTCAATACATACGACTACCACAGGCAGCACGAGCACGTGGGTAGCACGGTCATCGAGGCCAATGTCATCCCGAGACTTGCCTACCTGCAGGTCGGGGCGGACAGTGACACGGGTGGGTTGAAGCTGCGCCACAGCTACGTTTTCAAGGAACCGAAGGCGAGCGATACACATGAGCTCTTTGACACCCTCGGCATGACTGATGAGGCCGGGTGCCAATTCCTTCCGGGCCGCGACTGCGTCATCATCAGGAACGAACTCCTCGGCTACGTCGTAGTGCTGCCCATCGCAATGGTTCAGTTCTTCTCTGTCAAGCTGGCCTGGGAGCCTAAGCAGGGTGGAAAGTACCCCATCCACCCAAATGTGAGGATTGAGAAGGGTGGTGAGATCTCAAATTTTGAGTTCGGCGGCTCTGATATTGTGCTGGTCTTCCGGGAGGATGCGGAAATCCAGATTCTAGAAGCTCAAAGCATTGATGCCACTAGCAAAATCACGAGCAAGCAGAAGTAATTGGTAGGTATGCCTCTTGGGATACTCTACGAAGGGCCTGTCTACCATGAACGGCAAGCATTGAGAAATGAGCAATTCTTGGTGGCGGGGAGCTCGTTTCCATCAGTTGCGCAGACACAAAGGGTAAATTATCACCGCTAAGAATACGGTTAGAGTGATCAAGATTGTGATGTGTCTTCTCACCTCACTGTTGTCCACAATTCATAGATCGCCCACTTCTCGAGGCTTCTATGTAGGCTACTAGGGGAGGACGACGTATGGCCAAACTCACATGCACAATGATTGTTTATACCATACAGATGTCTATAAATCAACAAACACAGATCAAGATTAGCACTCAAAGAGGGTGTACCCTCATGTAAAGTTTCTAGATAAGTGGGCCAGCCTTAGAAAGAGCCGGACGCTTTGACATACAATGAACCAAATATCTTTTTCAGCGCACCTTCCCTAACGCCTACGCCATGCCTGAATAAGACAAAATACCAAATCAATATATAATTATGGTTCCTCGAGGGCGTGGTACCGCTGGTGCGCAGGTATCGCGAATACGGGCAGGTAATGACCGCACCTCGGACAGGCCTGGCTTCCATCTTGGTCACCCCAGGCTTCCGATTCGGACTCCGAGGCGTAGTCATCTTCAAACGCCATGCCATCGTCCGCCACCGTGAGACTCGGGCTTGTGCTTCCGTTCCTTTCCTCGCCCATGTCTGACGGCTGATATACCTTCGGCTGCGTCTCGTAGACCCTGAACTCGCGCAGGACCTCATCCTGCCTCTTGAACATCTGTGAGATGTCTCGCCCACTCCCAGCTGCGTCCTCGGTTGCTGTAAGTGTCATGTTTGCAACGCAAATATTGATCATGCCGATGTTCCAGCCTTCGGTCTTGTCCGGGTTCAGCTGGTAGAACATTGGCAACAAGGCCTCTTTTACGAGCCTCTGGACGATGATCTCGTCATCAACGTCTTGGAAGACGAAGGTTGGGAGTGGTTGACTCCGGCTAGCTCGACCCCAGTTGTAAGGTATGCCGTCACTGGGCGATGTTTTTGGGCGTGTTGATAATCGAAGGGTCTTGGGATGGGCTAACCACTTCCAGCGCCTCGAGCCATCAATCAGCGGCGCGGCGTCTTTCACCGTTTCTGGTTCGTGAGGCTCAGTCAGGTCAACGTGCATGCGCCGCAGCAGAGACGCCGCAAGCTTGACTAGCTCCCGTTCGATCTCTGTGGGTATGTTCAGCCCGCCATTAGAGCCAGGGTAAGTATCCTCGATTGAGATCTGTGTTGGGATGTTGCTCGCAGCTTTCACCTCTGTGTCATCAACTCCGTGCAGAAGACCCCACACCTTCTCCCCTATGCCTTTCTCCGATCCAGGACGACTTCCCAGTAACTTTTCGAGCATATGAGGCGAGACCTCTTCTCGAGTCCTGAAAGCCCCTACCTTCACAGCTGAGCCATTGACGAAGGTATCTGTATCTGCGTCTCTTCCAAGAAAGTAGCTCTCCAGCGTATGTGTGATTCTGCCTCCTATTCCGGGAACTTGACGGAGGCCGTGCGAGTCCATGAAATTGAGAGTCTCGTCTTCATGAATCGAAATTAGAGTCGTCTGATTCCTTGGCTTGTTCACGCTACCTGCCAACTTGCTCAGGACCTTGTTGGTTGAGATGCCACAAGCGGATGTATAGCCCTCTTCTTCTATCTTGAGGCGAAGATACCTTGCCATGTGAGATGCAAGAACAAGTTTAACGAACGAAAGATTTTCGTGATTATCTTCCCCATGGCCACTGCCAGTAACACAGCCGGCGATGGCGGTAGCATCAAAGCTGAAGCCCTTTTCTGGGTCATCCCGGGACAGGCAGAAGAATGAGTTCGGCAACGCATTTCGGTTCAGAAGACCGACGTTGAAATCGACCATGTCGGTGACATCCAGGAAGACCTCATCCAGTCCAAGGCGCTCAACTTTCTTGTTCCACGAATATGACCTCAAAAGACCATAAAGCTTCTTGGAAACATCCCGGAACGCGGACAGGTCCTCGCCGTCGGCAAGGACCAAGTCTGGGCAGAGTTTCTTGGCATCAGATATGAGCTGCAACTTCCTGACACCGCGCTTCCGGGCCTCGTAGTTGCATGTCGCTAGGATGCTCTTCTGCTTGATGCCGAGGGGCAGAGACTTCAGCGCAGGCTGGGCATTCTCGACGACTTGAGCGTAAAAGCAGTCGTAATCCTGGGGGATGTCAGCCCGACGGCTTCTGCCGAGATTTTAAGAGGGGTGGATCCTCACGAAATGCAAGATGATCCTGTCTTGCTTCCTTCGAGGCGATCTCTTCTTCACCGCATGTTCCATCGTGTGCTATCGTATACGAGCCTGATTCTGAGCCCCATGACGTTGTGATGGTCAGCAGGTATCATCCCACCAGAGTTATTCTGAAATAGAGCTAATCTGAGAGCATCGTCGTGAGAAATTCACGGATTGTTAGCTGTTGGTGAACCAGAGACGCGCCGACCTGGACGCGGTTGAAGAGATGTGGGGGTCTCTGGGAGTCACCTTTGCTGACTCATACACTGATCGCTTCAGGGGGCAAAGTCTGGCCTCCTCTCAACACCCATCCTCCATCTCTGGGTTCGCAGATGCGGATGTCCCGTTGAACTCCCTCAATTGAGAGAAACAAATTGTAAAATCAAATATCCACAAGTACAGCTCACTCAAAAATTTGGCACAATCGTGCTTCTTGGAAACTCGGCCGCCCCATACGATGAGATGAAATGAGACGCTCCGATAGACTGAGACCGCGGACATTCAAACACACTCAATGCCTTTGTTGATGGATTATCGCTTCTTTAGAAAAATTCTTGAGGTTTCGCTCTGCAGTCTGGAAATTCAATAAGTTCCTGGCTTCTGGCTATTCATGCACTTTGGTCCTCGAAAGCCCCATTATGCCAGCCAGAAAGTATATTAACCATCTGTCCAATTAATTCTACTATCCACCTGCCTTTGTCCTTCTGCGGAGCTTAGCCTATAAATCATTAGGTGAGGTGGCTTTATTGTAAAATTGGTTCTCTGATCACGTCTTTCGAAGCCAAGATAAATAGGCCCAGAACCTCGTTCAGCCCTTTTTCCATTGTATCATTTACCTATTCGGGCAGCGACGTGACTATAATTGACCCCTTCGCTGAGACTTTCAAGTAATTTTTGGGCTGATACACCGAAACAATCCCGTTACTATGATGCACATACATTGAGGCATTGCCATCCTTTGCAGCCCCTCCCCTTTTTATTTTTCGCTACTTAGCTCACTTGATATAAAGTCATGACCTCCAGATGAGCTGAGCTATGTGGCAGTTGCGACATTGGGTTCTGCGGTCCCACTCGACGCCACTGGGACTGTGACAGGTCCTCCGGGCGAGTTCGCGTTGCCCGCAGTTAGGACCTCGACGCCGGTCTCTGTGACAAGTAAGGTGTGTTCTGTACATATTTTAGCGATGGGACCGACATGCGAATTGATTTAATTCTCGTACGCACCGAACTGAGCGGCCCACTTGCCATCAACAGTGGCATTTGTCCAGTCATCGGGCCAGTAAATCTCACGAGGTTTCCCAAGCGTGAGTATCGGCTCGATTGTGAAAGTCATACCAGGTTTGCATATCCCAACGGCCTTGTTCTTGGCATAGTGCGGTATCCATGGCGGTGGGTGGAATTCAGTATTGATACCATGGCCTCCCCAAGTAGCGACAACATTGCAGTTCCTGGACCGGGCATGCTTCTCGATGACTTTGCCGAAATCCCGTATGGGAGTACCAGGCTTCACGATTTCGATCGCCTTATCTAAGCATTCCCGTGTTGTTTCAACTACGCGGACTGCGTCTGGGTTGGCTTTTGCTCTGTCGCCAATGTAGTATGTCTCGTTCAGATCGGCGTGGTAGCCCCCGTGATACAAAGAGATGTCAAGGTTGAGGATATCGCCATCGAGAAGGACTCGTTGATCAGGTATCCCATGACAGATGACTTCGTTTGGCGAAGTGCACAATGATTTGGGGAAATGATTGTAGTTCAAGGGTGACGGATAAGCCTGTCAAAGTTAGAGTCATATAGAGGGAGAATGTAGTCACGCTTACATCTCGCTCTACGCAGGCTCTATGGCACACCTCGTCGAGGTAATCTGTGGTGATGCCTGGCTTGAGCTCTGCGGCAGTGATATCCAGAACTTCCCGAGCCATTCTGCAAACCTTTCTCATCGCTTCCTGTCCCTTGGTGTCCAGGATATCAATCTTCAACCTATTGAGACGGTTCTCACGCACCGGTATGCCGGCCTCGGCCCAATCAGGGCGTTCTATAGATTTAGGAAGGGTGCGCATGGGGGAAAGGGGATAGACCGGTCGCACGGAACCAGTAAAGGGAAATACCGGGAATGGATTATGCAGTCGGGTAACTGAAGTCGGATTAGAAGTAGAGCATGAGAGGCGGTATGTTGCGGATGGTATATTGTATCTTGCCTTGGTGCGTCTTGTGTAGAGCTTTGTGAGAGCTCTAAGGTGCGCGATCGATCAGTCTGGACCCTTAGTATGAGTTTGGGGCTATTTGGACAAACCCAGTTCTTTTTGAAACAATCTTGGGAGCAGAAGTAGCTGTCCTTGACGTCCATTTTCAGGCATGTTGGGCATTGCAGGCCGCCGGCGTCATTTCCGCAGTCTGCCCCTAGACACTTCCGAGTGGCCGGTAGATTGTCGGCCATCATAGGTTGCTGTCATGTGTAGCATGTAAGAAGTGTAGATGAACCACAAGCACATTGCAATGGAAGACTGGGGTTGATGTTGGAAGTCTCAAGTTGGTCTACATGTGTGAGACCTGCCTTACAGGCGCGCCCTAATGTCATCCTGTTAAGGGTTTAGTCGCGTTTAGGTAAAATTGTCCAAGGCTCAACTTTTTCACTGTACCAGCATAGCCAGGGAAGTTGCGTAAATCAAAGTAACTGATCAAAATAGAGGAAATCTTCAAGCAGTAAACTGGCTACAATCATAAACTCATGCGACTGAAATTTCAATTTGGTAGCTGGTGTGGAAGAGCTGGGCAGGTTGATGTCTGCCGGGCTACCGGGTTATTCTCCACACCCCTTCCTCTTCTGTGCGCAGGCCAATGAAGAAGAAGAAGGAGAGTTGCATATGTACTAGACCAGAATCAGAGAAGCAAGTTGTGGTCGGTAGTCCAGTCATCGGTGATCGTCAAGCACGTTTGTAGCACATCGTCGCTCATCCACACAGCCATGCCTGGACTATCAAACAGCCCTGAAAATGGCTGTGGGCTCACAAACTTTTGATATAGACCATGTCTTTATGGTCTAGCGACTGGGACAGCCGGCGAAAGAAGTGTGGGTTGTCATTTTGATGTTCTGTGTCCTCTGGCCTCCGACGCGTGTGTGGTGCGAGACTGGCCGTTGCGTGTGGTGGAGAATGTGGCTAGATGGTGGCTGACATTTCACGGGGGATGTCTCCGTCTCCCGGCCGAGGCTTTGGTTGATGATTGTCGTGGGCTAGCACGGAGTAGTGGTAAGACCTAGACGCAAGGTCTGGACTAAATAGCCGCGGTGGATAAGCGTCTGACGCCCGCTTAGTTGCGCCAACATCACGGACTTTAGATGACTGCGTGTTCCGGGTCAAGTGGGCTGTCACTTGATCCTTCAGGAGGGGAGACATCGCTCCGCAGCCACCATCATCACCGCCTTTTGCCGCGGATCCTGGGCGCTCGCTTCATGCCTGTGCTGCACGCAATCGAGTCGACGTGACGTTGGGATCCTTTCGTCTCAACCTTGGAAGCGGACCGACAAGGGCCTAAACCCGTGCGGGGCACATGGAGGGTCGAGCCGTCGACTCATTGCTTCGGACGAGACGATGGAACCCCCTCCACGATGGGAGCAAAAAGGCGGGAAAAGAGGAAAAGAGGAGCCTACGGCACCAGAACCCAACGTGTTAGTAGACGCCATTGTGATCTGGAAGCAAGCAGGATGCATGTAGAGGCCGTGATTGGAGGGTCGTCCGCCCGCCTCTGCATGGGGCACGGCGCTTACGGCTCGCACTCTGCATCGGCCTAAACCGCATCCAACCCTCCCTACAGCCAACCACATAGTCTCGCTGTCACGACGACGACGATGCCGAAGGTGGGAGGAGAAGGAGGAATGGAGACGGGGACGGGGAAGGGGAAAAGAGGAGAACAAGGAGCTGCACCCACGGCAGACACGACAGACACGACAGTGTGGAGGTGCTTCTCGGGGCCGAGACTGGTGCTGCTGGCTTGGGCCCCTGGTCTCTGGTCTCTGGTCTCGTCGACCCTCTCTTGCTTATGTCGGCCTGGTCCTCTGTCTCGACCTCTCCTAACGCGTCTATTGTGTGCTTCTCCGTCTGTGTGTGCATTAGCCTGACGGCGCTTCCATCCTTGTAGTGCCTTGAAAGACGGCTTGCATGCTTCTTCTTGTGTCTCCTCACGGGCGAGATTGCCGCCAGTCAGCCACTCACCCACTCACCCATGCTTGTTTTCCTCGCTGTTTCCAGTACTACGCCTGTATATAGCCGCCGCTTCTTCGCTTCTGCATATCAGACTACTGCGACTCTTGTCCCAACAGTTCCCCCCAGAAACCTTTGTCGCTACTCTTTCTTGCGTCCAGTTCAGTTCAGTTCCTTGCAGTCCAATTTTGTCTTGCGACAGGACAGGACCTGGAAGCCGTGGCTTGCGCTGTTACAGGGCGATGTTGACCGTCCTCGGCGGACGGGGCCTCTAATGTTTCACACGCAAAGTTTCGAATCAATCACACCCTGTTACCGGTTCCTGTTACTGCGTTTCCACTCACACTGCCACTGCCACTTCTACTCCTCTTAAAAGCCAACCGATCCCTGGCTGCCGCTGCTGCTGCAGTGTTTCGTGTCCGCTTCGTCTTTCCCTCCACGCATCCAGCATGTCGGCTCACCAGAACCCTCCCAAGAGACCAAGGCTGTCCCTCCAGATCAAGACAATAGCCAATGGTCCAAACCTCCGCGGCTCCAGGACCGTGGCAGCAGCAGTCAACCCGACCTCGCCGACTGCCTTCAACACCTTGTCCAATGTCTATGTCACGGCCATTGACCGGGCTACGCCTGTCACTGCCATCAACACCTCGAGCCAGCCTCTGAAGATACAAACACAGGACCTCACCAAGGAGCACAATGGCAATGACTCCCATACACCATACGCACCGACTTACCTGGACACGCCCATCACGGCCCAACCACTGTCGCCAGGAGCGGCAGCTCCGTCGATGCAGTTCCCGAGCACAATGACAGCCACGCCACCCCTGTCATCCGGGCCCGTCGACGACAACGACCCCAAGCCATTCTCCTTCTCGGCCGCGGACACGGCCGGTGCGCCTGCAGAAGCACCAGGGGCACAAGGCCCCTCATGGGCACCGAACTTCCCGCCATCCTCCGCCTCGACGCCGACAGGCGCCGCGCGGCGGCGGGCCACGCTGCCCCTCAGCGTCTCCAGCTCCTCGGGCGTGCCGCTGCCCTACGTGCGCAACCGCTCCCTGCACAGCATCCTCCGCAACTCGCCGCTGCCGCCGCCGACGGCCAAGACGCCCATCTCGCCCCGCCGCCAGTCGCTGCGGCTCGCCGAGAAGGCCGCCCGCCGCGTCGGCTACGGGAGCCCCATCGAGCAGGAGATCACCACCAACGAGTACGTGCGGTCGCACATCGACCTGCTGGCCGAGGAGGTCTCGCCGCGGTCCGCGACGTCGCCGTCAGCGTCCACGGCGGCGGCGGCGGCGGCGGCTGCGGCTGCCGGTTCTTCAAACGACCAGATGGTCCTCGACATGGCCATGGCCTACACGGGCGACGAGACCCGCGACGGCGGCCAGACGCCCGGGCCGTTTGAGGAGATGAGGCGGCGCATGGCGGGGCTGGTCACCAGGACGCCGACGTCGCCGACGGTGCCGGCCTCGGGCGGGTGCAGCAGCCCGGCGGGGATCCGGAAGAGGCGGTCGAAGAGAGAGACAAAAAGGCGATGGGTGTGGACGATCGGCACGCAGGAGGACGATGCCGACGACAGGGAGGTCGGCGGGGCCATTGCCGCCATGCGGGCGGCGGCCAGGGCGCAGGCCGAGGCCGAGGCCAAGCCTCAGCCACCTCCCGAAACCACCACTGGCGCCGCCGCCGCCGCCGCTGACGCTCCGGCCGTCGTGCCGGAGCCAATGGCACAATCGCCAATGGAAATCCCGACGCCTAGCATTGAGACTTCAGACGAGGCGGCGCAGGACGTGGTCATGTCCGAGTCCGAGGCGGAGGCAGAAGGGGAGGAAAGGGACGACGCCAACGCCTACACGCTGGCCGTGAGCACTGAAATGGAGGTCGATGTGGCGACGCCGACAGTACCGCGCAAGAACATTAACGCCCACCTGAGTTCAGTGAGACAGGACTCGGAGGGCCTGTTTAATTCCGAGACGGGAAGCAGGAGGGATTCGCCCATACCCGCGCACCTTATCTCATAAACGGACAGAGGTAGAGGGAAGTCTCAGGAGCATTGGTGACTTGATGTCACAGAGGCGTGTTGGATTTGGCAGGGTGTGAAGATATGCAGACATTTTGTACATTGGAAAAATTGAGTCTTGTTCCATAGCATGTCCTGGTTGTTATTCCGTTAGCATTTCCTGTTTTTCAGCATATAGCAAGCGAGCATCACTGCGTTGGGACGGGAAATCCTGTAGTTAGTTCATGGCGAGGGCCGGGGAACCAAGTGTGATATCAGGCTGCAAATGACACCAGGAGAACGTATTCGGTATTCTCCCATGTTCTCGAGACGAGTCTACGATCTAACAGAAATGAAGTGCACGTTGATGACAGTAGTCTATTCTTTCAATCTTCGTTTTTGTGATCTTGTGGACTACTTCAATCGCTAGGTTTTGGAGGGCCGTAATGGGCGAGTATCAAGTGGGGAGATGACCAATCTGATCTTGATCACCATGTTGCAAAGAGCAAGTTTTGATAGATCCACAGTGTCGACCACAGCCGTAGCAAATAGCCAAATAGACATCCTAACGCAAGCCCTAGTTCCTCGAAACTTCAGCGCGGCTCTACCATTTTGAAATGCTGTCAACCAGCCTCAAATCGTAACTCGCTTCAAATCGCAAACCGCCACATCTTGTGCAGCTGCCTACAGCCCAGGTGGAGGGGGCATCTGGGAAATGAGTCAGTCTTGTTCACATCGACGCAAGAAAAAGCAAAGGGTACATACTGCGTTGTAGCCAGGCGCTCCCGGGGGAGAACCCGAGGGTGGAGGGGGCGGTGCGGGATTGGATGGTGGAGGTGGCGGAGGGGGCTGGTTGTCGGGTGGAGGAGGTGGTGGGGATGCCGCTGCACCTGGTGCACCGGGCGCACCAGGGCCCTGCTGCTGTTGGGCTTGCGCCGCGGCCATGTACTGCTGGTAGTACTGCACATATGCAGCGTAGCCACCATAGGCAGCGTATGGGTCTGCGCCAGGGTTCTGGGCGTAGTACTGGGCGTACTGCGCCGTGTAGTCGGTGGCAGATGGTGTGCTATTAGCACCCGGGGCCGGCGAAGCAGACGAAGCCGCGGCTCTTGGGGAGTTGTTGTAGTTGTTGTTGTTGTTGTATCCGTGGTCCCTGCTGCCGTGTCTGTCACCGTACCGGTCGCCATGCCTGTCACCGCCATATCGATCGCCGCCGCCGTACCGGTCTCCACCTCCGTGCCTTTCGCCGCCATTGTAGCGGTCGCCACCGTAGTGACCACCACCACCACCGTAGCTTTGGCGTGGCGGTCGGCTCTTAAATTCCTCATACTGCTCCTTGACATTGCTCAGCAAATCCTCGCAGAGCTCTTTCGCTTGCTGAACCATCTTGGGATCGGGACCCGCGACGTGGAGGTACATGTCTTCCTCGGCCTCACGCCCAGTGGAGTTCTCAATGTATCCAGAGCCACGTCCCTTGATCTGCACACGGCATCCTGTTTCTTGTTGGATGTGCTTAACGTAAGCGCCTCCATGGCCGACTACCTGTGCACGGAGGTTGAAGCCAGGAACGGGATCAAGGTCGATAGGTATCTTCTCCTCGGGCCATTTCCGCTAAAGCAAGTCAGCAAGATTCGGATTTCAACAGGTTTACCTTGCAACATACTCTGCCGAACTCGTCCCGCTCAACCTGCTCCTGCTCTCGGCGGCGGAAACGTCGCTCATCAACAAGCTGAGGGAGTTCTTGCTTCATCATCTCCTCGATCTTAGCGACGGCCTGCTCGAGTCCATCCTTCGAAGTGCTGGTGACGTGAAGGTAAAGTGGCGGGTTCTAGAACACGTCCGTTAGCCTCCATCTCTACCCTACACTCTGGCGTACGTCTCTTACAGCTGCGGTAGCCATGCTCTTGTCGGGATAGTAGTTTCCTCGGGTGGTGACATCTTGGTGAGAATAAAATCGTCAACTTCCAGTCTTCAAACGACGAGTTACTGTTTAGAATTTGGTAGGTGGTAGCATACCGGCGCCGGTTTCATCTTTAATCTAGATCAAGCAGGGGAGGTCAGCAGCGGACACAGAGATGGCCTGTATGGAAACTGTCGAGCTTCATGTGAGCAAGACTGTCCTCGCATACAGTGACAGAGTGGGTGAGGGATTGATGCAGCTGTGTCTGACTGTGTATCAGCAGGAGTGACCAAGACAAGTATTTACCATTTTCTGTGTGGACCCTTTGGTCAAGAGGTATCGGTTGCGCAGGTCGTTGACTTCGATGTCCTTGATGTAGTCTCCATCCGCGATGTACATGTCGCCATTGATCTGGTGAGCGGTAGCTGCAGGCCCGGAGTTGCTACCCGAGGAGGTTTCGGAACGGATTGGAGGTACGTCGACATGCTGGATGCCTTTGCGCGCCTGAAGTTGAGCATTGATCTTGGCCGCGGCGGCAGCTACTGATGTGTTAGCACGGTCGAACGAGAGAAAAAAAACATGGCCGGGAACTATTGTTGCTCTGAGCCTCACCTGCGGCAGCTGCTGGGTCTACTGGAGACTTCACGGGAGATGCGCCGGTGTCTGGGTCCCTGGACAATGGGCTTCTGTCGCGAGCCGAGTCGTCCTTGCGAGCCGAGGGAGACCGAGAACGTCGGTCGAATCTGGAGGCTCTTCGAGGTTCAGGCTCCTTTTGGTCGAAGCGGGATCGCTTGGCGGTGCGTCGCTCTGTGTCATCCATGGTGGGCGACTGGATTGGCGGCAACCATGTATGGGTAGCCGGTGCGGTTCTGGAGGAAAAGTGGTCGTAAGGTCGGGACGTGGGTTAGAACCTTAGAAGGCTGGGATCTTTTTGTGCAAGGCTCGGCTTGGTGGAGAAAAACGCAGTTAGCAAATTCTAGATCCACCCCATCCGTGAGGCAGGATGTCAAGACCCCTTGCAACCCAGGTCTCACTCATTCAATAATTTCCCAGAGCCATTTGGTGACAGGCCAAGTGAAGTGAGTGATCTGTGTTTTAGTTACAGGTTCTGCACTGGCACGTCATTATGTATGTAACGCGCTGGCACTGTCCGCTATTTCCAGATGTCCCCGGCCAAGGAATGTACCCTGCTAGGTACTCACCCACTGTTAGTCAACGCTGAGAGGTGCAGCGCGTAAACAATACCGCACGGTTCTCAAGCTTTCCTGTCTCTATTTCCTTCTCTGTGTACAAAGAGGCTGCTGAATTCTTACCAAATTTCTGTTTTCAATACATCTCGTTATGGTCCGAACCAGACAGGGAACTGCTGTTCCCGCCAGAGGCAGTGTCTCGGACAATTCCACGCCCAAGGAGCCCAAGCCGGCGAAGAAGAGAGGCGCGTCTGACCGTGAGCCCCAACAACAAGGGCGAGCAAAGAAACGCAAGAGCTCACCTGGGCCATCACAAGATGCCTCTGGTCCTTCGGAGACACGGGAGGCTGAGGATCAGCAGCATCTTCCGCGCCTGACCACCCCAGATCTTGAATTTGACTGGGACAGGAGTAAACTCAAGGACCCGCGTCAGACTCCTGGGCGGGAGAGGCGTCCACGGTATGACACTTATGACATACCTGCAGAGTTGGCTGCACGTCGCCCGCCATCTCCGGAGAAACCCAAGGGGCGCTTGAATGCCATACAGAAAGACAAACTATTTGATGAAAAGACCCGCAGAGATCCGGCCGAGAGCTTCCATGACCTTTACAAGTGTCGTGATAAGGGACCTAATGGCTCCCCGACCTATGACTCTGCTGGGTTCCGACTGGATTATGAAAAGGTCATGAACTGGTTCAAACCCGTCCGGTACAACAAGAGCCGGATGATAAATGGCATGGACAGAGCCGTTGCCAGGGGCCAGTCCTTGAATGACCATATGATGCAGGCTTTTTTCGAGGAGGACCTGGTGACAGTCAAGGAGATATCCAAAGAGAATGTATTTGTTCTGGATCTGGTGAAGGACAGTATCTCCAAAGATCTCGGGACCCCCCTTCACAAAATTGACCACGCGGAGATCGATATGTGGGAAGAGAAGGGCTACAAGAAACACAAGGTGGAGGATTGGGTGACCTACTCGGACGAAGATAAAAAGAGGTCCATGAAAATGCTCTCGGGAGCTAGCTTGCGAGCATAGCTGTCCCCGGTTGTATTATGTATTTTAGCATAACCAGGCTCTACAGCTGATTCTGTTCAGTAGCAGCCAAGTCAGACAGGTCAGAAAAGAGAGGTCAGTTGTGCCATGCAAGAACAGCTGTATTTGACATTACTCGTGGGAAATTACTGTGAGAGAACGTATGTTTTCATTGAATACGTTTGCTCCTGAACGCAGACCCATACTGTTTGCTGGATTTGGTTCCTTCCAATTCCTCTGTCTTGACGGGCACAAATGGCACATCAAGCCCTCAGATTGCGCCGGATACCTGATCCAGGACCTGCTGCCCTAGAGTTCTCCTCCTGCCAGCATCACCATCGGCCCCCTGGCCTTGAGCGCCCGTCGCAGTCGCGCTCGGCGCATTCTCCCCTTCCAGCCGTCTCCTCAGACCTTCGAACTCCTGGCTCCTCTTCTGCGTCCTCATGCCGACCATCCAGCCGGGCAGCCGCCAAGTCGTCACCTTAGTGGGTAACAAGTCGTTTCTCCACGCGTATCCCACAACCCAGCCGATCGCGGCGCCCAATATCGACCCGGGCCACTGGAAGAGAGCGAGTTGCATCGCCAGAAAGTACCTGTAGGACTTGTCGCTGAAGGTGAGGCCTGCCGCGTCGTCGCTCGTGCTGGGGGACGACGTCGTCAGGGCCATGCGGTATTTGTATATGTGCGGGATCATGGCGTGGTACTGCGCTAGGATGGCAAAGATGATTGGAGTCGGTCCCGCTGGGAGGTAGTTAAAAAGGCCGCCTGTAAGGGGTCGGAGGAGGAACACGATGGCGGCGGGGGTGAGGACGCTTGTCAAGAAGCCGGAGATGACGAGGAAGGACTGTCGCGTTGTCCATTGTCAGCAAGTAGTTCGTAGTTCAGATCAAAGACTTGGAAGCCAACTCCATGGGAAGGCAACATACAGCGTATTTCCTCGATCCCCACATGCGCTCAACGACTCGCATGTTGTAGAGCGTCATGGCGGCGAAGAGCACCTCGGATGAGTTGGTGTAGCAGAGCTGGAATATGAGGGCCCGCCATGGTTGGTGGTACTTCCAGATGTGTGTGTCGACTAGTATGTAGAAATAATGCTTCAAGTCGAAAAGACTTGCCGCGACGGAGGAGGAAACGAGCCCAACAACGAGCGTTCTCGTCACGGGCGCATTTGTAAAGGACATCTTTCGAGGGTTGAGCTTCCAAGGTCGGATGTTACCGATGCATCACGGCAGGCAGGGCGGGCAGTCCAAGATTGGCCGGGCACTTCTCTGCCTGTAAACTTTGGTTACAAGCGTTGGAATCTTGCGACAAGGCTCAGTTGCGAATCAACTGCAATTAAACTTGGTTGTGGGTTACCAACGGTTCTAGATTTCCAGTGGTGTAGGTGACGCCGTCGGACGGAGCTGGGGAACATTGAAGTGGCCAGGATGTCAATCAGCCCGCGGCTCGTGTCACCAGCTCCCTCTGATCCCTGTCGAGCTGCAAATTCTGGCAGGGATCAGGGCAGGGCCTTGGACAACCGCCGATCCATTTGCTACAGTGGCTGAGGATACTGGGCATTTCCCTAACCTCCAGTCCAACGTCAACATCCTGATCTCACTTACCCGGCCTTTCGTAAGCTTCTGCGTCATCCTCTTGGCAGGAAGGCAATTTCTGAGTACAGCCTCATTGTCACTTTATAAGTCCTGATCATTCCTGCCTTGTAATAATAGAAGTGCCTGCTTGATGGAAGTTGGTCCTACCGTCTGCCGTCTTTCACCTCATTTTCCGCACACCTACCTCCCATCTCACCATGTCGGACCTGTACCTAGCACATATGCGTAGCTGGCTCCTGAGCTCGCCCCCGGCCGAATGGATTCTCAGGCAGACGCACGAGCTGCTCATTGGGGCACTCAAGCAAGGGCCGGTGCCTCAGCACGTCGCCTTTGTTATGGACGGGAACAGACGGTATGCCAAGAACCACAAAATTGAGAGCCTAGAGGGTCACCATCTCGGATTCGAGGCTTTGGCTAGGGTATGAAGTCACCTTCTGTCCACCATTTGACATCTTATCTAACCAGTCTTTAGATCTTGGAAGTCTGCTACAAGACCGGTGTCAAGGTTGTCACTGTCTATGCGTTCGCAATCGAGAATTTCAACAGACCACAGCGTGAGGTTGAAGGGTTGATGTTGCTGGCCAAAACTAAGCTCTCACAACTCATGCAGCATGGAGAGGTTCTGGACAGATATGGGGCCAGGATCAAGATCTGTGGAAAGCGAGACCTGATTCCAAAGGATGTCCTGGAATACGTGGACAGAGCTGTGGAGGGTACCAGCAAGAATACTGGGTAATACTACCAGGTCAGGTTTTCCTTCAGGAGGATGTCAAGCTAACTTCAGTCCAGTGCCGTCCTCAACATTTGCTTTCCATACGGCTCCAGGGAGGAGATGACCCATGCGGTCCGGACCACGGTCCAGGACTACCTGACAGTCCCGCCGCCTAAGAACTCAACGTTCTCTCAAACTCGCATTTCCCAGAGCATCAGGTCCAAGAAACTGGCCAGATCTGACACTCTTCCGCCAATCGATGAGACGCCCTCAGCAACAGAAACTCCAGGTCACGATGGTGATGGCGGCGATGATTCGGTCTCGTCCACAGCTTCAACGTTGCATCTGCCCGACACGCCCTCGCGGCCGTCCTCGTCACACATGACGAGATACCCAGATCCTGAAAGTATCACCACCGAAACCCTGACAGACCACATGTATACGGCTGGGGATCCGCCCCTGGACATGTTCGTCCGCACGAGCGGAGTAGAGAGACTGAGCGACTTCATGCTATGGCAGTGCCATCAGGACACGCAGCTCTTCTTCCTCAAGTGCATGTGGCCAGATTTCGATCTATGGCATTTTCTGCCAGTGTTGATCGAGTGGCAGTGGAGACAGAAGCAAAAGGAAAGGGACGAGAAGCCTCGTCGGGGTTTGAAGTCCCGTTGACCGTAGACAGGTATCGAGGGTCGGCGAGTTCGTGACGTGTGGCATAAATCTGTTTTTTCCCCCTGCATGTTTCTGCGGTCTTTGAAAATGATATCCAAAGAGAGAGACTCCGAGTCAGCGCACCTCATCAGTACAATTAGATAATGCATTGTGGTTTGCGATGAGACCCTTGGAGGAGGGGTCCTTGGTCTCACAAAGCTGGAGGGCCAGGTCGTGTATTATACGGTGCAATCCCATGCTTAAGAACTGAGCTTATCTCCTGCGATTATCAGTCGCCGCTTCGGTGCCGAAGGTGCGTCACTGCACAAATCGAAAGGCCCTTGTGGCGCTAGAGAGCTCTGGTGCTTCTGACCCGCCCCAATGCCGGCCGCTCGACACGCCCAGTCTGTTCTCGGTCTCGTTCCCTCTCTGCCCTCTCCTGTGCCTGTATTCTCTTCCCCTCGACTGCATACAGCCAGAACCACTTAAGCTACCGGGCTTCCTTTTCTTCGGAGAGAATGGCCGGCTGTGTGAACCTTTAGATCTTTGCGTTCTATTCTTATCTTTCCCAAGAGTCTGCTAGGGAACCGACAAACGTACACGCGCTGTCGCAGAGTGGGATCTGCCCTCCCGACTCGAAATCCGCACACCACAATTCCAATCCGACCTCTCCCACCTTTCTCGTCCCCTCCCTCTCTCACCTCCGCCAGCGACGTTCAATATGAAGACTGCGAAGGTTGTTTCAGGCGAATCGTCGTCTTCCAATCGGAGATCCCAACCCGTTCGCCAGACTCGAACAAATCCTCCGAGATCGAATGCAGGCCTCAACCGCCTCGCCGCCCGAGACTCGCTGTCCAGCGCCAATACTACCGAGCAACCTATAGACATCTTTCCGGGTGTTACCCACTTCGCTGATGCTATCACCGCTCTTCCGAAAGAGCTCGTGCGACATTTTACTCTCCTCAAAGAAGTCGACGCCAAGGTCTTTGCCCCACAAGAACAGCTCTTCCAGTTCGTGCAAGATGCTCTCGACAGTCCACCACCTGGACCCGCACGATCGCTGAACGATGTCACGAGCTCTGCCGCCCCTGCCTCGGCGCCTATGAGCGCCGCGAACAGCTCCAGTGGAATAGCGCCTCATGGCAATGTTCCGCCGGAATTCTCAGCAAATGGCTCGACTGCGTCAAGTGTCTTCGACGACAGCAATCTGGCGCGCCGCCACCTCTTTCGGTCTACCGCCGTCAAGATCCAAGAAATGCTTAATTCGCTAGAGGAGAAGAACCACGTCATATCTACAGCGAACGATGCGCTCCGGAAACAGCTCAATCGTATTGATGACATATGGCCTCACCTCTCGGACGAGTTTAGCGAGGAGGCAAAGTGGGGAAGCGACTCGCACTGGGCATACCCAGAGAATAGAGCAGCACGCGCGCTCAATAGTCAGGCAGAGCGCACGCGCAGAGAGGGTGCCGCTCATCTGTCTGCCGCTGCTCAGTTTGTCGCAGAAGAAGCTGCTGCGCGCAGTGAGTCGCGGAAGCAAGCCGTGGCCGCCAAAAAGAGTGCGAAAAACCACACGCACGACTCTGAACATGATGACCATGACAATAAAGGAAAACCAGAGACAACTAAGAAGGCCCAGAGCAATACAAAACGGAAGACTGCTGCCGGGGCTGCCAATGCCGAGTCGCCTGCCAATGTTGGTCTAGGGATCACCGGTCAGACACCAGCAAGCAACACACCCGCTCCAAAGAGGCGCAAGGTTGAGAAACCTCCTCCCAATGGGGGAACTCCTACAGAGCGTTCAATGGCAGCAGTTTTGCAGAATGGCAAGAACTCCAAAACCAAGGCCTCGGAAAGCCCTCGTGCGACGCCGGCACCAGAGCAGCCAGCACCGAAAAAGCAGCGGAAGGCTTTGCCCAATTCTACTGGACAGGCAAAGAAGAGGCAAGTGTTCACCAGATCCCATGAGGACCGCAATGAAGATGAAAGCTAACCATACTTCCTTATAGGGCCGGGCCCGCTCAGCCGCCGTCTGTTACTTCGTCGCCAGTCATCGGCACCTTTCCCGACGCTTCCAAGCCTCCACGGGCCTCACCTGTGCCCCCTGCCAACCCTCGTCCAGCTTCCTCAAGAGCCCGTCAAAACTCCACGGCGTCTATTGCGGACAAGCGGCCGCCATCCGTTGCCTCGAACAAAGCGAACGGCAACGTGCCCGCGCCCATCGAAATTCCACCGCCAAGCAACGGCTCTCGTGGCGCCAACAATGATAATGTGAAGACTCAGATGGAACCGCCAAGCGCAGGTCCCAAGATTGAACCCGTAAGACAACAGAGCGAAAGAGTGCCGACGCCGAAATCTGCCGTGGCGGCGAGCGGTCCAAAAGAGGGCTCTGCGAAACCCGCCGAGGAAGTCGAGGCGCGAAAAGAGCCTACACCAGCATCCGCGCCGCCTGCAGTGCAGCAGGTCACCACCACAAAGAGCGGTCGAGCAAGCAAGCCCTCTACTCCAGCAATCGGCAGCTTCCCGGATAATCCTCCTACCAATAGTAACAACAACAACAATAACAACAATCCCCGCTCCCGTCCTTCAAGAAATTCAGAAGCACCTGCGATTCCCAAGAGATCTCATAAGAAAGGTGCTTCTGCGGCTCACGCGGCTGCGGTCCAAAAGGCCCTGGTGCAGCCCACAGCGGACGAGGACCACACCGTACCAACGGATGAAAACGACGTATACGACCCTGACGAGCCGACGTATTGTTACTGCGAGCGAGTATCTTTCGGTCAGATGGTGGGTTGTGATGGCGAGCACTGCAAGAGGGAGTGGTTTCATTTGGGATGTGTGGGCTTGAAGGTAGCGCCCGGGAAGAGCGGTAAGTCATTCATCTCGTTTATTCTTCGGTGCTGGTAAATACAGGCATCAGTCTAGTAGAGCACGATTGCTGATAACTAGGACAGTGAAATGGTATTGTGACGACTGTAAAAAGCAGGTGGCGGCTGCCGGGAAGAAAATCAACGGGCGATAACCCGCGGCCGAAGCTGAGGCACTCTGTGAGGGGAGCCGCTGGGCGACCCAATCCTGTGGTGACCATGCGGATCGGGAAGAGACCATCAAGACAACTAGAGATATCCTTAGTACGGAACTGTCCCTAGAGGGTGGTGTCTACGTGGACGGATGATATGATGATGGCAATATCGTTGTTTCTGCTTGGAGTGTGGGAGTTGTTTGCTCTTGTTTCTGCGGTGGTGATTTCCACGCAAAGATACCCGTGAAAGAGCACGGAATGTACGGGATAACGGTAGGACAGGACCACCGAGAAATAGAGAAGCCCAAAGAGACTGAGCGGCGTGCTTCCGAGATGAGTTTAATATGTGTATAACCTCGGGTAGTTCTTTGAATCTGAAGCCAAGCCTTGCGACGGATCTCCCGGGGCGGGACCAGGCCATGTGCGCCTACTCGTCAGTTCCTTATACAGGTACATCATGGATACGTAGACTACCTGCTGTATAGGTCACTGCAGCTCCATGCGTTCTGGGCCATGGGAATCTGAATCTAATTATGGCGAATGTAGCTGCGCCCTATGCTTCTTTCCGGGACTTGTACTTTTGACCTTGTGGCCTACCGCAAAGACGCGCCGCCTTCTCCCTTCAGCATGCCCAGCGCTTGCAAGAATTAGTCGGCTTCCTATTGGTATTATTTGGAACATATATACGCAGCAAGCGGATCCCGGAGACACGAGGTGGTATCAACGTGTCGGCATCCGGTCGGGCTTAACGGCTTTACGAGAGGTACTGACGCATGTCACCATATCCGGTGCAGTGACAAGATACAATGACGAAACGAAATGGACAACACTAAATTCAAATGATTTTCGTTCAATTATTTACGAATGCTATATACACTGCTGTGCTTCAATACAGACTGCTGGGCTATTTACTGGGGGTTGGATAGTGGGAGTTACGGAAGTGACGTGAATGCTGTTTTTGGTATCTCAAGGGGTATGAAGGGTATGACAATCCAGGTATAAACAACAAAGACAGGATTCTCGCTCGCCCCCATATGCAGTTCCTTGGGTATCCCATGATGCTTTCCTTTCCTTTTCGTCCCCCCGTAATAAATGCCAAAACAAAAAAAAAAAGAACTTTTGCCCCAAATCAACGACGCCGGCTGAACTCCAAAAAACCCCAGAAGACGTAAGAGGAAAAATGTTGATGCTCGCTGGGAATGACAATTGTCGTGACGATCGTGACCCCATTTTGCAAGAAAGCGAAGAACCCCCGACGAGAACAAAGACCGTGAATATTCGCAAAACCCCGCAAAAGCCGTGTGTGAAAAAAGGATTCTTTCTGGGAACCCCGGCTCGGGAAATCCAGGGATGATCGCTCGTATCTTACAGCTTCCTCGCGAACATGTAGCTGCCGTACATGCCGCCGACCTCGGCCCTGGCCATGGGCACCTTGCGCATCCCCCAGTTCTCGGCGCCCATCTTCCAGCCCCTGCTGCCGTTGTCGTGGTGTTGGGCGTGGCCCTGGCCCTGGCCCTGGCCCTGCTGCTGGTGGTGGTCGCGCACGACCCACGTCCGGCTGCCCAGCTCGCTGACGCGCCAGCCCAGCCTGGTGAGGGGCGCGTGGCCCTTGGCCAGCCGGCGCGCGACGTCCTCGGGCACCTCGATGACCTCGAGCGGGCCCGTCTGGCCCGTCAGCAGCGCGCACGACGAGGTGTTGTACAGCGTCGGCAGGTCCAGGTCCCCGCTCCACATGTCCGAGAGGTCCAGGTAGCGCAGCGTGTGCGGCTCCCACGCGTCCAGCGTCGTCATCACGCGGTCGCCGTCGGCGTCCACCTCGATGCCGTCCACGTCTGGCACGAAGAGCCCGTTTGTGTCGCTCACGCCCAGGCCGCGGCCCAGGGCCAGCTCCTCCAGGTGCTTGGTCAGCGGGCGCAGCAGGGGGATGTGTGACTGGTTCATGCTGCTGCCCTTGAGGGAGAGCGACTTCAGCGTCGCGGGCAGGAGTGGCAAGAGCCTTGTGATGGCGTCAGCGTCGAAGGTCTCGTGGACCCGGGCGTCTGTCCCGAGGGATAGCCAGACGAGCGATTGGGTGACAGCTGGGTGAGTGGAAATGAATTCCATGATCGCGTCTGCCGAGAGCTTGTTACACTTGGCGATATTGAGGTGGGTGATACGCGCAGAGCTGGGCAGGGAGGCCAGCGCCGCGTCCGTGACCTGCGTCCCAGCGATGTCGAGGTGAGTGAGATGGGGGAGGTTCGGCAGAAGCGCTTCAAAGACCGCCACGGGAAGCGTCGTACACTTGTGCAGAGACAGCCTCTTCAGTCCGAGAGGTTCCTTCCATTCGGCTGAGCAGATGGTGGCGGTAAAGGCGTCGCGGAAAGACGCGCACGAGCAACCACAGAAGTCCAGAGCCTGAACCCTTTCCAGATTAAAAAACAGCTTCCCCAGCACCCTGGCGTCCAACTCGTCGTCGATATGCTCCTGTGCGAGGAACTCCTGCAGGTGTGGTGTGAGCTCCAATGCTTGGAGCAATGTGTCAGAGGTCAGATTGCGGGCCTGAGACCGCTCACTGGCGGTCATGAACAAGGTAGTAGGATTGAAGTGGCAGAAGTCGAAACGTCGCACCAAAGTACCCAAGGACGGGTGTGAAGCGACGTGGGAGAGGAATTTCTGAAAGATCCTCGAGTGTGGGATGGTAATTTGGCGATAGAGGGTGAGCAATGTCGCGCCGTGGAGCTTCTTGGACGCGAGCAGCAGGGACATCAGGTCCATGTTTCGCTTCGTAATGCCATTCGGCGGTATATCCAGGAGGAGCAGGTTAATGATGGAGCTGAGGAGCTCCAAAGGCAGCCTCTCAAGGGCAGACTCGCCGGTGACCTTGGATGGCCGGCGCTTCGTGGGAGCGGGTCTGGGCTCCCAGGCCAGGGCCAGCGATGCGAGGTCACCAAAGCTCCGGCTCGCCAGCCTTCCGCGGACATTGATCTGCTTCCATCCCTTAAAGTCGTCGGCAGGAAACCAGTTGCCGTGCAGTCTGCTGCCTGGCTGAGTGAGTGGTGCGAAGAATTGTGCCTGTGAAACCATAGTACCAGGCGAGTCGTCGTCGATTACTGCTTGCTCCTGTTGTAGGGTATAGCAAGAGACTTTGGAGGAGGTGAAGGTTTGGGCCAAGTCGGTGTCGTCCTCCCTGATGGATGAGAAAGACGTGCGAGAGTTGGGAAGGCTAGGCGAGGGTGGCTTGGGGCTCTCGGGGGAGATTTTGTAGTTGGTGGAGTGATCTTTCACCTTGGCTGGTGCCGCGTTCGCAGCTGTTGGGACGGCCATAGTGGAACTCGGGCCAAAAGTCTTTGCTCTGTGGTACGGAGCAATTAGGATGAGAGGAGGTACCACCCTTCTGGGTCTCCGGGCCAGAAAAGGAGAGGTGGTCGGTGGATGGTTTCACGTGAGTGTTGATGACCAAGTGAATAATTTTATTAGTCAAGGGAGAGAGGATCTTAGGTAAAACAAATCGAGATGGTTGCGGGGAATGGCATATACAAAGGGAGTCCGTGATGGCCTCGTAGTATGATGTTTGAAGGGCAAGGTGAGGTGAGCGTGCTGGTGGTGGTCTGTCTGATAGGGCAAATAGGGTCACTAAAAGTCGAGGCACGGCAAGGCGAGACGAGACGAGGCAAGACACAAGGCAGGGGAATGGCGACCGGTGTATGGGTGAAGGGTTGCAACCGGCTAGTCTAGTATGAATTGTGACTGGACGGCGACAGGGCAGAGACGGTTGAACAACAACAACAACTGCAGCAGCAGCAGCAAGCGGCAGCAGAAGGAGGAGGACTTATGAGAGCGATCAGGGAGTCAGGGAGCCGGTACTACCCAGTAGCGTGACAGGAGCGGGCTACTAACAAGAGACCGGGACGGGCGACAGAAAAAAAGGAATTTCTATGACTGCATTATAATTAGGATTGCGGATGGCGGCGGGAGGGACTCAGAGAGACTCAGAGGGACCCAGAGGGACCCAGAGGGAGACAGAGCAGGGCGCTGCCATGCTCGCTAGAGTATGGCATTGCCATGGCGCGTTACCTGTGGATTGGGTAATGGAAACAGAGCGGATCCAAGCAGCGAGTATTTCTTTGTCACCTGAACGCCCGAGTCGAGCCTAGCTGTTCCAGGGTCGTCCAAAGGGGCCCTGTCTCGCATCCTCGCCTGCCCGTGTGACCAGACGCAATCCGGGGATTTCAATTCTGTGAAGTAATGGAAAATGAACAGTCCCTGCTTGGTCGACAGGTGTGCGTGTTTGTCGCATGAGTGGAGGAGGATGAGCCGTGATGGTCGCGTCCAAGCGACTTGGAGTTGGAGATCAGAGTCATGGCAAGAGGAATTGATGAGTTGGTCGTTGGAGAAATAGAAATAGCTTGAGACAAGAGACAAGACAGGACAGTAGTCGTTCACACCTAGATAGACTACAGAGATAGAGATGCTGCTAGAGATAACAGGAAGGGAGTGTGGCACCTCACAGGCCGACGGCGAAAGAGGAAATTTCTTTGCCCCGTTGACTTTAGCGTCGAATAAGTACATCAAGGTACATCCATACATTACCATTACCCAGAGAGGTCCAACATGCCAGCATTTGCACTGCACATCTACGCATGTACATGTAGTCGACGGGCCTCTGCTGCTATGCGGGGTGCTCGGCAGCAGTCGTGAATGGCCACATCACATCACACCTGGCGAAAAGCTTCCAACGGCCTGGGACTCGCGCATCCTCTCCCTGCCGCCTGCCCAGCCTGTTGAGGGAGATGTACCCTGACATAGACTTCCCTGCTGAGATCTGCTCTGCTTTGCTGTCCATCCAACAAGATGCCACAATAATGACGAGCAATGATATCAACACAAAACACCAAACACCATCCAGTCGCTCGATCCTTCACTCCCTTCACTCCCTCTGCGGCCTCGTAACTCACCATCTCATTACGTCTTTGCAATGCAGCCGGGCGTTTTCATGACAAAGCGCAACCTCCAGTTGGTTTCACAGGTTGCAGCATCTCCGAGGCCACTCTATACGCAGTAGTGTGTGGTGAGCTGCAACATGGGTCGACTAGCGGCTGGCAGCACGCGGGTCTCGTCCTGACAGCCTCGTGGCCCAGGCAGACCGGCCGTTGACTCTTTTGCATGCCATGCTAGCTAGTTCAATCTGGCGAGCCCCCAGCAGTCGGAGCTCGCGGGAGACGACAGCACCCAGACTCACAGGCTAAGAGGACAGATTTCCAGGTTTCCTGTCGCTCAGGTCTCCAGTCTTTTCCGGTCTCCAGCAGCTGCGATATCGCATCTTCCTTGGACGTGTCTGCCATGGCTGGCAATGTCAGCAGTGGCCACAGCCTCGTATGGACGCGGCTTAGCATGGCGTGTCAGCGTGTCAGCGTGGCCGCGCGACATCCGCCATCCGCCATCCGCCTGACACCCGCATCTTCCCGAGGCTCTTCCCCTGGAGCCACTCAAGCCACTCCGATGTTAGGAGGTCCGCTGGGGCGACAATCCAGCGATGTCGCACACACACCCAGCTGTTCCAGCCTCTTCCAGGCTTTTCCTTGGTTCACAGGGAAAGGCTCGAAGCCCCTAATGTCGAGACAAAGTTTCATCAAAACGAAGGGCAATCGATCCCATCAATCCCGTCCCTATTCCCCGGGGAGAGCCGCAGCCAGCCGCCCCGGCTTGTCTGTCATTAGGTAACGCTTTGTCGACAAAACCGTCCACAGCGTCCACGTGCCATGTCCAAGCCGCATCAACAACTCCATCGCTCGTCAGGGGAGGCCTGCTCGCCGTCCCACCCGCCCCCGTCCTGGTCCCATCCGCCTGCATTCCGTTCCTGGGGTACCGTTTTAGCGCTCAGACACCCTTGTCCCCCGCATTCCAACCGGGCAAGGGTCCTCTGTTCGACGAGGAAGAGAGGCCATGGTCCTTTTCCCAGGCCCTTTCGTCTCGTGATGGCCCCGTTGTTATTGCGGGTTTGGGGTTGCGTATCGGCCGAGACGCAGAAGCCTCGTGACACCCAGTCCGTCGGACACAGGCACCCTACAGACACTACCGAGTTAACCACGCGGTCCGACTGTTCGGCCGATGCGGCTGCATCGCTCCCAGAACCTCACCTCTCCATCCCTCGCCTACTGCTTCCGGAGCTTCTTACTGTCTCTTCGACCTTCTACTTCCCAATGCAAGTCTGGCTCTTGTTGTCTCTTGTTCACACTGGATCAAAGACCGAGAATAACACAGCAGCATCTCAGACCTGGCAGTTTGTCGCCGACAGCAGAAACTGGACCCTGGCTTCAGGAAGCTCAGTAAAATCAAGCTGAACTTTTGCAATAATCACTCTCCTTTTCTTATCTATGACTCTGAGATTGGGATGCCCAAAAGCTCGCCCGTCATTTCGCTCTCAGTCTGAAACATGAACGATGCGCCTTCAGCATCAACTCTCCTTACGTCTTCCCGTTTACCTTTCCAGGAATGAACAATGCTCACACTGCCAGAATAAGGAGCAATTGCTTCGTCGGCGGCAACCGCCGGCGGTGTGTTGTACGCACTGAAAGGTCCCCTCCATCTTGAACCACACACAAGGCAAGCAGCCTTACTGCCAACGCTGACAAAGTCAGCCTTGAGGGCCAGACTACGTCTTACATGCATCATCGAGGCAACCAACACGCTTCCAACACCTCGGGTCACATTTCACGAGCTCGCTGCCAACCAAATCTCGACCATCGTGAAGAGGCCGGCTGTTGGTCAGCAATGTTCTCCGTCTTTCGAAGCTCATTTGCTTTCTCTGTGTCGGCAAAGGGAGCGATAAGAGGGTGAGGTCGACGGAAAGGGGTGACCGTCGTGGCAATGCCCTGCTCTGGAAGGACTAATCCACGATGGTCTGTCTGCTTACTGCGCGCCCTCGATCCTCGCTCTTGTTGGAGGCTTCCGATGCTGTTGGGAGGCTCAGTCCTCCTTCGTCTGTGATAGTGACTGAATCGTGCAGGACGGCCAGATGGAAGAGGTAACAGCATAGGTCCAAACGGCATGGTAACCATCATGACGGCAGCAGCATAGGTAGTGATCGCGAGGTATAAAATGCCATGATTTTCAGGCATGGAATTCAAGCGCGAGAGAAGGGTTTATTGCTTCACCAGCAGTCTCCTGAGGCTCAACTCATCGCATGAAACATCAAATTTCGAAGAATCCCAAAGAGATCGCACGCCTGACTCCGCAACATCTCATCATCCTCAAGATGAAGGTCGGCTCTATGTCCCTCTACTGCTCGAATATCTTCTTCCTACTAACGAGCCCACCAGTGCAACATCCTCGTCGCTTTTCTGGCCACTGCTCTCCCTCGAGCGGTCCTTTCTGCCCCTGTCCCGGTCTCTGTGGAGATCACAGGATCTGACCGGTCTGACTACAACCGCTTTGCCGAAACCATGGCTCGTGATGAGTTCTCCACCGCTGGCCGCTCTGGCTATAATTCGGTGGAGGTGACCGCGCGTGACGCCACCACAGCCGCCGAGACTGACGGGCGCTCTGGCTACAATTCCGTCGAAGTCGCAGCTCGTGGCATCACCACGAATGCTGAGACGGACGGAAGGTCTGGCTATAATTCCATTGAGGTCGCAGAGCGCGACCTTGCCACAAACGCCGTGGCCGATGGGCGTTCTGGCTACAATTCGGTGGAAATTGTCGAGAAGAAGGTCACGGCCGACGCGGAGACAGATGGGCGGTCGGGCTACTACTAAAGCCGCAAATGGGGTACTGCCTAATTGAGGGATTGTCTGAAGTCGTTAGCGATTGGAGAAGTCGTTAGCGACTGGAAGAAGTCGTATATACATCAAGTTGGTCCTTTGTTGTGTGTTGGTGATGACGAGGAGGTGCGTTGATGGATGCCATTGGCTCGCATAGTCCTTCCTGTCACATGGTTTCCGGGGTCTGCGCGTCTATTAAACGCCGTGTTGGGACGGAGAAACACTAGCGATCAGGTTTGATTTCAGGGTGGCTGCCAGTGGTGCTAGCGAGAAGAAGATAGAAGTAGGCACATTTAGAGTCAGCAGCAATGCCCCAATGATTTCTTTTCATTGCGCCTCATGGCATGGATGACGTGCTTCATTCTGAAATGTGGGTGTGCTTGATTTAGATCATGCAGGTGCTGTTGGGTTACGTCTAGGGACTTTTATCTCTACTGTGTGTGATCTAGAGCAGCCTTCACAATGACTGACCGGGTACCAACATGACGAGAAAACGCTCACTTCCAAATCTCCAGAAGCGACCTCCATCGGCACAATATTGAACACATTCCGGATAATGCCATTCCAAGCGGCGCTCCCACGTCTTCGAACAGAAAGAGAGCGAGACAAAACAAGCCGTGACGTGACAAGGGCCTACCTAGGTGGTAGCTACCACTGTCACAAGACAGCGTCCTGATCCGCTTAAGTAGGGGTTTTACTTCTATTAGGGCACACCTCATCCACGCTTCGTGATGCCCAGGACCACCGCGCCGGCTCAGCTCGAAATTTGCCTCACCTCGGCTCGTCCGACCTCGAATCAATTAATCTTGATACGAATCGCCGCGGAGAACTAATCCTCAGTCACCACCACGCCAGGAATCAGTTTGCTGGTTCCTGGCAGCCTTTACCAGAATATGTTCCCCGATTCTTCGGCATTTGCAAAGCGGCCCCGTTCCACTCTATTCTGCTGATTCTACGGGGTCACAACTAGCCGCCCGCAGTGGTCCCCTCCCAACTTCCTACTACCAGATATGTCCGGTTCTTGACTTTTCTATATATTTGTCTCGGGTTATTGAAAGTTTCTGTGCCTAATTCGCTCACCCCAAACATGCACAAAGATTGTAAACACGTGGTAGTCTACCGGAGCTGATGCCCCCCTCTTCACTCTTTCCAACCCAGACTTCACGCTTTGCTGATACTCTGATGATTCAGATACGTCGAAGAGCTCGCCTCAGACCCCACATTGTACGATTTGGAGTCACTGAAAGCCTTCGTAAAGGATTTTGTATTGGATTTTGAGGGTTATGATGACCTGGACCCGGGGCATCGGACCGTCATGATACATCGAAGAGCCGATTGGCGCCGAGAACAGCCTCCAAAGAAAGCCCACATCCTCTTCCACTTTGCGTATATGCAATTACTACTGTGACCGGGGCTTGAAAGAAACAGCATTACGGGCTATGAGCAGTAGGCACATGACTGGCGCAAACAGAATAAAGCAAGCAATAGATTTGAGGTTTCTAGCAGCACAGGCCACGAATAGCGGAAATAGAATGCGGCAAGGAAGTATCTTGAGCGCTCTCGACAGCGCGAGCACAGGAACTTGCCTTCATAGAATGCAGCAAGCGGTGGCATTAGGGCCATCTAGCGGCTCAGGTGCAAGAATTGCGCGGAGGCAACATGGTTGGGTAGTGACATTGCTTATAAAAGGAGAGGATAGAATAAAGCAGCAACGAAAGGGATAAAAAGGCCAAGTTCATTTGTTCTGTATGTTGCAATACACTGCTTCTATGTGTTTACAACGCTGCTCACCCGCCACGTATATGAATTATCCATTCTTCTAGGTCTTGTCTCACAGCTTTGCCGGGTATATTATATATGTGAACAGAATAAATATGATCTGACGATAAATATAGGTGAGTATCTGAGCGAGGGAGAGTTAGACGTTAGAGCATCAAAACAACAATCAATCTGCATAAGTAAACTATAGGTATGGAGGATGGAGAGTGGCGCAAAGTCGTGAGAGGTGGAGAATGTTGCCGGCGCTGCATCCACAACACCTGCTTGTATTGTTTCATCCCATCTACTCAGAGTAGTTGCATTCTCTTGATGGTAAAGAAATAACACCCAACTGGTGTTTGGAGAAAATCGGATACCTATATACGGATGCAACATGCTTGTGAGCCAGAGCGGTTGGGATCAGCGCAACTGTGTGCTGGCTAGCTGAGTGCGTGAAATTGAACACCATCGAGTACACCTGTAGCATTTGTCACCACCGTCTGCGAATGTATCTTTATTCATATATGCCACGTTTCAGAAACAATTATTCGTACAGTTTGATAGCAATACAATTGTTGTCCTTTATCTTGCCGACCGGCTGCAGCGAGCTGTTCAAACCAAGCCTTGGGTTCAATAATCCTGGGCCATCGTGCATACCGCTTATCAAGATAGGCACCAACCCGGTGGATTCTTTAATAGGAACGCTCGCCCTATATTATTGTCAGGGGACGAGTGCGATGCAGCGCGACCATTCCTGATCACTCTCATGAACTGAGGGTGCAAATACCTAGAATTCAAGAGAAAGACGATACGCCTCTGTCACCCTCCGCGCACTTTTTCCCTTCAAGTTCGACAAGTCGAAAAGGCCATTTCAAGATTCGAAATGTCGCAGCACCCCGCCCCAGCCGGGGATGCATCACCGAGCCCCCTGCCCCCAGGTACAACACATTTGGTCGACCTGGATGGGACAATGGCAACAAAACATGCCAATGGTAAAGATGTGAGGGACATTGTGCTCATTCCAAGGCCAAGTGATGACCCGGAAGACCCTCTCAATTGGTCGTTCCGACGGAAGCTCCTCTCCACCTCATGCGTCGTTGTTTACACCATGCTGCTAGCTATACCGTCCAGCGCAGTGTATTCCGTTGTCACACCAATTAGAAAGGCCACAGGCTTGACGCTTACGGATCTGAACAATGGGACTGGTATCATGGTACGTTTAATACACTCGGACAAACAAGATTTCAACAACATCCAACTTACTGTAACAGTTTCTATTCTACGGATGGGGCTGTGTCATTTGGCAGCCGCTGGCTCTACAATACGGCAAGCGCCCTGCGTACTTGCTATCTCTTGTTGCCAATATCATAATTATGGCCACAGCACCTTTGTGCACGACTTCTCGGACCTACCAAGTCAGCCGTGTTCTTCTCGGCCTGTTTGGCTCTCCAGTTGAGTCGCTCTGCGAGATCTCCATCACTGACATTGTAACTCCGCCCTAAAAGTATTGACTCTATTTCCTATTTATTGCTGCTAATAAATTTCGTAGTGGTTCACACATGAACGACCAAAATATATGGCATGGTACGGTTGGTCGCTTGCTTTGACTGGGAAGCTGGCGCCAATGATCTCTGGGTTCATCAATACCGGCATGGGATGGGAGTGGACTCTGGTAGGTGCAGTCTCTGTCTTTCGGTGTGCAGTGGTTGAAGATTGACTTTGAACCATCACAGTGGTGGTGTGCCATTTTTAATGGCATTGCATTCATATATTGCTTCCTTTTCATGGAGGAGACGAATTACGACCGCAAACATGTGGACGACTCCGTGCCCGACGCTGAGGAGAAGTCTCCGAACTCGGTTCTCAAAAACATCAACATGACCAGCACTGCAGACGCAGCATCAGCCGACAAGAGCCTTGATTCCAAAGAAATATCGCCAGCATCACCCAGTAGTGATATCGAGGAAGCTCAAGTTATCAAGCCGCGAAAGACTTACTGGCAAAAGCTGAGCCTGAGGGATAAACGTCGCCCGAACCGCGTTCTAGATGTTGCTCTTGCGCCTTTCAAAGGATTTTTGTATCCTCCTGTAGTGTATGCAGGTCTCATGTGGGGAGCAAACAGCCTCGTCTGGTCCGGCGTTCAGAATGCCACCGCCGGGACCGTATACACTACCAAATATGGATGGTCCACCACGGATGTGTCCGGCGCATACGCTGCAGGTGTGATTGGTACCATTACAGGGTAAGACCTTATCTTCCCCATCATGAGAGCCTCCTGTTATTCTTTCACATTCTATACATAAGACTCACGCTCTCCTGCTTGCAGCGGATATTACTCAGGCAAGGTCGGGCGCATGCTGACCTTGCGTCTCGCGCGGCGCAACAACGGTGTCTCTGAGCCAGAGCATATCTTGTACCTCTTCGTCGCATCTATGATTCTTGTTCCCTTTTCTCTGGTCCTCTACGGAGTTGGTGTCGTCCACCATATCCACTGGTTTGGTCTGGTGTTCAGCCAGTTCCTGCTCGCCAACAGCAATGCCCTCTGCGTCTCTGCCGCTCTCACCTACGCAATCTCGTCATATCACGAGCTGTCAGGCGGCATGGTTGTCACATGCGTGCTCATCCGCAACACACTCAGCTTTGCCATCAATTACGCCATTACGCCTTGGCTGGAGGCTACGGGATACCAGAACACGTACGTGACCGTTGCAGTGATCGGGTTTGTTTGGAATGCGAGCTTGTTCGGGATGGTCAGGTGGGGTAGGAGGATGAGGGAGGCTACAGCGCAAAGGTACTGGAGGGACGTGAAGAGGGCGCGGGAGAAGGGCCTGAGTGAATAGGCCGCGTAATGTCTGAATCCGCCGTCGCAGCATTGCCCAGGTCTAAACGTTGATCTGGCTAAGACATGATCCCAAGCTGTCTAGCATGTACGGGATATTTTCACAGTGCCTCCTGGTAAACCGCCACTGCAATTCACATCGAACAACGCAGAATTAATATGTTTTTTACCAGCTGTTTGACGATGTGTCCTGGTTCGTTTGAGATAGCTACAGCTCTTTTGTTAAGATCTGCCGGCCCAGGGTGAGCCACCACTCCGTGATATGTCTTGTAAGACCATAGCTGCTCTGTCAAGTATCGTCATCGCGTACTTTACAACTCAATTACTTCTCTGGTTAGGGTTTAATGTGATATGGAAGTTAGGGCCATTACGCAACCTAGATAATCGACTCACAGTCTAGCATTTCGTCTCTTACGACGCGCGCAGTGGAAGGAGATGGCCGGATATGATTTAGAAGATGGGGTTTGATCTAGATAATGCTGCAGTTCTCTTGTTAACCTTTACTCCCGCGGGCTCTACTCGAACTCTATGTTGTATAACTAGTCTAAAGGGTGGCGCCTCAATTTACAGTGAACTTTTCACAGCAGCCAGCAGATGTGACGTTCGTGCCCGTGTCGGGAGGCAGGCACACGTGTCGCAGCAGGTGGTCATTCTATTAGTCTTCCAACAAGTCAGTCTGAGCATAAATGACAAGTCTGAAGTCCAGCTTTTCATTGAAGTAAGCCAACACAGCCCGTGCCTTTCATTGAGCTTGTTCTCAGTATCAACTCAAGCATAGTGCGCCGAGTGTGAGTTGCAGCGAACAAATATTAGCGGTGTTTTAGGTGAGAGAAAAGAGCTAATCCTGGAGATGTCGAAGTTGAACAAGTGACTGACGATCGCTCGAGCGAATGAAGGAGTTGAAGGAGCGCTTCATTGGGGGTCGGAAAGCCAGGAAAACTACGCAAAAGTAGCAAAAAAATGGGTGCTTTGGTGCTTAATCCCAGAGGAAGTGCTTTCCAGACATCTGGGAAGGCATGAGCGCAGCTCTAACCAAGAACCAGAATTGGAAAACTGTCCCCGGATATAGAAGCTCACTCTGATCGCACTGACACTCTAGGTGGAACTAGGGTGTATTGCGCCAGTCGAGCCAGATATTCAGTTTCATGACTAATGCATTCAAGAGCTCCGATTATGATATTAAAACTTGATCAGGAGCTTTCGTTTCTCATTTGTGAATCACATCAAGGAGCATTTTTTTGACGCTTGAAGTACATCACCAACCCACGCGCAACTCAACCATATTCGATCAACACCTCTGGATAGCCAATCGACTCGTTGCATCACAACCCAAAATTATTTTGCCCTCTGATACTGATACTTTGGCTAGGGGAACTGGCTAAGTGCAGTGACTGTCTAGTAAGGGCGTCCCCTGTTCACCTCTGTTGACCGACCCCCCTGTTCGAAAAGCCATACCACGCAGCCAAGTTTGCAGCCAATTGTATGACCTTACAAGAACGACAAAGGAAATTGTGAAAACTCAGGGGGGGAAAGCATTAAATAAAGGGATGTTTCAGATCATAACCCATTCTATTGTCTCGAACGAGTGACGCAGCAGTTCACGATATGTTCTTAGTGGAACAAGGGCCCTTCGATAGAACTGGTGTGGTAGTATTCTTTGTCAAGAACAATGCTACTATGCTTCCCTTTCCCTATCACCTACTCTTCGGTGCCAGACTGTCATACAACATCTTCTCACTTATTTAAGGGGACGCTTCTATCCTTTCCCCTCGTTGATCAGATGCTGTTTTGAACCGCCAAAGACCACTTCACACACGAAGACACACATACAACAAACAAACAACCCACACAGAAAAATTCACAGTAACCTTTGAAATTTTCAAGCAGGAGCAGGACGTCAAGCTAACTCATCAAACCCCACTCTTTTTACTCTTCAACATGCCGAGTATTACATCAACACTAGGCAACGGACGAGCCCGTCATTTCAGCAAGGCCGAAACACGGCGCCACAGGCGGAAGACTCAGGAGAGAAAGGGTAAGAAGTCTCGCCCAGGCTCTAAAGAACCCATTCACTTGCACAAGTCTAGGAACAGACCGCAGATGGCGGACCCGGCAGCCCCTGGAGACATCTATGCCCACGAGTTTGACGATAGTAGACTCTTGAAAAAGCTGATGCCGCATGGGCAGGAGCGCCGGGGCTGCAAAAGCAGAGATGTAGACCTTCGCATCAAGCGTGACAACAAAGCTGTCTTCAGTGGAGTCTGCCAGCCCCTTGAAAGCGAGGCCAACGCTTACGGTGAGGACGAGGACTTTGAGTAGATTTCTGATCACCATTTTTGAGAGTACACTTGTTTCCAACCTCACAGGACCTCGATCGTCTTGTCTACAGTCGAATTGGAGAGGGGCCAAGCGCGTAGGCGTCTCCATCCAGGACTGAGCTAGGCGGGTTGTCAAGGCGGTCTTTCAGGTGAGTAGAAGAAGAAGTTCGGCATCCAGCGTGGTGTAGGTGAACTTAATTCAAAAGTTCACTAGGAATCAGGAACCAGAATTAGATAGGCACATTAAATTGTTGAACTTACATTTATCATCTTCCAGACCTCTGAACTTTTCATGCGGAGCGCTCAAAAATTCGCTATGTAATAATGCCGAACCTGGAACTCTCCCTCGGTAGAATTTTACTTTTACTTCTAGCGTCTGTGAAGGCTTGACTTGACGCGTGCGTATGGCAGATACGGTGCTGAGACTGATGCAGACGCGGACAAAGACGAGCAAGGTAGGCCTTTTGCGTCAAAACCTAGCCATCCAGATCGACTGCTGCATCTTGGTCAATCCGAAGCAGTCGTAATCAATACTTAGCGGAAGTATACCGTCAGTCGCGCAGATCGTGAGCGCAATCCTTCGATCTTAGTCACTTGCATCACTCCTCCGCAAAAATGAGCCACTTTCCCAACCTTGAGACAGTCCAGATAAACAGTAGTCATCAAATGTAATCCGCACAAGACAACTTCGTCAGTCCTTGAGCAAAGTTCCACCACTGAACAATTAATGAACGCTCTGCATTAGTCTGCCAACTCGCGGCCGGGTGCTTTTACGCGCGCCACTTGAAGCCATCAACAAGCCAAGTGCTTCATCACTCCTTCAGGCCGGCAAGCAAATAAACATGTCAGGACGTTTAACAAGCCGCTAATGTCGCAGACGGCACGGGGCGGCCCGTCGCGCATCGTTGTGGATGAGCCGCACGCAGAGCCTCATGTGTTTGCAAAACAGCAAGCCTGTCACATCACCTGGCAGTCGTCTGAAATCATCATTTCCCCCCAAAGACCTTGCGAAATTGTAGTCTCTGAATGTGGAATGATGGACGGCGGCTCCCCGTCAGCCTAGACGGAAGAGTCGCGAGGCTGTCTCCGTGGTCTCGAGCATTCCTGACCGCTTCCCATTTGCATACCGGTAGCAACTTGGTCTGCACAAATCACAAAAACAACTTTACAAAACCTACAATATTGATCTCATACAAAGCCTTTGTCTGTCATTCAAGTTCGCAAACAAAGATAGGCAGCAGGTTTACCTGGAAGGCAGGTTGGGTATTGTGAGATTACTCAGTACTCGAAGTTTCAGCTGAAGTGTTTGCTTTGAACCTCGGAACTCTTTCATTGTCGCCTTGAACAGAGGGCTCAAGCCTTTGTCGGTTACTGGACGGCTTTGGGCATAAATTGATAGTCGACCGGCTCTGTTGTCCAGAATTATTTGCCATCGATCCCAAGTCTCCTTCCAAACCCCTCTTCTATCCATATTTCTTGGGCACTGGCCAACCTCTCAATAGAGAAAGTCTTTGAGTACACCATCTCCAGGTTAGTCACAAGCTCGCCTATTCACTCACCTTTGAACAGTATGTCGGCGCAGCACGACATCATGGAACAGAATTCCATCCCACAATATGAGCGGGCACACTCCGAACATCCCAAATCTGATCGCGCGGAAGCTAAAAGGTCTGATATCAAGGCCTCTTCGAAGAACCGCGGACCGGCCTATCCGCCCAAGAACCGTTTCCAGCCTTCTGTCGCTGACAAGGCTACTTTGGGGGACAATGCCGCCCACAGCTACGACGATGACAAGCTTTGTCCTAAGCTGCTCCCTGTAGCAAGACAGGAGTTCCGGGGCTGCAAGAAGCGTGACCTAGACAGACGGGCTAAAGCTTGGAATAAAAAAGTCTACCTTGGCTTGATCCCATCACATGACCTTTCTGGCACCGAAGAGTAAGGTCAAGATAAGCAGCAAGGACTGTCATTTCCCCTTTCGAGACGAGTTGTCTGAAGCCAGAATCGAGTGATCAATGATTGGCTGTGAATCTTCAAGGTCCTGTTACCGGTACAAAGAGTAACACCGTGTCGTTATTTAATGATGAGGGCACTTGCATTTGAATACAGACAGACCAGAATCGATTTTCTGATATTGATTTGCAGTGAACGGAGTCTGTTGAGCTGAATCGTGGAGAAATTCTGTGGAAATTGAGTGGAAAGTAAGGGGATCAGACATCAAAATCAACATACTGAATTGGTATTCATCCTCTATAGAATGTCAGTATTACAGCTGTGACTACGGTCTTCTATCCTGAAAAATAGTGCGTCTAGTTCACCTTCGTTGGTGTGAAGAGTCCCTTCTAAACGGGCTGCCGAACAATGCTCTCAGAAAAGTTTTGGTCTGTCCAGGTAGACAAACTGGTTTCAAGGCCTTTTAGAAGTGCCCAAAGGCAATATCACTTGTACTTGAAGTTTTTCGTGATATTGTAGTACATATCAGATGTAAAGAGCAGCCAGTTGGGTAAAACAATGACTATATGCTGCCAGCATGACTGTGATGGCCGGCGTCTTTGTATAGCTGATGACAGCAGTCTGAGTGGGCCAAGAAGATTTTTGGTCTGCTTTGTATGGTACCAAATGCTCGTGGAGCATTATGGGTCGGTTTAGAGGGCGAGTAAAAGTGTCAATGACAGCGTTATGGACGTGTAGCGACCATGCGCGGATTGTGCGCTCAATTTCCTTTCTGGAGAATTTGGTTGATTAATCTAGATATTGCGAGGGACATTGGCTTGCGTAAATTGCCATTTCAAGTCTTTAGCTGCTGCAATAAATGAAGTCCACTGACTGGAGGGAGAGCAATGAGAGGCGCGACTGAATGAGCTGCCCAGTCTGGCTTGACTCCGAGTATCTGACTTCTGTTCTTGGTCGGTCAAACTTTGTGTCTGATCATGGACAGCAATGCTTTCGAACATTTAATTATTAAATAGATGGAGAAACAAGTAACTGGATGATTTCGCACCAGTCTTAACAGAATAATTAAATAAGTCAATTCAATTAGAGGCTTGAGTCGAACATTAAACCACAATAGCAAATGTAGATCAATCATAAAAAACTGTTGACAATTCTCTCATGAAACTACTGTATATATGAAAAGTTGCCTTCGAACACATATAGCAAGATATTAACCGCAAACATGAAGCATTGTTCAAATATTGTTCGTCTTAAATCCAATCAAAATCCTGTTAAATTTGGGCTCAGGAATCTAGTTCGAGCTCATGAGCTCAGCTTCAAATGTATGGCCATGTTCGTGATGATGGATAATTATCGGCAGAACTTTGGTGTGTTGAGCTGGTGATGTGCGGGTACATCTCTCAGCGAGCACTGGGTGGGAGGGCAAGGCATTGTACATCATCCAAGTCAACTGTGCGTACTTGGAATTGAGCGAAGCTCTAAATCCGAGATAGAATAATTCTACTGCGCTGGCTGGCTGTTGCGTACATGAAGCTGAACGACTGCCTTAAATCTATGAATAGACATTCCTCTTAGTCCATCGGTGTCGACTGGAATTGCCATCAAAGTCTATCAAAGTCTACGAAGTCGTCAATTTTCAAGTTTTCTCGCTACCGAAACCTCCACAAAGTTGTTTACCCCCCGCCTCGTCTTAATCAGGCTGCTGCTACGTAGTCAGACTGCGTTATACGAGTGACTTTTGAAGAACAGAAGCCGTTGCGGAGAAGAACGCACGAGATCAGCTCTATGGCAAAGAGTCTCACATGGCTGCTTAGCGAGAGGATCCTATCAGTTAGCTTCGTTACGAGAAAAACGAAGCTACGTTCGGAAAACTGCTGTTCTAGTCCGCAAATATCCCGTGTCGACAGTTCTGAACGATCATTTCGGGCCTCAGCCGTCGACAAGGCTGTTACATGTCTGTGGTTTTGTCCTTGTTGGTACATCGACTCGACCAGAAGTTCCGGCTCTGTCTGCGATGTTTAGCCACCATGAGTGGACTTGTAAACATATCAAGTACCCCAGTGTCCAGATCCAGGTCGGCGCGATGATGGCAAACTCAACCGCTGCTGACGAATGCTCTCTCATCCCTGAGCTCACCTTGAGGGCCTAGGAACTCTACAAGCTTGAAAAGATCATCGGGAGACGCTGCCCCTATTGCTCTGAATCTTACCTGAAAACCAGGGCAGTACACCTTGAAAGACGTATTCGTAGCAGATATCCCGGTGAACAGACTCCAGCAGCTAATATCAACTCATATTTGAAGAAGCCTTTCAAATGTCATCGATGTTGCAAGGGGTACCGTAAGGGATTTCCGAGCCAGTTTCGCCCAGCTTTGTATCTGCGAAAGGTGAACAACGAGAGCAATTTGTGAGTTTCTTCTGGCCTGTTCGGTCTATGTAAGCTTGAGTCTATCCTGCCGCAAGTGCTTATTGTGTGTACGAATAGCTAAATCAGCATGAGAAGCACTCTAGCAGTTCATGCAAGTTGAGAGAAAAAAGATGCTTAGCTTGGTCAGCCTTGTTGATCCTGTTGACCCTTGTCCACCCTTGTTGACCTTGTTCACCCTTATTGACCTTGTTCACCCTTGTTGACCTTGTTCACCCTTGTTGACCTTGTCTACCCTTGTCGACCTTGTTGACCTTGTTGACCAAAGTAAAGATATGAATTCTTTTTTTTTATTTTTAGAGAACTAACATTTTTTTTTAAAAAAAAAGAACAGGCCTTTAAGGCAACCAGCCTTTAGAAGAGAACAGGCGTTTCAGAAGACAGGCCAGGAGGCCCAATCAAAACAAGCTTCAAAAGATAAGGCAGGAGAACCAGATTTTAGAAAAAGCTGTTATGAAGAGGAAGGAATAACTTTAAAAGGCACAAGGAGAGAATGTATGAAGAAAATAACTTCCAAAAAAAAGAAGCTGTTATAGAGAAGAATATGTGTGCTTGTGGAGAGTTTTTTGTAAGGAGCTGCTGTCGTAAGGAGCTGCTGTCGTGAGGAGAAGCTGTTGTGAGGAAGAAGTTGCTGAAGAAGAGAATGCGTTGTGGAGAGGAAATGTAGAGGAGAAGCTATCGTGGAGACGCTGTTGCAGGAAAACAAATTTATTTTGGTTAGTTGATAACGGTACATTGGCCGTGATTGCGAGCTGTAGGTTGGAAGACGACAGAAGCCAGAAGTGGTTACTCTATAGGAGGTTTTCCTATAACCCGTAGAACATTATCCCACAACTGGTCATCCCACAGCTGGTTATCCCACAGCTGGTTATCCCACAGCTGGTTATCCCACAGTGGTTATCCCACAACTGGTTATCTCACAATTACTTATCCCACAGGAGATCAACCTACAGGAGGTTATCCCACATGTTTTCCTAGACTTCATCCAAGGGCGCAGCTGACAGGGAAGTGCTGTTATCGTTGTACTAGCGTAGAGCGATAAGGTATAGGGTTAGAGACTGACCAGTCCACCCAGACAAGAACATCACCAGTGCCATATCGAACCCGACGCGCTCACGACCGCCCTCGCAGTTTGTGGCCACATCAGTCTTTACTATGGTCGAGAAAGCCCACGAGTGATCAATCCAACCGAGCAACATGGCACACCAAGTCGTACGAGTGAAGTGATGTGCGTGAAATCTACTAACGACTAAGCTTCTTCTTCATGTCGGTCGCAAGCGACCGATCACAATGAAAAGGCAGTCAGCTTGAAGCTGTTTTGATATCAAAAATTCCGCCCAGGTCGGCCCCGAAGGACAAACCAGACTGGTCAGCGCCACGATGTGCTATGCAGGCTTCCCAACCTAATTACAGTGATTCTTGATCCACCGTAATTCAGACAAGGTAAGTATGAAGAAAGGAAAAAGAGAGAAGAGGAGGAAGAAAGCGGGAGGGTGGCAGGGTTTTTATAGTTGAGGCACCACGGAATTCTGCCGCCTGCGCGTCCGACTCCTGACCGCCTTTGGCGGTGGTGGTCCGAGCTCCTCCACGGAAAGACTGCGCCGAAAGCTCCGGTCCACATTCTGCAGTTGGTCCCGTTCTGGGTACCGTCGCTCCACCAAGCTCAAAATTTCCAAGCCTTGGTCTTATTCCCTCCATTCCTCTCTTCGGCAGCGACCAGTCAACCAGATTCACCCCAATCCTCGCGGCAAAAATCCATCAAAATGGTCAAGGTCAACTCCAGTATGTCTTCAATAGCACGAACAACTTCCCACTGGGACAATTGACAAAACTAACAATGGTCCTCCTCGCCCAGGCCTCCACTCCTCCCGCCGCAAGTCGCGCAAGGCGCACTTCGAGGCCCCCTCCAGCGTTCGTCGCAACATCATGAGCGCTCCCCTCAGCAAGGAGCTCCGTGAGAAGTACAACGTACGTTTGCAGCCCGATTTCAATCCTTTCACCCCCACCACTCTTTCTGACAGTACCCCGTCAAACAGGTCCGCAGCATCCCCATCCGCAAGGATGACGAGGTCCAGATCGTCCGCGGCACCAACAAGGACAAGGAGGGCAAGGTCACCTCCGTGTACCGTCTCAAGTACGTGATTCACGTCGAGCGTGTCACTCGCGAGAAGGTCTCGGGCCAGTCCGTCCCTCTGGGCATCCACCCCTCCAACGTCGTCATCACCAAGTTGAAGCTCGACAAGGACCGTGAGGCCATTCTGGAGCGCATCAAGGTCGGCCGTGAGGCTGGCTCCAAGGGCAAGGCCGCTGCCAAATAAGCGACTTCACCGCCCGAGGCTCTACAAACTCAAAAAACCCATCCCAAACGACCATTCACCGCTTGTGGGGAGGAGGATCGGAAAAGTTCTGCTGCGACGTTTTGATGGATACCACGACATGCCTCGACGGTTGACGACTGTGATCGTCCACCTCGGCGCATGCTCGACCCGGGCACGGTTTCGGCGTCAACACGGCTGTTCTACGTTACGAGGGATAACGGCATGGATCGGTAGCAGAGATCAATACACACAAGTCAGAGCCTCTGAGCTCAATGGCCATTTCACGGACTTCCAGCTCTTCTGTGCTGCGATGTGAAATGTTCCATGGGAGGTCTCCCGAAGTCCCAGCTTGCCTTGTCATGGACGAGCAGACTCCCATGGACTGCTCGTTCCATGACATCGCTGCTCTCCCATGCAATGCTATACCGATGTGCACCATGCTAACCCAGCAGATTGACTGAAATACCCAGGTTGGTTTTGCAAACCAGTTCAAAGGGAATCAAGACACTTTGTAGAAGTCAGGTGAGTTCCAGAGTAGGTACGGGATGCAGGATGCTTCTTGTTTGCCCAACATGTTCATGCAACGTGACCGCCACTTAAATCTCCACATCAACCTCTCCTTATGGTAGGTGTGGTATACGCGTGGCGAAGAGCAAACCCAGCGGGAGCAACTATTGAATCACCGCTTCCTGCTCTCGCCTGCAGACCTCGTTCAATCAGAAGACTTTGCTTTTCAATTGTGTTGGAGGTTTGATGGTGAGGCACATTTCTTGCCACAGCCTCTAGTATAGTCAAGCCAGTAAATAGAATTCAATCTTTTTCTGGAATACATGGCCATATGTTTCAACTTTGCTTCATGATCTTGCTCAGCTTTCGTTCTCATCCCCTGGAAAGATATCCCCATATCATCCGGGGTGTGTCTCTCCGACTCGGTGGTTCACTACCTTTTTTAATTTTGGTTTACTCCATAACATCCTATGCCTGTCGTGCCTGCTTTTCAAGATGCCAAAGATCCTTGCCCCACTCAGCTCAGATTGGACATCTTACCTACATTGCTGCGCCGAGCCAAGATGACGAAGGCATGCTGTTTTCTCTGATGAGAAGGCCGTCACTTAACAGGTGCGTCTTCTTGGCCCAGAGACATGTGTTAAGTCACGGTCTCGATTCAAAAACACGAAGAAAACATGGATATTTCCTCTGTCCATGATCAACTTTGACAAGGAGCCTCTGCCTCGCATTCATTTCGTTAGGGTGGGCGAAATTGCTAGGCGGCCTGAAGTGTGATCTAGAAAGGACATGATGGTTAATGAGATGCCATGTGTCACTGAGAAGTTTGTCACCATTAAAAAGACCCAACTGGTAGAATGTCTCAGTACATTTGCTGTACTAGCCAGCCCTATGGTCTAATATCAGAGGGTGTCTCTGTTCTGCCTATGAGATGTTGCCTCCAAAGTCGTGGGCAAGTGAATAGAACAGTGGCATCCTGCTTTGTGATCATCCTCCATGAGATGCCGAGTGATGTTGGCTAGCGGTTGCGTCGCCTCAATGCCCAGCCTAACTACATGCCGTTCGGCAGCCTGAGAGAACTAGCCTCGATTTTGAAATCTAAGCGAGATGTTGTGTTTCTCTCTCCACCACAGCAAAAGAACTGATACCCTGGACAAAATAAAATACAATCATGTGAAGGAAATACTTCCTGGGTAACAAATGATGGTCTTCTGACAACTTTGTTGCGCAATAGCAAAGTAAAGCCTTGCGAGACATAATAACGATAATGGGCGATGAGGCCTCGAACAGGCAATTGCCGCCACGCGTACGAACAATTAGCAGAGTTGATTCGCAGCGGATTCAGACATTTGTGGCCGTCAAAGAACGATTCTGGCACTCGACACGGTTGATTTGTCAATCACCAGGTGGGCGGAAGTCGTGATCCAAGGAGATCAGTGAGCCCACGCAGGCGACTTCATGCCGACCATGTTGCGGAGGGTGTCCGAAATGGAGACGCGGTCGGCAGCAACAGGAGGGGCATTCTCTCCACTCTTCGGGGCCATGAATGTCGAGCCGTTGGGGTTGGTGTCAGCGTCCTTGACAGATGAGTCGCGAATGGGAGAAGTGATCGTGCCGGAGAGCGTCGGGCTGAGCGAGGCGGTAGCATGGCCAGTGAAGTGCGGCAGGTAGCCCTGAGCCGTCGTTGAAGTGACAGTACTGGGCAGAACATCACTGGCGGTGAAGCCCCTCTTCAGCATGCTCTGCCAGAGTTTGGAGCTGCATGAGAGCACTGTTAGAAAATAGTTGTTCACAAAGGGAAGGGGTCGTACCTTGTGCCGTTGGATCGTGCATCATTGTAATCGAGAGACTTTGTCTCGTTCACACTGGCTCCGGAAAAAGACTCCTGGGAGGCCTCTGTACCTTCCAGGTTCTTGGACTCCGCCAAGGCTTTCTCGAACTCCTCAGCATGGTCATCAGCCTGGGTGCTGAATGACTGAGCAGACTTGACAGAGGAAGCCTTGCTACTGACAAGGGCCTCTTCGGCCTTCGGAAGGGTGTCTCTGGTAGCCACAGCACGGAATGGGTCAACTTCTCTGCCGTTGGGCACAGCGAAGCCATAGTCAACCTCGCGTACGCCAGTGGGAATCCGGCTGCGGCGGACACTAGGCGATTCACTTGGAGTGGCGTGCTTGACCGGAGAGGGTGGATAGAAGTTCCTGCCGTCGTACTTTGGCAAACCTTGGCTGACAGATCGGGGTGCCTTGCCAAAATAGAGGTGGCGAGCTTGAACCTCCTCGTCAGTCAACCTGCGGTTGTACTCGTACTCGAAACGGTGGTTGATGTAAGGATTAACGCCTCGTGGCAGTGTGCCAACCAAGTAAGGAACACCAAGATCGTTGTGTCCTCGCGGAGATCCGCCATCATAAGGCTGGCTGGACATACCATTGGGCTCATGGGGCAAATTCCAAGCCTTAGAACCTACAGCAAGCAGCTTCTTCTCGGCCGCCTCAAGCTCCTCTTGAGTTATGCCACGATCGGACTTGGCTGCCTTCCAAGTCTCTACCTTGCCGTTGGGCACAGGGCACGAAATGGTCGAGACTGAGCGCGGCTGGAAAACAGGCGCACGAGCAGCTCCACTGGGCAGGCTGGACTTCATGCCAGCTTGCGTGGATCCTAGCGAGCGGTCTTGAGTAGAGTCTTCCATGGTGTACGACGCAGCGCTGCTCTTGTTCGAGTTGATGCCGACCGAGTCACGAGACCGATCCTTCTTTCTGAGCTTAGGCTGACAATTGGAAGCATTGGTCATCGTGGTCGCCTTGCTCTCCTTGCTCTCCTTGCTTTCCTCTGACTGAGACTGAGTCTTGGATGAGGGCGCCGAGCTGCGGCCACTTGACGAAGTTACCTCGTCCTTGTCCTTGTCAGTCTTGGGGTAGTGCTTTGCCTCAAACCCTGCTTGAGCTCTGAAGACTTTCTCAAAGCGTTCAATATCGGAATTGAGCAGCTCGATCTTGTGCTGCATGTCCTTCTCGTCGATTTGGTGCTTGTTGTACTGCAACTGATCCTCATGGTACTTGAGATTGGCCCGAAGACCATCAATCTGCTTCCTCGTGATCTGGCTCGGACGGATGGAAGATATCGGCGGCTTAGAAGGAGGCTGGGGAGTGGATTGGCGGGAGGACGATGGCGCAGCAGTAGTCATGGTGGAAGGACCCGCGGATGGCGGATGTCCTGGAGGGCCCATCGGTCCCATCGGTCCCATCGATCCCATCGGTCCCATCATCGGTGCCATGGGCATTTGAGGGGGCATCATCATGGGCGGTCCAGGCACATGGCCAGCATATCCCGGAGGCGGCATTCTAAGGAAGCCCGGGTAAGGAGCTGGGAACATTGGGAACATCCACTGCTGGCCATTGTACATGAAAGGCTTGGTGTGGTCGAACTGGTCTGGAGGCGAAAGCTTGACGCCGGTCTTGCCCGGTTGGGGCTCATATGGAGGTTTGTACTCTTCGGCCCTCTTGTTTAAGTTCTCCTTGTGGGTAGCCTCTTCAGTGCTGCTGGCAGTGGGCACCGCAGGCATCGGCATGGGGAAAGGGAAGCCAGGGGGCATCATAGGCATCGGCATGCCGGTCATAGGATGCACGGGTGGCATTCCAGGATAGCCAGGATAGAAGAATGGCATTGGGTGAGGCATTCCCATTATTGCCGCGGGCTGCTTCGGGGCTGACGCAGGCACTGGAGCAGGTTCTGCCTTTTCGTCGTTGATGGCACTCTCGGTGTCCTTGGGACGTTTCGCGGTTGGAGAAGCAGGGTTGCGAGTGTTGGGGACGATTCGTCCTCCAGCGGTAACTCGAACGTGAGTGGGAGAGACAACTGCCTTATAGAACCGCTGGAAACCTTCGCTGTGCTGGGCAGTGAGACCAGTGGGAGCTGGTAAAGGCTCGTTGACCATGACCTCGGACTCACTGCGGCCACGATACTTCCACTCCATGAGTTGGTTGGGGTCGGGTGCAGAAGCGACAGCTGTAGCGACAGGTTGATCAGGAAGTACAGGGGCAGGAGTGGGAGCAGGCGCCTTGGGATTATTGTTATTGTCGACGGGAGCAGGATCCTGCTTGATGTGACGGCGGCTCATGTTTCCCTTGAAGACGACTTCTTCGGAGGCGGTAGAGGAGTCGTCCATGGTCTTCTTTCTGTCACGCTTCAGCGAGTTCGAATTGTAGCTGCGGGAGCTGACTGAATTGACGCGAGACTTGTTGCGAACCATCTCAGCTGCAAGACAGAAGGTCAGTTGAGGTTGGGGCAGGACTGAAGCCATAAGGTGGAATGGGACGTACGAAGTTGGTTACCTTGAAAAAGACGCTCAAGGATATCTGACGAAGCAGAGGCTCTGAGATTGAGCAGCTCCTCAACGCTGTACACTCTAGACTTCATTTTGAAGTCGATGAAAGCGAAGATGACGTGGGTGCGATGCGTCAGAGAGCAATGCCAACGGAACTGTGTGGCATGTGTAGACTTTCTGGGAGTTGCTTTGGATGAGGCAACAAGGTCGAGAAGAGAGAGAATTGCTGGGAGGGCGATCGGATCCTGCTGACAGTGGTGGCTGCGCGAGCCTATTAGTTTTTGATCCTCGAGCTGGCAACGAACGAAGCTTGAAGTTGGGATGAATTTTGGAAGCCTGCTGTCTGTGATCTCGAGCGGACAAGCGGGAAGGTCGGCAAGGAACCTCGGTGAGACGACTTCAATGTGATTGCATCGCGTGGAGCCTCCTAGCAGATACTTGATCTTGAGCAGGGTGGAAGCGGTCATGGGAACATCCTCCACCTGCAACTCCCAGAGCTCTTTGAGGAGTTTCCTCACGCGCTTGCGAGTGTTTGAAGTAGGCATATCCACAGATGAAAATGCACGGGCTGATTGTGCGACACTTGAACGACAATGAAAAGCAGTCAAAGCAGACGAAAATTGAGGCAGGGTAAATGAAAGGAAAATTGGGGGTTGAAAACAAGATGTGGTGATGTTGACGAAATCAATGCCTTACCCAAGATGTTGGCAGGTTGGTGACTGCAAGGTCGGACCGCAAGATCGGACGGCGGGGTGAGCTCAGGCGATGAGCTTCCTTTCAAAGCTGCAAATCCACAAGCGGTGTTGTGTTTGCCAGCCTTGGGTCCCGGGTTTTCCAAGGTTGGTGTTGTTTGTCGAGGGAGAGAGGGGAAATCAGGGGAAATGGCGCCTTGGACAAGGAGACTGACTGGAAGCAAAGAGCGAACAGTATCAATAAACAGCGGTCGTCGAGATGTGACACGATCAAAAAAACGAGTGGAAGGTTGGTGAGGTTTCTCGTGGGTTCCGGGAGAAGAAAGGGGTGGGTAAAGAGTGAAGCTGTCAACAAGGGACTGAAGGCCGTAGAATTGTCTTCGGCCTTTAACACCTGCGCTGTGCCAGTGAAGGAAGGAGCCTTGCACAAGTGCCTCCTTGGGGAGGAAGTTAGTGACTGCCAAGGTTCAGATGTCTTTGGTTCGCGATGGTGGTTCTTTCCAATGTCGGGTACTTGTCTGCTGGCACCGGTGGTGATGACCAGGAAGTCTTGCCGTCACTGGGAGGTGGGCTCCTCGTCACTTCACTTCACTTCACTTTACTCACCAACTAAGAGGCCAACATAACCTGGCCATGGACGACATATTCTACCTCCCAAGAGGTCGCTGCTCATCACCAACAACAAACATATGTACACTCCTGCCTCGCCATAGCTTGCACCTGCTTCCGGTGATGGACTTTTTGTTCATCTATTCTTGGGTTGCTGCAGGAGCTTTGGACCCTGGGCCCATGTCTTTTAATCTCATAAAGCTTTGAAATCCGTCGAGCATTCAGCAGACCACTGATACCACTCACCAGGTTTGACATTTGAATGCTGGTTCTCCGGCAAACATTTCCCCATCATGGGCTTTTGTCCACTGCTCACAGATATCCCCATACACCAAGCGTCCAGTTCGCATTGGCGTTGCGCATCAGCCCGCCGGCACCCATGCTCTGTCTCTGCGCAACCTTGTGGTCCACCTCACTCGGTCGCGATGCCCCAGTGATCCCTTGCTCTCTCCAGGTCTCCCGCTCCACCGTTGCCAGGGCAGGTATCTTGAGCAAGTTCAGCAGGCTCGCTCCGCTCCATGGCCCCAGGGTCTCGATCGCCCGCAACTGCCCTTGCAGCCTTGGCTTGTCCTGCTTTCCTTTCCCCAACTGATCGTCAATGGGGTCCAGTTCCGGCTCCCTTTCTTGCTTAGGAGCATCGACCCACATGCCGTCAACTTCGTGACCCCCTCCTCCACCTCCGCCCCCTCCGCTGTCGCCAGTGCCCTCGACATCCGTAGGCCCACCATCACCTGCCTGTTTGCTCCCACGTCGCAGCTTTGGGTTGGTTTTGTACGCCTCCACACCCTTTCCGCGCACTGGGTCCCACCCGTTACTCTCAATCAGAAGGTTTACTTCATCAAAGATCCGCTTGCGCAGGCCGAGAACGCTTGAACAACCGCCGGTGAAGATGATCCGGGCCATGCACAGAGCTCGGACGTCCATAGGCAACTTTAGTAGGCTGCGGTAAATGAGAAGGGGAATAGGTAGCTCGTCATCATCGAAAGTACAGTGAGGCCGGTCGGAGGCAAAGAATGTGTCCTCGGATGGGGTTGCGAGCTGATCAAAGGTCATGTCGAGTCTTTGTGGTGGGATAGTCGATCTCAGTGGGACCGTAATACTCGACGGGCTACCGGCAGTTGGAGGATTGTTTGGTTCAGATTCGTCTTGTTCGGTGACTGTAGGCAAGCCTTCTTGCGGTGGTTGACTCGGCGGCACCGGGCCACGGGGATTCTTGGACCACACAAGCCGGCTGACGACCTCCTCGCACTCCTCAAATGATACGACGTGCTCGCCTTTGTCTTCGCCAGCGTCCTCTTCAGGAGGCGGTGCCTTTCCGAGGGCGGTGGCCAGTAGCTTGTGTGTATTCTGTACCAACAACTTCCCAGCACGGACACTACGGCTGCTTTGCACCTCTCTGTACTCGTAGACGCCTGTTACAACCGTCTCAGACCAGCCCATATCAACAATCAGCGCCGATCGAACACCGGCGGAAATCGCACAGGCAACGGGTGAGGACAACAGCGACACAGCGGGGGCATGGAATCTGTTGAAAAGAGTATCCAGCGCGGTAGCTAGCAGTGGCAAGGGAGTACCGGATGGCAAGACGGCGACCATCCTTCGCGGGCGAGAGTCAATTAGAAGATATCTACGTAGACCATACAATTAGCTATGCGTTCCCCAAGTACAGTGGCATAGGGACGTGTCGCCGCACTTGTTGAACGCCTCCCTGAGCCCCCTCTCCATGCGGTCCCCGACCAGGCCCAGGTCCAAGCCCCTCACATCATTCCTCCACAGCTCGCACTCCTCGCCCCACTTGTCGTCCCTCCGCCAGTCGTCCACGTGCCCGATCTCCCACGCCCGCAGGTCGCCGACGCGCCGCGTCTGCGTCGGGCTGAACGACACCAGGGCCTTGGGCACGGCGTCGCCCGCGAAGCCGGCGCGCAGCTTGCGGGCGCCGAACTCGACGATCAGGACCTCGTCCTCGGCGCGGAGGGACGACGGCGAGTTGAACTGGGACGGGATCGAGGGGATCGAGCGGATGGGCGTGCGCGGGTTGGCGGACGAGGATGCGTCGCCCGGCGGCGCTGCACCGCCGCGGATGCTCGACACAGCGCGGTGCGGGAGGCTTGCTCCTCCCGGGGCGGCCATGCTGGGGTGGCGTATTCGGCGACAAAATACTCTGGGAAGAGCAATGTCTGCGAGTTTGCGAGGCGATAGTGGTCGTCGCGTCTGGGGGCTAAATTGGTCGCGGCGCAAGGGTGCGCTTGGAGCCGCATGTCGTTTGCCGTCCCTGTGGAAACATGCACAACCCCTGTCGCGCAAGCCCAAAAGGGTAAAATGTCAACAGTCCACCTACTTTGGTCCTTAGTGCATTACGCCGGCTTGGAATAGTGACAACGACGGCCCTTGGAGTGCGGTTTGGCGTTTCATACAGTCCGAAAATCTCACGGTAATTGCTCGAGATCGCTATGGCTTGATTCAACTTCGATTTTGCTATCACTGCATTGCATTCAATATGGGTATCAAAGGGTTTGTTTACATTCCTCCAGCCCCTGTTCCTGCTCCCGCAGGCAAGTATCGTGCACGCTTTGGCTGACCAAGTCCAGCATCTACAAAGAGATCGGCACCGGCAAGCGAGTCTCGCTGTGCAAGCTCGCAATCGACCATCTCGAGCAGACCGGCCGACCACTTCGCCTTGCTATCGACTTTGCGATATGGTCATTCCAGGCTCAGGCCGCGCGAGGCGGCGCAAATCCTGCCATACGCACTCTATTCTACCGCCTGGTCCGACTGCTCTCTCTGTCAATTGTGCCCGTTCTCGTCTTCGACGGGCCCAATAAGCCCGTTTTCAAGCGCAACAAGCGCTCTCGCGGTCCTGGCGACAGCGTCTCCGTCGCAATGGCCAAGCGCCTGGTGAAGCTATTCGGATTTCACATCCATGACGCACCCGGAGAGGCTGAGGCCGAATGTGCTCTCCTACAGCAGCAAGGTGTCGTGGATGCGGTCTTGTCGGAGGACGTGGACACCATCATGTTTGGGTGCACACTGACCCTGCGGAATTGGTCCTCAGAGGGCACGAGAGCTGCAAAGACGCCCACGCATGTCTCTGTCTACGACGTTCATGAGTTGGGACAGGGCGAATCTGGTCTCGACAGGGAGGGGATGGTGCTTGTCGCTCTGATGAGCGGGGGTGACTACATCCCGGAGGGAGTACCAGGCTGCGGCGTCAAAGTCGCATGCGAGGCGGCCAAAGCTGGGTTCGGGAAAAGGCTGTGTCGGATCAAGAGGTCTGACCAAGAAGCTCTGAGGAAGTGGAGGGAGGACTTGTTGAGGGAGCTACGAACGAATGAGAGCAAGTTCTTCCGCACCAAACACAAGGCCTTGACAATACCCGAGGAGTTTCCGAGTATGGAGGTGTTAAGATATTATACCCATCCGGTGGTATCACAGGCTGCGACCATCGAGAAATTGAAGAGGGAACTCCCATCGAAAAAGGAGGTTGATGTCATTGGTCTGCGGGCCTTCACGGCTGAGACTTTCGACTGGGTCTGCAAGATCGGGGCAGTCAAGTTTATTCGAGTCCTGGCACCAGGGTTGCTGAACCAGGCCTTGATGGATCTCAGCAACCAACAACTCGAATCTGACGAACCAGATCTCCGCGAGCAAGTGGAAGCAAAGCTGGTAAAATCGATAAACATACGGCGAACGCATTTCAGCACGGATGGCACACCCGAGTTACGCATCTCTTACATTCCAAACGACGTTGTCGGTGTAGACCTGGACGCTGAAGAGGACGAAGTCACATCAACGTACGGGAGGTCAGGGCTGGCACTCAATAGCGATGACGAGGTTGATGGGCAGGCCGAGGAAGCGGAAGCTGGGCCCAAGAAGGTTTTCGATCCACTCCAGCCAGACCTCGTCTGGGTGCCCGAGACGGTGGCTAAGCTAGGTGTGCCACTTGCAGTGGAAGACTGGGAGGAGAGGCAAAGGGCGAAACAGCTGGCAAAGGGGGTCAGGAAAGCACCAGCCAAGAAGCTCCGGAAGAAAACAACGAATATGCCAACGGGTGCTCTGGATCAATACGTCAAGAGCACGAAGCCCACCTCGCAGCTCCAGAAGCAGCCGGAGTTGCCTTCGCTACTTCTTTCATCGTCTCCACCATCGTCATCCGCACAGCCTCGGCTCCGTTCCACAAGCTCTACTACAGCGCCTGTGGCACCGACAGAGCCTAGGCAATCTCGAGCATTAAGAGACAAGCCATCTAAAGTCTCCAAGACGTATAAATCACAAGAAAAGGCAACGACATTACAGCCGTCATTGGACACCAATCCGTGGACCATCGCAAGCTCACAAGCAACACCTAAAATCTCCAGGACAAGGACAACAGTATCAGAAGCTATAATTATCTCATCCAGCCCGTTGGAAACGAGACATTCACCCATAGTCGCCTCTCCAGCCTCTCACAAGCCACATCGCGATGCCATCCCCCCACAGCCCTCATTCTCATCCATCGCCAACAACTCCCCAGATATTCAGCTACACGACGATTCCTTCAACACCGGGCACAGCTACTCTTCAGATGCAACGGCAGCAGAAGCAAGTCCGAGCCCACGGAAGCACAACCGCCCACCGGACGACACGCCCAGGAACCCAGCTGCTAAGCGCACGCAGAGAAACACGGGTGCAGGCAAGCTCAGGTCCGGGAGCCCCCCGAGGCGGGCATCCCGCGCGGGCGGAGCGCCTCCAAACCGGGGCCAGACCTCGATCAAGAGCTTCGGCAGGCTCTCCGAGACGGTGGGCAGGGGCAACATCATGCCGCGGGGGAAGCCGCTGCCGCCTGTTTCGGACTCAGACGAAGAGTTCGAAGAGCTGAGCGCCCTTGGCTCGAAGAGGAGGCTCGTGGGAGAAGCTCAGGACGTCCCGGCGCTGTGCTCGCAGCGCTCGAGTTCTAACGCGCTTAATAATAAAGAGCACAGGAATCCACCAGCACCATCGAGAAACGGACCTGGGGCCGGTTCCGCAATAGCACTGTCATCGTCACCAGCAATGCCCTCATCTGCCCATACTGCAGCGGTTCTACGACCCAAGGAGAAGCCGGCGATGACCAGGGTCTACATGTCCAGGACGAGCGACGCGGGGCTCGGCTACTTCACGGAGATGGAGGTAACCCCGGAGGAAGCCGACAGGCTGGCTTCTTCCAATCGGGCCAAGAGGCCTGGTGGTTACCGAGTGTGGAGGCAGAGCGAGGTCTCGATCTTGGATCTCACAGGAGAGGACTAGACAGATGAAATAGGCCATTGTTCTGGCAATGCAAGCGCTCAGTGAGCAGTCATGATTTCGCTGCTGTTCCTGACTTTTTCTTCACTTTGATCGCATGCACGTTGCAGTCCAGACGAGATAAGTTTGTGAGTGAGTATTCCTGATTGACGGGTATCCTAGGTATAGTATGACGTGAAGGGGTAAGTAAGTTATGTGTGTGTGTGCGTGGCGTGTGATAAGAAGCTCGTTACAGTAGTGTGGGTCATAAATGGCCGTGATATATCGTAAAACAGAGAAAAAAAAGAGGCAAACAAGTGCCAGACCTAAAGCAAATGATTGTAGAGAAGAGGAAACCAGGGGAAGGGGGTTAAGTAAAAATGCTGCCCCGAACATGCCCAGCGGATGAGGGAAAACAGACAGTATCCGACACCGACGACGCCCGAGATTTGATTACCTTTGCCCTTTGAACCAGCTCTTCCATGCACCCAGAGATATTGACAGTCTCCTCCTCATCGTCATTCCTGGCCATTCGGCCGTATGCATAAATCCATTTTCATCAACGTCGCTCAGTCGCTCGTTTCATGCGGGCGCACCCGGCTCGCTCGCTCGCTCGTTCACGCGCGCTCAAAAAGATTCCTTCCCCCTCATGTCGCCGTATCCCACCCACCCATCTATTTATCCATAAATCAATCATCGACGGACCACGGCAGGTCCCGATCGCTGACCCGCGTGCAGGTCAGGTACCCGATGCCCTCGGCGGCGCGGCTGCCCCCGCCCAGGTCGAGCTCCAGCCCGCTGCCCATCAGCGGCCTGACGACCTCGCGCGCCATGCTCTTGAGCTCGTCTATGCGCTTCTCGAACCGCCGCAGGTTGTCGCGGCTGTACATCTCGGGCGTGAGCTTGAGGAAGCGCTTGCACTCATCGTGCGTCAGGTACCCCGGCGCGCTGGCCCCTGTCATGCCGCCCAGAGTGCGGTACGTGCGGCCCAGCGAGGCTAATGGTGGAACGAGGGGAATAACGGGCTGTGCGGCTGACGCAGGAATGAGCGCGGTATTATTGTTACTGTTAGGGCCTGAATTGTTGCGCGTCCGTCCTCCGCCGGGTTGTGCTATTGCTCTCCGCTCGCTTTGGGGCGGGGGTGCGGGAACAGGATTGGGCGTGGTGTTGTCTGCCAGCCACTGCCTGAAGAAGCTGACGGCTAACCAGTCGAGGTAGCCAGTCGCAGGCGTTACTCGCTCCCCGGATCTTGTAGTCAGATTGAGCCTGAAAAGGCGGCCCTCGACCCTTGCGACAGTTTCCTCCAGCTCGTCGACCTTATCCTCGATGATATCCAGGACGGACTCGGGTAGGGTGTTCCTCAGGCTGCGCTCCCCGGCAGGCCATTGGCCGACGACGTGGATGAGGGCCTCCTGGAAAATAATCTTGCTTCTTGCCAGGTGACCCAGCCGAAGATAGCTGATGGGGTACTTCGCAATCTGTTTCCACAGCCGGCTTTGGAATTGCAACAGGTGGTGATCTACCCTTGGCCCAACGACGGATAGCGCATCGTACTGATCCGCTATGGTGAGCAGCGATTTGCATTGTACGTATGCGTCGGCAATGTTTATTCCATCCAGGACGGGGGAGAAATTGTACATTATGCGGAAGAGGTTGTCGTAGTCGCGAAGTGTGTCTTGGTCTTCGGGTGACGGCGGCGGGAGATTCGAGGTAGTGTTCGTCGGTAGTGGATATTGGTTGTGAGTAGGTGAGGGCATACTGAGGTTCGCGACGGATCGGAAGAAGTCGCGCGAGGATGACTGGTTGTGAGAGTGTTTTGTTCGGCCAACGGCGCTGCTACTTGAGCTCCCGCCGAAGATGGAGGTGGTTGGCGGCCCCATCAGGCGGCCGGTTGCGGCAGAGGTGGTGTTGTTGTTGCTGTTCTCCTCCTTCTGCACCAGCATGGGTATATCGTCGCCCCCTTTCCCGTAGTCGAGCTCGTATCTCCACCTCTTTCTCGGCGTGCCTATGTTTGCCCGCGACACAGTGCTTCCTCTCTCGGCGGTACCGTTGTCCTCGCCTATCCTGGCCAGCTCCCCTCCGGCCGGAGCTCCATTTCGCCCCGGCGCAGGTAATGCAGGCAAATCCGGAACGACATCTACCGCCTTGGACCACGGCTCACTGGTGCTCGCCTCGAAGAACCCACTGCACCGCGTCAGGGTGTGTCGGTGCAGCAGGTACCTGTTCTCGTGGCCGGAGGGGACCTTGACCACGATCTCGACGTCGCCGGAGTGGGAGAACCAGGGGAACTCATTCTGCGGGACGTAGGAGGCGCCGCCGGCATAGGACCTGTTGTAGTGGTGGCGTCGAGAAGATCGGTGTCGCGCGCCGGTGGTGGAGCTGGTGCCGACGACAGAGCTGGGGCCGCGGACGGTGATGGTGCCCCCAGAGCCGGACGTGGACGAGTGATCGGGCTGCGAGACCATGGCCGCGCCCGGGGAGAGTGGCCGCAGGCGGTGATGCGCCTCTGGAATGGGTCAGGTCGTGCCAGTGCCCAGTGCCCCTCGGTAGACAGCTGGATAGGCGCCTTTGAGGTCTGGGGCCGGTGGTCACGGTGTGGCTGGAGTTGAGGGGTGGTCTGCCCGCAATGTGGTGTGCTAACAATTATCAGTAGGAGTTAGGTAGGAAAGTAGGTAGGCTGGTAGGCTGTCAGAAAGGAGGGGTCGATCAGGTCGGTCAGGTCACCAGCAGGCAAGGCATGCGATGAGCAGCGCGATGGCATCAACATCTTCCGTTTCATAACATTACACAGAAGCGCAACATTAAAAACAGAGCCTGCCACTGGAGACGATGAGGTTGGGAAGAGGATAACACAACAGGAAAAGAGACGTCTTATCCCAGCATCCTGGGACCTGAAAACGGAAAAGCATCGACTGACCATACAGACTACCCAGATAGACTACGGCCTTGGGCACGGCCTATTGGGCTACGGAGCACAACACACACTCACTCACTCTCTCACACACCCACACTCCACAGCTTATGGGCTAATCTACGCCCGGTGCTGTGTGTCGTCCCGTCGCGGGCCAGCCGCTTGCAGCTCAGGAGCCGGCCTGGTCTGGCTTCTGCGGGTGCAGCTTAAGCTGACTGGGTGGAGGTCGCCGAATGTCTGACTTGTCGAGCTGTCTGACTGGCGGATGGGAAACTCGTGAGGCTGTGCCTGTCGGTCGCCACAGCTGGGTATCATTCAGGGACGCCCTGACACATGTACTGGTGGTGGCTGGTAGCCGATGGCTTTTGGCGGCTTATTTGACTTTCGTCCCAGGGGCCCCAACTTCTGATCGCCTGGCCTGCTGGGATGGTGGCTCCAGTACAATTGGGCGTCGGGCTCGGGGATCGGCAGTATTCGTTCAATTAGAATTAGGATGATGGAGTTTGAAGACGATCTCAGAGCGCTGATAACAACGGAAGAGGCTCTCGAGTCGCAGGGAAGGCGAACGCGGAAGCAGAACAGGAACAAGAGAGTGAAAAGAAAAGAATATGCAGAGAGAGACGATGCAGAAAGGCGGGTATTAAGATCCAACCTCGTTTTTGGATCTACAAGGCAAGAAAGGCAACTCGACATGCGAAGCGCCCAGGAGAGATTGAGCAAAGTAGCGGTGCCTAAGTAGCCTTGCCTTGACTTGAAAGTTTTTCTCTTCTCCATTATGCCATGCCACCCCTCCTCTCCTGTTTCCTTCGGAGGCACGAGCGGACGGTTCTGTCTCGTCGCGTTCTCATGCGCGTCTGCCAGTGATTCCCCCAGACGCCTCCAAGTTTGTTTCTCCTGCAGGACAGCATAGTGCATTGCCCTCCAAACAATCCAACCCGACTCGGCCCCATGCACACCGCACCACGAGGGATCCATGATAACCCCATGTTTGAGAATTCTCATAGCACGCAGCCAGGTGAGCGAGCCTACGGGCACTCGCCTCGTCCTTGGGTGTGGTAGTCTAACAGTCGCTGCCTTCGCGACGCCTGTCAGCCTATCGTCCGATCCCAGACTCGGCCGGCCCAAACTTGAGCAATCGCTGACTCCGGAAAAACGCTGCTGCCGCTGCTGTCGAGTCCACCACTGACTACCAGACTGGCCCCCATCTCTACCACCATCCTCGAGTCATCAGCCAGCCCTCTCAACCCCCGGTTGGCCGTATCATTTGCCAGCTATATAACAAATGATCAAAAGCTCACATATAGCCAAGACACAGGCATTCTGTAACCAACAGACAAAGAGCTCGCAGGATGAACCCCGGAAGAGCACCGAGATCGACACGACCGACCAGCAGCAGACTGGGGAAATGCGCCAAATCAGACAGAAGACAGCCAAACCCCACGAGTGTCGATTGGCCTGTTTGCTGCCATAGCTTCATCTTCTTCTCCACTGTCGCTCAGTCCCACCCAGTCAAGAACTCTCACAAGCATGCGGCTCCATTGACCGCAACGTCCAACTAGGCATTGGGCATGCTCTGCACGAAAACTTTTTGACTTCAAATGCTCTTCTTCAATTTCAGCATGGATGATTGTTTAACTAATAGTACATGTGCGCGATATGTGCGAAAGCAAATTTCCAGTGGCAACGCCGTCCGTAAATCACCATTACCTTTTTTATTCCCGGTTGAAACGACCTGTTGGATTGGAGAACCAACACCGCAGCGCAAAGCCGTCACCAGTATCGGCGCAGTCCAACCCCAACTCCACCCAAAAGCAGACTAAAGCAAAGCAAATCATTTCAACGCCAGTCCAGTGATGCAGTCATTCAGTTCATGTCCACGTCCATGTCGGGAACGGTAGGAAGTTGTTGTGCGGTCGAGGATGTGTTCCACGTCGAGTTGTTGGCGTCTTGGAATTGAGGTCGAGGAGACTCGACAGCAGTCATCATTGGGCCATCGAAGACGGCAGGGCATGACTTGAGATTGAGGAAGGCTCGCTCGGGATCCGAACTGACAAGTCGGCCCTCGCGAAGATTTTCGGCGAAGAGGAAGATGCCCTCGCGAGCTTGAACTAGGTAAGCCTCCTGGGATTTTTGCAGGAGAATCTTGGCGCCAGTGACAGGGAAGTGGTTGTCAATGTAGCGAGCCCAGCCACGAGCAGCTGCTTGAATGTGCTCGTCTTCGCTGAGGCGGGCCCAACCGATGCCGAGATGCATGGTGAAGTCGTCAACGACTGGTTGGGTGGGCGCATCGGGCGAGGTATCGCGGCCAGAGTTGTTTCCGTTGTGTGCGATCTGATCCGACGGACCAGAGTCGTTTGAGAGGCCGAGACGTTGCGACTTGTTGCTTCGCAGGGAAGAGCGTTCTTGAGAGAGCTTCTTCTGGGCAATGGTAGCCTCCTCAAGCTTGCGGGCATGTTCTTGAGCGGCCTTTTCTTCAATCCAGGTACCGGACTGGCTGCCGGCATCGGGAGTGTAGCCTTTGTTCTTCTTGATGAGGATCATGCCGGGGCCATACTCCCACTCGTCTTCAGGTTCTTCGACTTTGGGAGCTGGGACCACCTTCTCTGGATCGTCAAGGTTGGCTGCTGCCTCATCTCTGGAGCGTTTGCGGCCGGCGAATGTCGAATTGGATCGAAGGAACGGACGAGTGGAACAAGAGACTGAATGACCGAGCGACTGAGACTGGTGCGAGAAGACAGGCCTGCCAAAGGAGAGCTGATGGGCAGGCTGGGGTGGCAGGCCCATGACTGGGGAGGCAGTACGATCAAAGTACGACATGGTGATCTGCGAGAACGCAGGTGAGCAGCTCAAGTCAGAGAGTTTTCTAGAGAAAAAGTTATCAGTCGCAAGCCGAGGACCTGTGCTGTACTACAGTCAGAGGTCGGCTGCCAATTAATTGGATCCAGACGCGTAGCGTTGGCGCGACGAGATGGACGGCCGGGGCGTGAAGAGCCGCAAAGGGTGGCCGGTATGGTTGAGGCTGAGGTTGAGGCTGTCGATGACGTGAAGGAGGAGGACCAGCTTATGGACAGGCTGATCGGTGTGGGCGACAACCTAGGGAGATGAGGCTGACGAGAGTGTCGACGACGACTACTGGGAAGGCATAGAGAAGAGAAGGCACGCGAGGTAGGAAGGGTGGACGAAGATGGGAAGGTGGGCGCAAAGGTATTTATGTATGGTGGTGTTGGGGGAAGAAGGTGAGAAGACGTGATGGTGTGGGTGAGGTGGAAAGGAAAGTCGGAAGGGGAGGGAAGTGATGAAAGGGAAGGGCACGAGATAAGAATGAACGGGAGAAAAGAAGGCGAGACGAGACACGGGGTCCAAGGTTGGCGCTGCGATTGTCAGTGTGGAGGGGAGGAGAAGGAAGAGGATGATGGGAGAGCTGAGGGTACGGCACTGTGTAGAGAGCTGCGAGGTTCCCAAGGAGCGCAGCGCACAGCGCAGCGCAGTGTCTGGGTGTGTAGCGCACAGCAGCGAGCAGTAGCCGGCAGCAGCAACCAGCACCAGCAGCGGCAGCTCTGCGGCGCGCGATCCTTCCTCACCCGGTTGCGCTTTGCCGGGTCAGGAAGGGCAGGGGCCTAGGACCCAGGGCCAGGAACCTGCCTTGTCCACTCCCTGCCTCTGCCTGTCGTGGTCCCAAAAGGGAATGGCCAAATCTTGGGATGCACCTCATAAAAATGCAGGGAAGGCGTCAGACGACGAGCTCGCCTCTGATTCGCGAGACGGGCCTACGGGGATCATGGGCCTGAGCGTCCAGACCCCAGAAAACTTTCTCAGGTGCGAAAGCCTTGCTGCCATTCATATTCCCAATCCGGCTAGCCCCAGCTGGCAAGTCTCAGACTGCTCGGTGCCGATGGCGCAACAAGCCCATCAACCAATCCAGCCAATCCAGCCAATGCAGGCAGAGCCGGAGGAGACCCTGATCTCATTGCGTGGTTGACCTCTCCCGAGGCTGATCTACTGATGGAAAGGGACTAGCTGCTGGCCATCTCCGACCCAATCCTGAGCCTCCGCCAAGACGCACCCACGCAAGCAAGCACTGACTGACACTGACTGATGACTTCCTCCTGCACTCATCGGCAGTTTTGGTCCGCCTTGACTTGGAATATTGTCGCCTCAGGCACCAAACGACCAAGGCCACCCTCAACCGTGGTTGCAACCGCCGATTGCCCAGCATCCAGTCAGCCCGCCCCCAGTCGGATGTTGGATCAACCCCAGCCATTTCTTTATCCTCCTTGTCCACCTCGGATTCAAGGCACGCAAGCAGCGGTGTGCTCCACAAAAGCTAGACCTGATTCAGTGGCCTCTGCTCACTGCCTGCCTGCCCAGCCAGCCAGCCAGCCCGCCCTCGAGCCCGCCTACCCATCTGTTGACTGACCAGCCAGCCAGCGCTATCTTGGGTTTGATTTGTGCAACTGGTTGCAGCATAAAAGTTGTGCAAGGCATGCACAAAAAGCAGTCTAGCAATGGGAGGGTGGCAGTCTTGGATTCAATGCAATATGCAGCCAACACCGCCGCCTTTGTCCACAACATCCTGCTGACTGTTGTTCCCATGCCCTGTCAGCATGACTCGAGAGGCTTGCCCGAATCGTCACATACTGTACTCATGGCCCGGGCTCCTGGTCAAATCCCCATCCTTGGAATACCTATTTGTTCAGGATAGCAGATCGACAACACCATAGGGAATAACTTGTCTTGAAACACGGCAGGGTTTTCATGCTGAAGCAAATCATGGTTGAAAGAAGCTGCTGCTTTGGGCTTTGAGAGAATCTAAATCTGTGGTCTAAACTCCGCCATTGTCTGTTCGATCGTTGAGGTAAGAAGAGAGGGTAGGTTAATCTCCATGTTCCTATCTCTTAATGACGCTCAAAGGGAGACAGACTCTGGCGCAGCCATGGGTTCTCTCTCTGGCTAATGTCATTTAAATAATCAGTCTCGCCATAAAAATAATGGTGTTGTCTCATTCTTGTGCGCGGGCCAATCTTTCTTCTTGCTGCAATTTTCATCGTTCCTCTTGCGCATGACGTAAGCTGAGGTCCATCGGCGAATCCGTCTCAGTCTGCGCGACTGGGACTGTGAGTCGAAGACCCGGGCCCCGTTGCCTGCGATGCCTCCTCGAACAGAGCCGCATCATCCTCATTCTCGTGCCCGCCGTAAAGACCCTCGAACCCTGGTGTCCTCATACCCACGGGACTCGGGACTCTGCGGTGGCGGAGTCTTCGGGCTGTCGCTGGAGTACGACCCAGAGTCTGGGAAGATCTCAGCCGCCTCACCGGAGCTGTGTACGACCCCAAAAGCCTACTCTGGTGCTGGGACTCTGGTAACTGCTCTGGAGTCTGAGGTTGACGTGTCGGTGAGAGCAGGTCGTCATACACCCGGACCCTGCGGATAGGGGTGGACAGCGGCGCTGGACGATCGGGCGAAGGACTCCCTCCCGCAACAGGCTCCACGCGAGAAGGTGCAGTCCGTCCGTGACCAGCTTGAGGACACGCCTGCTTCAGACGCGTGACTGGTTTGGCGGCTCTCTGCGGACTGCTGCGGTTCTACAACCATGGCGTGGATTAGCCTTGGTCTGTCTCGTGGCATGGTGCCCTATTCCTTTCTTACCGAAGGTCCAGGTTCACCGTCATGTTTTGGCTCGGCAGGGGCGTTACAAGACGATCGACGACGCTGGCATCCCAGTACTCCAGGCAGTGCACCAGGAGCGGGCGATTGTTCAGGACCAAGAGACGGTCGAGTTCGAATAACCTAGGACAGTGTCAGAGCATTGATGACTCTGGCTGATGCATGTCCCGGGTGACTGGACGCTACCTACCAGGGTCTGCGTCCACGGCCGTTCAGTTGGGGCTCTACTTAGAATTTGCGAGGAAGATGCGAGCATACCAGGGAGGCGGGCGATCGGGTTGCGATCCGTGTTATTCGTTGAGTCGATAACAGTCCTCTCCTCCAGGCTCATGGCCATTCTTGTCAGTTTCCGTTGGTTGTCAGCACCGATGGCGTCAACTCCATTCACAACTTCCGTTTCCTGATGCGAGGAGGTATTCTGTGATGGCCCAGCTTGTGGCCTTGCGCTTTCCGAGGAGCTCGGGATTGTTCCAGGTCTGCAAGGCCGCAGCGAGGAAACCCCAGGAGACGAGGTCCAAGTCAAGACATCAAGTGAGTCAAGATAGCCACGAGGAACCTGAGGCTGATGTCTAACAAACATCGGGTCTGTACTGTGCTGTGAGCTCGTAGGAATGACCTCGTCATCGTTTGCCTCGCCGGTTCGCACGCTGACGATTCTCTCCAAGGGCGAGGAGGGTAAAGGGTCAACGTAATTTGAGTTCGAGGAGGCAGGTCTTCGGTTGTGGGAAGCAGTGAGCGTCCCTAGCCGTGCTTCATGTTCCAAACTTGAGCTGCCCTTCCGGTGTACTGTCTCCTCAGAGGCTGGGTTTTCCTCCCTCTGAAGATACCTGCGATAACGTCGTCGGTTCTCCAGCTCCTGAACCTCGGACATGGTCAAGACGATCGATGTTGGCTGGAGACGAATCATCCTGATACAGAGATAATCAGACTAGGCTATACAGACTCGGGACAGTATCATTGAACAACAGAGGCCGGCTCATTAGAGTCAAAGACTCAGAGTGAGTGAGTGATATTCACTTGTGTTTTTCAGAGGTAGTCAGTCTAGGAATCGATGGGTTGAGACTCTCAACTCTGTGGAAAGAGTCGGAGCAGGCACTCCGCAGTGCTGGGTGCACCTGAAAGGCTTGCCATATTCCCAGTCGTTGCCGTGAGGAAGGAACGTCCACGCTCGCGCTTAGAGATTGAGCCTCGAGGATGAGTATTGACCACGAGAAGGCACGCTGAGGGTCGACAGGGCCTTAGGTTCGGGTGCGATGAATTACGAGGAGAGGCTGACCGGGCAGGTGCCCAATGCTCGAATCATCAAACCCGGAGATGATATTGAAATTGGTAAACATCAGAAATAGAACGCTCATCGATGCAATTGATTTTCTTGGACTACAGAAGTGATCAATATCTAGACCACTTGGGTATTTCTACATCTCATCATGTTGTGTTCTATATGATGGGCTGGAAGGGTTGAATGCTGGTCAAAAAGATCTGTGCCTGCGCGCGGCCACTGCCTTGAGCTGAGAAGACGCTGTTGTCTGCATTGCTTATTATGGATGTGGACAAGTGGGCGGGCGGTGATTTGCACAAAGCCCGGCGGGTTGCATCTCGCAATAAGGGGCGGGCGTTTTGGCCGTGGTATGCTTGGACGTTTTGGTTGCTGTTAGCTGCTGTGACCAACCCTGTCTGTAAACCAAAATGGAGCTGCAGCGGCGGCCGAGAGCGGGCGACCTGGTGCCGCAATATGCCTGTGGGAGGTATAAGTGATAAGCTCAGATCGGGGGCGGTCGTGGAATCTCCCTGCTCAAGTATGTAGCATTGAGAGGATGTTGTGTGCGTTTTGAAATCGAGCTGGCTCTTCAAGTGCAATATCACCGTACCTGGCCACTAACAGGCAGAACGGGCAGGTAGGCAGGTAGGTCCAACTCCAAAACGGTAGGGGGACCAGAGGGAGTGGCTTGCCCCTTGCAGCTAACAATGGATCTTTACCTCTTCAGTTCACCTTCAATCTACCTACTAGGTGCCCTGACCACCAAAAGGAGCGACTCCGTTCTGCCTACCACATTACCACCACCCACCTGCTCCGTAGTGGCTGGCCTACTGTACAAGCACAGCGCAGCGGCACCGCAGCACAGCACAGCACAACACAGCATAGCACAGTCCTCCCTCTGGACCCAAATCTCCTGGCTACCCTGACAGCAAGCCGTCGACAGCAGCTCTCGATCCTGAGTCCTGACCGGCCCTCTCAGCCTCTCTGTGTGATCAACAGACCCGCATTACTCATGGACGGGGGACTGTCCAAGACGGGACAGGTGGACACCTAGAGCAATCAAGCAGCATTGCCGACTTCGACACGGACACCTGCCCGACGGCAGACAATACCGTACGCCACGCCAGCTGCCCTGCCCTGCTTCCAATGTGAATGAGCATCGATCCAATCCCACCCTGCCATTCCCTATACGGCGCAGCGCCCTGATGCCCGCCCTCTCATGGTACAGCTACATCCTTTTTGGCTCGATCTGAGGCTCTAATTGCGGTTGCGGTTACGGGCAATACCCAAGCAGGGCCAGGCCAGAGTCTCATCAGTTCCAAGGAATCGCAGCGTTGCTTGCTGCCAGTTCCCGGGACCAGCGACCAGCGACAGCGCCTCCTCCCTGCGCGACCCATCGGTCGACACGGCCAAGTTGCCCGCCACCATCCCATAGCCCGGCTCTTTCGATCTGCCAGACCACGCCAGTTACCATGAATGGCGACATAAGCCTGTCCAGGGCCCTGGGCGGTCTACGAATCGCCAATCTCTCAGATGATTCCGACAATGAGCCCAGTCCTACTCGCGACCAACCCATCGCGGCAGACGACTCCCACGACAGCCCTTCGCTCTCCAACCCCCTAGACGAGCCGCAACAAACCTCGAAACATCTCTCGCGTAACCCCCAAGAAGACCAGCACCGCGCACCCAGCGACAACCAAGCTCAATACAGTCCAGAAGCCGTATCAAACTTACCACCAGCTGCTACCCCCGATTTCGCGCAATCGACTACAGACGGTCCCTTCACCCCTCCCATCGGGCAGTCAATCCCACCTTGGCAACCTGCCCTTCAACCATCACCAATGGACGGCCCTGAAAGACAATACCAGACCTCTTCTCGCCCGCTCTCCGGCCCTTTGTCCAACCCCCTTTCCGTCTCGCACAACGTCGAAGCAGGACCGAGCTCGTACAACAACTCCCTAAGGCCGGAGGGTTCCAGAGCGTCCATGTTCGATCTTCCCACACGGAGCAACTCGAGATCCATGCGAGTCCCTTACGCGGGTCAAATCCCTCAACGATCACCGAGCTATCGAGAGCGGTCGTACAACCCTGAAGTACGGCGCACGCTGCCTCCAGGTGCGGGCGGTGCGGCATTGCCCCCCAGGAAAAGTTCCAAAGGGCGAGGGGGCGGCTTCGTCTCCGCGGCAGGAGCGCCAATGGCCCAACCAGGCAGTAACAACTTCGGAGCAGAGTTGCCCCAGCCAGGTAACAGTGAAGAGTGGCAAGAAAAAGGTGCGGCGGTCGGCATCAGGAGAGAGGTAGATGCGCAAGGGAAGACAATCCTGCGATCTGTCAAGAAAGGTGTCCGTGACTTCTCGTTCGGCAAGGTTTTGGGCGAGGGATCATACAGCACAGTTTACCTGGCCACAGACCGACAGTCACTGAAGGAATACGCCATCAAAGTACTCGAGAAGAAGCATATCATCAAAGAGAAGAAGATCAAATACGTGAACATCGAAAAGAATACCTTGAATCGGTTAACGGAGCATCCTGGCATCGTTCGGCTATACTATACCTTCCAAGATGAGACCTCACTTTACTACGTACTGGACCTTTGCAACGGAGGAGAGCTGTTAGGGGTCCTGAAACGGACACATACCTTTGATGAGGAGTGCACACGGTTCTATGGAGCCCAAATTCTTGACGCCATTGAGTACATGCACTCAAGAGGGGTTATACATCGCGACCTTAAGCCGGAGAATGTGCTACTGGACGATAACATGCATGTTAAGATAACTGACTTCGGAACGGCGAAGCTGTTGCCAGACCCCAGAGACCCAAGGCCACAGCCTGAGAACGCGGCTCCGACCGAAGGGAATTCGCGGGCAGCCTCGTTCGTCGGGACCGCCGAATACGTCAGCCCGGAGCTTCTTACGGAGAAGACTGCGGGCAAGGCGAGTGATGTTTGGGCCTACGGTTGCATTATATACCAGCTACTTGCCGGACGTCCGCCATTCAAAGGCGGTACAGAGTACTTGACATTCCAGAAAATTGTTGGTCTAGAATACGATTTCCCTCCAGGCTTCCCGCCAGCGGCACGAGACCTTGTCGAGCGATGTTTGGTCCTGGACCCAGGGAGGCGTCTGACCATCGAGCACATCAAAAACCACGAGTTTTTCGACGGGCACAGCTTTGGAAAGGGCCTGTGGAGGACAAAGGCCCCACGACTCCGACCACACATACCACCCACGCAGGAGCCACAGATTATCCAGCTCAATGGATCATCCTCCGGCTCTAACCAAAACCCGCCGTCCAGCAGAGGGCTACAATCCCAGAATGGAAGCGGCAGCAGGCCCGCCAGGATAATTACTGAGTTACCGCCTCCTACACAGCTTGATATCGAATGGTCACCGGTCCTGACGAGGAACAACGAGAGAATATTGAAATTGGGTGACCTGCTCGTCATATCATCACCGATTCCCAACAGCCCACACGGCAAAGGAGAACACGGCCAACACAACAAATTCTCACGGTTCTTTGGCGGGAGCACGATGAAGAAAAAGCAAAGACTGGTCATGGTCACATCTAGCGGTCGCATTGTGCTGGCTCCTGCGGGCGGCGAAGAGAAAAAGGCTAAGCAAGAGATTTCACTCCTTGCTCCCGACTGCGCGTGGCGGACTCAGGTCGATGTGAAGGGGCAGGTCGTCTGGTGCATTGATGCGGTAGGTCTCGCTCATGATGCGTTCTTTATCCCTCTTAATAAGGCTTTCCGTGCTGACTTGTTTTCAGAATGGCACCCATTACCAGTTCGAACAGCCAAAGTCTTCACAACTCGACGCAGGCACGGTAGATGAGTGGATAGAGGCTCTCGAAAGGGCGAAAGACCTTGCAATGTCTCAAGACTTGTCTGGCTACAACAGTGATAATGGCTTTGGAGAAATGTCATCGTCCATGTCTCCCAGCCCAGCAAGCACACTGTCACGACAGGTGCCGTACCCTGAAGGAGGGTTCAGCATCGCCGATAGATCGGGCCGCAATCAGTTGAGTAAGAGCCAGGCTAGCCTGGAGGAACAACAGGCAAAGAGAAACCGTTTCAGCAAGAGACAGTCAAAGAATGGGTTGGGCACAGCGGCGTTCTGAGCACGACCACCCAATATTACCCTAATACACCACACATAGGCGGGCTCACATCTGATCAGCCTTTCACAGCACATCATGAACCATGCACCGATCTTCTTTCACCTTTCATCATATACTTCCCGTACACGAGGGGCGGTCAGGGCAAACGGTATTTGGCATTTTCTGGCGCAAGCGGGCAAGAGGGCGTCGCGTGGTTGCGTGTTTGTTTCGGGGTATCTAAAGAGAGCACAAAAGAAACCGAAACCCGCGTTGGCCATGGAACAATCGTCGTCGTCGTTATTATCATCATCATTATCATCACAGCCTCTAACACAACCAACCTCTTTTTTTTTTTTTTTAACCTGCATTCAGTTTGAAAATCGTCAAGCCACACATACAATTCCTTTTGTTCGGGACGCGGAGGGTTGGGAGCCTCTCGGGCAAGAGGATGGCGGTGTCCTTTGTATTACACCTAAGCTTCTAATCGGCATTTGTTGAGCGTGGCGCAGGCCGAAATGGCCGTGAGGGGGGTTCGTGAGAGGTTAGGCAGGCCGCGGAGGAGGGCAGGGCAGTAGACAGGAGGCAGAGGCAGTGTCTGGAATTGAAAAAAACAGGAGGAATGTCTGACATTCTGTCAATTGTGTGTCGCGCCGCCCCATGATGAGATGTGACAGCTTGAAGGTGGCAGACCTTTCCAGGCTGAGCCTGGCGCTCTGCTAGCAATGTGCTGCAACCTGCCGTATATGCAGGATCACGATCGCAGACTGCCAGTTGCGAAGACGAATGTGGTTGTTTCACCGCTACGATAGCCATAGAGGGCTGCTTGCCGCAATCCCTTCCCGGGGCGGCGGTGGGCGGTTGGGCAAAGCGTCACAGCATGTTCTGACCGTAAGATTGATCTTTACATCTTTCATATAACGAGAGGGGCAGCCAAGTGCATCCAGTCTGGCCAGTGTACTCTTCCTCAGGTATGAGACGCCTCGGCACCTAGGTCGGCACAGGAATGAGAGCGAGACTCATCACGATGAAGACCCACAGTCAGTGGACAGACTCTATCAAAGCGGAAGGCAGAAGAGGCTTGCTTGTGGTGCATGTGCGCACGGACCACTTAACGGTGGCATGGGACGGAGGCGTGGGAGGTGGGAGGGTGCAGGGTAGGTGTGCAGCGTGTACCTCCTCTCCTGCCTTGGGTGCCCCGTCCGTACCGTATTGCTGTGCCTCCGTACGGAGCCTAGTGTCTACAGCCTAGCCTGGTGCAGCCTGGCTGGTCGTCCGTCTGGGCTGGGCTGACACTGCTGGCTGGCTGGTAGCACTCCACAAATTCATAGACCTCGCAAAGCCCGATCATCCTCTGCCACGTCAAATGCGATAGTCCATCCAGGCCAAGTCGCGTCAGATTCACTGAACCCGGCAACACGGAGCGAGGTGCCCCCTTTCGAGGCGAATTCTTTTAATCAAATCAATCAATCGGAAAGCCACGACAAGAAGCGGGTCCAACACGATTCGATCCCCGTCGCAAACGCAAACCGACCAAGATGCAGGCGCAATACCGCCCGTTCCCACAAAATGTTCCCCAGAGGTCGCCGCATGTCCCTGCTCCACGACGCGGAGGAATTGGTACGTCAGTGAATCTTAATCCGAGTTTTGCATTTTCGCTGTCGCAGCCGCTGTCGCCGTCGCACCTGCTCCTGTCCTGTCCTGTTCATCCCATTGATCTGATCTGCCCGCCCTCCATTGATACACTGCTTCCCTTGTGCCTCCTGGTCGCTGCTGCCCGTTCACCACCGCAGTCCAACCAGCGCACAACACCGAATCCCTCTCCCTCCCACCCGTGCCACAAGCCGTCGTCCGAGAGCATCTAGCCTAGCAGCAACAAACTGCCCACACCAGCCCGCCCTGGCATAGCCTTGGCAAAGTCGAGCATCATGTCTAACCGTCGCGCTTCTTCCACAACAGGTCCCATGATGCAGCACCACCAGGGCCTGCACAACCCTCCCCACGTGCCCCTAAACCAGGCCCAGCTGGCGGAGAAGCAGCACCAGCAGCAGGCCGCCGTCGAGCGCGCCAAGCTGCGCGCCAAAAAGCCCACCGACAAGACCATGCCCGATGGCGTCGAGGACTGCATCATGAGCGACGGCGTCCAGCGCTACAAGGAGCTCAGGGACTTCGAGAGGAGGCTGGACGCGACCATCACGCGCAAGAGGCTGGACATTGTGGACTCTGTCAACAAGAACGCCAAGAGGTGGAAGACGGTGCGGGTATGGGTCACAAACACCGTCGAGGACCAGGTCTGGCAAGGGAACGGCATCAACGCCGACAGCTTCGACTTTTCCACCAGTGCAGATTCGAGCTTCCGCGTGAAGATCGAGGGGCGATTGCTGGATGATGATGACGAATACGAAAAGGAGGACGGCGAGTCCAAGGAGAGCGGTGACGGCGACAAGATGGACACCGACGCGTCCACCGATAAGGCCAAGACACCTACTGCCAAGGCACCACCGCGGCCGCGATTCTCGCACTTCTTCAAGAAAATGACGGTCGACTTCGACCGGAGCAAGATGCGCAATGGTGCCGAGCAGACCGTGGAGTGGAACAAGCCCGACCGGTTACCAAACAACTCTGCCAACCCACCGCCTGCGGCTGACTTTGACGAGTTAACCTTCAAGAAGAATGGCGACGAGAACATGAACATTACTATCAACCTATTCAGGCATGAGGAGCCCGAGCGATTCCAGCTCAGCCCTGCCCTGTCGGACGTGGTTGACATGGAAGCCGCCACCCGCTCCGAGGTCGTCATGGGCTTGTGGGAGTACATCAAGCTGATGGGTCTACAAGAGGATGAGGAGAAGAGGAATTTCCGTTGTGACGAGTTGCTGAGAGAGGTAAATGACAAACGTTTCCTGACACGACTACATCTTCAGGACACTGACATATCTGCTTTAGGTTGTCCAAAGGGACACAGGCCACATCCCAGCCTTGCAGGAGTACATCACTCCTCACCTCCAGCCTCTCCCACCAGTCAAACTCGCCTACACCGTCCGTGTCGACGAGGAATTCCATAAGAACCCCCAGCCCACAGTCTACGACGTCCGCGTCGCCGTTGACGATCCCCACCACGCCAGATTGGAGCAGTTCTTGCGAGATCCACAATACGCAAACATGCTCAACCAGGTCAAAGTTCTTGATGAGCAGCTTGCCATCATCATCCAGGCCATCGCCGACTCCAAGGCCAAACACAGCTTCTTCAAGAGTCTGGCCCAGGACCCCGCCAACTTTGTCCGCGACTGGCTCAGCAGCCAGAAGCGCGACCTTGAGGTTATTATGGGAGAGGCCACGCGCGGTGGCGGCGAGGACGCCACGGGTGATGAATGGAGGAAGGGAGGCAAGGACAGCGTCTGGACAACACAGAACGCCAGGGAGTCCGTGCAGTTCATGTTTACCCGCCGCTAGGAGGAGCGAGATGCTGGCCTTAACGGGGAGTCCCTGAAGAGTGAACCCGATCAGGACGCGAAGAGAAGGAAGAACGAGGAGAATTTGATGTTGAATGCGGCGGTCACTCGGCGGTTGGGGTTGAAACGACCTCGAACATTTCCGGAAGAATTGTAGAAAGCACTCCAAGTGAGAAAGTCACTTATTGTGTGTTCTTTTCGCGCGGTCAGTCGACGATTAGGCATGGCCCAAGCACCTCAGTTGTCCGCCCGGGAATTTGCACCAGCCGATATTATATTTACAGATGAGACGAGGAGTGATAAGGGCGTCAAGATAATATGTAGGATACCTGAAACGGGCTCGCTTTTCGTCTGTCGGGCGGGGGGGGTTCCGTTCGACATCGCGCCATTCGGCAGAGGGCCTGGACAGGTCACGCACGGTCAACTCCCCCCAGCTTTATAGTTTTTTTGACGGTATAACTATACATGATATGGGGCGCCGTGGACATGCCGAAGAGAGTCTGGGGGATACGTGGAAGCAGCACAGCCCTCAGAAACCTTTCACTTAGCGCCGAGGGTAATGACCTTTGTGGCGGGATGCCCACAGTGTGGGCACGCGGAGGCGAGGCAGCGACGAGTAGAGCTGGAAAGTCTGGAGTCGCCGAGGCGCAGCGATAGCTTGGACATAGATTATTCACAATTTCGAGAGATGTGGTTTCGGCATCATCCACCAAGATTTTCTAGCTGTGTGCGAATGCTCCGCACATGATGTCTACCGTATCTCGTGCATTGTCTAGGCGAGATTCGTGTGAGCCCACTGTCTCTGACACAAACGCTACTACTGATGTTACTGAGGCATGGGAAGGGTCAAGTGCGATGACAATAGTTTTGAGCAAGTCACCTCTGGCTTCAACAGCTGGCGTGCTTGAGGAATTCAATTTTCTCTCTAGAGCTTAGAAGTATTCATCAACCCTTCAGCCTAGCCAATGACATTTGAGGCCTCTGTTGATGCACAATATGTGATTGATGTTATTGTGGATCGAGGTGTTGAAGCTAACAAATCGAACACTGGCCACTTCAACAACCCCTTCTAGGCGGCCTAAGGTCAAAGTGTACTTGGTAAAGTTCCTTGACACGATCAACGTCTGCAGTCTCAAGGGCGCTTTGTGCATGTTCATTGTCTTTCATATGAGCAGCAGCAGGTGTAGGCAATGTGTGTAATGTTTAAGAGGGCGATTTCTGACTCCTCTAAAACATATTTAGGAAGAACTTTATGACTTTGGTGAATATATAACAAGTGTATATTGGTGGGCAATTGGGCGCATACCATAGACGTTGAGCATGTCGCAATGGGGTCACCTGCATGTAGCACCGGCACAGTCTGCAAAGACTCCGCAATGCAGGATTTCTGTGAGGAAAGTTAACCCCGTGAAAGAACTCGAGCAACAATACTTTCTTGCTCCACAAGATTTGAGAAGTGCTAGTGTCCTTCGTTCACCTTGTGCTCTTTCCCGTTTTGTCTGTCCTGTCTCTGTGATTTGCACGCCCCATTTCAATGTGCTCAGGACGATAGCTTTCCTTTCACAACGTTCACTACATCTCCAGTTTGTATATATACATTCTCATTGAAGATAATACGCCGTACACCCCGAGTCATTCTGTCATCTATAAAGATTACAAGTTGGAAGATTTACATTGTGATCTCTCTTCTTTTTTTCTGCTGCCACAAAATTCTCTTATTCAAGGCACAAAGACGATATATCTTCAGACAATCAGATCTCGTCAACTTTCTCGATTTCTATATAAGTTTGATAAGGCTTCTGCTCGTACTATTTTCTTTATCTCTTATTATGAAAACTGTTCAGCTTGCAGGAGCAACTGTTGTGCAAGCCTCGGTGGGGGAGCAGGTGCTTCTCATAAAGATCAAATCTATGGTCAGAAATTTTCAACTTCCCATGAACGAGACACCGGAATTTCAAGACAGAAGAACACCTCACAAGCAGCCACGTGGGATAGGCCTTGTCCCTTGACTCAAGTCTTATGCATCGATATCTGTAAGAGTTTAGTCCTATACACTTGTCTGGCATGCTTGGTCAAGTAAGTTCAGCACAGACAGGGACCCGAGACCAGTGCTTGCAATACTCAATACTTTTAATGTTAATCACCGTAAAATTCATTCGTAAGAGAAGACGCAAACGGTAATGTTGAAAATTAGGTCTGAGGCAAAGCTTGAGGCACAATACTAATAGCTCCACGGATGAGAAAAACTCGTGCGCATCACCAAAACAGTGAAAGAACTATATTGTAAATACTTAAACTCATTTCTTCGTCAATTTTTCACATTTCTTCCCGCACGAGATCTTCATTAGTCGTCTTCACGTTGTGGTCATGAATTATTGATATCCTCCCTAAGCGAAAGCTTTCGTCATTGCTCAGACCTGCTCAACAACGGGCTTCTCATCTCCACCCTTCGATAGAGATCGATCTAGGTCAACGATACCAAGGTCCGCCGCAATGTTGAACAGCCTCGCCTTCTCATCATGCGCGGCAGTATCTCCAAACACTGTATCCATGTCCTCTAGACTCTTGCCTCGCGTCTCCGGGACAAAGAAATACGTGAATCCCAATGCTAGCAAGCAGAAGGCTGCAAAGAATATGTATGTTCCGTAGCCAATCGTGTCAAGCATGTCTGGTGTTACGAGGCCAATGATGAAATTGCACATCCAAGTGGCACTCGTAGTGATCGACATTGCCTTGGACCGATTTCCGAGGTTGAAGATCTCAGATGGAAGTACCCATCCGATTGGGGCGAACGAGTACGAGAAGTTGATGTCGTAAATGTAGATGAACGCAATGCCAATCCAGCCAGCTGCTTTGTGAGAGACCAATGTGGAGCCGAATCCGCCAACGATTCCGCCGACGATGACCAGTGAGACGAATGTTCCAAGAGCTCCACACATGAGGAGTGGACGGCGTCCTACTTTGTCGATGAGAAATAGGGCTGGCAGCGTGGATAGTGTGTTCACGATGCCGTAGACGCCGGTAGCCAGAAGCGATGATGTCTTTCCGGAGAGACCGAGCTGGCCGAAAATGGTTGGTGCGTAGTAAATAATCGCGTTACAGCCCATGAATTGCTGGAAGAACATCACCACGCAGCCGACGGTCAACCGCTTGAGTGAAGCCTTGTTTGAAACCAAGGACGAGTATTGGGCCAGGTATAGTGACACACCCGTCTTGCCGGGGTACCTGTCGCGGGCATAGGACTCTTCGAAAAGTACTTCAGCCTTAATGGCAAGATACTCGCGGCATAGAGCTTCCGACTCGACGTCGACTCGTCGAATGCAGGCCAGTGCCTCCAGCGCTTTGTCTTCCTTCTGCCGCATGAGGTAGTATCTTGGCGATTCTGGATAGAAAAGCATGCCGAAGCCGAGAATGACGGCCGGCAAAATCTGCATGGCTAATGGTAGCCTCCATGAGGCTTCACTTTGACCTGTGCAGCTGCCCGATCCAACGTCCGTGATGGGATCGAATTCCGGAGCGGATGCTGAGCCCCCAGTGTACGGGATGTCTGGCGCACATCGTGTGCCTCCGATGTATTGAGTACCGTACTCGAGCCAGTAACTGACCAGAATACCCAACGTGATGCTCACTTTTTTGGTCAGAATAATTATTGCAATGAACAAACAAGACATCACTCACATTGCTGCAGCACAACTAGAGTGCCGCGAATGGCCGGCGTGGAGACTTCAGACATGTACATCGGAACAATCATGGTAAGCATCCCGACAGAGAAACCGGCGATCGCGCGTCCTGCAATAACCAGTAAGTTTGGTGGTCCAGTGCAGACATCATGTGTCCCAACATACCGGCAAAGAGCATAGGGATCGACTCCGCAGCAGCTTGCAGAGCAGAGCCAAGGGTGAAGATGACAACGGCAACTAGGATGGACCCTTTACGGCCAACGCGATCCGCGACAGGCCCGTTGACAAGTGATCCAAACCAGGCGAACAGCAGCAGCGTCGACACGAACCAGCCCTTGAAGCTGCTGTCGAGGTAAATGCGCGGGAATTTGGCGGCAAATGACTCCATGGTCAGGACGCCTGAGACGACTCCTTGATCATAGCCGAAGAGAAAGCCCCCCAAGGAAGCGAACTTGTCATAAGGTGTTAGCAGGCGTCAGCGTATACATGTTTTTGTTGCGGGTTGAGCTTACGGAAGCGAGGCCGAGGACATAAGGATTCTGCCGCAGTTGATGCACCAAGCCCTTGTTGGGCGAGGCATAAGGGTCCGTTCCAGCTCCCGGTTGAGCCATTGTGCCTCGTTAGTTGTGACGAACTACTATGTGATAGCAAAAGAGAGGCGGCCTCGATCGTGAGCACCCTCTTCCGTTTGTTATATGTTCTGCACGTTCTGACCGCTGCGACTTGCGAAATCCACACACACTCCTGCGTGTTCGTGGGCTGCGGGGTGAGGTCGGAGAAAGTCGCTGGGGACTGTGGCCAGTCAGCTGCGTGTCGGCCCAAACTCATGATCGTCGACACCACCGCTGGTTGGCTCACTTGGGGGGAGTATGGGCGGTTCCAAGTAGCGGTGTTCGTGGGCGGGGACGGTAATTATGGGTCTCTGCACGGCCGATGTAATGCCACGCATGCAGAGAAGACTGTACAGCCAGGAAACACCATTGTGTTGAGACAATGATCCAGTCGGCTGTATCCACTGCGTAGGAAAACCTCAAACCAGCAGGTATCATGCTATGGAGAAGATACTGCGCGGTAGTCTAGAACCGCCGATAGGATCCAGGAAGCCTGAAGTTGGGCCTTTCCGTATGGATCATGATAGTTGTCCGCATCCACGTTCTTGCATGGACTTGTTTTCGAGAACTCGGTGAAGATGCAAATGCAACATTTAGGGTAGCCAGTCAAGACGAGGTGCCTTGCAGGATCCAGAAAAATTCACAGCCTCGAGTTGCATCTTCTTCGCTGCGGCAAGCAGACACGCGTGATACTTCCCGCGGACGAACTGGCGTGTTCCAACATGACGACGCTTCCAAGTGGAACCTCCATCAACCCACTCCGTTTGATTTTGACAGATGTCAGCTCTTGAGAATTACTCAGTAAGGGAAACAATGTCCTGCCATTTCGACAGTACTACTATCTTTGGACCACAACTAATTACTGAAAGCAATTCGATTTTAAGCTTCATGGACTGCATGTTTTGGAGTACTCAACGAAGGAAAAGAGGGTTCAACCCCAATGACGAAGCCGGGCATGGCTTGGTGGGTAAACACGAAACCACCTATTTATATCCTGCCCGTATAGAAAGCCCACAATATGAGTACGAGTTAGGTCCATCAAAAGCATGTCTCAAGTGGTGATGGTGGAAATGAGCGCATAGAGGTCTGTGGCCCTATTGCAAAGTGAAACGCCACATGAGCTGGCTCTTTAAGCGTCACTAGCACCCGATGAACTACAAAATCATCATATTCGTTTGCTGTGTTTCAATTCTCATAAACCTTTTGGGCGAAAATTGAAGCGCTCTCAGCATATCCTCAAAAGCCATTGTAGCGAGACATCCGAACTTACATCACTGTCCACATATATTGTAGAACCTGTTGAATTGGTCGTATGACAACCTACTCCACATGTATATTTTGCAGCACATACTGCCAAGACGGGCTACTCACGTCAGCGATATCATATCTCGAAGCTTAAATCTCGAGACTGCGACCCCTCTCATGTATCTTGAAGCTTATCGTAATTGTCTAAGCTCTCTGACATCCTGTTCTTTACTTCTTGAAAGCCGAGTATTGAGTGTCGGCTCATCACGCTGCGACCATGGAAGCAACGCTTTCGCACATCCTTCAGTCATTGAAAGGAACTCAAGGGGCCGCTGTTGCAGTGGCTCTCTCTGTCGGTCTCCTCATACTCACGGTGCTACAACACGCAGGCAAACCACGTCAGTCAATTTCGACGAGCGTGCCTCTTAAGGTCGAAGCCGTAGGTCTTGCAGTCCCGTCCCGCCGCAAAACTTTGCCATTATGCACCAGCCGATGTGATTGACTATGCGCTGATCGTAGTCTCACAGCTATACTTTTATCCTGTCAAAGGGTTGAGGGGTTGTGAACTGAAGGAAGGCAAGATCGGTCCCCTGGGCTTTGAACACGACCGGACGTTCTGCCTGCAAAAGATTCATCGTGATCCTCAGACCAATGAGATCAAGCGGTATGAGCCTATGTTTAGCGGCTTCCATCTCCGGATGGCATTGTTCTTGACTCGTCTTGAGGACTCGGCGAATGGTTCAGGACGGGATATTGTTGTCACCTGGACGGGACCTGAGAACCCCAAGAATGACAAACAGATCCGATTTCCGCTTCGACCACATTTAGGGATCCTGAAAAAAGTCCACCTTGATCTCTATGGTGCTACTACCGATGCTTTTGATATGGGCGACAGCATCTCAGCATGGTTCAGCTCGTATCTTGGCTTCGAAACCCATCTCATGTACCTTGGGCAGAATTCTCGCCCAGTTCTCGGCTCAGGTGCACCAAACAGTGAGTTGGCCTTCCGGAAGAGACTATCACCGCTGGCATACAGCATCCGACGCCTTCTTGTCCCGGCTGTTCTCAGGCCGAAATCCGAGCGTATAAGTTTTGCGGATATGGGGCAATACCTGGTGGTTACAAAGGAATCCAACTCTGAAGTCGGCAGGCGGCTCCGGGAGACAGATCCGTCGGCAGGTGATGTGGAAATGGATATAACCAAGTTCCGGCCGAACATTGTCGTGTCTGGAAGCCCAACACCTTTCGACGAGGAGTACTGGGCGGAGCTGCGTTTCCCTGGTGAGACCCAAATGGCGCTGACCGGAAACTGTTTGAGGTGCCAGTCCATCACTGTGGACTACGAGACAGGCAAGCCTGCCGCGGATGTGAGGGGCCAGGCTTGGAAAAAGCTCAGCAAAGATCGAAGGGTGGACAAAGGTTGTACTTTCATGCCCGTGTTCGGCAGATATGGATACAGCCCTGCGTCCAATATCGGAAGAGATATCCGAGTTGGCGATCAGGCTGTGCTCACGCGGAGGAATCGAGATCGAACCGTGTTTGGTGAGTCGAATGCCTGCTTCAAGCAAGAACATATTGAGAGTTGACCGTCTCTAACGCGAAAAAAAAACACAACAGATTGGCCATTATCAAAATCTGTGGCTACTATGTACGAGAAAAGCTCAAAATAGAGATACCGTGGCCTGGGATGAATCTTGAGATCCAGGTTCCACAGAGACGACCGCGGTCTGTGTGACAGGTGTGATGAACCGCAATTCGGTCCTGCGGGTGCATGACAACTCAAACCAAACATGAATTCTCCCGCGCCCATTGTACTTTCGTGGACTCATCGAGGCATTGTCACCAGAGAATCGGCTGCACACGTATGCATCACTTGGAATATTTGGTAAACAAGCATGCAGAAAGCAGAGCTGGGAATACTCTACGACGGATGGCTTAGCGCAGATTCTGCACATCAAAGGGCCCAGAAATTAATATGAATGAATGCAAGATCAAGAGTGGCTATTTTTTGGTATCTGAATTCGCACAGGGGAGAAATGAGATAGGCTGCCAGTAGTCCCACTGAAGATACAGCTCAATATTCATGGTCATGGATGCGTTCATCTTAAATGAATCCCTTTTCACGAGGTAAAGCAGAAATCTTGCACCATTAGATATATCCGACTAGCCAACGTCACAACAACGGCGATCGTATCTTTCACTCACTAAGCCTCAGCTAAGAACTCAGTGATGACCTCTTGTATCATCTTCACTGCCCAGTGTTAGACGTCGATTTTCACTTGAATGAAAATATATTGCTGGACTCACTTTATTCTGATAACTCTCATCAGTGTCTGCGGTCCCCTGCCTCCTGTTTGCGGCACCGAAACGGACCGGGGCAGCCCGCTCTTTGCCTTTCCGCGGCTTTTTGGCCGAACCTTGCTGCGCTTTCTTCTCCCGCTGAAGCCTTTCATTGGCACTTTTGACTTTTTCCTCGGTCAACTCGTCATCGTCGTTGACTGCATATTACAGTGTCAGTTCGGGCCGTCAGTGAATGGTTGCATAATGCGTCCTTACCACGATATGTGAAGTCTCGAATGATATCGTCCAGAGTGTACTTCTTGGTTCTGTCATGATCATCACAAGCCACTTCATTGAAGTGCTTCATTGCCATATTGCTCTCCAGAGGATGCTCTTCGAACTGTGTTCTCTGGTCGAGCGGGTCACAACGTACCACAAACCAGCCGGGGCCGCATCGCTTGTCTTTGAAGATATATTGCTTTCCTTCGATCTCCCAGAGCTCTATGTCCTTTGTCACTTTAGTAGCTTGTGGCGCGGCCGCACTTTTGGCTTTCTTGGTAGGCGATCCTGGACTTTGCGGGGATTCAACTTCCATAACATCCAGCGACCGTTTCGCGGTCTGCAGAAGGCTCAGGTGGCCATGAGCTGGATCAGGAGACGGGGAACCTGGATGATTCCAGATAGCTGATGAACTATTAGTACTCTGGTGCCCGGTGTCCCTGAGCCCAGCTGGAGTCACTGGCGTCAGGGGAGCCGCCGGCCGAGGCGGAGGACCCATCGATGATTCTCCATGGCGGTAGTTCGAAGGACCGGGCTCTATGTCCATCGTGACCGATCGGATGTCATCATCATCATCGCAGATCATAACTGCCTCCTGCGCGACGCGGCTAGGGAACTGGTTCACATATGGATCGATCTGTTTGATCAATTCAAGTGCCCCCGGGAACGTGTTGTCCAAGAAATCGTGCACAATCGAGTCCGCTGTCTCGTCTCTCTCGTAATTGACCAAGGCACTGCGCATTTCGTCTCGGGCCCGTGTGAAGCCTTTAATCCCTTCTTTGATCAAGTCCCAGTGCCTGCTCATTTCTTGGTAAAGAAGCGGATACCATACATTCCTGATATTCTCGATTTTCCGGGATTCCTTGTAATCATGTGGAAGCATCCGAGTGATAGAATCGGGCGCGGGTGCCATAATTCCTGCTGACAAGAGGTTTGACTACTGTGGGAAGAAATATGTCAATTTGACCCTTTTGGGAACCGACAGTCACCGACTTGTCCCGCTGTAGCAATAGACGTATGAATGAATAGAAAATATCTGCACATATGTAAGTGACGAAAGGATGCCTCTTGGTCTAGGGTGAAATAATTTCGATGAGGTGAAAACACACGAAAGATGTTCACTGCTGGTCCGAGGCGGGGTCGAGACATCCTCTCATATACGACGACGGCGGGTCGATGTTGCCTGAGTAGAAAAATGAACATTAATCCGAGGGCGGGCTTATCAGGTGCGATCCCCACCATTGCTACTCGACGACATGGAACGCTCGATGCATACGCGCCAGGTCGCGGAAAGCCTCGAGGCAGACACGTTCTCATAGGCCCAGCATCGTGTCAGAATTGCTGCGCCACCCAACAGAGCACCGTCGACCAATTCCTCGCGATCTGCCTCAGGAGGCTTGGGAAACATCGGATTCTCTACCCAGTCAAGTGCCCGGTGGGAATTAGAGGCAGCCTGCTGTGCCTCACCGGGGAGGGTTGCAGATCGGGCCCTGCAGGTGCACTCGCTAAGCGTTTCGCTTGCAGGCCGGAGGATAGGAAGCGAGCCGCTGCGGCCCGAGGAGGAACCACAACATCGCGGGATTAGTGACAATTATGGAAATGATTCCAACCAACAGGTCCTCCCGTGTTTGGGTAAAGCGCCGTGCCTCAGATATCCAAGGAACCGGTGAGCTGGAGCTGAAATGCACGTGCAGACTGGACAAGCAAGCTCGTGAGCTGTGCCGGTGTGCTGTGCCACCGACCACGTCAACTCCCAACCCACAATTGCCAAGGCTCTCAACACCACGACGGTGCGATAGACACGTCTAAGACCCGCAGCTTCGATTATGTACTAGTGGATGAGTCTCACGGGACACACCCTCATGGCAATGGGAAACTGGCTCAGTAGAGCTGTCATATACTGCTTTGATCGGATGATAGAGTCAGAGGGTTCAAATCCTTCTGTATTTCATCGCTTCACCGTGCTAGGTATCATAAAGCAGGGAAGTAGCTTATGACCGCCGACCGCTCTCTGCCTGTGAGCAGCCAATATGAAGATGTGGGGAAAAAATGAAATGCAGACAAAGACGTTAAAACCACAAGTCAAACGCTAAGAACCCCAGAATAGATATGGAAGCCAACCACGGAACCATTCATTGCCTGACCGAACCTGACCATGCCTGTGCAAACGCCACCCGTAAATGTCCAAAAATTATATAATTCTCGTCCGCAAAACAGGACAGACAATCTTTCTATTTGTTGTCGTCTCTTCCTCGATGCGTGAAAGCCATACGGTGTTGGCTATGCGAGCGGACTCGCTCTAAGTGATCATCAACACTAATCGCGTGCGGCAAGCTCAGCAATTTCGACCAACTCGGTAAACCACGCGGGGTCTTCGCGTCTGATGATGGGCCCGGGCGCTTCTGGATCCTGACTCTATGTGGCAGAAGCCCTGGACTCCGCAACAGCAGCATTGGCAGCCTGTGTCTCGATCCTCTCGGACACGATTTCCCACCATGAGCCGTGTGATTCTCGGTCGACAGCGCCAACCTTGGACATTTCGTCGACCATGTCCCTCACGCGATCCACGAATTCAACCATGCCAGAGCTCGCCAGCTTCTCACCTGCGATGCTCGTAGCCTTGGCCTTCTCGCTCGTGCTGCCCGCTGAGATGCGCCCTAGGATGTGGTCGCGCAACCGTTTCAGCAGTAGTCGCAGAACCGGCTGGCTGGGGTCATGCTCGTTCGGATCCCAGGTCTCATTGGGGTCCGGCTGCTGGGTGGTCGCAAGTTCATTGTGGGCAGCCACAAGCTTGTCGACGAAGCCACGCAGATGGCTCTTCGTCGTCGGCGGCATCGACCGTCCGGCCTCGAGAGCTGCCATGATGCCGGCTACAGCGGTCTCTTGAGAATCGGCATGGTCGAGGACGTTCATGATGCGAGCTGCCTCCACCCTCCACGGCGCGCGGACGTCGCGTTTGAGGAGGTTTTTGCACTGCAGGAGAATCCCGCCTGTGGTCACCATCTTGCGCGTGAGGTGGCCATACTTGCGGATGCGCTTGTAGTCGAGCTGCAACATCTCTGGAATTTGGCCGTAGCGCATAGTACTGGGCTGTGTGAAAATGTCAACCAGCATATGAGCGTAAACTTTCTCTGCTGTAGGCCGGTTCTTTGGGTGGTTAATATTCTCAGGATCACGTCGGGCTGTCTCGGCCATGACCTTGCTCCTCGCTGCCCTCCAGGCTGTTTCGGCGGCGAATAGGCCATGCTCGCCTTGATCGATTGCGTTTGAAAATGCCTTGGCCTCGTAATCGGGCGCATGCTCCAATAGTTGAGGGCCCACCAACTGCAAAAGGTGATTGGCATAGTCACTCAACATGACATCAATGAAGAGGATTAAAGCCTCCAGACGATCAACGTAGCTGCCTTGGCTAAGTTTATTCTCGACCAGGTCTTTCACTTGGTCGTCCCGAACAGGGGCACATAGTTTTGGCATCAACGACCCCATGGACGAGAAGAAGCGCTCGTACGAGAACGATCCGTTTCGAAATCGTTCCTTGAATTCGTCGATGTCCAACAGCTCGCCGATGAAGTTGTGCATGGAATTGCCAGGTTTGAGGAGGCGTTGTAGCTTCTCGCGGATGTGCTGGGCGATTCTGAGGAGGAGTTTGAACTGCACATGGCGCGAGTGCTCATCTGTCGCGTGGATCGTCGCTCTCATTTGTCCAAGAATAGGTTGAAGCGCCTTTGTTTCAGCCTCCACGAAATCATCTGCAACGACGCGATACTCCTTGTTTATGGCAAGCTCGTGGACGACGGTCCGATTGTCTGGCAAAAGCATGCCCTTCTTGATGGGTTTCGGGCCCTGCGGTCTGCTTGCAGGAGTGGATGGCGGGGTAGGATAAACGCTCGAGGCATCGCTCCTTGGGCTGGGAGGATGGCCCTTGGCAGTGCCTAGGTCAGCCATCGCAGACTCAGTAGTGATCGTCTGATCAGCAACTCGCGGCTTCAAGTCGGCCTTTTGCCTCTTCTTGTTGGCAGCTCGCGCCTTCTTCGCCCTCAATCTGGCCTCTTTGATGATCTCTAGCCCCCGTTCCCTGCCGATCAGCTTGCTGATTCGAGAAATGAGCATGAGCTGATTTTGTTTCATGCTTTCTTGATATTGCTGTACAACAGAGAGGTCGCTCGTTTCCTTGACATGATCCAGAGTAGCGTCGAGCTCCACTAATTGCCCGATCATCCCGTCGACGAGCGCATTCTTGTCCCGCGCTTTCCAGGTGAAGAAGGCGTTTTCGAACTGGGAATATACTCGAGGAAGGGCTTGGGTCAAAGCCGGCGGGATGGTGTAGTTGTTGAAGCTTGTCAGCCGTGACATGATGTTCTCGAAGGTGATGAGCAAATCCCGAGACCGCGCCACGAGCTCTTGACATTGGGGATCCGTAAGGTTGTCTCGAGGAATAGGATGCGCGGGTGTTCCCTGATCCGGTGGCATTATGTCGTAGGTATTACTAAGAACCTGTGCAGGGTGGCCCAAGATGAGATATGCGCTGAGGAAGCAGCGGACTGCCTTCATTTGCTCAACTGAATCGACCCCGCCGTTTCGTAGCCCACACATGGCAAGTACGCGAGCGGTGACCATAACCACACTCAGTTGCCCGAGCTTCTCCGTAACCTCATCGTAGCCTGTCGTCTTAACCCCATCAACATTCAGGGCGAGTCGGGTGAATTCTTGAACCACCTTCCTCCTGGTCATGACGCGCCACCAGCTTTGTATCCTCCATACGGCAGCATCTTGGCTCAGGGGCTTCGATTCTAGCTCCTTGACTTCTTTGACGGGGGACAAACCCTCGTCGGACTTCCTGGTGCTGAGGCTGGAACCCCTGGCCCGGAGATTCTGCCTTCGGAGCTCTTCACGACGCCGCTCAGCCTCGGCCTGACGCTCTTGCATCTGTTGGCGCATCTTGAGGGTTTCCTGCTCCCGCTTCTCCCTGGTGGCCTCGGCAACAGCTTTGGCCCTCTTGACTTCCTCGGCGCATGTGGCGGCGATCTCTTTCAAGTTACGCTCGCGGGCCAGGCGAGCAGCCTCTGCCCTCTCTTCGGATATGACTATGACCCGGTCTTTTGCTCTCGCAGCGCGTAAACGCACTTTCTCAACATGGGCGGCACGGTCAGCAAGCCGCTTTTGCCGATCCTTGAGAATGGCGTCTCTGCGCTGATGGTTGGCGACATGTTTGCTTTGCGGGCCGCCAGACAAGTTTGTGGCGCCAAGTGAGGTGGATAGAGAGTGTAGGGAGGATAATGAGTTTCGGCGTGTGGAGGCGGCGGAGTCCTTTCGTCGCGACTGGGACGGGCGATAGAACCGTGCGGCGAGGTGGGGAGGAGGGGTGTAGACTCGAGAGCGTGCGCCATCTACTTGGAGGTCCAGCGCGTAGATGTAATCGTCTTCGAGAGGCAGCAACGAGACGTCGACATCGACATCGACATCAACATCGCCGTCGACGTCGACGTCGACGTCAGCGTCGGGAGTTTCTGACATTGGAGTACCCATGGACTCTTCGAGGTTGCGCGAGGGCTCAGAGAGGTCTAGGGATGGTCGCCGCATAGCGTGGATGGTGGGATATAAACAACGGCGCTCTTATCTGACCCAGTCGCCTATCGCATCCGAAACCCGGTGTCGAGAGGCTCGATTGCCTCGTGAGGGGTGTGCTATGGGCGTCGAGCAGGCCGGAGATGGTGGTACCTCGAACGATGGGCGTCGTTGTTTAGGGAGATTGCAGGCGATTAGGGAGTGCTGTCTACACACGCGTGAAGTGCCCGTACAGCCGTCAAAGAGGATGTACGACGGTACGGTCGCGGGAGAGGTCCCTTTGTTGTCACGACCGAGAGCAGGGGGAGGCGGCGAGGAGGAGGAGGTAGGTGGTCGTTTGTAAGCTGGGCGCAGCTGGGCAGAAGTCTAGCCGAGTTTGGTCGAGGTGATTGGTGGTCGGGCTGACGAGTTGAGGACGAGGTGAGAGTAGGAGTGAGGAGGTGGAGAGCGGGTTCGGGCTGGGCCCAGGCTCGGCTGGGCTGGGCAGGGTGAGGGAGGGTTGGCGTCCAAGGTTGGCTCTGGGTCTCTGTGGTCTTGTGGCCTTGAGCCTTGGCCGCTTGGCGTCAAACAGGTGGCGCGGGAGGTCAAAACAAGCGAAGGATGAAACCCGCGGCTGAAGTCAGTCGTGCTTGGCGGAGACACGACAAAACCTTGGGAAGACGAGACCAAGCAGGCAGTCGGAGTAAAGGAGGAGAGTAGTTGGCCCGCCGGCACTACTACCTGTCTACAGTAGGGACAGACGTGTTGGGACGGGAAGGGATGCGGTGGGATGGACGGATGGAGGTGTTTGTTCACGTAGGTCGGTGCGTTGGCTTGGTGAGAATGTCTACTGTTTAGTGGACTTAGACTCGACTCTAGGAATGGAATGATGGTGATGACTGATGATTGGTGATTAATGTCGAGGTGCTGGGCGAGACACGTCTAGTGAACGTGGCCAGGATGCCCTCGAGATGAGAGCTGTCGCTCATTGCTGACCGATGTTGGTGGAGGGGATGGATTGACAATGGACGGGGAAAGAAGGCTGGGGAAGGTTGGGTGCTTCTCACGCTACTGTCCACCCCGACTGCAGACTACGGACTGCAGACTGCAGACTGCAGATTGCGCCAAACAGCAATGACGGAAACAGCCAAGCGGATGGGAACATCTGGGGCGAGCCTCGGGAAGCGACGCCACTGGCTGGTGCATTTCAATTCTCAGTCTCTCATTCTCGACTCTCGACAGTCCTGTCTCCGTGCGGCAGCGGTAGGGCGGAGAGCGGGCACCAAGGTACGTACCGCTCTCTCTACTCACACCTTAGTCATTCCCTGCAGATCTCGCTCTCGTAAACCTAGTTCACATAGCAATATCCCCAGCCCTATCAGTATCTGTAAATAACTGTTGACGCCTGTGACTACTGAGCAGGTGGTACTTGTCCTTCACAGACTACCCATGTGCTCGGGGTCAACACATTGCTGCTCAGCTTAATGGTTTCTTGTGTCTCTGCCTGTAAGGACCCGGACTTGGCCGACATCACCGATCACCGCATAATCCTCGGGAGACGCAAGCGTTCCGAAGCGTGCGGCCCTTTTGCTATGTACGGCTGTACGCATGTCTGTACGAATGTGTCGGAGCACGGCAGGCTACTGTGTCGTCTCAAGAGCATGCCATCACCATCGCCTTGGCACCCATGCCGCCGTTTCCCGGCCAAGACGAGGCCAAAGTCGGCACGAACGAGTAGCAGCGAGCCAAGGCGATTTAATTTGCGCCAAAGCCCCGTATTGCAGTCTGCGTGCTATGCATCCGTACACTCTCACCACGTACGAAATGAATCAACCTCTTCCGGCTGAGCCGCTCCAAGAACCCATCGAGTCAGTGCCGATCGACAGCCTCGGGGCATTGAGACTCGATCTGGCTCTCAATTCTGCTCGCAAACACTTGCCACAGTACTGTAAACTTCAGGTCCTGTTCAGCCCAGACAGAAGATCGGCCGATGTTTGATCACCGGTTCTTACTCTGACCTCCGCAGCCAGGCGGACCGGGGCTCAGCCTTGTGCAGCACACCCACTCGCCAAGTCGTAACGATGAACCTCACTGGTGTCCAGTCACCACTGCTCAAAGCCAAGTCCATCCCATCTGCGTGCCATGCCGTGGACAGTTCTGGCCATGGCGAGCACGGCGGCAGACGAGGCTCCTCTCATCAGGGGGCCTGGAAGGCTGCCAAGCCGAGCAACTGAGACCTCCGCCCCCTTGCCCCCGGCTCCGGGCCTCAGCTTTCAATGTCGGCGGTTGCTTGCTGCCATCGTCATTGACCAGGCAGTCAGGGCCCTGAGGGGGAAAATGCAGCCTCGGCGGACTAACAAAAACAAAGCATTGCCCAAGTCCATTTTCTCTTGTTTATGCCGGCAGTGCCGCTTGACGCACAGTAGGTGAGCGAGATTGCTGATCGGCACCGAGGCCGGCTAGTCGGCTTGTCGGATATATGCCGAGCGTTCCTGCATTCGTAGCTCCTTCGGTGGGGGCTGCAGCGAGTGGTGCATTCATTCGTGCCGTTGTCGTTTCATGGCCAACGGCCTTGGATTTGCTCGCATGACCACCCCATCCGCAAACCATTGTGCGTACATCTTGCTGGAGTGTAGGGTGGGGGTGTGCGTGCAATATTCCACGCCCAACGCCCTAAGCACTCCCGAATACTACCTACCTAGGTCGATACTTACTGCATGATACCTTCGTTCGTCTGCAAGGTGCTGTTTTTCATCTCGTGCTCGACTAATATTGACGGGAGCCATGGGCAACCAGTAGACTGGAGCTCACGCTGCTGAAAGAGGCAGGTGGACTGGCCTGCACCCACTCACTGCCCGCTGCCTCACTCGGCTTGTGTCGGCCAGTTGCTGCTGCTGCTGCTCTACGCTCCTGTACCTCGTACGTGCCGTGCCGTCGAGCAGCTGCAGTACGACGATGGAGGCACCGTCTCTATCTTTGGGTCTCCGCTTGCTAGCGGCGGCAACCTCACCGCGCACCTTCTCGGCTGCAGGCACTGTCTTCGAAGCTATTAGGTCGCTCCGTGCCCTTTCTACTTCTTCCAAGACATCGCCAGAGCTTTCCATCCCCAACTATCGCTATTCGCACACTGCTAGCAACAGCAAGGTCAGCAGGTTCAGGAATAACAACAGGAACAACAACTGGCTAGTTGCCTTGCCGTTATCATCACCTTTGAGAAGCCCGTCCTGCTCAGGTCAACAAGCCGGGATCAGACTTTTCCACAATCACAACAGCACTGCTTCGACACTGACTTGGCGCCATTGGGGTCTTCCTGGAATAACAACACAGCTTCCTGGTCCTGGGCGTGCCCTTGCTCCAGCCTCCTGGTCTCGCCTTCTGAACGTTGCCCCACATTTTACTTCGACACCGACGCGGGGTCACGCAACCTGTGCTCTGGCTGCAGAGGACCATCTTGGGAGCTTCCCAACTGCCAACATCAGCACCAACACCTTCGAAATGGGCGACAGAGACCTCTTGCCGGACAACTTCAAGCCTGGTCACTACGACCTGAAGCTGACCAACCTTGACTTCAAGGACTGGTCCTTCAATGGCTCCGTGACGTACGCCATCCTGCCCCTCATTGCCTGGCCCCGCCTCTCTGCTCGTCCGAGAGCTGTGCATAGCTAATCTCCTGCCAACAGCATCGCTGGAAACATCGTCAAGCCCACCAAGGAGATCGTCATCAATGCCCTCGAGCTGAATCTCAGAAATGTGAAGGTCTCTGCCGAGTCCGCCAAGGCCAGCAGCTCATGGAGCTCATCCAAGATCACTTACGATGGTCGAGCCCAGCGGGCCACCATCTCTTTCGATGGAGAGCTACCTGTTTCCAAGGCCACTCTCACTATTGACTTTGATGGTGTAATTAACCACGACATGGCTGGGTTTTATCGATCCCAGTACAAGCCTGTGGTCCCAGCGGCCGACTCTGTTCCCCGTGATGAAGAGTTCCATTACATGATGAGCACTCAGTTTGAGAGTACTGATGCCCGGCGCGCCTTTCCCTGCTTCGACGAGCCGAATCTCAAGGCCACTTTCGACTTCGCTATTGAGATCCCCACTGACCAGGTTGCCCTAAGCAACATGCCTGTGAAGGGTTCCCAGCCGACTTCCGACGGCAAGCAGCTCGTGTCCTTCGAGAGAACGCCAGTCATGTCCACATACCTTCTCTGCTGGGCCGTCGGTGATTTTGAGTACGTAGAGGCCTTCACAGAGCGCCGTTATAACGGAAAACAGCTTCCTGTGCGCGTCTACACCACCCGTGGTCTGAAGGAACAGGGCAACTGGGCGCTGCAACATGCACCCAAGATCATCGACTTCTTCTCCGAGCAGTTCGATATTGACTACCCTCTACCAAAGAGCGACATCCTAGCTGTTCATGAGTTCACTCATGGCGCCATGGAGAACTGGGGCTTGGTCACCTACAGGATGACAGCCATCTTGTTCGATGAGGAGAAATCTGAGGCCCGTTTCCGGAATCGCATCGCCTACGTTGTTGCTCATGAGCTTGCCCACCAGTGGTTCGGAAATCTTGTCACCATGGACTGGTGGGACGAGCTTTGGCTCAACGAGGGATTTGCTACATGGGCTGGCTGGCTCGCTACCGACCACCTGCACCCTGATTGGGAGGTCTGGCCACAATTCATCAACGAGGGCTTTGAGACTGCACTGAAACTCGATGCTCTCCGCTCTTCACACCCCATCCAGGTTCCTGTCCGGGATGCTCTTGAAATCAACCAGGTCTTCGATGCTATTAGCTATCTGAAAGGATGCTCCGTTATTCGCATGCTGGCTAATCATCTTGGCGTCAAGACCTTCCTCAAGGGAGTCTCCATCTATCTGAAGAAGCACACATACGGCAATGCCAAGACTGTGGCCCTGTGGGAGGCTCTGAGTGAGGCTTCCGGCACAGATGTTCCGGCCCTCATGAAGCCATGGATTGAGAAGATTGGTTTCCCCGTCTTAACATTGGCCGAAGAACCTGGCCAGATTACCGTCAAGCAGTCCCGCTTCCTGTCAACGGGTGACGTCAAACCTGAGGAGGACTCGACAACCTGGTGGGCTCCTCTGGCCTTCGAAGGCAAGGTTGGTGCTGAAGGTGTCCAGGCTCTGGCCCTGACCAGCAAGGAGGACACCATCCGTGATGTTGACGATGACTTTTTTGTTCTCAACAAGAATGCGCCAGCCTTCTACAGGGTCAACTACCCACCGCAAAGATTGCAGAAGCTCGGGACGCAGCTGGATCGGCTCAGCACAGAAGACAAGATCTTCATCACTGGCTCGGCCGCTGACCTCGCCTTCTCCGGTTATGGCACAACTCCCGCTTTGCTTTCTTTCATCCAGGGCTTCAAGGACGAGACTCATTACCGTGTTCTGAGCCAGGCTCTGGACTCAATCAACGTGGTCAAGTCCGTTTTTGGCGACGATGATACCATCAAGCAGGGACTCGAGAAGTTCACGCTCCGTCTGATAGACAATGCCTTGAAAAAGGTAGGCTGGGATATTCCGGCTGGCGAAGACTTCAACACTAGTCTGTTGCGGAAGCGCTTGCTTCTTGCCGCCGGCACAAATGGACATCCTGGGTAAGTGTGCTCGAGACGAGAATATTTGTTGAGAGACTTCCGAGGTACTGACCATGTATAGCGTCACTGAGGAGGCCCTGAAGCGTTTCTCAGCGCATTCCGCCTCTCCCAAGGACAACCCATTGCACGCCGACCTACGCAGTCCTATTTACCGTGTCGCCTTGAAGTCTGATCCTGCCGGTACTACGACCTTCCTGAAGGATCAATGGTACACCACGGATGCCGTGGACGGCAAAGAAGTGTGTCTCACGGTGCTCGGCAATTGCACTGACGAAGCGATCATCACTTCAACCCTCATCCCATTTGTGTTCAATCTCTCACCACCAGCACCAGCCTCTGACTCTGTGCCTGCTGGAGACGCGCATTACCTCGCGAGCACACTGGCCGCGAATCGTGTGGCTCGGCCGCTTTTGTGGAAATTCGTCAAGGAGAACTGGGCCCAAGTGGAAAAGAAGCTTGGTGGCAACCCTATCATTCTGGACCGCTTTGTGAACGTCACGCTGAGCAAGTTCACGACCTTCAAGGACGTGGAGGACATTGATACATTCTTCAAGGATAAGGATCGCACCGCGTTCGATCGCACTCTCGAGACGGCCAAGGATAAGGTCCGTGGACGAGCTGCCTACAGGGAGAGAGACGCAAATGTACTGAAGGAGTGGTTGGTTGCCAACGGGTATACCTCATGAGAAAGCGGGATCTACATATTCTAGGCGTCGGAATGACGCGGGGAAAAGTTCTTGGAATTATGATCATTGCCTCGTTTGAATTTACTCGACTAGGCATCTAAAATATTTCTTGACTATGGCTCTCGTTTTGGGTGTCATGCTGATGATCACTGCAACAAAGGAGCATAGAGCTATCCTCGCCATTAACCTCCTCGTCCTCAGCAACCAGGAATCTTACCCCTTGAAACTTCATCTTCGCCTTCGCAACCTCCCCATCCTGGCCATCTTCACCCATCCAATTTCCCTGCTGCATCCTGACGACCTCCCCAAACATCTCAGCAAATGCAAGCCCCGGATGTTTCTCATCCCAGCCCAGCTTTTCCAGGTCAAAGACCTCCCTCCAGACCTTGCCCACGCCGTGGATCACATCGGGTTGCCTGCTCTTCTCCTTCTGCCATGTCTCACCGTTTCGAAGCGCCCTGTACAGCCCCTCGTCTCGCCTGCTCATCAGGTCCCGCCCCCGAAGGGAGGAGGAAGACCCGCAGCGCCCCGCGCAGTAGTCGACCAGGTACAGCACCTCGAGGTCGCTCTGCATCGTGCAGGCCAGGAACGCAATGTCCTGCATGATCAGGCTGTCGTCGTTGGGCCCAAGCTCCTCCTCGCTTTCCCCCTCACCCTCCTCACCCTCCACCTGTTGCCCGTCGCCGCCGCCCCCGCGGCGCGCCCCCAAGTCCGGCCACAGCTGCGACACGTCGATGGCGACCCTCCGGGCGCGGTGCAGCGCGCCCGCCAGCTCCTCGGACCAGATGCTCTCGAACATGGCGCTGATGGGGCTCGTCAGCCGCCCGCCGTCCGGGAAGCGGAACGCCGGCGGCACGAAGCGCAGGTGCAGCACGTCCTGCGTGTTGTCGTACGTGATGATGCTGCCGCCAGTGCCGCCGCCGCCGCCGCTGCTGCCGGGGCCCCCGAGCCGGATCGTGTTCGTGTCGCTGCTGCGGGCCGTCGACCTCTGCATTGTCGCTGCTGCGTCGATGCATGTTGCGCGGAGGCTGGCGCGGTACTTGTACATCGATGGATCGGTGCGGAAGCGTGCACCTTGGGTGGGGACCCTGGTAGCCGTAGGCGAGGTGCTGTCTGTGTTGGTTGTGTCGAGTGCGGATAGGTAGAGTGTGTCGGTGGCTTCGTCTAGGTATATCGCGTTTCTCTTGGAGAGTGATGGGTCTGTGTCTTCACTACTCTGGTTGTGGCTATCAGATGTTGGTGATGGTACCATCGTCACCGTAGACTCGGACTCGGACGGCGGCACGCAGACGTCAAAGAGATGCATCGCCGGTTGGGTGGCTATTGTGGACTCCCATATTTGCAATTGAATCTCCGGCGGCAGTTCTGGGAATTTCGTAAAGGCTCGGATGGAAGTCATCCTGTTTTGATCGCGGCTATGAAAAACTCGGATGAACGAGAAATACGTCTTCGAATACTCAATTGTTTCCCCGAGTGGCAGTTAAAGCGACGACTCTGGAGCAATACCAAAGTTGCCTATGTACATTGCATGCAAGAGCTACGATCCGACTGAAGACCCAGGAGGCAAGATGCAATATAAGTACTCAGTTGAGAAGGCCGTCAAGTGGTCCCTCAAATCAAGACAGCTTGAAGCATACCAGAGAACCCAGACTTCCGACGCGACCAGAGACACTATCCCGGGCCAAAGGGTCGGATGGACGATCAAGTAAACAGAAAGTGGAAACTATTGGGTTACAGAGTTCAATTGAACACTGCCAATAGCGGCCGTGAAAACGGGACATGTCCAGTTGTTCGGGCCGAAACAAGTAACGAGGCCGAAAGGCGGCCTCACCTGTGTCGGCCATCTTGATTCTGTCAATTGATAGGTCAGCACAGATCTGGAGGATTTGATCTCCACCCCGTACCTTCGATTTCTGAGCTCTGAGTTCCAAGAGCTACCGTGAAGATGTTTCGGACTTTTCATATATCCTGGCTTAACGTGTTGCGGCCAGTGATGAACCGGCCAAGCAAAGCCCGGCATGTGAAGAAAACATGCATTCTCTCTCCTCCTGGAGGGTATGTAGACTATTTGCGCAGCTGTGCCAGACTGACAGAGACTGCATAACTCTAAGTGAATACGATCGAATGCATGGATACGACTTCGACGGTTTTCGACGGTCCTATTTTATGCCATCTACCGAGGCGGGTATATTAAGGCGGCACATTGAATTTCCTCACTGAAACCATGCGTTGATGTGATAAAGGCGGACCAAGGCGAGCATTCAATCTCCTGGAAAGATACATGTATACAACATAGAATATTTGAACAAACGTTGCAGTTTCCTTGCTATCAAGGTTGATGCAATCATTCTATGAGGGTAGCATGTCTTCACTCGGAGGCATGCACCCCAGGTCCTAATCATTAGTGCGAATTTTGAACATACTGTACTAATACGGTTTATTTCATCTCTAGGAGCTTGAAGACACAATTATTCGCAGAGAGTATCTGTTCGAAGACAGACCTAAATGTGCAGGTAGGCTATTTACAGACGACTCTTGTAGCACAACCCATCGATTTACAGTCACACCGAAGGTTGCGTGCACTTGTATGTCCATTCTTGTGATTAGAACCGTTAGCTCTGAAGCTCTTTCTGCAGAATCATGCAATGCATTTTATAGCATGATCTTCCTTGGGGCATCTGGTTGTGCTTGTAGGTCTCCCTCACAAGCCGCGGTGGGCTGATGGAGCGTGCAGCCTCTAGACCCTTGCTGCCATCCTGCAGGGATTGCCTGTGACGTCAGCTGCTGAGATCGATTTTCCTTCCCTACAAAGTAACCTCGCCCGTGGATCTGTCAAGGGTCGTCCTCCACAGACGAACATCCACCCAGGCCAAGACCTATCTTCAATGCACTGATCGCATTTCAACAAATTTAGTTACATTGGCCGGAGCATCTGGCACATTGACTATTGGCTGAACATTTCCCCCTCCATAGCCATACTTACAACAAACTCACCAGTTGCATGATTCTGCCTGGCACATTACCGACACACCATCAACTGGTCAATACAATCACAACACCACACCCCCTCGCTGAAAAGACATGCCAGCAGGCCATTCTAACTCTATTTTCGAGAGCAACCGAAGAGCAGCCAGAGATGGCGAGGCCCTGCTATGGGGCGCCCTCTGTGACGAGCCTGGCACCGTCATGGAGTACATGGAAAAGGACTGTGTCGTCATGAACCCCCTTATCCATCCAGACAAATCCTTCGAGGCGCTCACGGCAGAGTCGGACCCGTCACTCTCCGAAGCACTGGAAAAGCTGGCACGCTCCAAGCATCCATGGACAAGTTACGTGATGCACAGGCATGACCCTACACCGGCCACCGCGAATGTCGAGATGTTCGCAGTGCAGATTATGTACAAGATGACCTTGATTCGGGAGGCGAGCCACCATCACCACCACCGGCATAGGAAGACGGAGGAAGAGAATACTAAACCCGAGTTGCAGAAGGTTGATGCATTTTGCACGAGTACTTGGAGGCAGGGATCAAGCGGAGGATGGAAACTCTGCTCGCAACAGCTGATACCAGTGTAGGCAGCGGGAGAAGTTCCATGTGTCTGATGTTGACACATTAGTGATTTTTTGGTGGATTTATTCATGATGCAAGAAATGCCGTGGAGGTATGTCTTTTTCTCCCAGCGAGTTGAGTCAAAATGTACGTAGACTGGGAATGAGTGGAATAATCACTCTTCAATGTTACACAAACTAGTTTATAATGCCACCAAGGAACATCTCATATCGCCAGACACTGTACTTCGCGGTGCTGCGACACGCACTTTGCACATCTATTGACCTTCCGCCCTTGGTATCCGAAGCCATTGTTGAGCCTGGCCTCTGCGTTGAGTCCGCCAATTAATTCTCGACGTTTCGCGTAAGAGTACAGAGCGAGGCTCTTCCCTTATAGTATCCCATGTAAGCTCCACCACCTTACAACTCGACCTTGGTTCCATCACCTTGTTCCACCTCTGGATCGGTACTCTGGCTTTCGTGCTCTTTGATATAGTTAAAGTCAACGTAACCTGATGCAAAGACGAGCCTCTTGAGAGGGTTGTCATCAGAATAGCTGTAGCACCATCAGTAAACTAACGGGGACAAGTATCGTACGATCGGCATCAGAAGCCGGACTCACTGAATCAGTATCTTTGCAAGCACACGCTCACACATCACGGTTGTCGCAATCATTCCAAGTATGACTGGAACGCCAGCAGGGACTCCGGCCTCCCACACGGCCAGAGACGCAGACAAGGCCGAGGTAAGCTCGAATTTCGTACCGAAATTCGCCATTTTTCGAAGTCGTGGATCAATCACGGGCAGCGTCCTTTCAGTGATCCGGAACCAGGCGAACCAGTTGAGAAACTTGACGCTGGCCCTGAACAGTACCGGGTCCTGTCCTCGCAGCCAAGACGCGGCAAAGACAACCGCGTGCATTAAGATCGCCGCCTGGAAACCCGACCTGATGATTGCTGTCGAATAGGAGCTTCTGGAGCGGCGGACTTCCAGGAGGAACGAGCTTAGGTTGAAGAGCGAGAAAAGCACGAGATCTGTGGGATCGGGCTTGGGCCACACGCGCAATGCAGCGTATCGGGCGTGATAGCGGAGGACATAGAGTGGGCCGGAGAAGATGTGGGCAATCATGGGGAGGTAAGGAAACCCCCTTGCGCGGGTGAGTTTTGGAGAAGAGTAGGAGAAGGTCTGGACGAGGAACGGCGAGTACATGGCGAGGACAAAGAGCGTTTCGAGCTCAGGACGGTACCGTGAGAGACCGGACTGGAGTGTATGCGCCAGCCGCTGCATCTGCAAGCCCACTGGGCCCGAGATGGCGCTGGGTGGTATGGTGGTCGAGTTCATGGCGAAGGCAGTGACACGCGATTGTTGTTTCTGCTCGAGCTCACATAAGAACGCCAGGTGAGCCGAGGAAGGGTTACTTTGAGACTTGTGAAGGGAACGTGTCCGCAATAATAAAGCTAAGAAACATCCTTTATAATATGTATTGCTCTTACGAGTCGGCTCATCAATGTCTCCGCGCGGATTCGCCGTTTCAAAGCAAGTTAGGGCTGACAGCTAAAGTGGAGGAGCCACGCTACTTATCCGCTCGAGGCACGATCCATGCTATCGTGGCAACCAACAAATCCCAGGCTTCAGGAGGATTACTCAGGGAATAGACTGCTTATTAGCCGAACACTACTGCGCCAATGTGGACTTACGAGCAGAGTGGGGTTGGTGACACTGCGTTGCCCGTCCCGTGGATGACGATCAACGAAGCCACAGCCAAGATATCAAACCAGGCTCGGGGTTAGGAGGACTGGAGGACTAGTGGTGTCACGGCTCAGCGACGTACCGAAGACATGGGTGGGAGGCCGATCTGGGATCAAGCTCCCAAAAGGGCAAATGCACGGTTCCGGGCTGATCGTTGCGCGCTACAGCTCATGCTATTAAGGTTAGTTGCGGACAGGTCTACTTGAAGTACATGTTGGTGCTTAGCGGCGGCCTGACAGTTGTCGTGTCTCAATGGTACTGTGCTCCATATTACGCTGTGGCACAACAGGAAATGCAAAAGCAAGCGGCTTTCGAGCTGCCTAATCAGACGGTGTGGAGTAGAAGCCACGAGGGAGTTGGTGTGCGTGCCCATGGGCCGAAGCATCCGCTGTTGAATTAACCAAGGAATTAGCGGCCGCCATAGACTCAGCGCAACAATCCCAGAATCTGCGATGATTCCTCATTCTGACGACGAAGACTGCTGTGAGACGTTGGAGCTATCCACGGCGCCTTTGTGCCGCCTGATGTTTTGCTTCCTCAGTTGCTTCTGGTCCCATTTTACTGGTACTCCCATGCTGGGACCCCACGTCCCAGCTGCTTTCATCGACTTCGCTTCCTTAGTCCTCGCTTCCTTCCTCTCGTGTTTTGCATCCTTAATCTCGTTCCACTTGTCAGTCGGGCACGGCTTTGCGGTATTGAGACTGATCGCCAGCGCTGTCAGATACATTCTGGGCCCGACTTCTAAGGCGCTGGTTCGTTCCTAGTCGACACGTCAGTTTACGATTGCATACGATTGAAGTCCTGTGGTTCTTGAACTTACCTTGTCCACAGTAGCATCGACTAGCCTTGTATTGAGGCTGTTGGCCGAAATAGTAGTGATATCTTGTATCCAACCCCACAGGTGACAGGAACGATTATACGGCCGATCCAGCTTCTCCCACACCTTGCTTGCTACAGGAGGCAATTTTCCAGCCTTGATCAGTGACACATAGTCGTTATGGTCGAAGACATCCTCGCCAATGACCCTCACTGGAAATTTAAGGTCATCTGGCACTGGGAAGATTGAGAGCTTCCGCCATTCCTCTATCGGATTCTTCCGATCTGAAGCATTGGACTGATCACAACTGTTGATCGCGTCATCGCCGATTCCATTCGAATGCGGCGTTTTTTTACTGCGTTGTAATAACTGGAAGCCTTCCTGCATGTTGTTCCATCCAAACATAATTGCAGCGCGAGCTTTAGTAGTTTCTGTGCCCAAGTCATCTACTATGTTGCAAAACTCCCTAGCGACTTCGTAAGTGCATTCGAGCCGCCTCCCTCTCAAAGCGTTATAGACGATCTGCAATCTCACGCCGGGTGCGTGTGCTTCATCCTCCAGGTGGGACAGTGTCTGCATGGAGTACCATTCCTTGGGCTCGATTTCGGCGTGTGCAATGTCTGATGCCAAGGAGAGAAGGATGGTCAGCTCCAAGTTGACCGTGTGAGTCAAGCGGTCCAGATTGGTGTCCCGAAACATGTTTGCAAAAGCCGTTTCTAGGAGAGGGATGGGAGTGCCCAAAAATGTACTGTTCGAGCAATCCACAAGGACCTCGACGTTCCCCCCCTGCTTCTTTGAGGCACCCAAACCGCGAATGCGGCCCAGCAATCTGTCGATTGCGTCGACACGTCCTTCCGTAATATTTGGCAGGACCATGCGTACTCGTGGAATTCGAGTGTTGCAACGGTTCGAACGTGCTGCTTTGACGAGTTGACATGTGATCTTCACAATACCGATGCCAGTGTCTTCGCCGTCGCTGGCATCAGAGTCTTCGTCGGTCGAGTCGTCAGGATTCCAGCCTTCTTGTGCCATTTGATATATGAGCTTCTTCTCGGTTACCACCGATACTTTCACCCATTCGGTACCGTTCTCCACCACGGCATCGACAGTTGTCCCGAGTTTTGCAGAGTTGCCGCTGAACCTTCGCCGAAATGCCATCAGCCCATGAGTGCGCTTGATAGCGTCCCATTGCTCCTGGTGAGAATTCAGGCCGCACCCTAGGATGACAGATGTATCTTTCTTATCCCGCTCCTCTTGGGACTGGCCGTCGGCAGTACTTGATTGCACATCGCTCCTGGCCTTCAAGATGCGCTGAACTGAGTTGCTTGTGCCCTTGACCGACGTAACAAATTCGTGTATTCCGGGCAGAGGATCCGCCAATTCTCGACGTTCTAGTCTTGTTGCAGCAGCTAGCTTCCGCTTGTACGCAGCACTCAATGCGTCCAGCTCTTCGATCAGAGTTTGAATGCTCTCGAGCGTGGATCGACCAAGGGATGCCACGTGATCCACTTCGTCGCCCATGATGCCAAATTCGATGTTCCTGCCCCTGGGCTCAATGCTTGTGGGTCAGTGCCATACTCCTCAGCCAATGAAGCCTTCGAGTAAAGGAGCACTTTGAAAGATGATTGTGCGCTTAGAGTTCCCGCAATAGAGCACTGCCAAGCAGCTGGTGGTTTGCTTATTTTCTGCGAGTTGTGCGAGAAAGATTAGTGACTTGTGGGCATCCCGAAGTCAAGCTAGCTTTAGTGCCTCGATCTAGAGTCAAAATAAATGTGAAGAAGATAAAATCTTTGGGTAAGGAATTGTAGTGTAAGAGACAGTCTAGCATCCACTGCTTTATGGCACTCAGGCTTCTGAAATGTGGTTGTCGTGCTGTGATGACGACACATCTTCACTTGGCTGCTCAGGTGGGGAGAATTTTGTCGTTGACTCACTGCGCACTCTCCAAGCTTGATCTTAGTAGGGTTAGGGGTTGTTGAATTGGACATCTCACAGATTTAGGAAAAGTGAAGCCTGATTATCATCCAGTTGCAACTTGTACATCTCCGTTGCGGCCTTGCAGCCTAACAAATTATGTCTATGGGGGCAATGTGTAGGATTTGACTTTCCAACTGGGTTCACTACACATTGAAGTCGTGAAGAAAGCAGCGTTCAAATGAGAGCGTTCCAGCTTACTTATCATCAATTCTAATGTCCCCGTTCATCGAGGTTAATTTGAAAGAGGCATCCCACACTTGATAAGAAGGTTGCTTTTTCTCGTGAATTGGACCTGAAGCTCCTCCACTGTTCTGAAAATCAATACTTTGCGCTTCGTCAAGGAGAAAAACTCGCAGAACTCTTTCCAGGACCAAGGCAAACGGTTTGTCATGACCCATGGCAGATTTCCAAAAACGCCATTATCTTCGATTGGTATGCTGGTAGTTGTTGTATTGGAACTGCTCAAACATTCCAATTTCGAGTACCATAGAAGCATCTCGATTCGTTGTCTGTTGGTTTCTCTGAATGACTTCATTGCAGATGGCGCATCCGCCTGATCTTATAATTAATTACTTTTGGTGCCCTTATTCTTTCTGAGATATTTCTTTTCGTAAACGAACAAGGGCTTTACTCTGATTCTTCTGACCCAACAACTCTTCAGGATTGATTTGGCAATGCAGCCCATTTATCCACGTGACAGACTTAAGCCTGAGACCAGGCATATTATGTGCAGAATTCGTCATTTTTCACAGACTGCACGTGTCTCTGCTTTGTTCCTGGTGTGCGAATCATGTAACGCTTTCAAAATGATAAGCTCAAGGTCTAGTCTGTACATATGTAATGATCGTAGGATATCCATTGCTGGTTCACCTCATTTCGAACACATCGCAATAGTTTGAATTTTATTTGAGGTAAGGACTGAAAATTCCCATATGATTTTTTGAACTCCATGATAATGCCCCGTTTCCAGTTAGGTCCCCAGGTCCATTGAGCGCTATGCAATATCGGCAAATGCGTGAGTCAATCTCAGTGAGCCAGCTTCAAGGCCCGGAGCGAGATACTAGCTCGCACTGTCACACCAAGACCGACGGCGAAATTCTCCTCCTTGATCAAGCCCGGTGCCTGAAGAATGTCTGAGAATGGGATCTCGAAGGCGCCTGTCTCGTCCTTCTTGTTCAGCAAGGAAATTTTGAAGCTTTCTGGGTTGGCAAGCGAGGCAGAGGTCAGCGGGATCCTGAAAGCTTGGTCGAAAGATGGGTTGAAAATGTCCGTTCCCGGGGTGTAAGTTTTGGCGGCCGTGAGAAACTCCTTTTCGCCCCACGAAATCTTCACGCTGGGGTTCAGCTCGTCTCGCTGGCCCTGGAGTCCAGACACGCTGCCGATGAGGACCGTGGCGAGCCCGACTATTTGGCCCTCCTCCCCGCTCCCCTGGCTAGACAGGATTCCAGCGTCATCGACAAAGTTGTAGAACTCAGCTCTGACGGTAACCTTGGCGTCTGTTGGATCGCCCTTATGGACGAGTTGCAACTCCTGCGAGCCGCCTTCCAGCAGAATTTGCTTGACGCTGGTGGTGGCGATGCCAATATCGTCATCACTACCAAGATCCTCGTCCTGCACGTCGATCACGATTTCTTGGTCGTTATCGGCCACAAGGAAGTCGTGTGTCTCATTCCATTCCGGATTGATTTCGTCCTTCTTGGTCGATGTGCGCCATTCGTCCTCAGCGCCGACAGTGACCTTGCAGTAGCAGTCAGGTACGTCCTTGATGATCTTGTTCAATAACTTCATGGCACCACTCTTCTTCCCGCCCTGGACCCCAGTCGCCTTCTCGATGGTCAGACGGAGGGCTCCAAGATGAGGCAAGTAGGTCTTGAAGTAGTCGTTGTTGGCATCCAGCTTGACAAGGAAGCGATTGGGCAAAACGGCCATCGAGGAGATGATGTTTAGTATGATTTTTCGGATAGCCTTGTCAACCAGGAAGCAGTCGGCGATATTGGCTGCATCAGTGAAGTCAAGCTTCAGCTGCGGCGGGTTGATGAAAGCGACTTGCGCAGCGCCAATCTGGATTCTGTGAGTATATGCGTGGTGTCTAGGACCATGTGAGAACGATTCATACCAGAGGGATGATGTTGGTCAAGGGGGCGAGCAGAATAGAAAGCCGACCCTGCAGGTGAATGTGCCCAATACCCTATAATAAACAATTAGTATTGTGCAAATTCTGAATGAGTAAGGTTGCATGCAGCGCGTAGTGTTACCAGTTTGGGGATTAAGTTTCCTTCGAGATCAATATCACTCTTTCCATCCCAAACGATATTCATATCAAGCTTAATGCCGCCATTTTGGGTCTTGTGAACGTCCACTTCGGATATCCTCACGGGCTCTTGACCAAGGTCAAGCTTGGTGAAACGGAGAGAAGAAAGGGGCCCAGGAAGCGTGGAGGCAAGAATAGGCTCCACTATCTCCTTCACCATCCTGCAGCCAGCAACATTGATGTTGGGCCATAGCTGCGCGACAATGTCGTTGAGGAATCCTGCTTATATGTCAGCTGATATGTAATTTGCAAAGACATCGGGCGTAACAGAGCGAGTGCGCGGTCTCACCTGCGGATTCTGTGCCTCCAGAGGCAGTCAGTTTCTCCACGAGTCCTGCCATGATGTACGAAGTTCTTGTCGGTGGATGATAGCGATGAATGATGAGAAGCTTGAGAATTTGGACGCCTCTCGAGTCACGAAGATGATATACAAGTTACCACGTGGTCGAACAGACCTCAAAGGTGGATCTTTTAACACACAGAGTGCGCTCTTTTGACCGCTAGAAGGTGTGTTGTTCTTTTCTTGGCATCAAACTGGGTGGGGTCTCAACGTCACTCAAGCCACATACGCAAAGGTCACTTCGTTGGTAAACATACTCCAATTCTATGAATCTTCAGTCTTACTCATCATGTACCATGGATCTTGATCACAAATGAAGAAGAGTTCCGGAAATCTATGTGATAAGTATGGCCAAGATTTAACGATATCCAAAATTTGTTTCTTTTGACAACTTCCAATATTAGTGAAGCCTTTGAAAAAACGGTGAGTCTCTCGTGTCAATCTGAGACGACTCGAAATGACACGGGACCCCGCATCATGTTGCACAATGATGGCGAGAAGGATCAGATAATGGCAAAGCGTAGAGTAACAAACCAATCTCCAGAATGGCGCCTGGGAATCACTACACTGTTGGTACAGTGGTCACACTTGTTTTGCTAGAATCAAGGGTTTGAGCAATGCGAATACACTGGCGATCGCCTTATTATGGCACAACGTGCGTTTGCTTGTGTTGTTGTAACAATGCACAGATCAGCAAGTGGTCCGGGTGGACATGTCTGCAAATGGCAACGCCCCGTTGAACCCTAAATTTGTTAGTGGAGTCGCAACATGCCGAGGCGACAATGAATTTATTCTGGTGAAACGAAGAAGTGTCTCTGCTCTGAAGTATTTTTTTTTTCTCTCTCTCTCTCTCAAAAATCCGCGGATCCGGCAAGCGGCCCGTCAGAACCATGATAAGCCTTTTTGCCCCATGGGCTAGGGCTAGATGCAACAGTGCGGCGTAGCAGGGGCGAAGGAATCAAGCTTGGCTCCAATGGCGACCTGTCGCTTATAATCTGGAGTAGGCAGCAGTCTGAATAGGACTGATTGGGACTCATCGAGCCCCATTGTCCATTTTAACCCGTGACTTTTTGCCTAGCTTCATCGTATGCTTGACTGTTTTGATATTAGCGTAGGAGCCTCAGATCAAGGAAGTCGGGTTGCAATCAATAAAAGGCTGGGCAAGCGCCTTCTGCTTCCCTCCGTCTGACTTGTCTCCTGCGAATCCCGCTTGGGACGGAAAGAACTTATCAGTATAGGCTCTCAGGTCACACCAACCACCGGAGTGGTTGTTTCTCTGTTCGACAAAAACCAGCTTCGTTGATTCATAAGGTCAAATCACATCTTGAGCACGTGTTGTTTGTTTCAATTATCCGTTGCTGGGTGATCCAACGCTTTAAAAATGTACCGCATCTTGACAGCTGCGAGCCTTGTGCTTCTGCTTCCACAATCCGGCTCTGCTTTCGACATTCAAAGCCTGACAAGGCGTAGTGCTGGCTCCGGAACTGGCTATGTCCACATTCCGGTGCAGCACACGGTCAAGAATTCTAATGGAGCCCCAATGATAAGGCGGAGGGCAAGCGGCAAGTACTCCACGGTTGACTTGGAGAACCTGTCAAGCGCGTACAGCATCAACATCTCGATTGCGGGACAGGACACAACCGTCATCGTTGACACAGGAAGCTCTGAGCTATGGGTTGACCCGGATTGCTCTACGGCAGCCCGCGGCAATGTCACAGACAGCGATGAAGGCTCGGGATTCGATGTTGGCTCGCCACAATACTGCGAATCGATCGGCCGCTATGATCCAGACTCGTCCTCAACTTCGAAGGATCTTGAGAAAGGAGACGTCTTCGTTTATGCAGACCTCACCACCATCGAGCTTAACTACTACACCGACAATATTGATATCGGAGGCTTAGAAATCAAGGAGCAGCAGTTTGGTGTTGCAAATGTTACTAATGCTACTGCCCTGGGCATAATGGGTATGGGGCCTAACTCTGCTTATGGATATAACTCCTCCACCCAGCCATACAGCCTTATATTGGATTCTATGGCTTCGCAAGGCCTAATAGCAAGCCGTGCTTTCAGTCTGGACCTCAAAAACTACGATAATGCAACCGGATCCATCATCTTTGGTGGTTTGGATAAGAAGAAGTTCCTTGGTTCCCTACAAACACTACCCCTGGAATCGCCTCAGATGTCGGCTGGCGCCTATGGCGATGGTAGTGATGACGAGAAGTACACAAACCACGGGTAAGCATCAACAGAAACATATATCCAGGAGCCCCTGCAGTCGGCTAACACAAAACATCAGTTACTTTGTCACAGTCCAGTCCCTAAGCATGACTAAACCGAACGACACCTCCTCCAGCAAATATGACCAAGACAGCTTTTTAGCAGTTCTTGACAGTGGGACGAGCGCGATTCTGACGCCCGAAGGCATATCGTCTCAAATTTGCAACGATGTAGGAGGGACTGAGATGACACAATCCGGCTCCAGCTTTTGTACAGTCCCTTGCGATGTGAAGAACCAACCTGGCGGGCTGGATGTGGAATTCCAAGGCAAGACTATCCGTGTCACCTTCGAAAATCTCTTCACGGAAGTCGAGCAGGACGGCTATACTTTCTGCTTCCTAGGAGTGGGTGACACAGGAGTTGCTACAGATCCACCTACTTATATCCTAGGCAGTCCGTTTCTGCGAGCCGCGTACGCCGTATTTGACTGGGACAATCAGCAGGTGCATCTTGCTCAGGCCTCTGATTGTGGCAGCAACGTCGTGGCTATCGGTACCGGTACGGGTGCTGTCCCCACTGGCGGTGGCTGCAAAGAGTCGGCATCGCTTCCTTCTATTCACAGAAACGTCGGGCTAGCAATGGTCGCTTTCTTGGCAAGCACTCTGTTCTTGATGTAGGATGCAGCAGAAGTTTATTGTGAGGGGGAGGCGGGGGGATTCGAGTCACCTCTTTTATTTACGTCTAGACAAAGGCAATACACCTGTGTAAGAAGATTTCGTCACCAGTTGGCGGCACGGATCCACCTTGACCACGATTGCCGACTTGCATGCCTTGTTCTTCAACTGTTGTTTTCCTACGTATCTCAGGATCACCCAACTCTTGCTCCATTTGGAACATCCGATTACAAAAAATTGGTCTTACGGCATAAGCCGAGGTTAGTCACACTGTTTTCATCGAACCCCGCGTGATCATGCAGAGCTCCCATAACAGGTGCGCCAGCGAAGCGAAGTCAAGCCATGGGAACATTATGCGAATCAGGGTTTGAGTTTGTCCTTGGCTACCTTTTTTTGGTATCACCCTGCATGCATGTATCGTATGCGGACTCCAAGAGACTTCCCGCAGGGGTGGTTAAAACGAGGCGAGGACCGTATTGGCGTTACAACGAGATCATCCCCTCTGCGAGGAACTGCACGGTCACTTAGCTCAGCCACCAGAGTCCGCATTAGGCCCCAAAGTTGTGTCTCTCCGGAAGCTATAGAACTTTGTAAAACATTAAATAGAATAGGTTCTCCTCACCCGGTACCGCATCTAGAACCACTCACTCATATTTCCCCAGAGGACCCTTACTAAGCTCAAGCTCCTCACTTTGAGTTGGCACAAGATGGGACTAACCAACAAGCTCAATGAGTGCGTTCAAGAGGTGGACGTGATTATTGCCGGAGGAAAGTCTCGTCTCATATCATGCTATGTACATAAAGGTCAAATGACTAATTATGACTGTCTCCAGGGGGCACTGCCGCGTGCGTAGTTGCTGGAAGGCTAGCAGAAGCGGATCCTGAACTGTCCATTCTCGTCATCGAAGGCGGACAAGACAATTTCAATGTGCCCAGTGTGGTTAATCCTGTCCTCTTTTACCAGCATCTACTACCCACCAGCAAGACAGCCTTGTTCTATAAAGCCAAGGCTTCTGAGCACCTCGCTGGGCGAGAATCGATAGTCCCGTCAGGGGGTAAGCTTTCCATCTCCGGCCTCAAATATTACTGAATGTCCTTTCCAATGCTCGTTCATATTCCCTCTTCATGGTACTTAGGGCAGGGAAGACACAATTGAAGAAAATTGGCCATGCTGACTTGGTTTATGGATAGGAACTTTGGGCGGAGGCTCTTCGATTAACTTCATGATGTATGCTGACCTTTCGGCATCTGCCAGATCGATGCTGGAAGTTTCAAGCTGCTAACGTAAGTACTTCAGGTACACAAGGTCCCAACGTGAGGACTTTGACTCGTGGAACACGCCGGGATGGACGGCTGATGATATCCTCCCCTTCATGAGAAAGGTTCGTGGACCCAGAGATCAGCATAGGTACTCTCACTCACACTGATTTAACATAGCTCGAGACCTACCACGGCCCCGGGGATGCTGATAGACACGGATATTCGGGCCCGATTCACGTCAGCAATGGTGGATACAGCGTTGAGAGCCCTAAGGATGACTATATCAACGTGCTCAAGACTTATGGTGGTTTGCCTGAGAGCAAAGATATGCAGAGCCTTGATGCCAATAACTGCTGTGAGCGATCACTCAAATACGTCTCACCGGAGGGCAAACGCCAAGATGCAGCCCACACATTTCTTCACCCGAAACTACAAGATGGGAAACACCCAAATTTACACGTTCTTGTCGAGGCAAAGGTCATACGCGTTCTATTTGACGAGAACAAGAAGGCATGCGGTGTCGAAGTCACTCCCAACCCTGACTTCCAGGTCCAGATTGGAGTCACCAAGAGCCCTAAGCAGGTCTTCAGAGCTCGAAAATTAGTGGTGGTCTCCTGTGGGGCGAACGGAACGCCTAATGTCCTGGAAAGATCCGGCATTGGCGGCAAGGAAATCCTTGAGAAGGCAGGCGTACCAGTTGTGGTCGACTTGCCTGGTGTGGGAAGCAATTGGCAAGATCATCATCTGATCCTTCTACCTTTCAAAACGTCGCTCCAGCCACGCGAGACCGGCGATCTTGTCATCAGTGGTCGCGTAAAAGAGGAAGACTTGATCAAAAATAAGGACAAAATCCTGGGTTGGAATTTGGTTGATGTTGGTGTGAAGATGCAGCCGTCGGAAGCAGATCGCGCGACGTTGGACAAGGATCTGTTGGCGGCCTGGGAGCGGGATTTCAAGGACAAACCAAACAAGCCTTTGATGCTGATTGCCTTCATCAATGGGTGAGTGAATGCTTCTGAATATTGTCTGTGGGTCGTTCACTGATGACTCGCTTTTGTTGGTTATGCAGCTTTGTCGGCGACCATTCAGCTCTGGAGGAAGGACAGTACGTCCTGATGGCCAATTATACCGCTTACCCGTACTCTCGGGGCTCAATGCACATCACTGGTCCCGATATCAATGATGCACTCGACTTCGACGTTGGATTTTTCTCCGATCCAGGCGACATTGACCTCAAGAAGCAAGTGTGGGCATATAAGAAACAACGCGAGTTTATGAGGCGTACGCAGATGTTCCGAGGCGAGGTCGCTCTGGGCCATCCAAAGTTCTCACCAACATCAAAGGCTGCACTAGTCGAGGATGTCTCGACCCTCGACCTGCGAGGGGACGATGTCCACGATTTGGAGTATTCGGCCGAGGACGACAAAGCCATCGAGCAATTCCTACGTGAGAATATCCAGACTACAGTAAGCTATTTCTGGGGTGCTACTTGTTTTTCTCAAGTCGAAACACCCACTGAATCCGTTCTCATCTTAACACCTGCCTTGAAGCGCTTTGATTGGAACCAGCACATAATTACCTACTCTGACCCTTTTCCGAACGGAAAATTCTCTCTAGTGCTTTGATAATTGATTCAAAATATTGCAGTGGCATTCGATTGCGTCGTGTAGGATGGCGCCGAGAGAAGAAATGGGCGTTGTGGATGGAAACTTGAGTGTATATGGTGTTCAGAACCTAAAGCTCGCGGATCTGAGCATTCCGCCTGAAAACGTTGGAGCAAATACCAACAATGTGAGTATCTCATAACTCTCAAGGACATGGTTTGCGAATTCTTACCAAACATTGCAGACGGCTCTTGTCATCGGAGAAAAGGCCGCAGACATTATTGCGCAAGAGCTTGGATTGCCAAGAAGATGAGGGCGTGTAAAGACCTCCAAGTTTTCAACTGTAACCGCTACGAGTTCGAGTTCAAGTTCAAATGTTGTTTCTCGATGGAGTTCGATTCTGATGCGATGGTGGAATCATATCCATCGAAACGCGGAGAACATATATGTTTGGGTACAGAACAAGTCGTTGAGGCATGCTACGTATGCTTGGTAAGTTGCGAAGCGGTCCGATTCCTTTGCCCATATCAACATTTCAAATTAAGGTTAAAACTCTGAGTCTCAAACATATTTGCCCCTAAATTCGTGATTGTGATCTCATTATCCCTAGACACTGAATCTTTTCGGTGATTTATGGAACCTACGCGTCCGTGGCTATGAAGCTGGTATGAGTCAAATGTTGCGCAATATGACTCAGAGTCTTCCGCAGATTTTTGCCCGTATTGATGCTCTAGAGGTGATGATGTCGATATATTGATCGTCCGGGGCGCAGTCCTGATATTCCGAATCGTCAATGACGCCTTGGACCTGAGAAAGCACGTGTCGAAAGAGCCGGATTCACAATCCCCAGGAAGAGGTCTGCAAAACACCGCTCAATTTTGTCCAGAAGACGAAATCAACCAGTGTTGTCACGACATTGTCACAAACTAAACGCGATGACACAGTTTTAAAAAAGACAAAGGAGATATTTTTAGGGGGGTTCCCGACACTATCTATCGCGCAGTACAATAATACAAGTATGATACATTACAGTATGGTTCCGTGAAACAAAAGAAATTCGCGTCCAGCTATGCAGCTTTTTGTCCAAGTCCAAACCGAGAAACCAATCAATCTATCGGGGTATTTGTGGTATAGCAAGACGAAACAGCTTCACGAAACATCGCAAAAAATCCAAGAACTTTTTAAAACCCAATGCAACCATACCAAAATCATTTGAACCATTACATGAAGACGCTTGAAACAAAACATGCTCGCTGATAAAGACAAAATCTAGGAAATATGCTTGCGCTCAGATGCAGTTGTAGAGCGAGGAGCGGAGAAAACCAGACGTAGAAACAAGCAAGAAAGGGCCTTTGCAGGCATCAGAAGTATGAGCCGGTCACAAGGTTGCCATCCTCAGGGGTGGACTCAAACCTCGCAGTCAGGGCCAGCCCCGGAGAAGCACGGAGGCCATCGTCGAGGAGTGAATTGTGTGCAATGTTGCCGACAGGGAGGCTGCCCAAGATCTGGCTGTGCCTCGCGGGCTTCCCTTGGTCGACGCTCTTCTTTCGGGAGTGGGACATCTTCACCGGGCTGTTCTGGGACGTGCTGAACTTCCTCGGCCGCATGGGCCCAGACGCATTGAGGTCTTTCGAGGCCGTGCGTGAGTGTGGGGGGAAGGAGGGCGTGGTTGGGCTCATCGGCGAGCTGGCCGACGATGCCGAAGTCAGAGAGGTGAGCGATGTCTTCGAGCTGGAGCTGGATGTCCGGCCGAGAACACCCCTTGGCCCGGCCTCGGTGGTGGGCGACTTCTTGGCAGCCTCGTCTAGGCTCATGTTCTCGAGCAGGTCGGTGAGAACCTCCTTGACTGGCTTGCGTGCGTCGGGGTCACACGTGCCGTTTAGCCGGGACTGCCACCACGCTTTGGACTGCTTGTCGGGCACAGCGTGGCGGAGCACATCCGCCAAGCTTTCCTCGACCACGCGTGCCTGGTCATCGTTCAGCGTCAGAGCGCTGTGCTCCGTTGCCAGCTCGAGCAGTGCGGCCGCATGTCGCACTTCGGTCTGCTTGCTCTGGGTTGAGTCGCGAAGGCCGCACGCATCCATCTTGAACACGATCAGGTCTACCAGCGAGATGTAGGGCAGCTGGTCAGGAGAAGGCTGGATCCCACTAGCTGGCTTCGCCGCGCTGGGGAGAAAAGGGCACAGCATCTCAGGCGTGATGCGAACCTCGAAGCCCGATGCCGGCGATGCAGGCCGCGACTTTGACGAGGTCGTTGGTGGCGAGGTCTGGTAGTACAGAACCTGCGATGACTCGATGACCGGAGACATCGGATGTTGCAGGAGCTTCTTCCTGAGCAGGCTGGCCGAGGTCGACGAGTTGACGATGAGATCGATGCTTTGCTGCGGATGGCGTTAGTCTTGCATCACTTCATGAACACACGCCACTTCTGGGGTGACTTACTCCTGCGTGTTGCTGCCCGTACTCCGGTAGGTATTTCCGGATGGCCATGTCCCCGGAGAAGGCCAATTTTGTGTTCCTCAGATCCGGTGTGTCCTTGATGACCTGGATCATGCAGCACGCCGCCTTCTCCATCTCTGCCATTATTGCCGCTGCCATTGCGTCCCGCGCCGTTTCGAAGGGACCAATATTCCCGTCTCTGCCCTCCTGCGCAGCCTTGAAGCTTTGGGGAAAAGGAATGAATCGCCCGGAAAACGCAGTTGAGGTTGGAACAAGAAGCGGTCGGTGGCTGGCATTTGTCGTGGGAAGGCTCCTTGATATCTCATTTTGTTTGAGCCGGGACTCACCCTGTCAATCCTTTCTCGGATGCTCCACCCGTCGTTAATGCCCGATGGGAATTTCGGGAGGGCCTTGTGTTGCCCAACTGGGAATGCGACACCGACAAAGCCAAGGGGTTGGCCAAGTTGGGCCTCAAGAGCTCAGCTGCTGCTACCACGACAACGGCGTATTGGGCTCTCCAACAAGGAGGATTAGCATTTCGAATAATTTCTCGGCTGAGACAAACGGCTGTGTTGCAGTCATGGGAAAACGGGTGTAGGCATAACCATCAATGCGACGCGGTGGGGTTAGGGTTCTCTTCTCAGTTGCCGGCACAGAAAGGTGGGTGCTGGCAAAAAAACAACATGAACTCTGGAGAAGGCCACGAATTAAATGGGTCTATGGGGACACAGGAGGAGGAAGGCTGTCGCAGACTTTGCACAGCATCGAGATCCCTACGGTCTACACACGATCCCACGTGAGGATATCACGCCGGACGCATCGGCTCTATTCATATCCAAATGTAGTATATATGCAGCCAACATTTATTCGGGCCTGGGAAGAAAGATGCATCGCTGCATTATCGACGACAATTGCAGAACAGACTGCAGAACAGCCATGTTTTTGTTTTGGGCGGTAAACAGCGGGGACTCTGCCACATCCTCTGAGGGCGTCTCCACGGTGATCTAGCCACACTCGCCTTGCCTGGTCCTTAAGCGCTGACTATCTTTCGAGTTCTGGGGTTGGGATCACCTGTGATGTGCGACACGCCCGGTGTTAAGAGTTCCGCAGTGGAGAAGTTACGTGGGCTCTTCTTCTCCAAGAAGCGCGTCTCCTTTTGTGATAGGAAGATGGGCACCAACAACCTTCTGCATGAGGAGCACTGCCTAGGTTACTAGACAAGTTCTCAGGCAAGATGACGCTTCGATGGGGAACCCGGCCGAGATGATGGTCCAGAAGTCTTGTCGAACTTTTGCGCTGCTGACCCACCCATAACAGCTGGTGAATAAAGTTTCAGGGAACAGAGCAAACCTAATGTTCGGCTTGTGGACCCTCACTTCAATGCGAACTGACCCACGCGGCCCGAGCAGATGGGAATGATCCAAACAACGAATTGAGAACGCCTGAACGTCACGCTCCAGGTGGAAGCGTTCTAGAAGCATTCTAATCCGTGCAACCCTTGCTTTTAAGTGTAGACCGACCCGAACTGAATGCAAGGCACGAACACCCATCATTGTACCACCTTGCAAGTCGCCTGTCACAACCCTCAAGAGCTAGGTTTCTCACCGAGTCATCCGAGACAAGGTTCTGGGATTTGCTAGCACATAGCGCAGTTGCGTTTGTAACCTTCATTGCTAGTATTAATAGCACTTTCTTGTTACCTCAACTCCCAAGAGGCTCATTCCGGAGAATTCCTTCTCAGCAGCAATGCCTGCGTGACGATTACTTACGTACCGCGTAATTGGCTCCGGCTCGATAAAAGACAAGTTCCGGGTGGGATCAGACTGCCATCTTACTCCTGCTCATATACGCTGGGGTGAGTCAAGCCCAAATGTGCATCCTTGGTGGAGATTCTCAAGCCCTGTGTGGGGATTCCGGCTTCCCCTTCAAGCCCATCCCTTGAGCCAAATAACACGGCAGTTTTCATCCTCACGCCGTGTACTTGTAGCACAGAGATTGTCAGGCTTTTGTGGAGCAGTCTGATTTTGACAATCTCCCATGGATCAGGATTCAGGATTCAAGCTCGGGATCGCCGGGAACTTGCCCCGGGTGAATCCCAAGTCGGATTTGGGCATGCGAAAGCAACACAAAGAATACAAAAATAACCCGCACAATTACGCACTTTGCAGTCTTGAAAATCCTTAGCAAAGAATTGTCTTAGATATTGATTCTAGTCTCAAGTCCGACGATGTAAGCCGATAATCCTCTCCGCGCCGGAGGAACCTTAGAAGGCTTAGGTCAGAGAAACGATGAGTCGATAACAATCAAGTGTTGTTGTTCGAAGAGATCTATCACACGCGACAAAACATCTCAGATACGAAATTGAAATTATGGCAGCTGAGACCCAAATTGCACAGCAGACGGTCGTCTTCCGTGGGTGTATGGGCCGAAGTATTTACAAGACGATGATTTCTGGACTTGAGAAGACTCCATTGCTGTCACACCGCTATCTCTCAGGTTAGGGGACACGTTTACCATCAATTACATCCTTATCCACCTTTTGGTCTCTTTCAAGCCTGCTGTTGGGAATAAGCTTTGTGTTCTGCCCAATGAGTTGATCGTTTCCTGATTTGCAGGCAACAGACCACTGCTGGGCAACTCAAGGTCTTCGTCATGACTGTAGATAATGTTTACGTCCCAAAAACCAGATCTCCACGCAGAAGGGGCGTGTTTGTGCATCTGATGCCCAACAGTCGCGCATTGGGCTACATTCTGACGTACATGTCGCCATTCTTGGTCGTTATGGCCCAAAATAATGCCGCAGCTCTCCATCGGCTTGTCACATATTTCCTTAGTTCCAACATTGGGCTCTCGTGCTATTTCATTTTGAGATTCGATTCGTTGCCAACTGCGTACGGTCGTTTCCCCAGTCTACATACTGCCTAGCCTTGTATGGGAAAGGTTTGCTAATCTTCGCAGCTCAATATCCACTCACGGTTTTTTCCGCGGTCGTATTACATCGTGACCCACTTGCAAAGGCACATCACCAACACCGATGATGGCAGCATGTTCACGGGGCTGAATACTGATTGAGGGTCTTGGAGATAATTCGAGCACTGCAGTATATATATCTATATAAGCTGGGAGGGTTGAATGAGCCACTTGATGTAACGCACGCAACAAAAGGCAGGATAGCCGAGGATAACAGGGTGCTAATTCAGTGATTGGCCTGTGCATATCCAATAACAGACGTGAGCGAAAAGGGAAAAGAGTAATTCAGAACATGAAGAAGTATTTTCATTGAGGACCGATTCTCAAATTCGTCTGTAAACATACCAAAATTCGTGAATAACACAAAAGAAACAAATTTGCAATAATGCATGTGTTTCAACATTTCAGCATCAACATATGAATCCTTTTCACGTCGAAGAGATTCCTTGCAGATATATTGATCGGTGCGTGCGAAAACATATGCGCACCAAAGCAATTCGGCATTTGTTGCATCATTGCTAATCGCGACCGAACCAAAAGTTGATGGTCCATACATAATGTGGTGGACATGGACAGCAGTTGGCTACCACTGCTTCCTGTGTGTATAAATCGAGGCTTTACGTAGACAACGCTGCGAACGGGCGGGAGCTTGCTATTTGAGGCCAGGTCCAACCTACACAAAAGAGCAGACTCGTGGCATCTACTCCCGGTGAATCCTACCATTGTAGGCTCAAGTCATGCGGCTGATCCAGCACTTGTATTAGACTCTATATGTGGCTGAACACAATGGACTTACATGATGTTGATGGCCTACTAAGCTGAATCAAGCAGTAGAAGGAGCAAATTGCGATAGCACAAAGACACAGAAGTGATCAGGATTGAGATTACCTAGTAGTATGAGTTTCCGCACGCAGTTGGCACCAAATTTATGGGCTGCTGGAGGTAGATATTCGAAGTGAAGGTCAAGTTGTTGTGCGCACTTGCAATGCCCAAGAATTAGCGGGGCATTAGCGCACACAACACGGTTCTTGACCACATGTCCAGCCACACAGTGTTGAGCAATAATTTTTTTTTGCAAAATCATTCAGCATTAATGAATGAGTTCTTTAAAATACCATAGATAAATATGTGGGCAGGCCATCCCCGAGTCCTTCTAGTGTTTCAATTCAGCCTTAGACTTCTAGATAGAGTGACACTATCTTGAAGCTTAGTTCACTAGTATAAATAATGGCCCATATCATTTTCAAAATAATTATTTGGCTCTCGCAGGATAAAAAGAATGGACCGAACTGTTCTTGGCCTCTATGATCTCTTCCATGCATCACACCTCATTTAATATCTTTCTACCCTCTTCCTAGGAGCTACAACCAGAGCCCCGATCACCAGATGGAACAAACGACAGGAATGTCACTTCCGAGCCCGGAAGCACACGAACAACAGCAACGGCTGGACGCCGTGAATTTCGTGCTGGAAGACATGCGGCTATATCTGCCCTCCGGAATCGAGCCGAATACATGGTCGGCTATGAGAAATTACATGGTGGCAAGACTCGGCCAATATAAAGACTTCGACAACCTCCTTCTGCGGAACGCGTCAATAGAGATAATGAACAATGACGGTATGAGACGGCTCAGTGACCTGATCATACATGCAGGAGAACTCTTTGCAGCCTTTGTACAATTAGGCCCAATGACGGGCGCGGCCCTGCAAAGTTTTGTCTTTAGTGAGGAAAGATTATTAGACGCCACAAGGCAGCTTGCTGCCTATGAGGCGCGGCTGGTGGAATGCGACGCCCAGTTCGTTTTACAACGTAATCTGAATGATGCGCTCGACCGGGTGTTTGCACGAACCAAAAGTGTTCTTCAGATGAGAGAGCAAGAACTGGAGCAGGCCCAGCGAACCATTCAGGAGAAAGATGAGGAGCTCAACCGCACCAAGCGCATTTTACAACGCGTTGAGGCAGAGCGCGACCGTTCCAGCAGGACCGCAGACTATGTGATTCTCCAGCTCGGTGATCTCGAAAGGCGTCTCAAAGAGGCTGAGAATATTCAGCTGGGGTCTCAAGGCTCTGGCAAGCTCCCCGTCAGCGTGCCCTCCCAACCACGTCAGGCATCTGCCCCATGGACAACATCAGCACCAGCCGGAGCCAACACAAACGCACAAGTGGCATACACAGAGGCTTCGACAGAATTGGAACAGTACCTTGAGTCCGCGCAAGACAAAAGTACCAGACCCGAATCCAGATTCACCGGATTTTTCAAGGAGCTCGCCACGAAAGAAGCTCAGAAAGCCGAAAGTACCAATGGTACAATGGAGCACCTTCCGGAGATGGACAGTGATGCTTCTGTCAAGATGCCCGTCGTGCCGCACCAAGTCGTACCTTGTATGCCTCGGCTGCCCCAAGGTGCAACCACTCCTGCGACGAACGCCACTAAAAAGAGAAATGACCTTGCTGAGGTCGTCAAAGATGCCGATGATCCGGTTGACTCTCTAAACATGGGTTAGTAAATATTCATTCCTCTGTAATTGGAACATCACCATCTAACAATGGCAGACCAAGTTTCACCAAAGTAGACACCTGCAGCAAGGCAGAGAATCAGTCCAGGGGCATTGTGTTCTGTTGAAAGAGCGCAGATGGCTGATTCGATGTTTAAGTTTACCAGAAGTCATATACACTCCACATGAGCGAGTTACATGTCAATATAACTTCAGGGACTCCTCCAAATCCCTACCCTAACCGACTGGATCATGGTGGTACCGAGGCGCGAGACGTGGAGGTAGCGGGGAGGGATTAGTGGGATTATGGCTCCTTCCTCGTCATGTTTCTTTATCAGGGATATATTCAAATCGCATTTGTTCCCATATAAGGCGGATCAGAATGGTTTTTCTTTTATGTCCCGGAGCATGTTACCGAGTCCGAAGGCTGTAGCTTAGGACCTCCAAGTAATGTTGCCATTCGTGGGTGCAAACAACGGTCTAAAGTACAGCAACGGGTACAGTCGAAGTTCTAATGTTAGGGCCTAGTTTGTCTGTCACGTACGTGTTGTCTGCGAATCTATTTGGAGTTGACAAGTATTGGAGCAAGCGCGGGAAAGTCTAAGACCTATCATCACGCGAGGAAGATAGTAGGCCAGGCATTCCTTGCGAGCAGGCAACGCGCATCAATATTGTTAGTGAAACATTGAATGCATCAGTTACCTGAAGATTCAAGCAAGCTGGTTCTAACATACAAGGCAATACGTTTATCCGTGAGAGCCGTATATTATTCAGTCCTATATAACGTCGCAGGCGATCCCTTGGGATACCGACACTGCTACCGCAAGCGCGACGTTAATGACTCGGATTGATGTGGATTTGTGAAAAGGACTGCGTGATAGCAAACCGGAATGCCCAGCCGTAAATACCTGGTCTGGGCAATGCGGCTCTAAAGGAGAGTCGGAGTTTACGGGTCTCGTGCTTCGAGCAAGTGGAGATGCAGACCGCGTCAGGTTTTGGCATGCAAATCGTCAGATGTACCCCCACGCCTGCGCCGATGAGGAGAGTCGCATGCAGCCCGCATCCGGTTGCCTTCAGGCCCACTGGTGGCGGGTATGCCTACCTAGCTGGGTACTCCGGTAACCTGTCCAGGTGCCGCGGCCTAGGACGATGTCACGGCCGACTGCCAAAGTGCCGGAACCTTCGTGCCCACAGCTCGCCACAGGGCTGAAAGGCTGGCGTGAAGAAAGACTTCTTGACGCCCTGGATCAATTATTCTGTCTGCATGTGTGCCTATCTATTCGAAGCTGCCTTGAGAAAAGGAGAATGATAGAAGAAAGGATGTCGTCGGGATAAACTTGCATGCCAACCCTGGCCTAGAACCTTGGAAGTAGCCGATCCGACTTGGACTGCCGAGCCGACGGTTGAAAAGTCTTGCCCCTGATTTTAGTCTGGGGGCCGATCGCTGCTTACACGAATAACTGAAGCTTGAAGTGCCCAGACGAACGGACAAGACGGGATGGTGCCATGAGCATACCGTGCTTTTTTGCAAGCGAAAACGAGAGCATCACAGGCTGCCATCAAGTGATAGAACTCGGTGATGTGACCGGGATATAGAGTCGAACCAAGATATGAGACGTCTACCACGTGCAGTCGCGTATGCTTGCAAAAGTTTCCCGCGTATCTGGATGGGAAAATATTATCGCGTGGCAAGTTTGGCTGTACGGACCTGACGATGAACCCCCATGTGACCCCCACGCTGCTCGTCGGTCAGCGCGTCTCGGCCTGTTTCCGTTCCCCAGGTTGACTGAGTCCGTTTCCCCAGATGGCGCCCCCAAACCTCGGCCCAGGAACCTCGAAAATGTTGGGGCTCTGTCGTCACATCAGCCCTCCTAGTGGCCCGTTTCACCAGATGGTCTCGACGACGTCCCAGGGCTTCCCCGGTGGCCTCGCCAAAGGGCCGAAGAAGAGCCATGGCGTCCAACTTTGCCCGTCGCATTCCTAGGCGCACGGGTCCGCACAAATGCCCGGTAAAATGGAGATATTAGGTCACGCTCCTCTAGGTACTCCATGGGGATTCGAGACCATGTGGAGCATTGTGGGGGTCGAATTGAGAGTTGCAAATGCGAATTGTGCGGGGGGAAGTGGCTCGACTGGACAGGCCGGACTGGGTGACGGCGGTGGAGCTCGCTGCCCAGATGGCGACAAAAACTCTCAGCAACCCGCCCGATCACACCCGATACTGCGTGAGGACCCGTGGTGACTATATAAGGTCGAGCTATCCGCCCTGCCTTCTCTTCGCCGGCAATTCTCCCGGTCAGCCTCTTGTTTGAAGCCTGCTTGGTGGTTCTCTCCCCGGATATCACGCGACTCTTGACTCAGACAAGTCACACAGGATGGCGGACCAAATTTCCAGGGCTGTCTCGAACGGCTCTGTGTCGGGGAAGCAGGACGTCCAGAAACTCGAAAATGCCCCTGGCTCGACCACCAACGACGCAGGCCACCTGAACGTCGCCCACATGACTCCAGAGCACAGGGCCCGGGTCGAGAAGAGCCTCAAGCGGAAGCTCGACCTTCGGTGCTCGCTCTTCGTCGCCATCTACATCATGAACTACCTGGACCGCAACAACATTGCCGCGGCGCGTCTCAAGGGTCTGCAGGATGATCTGCACCTCGATAATACCCAGTACTCGACATGCCTGAGTATTCTATACGTCGGCTATATTCTCATGCAGATCCCTTCCAACATGCTCATCAACGGCCTCGAGCGACCTTCCCTGTATCTCAGCATCGTCATGCTGGTTTGGGGTCTCATCTCCACCTTGAGTGGAGTCGTACACGACTTCAAGGGCATGGTGGTGACGCGGTTCTTCCTGGGTTTCGTCGAGGCGGCTTTCTTGCCTGGTGTGCTGCTGATCTTGTCCAAGTGGTACACGAGGAGCGAGCTGACCCTGAGGAACGCTATCCTCTTCTGCGGAAACCTCATCTCGAATGCCTTCTCGGCCCTCGTCGGAGCGGGTGTGCTCTCAAACATGCAGGGCACCTTAGGCCACGCTGCCTGGAGGTGGCTGTTCTGGATCGAGGGTGGAGTGACCATGGTGAGTAGCCCTTAATCTTGTCCACAAAGCTACGGCAGCAGCTAACCCGGCCCTAGGGTATCGCCATTGCCGCCATATTCGTCCTGCCTGACTTGCCTCACAACACGCGTGGTTTCACCGAGGAGGAGCGCCAGGTCGCGCAGCTGCGGATGATCGAGGATGTGGGCGAGGCCGACACCGACTCAAAGGACCAAGGCGTGACAGATGGACTGGTCATGGCAATGAAGGACATCAAGGTGTGGTTGATGATGATCACATTGTGTGCTTATGTCGTCGGACTGTCGTTCAACGCCTTCTTCGTAAGTGCACTTACCAAATCCGATTTTGAGAATGGCTGATTTTTAACTCTTGTTACAGCCAACACTCACTGGTACCCTTGGCTTCGGTTACGTCCCGACGCTCTTGATGAGCAGCCCTCCTTGGTTGTTCTCTTGCATCGTTTCCTTAATCAACGCTCTTCACTCGGATCGTACCGGAGAAAAGTTCTGGCATATTGTGGGCCCCATTGTTGGAGGCCTGGTCGGCTTCATCATCTCGATGTCCACTCTCAACGTTGCTGCCCGCTACGTTGCTCTTTTCCTCCAGGCAAGCTCATATGCGGGGTAAGTTTCCAATTCTGATGCATTTCATCCTCTAGAACGCAAAGTTACTGACCTGAAAACAATAGGTTCATCGTCTTCTACTCGTGGATCTCGTCATCGTTCCCTCGACCTCCCGCCAAGCGTGCAGTTGCTCTGGCCGCCATCAACGCCTTTTCCCAGCTGGGCAATATTGCCGGCTCCTACGTCTGGGATTTGTCCGAGAATGGGTACCGCAAGTCCTACGGCATCGTCACTGCCATGTTCGGTGTCACGGTTCTCGGCTGCTGGGTGTTCAGACTCACGCTCACCCGACTCAACAAGAAACTCGAGCAGGGCGAACTTGTCGACTGGGACACGAGAGAAGATGTTGCCAACCAGACGGCACAGATCGAGGGCGCCACTGTGAACGAGGCGCTCAACATGAGGAAGGGCTTCCGATACCTCGTATAAATACACAAAGCCCAATTATGGGGTGTGAAGATAGAATAATTCAAGTACACTTGCATCGTAATCGTTTCCAATACACGACATCAACGATGACCCACCGTCACATGAGCACGGGTGGTTATCCAAGCTACATATTAAACGATAAGAAAAAAAAAGATCTGGATCCTTCGGGTGTTCACGTAGGCCCAAGCATACCAATTTTTCTTCGATTCAGACCCATAGTCTTTTCTAATTTCTTATTAACGTATCTAGTTTTACTACGACTCTACCATGTCAAACCTCGATCATAGCTTTAATCACCTACAATTTGACACTATGATTTGCAACAATAAATCCGCGCATAAGTCTTCCCATACTACAAAGACGTCAATATGAGGCTTAGAGTATTAATTTCAATTGCTCCAGTGCGAAGCTAACAGTAATCGTAAAGTCTATTCTCATGTATACTGCATAGCCAGTCAACGCCGACAAAATGGATCCGTGATTGCCCGTGTATTCGACAGTCTCTTATCAAACAGATAACGCCATCATGCCTTAATGTTATGTTGTTTGTGTCTCGGCCGTCTTCTCCTTGGCCTCCTTTGTCTCCTCATACGAGACGACATCTACTGAGCCAACCGACTCGCCGCTCTGCGGCTTTGCACTAATGGCACTTTGAGGAGGCGTGGGCAGACCATGAACCTGGCTCTGAAGCCCATTCAATGCCATATTCGGCACGCCACCCATCATGTTGGGCCCCAGGACAAGGTTGAGCTGCTTCTGTTTCCTCTTCTTCCTGGCGACTGCCGCCTCCTTTGCCCGCCTCTTGGCCTCTTCCATCAGGGCGATTTCCTCTTTCGACCATTCAATCAGGTTGTCGACAGCGCCCTGAGGGTCGCTACGCCAGTTGAGAAGGTAGCCCTGTATTTGGGCTGGTGTAAATGTGTTTTCCTCGATCTTGCGGCTGAAGCTGAGTGCCAGCTTCTGCAGCTCGTCCTCCCCGATGGCTTGGATTGCTTGTGCCGATGGGTTGGAAGGGTCAAACTCGTACATGCGCTTGAACATGAGCTCTGCGCTACGAGGCGAGATGTTTCCCAGGAAAATCATCTTGTCAATACGGCCTGGTCGGACAAGGGCTCGATCAAGTTTCTCGGCGAAGTTGGAAGTCATTAATACGATGCGTCCCTCCTGAGAAGCAACGCCGTCCAGAACGTTAAGTAGCCCTGACAGGGAGATGTGGCAGCGAGGGCCAAAGTGCGAGCGGTCATCATCGTCTTCATCATCCTCATCGTTTTCTTCCCGCTCATCTTGATCGAAGTTGCCACGGTTCTTGATCCCGACTGCGTCAATGTCTTCGAGCAAGATGAAGCATCTTGGCGGAAGTGTGGTAAAAAGACGTTCTAGGTCGGTATCTGTGCGCACGCTTGGGACGTGAAGAAGATAGAGCTCAAGACCAAAGAGTCCAGCCAGACCAAGGGACAAGCTCGTCTTGCCAGTGCCTGCAGGCCCGTGTAGAAGGTATCCACGCCGATATGGAATTCCGCGCTGCGTATAAAAGCGCCGAGTCGCGGGGTCGAGATAGTTTCTGATATCAGCTACTAGCTCTGCCTTGGTCTTCTCATCAAAGTGAATAGTCTCGAGCGGCCGGATCGGGCGTAGGATAGTCGTCTCCCAGGACTCGTCGCCATATTGAGATTTGGAGGCTCTGACTGTCACATATGATTCGCGCTCCTTCTCCGCGAAATCACGACAGGCATCAAGGAAGCGCTTGATCGGCTCAACAGAACGGCCGAGGCACATCACGATGAGTGGCTCATCTCCTTCTGGCGCAGCTGCGAACTCATCCGGCACTTGATCCACAAATGACATTCCAGAGGAGTTGCCGGAGACTCGTCGCACAATGAAAACGTTCCGCTCGTGAGTGAACCACGTAGTACCGAAGGTGGGGAGATACTGAATCGGCTTTCGTTTGTCCATGCTGTAGTCATCCCGAGGCTCTGGTGTACGGCGGTAATAAAAGGCATCACTTTCGATTTTCTCAGAACGTGCAGTAACGATGCGAGTGCCCTGCCGCACAAGAACTTGCGCACCCAGCCAGTTGAGAACCTCCCGGTTGAGTTTATCTCGGGCATTGATGGAAACTGATGCTGTAAAGAATCGAGTGATGTACCAGTATAATTTGACAGCTATCGTCTGGAGGAAGCCAAGAACGCCTGAAATTGTCCCCAAGATGGTGAGTGCAGCCGCAATAGTTGTAATATCAAGCTTCAACCATTGAGAGACAAAACTCTGAAGCCATGCTAGGCCTGGTATTCGTCCGAGAAAGTCTTGCAGAAAAGGCGCCGTAGTATTTGCGTCCCTAAGGAGGTCGTTGAAGCCATCCATATTGATGTGTGCCGCAAACTTGTCGAAGTCCAAGTTGGGGGATGCTTAGTTCCAAAATTTGCTGACCGGCTTTCGAGTTCCTCGTGGCTCGGACAATTCGCTGCCTCGGGAGCGAATTATCTCCCGGCTGACGGCGGGGTTCACAAAAAGGTGAGAATCGAAGTGCCGGCAAGAGCAGAGAATGTTGGCGATGATGGCAAGCTTGCGCAATTTGCCAGTCCCTGGCAGGACACGAGTTGTTCTGTCCAGCAGTGGGAGTTGGCGGTGAGCAACGAGGGTTTGGATTGAACTGGACACGGGAACTCGAGTCTTTTATCCTGACTTGCCCAAGTGCGTGTTGGTGATTTTTGCCTATGTATGCGTGCCTGTCACGCGCTGGAGACACCTCGTCAAACCTGCCCTGTGATTCGATCCAGCAGCGAAGCTAAGAAAGTTGGGTTTGGGCCTGCATGTGACTGAAGAGGGACATCTGGAGGCCTTGAGGTGGGTGACCGGGAGTGGGCCAAAGAAACCCGGGGTTCGTGTAACACGGTGAGACTATGGCATGCACCGACGCGGCGTAGCATGTAGATCTAGTCCGGTTGTCCCCCCACACACAATGCCATTTTGCTTCTACCGTGAGCATGCACTTTCTGTAGCCTGCAGGCACATGCAAGCTGCAGAGCTTTCATGCAATCACAGACCGAAGCGGATATGGTTGCCAGGCACAGTCACCTGCGCCACACCCCAACCAATCTTCAAGATGGCCTCTGATTTGGCCGGGGCCCGCAGGTTGCAGAGGAAGGTTTATGTGCGTCACCTAGAGTAGCATCGATCTGGGCATCAGCCACCCAATCTACCAGACTGTCGGTGCCCTCAGCCCTCGGTCGGCCCGGACAATTTTGAATCAACTGGGCCCGACTACGATGCGAAGCAATTTCCTGTGTCACGCCGGGGATGACACCAATCCTTCAAGCATCCGGCCAAGGTGTGATGAGGCAGCCGGATGTACCTGCATGACCTGTAATGCGAGCCTTGACCCTTGGCCTCAGGGCCTCAAACCGAATGCCGTCATTCTCCTTCAATGGCTGACGAAATATGAATTTGAATCGGAGTTTTCATGGAACTCCTTGTATATTTCCGTGCCTAGACCGCTCGAGGAAGCTGGGGTCGACCCAATGGGGCGATGAGGTCAAATCCCGGAGGCTGCGCCATCAAGAAAGGATTCAACCAACACAGCTTATTTTCTGATACTGTGTCCTATCAACACCATCGGGTTGTCCGCCCTCAGCAGGCTATTACTGCACAGATATTGTGGCACAGCAATGTGTTTGCGCCGTGTTGTGGTAATCTGTTCACCGCCGGTGCGAGGGGGATTTTGCCCACACAAAGAACATGTGGAAATACTCCATGAGGCTCTGGAGATCTGGCGATGAGCATCCACTCTGGCAATGAGAGTGGTTGTCTTATTGGATTGCGCGTTAGGGAACTAGGCAGCATTCTTCCACATCACTTGGTGTCCAGCCTTGGCGAAAGATGTTGAACTGCACATGTGGCCCACAATTTTCCAGGCTGCGACTTTATACCTTGAACCACTAGGTTTCTGAATTATCTGGCCATACAATTATGTGGAGACTTGCATTAAGTTGATATTAGACGATTACACATTGTCTAATGCCTTTCCAATCAACCTATTAAAATTGTCTTGAAGTATGTTTTGCACTGACGCAGACGAGGCTTTCCCGTTAGTACTAAGTTTCGTGTAATCCTGTTGAATGAGATTTGCCCACAATTTTTAGCCCCTCTGAGCAAGAGATCGGCGTTTCTTTGCACACGGAACGCGCGAGGGGCGCCCAGTTGAAGCTCCTCCAGTGACAGTGGAGAGCACGAATGGTATGGTGGCTGCCGAACCTTGGCCAACAGTGGGCGTCGCTGGGTTTGCTGGTACCACAGAGCTTGTTTCTGAGCCGTTCAATGACAGTGTGACCAATGTTGTGGGCACACTTGAAAGAGCAGTCGACTGTGTCTGGTTCGCAGCAGTCAAGGTGGCCGAGCTGGCCGCTGCGCTAATGACTTCAGTTGCTGAGGCTTCAACGCTGGTGCTGGAACCTGAAGAAGAGACAGAAGCAGAAGATGAGGGAGCTGCAGCCAGAACCTGCCAGTAATGATATCGATTAGTATGCGCATGGATTTCAGTATGCCTTGAGAAACGAGAAACTTACCGATGAGACGGAGAAATATGCTGGCTTTGGTTCAAGGCTCTCGTCATATAGACAAGCTCCGCCCTGGCCAGGGAAAGTGTTGGGTACCCACTGTAGCATCGACAGTTAGTTACTGAAGCACAGAGGAATAATTAATCAATCCGGTAAAGGACATATGACACCAGATCCTAATAGCATGTCTCAGAATCTGCAGCCCCGTAAAGGACTATGAAGCAGGCAGCGATACAGCTTATGGCTATGAGAGGGGGATATAGAAGGCGAAGCCAACACTCGGAAGCTACTCACGCTGTATTTGTCAGTCCAGTCCCAGATGGTCCAGCCGACGCAAGCCTCGACGTTGAGGCAGGCTTTGATGACAGTTGTATAGTCTTGTGCCTGCTGCTCGAGGCCCTCATCGTCGTAAGGGAGACTTTCGAATTTGACGTCAAACTCAGTGTAGGCCACTTCAGACACGCCCGCCGCGACGAACTCATTCATAACGGACTCAAGATCCTCCTGGGAGGTCATGCTACCGACGATAAAGTGTCCTTGCAAACCGATACCGTCAATTCGTTCTCCGGCGTCTTTCACCAGCTTGACGAGCTCCACAGCCTTCTGCTGCTTCGCATTGGTGGCCTCGATGTTGTAATCATTGTAGTAGAGCTACATAAGAGTAGGAGATTAGCGATGACTATTCTCTTGGTGATATCTTCTGCAAGAATGCTCAATTCAATATCTCAGTTGACTTTTACAACATACCTTAGCGTCTGGATCAGCAGCAGCTGCCGCTTTGAATGCAAGAGGGACGTAGTCAGTACCGAGCGCCTTGAAGAACACGGTGTCTCGATAGTTTCCGTCATCATCGATGGCCTCGTTAACAACGTCCCAGGAGTAGCATTGACCCTTGTAGTGGCCAGCGACATTGGAGATGTGAGTCTCCAGCATCGAAGTCAAAGTCTCGGCGGTCCATGTCCCCGACGTCACCCAAGACGGCAGTTGAGAACGGTACAAAAGCGTGTGACATCTCACGATCTGGCCATTCTTCTTGGCAAAATTGGGAACGACGTCCCCATTCGTGAATGAGAATGACCCTTGAGTCGACTCTGTGGCATCCCACTTCTGTCCGTTGGCTGGAGTTAGCTGGCCAAAGTTCTCGGTCGACGATGTGATCTTGACGTAGGCTGAATCGTACAGCTCCCCGTTATCAGTACCGGTGCCAAAGTATGATTTTCCAGCAGCCTTTGCGAGCTGGTTCAGCTGCGCCGAGACCGTGGCTGGGATGGTGGCCGAGAGGGCCAGACCCGTGATGGAGGAGATACGCATATTCGGTCGAGAAATCAGATGTACTTCAGTCTTAAATGAAGGGCTACAGGCGAGCTAATGGATCTAAAAGAATGTGATAGGGTCAAAACGAGTGTCGGTTCGAGTCGATGTAACACGTCCAGAACAATTAGGAGCTGAAAGCTGCGGAACGAAGCGATGGTGATACTAAGGAAACATCAGCTGGTATATATAATGCCCAACCAGCACATGCAGAGATGTCTCGTCCCCCCTTTTGAAATCTTCAGACTCGTCATATGTTTCGCCTTCTCCATTTGTACCAAGGGATTGGGGGGCATATCGACTGGAAAGCGTTGTATGTACGGTTCATGTGGGATCAAGGGCGGGTCGTATTCGGCGATACAGCCTACCGTATTCAACCGCTGTGCATGCCTTGCCAGATGCAGCGACAGTTGCCTTCTTGAGTCCAATACTTATTCTGTGAACGCCCGCGTCCAGACTTTCGCGCTCCATAAATCATACGAAGTTACATCTCATGCGGGATAGCTCGCCCTCACGGTGGGTCTCGCTACCAGAACTGGGGCTGCAGGAACCAGGGCATATAATTGAGCCCAGAAACCAGAAACTGAGGATCGAGTCATAGAGAAGAAATCACTCCATTCACTGCAAGATATTTCTATTCCAATACATAATTCACACTTGGCTATAGAAGTTTTTGAGTCTAAACAGACTCTGTTGCTAGTAATGGCCATTCATTGGTATTATAACACCTGAGTGCTGACTTCAATTTCAATTTTTGCAAACTAGAAGCGAGCCTATAGATTCTAATTGCCAAGAATTGTGCTGGAAAGGGGTCCATAGGGCCATGCACGACTCGTTGCTGCGATGGCGGCTTCTCCTAGTGAGCCCAAACCTGCAGAGCTGGGGGAGAGCATAACCCTTTCTCGTGCCAGTGCGAGTAGACAGGGAAAATATTCCAAGATTGCTGGCTTAAAAGAATACTTTGAGGGAAAGGTGGTAACGACCAGTAGGGACAGGGAAAAACTGCCTGTATTGTCTCATTTCCACATATCAGGATGACACGAGGACTGCAAAACAAACAATGAGTCAATTATGCCCATTGGCTTTTCCTAAGGGGGGGGCTATCGGGGGCCCTTCTTTAGTCAACTATGAGACTGTCTTCCTCGACTATGAGCTCTAAGTGTCTAATTTGATCGGTTGACCCTTACGTCCACATAGATGTGTAAGGACTGCGTCACCGTAATTACTCGCATGTCAAAGTGCTCCCAACATCGCGGCTAGCAATCGGCTCTCCTCTTGTTCGGCACTGGCTTGTACTTGTTCCATTGCAGGTCATACGCTTGGGCGTTATCACATGCCTCAAAGGCGCAATATTGGAATCAAAATGATAACATGTATTTGATCTATCATTCGAATGGTCGTCAGACTCCTCTTCCGCTCGAGCACTTGACCTCTTCGTGCTTACGTTCCTACCATTGCCCTGACTTTGCAGTCTTAAAGTCATTTAGACATACACGCCAGCTGGCAATAACCACCAGTTTAGTCGTATTGCACAGCTAGCTTCTGCGCCAAATAATGACGCCAATGATTCTCTGATACATCCTTCAGTCTTGAGCTCGAGGCACAGGTTACAAACATCGGCTTGCGCCATAGGGATACATGTTCGCCACGTAGTACTACTTATTGTTATGACAAAGATAACCCAGCAATCTTCAAAGGTGTTAAGGTTCCATTTTCACGACTCTGAGGCTCCCGATCAGGCCACCTGTTCTAGATCATGGTATTGGAAAAACACAGCTTCATCAGAAGTGAATCAGGCCCGCTTACCATGTCCGAGACAATCGCCTTTGCTTAGATACTTCAAACAAGCAGTATTTAAGATGCTTTTTCGTTTCCTTTGGATTCATTCGCCATGAAGCCGTGCGCTCATGATAGCATTGATGTTGAAGTGACATGTCAGTCCTGGTCGATGGCGAATTACCTAGGCACCTAGATAAGGTTGCGCTAACTATCAACCGTGAGCTCTGGAAGGCAGCACTTGAGTATGGCGCTTCGTTGCCAACGATAAAACCCAACTGCACGCCTGATTTGTGACTCTGCCTGAACTTCGTTTGCATCATCCAAGACTGCTACCATTGACCTCGTTCTTGCTATTGCCTTTATCATGACCACAATAGCAAGAGCTTGCCACTGATCGGTCTTCTCGACCTGTTCACATCATACCTGTGTGCCTTAAATCATAAGTGCCTCCCGGGTCAGCCACAGGGGTTGTGGTGGAGCTGCAGTGAACTGCTAGGTCTTGTAACCCACGATGAATCCTGACAAGCCCAGAACTGACTAGTTTTTGAGTTTATGAGCCCCGTAGACATGCATGACTGGGAGCACAGCAAGGTTTGGAACTGGTGTGCAGCAATCCAAAAAAAGATGCAGCCGTCGAAATTAGCTATTCAGTTGACGCCCAGGCACTACTAGAATATCATCGGCCCCACGGATCAACACCCAGTGACCATGTTGCGGTGGCAATGATTGCGCACAGCAGTCAACTTTGGAGCATGAGCAGGACACGATTTAAGTTCGACATCGGTAGTCGGAGTGTTGCTAGAATTTGGCGCTTGTATCACCCACCGGAGATAATACGTCAGCACGCGTGGGAGCTCCTGTGTGACGGCTATGCTGCAGAGGCTTCGTAACCGCCGAGATCCATCAAATAGGATGACTGGTGATTACCTGTGTGTGGAATCGGCCCCGAATCGACACTTTGCAGTTCTCTTGCACAGCACAATCGAATCTCACAAAGACCATTTCATTCTTCGTTGCGGCTGGCGCCGAGGTCGGGCAAGGTGTTTCTCCAGATCCACAAAGATCGGTGATCAGCCGAACCAGCTTTAGTATCGCAGACCTGTCAGAGCCCAGACGAGAAGGGGACGATCGTCCAAAAGGAGGAACGGCGGTGTCATGCCAGGAATCTCGTGCGAGATGGAAAATTAGGGATACTTCATGGGGCCCACCTCCCAAGTCCACCAATCGCCGCCTCTCAAATCTAATGCCAAGAGTCGCTTATCCCAAGGTGAGCCTCATGAAACGACGTCCCGCGGTGGACCTCAGGCCAGCCGCCTGGAAACATATTAGATGATCCGGGGGTAAACATTCAAACACGATGTTTCTTGTGAGAAAGACGCTAATTCGGAACCAAGGCCGAGTTCCTAGCAGGGTGATGCAGGTCTGAGCTGTCTGCTTGACACTTGCAATATCGCTTCAGGGGCAGTCTCGGCGGGACGACCGAGGGGATTCAGGAGCGCCAGATAAGAGGCGAGAAGAAATGCAAAGCATAGATATATAGCCATGGCTGCCCGGAAAGGTCACGCTATTCTGTCGACAACTCTTCAAGCTCGTTCGGTTTTCGATATTCATTCTTTTGGCTGAGTCCACCTTGATCGCAGTGCGATATCACATTCTTTGCTCTTCATTCTTTCTTACAGACTATATTTGAAGTCTCTGGTTGACTACTCTACTCCTCAAAAATTCAACGTTTACCGTCAAGATGAAGTACACCATCTCCGCTGCGCTCGCGACTGCTCTGGCCGCAAAGAATGTTGCTGCACACGCAACCTTCCAACAACTTTGGGTACGACTTCCCACCCTCAGCCTCCTTGTCATGACTTTTTCATACTCGTATATGTGGGACTTTCACTAATAGAGGATAAATAGGTTGATGGAACGGACTACGGTACCTCATGTGCCCGTATTCCTCTGAGCAACTCGCCGGTCCAAGATGTCACCTCCAATGACCTTGCTTGCAACGCTGGAACCTCCCCCGTCACGCCCAAGTGTGATGTGCCAGCAGGTAGCACTGTGACCGTCGAGATGCACCAGCAGCCGAACGACCGCAGCTGCTCGAACGAGGCTATTGGAGGCGCCCACTACGGACCCGTCCTTGTCTACATGGCCGCTGTTGACGACGCCGCCTCCGCTGTTGGTGCCGACGCCGCCTGGTTCAAGGTCTTCGAAGACACCTGGTCTTCTGCAGGTGCTTCGGGCAGTGATGACAACTGGGGTACTAAGGACCTTAACACTTGCTGTGAGTAACAACCAGAGATCATTCCAACCTTCACAAGGGTGTTACATCCTTCGAAGTACTTCAGTAACTAATCATGAATGTTACAGGCGGCAAGATGGACGTCGTTGTGCCCAAGGACCTCGCCCCAGGTGACTACCTCCTGAGAGCCGAGGCCATCGCCCTGCACGCTGCCGGATCCTCGGGTGGCGCCCAGTTCTACATGACCTGCTACCAGGTCACCGTCTCTGGCGACGGCACAGCCAAGGCCGAGACCGTCTCCCTGCCCGGCGCGTACGCCGCCGCTGACCCCGGTATCATGATCAACATCTACCAGCAGATGACCGAGTACGTCGCCCCCGGTCCTGCCGTCTACGCCGGTGGCAGCAACAAGACCGCCGGTGCCGCCTGCACCAACTGCGAGTCGACCTGCGCCCCCGGAGACGCCACCGCCACCGCCGGCTCAGGTGCTGCCGCCAGCTCCGCGCCTGCATCTGCCGCCGCCTCTTCCTCCCAGGCTGCTGCTGCCGTGTCGTCTGCTGCTCCTACAACTTCCTCTGCTGCCAGCACCACCTTGGCCACCTCCGTCACTTCCCAGGCCGCTGTCGTGGCGACCCCCACCAGCGCGTCTGCCCCCGCTGCTACGACATCCCAGGCCGCCGAGTGCAAGAGACGCCGAAGCCGCTTGGCTCGCAAGCTGTAAGCTGCGAGTTGTAAAGATGACTTACTGTTGGGATAGATGGATAGAGTTCGTTGTACATGATTCACGGACGATGCATGGGAGGGAGATATTCTCCAGTTGATTCATTCTTCTGTAAATAAATTATATTGCTGAATATACAACTAAGGTCTCAGGACCTCACTGCATATGGGTGCCTCAAGCTCACAATGAACTACGTCGCGGGAAATGTGATCAGAAAGCAGAGTATGTATGGTAGGAGAATTGGAGTTTCGCTTAATGATTGTTGAGGTACTATCTTAAATATACTTACCTAAATACTTACCTGTAACAGGCGAAAACCTCGTCCGCCAGGCCTGTTCTTGCAGTGCCCTAGTTAGGTCTCTCCCAAACGGAATCCCAGCTGTTGCTTACCACACTCCAAGAGAGCGGTCGCAATGTGTGGCGCGCGAGCCACTCATCGGTTCGCACACGTGAGTCTATCTTGCATTGAAGACAAGCCGGGTCATTGTTCACCAAGGCAGGAATACGCTGTGGCTTGGGTAGACCGCAACGCTTGTTGAGGCAGCGGATTGTGTGAATACTGAAGTCGTACCGTTTGCTGCATCGAATGCATCGAGTGAACTCTTCAAACGAGCTACACATATTGATAGTTTTGAAGTAGTGTGATTTTGAGATAAGAAGGTTGTTGTTTAGCGTAGCTGTGTAGTTCTCGAGCTGAGAATACTATAGAATGATTCGACACCTGAAAATAGTGATGAGTTTTGGCTCATTATATACTGGTATTGATATATCCCTCGGAGAAGCGGGAAAAGACCCGGCATTGTCAAGTCGAGGCGGTCCACCCCTTTGTGCACGACTTTTCTTATTGTTTAAAGAAACGCTTGTATTTCTTTTCCAAGCGATGAAAGGCGGGAAATGCAGAATAATGAATCAGGCTTTGTATAGGTCAAACAAGAATGGGTTGGACATGGAGCTTCAACGCCAAGCTTCCACAGGTGTTGCTGCAATCGATTTCTTCAAGACGATTGTAATGATATGCATTTCTTCAATGCCAACACATCCATATATTGAACATACGCAGGAACAAGGCTCGCTGTTCGGTCCCATAGGAGTATCGAATAAGATGCCCTGCCTACCTTCAGTCAAGTCTTGACGTCGCCTACGTCTCTCGAGCGCCCATGACTGAAACTTCCAACAAAGAATACATTGATTATCGAAAACCTCCACAAAAATCTCTCTTCGCGATCAGCGATAAAAAAAAAAAAATGCAGAGCAAATGTCAATCGGCTACCAATGTGTGTGACGCAAGTATGACCAGGCTGTATCAAAAGTGCACCAACAAAGTCCTTGATATAGAGAACACATGGCTGGAACAGAGGATTGATTCGATGGACGGGCCAATGACAATAGTCCTTTCACCCAAATCCAGGACTAAATCATTCCCAGCTTCCAGCAGAATCCTCCATTTTCTCATTTAACGTACCTGGATAGAACCTGACTGGGTGGTTCGAGGTTGAATACCTAGGTGCTCTGGAATCCCCCCCTCGCCGAGGTAGGGTGGGAGCGAAAGAAAAGATGACCTGAAGACAAAAGCTTATCGAGTTCTGGACTGGGACCAATGGGCGACCGGCCATCCGCGGCCCTGGAAGTTGCTCACCCTACGGAAGAGCGCTCACCTCCTTGAGTGGGAACTAGGAATCGGCCGTAAATCTGAGAGACTCCCAAATGAGCCAACGGAAGCTCAACTTCAGGTCCAGAGCCGGGAGTCTAGAGATGTATTGACTTGATGTCTTCTATGTACGTCACCTATATACTTGAATGTTTGTTTCGAGAGCGATAGACGGGACAGGTTGCAATCATGTTGCCGCATTTTCTATTGTGCGTAGCGATCAGCGCAGCCATGTGAAGTAAGCAGATTGCCTGGACTAAAGTGCATGGGCATCCGGTAGACTGGGAAGCCCCCCATGCTAGGTGACGGAGACCGGCGATGCGCCATAAGATCTGAGGATGCAAGTGGCTACAAAGAAAGATGGCTAGATTTCACGAACTGCATGCAAAGTGCTGACATTACTGCTTGAGATTTGTTATCTGTCGGGTCGCGAAGTCTTGCCGAAGCTACCATTGGAGCAACGCGCAAAGCGGTCAGCAGTATATAATAGGCAAGCACGTCGGAGGGATTTTTTTTAAATCATGAAAAGGTGGCAACCCGACTGGCCAGAAAAGACTGTCACAAGTGAAACAGCCCAGATTTTCTCTGCAGGAAGAGGGAGGGCTGGGGTCTTTTGACAATGGGTGAGATGTTGCTCGGCGTGAGCGTCAGCGTGGGGGGTGGGCAGGGACGCGACGGGCTTCCGTAGACCCGGGAGCCAGCCGTGGCACACAGTATTACAGATTTCCCATGGCAAGTTCTGGCGGCAGCGCACGGGTGAACGATCACATAGACGAGATAAGTTTTGTCCATGACGTGGAATGAACAGCATTGATCTGATCAAACACTGAACACAGAGCAGGCCAAGCCAGGGCCGGGTTGCCCTTGACGTGAGGCTCGAGTCGCCGCTTCGGTGTGGACCCCGAGACTGGGATGCGAAGGTGTGTGGGACCTTTGCAAGCTCGATGGTTTGTCCCGGGACAGAGAATGGCGGGATGAACCTTAGTTGACAGCATGAAACGTGCATGGCGAAGAGGGGGTGAAGATCTGGGAGCATTAGACTCATGGGGGGGGGGGGGTTGACAAGAGAGTTTCCAGAGGGCGCCAAAGACGCAACGCTCCTCGGCCTGGACAGGGGGTTTGGACGACGGGCGGGCTGTTGAGGGTGCAATCATTCCATCCTAAGGTTCAAGCTCTTGCGCTAAGACAAAGTCCTGACATAAGAGCGATGCGACTGTATGAAGCGTGCTGGCAGCTTGTAGATTAAATGCAGAAGCGCGCAAGCTGTCACTGTTCTGTCAGGACTGCCGATCGAGAATCCGTTGGGGGCAGAAGATGGGTACTGTATCCTCCTAATAGTCTGGTATAAGCAGGGTAATACGGACAGGCCATATGAACAGGCCGATAGTAAGCATCATTATGCACACATGTGACGGGCGTGCCTGAGTTCTCGAAGGCTTGTCCGATACGAGATATGCCGCTAACACAGACATCTAAAACCGTCCCTACAGTACAGTAACAGTGCCTAGATAGATGCAGATGCAGATGCAGATGCAGATGCAGAGCTGCGCTAGCACCGTGGTCGCCACGCTCATGAGTCGGTCTCATCACGATGATGACCGTTACATATGTGCTCGAGTGCGCTGAAGGGGGATTCAGACCACGGCTGTTCTGGTCCTGCCTCCCAAGAATGGGACGGGCCCAAAAGGTCCAAGCTGGCGGTTCAATGAAATTTGAGGTCGATCATCAGCTCCAGCCTAGCTATGGATGGAGACTTGGGTAGCTCCATCCCCAACCGTCCAGCTCCAGGTCAGCTCCGGTCCGGGCCCAGGCCCAGGCCCCTGGCAAAATCAATCAGTCAGACCCGACCCGAGACCAACCGTCCGCCTTCCGCCAATCCATCCGTTCATCCATCCATCCATTTCATTATCCCCCCCACTCTTTCTGGGTATCTCAGCTTGCCTGCTTGCATATGACGGTTGATGCAGCGTAGCTTGTGAATGGCGGTCTGCTGAAACTGGGCGGCTGGTCTGTTGAGAAGGGGGTAGAGGGGCCAGCGCTTTCTGGCCTTCTATCTCAGGAGTACGTATCGTGAGTCTGCTTCTTATTTCACTGTAGCGACTTGTTTCATGATGGTCGACTTGGAGATGAGGAAAAAAGGTCCTGATCACAAGGTAGTAGAAGCACATCACCACACCTACACACCCACCCACACACACACAAACAAACACGTCGAGGACCAACGTCAAGAACCTGGAATGATGAGATTCTGCTCTCCCGCCCCATTGCAGGCATATCCCTGTCCCGAAGGCTCCACATCTGACCTGACTAGCGCCGTCCTTGCCCTCACTGATCGAAGGCCCCTGTCGCAGCTTGCTCGCAGCTTGCACCTCTGTGCGTGCATGTTTTCAGGTTTTGCAGTTGCGCCATGCAGTAACAGCAACCTAACTTGCCTCGACACTACTGTATGGTCTGTTGATAGAGCATATCGGTGGGAGGAGCTGAGTGAGGAAAACTTGGCACTGTCTGGTTGGATATGGCAGCACAAGCAAGTCTGTGTGAGAGAGAGACAGAAGAAGACAGAGAGAGAGAGAGAGAAAGAATGAGAGAGAGCGCGTGTGTGTATGATTTTCCTATCCATGCTCCGGTATACGATGTGCCTGGATAAAGAGTCTCTGATAGGTACCGTTCCAGTTCTCGCACCGTTGCACAACCAGCTGCCTGGTGCGGTATCACTACATGGCATGTACGGGATACGTGCATGCTGACTGACCTCAGCGTGACAAGTGACATCCAAAGTAACCACTCCTTCCTTCCCGGCCCTTGCCCCCCCCTGCCCACCCTGCCCACCCTGGACCCCCTGCAACGTCCCTTCCCTCTCGCTCGCCTGCTCTTCCCTGCTCTTCCCTGCCCTTGCACTTGCCCCTTGCTCTTTCCCTGGCACCAAGGCAAGCCCCAGTGCCGCTTTCCCCATATTTTCCCCTTCCAAGGTTTGTCGCAACGCCAGACAGACGCACACAGACGCAGACACAGACACAGAACACAGACAGACACTGGCCGACCACATAGCCCAGAGAGCATGCATCACAGAGCATGACCCATGACCCACACCTATGCAGTCCACCTCAGACTTACCAAGGCTCGCTCCACTCCGCTCCACTCCAGGTTCTCTCCGCGACAAACACACACGCACACACACAATCTGCATCAATCTGCATCTTGCAATCTTCGACACCACACCCGCTCCCGCACCAGCACCAGCACCAGCACCAGCACCTGCACCCACACCTGCACCCACTCACGGTGTCAGCGTCAGTGTCAGCGTCTACCATCGCCCGGCTCCTGTCCTAGTCTGATCCTTTCGCCCATCTCAAGCATCCCTCTGATGCTTCGCGACACGCCGTTGCGATCACACACGCCCTCCGACTACTTACCGCCCATGCGATCCAACCTCTCACACCAGCAGCCTCTTCGTGGGACCTGAACTCGGCCTGCCGCAGCGTTTGTTTGTTGCTGACTGGCACCGATCGACCGAGCCCCAAAAAGGCGCACCTTATTGTTGACCTTGCCTGGGCACAGTCTCTATTCTCGACCCTGACTTAACCTCAAAGGCAAGACAAAGCTTGGCCTCCCGGTGGGTGTCTCGTCGTCACCGATCTCCAACAACCTCGAAGATGGATCCTCGAGAACAAAGACAGGCGCAACCGCCCAACCTACCATTCTCGCGCAACGCACAGTCTCCTCTCTATACTCGACAAACCTTACCTCCCCCAACGCCTTCCTCAGCTTCTGCGACTCCCGCTCAGAGCTCATATGCGATAGAGAGACAGCAGCAGCAGCAACAGCCAGGACAGCAACATGCACAACAGCCTTCCTCGGCCGGCTCTGCGTATCCTCCCGAGAACCTCCCACGACGACCCTCCGACCCTCATTACTTTCCCTCCTCCCGTCCATACGACCATGGCGCTTCTCTCACCCCGTCGAACCACTCGCGACATCAAAGCTCTTCCTCTGTCACCCCTGCGCCGCCCATGAACCGCGCCATGCCGCCTCCGGGCTCGCCTCCCCAGCCTGGTCAGGGCCCTGGAGGCCCGGGGCCCGGCCTACAAATGGGGCAAGGAGGGCCATATAGCTTGCCTGCTCCTAGACCATCGCCTATATCTGGCGGCCCCCCTACAGCATTCCCCCCGGGAGGGCGCGAGCTTCCAGCTCTGGACTCCATACAGCGAGGGGCAAACTCAGGAAGCTCAATGTCGCTAACGTACATGCTTGGTCCTCGAGCTCGAGATCCCGCTGCGCCTTCCTACCCTCCCCCCGCAACGTCAGCCTCTGTGTCGGCACCCTCTTACACGCCTGGCGTGCATGCGTCTCCGAGAATGAGCTCGATTCCCGCTGATTACGCTCCTTACCGACGGCCCCACACCCCCGAACAACACCAAAGAATGTATGAAGCTCGAGACCCGCGAGCAGATCCGCGCGCAGACCCGCGAGGAGACCCGCGCGACCCACGGGACCCACGTGCCGCCGCTGGCTCGCCGCATGGTGCGCATCTCACGCCAGAGATGCAAAGGTATGGGACGCCACGGGACGCATATCGACACCCTCCGCCACCAATGGCCCCTGCGGAGCATACCAGAGACTTCCAGAGAATGCCAGGGCCACCAGGGCCACCAGGGCCGCCTCCCCGGCCAAGCAGCCAGCCCAAGTCATTCCCAAATATCGCACAACCTCCTCGTCAAATGGAGATGGGAAGACCTACGCACTCCGAAATGTACGCAAGACGCGAGGAGCCTAGGCATGGAGGAGAGTACAACCCAGAAAGGCTCATTATTGTCAAGCACGAAGAGGACAGGCTGATGTTCGAGCGAGAGAGGCAAGAGAGGGAAATGGAACTACGGGACAGAGAAAGGAGGGAGAGGACCACATCGGGCGGCGATCCTGGAAGGCAACATGCCATGCACCAGCCCGAATATGGGCCGCCAGGCATGCAGCGAAGGGAACCGCTCCCGCCGCAGTATTCACGCCCTGTAGATGCTCGGGAACAGGCACACTGGCAAAGGCCTGCGTATGACCAACCTCGGCATGTTTACGAAGAACCGAGACCTCAACCTCGACAACACGAATACCCTCATGGAACCGCACCTCCGTACAGCAACACCCAGGGAGCTCTGTCACAACCTCCGCCAGACCGCTACCCCCCAACGTCTCATCCTGGACACCCACAGCCGATGCCTCCGGCAGGGCATCAAGTGCCGCCTTACGAGTCGCCGAGTCGCCATCGTGCGGCGGCACTTCCACCTCATCAACAGCAGCAACCTGCTCACCGGCGACCTGGCGACGATGGTCCGCCCCCACCTTCTGTTGCATACAACAATGGGCACCCTGCACTCTACGACTCACCGCGACACAGGCCTGTAGAGGAACCCGGACATCCCATGGTCCATCAACAGAATTTCTTGAGGGTCCAGGAAATGAACAGGAAAGGCCGTATATCCCCGCTTCCCCAGGCTGTCCAAGGCGCTCAGCCGCAGATACAAGGCCCACCGGGAGAGGCCGGCATCAAGAGCGAGTTCGGCCGCATGTTTTCCGGCATAGGGAGCGGAGTCAGTGGCCTGGGAGTCTCAAGCCCCGTCGCGTCTGGTGCTCAGTTGCCCTTCACGAGTAGCGGTCTAGCAAGACGTGACGATCCGGACCATGCGCCCCAAGACATAACATCTGACCCCAAGAGTAGCCGCGATAATGCCTCTCGCAACAAGCGCAGGAAGCAGAAGGATGATGATGCCAAGAACGATGAAGACAGCACTGGTAGAAGTACGCCGCTGGGCAGAGTCAAGCGGCAAAAGACTCACTCGCATCATCACCATCACCAGTATGTATCACCCTGTTTGACTGCGTTACCCCATAAAGCTCACATTGCTAGCCATCACCATCATCATCATCACATTCCCGACCAAGTGTCGCCCCAACAGGCAGTGGTCACCCCGTTTAAAAACGTCAAGGGATCCACTCCAATTCCCTCTCCTACAGGCGGCGCGAAAGACCTACTCATGACTCACCACCATGCTCCTCCAAGATCCAGCGCTCACGGTCAAGCCAGGGAACCAATTGTCAAGCCAGTCGCGAATCCTCAAAGTTCTGCAGTTATCATCCCACCCAAACCGAAGCGCATCATCTCCAATAAGGCGATTCTCGACAGCGTGGCCCAGAAGCCATTCGAACACCTAGGAGACTGGATCTATGAAGTTGATCTAAAACCAGCTAGGATACAGGATGCTCGCAGTGGCCGACAGCCGCGGCATGCATACCAATCAACACCTAAACCCCTACCGATGTCAACGATCCGAGGCAAGGAAGGAAGCACCTTGATGGTCAAGGTTGGGAAGCAACACCTCAAACCCTCTGCGAGAGCGGAGATCACCTCGCGCCGGGCGGTCTGGGGCACAGATGTTTACACAGACGACTCAGACGTTGTGGCAGCTTGCATCCATGCTGGTTGGATCCGAGGCGAGTGGCCGGATGACGTTGATGTCAACCTGCTAGGCCTTGAGGAGGGCATCGGTGCGGAGGGCAAGGAGACCAAGGGCGGCAAGAAAGGTCGAAGCAAGGAAACGACGGACCCGCTGCAAAAGATCAATCCGGATTTCTTGGAAGCTCCATTGACGACAGGGCCCGTGCAGGCACCCGAAGGCCGAGACATGCACGTCATGGTTCAAGTCCTACCCAAGTTGGAAAAGTATGCGTCTACGGTTCGTTTTGGGATCAAAAGCCGGGAATGGGGCGGCAAGCTAGGTCGAGATGGACAGCGGTCCAGCCACGATGGGCTCAGCTTTATGATCAAGTCGGTACGATTCGTCACGAATGGCGCTGCCCCGCAGAGCAGGCTGCGTGGCCAGGCTAGACGGGACAGGATGCGGAAGGCGATGCAGGAGGTCGAAATGAGCAGGGCTTTCGAGGTCAGGGTTGTTCCCAACACTGGCAGCGGCATCGTATCGTTGGCGCCAAAGAAAAAGGCAGTCGACAGTGTGGGAGGTGACAAGGAGAATCGGGCACTCAATGACGCTGGACACGGTGGTGGACACGACAAGGGTGCGCACACTGGCAGCCCTGGAGGAAGCAGATCGAGGGGCGGCCTTACAGAGGGTCAAACGGCCAATGGCGGCGAGGCAGATCGAAACGAACAGCACAACCGGGACGACGACAGTGGCGTCGGAGATGTCAGTGGGACAGGCGATGACCCCAATGTACCGACGGCTCTGAGTGCTGCTGCTACATTAGCGGCGGTGGCAACTGTTGCCAGCAGGCTGACACCACCGGCGGAAGCATGACCAGGCATGATGGATGGTTTGCCTCGAAGTCTTGTTTGTTGGAGGGTTTGGGTCGTCGAAATTAGAAGTATCGTGGTTTGTCTTCCAAAAGTCAGGACAGCATGTGGCGTTTTGGGTCACTTTTGGGGTTTAAGATACCTGCAGCACAAGAAGCTGCTCGCTCGGCTGCAATCCATTCGGGATGCTATGAGGTGTTCACTCGGACGGCAGCTGAGGCTCTACATGTAGCCACTCTCAATTCTGCTCTCAACTGGGCATTTGTAAGACAAAATCATGTACTTTTGTACACGAGCTACGAATATCACGACATGAAATATTTAATCGCGGATGTCGCAATCATTCCGAATAACCTGGTGATCTGCAATGGTTTTTATTTTGTAAGAGCATGTGCTGAAGGTAAGTAGCTCTAATGCTTCCTAAGTATGGTCGAGCACAGGGATGTTGAGCCCATGCTGCCCCAAGGTATTCGTACCAACACCAAGTGCCTTCCTATTTTCAACTACTATAGGCTTTTTTGCGTGACCATAAAGCTCGGACCTGAACGCCTCACAGCCTTGCCAGGCCATTTACCCATCTTCCTGGGCGGGTGTATATCCGCTGTCAGGCATACGTCTCCGCCAAGCTAAGAACCCCTTGGGTGATTTATTCGTTCAAGCCATGTGTCCCTCTCCCCATGGTCCCAGCAGGCCAAAACTCAGAAGTCCGTCACGCGTCCGTTGTAGCTCCAGTCGCCGGCGCTGCCCCACCGCAGCGGCTCCGTCTTGGGCCCGCCGACCTCGCCAGTCTTTGGGTTCCTGTCGCCGTCGAACTCGGGGGGCGCGCCGCGCCACACGCCGCCGGTGGTGGGCTCCTCGGCGCGCGGAGGCGGTGGTGTTGATGATGATGATGATGTTGTTGTTGATGTTGCTGTAGCTGCTGCTGCTTCGGCCCCGCCCCCGCCGGGCGTCGAGGCGGGCGACGTCTGCGGCAGCTCGTGCGGCAGCGGCGTCGGGTCCGCGAGCCGGTCCGCCACGGCGCGCTGCAGCCGCTCGAACTCGGCCTGCTGCTCTGCCGGCAGGCGTGGTGGCGAGGGGCCCTGCTGGAAAGCTGAGGAGTAGGGGCGCGCCGCGGCGGCGGCGGCGGCGAGGGGTGATTGTGACGGTCGCGTTGATGGTCGCGGTGCTGCTGCTGCTGGTTTTGTGAGGGCTGCTGTGCGGATTGCGCGGAGGCTTGAGGACCGGGGGAAGAGGCGGATTGAAGGCATTTTTGTTACTATTCTTTGTATTAAAACGGTTTGTGGTATAGAGACCGTTGGTGGTGTTGCCAGTGTGTCGTCGTGTTTGGTGGGATGGAGGTGTGTAAGTGGTGGTGACGGGGGCGAAAAGTAGTCGAGGCCTTGTTTAGTTGTGGCCGAGGTTCCGTTGACGACATGGACTCGGGGCGCGGGCCATCCGACCTGCCGGGTTCTACAGTAGCCCTGCCCTGGCTCGCCGGACCCGAAGAGTCGGGTCTTGCCGCCGGTCAATCTCTACGATCTCCTCCGCGACAATGACAACATCCTGTCAGCAATGATGTTTCAATCCCGTGAAGAGCTATATTTGCAGTTGAGACCACGTCTGGCCGTTGGTAAACAGGCAAGGAACAAGTATCATAGATGGCTTATTAGTGCGTGCATGACAAGGCGCGGTTTGCCTTTGCAGCATATGACGCTGTCTCTCAAGTCCTCATGGCCTAAAGCTGGATGTCGTGGCAGACTAGCCAATATCATGCACTTCCAGGCCCAGCTGCCTTAGTTTAGACATGCTCCCTGCTCCCAGCTCCTAGTGGCGTCAGGCTGCTCGGCGGAGCCGCAACTGACAAGTGGCTGACCTACTCGCGTGTTATTTCCGTGCATTTTTCTTTGGCTACGTCAGCGCAGGACCAAGAAGAAAAAGAAAGGAGGAAGAGAAGAGAAGAAGAAGAAAAAAAAGGAAGAAAAAAAATGAATAGCGCCAGGCCAGACCAGAACAGGCCCAAACCCGCCAAGCTTCACGTTTCCACAAGCCAGCAAGACGGGCCGAAAGCCGTCCAACAGGCGAGTTTGGAACGAGATTTCACAGATCGAAAAATTTCCAGGGCCATGCTCATAACGTACACTATGACTCGGGAAGCCCGCGCCTGGCGTATCAGACTCACAGGACAAAGGTGCTACAGCAGCAAAGGGGGTGCAGCAAGACAGGAGTCAGCCCTGCGGCTCGCTCCCTCCCGGGCCTCCTTGCTGAGTGTGCTCAGGCTGTCTGGCCTGATAACCCACCGCACTCCTTGGTCCAGGTGGCACCATTTCTGAGCCCAGATCAGAAGCCCAATTCGCCTTGTCATCAATCAACTGGCTGATGCAAATTGCAGACTGCAATCAGGGGGTCAATAACGCTCTGAACAGGGCATATTCCATCCGCCCGGGAAGAACCGGGACGCTTTGATGGTGGATGATTAAGTGAATTTGTTTTTCTGGAAAAAGCCCATCCCCCCCTAGTATGACTGTTCTGCTATGATGTGTGTCCTGAGTATTCGTGATTCCTTCAGAATTGAATTCTCGGAAAATTGACTTGCATCAGTCAGTGGCATTATTCATAAGCCATAAAGGTTACAGTCAAAGTGCACGACTTTGACTTTTTTTTGTCACATTTAATAAGGCAGAGCCCGAGTTTATTGTTCCGTCTATCCTCTTATGAGCTCACTACAAAACATCTATTCTGACAGTCCGTATACCCTCCCTCCTTACACTGAGCAGCAACTATTTGTGGACCATCCACCAACAACTGGGGATCCCGTGTCGATCAAGTCCATATCGGCCCCGAGACTCCCGCTCGTCAACTCAACATCACCAAAAACACTTGGGGCACATTCCGATGGCTAACCTCAACAGTCCATCATTCCACTCAACCCAGAGAAGTGTTCTCAGAAAATTGAAATGGACAATCCACGAGGCTTTCGGTGCCGCAGAGGCAGTAGTCTCACGGAGCCCGAGGTCAAGGAGAGTGTGGACGAATATATGAGCCCGGACATCCTGCATGTCTTCCGCGAGGATAGAGCCGAGACGCCAGCCACCCCTCTCACAGGAAAGACCAGCAGCGACTCTGTCGCATCGGGATCACTGCTCTCGTTCCCGCAGTTCCAGCGCCTGCCCGTGGAACTCCGTTATCTCATCTGGGAGGCGGCCGTCCCGGAGCCGACTGTTGTGCCCAGGACGTGGAACAACAGCAAGTTCAGGTACAATCTGCAGAGGAACGTGCCAGCGGTACTGCAGGCCTGCACTGAGTCAAGGGGCCTCCTGGTCGCGCAGCCAGGGACCGCGGAGACAGTGACTGCCGCTCCGAAGTATGAGCTCGTCCAGACGCGCGGGCGCGAGGATGAGGGTGTGTACATGGACTTTGAGAAAGACTCGATATGGATTTACCGAGGCTGTGAGTGTTTTCTTTCGCACAAGCCCTTCTCAAGATCGTCTTGGCTGATTTCATGACAGACGACATCAACGAGGCCGAGGTCGCATCGTATGCCAACCTGCGCAGCCTCGTCATGAACTGGGGCCTGCGGCCGTGCTGGGTCGACTCGGCGGTGGACGACGGCGTCAGGTTCATCCGCAAGTTCCCCAAGCTCAGGCTGCTGACGCTGCTGGTTGATTTTAAGGAGCACGGCTGGCCGGACCCGTCGACGCTCAAGGGGCTCAGGAGGCTGAAGCGCACCGAGTTCAAGCGCATATGGGCCCTGGTGCGGGCGGCGTTCCGGAGGGCCGAGCTGGACGACCCGAGCTGGACGGCGCCGTCTTTGCATATTGTCCATCGGACGGAGAATTGGTGTCGTCAGGAGGCTAGATGAGATATTCGGTAAGGGTTGGGCTAGGCGGGTATGATTTGGAACTGAAGCAGGCGTTGAGGTTGTGATTTCACCACTCTATTGGTATTATACCCATCTTTCTGAAGCAGGCTGGTTGAAACCATCGCAGTTTACCCGGTTGTTTCTCTTGCTCAAAGTGCCTGTGGGTTGTGCTCTCTTGAGTTGCTATACTTCTCTCGTTGAATGCTGGTGAACCATGAGACCGGAAGGCGACTTTGATGTCCAGAGTTCAGATCGTGGCCGCGTTCAGCCCACCTTGATATTCCTGCACCAATCTTTCCCATGTTGAACCTGCCAGTCACACAGCCACACCTCAACAGCCATGCCAATAAAGCCAGCAAGGCAGATGCCGGCACTGTCAGCCACGGAAGTAGCGCCGAGGCTGAACTCGCGCTCCGCCACCGGCACATTCTCTATGATCTCGGCAAAGGTATTCACGTACACTGCGCCACCGAGGAGGCCCTCCCAGAAGACGATGAGGAATACGATGTAGACAGTCGGGATGAAGTTGAGCAAGGCGTGCAGGGTCAGCAGGACCAGGTTGCCGACCTGCAGGAAAGACGGAATGTACACATGATGGATGCGCACGAACGGCGTCGAGGACCGCGAGATGAAGACACCGAACTGGTAGAGGAAGTTGTAGAAGGGGTAGAAGTCGCGGTGCTCCGAGAACGGGGAGGACTCGAGCGGGAACAGCAGCGTCGGCGCGACGCCCTGGTTGATGGTGTACTCAGCGACGTAGACCATGAACAGCGGCAGCATGTAGGGGATCACCAGCGCCCTCGCGCGTCTCAGGTGCGCCACGAACGACCCGCTGTGCCCTTCCGGATGCGCAGAGTACGCCGTCGTGGCGACGGCCGGCCCCGGGGCCAGGAGGCTGGACGAGGCGTTCCCCGCCGGGATGTCTTCCACGTCGTCCTCGGTCAGGTCCCGCTCGGGCAGGGCCTCATAGCTCTTGAAGGCGGCACTCTGGCGCAGGGGCCCCTGCGGAAGAATCACAAAGAAGCTGAGCAGCATGATGGCGGGCAGGAAGGCGGACGCCAGCAAGCTGTCCCTCACGCTGAACCCGAACCAGGTTGTGAGCAGTACATATAGGCCCGCGCCGGCCAGCCCCGCGCCGCCGGTGCCGCTCCCCCACGCGGCGAGGCTCATGTGGCCGTAGTAATGCGTCAGGCCGAGGAAGCTCAGCTCGCCGCCGCCGCTGCTCAGGCTGGCGAGCACGACGCCCAGCATCTTGACGGGGACGGAGCCCGTGGGGGGCGTGAGCGCGATGAGAAGCATGCCGGTGGCGGAGAGGCCGGCGAAGACAGGGATACGCACGGCGTAGGGGACTCGGTGGATGAAGTAGGGGGCGACGAGCTTGGTTACGAAGGAGGGCATCACGTCGGCCAGGAGGACGATGCCCTTGGGCAGGTTGCCGATGAGGTCCTGCGCGGCGGACAGGATAATCACGTAGAGGACATTGTTGATGAGGCCTGTAAAAGATAAGACTATCATCAGCTCCCGCTCAAGCTCACACCTGCGTGTCTAGACAATCTGTGCCAGGGGATAGTTGGCGTGGGCGTACCAAACAGCCAGAAGGCCACCAGGACGTGGGCGTCGGCATTGCGGAAGACGGAGGCGATCCTCGCGCGCCAGGCTGGGGTTCCAGGCATGGGTAAGAGTCCGGATGAGGACGGCGACGGGCTCATACTTGTCTGCCCTCTTTCCTACGGTCTATGTTGTGGGAATAAATGCATATTTGGCGAGATACGGAGAGTTGCTGGAAGGGTGCTCGTGGCTTGCTCGTGTGACGATCATCCCAAGATAAGCCGGACCCGTGGACGGCCTACATGTGAGGTAGCTGCCGATTGCCGCCCGGGGGAGGGGGGTCCCTGAGGAATGGATCAGGGTTTAACCCTTATTTTGAGAAAGTCGATGGATGAAAGGAAATTCCGCACCCTTGTGCCAACTCCTGCTCAGTCAAGTGACGAATAACCAGATGGGTATTTCAAGCCTATTTGTCTTCTCCATGCTTGACGGTAGTGAGTCTCGCGGGAAAAGGTTCAGTAGTCACGTCGTATACGTATATAGCCATGGAACTGGACAGAGAGTCTCACAAGGACCATCGAGGGCACTCTTAGATAGTATACCTAGGTACATATGTATATTTCTGTATACTTATATAGCCTGGGTTTCAGCCCTTGGTCAAATACAACCACGACATACGTATATGTCGACCTTAACGCCCAAAGAAAATGGTAAAACAAAATGGAAGACCCCATCAGGTCAAAAGCCCCGAACACCACCCAATGCAATACATAGTCATGCAATGTCCACGTCCGTCAATCAGACCCAAAACAATACCAGACAACACGCCCAGTGGACATCAGAAGTACACTTTTGCAGGAAGAGACTCAGGATCATGGGCCCTTGTTCTGTTCTTCTGGTCAGCAAGTTGCTCTAGATGCCCCGTAGGAGCATTTTTGAGAGAAGTCTAGCTTACCTGTTCCATCTGCGCCTGCAGCTTCCCCCTGATCGTCTCGTTGTTGCGAATCATATCCGCCGTCTGGGCGGCAATGTCGGCAATGGCCTTCTGCGACAGCGCGAACGGCGTGTAGAAAAGGTAGTCGCTGGGGATCTGGCACACCTTGACCGTGTCGGCCACCTTGTTGGGGCTCAGGTCGCTGCTGTTGCCCTCGGCTGCATCTGCTTGTGACTTTTTCGTTTTCTCCTCCTCGTTGCGCTTGCTGCTGCTCCTCCTATCGCCGGCCTGATGCTGCTGCTGCTGCTTCTCCGGCGTTGTGGCGCTGGGCACCTGGATGTCGCCGCCGATGTCCTTGTTGGGGATCTCCAGCCGCACGCCGCTCTGCACCGAAACGGCCACCATCGCCGTGTCTACGCGCTCCACGCACGAGTTGGTCACGTCGCGGAAGCCGTCCTCGACGGCGCCGTCGCCGCGCCCGGACCCGTCGTGCTGCTTCGCGTTGCGCAGCTGCCGCTCGACCATGGCGTCCAGCACGTAGTTGGCCAGGTTGTACGCGAAGCCGTCGCGGATCGGGCTCGGCCTGGGCCTTTCCTGCTGCGTCGGGGCGCCTCCGACTTTCTTGCCTTGGGTTGTGGTCTGGACGTCTGCGTTCTCCGCCAGGGGTGAGGAGGAGGGTGCGGTCTCTGGGTCGGACCTCTTGGTCTCCTTGTTCTCCTCGCCCTCACCCGGCTTCTTGTTCTCCTTCCGGACCCACTCCACCAGGCCGTCGACGATGCGGTCGTTCCAGTGCTCGGTCAGCGCGGCCGAGTTGCGCATCTGCTCGGCCTTTGAGTGCACCTTGGGGAGCTGGGCCCTGAGGTCGCGCCAGCCGGGGAGGAGGGACGGGTCCGTCACTCGAGGGATCAGGAGCCGAAAGTACTCAGCCGTGTCCATAGCGTTGTTTTCCACTTGTGACCCATTCTCGGCGCTCTCCTCCCTTTTTTCGGTCGGCCCCCCGGCAGATGGCTCCTCGCTCTCTGCTTCGGGGCTGGATCCCGACTCGAGCGGGGCTGAGACGTAGCTGGCGTCAGACCAGGCGGCCGATCGGACGTCCGTTGACGCCTCGTACAGGCGCTCGATCTGCTCGAAGATGTCTTTCGTCATAGCATCTACCGCCTCCTTTCCGGCGGGGATCGGCATAGCTGATAGCGACCAGACGTCCCAGAAGCCAAAGTTGAACACCCACAGAGTCTCTTTCGGGGCATGGCGCGGCTTGGGCATGGCGAGGAAACGGTCGACCTGGTCCTTGAGGTCGAGTGTTTGCCATTTGGGGGCATAATACGTCGACAAGTACGAGTAATCCATGCCAGGGCTGGACGTCTCAGACGTCTCGTTGAGCACCCTCTCCACGCCGTGAGCATACAGAGCCTTGGAGCTGACGGACCATGCAGGAGCGTCGGGCGATGGAGTCATGGAGACATGCTTGGAGCATTGCAGCTAGAAGGGAGGAAATCACGCCTTAGAGTGTGTCTCTGGACCGCCATAACTCGCAGAAGATTGTGCCACTTACCTGAGCACAGAGTGCTTCGGTCCACGACTTGGCTCCCTCGAACTCTTCGTCCTCCCCGATCGGCGTGCCAATGTCGTTCTCGCCGAACACGACTATCCTCAGTCCGCCAGGCGTGCTGTCATCATCTTCCAATGGGACCTCTTCAGCCACGCCGGTCCAGAGATCGTGTGGTATTGAGTTCAACGCGCTGTCGCTCATCCGCTGTGGCATGAGTTTTATAACGAGGAGTAAGGCAAAAAGCGTGGCGGCCAGATTGAGGAATATTTTGGGACCACCCCTGACGCCCTTGTTAAAGAAAAAGCCGAGAAGGGATTGGATGCATGGTGTATCTCTCAGGCGCTGCCCGGAGCTGTCCTGCTGGGCCATGTTGGCCTCTTTTGACGACTTCAGCATCTAGTCCTAGTTTCTTTGCAAGGTGTAACAAAAGAAAAATAAGGCGGCCCAGTAGAGAGAGCTCCTGTTTGTTGACCTAATGAGAGGCTGACAAACCCTTATCGCCGTTTGCTTCGTGTCGTCGTACCGCAGCTCGTTGTGAGAGGCCCTATTTCAGGAACGGACGGGGTGCGCCGCGAGCAGGGAGCCGGTGGACGCTGTATGGCATCGGCTGCCAAGAGGGCGCCACTCGGTGATGTTGGCTCGGTCGCCGAGGCTTGGAGAACTGGTGCGACTGCCGGATGCCCGGGGTATAAGGTACGAGGCCAGGCGAGGTGTGGTGTAGTGGGGGGTCGCACAGCAAAGGGCAATGTGTCGCGTGCTGGAAGGATCGGCGCTGGAAGCAGACCAGAAACAAGAAGATGGGGCCCAGGAAGCACGGAGGCAGTGGTGGTGTTGCCGGAGGAAAGGCGGAGTGTAGTAGGGAAGCGAGAAAAAAGCCAAGAGGAGCACAATGGAATTGTGTTCAAGAAGTTGGGAACCACATGATTGTATGTACAACAGGAGAAGAGATCAGCAAGCTGAGAACCCACATGGATTCCTTGGCCCAAGCAGTCAGCATCCAGCATCCAGCATCCAACTCGCACGCAGCCCTGCGCGATACAGAGTGGGTTTTGGGAGGGCGGGTAGATGGACGCGACTCCAGGGCTCATCAGTCAGTCAGTCAGGCAGTGAATGTGTGATGAGCCGGGGATGGGCCCGCGCAATCCATATTGAGCCATGGGGATGGGTTCTGGTCCTGGTGGTGGGCGGTAACACCGCAAGGGGAGCGTCGTCACCGGTGGATCCGTCCTCAAACCTTTCACTGAACAAGCCTCTCTGTGGACCGCCCAACCCCTGAGCCGGAAACCCCAGGCATCCCGTCCTGCCAGATTGCCAGAGGACGATGCTGAGTGCTTGGCCATGCATCCCCACAAGCCGAAGCCCAACATCCTGGACGCTGTAGCGTGTTAAGCAAGCGAGGATGGCTTAAGAATAGCAATTGCCATCGAGCCTTTTTTTTATTTCGGGAAGGCGGGCACGTGCGACTCGTCCGGGAGGCGCCTCAATGGGCGACGTTGTGTGCTTCGACGCTCCCGGCTGACGAATTCCACACCGAGGCTGTCGGGTCGTCCCTGAATCGGGAGGCCTGTCCTGGCTCTTGAGAACGATGTGCGTACAAGAACAGCACTGCACCCAATTGTGCTTCGAGGTCACATTGCGAAATGCCGATGAATCATCATCGTCGTCTTTGGTCCTCATTGGCAGCGTCTCGGCGTGCTCACGCCCCAAGGAGATTTATTGCCGGTCGCCGTCATCATCTCACCATAAACCAGAAGTGATGTGCATCGTACTCGGCTGTTGCTGACTGGTGGGGGAGGGAGAGAAGGACGCGGCTGCAGTTGCGCGGCTGTGGAGTGTCTTGTTCATTGCCGTGGGGTCGTGGCAGCGCCACAGTTACAAGGGTGGGTGGTGTTGAGGGTGGGCAGAGATGCGTCCTGATTGGGGTGGGGGAGTCTATTGTACATGCTGAAGACTGTTGGATGTCGGCTGTAGGCCATCTTTTTCGGTAATGTTGGTTATATCCGCGTGTTGAAACAAACTGGGTAAGGAATTGATTGTCCAATGCGCTTCCAAATACATTTCATATAAGGCGGTTGGGCAGGCGGACACAATACAATAGCAGAGACAGCATGATCAACCGTTATTTATCAATCTACATACATACTTCAGTGCTAAAAAAAAAGCCTCCACCAGCCGGTACCCAGATGATATACATATATATTATGCATATATGGACACACATTTTCACACAAAACAACCCTGTCGGTTCCTTCATTACGAACCGTGACACCCCCCCCCCCCCGAATGACCCTCAACGGAGCTCCAGATACGACCCCGCCAACCCCGCGGCCATGAACAGCAGGAAGATGGGCCTCTGGGGGAAGCCAGGCCCACCGAACTCGGGATCGAGCCCGTCGGCCTCGGGGAAGTAAATGGCCGTCAGGCCGGTGAGCCAGTAGGCGCTGCCGGTGAAGGCAGCCAGCTGCAGCGAGTAGCGGTCGATAGCAGCCGATGGGCCCATCAGCAACGGCCTCCAGGTCAGGAACATGGTAGCCATGCCTAGTACCGTGCTGAGCCCGATGGTCTGCGCGTTGTGGAATCTGCATCAAGTGTTGACCGCGTCAGCCCCGCCAGCCCCCCGGGGGCTGAACAGATAGGTACGGTACGGTATGCTTTGGGCTACGTGATACTCACTTTGCATGTGGTGGCCATCGTGGGTTCCGCTGGTGCGTGTGGTTCATGTCCGCGACCCAAGCCCCGAAGAGGAGCCCGAGGCTGTCGAAGGTGAGGAGAGCGCGGCCCAACATGGTGATTATACGGCGTTGTTCCTAACTTGGACGGTCTGTGTGTGTGTGACGGAGGAGTTGGCCGTTGATGCTGCTTCGTGGGACAACAGCCGCACCCACTGGTCTACTAGTCTACTGCTTATATATCGGCGAGTGAGGCAGAACGCCGTGCGACTTGAGACGCGAGACGCGAGACTGATGACCTAATCTTTAGTTGGAGATCGGATCAAACCAGCCCGACTCTCAGTCCGTACAACTATTCCGTCTGGTCTTGGAGCTTAGCCTCCTTGACTTGTGTGGGGAGATGGTTGAGACATAGGTTCAATATCAGCGAGCAGACCCCATCACCAAATCGGCCAGCCTTCATGAACTGGCCTGAACTGATGAATATGACTCCCTCTGCACCAATTTCTTTTGCTCGAGATATGCGACTGCCAAACAAGGAGAAGTGAAGAGCATGGTGAGGTCAGGCCGATGGTGGTGGAAGCGGTCAAACATATTTATCCGAAATGTTGTCCGAAATGGCCGTATCTCCACCACACGTCGAGCTCCGGTCGTCCCATTCCCACCAGCTTCGGACTTCCGTAGGAGCAAAAGTGAGCGAGCTGCTGGGGGCCAAGAATCCCTTATTTCAGAAATTAAGGTTTGACTGTTTGTAATCGGATCAATGGCGGCTTGCATGAACAGACTGAGAGGTTGTTCTCAGCTCACTGTTTCCTGATATCAAACTCTATGTTTCCCTTTCCTGCCCACCTGTGACCAGTCCATGCTGACATTCCATTGAGACCTTGTCATTGAAGTCCTGTGGTGTAGCAGCCGGAAAGGCAGTAGTCCATCACATCATGTCTTCCGACACATGCATCCATTATATAGCCTTCCCAGTCTATAGACGATGATCGCCATTGTCACTGTTAATTAAGCCTCACAAATGGTGGACTACAAGGTTCGCTCCACCGTGTAGATTTCTCCGTACCAGGGCGCCAACACTGGCCTGCGCACTGCTACAGTACTGTACAGCAGATGTTGGGGAAACACCTGGGGGTGGGTGCTGGTCCACCTGGAATAAGCCCGGCCCTGACAGTCGATGGGGGCCAAACCCGTTTCCAAGCCCAGCCCCGCTTTCTCTCTCGACCAAGCATCACAATCCATCACTTTTCACAAAGCCCATATTGAAGAAATCAAGTGAGCTGAGCTGAACTGAACTGAACTGACAGTCTGAGAGGCGACCTGAACTGTGCACCACAACCACGTTCGACCCCCCCCCTTCTTTTGAACCAGACTCTGGATCAGGTCTTTCTCATCACACTATTCATCCCCTTCATCAGCTTTTACAGCCCTGTTAGGGTCTGTCTGTCTGTCTGCCTTCCTTCGCCAGAGCAGTCAGCAGCGGGAGCCAGCCCTCTGATCCCCACTCCCGTCCCTTTCTTCCTACCTAACCTACCTATCCCTATTGCAATCAATCCCACAAGACAGAAAAAAGACAAGACCGGCATTATCTTCGATTCCCTTCCAACGATTAACCCCATCCTCATCAAATCCATCCATTCATCCACAATGGGCAAGCCCCTAATATCCAGCACCTGCCGGCTCGAGGCCAGGGCCAGCCGAAACAATCTCCTTTCCTCCTCCGCTGGGGCATGACGCAAATCTCCCACACCCCTAGCCGCCAAGCTGGGGGGCTAGGAAATTGTCAGCACATTAACACTTGCCCTCACATCCCATCCCGTCAAAAACAGCATCGTAAAGATGATGCCCCTACGCACAACAAGCCTCCCAAGGTCTCAAAGTCTCCATCACCCGTACAGGAAGCGAGAGAGGGGAGACCGGCAAAATCGTCATGGCCGGGCGGGAGACGGGATGCTGCATACTGACGCATGCACGCCTGACGAGACACACATCCATCCCTCCGTCCATCCGTTCATCCCATCCTCAGAACCGATCCCCTTTTTCGTCGGCCGTTTAAGTACTACCGTCGAGATGGCCTCGATCTACCCATGACCCTCTTACGGTCGACCGAACCAAGATATTCTACACACAGAAGCCTCGTCGAGGCTTGCCTCGGTGACTTGCCCAACCGGCTGAACAGAGCACGCTCAGCTCGCCCGATCATGGACGACGGGATGGCTTCTCTCTACAAGCAAGTCACACTCTCAAGAGCACAGCGACATATTCACGAGTACCGACCAGATACATCTCACTACACGGCAGAGCACATGCACAAGGGACTATCGTCATGATCAAAGGATTTTTTTTTCAATTCCTCTGCGAGCAGCACCGCCTATTTCGAATGTCGCCCGTCTCCCACAGAAAACGCCCCATGAGGGTATAAGCCGATCGATGCGCCTACAATGCTGCGCACACGACAAGAGCCTCGCCCGTCGATCCCTTTTGTTCGTCATTCATCAGCGTTCCGCATCCCCTTTCTCCGGATCCCCAACAGGGCAGAGAAAATAAAAGCTCAGCGATAGCCCCCCGAACGTTATCGTCACGCTCTCTGAGCCTTGCCGCGGTGCGCCGGCCGACGAGAATATTATACATGATATGGACAGTGTTTTTACACAACAAGAGGTTGGACAGGCCCAAGCCAAGGAGGCTATCATGTCGAAGGTGTCCTCGATGGGCGAGATGCCGGCAGTCTGAGTCCACTTCAAGGGCTCACGACGAGCTCTAAACAACTGAGGGGGTCAATGCCGGCAAGCACGAGTATCCATCATCTGCGGATCAGCTGCGGCGTTTGGTGTGACCTCGGAAGGGCTCATTGCACCGCAATCATGGTCGCTTGAGCTTGATCAAGGCGGAAAGCAGCACAATCATCATCAGATGTGCACCGCAGACAACGGGGCCAGCTACTGGATGGGAACTACTCCTCTTCCGAAGAGCTTGCATCGTCGCTGTCATCGTGACGGTGGCCAGCGTGTGCGGTCTCGTTGGGCTCAATCGAGGGCACGGGTTCCTGGCTACCGCTTCCGGGACGCTTGTACGAGTCCTTGAGTGCCTTCAGCTGCTCAAGCTTGCGCTCTTGTTCGGCCTTGCCCATGGGCTTGTTCTTCTTCTTTGCCGCCGACTTCGCGGCGGAGGTCTGAGCAGCCGTGGGCGCGGGCTCCTGCTTCTTGAGCTGATCCTTGTAGGTCGGGAACGCCTTGAGAACCAGATCAAACAGCTTAACGAGCGCCTCGTCACTCAGCTGCTCCATGTCCAATTCGAGCTCGTCATCATCGGTCTCCTTGGAACATCAATGGTTAGCCATTTCCCATGCGACTCGCTCCTTGGGGATAAAGTGGGGTGCTTACCGTCAAATTGGTATCCTTCTTAATGATGTCAATGGCCTTCGTCAAGCTGTTGCCGTCCAATCTACCGATCGCGTCTGAGACGATCTCCTTCTCCTCGTCGGTGAGCCTCTTCTTCACAGGCTTCTTCGCCGAGCCGCCACTGGCCTTCTTAGGTGGGCCTGCATTATTCGCGGCCTTCTTCGAGCCGCTACTGGTGCCTGCAGTCGCCTTCTTCTTGGACGGCTTGGAGGCCTGTGAGGGCTTCTTCTCTCGCGCCGAGTTGACTTCAGCCCTCCTCTTGATGATTTCATCCTGAAGAGTCTGGATAACTGTCCTACTGAGGTCAATAGAGGCCGAGTCCGGGTTGTCAGAGAAGAGTTGCTTGTTGAGGTCATCGTTCTCCTTCTTCAACCGCGCCATGGCATGGTCCAGCTTCCGTTGTGCCTCCTGGATATCAACGGAGCTCTCCTGCTCCGGCTCACTCTCATCCTCCTCCTCCTCGTCATCTTTAGCAGCGCCACGTGGACTAGTCGCCGCCGCAGCTGGTGCTGTTGCTTGGGCGTGTTTGCTCATCCAAGCCGCCTTCTCAGACCATTTCTTGTCGAATAGCTTCTCCAGCTCTTTGCCCGCCGAGTGGACAAGATGGCCCTCGGGGTTGAACTTGGTGCAGTTCTTAATCATGAGCTGGAAATCCGCCTTGAACGCGTTGGCCGACTCGTACTCTCCACTATCCAGCTTTGCGGTCATAGTACCCAAGTCCATGGGCTGCTTAATGACGCTGTGGTAAGTGGGAATGTTCAGAGCCACGGGATCCACTGGCTCCAGGAAGAACTGGTTCATGGTCCAGTTTTTCTGGTGCTTCAGATCCTTCAGAACCTCTTCACAAAATTTCATTTCTGGCTTGCGCTTGTTCTTCGTGTTCTTGGGCTGAAAGCCTAGATCCTTGTTCTTGGGCGGGTGGATAGGTCTCTTGGGCCGATCGCCGGCGTTCTTGGTGCTGTCTCGCCGAATGGTGGGCACCCCGGAAGCAGGCACAGCAAAGACAGGTGAGTCAGAAACCTTCTCCGCCGGTGAGCTTGCCACAGGACGTGACTCCTTCTTTGGGGGAGGAGGTTGGTGATGCCGCGGTTCAGCGTGCCGTGTGGGCATCTGCTTGATGTCCTGCTTCACGGGCTTCACGGGCTCTTCTGCGGGTACCTCTGCCAGCCTAATGTAAATTCCGTCCACCGTTGCCTTTGCGGCCCTGGTCACATCGTGATCAGAGCCGTTGAACTTGGTGGCATTTTCAATTATGAGCTCAACGTCAGTCCTGAAGTCAGCCATGACTGGGTACTTGTTGTCACGTAGGTTCTGCTCGATGAAGCTGATGTCCACAGGCCGCTTGATCAATGAACGGTACTGCTCCCAGACACCTGGCCACAGTGTCTGCACAGACGATCTGAACATTTGTCCACTCTTGGTCTTCTTGACAAGGGCCAATACTTTCTTGATCTCCCTGTTCTGGTAGGCCGTAATGGCATTGTTGGCGAGCGCCGGGTCATTCAACTTGCGAGATTTCCCGTTCACAGTCAGGGGCACAGACGCCCCAGCCTGCGCCGGTTTTGCGGTTGCCGCGGGTGTGGAAGAGGGAGTGGTAGCTTTAGAAGGTGGGTCTATGGCCATTGCGTCTTGTCCGCCGGACGGGGCAGACTGCGCTTGCGCCGCCTTTTGTTGCTGGCCATCTTCTCCTGAGGTCCTGACGCGCTTTGCAAGGGGCTCATCATCGACATCTTCCTCACGTTCCCGGGCGATTTTTGACGAACTCTGCGATGGCGCATCGGTCATACTAGTGTCGACTGTCACAGGCACGGAAGCAGCTTCCTGAGACTCGTCGTTTGGGGATTTCGGTGCGTTGGCAGAGGGCGAGACGGCGTCACTAGCTGGTGCCTCACTTGTTGCCGTCGCTTGGGTGTCCCCTCCTTGCTCTGCACCAGCTTCTGCCTCTTTTACTGGAGCTTCAGACATCTCCTTGTCATTCTCATTGCTCGATTCTGTCTTTACAGGTTCCTTCGCGGATTCAGCGGCCGTTTGAGATTGCACAGTCGTCGATGAGGCTTCAACGGGCGCGTCAGACTCTTCGGGCTGTTCCGCCACCGGCTCCGCAGGTTGCTCGGCCTTGGGAGATGACTTTGCGGCGGGTTCAGCTGGCGGCGAGGGCGCCTGGGCAGATTCAGCTGGTGCATCGACCATCTCCGTGTCCTTCGCCTCACTCTCCTCGGCATCTTTGTTTGGCTTTGTTGACTCGACTGCATCAGCTGCGTCGACTGCGGGCGGCGTCATGGCAGTTATGTGTTGGTTTGTCGCAAACGCGTCCTTATTCTGGTGCTGGTTTGGCTCGGGAGACTCGGCACTCTTCAGGTCGTCTTTGGATGATGATGCGTCGACTTTGTGGTTTGGTGTGGCGCTGTCAGTCGCGTCGGGACCGTCGGCGGGTGTAACATGGCTGCGCGCATTGACGCGTTAGTCGGATGAACAGCGCACAGAGTGTTTGCGAGGTATGCAGGACTAGGCGAGGCTGTGGTGGGCAGCCACGACTCCGTTTACAAGGTGCGCGATAGGGACAGAAGGGGAAGGATGCAACCGTTCAGCAGCAGACAGTGGGAGTGCAGAACGCTAGAAGCCAGGCATACGAGGGGGTCGGGAGATAAATGCGACTCACCCATTGACCTCCAAGCTGTTGCGCTCGTCGGGGAGCGCAGTCGCCGTCGAGGTCGCCATGTCCAGTGAAAGCGACTTTTGATCGAGAGCGATGGGTTCAGCTTGCGACGTCATTACTGCCATCGGGCGGGCTCTGCAGGTTGCGATCGGTTCAGCGGGCGCGTCGCAACATGAAAGGGAAGAGGCGATTGACTGGGCCCAAGCTTCTGCAAAGCGACGGAGTGACTGAGATGCGCGCGACGGGAATTGTGGGGCAGGCGCGTTGCGACAACGGGTGCAGCCAACGGCGTCGTTTTGGGGGTGCGGGTGAGGGGTGTATGTAAGCTGCTAAAAGTGGGCTCAAACGGCCGAGGAGGAATGCGCAATGATGTGAACGTTGAAAACTCAAGCAGTCCAGATCAAGTGGAGAATGCAGTCTTAAGGTGGTGGATGGCAAAAAGTGGTTGCGCCGGTGTTTTTTTGCGTGAGGCTCGTGATAGCTTGGCGCGGCGCGGGATTGGGGATGCGAGATGCGACGGGGGAGCAAAGGAAGAGAGGAAGGCTGAAAATCAAAATTGCAAAAGGCAAAGAGCCAAAAGGTGAATCAATTTTAGCTTGGGCTAGCCTTGAAATGACGCGCCAAGTGGAGGCTAGCGGCAGCAGCGGGAACTCGGTGGTTGGTTTTTCCCAGCCGTCCTGGCGCTGCGATTGGCCGGGGCAGTGTGTTTTGCGGGGCTAGAGCAGGGATCAGGAGACGTACCGCTTGTCGATGGTGGCTTCCGGTGGTTTGTCTTCTAGGCTCAGAGCTCGAGAACGGTAGCAGCAAGCACATGCCCATGCCCAAGGAGGGCGGGGGAGGTACCCTATTTATCAAGCGCGCAATCAGCTCCAAAGGGGGGGGGGCGATGAGGGGGAGGGGGACCAGCTCCCAGCTCCCAGTGCTCTCTGCCTTTTCTCAACGCTGCTTGTGATTGGACTGCTCTTTGAGACGGGTGCCACCAGGCCGACTAGTGACTGGGCTCATTGACAGAGCTTGGAAAGGGTAGTCCCTGCAGACCGTCTCTCGACGTGCAACTCTCATTTCAACCAGCAACTCATTTCTCTCACCAGGCTGCCGGGGTGTCAGCCTTTAGTTCCTCCTCTCTACACTCTGTTCTTTACGCTACTTTCTACCTGTCTATTCTCTGAGATACAACCTCTTGGACTCTGCGAGTCTCTGAAAATCCAAATGCTCTGTGCAAAATTGTCCCATCTGCCCTCTTTCTGCCCGAATGACTCGAAGTTGCAGCTGGGCGCACGGAGCGCTGATTCGAGGCATGGGACAACGGTAAGGTATACATACCACAGCAGACGACGAGATGGAGTGAGCGGACCTTTGCAAGACTACAACAGAGCTCTAAGGTTTAGGCACATCCGGAAAGCTTGCATGGCAAGCAATGCAGGCAGACGTCCCGTGAGGCGGCGACAAGTCTTAAGAGACAAACTGGCACCCGCGCTGGCCACCCGCCACTGTTTGTCCGAACGCTTTGACAGCACTGCTGCTACTAAGGATGCGTTCATTTTCTTGTTAGTCTTGGGTGGATGACCCTTAGATCCGCACCGGTGGCCATGATAGACCAAGAGTTGATTGCTAGGTGACTGAAAACAGCGGCGGGCGGGGGATCGAGAGGAACTAGGCGAACGGCCTCTCCTACCGCGTCGCTCACTTCTGTCACACTCCCACCGCGACGACGCGTGCGTGCGTGCGGTGAAAGCAAGGTGCCTCGTCTATCTTATCAACAGTCCTCAAATGCTGACTAAGTCGAATCCCTGCCATGGACACCGTCCAGAAACACCTCTACATACATCCCAATCTACATATTGATAGAATATCCAGAAAGCCAGGGTCTTTTTACAAGCATTCACAGGACCCTGCAATTTCAGAGATCCTCCGGTGTAGGCGTTCCTGATTGCTTGTTTAGTCGCTTGGTTGCTCACTCAAGCATCCTTTTCATCCAAGTGAAGGATCGCTACGGTGGACTTAGAAGCAAGTCCTTTCAAGCTAAGCCTCTGGAGCAGTGTCTGGCGCTGGAGCACTGCACTTCAGAGAGCTTTCAAATGCCTTGATAAGCCAGGCCAGAAAGTTCACTCATGATTGTTTCGATGCATATGTGCTTGCCATTAAGTGACTGCAGAACATGGCACAGTTGTATCCATGTCCATGTGTGCAAATGCAGTGCTGCAAATGTCACCATCGAGGCAGGGATCCCGAGGCGCTCGGACCATTCATCTGGGCCCTGCACTGGGAAGGGAAGTCGGTAAGGCCTAAAGTAGGCAGAAAAGTTCCTCTGCAAAAAAGTTCCCGCCTTGACCTCCCCCAAATTCTGATCACCTCGCAGTTCACAGCATCAACTGTCCGGCGATCATTGACTGACTTCCTCCATCCTCTCCTTTTTTTGGAGCCCCTATTGTCCGGAGCGCTCGGAAATCATTAACAGAGGATACCTTTCACAATCCTCGGGGCTCTCGCCAAGAAGCAATTATGGCGACAAAGAGGAAGCTCGCCAAGGTCGCTGCACCCGTCAGCCAGAGCGCCAAACTGCCCAACTCCACCAGGATAGACGAGACCAGAACATCAGTCACAGTGCCCATACCTGCGAAATCCAAGTCATCAAAACAAGTCGAGACAATTGAAATTTCAAGTGACTCTGAGAGCAATTACGACGACATCTCTGACGTCGATGATGACGAGGAGGCCGAAAAGCAGACTGCAGATCCAGCACGGTCGCAAGACGAAGTGGACGGGGATGAAGATACCGAAATGAAAGAGGAGGGCGGGGAATCCGATGCTGAGCCCACATTCGGTGACCTGATCCGCAACCACGACACAGTCGACGTCGCCGCTGCACTCGGCGGCCAGCAATTGACTGGTGCAAGCACAGCCTTGACAGCCGCCCCCCAACGACAAATAGCACCTCCCTCCACCTCCTCCATCGGCATAGTCCTTGCACAGGCTCTCCGGACTGACGACGCAGACCTTCTCGAGTCTTGCCTCCAAACCTCAGATGCAACTATCATCCGCAACACTATCCAGAGACTAGACTCCAGCCTCGCAGGAGCCCTGCTCACACAACTCACCTCACGTCTTCACAGGCGCCCGGGACGTGCACACAACCTCATGACCTTTGTTCAGTGGACACTGATCGGCCATGGTGGCGCCTTGGCAACCCAGCCAGACATCCAGAGACGGCTTGCCGAGCTGAACAGGGTATTGGAGGAGAGAACAAGAGGCTTGAACAGCCTGCTTGCGCTGAAGGGCAAACTGGACATGCTGGAGGCACAGATGACCCTGCGCCGTGGGAACAAGTCTCGCCGAGCATCAGGCAAGGGCCATGACGACAGCGACAGCGATGAGGACGAGGACAACGCCGAGGAGGGTATTGTTTACGTGGAAGGACAGGAGGACGATATTACGTCGAATGGGGTATCACGGCGGAGAGATGATGACGAGGACGACTTCCCTGCAGTCAACGGGGTTGCCTCTGATTCCGAGGAAGAGTCAGGCGATGAAGACGAGGATGACATGGACGTTGACGAGTTCGCCGAGGAGTCAGTAGACGAGGACGAGGTGGATCATGACGATATCGAGGAGGACTCAGCTGAGGAAGACGAGAGCGAGGCTGAGGTTGCACCACCTGCGAAGGTGCAGAAGAAAAGCAAATCATCCTTTTCGAAAAAGAGGTGAACAGAGCGATCGGTACGGAGTTGAAGGGAGTAATAGACTTGTACATGATGATACCATTATCATCCGTATCATCAGGATGATATCACGTCCAGACAACGGGCGTCTAGCAGTACTTGGCGGCTGTACATCTACGAGTAGCGCAGTACCGCACTGGGAATTGCAAACCAACACCATCACATCAAAACATCTCGCAAGACTCCTCAACCAGTAGTTCTCATTAACCTTGTGTAGGGTTGCTCGCCCCGAATCATCTTGTTGACGAGACCATCTCCGCAGATTGTTCTTTGGAGCAACACCCTGCCCAGGCGGCAGTTCCTGCGATGCTTGCCCAGCACTTCATATCATCCCAAAGAGTCCTCAGTAGCCAATTGTGACCCATCAACAATTGTTACCGCGTCTCATGCCCACGACCACGTTCCAGCCATCCGCATTGAAAGCTTGCCCCTGAACCCTCTTTTCCTCCTTTCCCTTGTCGGACCATATATAAGTGCACTTCTTCTTGATCTGCTCTGCGTACGCAGCCATGGTAGACCAAGGGACCTGCTGGTCTTCCTGCTTGTCATTGCAGGCATAGATGGCACAGTCGTGTTGGCAGCTGTAGCGCCAGCACCAAGCTTCACCATCCTTGTGGCCGAGGGTGGCATTGCCGGTGAGGCCTTTGAGGTGGTTGGCAACGCTGTCGAAATACTGTGGATCAACGCCATTGTAGAGGTTTATCTTGCAAAGGATGTAAGGCTGCTAAGGGGTCAGCATGATCTGGGTAGTGTCAAGCTGTGTACTGAGTGCTACCTACAGAATCTTCGTTTTCCGACAAGGCTGGAGGAGTAGTCGCGTTGGCTGAAGTCCCGTTGGCTGAAGTCCCGTTGGCTGAAGTCCCGTTGGCTGAAGTGGCAATGGCAGTAGAAAGAGTCGAGGTGGTGAAAGTGAGCATGGCCTTGTCCGACAAGGTTGAAGGAGTTGCGCTGGCCGATGTGGACATGGTGGTAGGGGAAATCGCGTTGCTGAAAGTGTCCATGGACGCCGCGATGATGACGAAGAGGGCGGCAACGAGGGCCAGCAGGCTCTGTTTAGGGAGCATGATGTTGGCGATGGTCACGTATTGATTTACCTAGGTACGGTGGAAGGAGGACGTCTGTTGAAAGAGAAGCGTGGTTTGCGGAAGAAGTTTTGGGACATCTGTTGTTGGTGACGTGGAAGGTTTTTAATCCAGTCACTGGAGTTTTAAAAGTGACAAGTGACTTGGGCACTCCAGTGAATCACCGTACAGGACGCAGTCACCTTTCGTCTGAAAAGCTGGAAAACAATACCACTGGTCAGCTTTTCATGGTGGAAACCAGAAGGGATGCAAACGAGTGATGAGCAAGCTTTCAGCAGTCACCTAGTCCCCTACCCGGCTGGGTGGTGCTTTTCTAGACTTGGGGACTCATAATGGGCATCACACAGGTGGCCATAGGGCAAGTGCGGAACTCAGACGAAAGCATGTATTCTTCAGTATGGCCAGTAAGCTTAGGTCTGCGGCTTTGAGCATCCGGTAGAAAAGTGAAGTCTGCAGATCTTTCAATTTTTCCTATCATTGGCATGAGAGACTGATGAAAATAAGGTAAGCTCGTCTTTCTACCAATTCATATACAGACCCGAGAATTCTATCACGGCATGTCAACTTCAGAAACCACGGAAAACCCAGCATTGTTGATAGCAATGCTGGCAATGTCATGGTTGCCGTAATCCAGTGCAATAAGGGCCTCTGAGCAAAACACAAAAAAATGTAGATCAGATTTGTCCTGATTAGCGATGCTCATTGGTTACAATGGCCCGAATCCTCGTTGGCAAGCTTCAAAGATGGGAAAATGCATTTGAACCTTGCAAACCTCTCTTCAAAGAATGAGAAATAACTGGAAGTTCCAAGCAGCGCAGTTGATATGTAGCATCTCATGCTTTTTGCATTCGCCTGGTCCAATCTCTGGTGATGAGGAGACCGATACATTCTTGAGCATCAATGTTAACTTTGACCATTGGAATCCCTCCTGAACCTATGCGAAGGTTTGTGACATGGTCATGCGAATTACATATTTCATCTGACCTTCAGCCTCTCTCTTTTGGGTAGAGTTTTGTTAGATATTGGGAGTGGAGCTTGGCTCTCTAATCCGCTCACTTCAAACTCAGACTGAAGGCCCTTTTTCCTCCTGTTCTGAAATTAAGATCAAGAGTAGAAGGATCGAAGTACATGCCTTATATGGATTTGGACTTCCCTATATAGAAATCTCGGCCACCCAAATGCTGGAAATCCCTCAAAGAGGTTTCATGTCGTTACTTAATCCATTTTTACATCAAGCGTGAATCAAAGTAAGTACTGCTAATTTTGAATTACAGCAATTTGCTCTATCTGCTGTCGATACCTGACAAATGGGCTGTCTGTTTGCAGCAGTGTTGGAAATGACAGGTTTACTTGCTACTGGACATGATTAGAGACGGACTGTGGAGCCAGCAGAGTCGGTATCAAGATGTAATGAGTTTAGAACCTCAGTATCCTCGGGTAGAAATGAGCCGTTGGCCATCCGTTCCAAGCCTCAGTGCGTACCTCGGTGGAGTCATCAGCATTTTTGACTTCTCATGCAGGTTGCCGGTCATGCACGTTGGTGAGTGTAGACAGGGGTAGGTTCAAAGAGACACAACGGGAAGATGCAGCATGAAGAGAAATCCCAGTCTGAAGATATGCAAATTGTCTCTGGCCGTTTGCTATCCTTACGTGAAAATCACCTTTGTCCGATTGCTTGCCTTTCGGCTCTCTATTTATCATGGAATCATACAAAAAGACGCCCTCACTCACAGATGATGTGTTGTGTTTCCTTGGCTTCAGTCTTCTCAAACCTTTCAAGCTTTCTATCACTCAAAGCTCGACAGTCGTTTGTATCTCTACAGTTCTATCAAAATTGTACCCAATCAAACTACAGCTCGAATACCTAGAAGTTTTCCCAGCCTGAGCTGAGACCATTCTGCCATCTAGATCATGGTACCTACAAACCAGCAGGAGGAGCTCGGTGTCAGCAATCAAGTTTCGGACCCAGCCAAATCACGCAGTCAGATTTTCAAGGATATTGAAGATTTCCACGAGAGCCTAGAGGCGGAAAGGGTCCACCGAGTGTTGCTCAGATGGCGCAAGAGGAAGCGCGACGACGAGCTGAGCAATGGAACCGCAATACTGGAGAAGATCCTACGAACGCTCCACGAGGAGTTTGAGGAGCGCAAAGAGCGAGCAGAGCTTTGGGACCAAGCTCTCATCGCCGAGATCAAGACAGAGAAGGCGCGTCAGGAGCTTGAGGGGCGTGCCGCCGCGTCTGCCCTTTCCCCCGAGAAGCAGACGCGACTTGTGCATGCTGTCGCCTCGGTGTTGAATATTGAGGTGTCAAGTGAAGAAGTGGGAAAGATGCTTTCAAAGACAACTGCGGTGACAGGTTCAGTCGCAAAATCTCTCAAGTCCACGCCTCCGACTCCACCGGCTGATCAGCGTAGTCCTGTATCACCTCGAAATGCGGGATCACCTCATCTTGACACCCATGTCCGGGAGTCGGAGTCCAGAACGCTGGAGAGCGCACCTCGCACGCCGGGCCTGCTGTCAAGGACAGACAGCCAGGCAGGAAGCCGTGACGACTACACAGCTTACCAACAAGGTCTGAGGCCAAAAGCACCAGGCAAAGTGAGTCGTCAACCGCTACTACTGCGAAAGATGTATCCAGCTAACATACTCATGCAAGATCAGATCACCAACACGGACCGAAACGGCCGATCGATGCTCCTCGACGCCGCCGATCAAGAAGCCGAGAGTAGACGGCCCATCGGCCTTGAAATCAAACGCTCCAGAGAAGAAATCCACTCGCCCGGCTCGGAATACTCGCGTGTCAGACTGAAGGAGGTCAGACCCGAAAATATCTGACCTCGTATTTGGAACCGTTGTCTGGGGCAAGATTTCCAGAGGCGAGGGTAGCCGCTCCTCTTCGAAGATGGTTAATATTCATTGCAGAGAGGCGAGTGTACGGTCGCAGGAAAAAGGGCAATGTCGGCAAGCGGCTTAGACCTTGGGAGCGAAATCGGATTGTGCGCAGGCGGCCTTGACAGGTGCTCGTTTGGGATGGTTGCGTCGAATTCGCTCCACGCCAATGACCTCCCCCCCTCTTCCTTCGAGAAGAAGAAAAACCACGAAAAATCCTGCCGAAGATGGCACGCAGACATTGGAAACAAATGTGGAGTGCACCTTGGCACAAGATCTCGCAAGTCTATTTGGCCGCTGGAAGGGTATGCACCGTAGATCATATGCGAACCATGGGCGACGGGCCCCTAAGCTCGAGTGCGGTTGCCCCGGCAATTGTCATTTGTGTGCTCCAACGTCGCTTGAATCGCCACAACACCCTCCGGTGCATCACGACCACCGTGACGATGACTCGGTCGTGATGGCAGCGTTTGAGATGGTGGGATGCTACCCACAGAGGGTACCAGCGGAAGGTGACGAGGCGATGTTGGCGCTTAGAATTTTTGGCATCAGGTCATTAGCATGTGCTATGTCTCATATGTTGCCGGATCCAGCTGTAATGCGTCGTTGTCTCCCGGTCTGGGGCTGTGATTGGACCGGTTGGCTTTTCCTTAGTATCGGTACTTAGTCGCGAGATGGGTGGCCCGATCCGACTAGATCTGAGTACTGTGCCCTTTCACACGGATGCAAGTCGTTGGGGACCTGCATCTGTGATCCGGGGCCGTCAAATAATGGATGTGATTTGCTGTAAAATAATTTGGGTGTCGCCAATGGTGACGGATGGACAGCTGCCACCATCCTTGCCCATCCCTCCCCGATGTGAGACTTGGTGTTGACGTGTGAAAGAGAGAATCGATGAAGATGGCCGAGTATGAAGCTGTTGCGGGGTCTTATAGAGGGTAGAGAGCGCCGCCTGAATCTTCAGAAATCACTGATCAAGCGAGTCCCCTTCATCTTCATCAAGTTGACACAAACACAACCCAGTGCCCCTCCCGAAGCGAGTTGTGTGAATATGCAATGGACCGTCACGACTATCATACCGCTCGTCAGCGTCATCCTCACAGCCGTAATCGCGCCACTAGGCTGGGTGATACAGCGATATTGGAACACCAAAAGTGAGTCGAGCCCTTCATGCCTATTGGTGCCGGATCCTAATTCCGCGCTTTAAGGCAACCGCACAAGGTGTGAACATGACGAGTTTGAACTGATACACGGCTACGAGATAATCCAGCGGAGGCGCCGGCCAAATTATGGCAGAGGATGGCCGGTTTGAGGAGACACTCGAGGTCGTCAGCACGGTACTCAACTCCACGGGCTCCGACGGCGCAAAAAATTTCAAAATCCCGGTGTGACGAGAGACACGAGATGGTAGGGCCAAGAGATCGTGGCCGAGTGACTGCGGTATGCATGAGGGAGTTGTCATAGTTTCACGTGGCTTTTCATTGGGTGCATTTTGGTCGCGGCTCGCGTCCTGATATTTTGGCATTAGATCAAGAGTGAATAGAAAAGACACAGACAGACCGCAAGGTCGTTGGGAGGGCACCAGACAGGTAATCCGGGCGAGGAGCAGTCGAAGCGGCCAAGGGGCCAGGGTTCATTCTTATGCATTTTCAATTCAAGTTCCATAACTCTGCTCGTTCAAGGGTCCTCTGTCGTGCCTCTCGATGACGCCGTCCTTCTTGGACACAGACAAGTCAGGAAGCCAGTGTGACTTAGTTTCAATATACTGCTCCTTGTTGGGCTTCCACCACTCAGTCCCGTTGTCCAGAGTGCCACTCAGGACAGCAACGATCTCGTCTACAGCAGGTGTGGTGATGTGCGTCGGACTGCCGCAATCGCCGCAAAAGTTTCGGTACAGAGGCTGGCCGGAGTCGGTATGTGTGTCCTGGAAGGTCTTTGGTGTACCTGAGATCAGGGTGAAGAGATGTTTTGGGAAGATGCTCGAGTTGACCATGTGCGTGCCGCTTGATTTCTTGCAGTTGAAGCAGTGACACATTACGTTGTATATGGACTCATTGGCGGCAAGTCTGTACCGGATCTTGCCGCAGAGGCAGCCGCCCTCTAGTGTGTGGTGCTCAGGCATGGCCAGATAACCTGAGACCCAAAGTTGAAAGGAGCACACTTAGAATTAATAGACAAATTGGTGTCGCCAGGCTGGAAACAGTTGGAGATCTGAAGCACCACTCTTCAACAGGGAATGACGTCCGCTGTGGGACTGTGAAGCTCCCCCGCAATTCACCCTGGACATATTGTCCGTGAAGGTGGGGCTCCTGTGCAGGGGAGTTCGGAAGCAACCGAGCTCAACTTTCAGCTCCAAAACTTTTTTTTGCTGTGTTTGCGGATGGTCGACTGTTCACGACGCCACTGTCCACCAACATCGACGGCGTGAATCATGGCGACACACTCCTTAATCGAGCCCAATTCATGGGTCACATTGCGGTTGCCCAATGGAACCAACCGTCTGCTGCAGATCACTCCCAATATGTACGGTCTTGTTCTTCACGGAGCTACTCCATTCTCAGTCTCAGACCTTTTCATAAATGCTGACAGTCTGCCTCGACGGGTACAGGATGATCTCGCTTGGCAGATATGGCTCTTTCCACAGCAATCTACTCATACACCGTCCTTACCACCTCACATATGAGCTCAACGATAAGAATGCCACAAGCGACACCTTCACACGGCTGCGCGTCGTTCCCGCCTCCGAGCTTCACGCCGATGTCCTTGCAGAAGAAGAGGCAGCAGGTTCATCGCCGTCTCGCCAGGACAGCGCTGTCCCAGAGGAGGCCATAATATCTGCCGTCGATGGCATCGAGTACAGCCTGGTTGACAACGAGACTGGCGCCGTGGTGGTGCGGTCCAACCGTGAGATCATCGACGACAACGCGCGGCAGACTTTGACGTGGCAGGAGATTGAGGCCCTGAAACGCGATGGTACCGATTCCGGCAAGGAATTGATTGCGAAGCTCATGCTGTCGCATACGGGCATGGACCAGAAGACAACATTCAGTATGGCCAAGTACAAGCTGCTGAAGGAGAAGAAGTTCTTGCGCAGATTCACGGTACTGCCGCTGGATGTGAGCAATTTTGGGAGCTATGCTCTGCATGAAAGGGACTCAAATAAGATTATGGAGATGAGGGAGGAGATGGTCGGCCTCTTGGGCTGCTGGGCCAATGTCCACTTTAGTGGAGTGGACCAGGTTGAGCTTGGTGATGCGCCACAGACGCCAGCGAAGACGGAGCAGGAAGAGATGGAGGAGATCAAGAAGCCGAAACAACCAGAGGGAACAAGATACCTCGTAGTGGATGACACGGGTGGCTTCCTGGTCGCTGCGCTGGCCGAGAGGATGGGGGTCCTGTACCCAAAAACGACCGAAGAGAAGGAGGCGAACGGATTACTACAGACGAGCGACGGTGCTCCGACCCCCGCTGCCGCACCCGTGAAGTCCGAAATTGAAGACAGTGCGATGTCGAACACACAGGAGGCACCTCCACCGGAGATGGCACCCTCTGTCAAACGAGACCATGATGGGAACCCAAAGGACGATCGACCCAAATCTTCCGATGGCGCAGAGAAGCCCAAGAAGCGCCCAATACAGCGAAAACCCGACTTTCATATCCCCTTCGCCACCACAAACACCATGACCCTGGTTCACACCAATGGGCAGCCAAATCTTACAGCCCTCAATTACTGGGGCTACGATAGCACAAACCCAAGTCACCCTCCCCATCCTCTCCTTAACCACCTACTGTCACTCAGCTGGCTCCAACTCATCGAGCCCGAGGCCGACAGCGTCTACGCAACCGAGCCTGGCATCAAGACTGCCGAGGAGGTAGCGTCGTGGAAACCCAACCGGCGAGGGAACTACCACCGCAAGCGAAGAAGATGGGCGCGCACGCGGTACATCGCCGACTCGGCGCGTGCAGGCGGCTTCAGCGGACTCGTGGTGGCCAGCGTCATGGACCCGATCTCGGTGCTCCGGCCACTGCTGCCGCTCGTGGCCAGCGGGGCGCCGGTCGCCATCTACAGCCCGCACGTGGAGCCGCTGGCGCAGCTGGCCGACTGCTTCAGCGTGGCGCGGCGGGCGGCCTTCATGGCGCAGGACGTCGCGGGGAATAGGACGGCCGACGAGCTGGAGCGGTGGGCGGGCACGGACGATTTCCCGCTCAATCCGGCGCTGCTGCTTGGCGTGCAGGTGCACACGAGCCGCGGCAGGAGGTGGCAGGTCCTGCCCGGGCGGACGCACCCCGTCATGACGGCCAAGGGCGGCGCCGAGGGCTACGTGCTCACGGCCTGGAAGGCCAAGCCCGCAGAGGGCAAGATCGCGGCACGGGGCAAGTTCCAGAAGAAGGGGAGGTCCGCGGGCATCGGCACGGCCGAGGGCACGCCTGCTGCTGAGACGGCGGCGGCGACGCCTGCGAGTGCGGATGCCTAGGCAGCCGAGATGGCCCTGGGATGTATTCTTAAGAAGTAGCTTGCTTGGTGCTAGTGCTGTCGGGATCCGACGACGAGATAGGTACATATTTCATGGAATGAATGATACCCCCGGGTTGTTTTGTTTGGACACCGAGTCGGCGGGACTCCTGCCCTGGCAAGTAGTCTAGACAATGCGATATAATTCAGATCGGCCTCTCCCGTATCATTGGCCGGTAGCTAATTTTCTCCCCGATGTCTTCTAGACAGTTGCTTTGGCTGCGATGGCCTCTCTCAACCGCGAGACCTGATTGAATTTGGTTGCTCGTTTCACCGCAAGGCAAGCACGCGGTGTAGTTTCAAAGTGCTCCTCTCAAAACCTCGCTCCCGCTCAATATTCCCCAACGTTGATCCACCTCACAGCGACTTGCCCATGAACTTCCTCTTGTTGAAGCTCAACCACCACTTGCTGGGCTTGTCGTCCTGATCGGCGTAGACGCGCGCCAGTAACCTCGTGGCCAGCTCCTGGCGCACCTGGGACATATACTGCTTGAGCTGCTCGGCGTCTTGCCTGTCTCGTGGGGGCTCGTACATCTACAGGAGTCATGTCAGCTTCAGTCTCCCTCACCTTACTTTGCCCTCCTCTCCCCTTGACTCGCCGTCTCAGGGCCAAGGTAGGGATCGATTGACGTGAGGGGTCGCAACGCACCTGGTTCAATGGCCAGCCCGGGTCGCCGGGGATGGCGAACTGCAGGTCGAGGGCCAGGTTCATGACATCCTTGGTGGCGGTCCTGACGTCGGCGGTGGGCTTGATCTTGGTGAGGCAGTCGCTGACGAACCAGATGCCGTAGACGAGCAGGCGATCGGCGTAGCCCTGCAGCTCGAAGTTGCGAAAGAAGGTGTTTGCGCGGAAGAGGGCGAGGACCTCGTCGAGGATGTCGTAACTCTCGGACTCGGCGTCGGGCGACTCGTGGGCGGGCAGGGGCGGGTTGGGGAAGGGCAACGTGTAGGCTGGCCCGCGGGTCTTTGTGCGCAGGGGCAGCAGCGGGAAGTTCCCGATCAGCCGCGGCTCGTTGGGGTCGGCGTTGAAGATGGAGTTGTAGGCCTGAGATGGGGCGAGGGAGGTTAGCTTGGTGTCTGGCTGAGAAGTGGACAAGGGGAGGACATATCAGGAGCTGTCCCATGTGCAGGCATTGGACAGGGGAGGGCAGGACAGGACATGAGCAGGTGTGTGTACGAATTGGGGAGCTATAGGCGGATGCTTACAGGCATTGTGACTGATGCACCGCCAGGCAGGATGTTGGTGGTGTGGATGAGGTTGGCGTTGGGATAGTATGGTCTGGTGGGCGAGCGTGTGAAGCTGTGGAGGGGTTGGATGCCTTGATGCTGGATGCTGGATGCTCCTGCGTATCTGCTGTGCCCCTGACACACCAAGCAGTTGACTGACGACTGAACGACTGACGTCTCTCCTGGGCAAGCCAGGCCGGAGAATACGCTAGCCGTTTTGAGCCCGTGGTGGGGGCCAGAGGGAGTACTGTGGTGAACCGATCTGAGTCAGCGGGCGACGGTTAGGCTCGGAGCTGGATGAGCCACACTGAGTCGGAGGTTATCTGCTGGAGCTGCTTGGTGGCTGTGACACCACAACACACGCTCTGCTAACTGCCGGGTCGCGCTCTGAGGACAGTAGGGGATAATGCAGGAGGCTGGTGCCTGTGGTCATGTGAGTTAGCGTCAAGGTCGTGAATGGGCGGAGTCAGGCAGGCCGTGTAGGACCAGGGGGCGACATGCAAAAGTGGGGTGGCAAGTCGCACCTCCAGAGGCGTTGGCCGCGTGTCCATTGGCTGCAGGGCTGGTTGTGTGCTGTCAGCGCGTCACTCCCGTTTCCGTCCAAGGTTCCAAGGTTGTTGTCCTCCCTGCCATGATCCATCCTGGCCCATCCTGTCCGTCCCCTCCTCATCCTTTTTGAATGGACGGCACGGCTCTGGCATCGGCGTCCTCCTCAAAGCAAGCAAGGGCAAGAAAGCAGGTTCTGCTTATTATTATAATTGCCTACCTGGGCTGACCTGGCCTAGACCAGACTTCCCGTTGCTGAAATAAAGGGCAGCGCGACCCCCTGGCCACCACTCTGTCGCCTGGTTTTCTTTACGCGACCCGTCTCAAGCCCCATCCGCGACCATCAACGCACCACCATTCTACTCTCACACATCTGGGCACTCTTGACTGCCTGCATCTTTACTGCCTCCTTTTCATCACCGACGCGTCGCAATTTCCTGCATCTTTTACAAAGAGCCAGAGAGCTGCACCTGCATACCTGCAATGTGCAGGGGGCCCCACTTTTGGGTGCAGCTTTGACAACTTGATCGCCTTGCCCAAAAGCAATTATTCACCCCTTCACCCTGCACCTGCACACGCCCTGCAAGGGACCACTGTTGCCATCCTGGGGCTCCTCCTCCTCCTCCTCAATCGGCGGTGCCAGACCCTGCCAAATTGATCCCGAACCGGCCTGATCTGTTGTCGGGAGACTCACCTCGATGCAGCAATTATTAGAGTAAGTCAAAGATCCCTTGCGCCCGTTCAATATGACCCTACCGTCGTCTTTGTCGCGGCCCACTCTGGCTGGTCACAAAGATCTCGGCATGCCAAAACAAACCCCAGGTCGCCCCACATTGCGCGCAGCTTTCCCACCATGACTTGTCCCTCTTGCTAACGCGACGCGCCTAGGTCCTTACTCAATCGCAGTCCTCTTCTTGGCCAGCTGCTCAGCTTTGTTGATATGGCTGGCTTCACCAAACTCAAGATTGCGCCCAGGACACCACCCCCGTCCCAGGGCGGCGGCGGCGGCGACTACGACTCAGTGCCCCCAGATGACCACTGCTCCGCCGTCGCTGGCCACAAATTACCAGCAGCTCCCATCTCGCCTCCTGAAAACACAAGACCCAGGAAGCGAAGACGCGTAAATCGCATCACCCGGCCCGAGCCGGGTTCCCTGTACGACATCCTTCACGAGAACCAGGGAGAGTCTCTCTTCATCATCCCAATATGCTGGCAAGACCAGCACGCCCGCCTCCTCGGCGTCCAATGGAGCCACCGCGCCACCGTCCGCAGACCAGTCCCTGATTTCAACTCCATGTCTTTCAAGTACCCCCCACGTCCGACACAGGTCGCTACCGACCTGAGCAGAGACCTCACCACCATCCTGACTGCAGATCCCAGCCCGCTCCAGCTGGCCGCACTCAAGAGCGTCATGTCAACGATGTTTCCCGCCACGCTGTCGAGGGCAAGGTCGGAAATGAATCTCGAGATCCGCTTCGGGGACCAAGTTTTGAAACGCGGTGTGCGAGTCCCTCTCATGTGGAAGCAGTACGAGCAGAATAGCCGCTCATTCGACAGCGCTTCTACCAAGCTTGCAGAATCCTACGGCCGCATACCTAGCAGCAGCCGGCAGTCCTTTGCAAGCCAAGACACCGACTGGAGGAGCAGTGGTTCTCAGTCGTGGTCAGACCAGCCGGTGCTAGCCTTCATCAACAGGACTCATCTGCACCAAGTGCGCAGCAATCTGTACCGTGTTGCGCCCGGCCCAAATAACAGCGCCAACGTCCCGGTCGACAACCTTCAGAAGCTACGATGCAAGCGGCTCGTCCCACAAAATGCCGACCAAGATTCCTATCTCGTCGCTATCATGCTGGCTATTGCGCAGTGGCAGTGCTATCCCCAGCGCAGGTACTCTTCCAGATGGTCGTCACAAAACTCATCCCAGGCATCTCGGGCTGGCCATGAGACATCCTTACCTCAGCCCGAATTTCGGGACATCCCGGTCAAGATCATCACACAAGACCACGACGCGGCCGAGTTTGTCATCTACAGCGCAGTCGTCACCGCAGCGTTTCTACAACGTTTTGCCTTCCCCTCAAAAGCTCCCCATGTCACGGACACGCAAGATGGTGGCTTGAAGATCGAGGTCACCAGGGTACAGATTTGGCCCGTTCTCGGTCTGAAGGAGCGACTCGCCAAGGCCCTCGGCCCTCAAATTGCCGGTGACTTGGCCTCTCACGAAACGTCGGGCACCGACATCGAGACATGGGAGACGGAGCAGGAGCGTGCCTTCCGCCTCGGCAACCTCAAGAGGAAGAGGGAGGCACTTTCCGAAGTATTCAACAAAAGCTTCGAATCTACCGAGGGAGGCTCGCCTCTTCCCGTCGGCCTGGAGACAGGGCTGGGTATTACGGTCGCCTCACCCCCAGTTTCGCCGAGAACGCCCAAGCGGAGACGTACGCAGTCAAATACGCAACTGGAGGTCTGCTAGTCTCAAGCATCATCTTGCTCAACGACACCTCCGCGATGCTTTCGCGAAGGCTGCAGGTGCCAGTCCTCACCGGCGTGTAGTCCGGGGATCAAGGATGAGCAGGACAATTAGGGTCAGGCCTATGCAAGGCCACCGTAGGGGACCTGTCTCTTTTTTACTCCTTGCGGAATTATGCTGGTTCTATTCATGCACCAATAATTTTCATGTTGGATCGTCCAGATTTGAAATATAACACAAGGGCGGGCCTGTCCTTGTGTTCGGATTGCGAGGAATTGGACCAAGATGGAGCGGAACTTTGATATTTCATGCAGCAACTCTTTTGGCTGCACCTTGGTCAAGAAAGGTCATGGGCTCAAGGATACCTGGCTCGCTTGAGCCTCCTCTGGCGCACAGGAGAACGGTAAATTCGCATTAGACATTAACTGTCTGGCTGGCGTTAGGTGACATGAAGACAAGATAGGCACATTCAATACAACATTATACCATTCTGAGTGAAACATACTTTGATATTCTCTCAAGCTAACAGCTGCCTGCATCTCGACACTGCGTGCAAACAAATCCTGAGGTCGGCTTGTGCAAGAAAACTTTAAGATGTAGTTTTTGAGAGACGTGGGTTGACTAGAGCAAGCCGCTCATTCAAAACAAATGAGGTGTTCGTTCTAGGCCATTTTGCCCGGACGATAATAGAGATCAAAAGTCTGCCCATGTTCAATCTCAAACATTAACCAACTCTCTCAACTTCAAATGCAAGCCGCCTTGTGGTCGAACAATCCCATTTCCGCCTCGCCTCCGAGATCCCCAGGCCCGCATCCAGAAATGGCCTGCACTCGAATTTCAACCCCGTCCGCTCAGATATCTCGGTCCACATCTTCTTGAAAGTGTCCTCGTCATGAACGAACATCTTGCCCCCGGGCCTCAACTGCCCTTTCAGGTCTCCCAAGGTCTGCCCCAGGATCATCGACCCGGGCGGCTCAGCCTTGAGCAGCTTGACCAAGTTCTCCAGCAGCTCCCGCTGCTTCTCCCAGTTGAAGAGGTGCAGCACCATGCCGATGTGGATGAAATCCACCGTGCCCACCAGCTTCCCCAGGGGGCTGTCCCCGCCCAGGTTGAAAACATCCGCCCGCATCAGCGTCGCCTGGAGGGTGTCCTTATCCCGGAAGAGGTCGTAGCCGAGCTCCACAAAGCCCTCCTCCAGTTCCGCGCCGTACAGGTTCCCGCTCGGCGCGCCGTCGTGCACCAGCTTGCGGATGTCCTGGCCCACGCAGCACCCGATGTCCAGGTACCGCGCCCCGGCCTTGAGGCCGTCCAGCACCCGCGGGTACGAGGGCTTCTTGCGCAGGCTCAGGCTGAGGAAGCGGTACTGCCCTATGCATGGGTAGGGGTGCACCTCCCAGGCTTTATCGCGCTGTGTTTGCGGGTCAGTCAGTTGTTGGCCGCACGGGCACAAGCCCCGGCGGTGAGGTCGGGGCGGGGTTGAGAGTATCGTACCATGCCGACAACATATTTGTCGACCTCGTCGGGCGGAACATGAGAATACTTCTCGAGCAGCTCGCGGGCCTCGGGCTCGATACCGGGGAAGTCTTTGTCGTACCAGCCTACGGTCTTGTCCCGTGTGCCGACCGTGCGGTAGACAACTGGGTTCGACTCGTCCATTGTCTTGTTACTTCTACTTTTTGGTATCTACTTTCTGTAGAACGTGAAATAAGAAAGCCAAGAACGGGGCTCTCTGCTATGCTCAATATAGACTTCTACAACTGCCGAATAAGCCTTGAACTATTATCCTTTACTCGCCTGTCATTGATGGAAAACGGGTAAGACGGCTGCGGACGCCCTGCGATGACGCATCGGAGTTCGTTTAGTGGTTTCAAACACGCCCTTCGGCAACGTTCATCTGATCATTAGCCTACCTTGCATATACGTGACTGGATAGCAACAGGGGGAAGGGAATCTTACGCACATCTAGTCGGCTTGTACAGTTTGTTCACTTCGAATTGAATGTAACCATGGATTCCGGGAGAAGAGGCTCGTTGCAGACCTTATCCCACTTAAATAAGTTCAGATTTCAATTAGCGATACCGTCACGCACCAGCTATCCAACATGCCATTGACAGACAATGTGTGTACAATCGTGAATGCTACTGCATAAACTTTACCTGGAAGAAATAAGTTTCACAGGAGATGAAAGTAGTGGACCGTCCACGTTGCTACCAAATGATCAATACAACATGACTCCAAGCTCCTCATTATCCCTCGTTCCGATTGCCTTTCTGAACAAAACTTGTTGGTGGTTCAACTCCATTGGAGTGCCCCTCCGGTACGCCCTCATGGACTATCATCTCGCGCTTTTGAGCCTCGTACACAGCTTTGGCGGACTCCGTAGTCCTCATGTATGCAACACGACCTTTGGTGAACCAGAAACCGATGGAGACGACCAGCATAACCGCGAACACCGCGATTGCATAATTCATATCAGCGGGGGCCGGATCCGGCTCACCGGGGAAGAAGAAAAACACAGTCGTAATGGCACAGTATATGACTGAGGTCCAGTTTATCAGGGGACCAAGAGATCCCAGGCGGAAGCCACCAGGCGGGAGCCTCTCGCGCCCGGCAATCATGAGGGTCAAGATCGGCAGGGCGTATGAGACCGTGAGGGCGATGGTCGCCGTGCTAATGATGGCTTCCAGCACAGTATTTGCGAATAGATATAAGACACCAACAAGGGCAACAATGACCCCTTGCAGCACGATAGCTCTCGCTGGAACTTTCCAAACGGGGTCGACCTTTGCGAAGTACATGCTGAATGGTATCCCGCCATCTCTGGCGAAACCCCAGGTCAGGCGCGACCCGGTGGTGAAGACACTGATTCCTTGGCCAAGGCCGTTGAAGATGAAGAGAGCCAACAACACAGCGCCCCCCTGCAGACCAATCGCATCTTGGACCAGTTGCATGAAGGGCACGTCGGAATTGAGGACTGCGTCCAAGTCCTGGATGCAAAACAGACAGACAAGCATAAAGATGAATCCGCTGATGGCGCCGGTGACGACGGCGAGCCACATGGCTTTTGGCGCGTTGTGTCGTGGTGCTGGGATCTCCTCGACCATGTGGATGACTGAATCGAAGGCTGTGAGGCCGTACGCAGCCTGGAGCAAGCCCGTGAACCACTACGGAATTAATGTCAGCAGGGTTTCTAAGACATCGCAGAGGGGCGTCCTGCCCGAGAAGGACAGAATGAACAGCTATCGAGATTTGCTCACCGTGACCCCATCACTCCAACCCGTCTGGTTGATCCAAGTCGCAAACACGAATCGCCCAGGCTGGAAATCGAGACCTGGCCTGGTGCCCACGGAAATCAGGAGAGCCAGGCTGAGCACCACAAAGAGGCCCACAAAGCCGATGCCCACAAAATCGTTGAACAGCGGCAGAACCTTGTCCTTTCTACACGCAATCAAATTGAACACAGTGAAGAGGGCGTTCACGCCGAGATACACCAGGAACTGCACCCATCCGCTGCTGGCGCCCGTCCACTCCGGGTCAAACATGGTCTTCATACCGAGCAGGAAGCTGGTCATGAACGCAGTCTGCGACGCTGTGAGCGTCCACCACCCGAACGTGTTAATCCAGGCGCAGAGGTACGAGGTGAACCTCCCTGCTGGCGTATCCCAGAGCCGAAGAACCCAGTAGGCCTGTCCCAGCGCCGTGGGCATGCTGCTGCAGAGCTCTCCCAGGGAGACGACGACGCATACGTTGCAGATGGTCACGAGGCAGAGACCCCAGAGGATGCTGATGGGGCCTCCGTTGGTCAGGCCGCTGGCGAGATCCTGCACAGGGACAGCTCGAATTAGCACTGCCTTTTTGGTGATTTCGGCATGTCTCCATAGTTGTATAAACAATTCTTTGCCATTTTTTGGGGACACTCATAGAAGGGAGCGTGCGCTCACCTGCGCAAATGTCGACCATGTTCCCAACACGCAGAATGCTAGTGCCAAGATACTCCAGATATCAAACTTCCGAGTGAGGCTTTGGTCATGGCCCAGAGCTGCTAGATCGCAAGCATCGACTACGTCCTGGTCGACGGCCTCGGCGGGCGCCTGCACCGCGGTCTCCTCCAGCGGTTGATGCTTGCTCGAATCCATGATGGGGTCGCAATGAAGGGCTGAAAATACAGGGCCACTACAACATTATGTCTCTCACCATCTGGATACCGGTACTTGATGTTGTAGTAACAACAGATCCACAAACCGTGTTTCACCAAGATGATAGAGCATTTAGCCGCAACTACATATTATTCGATCCAAGACCAACGTCATTAAGCTCTTCATTGCGAGGGCCCTGATAACGGCTGCGGCATTTCAGGAACCTATCCGTTCGCTTTGCCGGGAAGTTACTGTAGTGTTGCATCCAGATCCTGAGAGGGGAGGAGCACGCGGACCATATCCTTGCTCGCCTAGCATCAATCCAAACCGTCTACGACAAGTACAAGCGAAGGCTAGCGCCGAGCTTGCTTCACCTTATCAAGTCTAGACAGATAAGATGTTTACGTCAAGTCTTGCAGTAAAGCGATACTTTTTGTTTGAATAGCGAGTCTCCAGTGCTGTAGTCTCAGGTTCGCCGGCGGTGCCACCAGCATGTCGATAAGCCGTCTGGCTCGGCTCCAATCTGGACTTGCGGAGTCGGAGAAAGGGAGTGTCTAGACGCCCCACAGCCTTCAAGTTTAGACACCCTGACACCCTGACACCCTGACACCCTGACACCCTGACACCCTGACACCCCAGGCCATGATCTTGAGCTTGCAGGGATCCCAAAGGATTGCCAGGCACCCAAGACGTGGAAAAGGACTGACAAAAAAAAGCTTATCTAGACGGAATCATACTGGTCATCTTACACAATACAGATGATTGTACCACAGAAGGTACGCACAAAGGAGCCATTTTATTATGGGAGAAAATCTCAATAAAGCGTGCACTTCGCTGCTCAAGGCATGCCTCAATGTTTGGCATCCTTGCGCGATGTACTCTATCTCAATCAGGCTGAGGCTTTTGGTTCTGGGCAGATCTGGTGCACGCAAATGGCAAGTCTCCGGAAGGCATTTGATAATGGAAGACAGAGGTGTGGACGACTACTAGTTACCTCCTCACCTATTCTTGAGCCTTGTTACGTTGCGAGGATTTTCTGAGGCAGCGGAAGAGACATAGAACTGCAGTCGGCAGGATAGCTTTTCACGTGAGGCTTAGATTGGCGTGAGCTGCAAAAAGCTGCGAAATCGACTTGCGAGTCGTCCTCTTAGCACTGATGCATGCGAGAACACAGTAGTAATATTGGTGACCTTCTCCGGATCAAAAGTATTCACCTATTTAGACGCGATTGATCAGAAGGAGAAAGCCCAGAAGCATATGCAGATCTCTGGTGTGCTAGCAGAGCGTATTCAGGTGTATTTCGACATAGTTTGGTTCTGAGACGTTGCCACTCCTTTACATGTAGATTTCACCGATCGCCTTAGACAGATTGAGCATCCGAAGACTCTTGAATTTCTGTGTTCAGAGTACTGGGAACCTTGGAAACTGCTGTGCTTTTTTTCATCGGCTGCTCCTAGCGCATGTTGAAATAGTGTTGTTTATTTCGAGGAGCTGAATTATAGATTGCTTCGTATTAGCATCATCACGAGCCCTCCGCCCCAAAGAAAAACTTGCTGCTTACATGCCTGACTGCCTACTGCGAGAGCGGTAAACCAATGCAGTGGTGAGTAAACACGATGCACAATCAAAATTAGTTGCTGACACACCTCAAATCTTTTGAAACTAACTGCAATTTTACTAAGGCCCGAATAGCTTCATATTGATATCACATGAACGGTAGCTGGCGTATCTGCTGCATTCAAGATTTGACTCTTGAGGTGCAATGGAGGGCCGTCTGAAAACCTAGTCACATCTGTAAGCGGCTAGTACGAGCAGTAACTCGGGGGCCTACGCTCCTTCGCGCCGTATTCTAACTGCAACATCGTATCCTACATATCCATCGCCGTGTGACTCAGCGTGGTGAAGTGGTTCGACGTCGATTAAGTATGATCTGGCGCACTATAAAGCCTACTTAATTAGCGACCGACAAGAAGAGCGGATGCGCCCACGATCCACCTCATCTTTGATCCGCACATCTCTCTCGCCATGAAGAACACTCTGCGCAGCCTCTTCGGGCGTAAGCCCAAGAACCAGGCAACGAACAAAAATCTGGAATCCAACCAAACACCAGCCGTTGTTACAAAACCTGAGTCCGGACCCCGACAATTTGTTGCCCCGGATCCATTCGAGTCGGAAGCGCAGTTCCAAGCAGTCAAGGACCACGTTCAGAGCCTAGCAGCAACGAACCCGGAGCATTTCGCCATGATCTCTCGTGCAGCAAGCTTCAGGACCGCGGAATTCTGGATGATGCAGAACTTCTCAGATGCACAGGTCGTAAACTCGGGATGTTTCCCTGGTGATATCAGCACGCTGGGCGAGAATGTACGGCCCGAGGACACGCAGTTCTTCGTCGCGATAGATCCTGGCAATCCGAGGAAATTCATTGCTGTGAATTTGGTGGTGTTCAACTCGGCATTCATGATGCCGGGGAGCGGAGACGCTCTGGAGACGTCGGAAATGAAGGCTGCGGAGGAAGGGCTGCTGAAAATGTTGAGGGAATGGCACAAAGATGGGATGAGCGATGGGTTTCTTGTGATTTTGTCTATGGGGATGGATTTGGAAATTTGGAATTTCTCGGGAAAGGACGGACTCGTTGATATTCCTGAGGGAATTGATATCGTGGCGAAGAAGGTAACGGAGGATTGAGTAGTTGGCTCAGAGCTCATCACTGAGGTCAGTGTATTGGTCGCACAATTTGAGCAAGGACAGACCAGCTGTGCATAAGGCGGCGTAATTAATACCCAGGACAATGCATGCCTTTTTTTTTGGAGCGAAAGCATTTCAAGAGCCTAGATGGGAGCGATTTACAGCATTTGGAAGGGATCAGAACCATCGCGATGTTGTGTCACAAGACGGGCAACAAGATATACCTATACCTCATATTCGTTGTGCATACCAATCGTGATAGATTTGGCAGACGCGTCCTTATGCGTACAACACAACCAAGGTCGAGAGCCTTTTGTAGATCCACAAGCCAAGGACTTCTTCACATACACTATTGCAACAACACCGCCACATTCTCGGAATTTGCAACATGTCATTGCGAAGACCACTGTGGCTTCCCTGCATAGAAGGTTATCCAACAGAAGAGTGATATACAAAGAGGCTATCCCAAGGAAGGTTATTCCAAGAGAGGTTGTCCCACGAGACGTCAGTATATAAAAAATTGTTCGATAGCTGGTTGTCGAATAGGTCCCTAAATCTTTTTTTTTTAAGAAAAAAGACAACATTCATTCCAGAGATGCTATGGCTGCGATGCGGACACCCGAGCTCAAACTTGTGATAGATTATTGTGCAGATTGCATCTAAGCGTGATGTATCTTATGCAAGCTAATAAGCCTGTATTTAGGACAGCTTCTCGATTATATCAAAATCTACACCGTATTATAGCAGTTACATACCCAGAAATACGAGTAAATGCCAAAACTCTGAACCACAACCGCGTTAAAGGCGGCAATCTATTTGTGGCCGGATACTCGGCCCAGGGAATGTACTCTTGAACTTGGAGTGCGCCCTGCATCTTCTCCTCCAAGGCTTTGGGCTCATTTAGATGCCAGCCGTGATTATAAGTCATCTTACCAAACAGAGGAAGGACACTATTCACCGCCCATACTGGAAATGATCCTAACACATCAAAAACGATCTCGCCGCCGTATTGGAAGTGCTGGGTGAGCTGCTTGAAGTTGGCGATATTCTCGGCTTCGGACAGGTACATGGACAAGCCCTCCATGATAATGAGTACGGGGCGGTCGCCAGGTATCTTCAGGTCAGTAAGCCAGCCTTCACTGTACTCATTTGGGCCTGTCAGACGGTATTCGCCTTCTCCAGGATTGACCGGATCAACTGTTCGTGGTCTGTATTAGTAATAGACTTTCTTCTGAAATGTCAAGACAGATGGCTACTCACTCAGTTGTTTCCGCAATTCTACAACATCTTCTTGGTCTACATCAACCCACAGCTTTCCCTCACCCTGCCACTTTACGCGCATGCTCCTCGAGTCCAACGCAGAGGCTAGATGCAATATGATCGCATTCTTCGGGTGCGCCTTGAGGAAATCTTCTGTGATCTAGAGCAACCAAATGTCAGTTTTTGGCTTTTGTGAAAAACAAGACAACATCAAAGGACGACCGCGGGGAGGGAAGAGGGATGGGAAAAGCCGCTCCATCAAAGTCAGCGGCTCAAAACCCAACTCTGGGGGTTGTGGCACGAGCTTACCATGTCAATAGATCTTGACCTGACGGACACCACTCGGGTCAGGAATGCCCAGATCGATCCGAGTGCACTACTCCGAAACTTGAAGCCAGTGTCCTTGACCCGGGAAATAGTCTTCAAGGCATGGTGATCATCTAGAATGGGATTCAAGGACACGGCATCTGTCGCACGTGCCAGCAATGTCCACAGCAGGGTCTCAAACCCGCCGATGAGGTTGATGACAGTTCCATTGGCCGTTGAGTAGCTGGAAGTGGCAGCACCATTGGGGCGTGACGAGTTGACGTCTGATGAAGCCATTTCACTGCTTCAAAATCTAGAAACTCGTTGCTGAGGATTCGCTTGGAAGAATCTTTTGGAAAGGATCAATAGGTAAGCTTATAGATCCCACAATCCTACAGCCGACGTAATACTTATTTAAGTACGAGAGGGCACAACTTAATCATGGGCTAGATTAGATTATGTTGAAAAAGAAAAGAAAATGCGATGTGCAATTCAGCTTGACCTATCTAGCAAAGAGCGATGCGTATGATATAAATCATTTATGGAGAAATACACTATTTATATAAACATAATTGATTAGGTCAATAAAATGTGTCAATATTACCATTATGGGGAAGGAGTGATATTGTACTTGGATAATAGGAATCGTACTTTCAAATGTGATTCTGCAACTACTGTGTGGAGCGTCGGCCCTGGTTAGAAAGGTGTAAACCTTACTCTGGATAGAGTTCAGAAGTGGATTAGGTCCAGGTCCTCCCGGGTGCCAAGCCACGAATCGACTCAGTACTCATGATGGATACCGAAAGTGGACACACACGAACGGTCAAGCCGCTTCTCAGCTCTCGTCTCAGGGTCTGCGGGTTCTAAAATGATCCCGACGGTATAGGGGATCCCATGTCCTTAACACGGAGTCGGTGGCGTGACATCTGATCATTACCTAGGTACTATTGGTGTCACGGCCTTAGCAGATAAGATTGTACAAGTTTGGCTCTGTATATTTCTTCGTCGAGCAGTACCTCTTCGGCCTCGTGGAGATGCATTTTCCCTTCTGATTGGAAAACATAGCTCTCCATACTATTGATCTTTGGTATCATGGCGTCCATCTTCGCAGACCGGAAACATCCAAAGACAGGACCTCATCCTTTGTCCCTGCTGGATTTCGCTATATGGGTGTTTGCCGGCTATCAGGTCCTGAGCTGGTTCTTTCTTGATCAAAAATGGCTGCTGTGTTTGATTTTGGCAAGTCTTGCTTACATGGGTGCTGTCTCCTTTTATCGGCTGTATTTGTCACCTCTGCGAAAGATTCCAGGCCCACCTCTAGGTATCATCACTTACTGGTACGAACTGTTTTATGATGTCTGGCCAGGCATCGGACAAGTAGGTCCTGAACGCAAACGTACTTGACAAAAAAAAGGCAGACGCTGATGAAGCCGTTTTCTGCATAGTACACGGAAAAGATTGGCGAGTTACACAACAAGTATGGTCCAATCATTCGCATCAACCCGCATGAAGTACATATCAAAGACCACACATTCTACACGAGTCTTTACGTCGAGCGCGCCAAGAGACGCAGTCACAAGTGGACGTGAGTAACACCCCTTCTATGCCATCTTACTTCAGCCCATATTGACATTAATGTGCCAGATTCACCTCTGCTGGATTTGATCTTTACGGTTCAGTGCTCGTTACTCCGGATCATGACATACATAGTCGATGGCGAGCATCACTCAACCCCTTCTTCGGAAAGTCAACAGTACTAAAGGTCGAATACATCATTCAAGACAAAGTTGAACGTTTATGCAAGCGACTAGAGGAGTGGAAAGGGAAGTCAGCGCCGGTCAACCTCAACTATGCGTTCTCGGCCGTGGCAAATGACATTGTTTCTACTTATTTATTTGCCCGCCCATACGGTACCCTTGATGTCCCTGACTTCGATCCAAACTGGTTCGTCCATTAAGAGCCACCCATCTCCTTGTGTCAGTCAGGACACAGCACTAATTTGGCTTTAGGGAAGACGTCGTCTTGAAATTTGCTGCTACGGCCCATTTAATGAACCACTTCAGCTTCATACAACCGTAAGTCATCAGTGTTGTAATTTGCAAGTTATTTGCGACTACATAAGTTGACACAAACCATCAGGATCGCCAAGCTGCTTCCAAGATCCGTACTCGCCTTGATCGATCCTAGGATGTTGAGAATCTTCGAACGAGAGAAAGTGAGTAGTCTTCAGAGCGCGAACATGTCGAACGACTAAAGTAGCTAATTTCAATGCCTTACGTTCCCAGATGCTGGAGGGGCAAATAAAAGAGATCCTGGATGGCAACAACAAGGATTACATGAAAAATTATGTGAATGGCCACGGAACTATTTTCCACGACATTATCTTCAATTCGAATTTACCGCCACGGGACCTCGAACTAGAGCGACTACGAGACGAGGGCCAGGGCCTTGTTATGGCCGGTACCATAACCACTTCGAGGTCGCTCTACATGATGGCCTATTTCATTCTCGCCAAGCCCGGTGTGCTCCGGAAACTCCGCGACGAGCTCAGGGAACCGATGAAGGACTACCCAGTGGTTAGGCCAAAGTGGACCGAGCTTGAACAGCTACCCTACCTCTCAGCTGTCATTAAAGAAGGCTTAAGGTTAGCTCGACTCCTGCTTTCACCCGATTGAGTTATTATGATTTCAATTGGACAACGCGCTAATGCACAAAACTGCACCTTTATAGACTCGGCCATGGGTCTTCGCACAGACTGGCTCGAGTCTTTCCTGACTACGACCTCCCATATGGCGACTTGATTATCCCCAGGAATACGCCCATCGGCATGTCAGGCGCATTCATGCAAGAGCACCCGGTGATTTTTGAGAATCCGACAGACTTCGACCCCGAGCGCTGGCTGCGAGCCTCCCCAGAGGAGCTCGTAGAGATGAACAGGTGCAATGTTCCGTTCGGAAAAGGTTCGAGAGGTTGCATGGGCATCAAGTGAGTATTTCTTTTGTACTGACTTGATTTCATCGGTATTTTGACCGAGATGGATTGCTGACATGCTGTTGCACCAACAAAGTCTTGCACATGCCGAACTCTTCAATGTTATCGCGGCGATCTTCCGACCTGGCTGGCTTGAGATGGAGCTTTTCGAAACCACGGAGAAGGACGTGAGGAGAAAGCATGATTTCATGGCTGATCAGCCTGACCTCAACTCTAAGGGAGTCCGAGTATTGATCAAATGAGCTTTGAAAGACCGCTGTATTTAAATTTGCACGACGTACAGGTTTTGCAATAAGCGAAATAGTTTTTGGAGGGAAGGCGTCCCGAAAACCCGAATAGAAAATTATGTCCAGCGCTTCAACCCTACTGATGATACTGTCACAACTATCTGTAACTTCACCTATCTAGCAAGGGTTTTAGAACACTCTGGCTCAACCAAGCCATATTACGCTCCGCCCCAGCTTTAACATATTGAATAGCTGTTTCCGTCCATGGCTCCCTGTCCTCCTCTGTGCAGTCCCATATCTTCGCAGGCATGAAGAGCAGCAGAAATGTCCCAACAGCAACAGCCACTTTGCACACAAAATCCTCATCAATAATAACAGCACCCGCCTTGTCCTTGTACGCCTTCAAAAAGGACGAAAGAAGCCCTCGCTCGCCATGCTTGACCTCTAGGACCATCGCCTCAGCCACCCACAACCGAAGGTCATTGGAAGGCTCACCATAGTGGCAGAACTCCCAGTCCACAATTGTGAGATCGTGCACCGCTGCGTCTCCCTCACCTTCTTTCACCCGCAGTAGTGTGTTCATCGGCCGAAAGTCCCAAGGTGTCAGTGTCTGCACACGGCCGGGCTTTCGCAAGGTCCTTAACACGCCTTCGACCTGCTCTGAGCTATAATCGGTCTTACCCATGGCGGTGCGGATCACGTATTCCTCTCTGTCTCCATACTTGGCTACGTCTTCGTTGTGTAGAGAATCCCAACCATCTTGGTCGTCTATCCCAGCAAGATGTAGACACGCCAGCCAATTCCCCAGATGCGTGCCGATGGCTCCTACGTCCAACGAGGACGAGTACCTTGTCTTATCCTTGTAGGCACTCAATAGGTCTACCTCGCCAGCCCAGCTCATGATGAAGCCGTGTTTAGTCTTGCGCAGTACTCGAGGAACTTGCACTGCCGGCTCTTGACGGCATGCCTCGGCTACTGCCTTTGATCCCAGGGCTTTGATCTCAACTTGCATTCGGTCCGCGGCAACTGGGACCTAAGAACGGCCCTGAATCAGTTATACATTCTGAGAGGGACCAGGACATATTGAGTTTTACCGGAGCCATCTTCGCCATGCTGTCGGCACATTTCATTACAACGGCTTCCCCCTCTTGGTGCCCATTGCTAGAAGCCTCCGCATCCTTCAAGCCGTCGAGTCGCCAGAGGAAGCACGATATACCGCCATTAATTGGTGTTGCCTTGTCACATACAACATCGTTCTGACTTAGGTATCCTTCAAGGGCGACCACCCAGTCTCGTGGGTGGTCCGGGATCTCCTGTGCTCCAAGTTCGAGTGACATGTTTCTTAGTCTGGGGACCGGCGGTGTATTGCGCGCGTATAACACTTTGTTTCAAGGAGATAAGTCTGTATGAGAGGCCGGGGTGTTACGTCCTGTGGATTTGCCTCATGACAACAGTCACGGTCTTATGAACATAGTGTGCCGCGCGGCTTTTCGTGTTATCTCGCATCTTTCCACATTTTAGTCTTTGCCGCTTGCACTCATCTGGCGACGACCCTCTACCGGGAAACAAAAAATGCCGAAATGTCCAGACTTAGGGGTCAGCGATCTGTGGCACCACATTTTACTCGGTGGTGGGCCTGTACGGTCTTGGACGCACATGACCACGCCGAGATGACGTCTCAGCGGCGGGTGGCCTCACCTTTGGCGTTTCTCTATCAGTTTTCTTTCTCTCAAGGGTCAGCACGAGTCAATACAAGAGCCCCTGAATTGTTGTTTCTTCAATGCGGCCAAAGCTTAGCATTTTCCAGTCAGGGTAGAAGTTGTGGCTAGCCGAAAATTCTATATGGCGGATGTCCACTGGCTTATGCAACCACACTGTGTCTCGCATATGAGACCGAACATTGTTTACCCCTGAAGATACCCATAGAGCTTCGGAGTTTTCAATACTTCCGGGCGGACATTCGCATTTGTGTAGATAAAGACCGGAGTAGGCTTTGTCATCTTTGTGTACATGTACTATTTGCCTGTCTGTGTCGTACACAGGGTCCATGGTCCCAAGTAATATAAGAATAGTGCCGAAAGCTTGGCACTATTGCAGCACCCACCTAATCCTTGCCGCTTTCAGGGGTATACGAATTGCCTGGCTTAGTGATCTCAGCCCACACAGACACTGAGGCCTCTGCTGTCAGTTTTGGGAACACCCCACTCCTTGTCGTTGACCGGGAAGATGTCCGACTCATCACAGCCGCTGATAGTTAGGCGAGGACCGCCAGGGCGGAACAAGGTGCCAATGGCGATGTAAAGCTCCGCGCGTGCAAGACTGCGCGAGAAGATATCCTTATTAGCACACACGTAATCTCAACAAGATACAGAGAGTGATGACAGAGCGGATATGGAGGCTTCATACTTCTTTCCCAAGCAGTCACGCGACCCTTTGCTGAATGGCTGCATGTAATCATCCATACGTGGGTCGTACTCGCCAAGCCATCGCTCGGGTCTGAATCTGTTCGGCTCGGGGAATACAGCCGGGTCCACATGCTGCAAAGACAATGACATGGATACCAGTGTCTGATAATGACTTTGGTCAGCCAGTGCGGTGAATACCCCATTTTATAAGGTTTTATAGGTCTTACATTCTTCGGGATCGTATAACCCTTGTACTGTAGTTCCTGGTCGGGCGAAATTCGTCCATTGCGTCTGAAAGTGCGCCCAATTCTGTTCGCTTGTGGATCAGTACACATTTTGCCCCTCCGCTGAATGTCCGTCGGAAAGAGGGGTACCCACCGAACTCCTTCCTTAATGCACGCGTTCAGATATGGAATTTTTTCCAACTGTGTCCATTGAAGCAATTTTCCGGGTGGGACACCCGCCATCGCTACTCCAAGCTCATCACGGAGACGGTTCCTAATGCGCGGTTCGGAGATGATGTAGAACGAGATGAGTGTGAGAACAGAAGATGTGGTTGCGGTTCCCGCAGCGAGTAATGCCATTGCGTCGGCGGACAGACGCATGTCACTAAGCTCGGCCGGGGGCATATCACTCCTCAGCAGAGAGTGGAACACAGATTGGCTTTCCTCTGCTTGGTCTTTGGCTTGGAGTGCTACCTCTTTTTTGATCTTTTCGATTTGTGTCACGCCAAGCTTGCAAATTGGAGTCAGCAACTCATAATTAGAGCAATGGTGTAACGGGTCGTGACTTACCACTGCCATGATCGAGAAACTCGCAGTCTTGGGGCTCAAAGCTTTCAGCAACTTGATTGGAATCAACTGAAGCAGACTTTTCGGTCTTTTAGTCTTGTGTACTCAGTTGGACACGAGGTGCGAATTGACTTACCTCGTCAACCCCGGGAAACTACGGAAGACTGGCATTACTGTCAAGAAGCCGCGCATAGTATTATACCTAGTACATATATTAGCCCATAATGTTTGCCTACAAGGTCAATTCGTAGTAGTTTATCCGGTACTTGCCATTCAGGCGTAAAATCTTGCCCATTCATGAGCTGGGGATTCTTGCCACAAGCCAGCTCGCCGATGATATCACCGGCGAAAGCTGCAAAGGCATGATCGAGACGAAGAGGCGTGGTCGTATTACCCGCAGCCAGCAGCTTTTCTTCTAGCAACCTAATTTCTTTTTGGATCACCCATTCGTAGGAGATAATGCTCTGCCGGGAAAATACTTTCTCAATGGGCCTCCTCCTCTGATGGTGTAGCTCATGACCGGGAGTCAATGGGAAAGCCACTAATATAGCGTCAAAAATGATCCCTTCTCTATAGGAAGAACTCATGTACTTACAGTCCATCAAGAGACCTTCTCGAGGCTCAATAGTAGTTCTTCTCTTTGCAGATGTCACAAACACATTGTTGAAATAGTCGGGGTCGTAAATATGGAGCTCCCAGGGAGATACTCGCACAATGGGACCTTCACCAACGTCAGAAATCCGTGAGTGACCCCTCTCAGGGGAGATCTGATCTGGCTATTACCATGCTTTTCGTGCATCTTTTTCAGCACTCGAGGAAAGTTGTGATTCCATAGGTCGATAGCGGTTTCGTACCATGGGGTTGCTGCCGTAATCATAGGGCCAGGAAAGCGGGCCAGGGGTGAGAAGTGAAGACGATAAATGATCACTGTGATGTTGTAGATGACGAGGACTACTAAGAAACATTGAATAATATCCCAAAGGCTTGTAGTCTGCAAAGTGCGATCTACAGCACTCATCCAAGCACTAGGAGAAGCCATCGTGTTGACTCCAATCCCAGAGTTTGACTGCCCAAAACGGTGAAATACAAGCAGACAGCACTAAACAATCAAAGAGCAGACACTCGCGCAAGGTTGAGAAAACAGGGCCGTCTTTTCTGCTCACCGAAGGCCATCAAATCACTTGCTCATTAAATAGGTCTACAGGTACCTCCATAGCTTTCTTGGACGTTACAGTGATCAGAATCAGATCAGGCTGACAGGCTCGAAACAATCCACTCACACGGCGTGCTATACATCGTGTACACTTCCTGCGGTGATTCCGGGTCCCAGGAGAATTAGAATGACTTTTAAATGAAATCAAACCAACCGCACTGGGTACCAAGTAGCATTCATTTTCTTGTCATAGATGCCAATACCAACAAATTAGTGATCATTCCCGTCGGGAGAGCTCGACCGCTACAGCTAGTCATTGTCTAAGTACCCATGTATACGAAATGTGTGGACCTCTTCTCAGACAAACGAGTATTCTCATGGGCACATACTTGGTCTCCACGTCGAAATAAACTTTCTTTAGCGAATTCAGCACAGCTGAAACGGTATAGCTCCATAATGGACGACATCAGGCCATACAACTAGGCATGTTCAGTCAAAGCACTTCAACAGCTACCCACATATGTGTCTGGTACTTTGTCCCCACTTACAGTGGGACCTAGGCTACCTCGAGTAAACTCGATGTGAACGCCATATTTGCGAGTGCAATACAGTGAAAGCAAATCTAGAGAACACCGCGGAATCACCAGCACTGATCAATAGTATGTTGGGCAAGTAAACTAGAGAGATGACATTACGACTGGTAGAATGAAGGCGACCATACGCGTATTGAACATGGCCGGATTTGAGCTGCGGCCCGACCGGAAGGCTACCATTGATCTGACTCAGGGCCGCATCTAACTGTCCGACGGTATCGCCAAGGGCAGACAGGGTGGTCCAGACCACACCGCCGGAGACAACGTCCTATATGCAGAGCAGCGCCATTACCCCTGTTACGCTCCGCGCCCCCCGCATGAAGAACAAGCGCTATAAGTCCTCCATGTGGGTAGCAGGGCAATTGCAGAGCAAGGGCCATAAGCGACTTGAGAATAACATATCAGTAAGTATGGCGGAATATTGACTTAGACCAAAAGAGGAAATACAGGGATGACTTCAGTCCCAATTATCTACTGAAATGCAGAAAATATTATTTGTTACGATGAATGCCGTACTGGTTGTCTGGTTCACAAACAAGTAGCCAGTGCGAGCTATACCAGGACGCACTTTCACTCCCAAACATGCTGAATCGATTATCAATCAGCCTCGGGCAGAGGTTTTGACGAAATGCGGGCCGCGAGCAGAAGAGCAAAACAAGCCAAGCGATTGAGGCAGCACCCTGACCATCGGAGCCCCGAGAGCATCGGGGAAGCTTACTCGGTGACTTCTAATTAGGAGATGTTGGCAGATAGTGAGCCGTGGTATATTAGTTGAGCATGCTATGTGAGGCTGTCTTTGACACCCGTGTCCTGATTCCATGAGATTATTAGGCTGATACTTATGCTTCGGCTCACTGGTTCAACATTTTTTAGAACTGGGCTGATTTTGAATACTTATATGCAGGACTACTGAGTTTGATTGCTTGACCTATCTCAATTACCATCGGTCCATCAACATTCATTCATCATGGAATACCGGTACTCCTACGTCATTGACCCGTCTTCCTATGACAATCAAGGGCTCTGCAATGGTATTCCCTTGCGCGTACATCGCAACGCTGACATTGAAGAATATGCAACGATCAGTCTACGTAATGACTGGAGGAAGCATGTCGGGCCATTGCCATTGACGTCGTACGGAGGCAATCTGGGCCCAAAATATAATTTCACTGCAGTGACTCTTCCTGAGTGTCGTCCAGATCGGCTCGAGATTGTTTCATACATCATGGAGTTCGCTTTCCTCCATGACGACTTGGTAGACACAGCGCAGGTCGATGAGGTACAGTATTTATTCATTGCTGAATCCCAAGCTGACTCTGACTGATCTTGCTCGCTCATCATCTGTTGCAGGCACTGGCTCTCAATGATACGTGGAGAGACGGTATCACAGAAGGTCTCGACACGACATCAGCCAAGGGCAAGAAATCTGGCGAGGGCCTCATTCTACGCAACATCCTTAAAGAAGTCACTGCCATAGATCCTGTACGAGCGGCCGAATTAATGAAATTCTGGAAACGGGATTTAGACGTCAGTCGAGATCGAAAGCATTTCAGAGATTTTGATGATTATATGGAATACAGAATCGTGGATTGCGCGTCCTAGTAAGTTGTTCACTGCCTAACTTGGGAAGAAGAAGAAAGAAAACCCGTTTGAAGAGTTCACGTCTCTGTTTCTGACACACATCTTAGCTTCTTGATAGCACTGTCCACATTCGCTATGGCATTGACTATTCCCGCTGAGGACAAAGATGAAGTGTTTACTCTAACCCGGCCTGTTTGGGCGGCGGCGGCACTCACGAATGATGTCCAATCTTGGGAGAAGGAGGACAAGCTTTTCCAGAAAGACAATGCCACAGACATGACCAACGGTGTCTGGATGTTGATGAAGCAGTATTCAATCGGAGTAGAAGAAGCAAAGCGCCGCATCCTGGAAAAGGCCAGAGAGCACGTTGCCGAATTTGTTAGGACATTGTCCCAAATTCACAACAGACTCGACTTGTCTCTTGACTCCCGCTTGTTCGTCGAAGCGATGCAGTATATGATCAGCGGGAACCTCATGTGGGGGATTTCAACTCCACGATACCATTCAGACCAAAGTCTTGATGAAATGATGGTTGCTCGCATGAAATATGGGTGGCCGAACCATCGCGAAGTGACCAAGCCTACCAGCGACCTCGAGAATAGAGGCACGAAGCGAACTCACCAGGATACAGAGGGCGTTCAAAGTGTCAAAAGATTCAACGGCGCAAGCACCAAAAACGGTATCAACGGCACAAACGGCATCAACGGACTTAATGGCATCAATGGCAGCAACGGTGTCAAGATCAAACGTCATAAGACCAAGGAATGTTCGGGGGCTCTAACTAAAGATAGTGACCTTGTACTTAACATGGACTTGAATGGACTTTCAAGCGCGGTACGGGACCTTCCACTTCCCGAAATCTCGGAAGCCTACAAAGTGAACTGACAGCCTATATAGATAATCTGCGCCCCAGCTGATTATATCGGCTCCTTGCCGTCGAAAGGCATTCGCGACAATGTCGCCGACGCTTTGTCCATCTGGTTGGATGTCCCAGCTAAAGAGCTCAACCAGATCAAGCGCGCCATAAACTTGCTGCATAATGCTTCTCTGATGCTAGATGACGTGCAGGACGGCTCGGTTCTGCGAAGAGCACAACCCACAACGCACACAGTCTTCGGCCCTGCTCAAACCATCAACTCCGCTGGACATCAAATCATCCAGGCAATGAATGAAATCAGGAAGCTAGGCAGTGATGATTGTCTCGACATATTTAGCGGTACGTATTTTGGACACCATATTGGGCTCTTCTTGCCTCCGTAGTTGTCTTTCCACTGACTCTCTGGGCGCAGAGGAGTTGGAGAAGTTGTACGTTGGACAGAGCCATGATCTGTACTGGGTGTACAATGACAGCTGTCCCACTATCGAAGACTACTTCAAGATGGTAGACTACAGTATGTGATCAATGTTTCCATGCCAAGTCAGCAATGCGCTTACCGAAAATCACATCTAGAAACAGGCGGACTTTTTAATATGCTGGCTAGGCTCATGACAGCCAAATCCAGCTCGTCCTCAAGCCCAGATTTGACAGCTCTGGTTGGACTACTCGGAAGATACTTTCAAATACGCGATGACTACATGAATCTTACTTCTGCGGACGTAAGTTAAATTCCGATTTCAAAGATATCGATACATGAAGCTGAACCTTAGCCAGTATACTGTGGAGAAAGGGTTCTGCGAAGATCTGGACGAAGGCAAATTCAGCATCACCCTTCTACACGCTTTGAGTGCCGCCCCAGAACCCGAAGCCCTGCTGCTTCGGAACCTCATGTCTGGGCGCCGCAATGATGGCAAGCTATCAGTCGTGCAGAAAAACCTTGCCCTTAGCATAATTGAGGGAGCGCGTAGTCTGGAATACACTGCGGCAGTATTGCAGAAGCTCTACAAGGCAATTGTCAGAGAGCTGGAGAGCACTGAACGGCAGTTCGGCGAAAACAAACCTTTCCGTTTCTTACTCAGCTTACTCAAAGTTTAGATCCTGATCTGTCGGGTCGTGTAAATATATAGTTTATTGTGTTTCAAGCATGTTTCCTTCAATTACTTCAATGTTGGTTATGATTGCGTTTGAATATTGTTGGGACGGGGATGAAGCAGAGATAGCTTCAATTGGTAGACATCTAGCTTTTCGCGTGAGAACTGACTCTGTTTTGCAATGTCTAGCCCAATAGTAATTGTGGATAAAATGTCATGAGTACGTTTGTTGGTGGTGAGCATGAATACCGATAGTGCCAGCCGAAAAGATAGCAAAAAGAACGACAGAGCTAGGGAATGAACCAAATGCAGACATAAAAGCGAGAAAGTCGCGGGGACAACACATGCCCCTAACAGTTACCTAGCTGGACCGTGAATTGTGTCGACATTACCTGTTTAATGCCCTGCCGTATTCTCACATGTGTTGTAGCTAATCTTGAAATCACGCCGATATCGCATACTTGCACGTGTTTTAGAAATGTACCAATAAGATCACATTGGCATACATAAGCGGGAACCTTGATGGCCGACGATGCAGGTTGTCAGCCGCGGCTTGGCCAGCCTGGATCATTGCACATGTGCTCCGTTTCCCGGCGCGATGATTGTCGAGAAGGGCTGCAGTCTGCTCAGCATATCTGGCGCGCAGGCACGGAAAGAGAGTATAGGAGGTCTGGCCCCATATCACGCCACCCGGATCTTGAGAACGCGGGTTCCACTCCGGCGTCATCCGCCGTCGAGAGGTCGTGATTTGGAATCGTGTTGGCGAATTGGCATCTATATTTGCTATCTGACGCCCACTGTAAGGCCTCTTTTCCAAGATTTACTACCGTTGCCGAGAGATTGAATGAGTAAATGTGTCACTGAAGGCGTATTTGTCAGACTGTGGATCCAGATGTCGTCCGGATCGATGATATTCATAGAATGTGGAGGAGACCTTTCAGATCTCGAACCCCGGGACACCACCGGGACGGGACCACTTGCGATATCAGAATGGAGCATGTTAGGTGGTTAACGTGGCAGCAATGACTCCGACGCACGAAGTGTTAGACCAGACTATCAAGGTTTGCCCAACGCGCCGCGGTCAAACGAGACAGGGCCCACATTTCCGCAGCAAAGGAGTCAAAAGACGCGACCCACTAAGGCGCGACTGATGGCGTTATCGTCACTTATCGCCAAAAATCGGCCCTGCTCTTTTTTCGCTCTTTGTCTCCTGTTCTGTCAGAGCCCCAGAATTTTCCGCTGCCTGTACCCACCGCCCTCATCCCGTGTGTGGACACCCTCCCTTCACCTTGATCAAGCTCAACTCAGTCTTGTCTGAGCCAGAGTGCAAACATTGGCCTTGCGAGATCGGAATTACGGACCTTGACGCTGGCAAAAGTGGGCTCGATTCTCTGCGATTCTGTCACTGACGCGTTATCTAATCGTATCTCAACGTTTTTCACCCCTCCTCTCTCAAAAGGGTCCAGCTTGGCCTTATCTCGCGACTGCAAACACTTCACGATCCTCCTCGGTCCAACTTCTTGCTCACCTATCACACCTTACACCTTACCGCCTGCTTCTTCACCACTCCGTCAACCTCAGTCACCATGTCCAAGGCATTTGTTCAGAAGCCCGCCCCTGCCTTCACGGCAACCACCGTCCTTGAGCACGGTGAGTTCAAGGAGGTCTCCCTGTCCGACTTCAAGGGACAATGGTGAGTCCAGCACCCAAGATGGCTCAGTCTCCTGCTGCTATCCCTCCTGCCGTCTTACTGCGGCCTCAAGCTTGAGCCAGAGAGATGAATCACAGCTGCCACCGCCGGCCAGCCTTTTAGACGGACGCTCGCTCACCTCACTCTTAGGGTCGTTCTCCTGTTCTACCCCATGGACTTCACCTTTGTCTGCCCCACTGAGATCCTGGCCTTCAACGACGCCCTCCCCAAGTTCGAGAAGCTCAACACCACCGTCCTGGGTGTTTCCACAGACAGCCACTTCACCCACTTGGCGTGGCGCGAGCGCCCCCGCAAGCAGGGTGGTCTTGGTGAGGACCTGAAGCTGCCCCTGGTCGCCGACAAGAACTTCAAGATTGCCCGTGACTACGGCGTCCTGATCGAGGAGGAGGGTATCGCCCTGCGCGGTCTCTTCATCATCGACCCCAAGGGAACCCTGCGCCAGATCACCGTCAACGACCTGCCCGTCGGCCGCAACGTCACCGAGACCCTCCGTCTCGTCGAGGCCTTCCAGTTCACCGACGAGCACGGCGAGGTCTGCCCCGCAGACTGGCAGTCTGGTGGCGAGACCATGAAGGCTGACCCCAAGGGCAGCCTCGAGTACTTCGGAAAGCAGGGTGGTAAGTCTCGGCCCCTCAGCAGCGGAGACGCGTCCCCCATTGCGAAGCGTCCACGTATTGAGTAGAGGGTTTTCCCACGACAGGTCAATAAACAGTGATATGAGAGAGATGGACTTCATGAAGCATTACCGAGGAGCAGCCCCGAATGATCCCACCACGGGTCAACACCGGTGGCACTTGTTGGACAGCGTGTTTGGGCCGGCGTTAAGCAGATGGACGGACCGACATAGACCATAGAAGCTAGAGCTCAATATATCCCTGGATCCTCGGATCTGGGCCTGTTGAATTTGCATATCTGCTACCCAACCCAGTTGAGTGTTTACTCTGACCCGAACCGTCTCTCAAAGGCGGTGAGATGATAACCTGAAATCACTACCCGCCAATTCCCCCCAAACTATCCAAATGTTGACGCCGAAATTGACCAATAACTCCAGTCTCTGATGCTCATCCAAAGCTTGAAACACCGTTGCCATTGTAAGGTAATCGTGAGGCTGCAGCAACAGCTACCGAGCCGGTATCGCCCTCACCTCGCCTCGTGAAGTCTCCGGTTCATTCTTTTTGCGCCTCGCAGCACCAGGTCCGATCAAGGCGACCCAGGAACCTCGAGGGCATCTCCCCGAGGTATAGTGCGGAAATGCTTGGCGCGCCAGACTCGGACCGGCCTCGTCGACTAGTACCCGCCGCGTGTCCTGTCGAAGATCAGGTGCGGGTTCGGGCCCGAGCGATCGGACATCATGGAGGGGCGGAACAGCGAGATGGTGTCTTCCTCGAACAGCGCCTGCTTCGGCGGCGTCCTCGGCGGCGATGACGCGGTCGACACCCGCGGGACGTCGTCGAAGGGGCTCCCGGTGCCTGCGAACCTCATCGGCCGCGCACTCTTCTTGGAGCTCCTGTTTCTGAACTTGTTCCTCATTCTCCGCCACCAGCCCATCTTGGCTCAAATCATTGGCTGGGCCTCTCGTTCCGGGTTGGAGGGAAGGGGGCGCGCGTGCGCTGCTTTCTTTGCGATGGAATCCGATGACGGCTTTGTCTAATAGCAGGCCGGCTTTCGGCTGAAGGAATCTGAAGAACGAATTGAAATGTTAAAGGATAAAGAAAATACTCCGCAGCGATCCGAATGAACAGCGCGGTTCTGGTCACAGTCTCGTTATAGTGTTTACACAGCCACGCATGAATGCGTTGTCCCGCTTGCCGGGGTCTTCCCTTGGGAGCCGAGGGAGGGTTTCGTTGCTAGAGCCTCGCCTTACATTGCGCCCCTCTCGCCGCGCAGGTTCCAGAATCTAGTCTGTGTGGGAGCTGGAGGGACAAACCCGGATCTTATGGAAGTTCTAAGCTTCAATGGCTCCCTTGAAATGCTTGACAGCCGCGAATCGCAAATCGCGTGCATTGATACAACATGTGGCTCGGCCAGGGGAATCTGGATGCGCATCCGATTCAGGGGAGGGCTCCAGAGAAGCGGAGAATTCGACCGGATCCGTTTCCGACCTGTTTCGCTGGTCGATCTCATGGAGGCTGCGTAACGAGCGAAGGCCATAGTTTTTGGGCAAGCGAACAAGGTCGAGTAGAGATGCTCAAGCTTGGCCGTTGTGATGTGTGGCTTTGGAAGGCAGTGCATGCAACGCTGTTAAAATGAACAATGTCACACTGCGCTGATCCCGCAATGGTTATTGATTAGCGACTGATCTGCACTTGAGCTTTATCAATCCTGCGTTGCCTTACCTTGATGACCTTGTAATATCTGTCACTTTGCCTTTTATTCTAGTCATTTAGACCCAAAATACAACATCAATTTCGAAAGGTAAATGCTTGTATGCATCATGTGCGATGAGCCAGGTATTACCGAAACAAAAAATCGGGAGCGTCAAATATATTGTTCATCCAAAGTAAGGGGTGCATGTTGTCAGCTCTGTTCCTACTGCCGTCCAGGATGTCTAAAGGGTAATGATCGAATGTGTGAACGAGATCAACAATTTGCTACTCCTGATCCCCCCAGGTCGTGCTAAGGTATTGCAATCAATGATAAATAGGGATCAATTTCCATGTTGGCATGCGTCTGCTTACAGCATCAGGAGGTGTGTGCAACTTGACGTATCGCAGTGCTACTGTAAAGCATCTGAAAAAGCATTGCATCTTAGATACGAGATTAGAGCTCAGAGGCAGCAGCAGCAGCAGTGAAGTACTAAAGTCACGGATACGAGCCAAGTCGAGATATGGAGAGTCTCAATGGCGTGACAGAATATGATGTTGAACGGTATTGCAGCATAAGGAAATGGGCTATGTGGGTCAAGAAGACAAGAACTCATGGAATAGCACTACTACATTAAGACCACTAATTGTGAGGTATGACTCACCTGCATAGGGTTGCTGGAAGAGATCTGACCTTATTCTGCAGCAGTCATAAGTAGTATTGCGTTGCACTAGGCTAATTTACCGATAAGTAGTATTGACGTCGCTCGAGAGTAGCTCGAGCCTTTGTCATACACTGCTCATTAAAGACGGAGGACGTTGCTGCGTGTGGGGCAGTCCTGTCAACTAACGTAAGTAATTCTTGTGAAAGAAATAATTCCACCGAATCTCTGGTTGCAGCTTCTGTGTTGGCTTCAACCGATTCCTTCTGTGTGACTGGAAATCAGCGTCTACGTGGCGGTATTCAAGGTCTTTAACTCTTCACCAGGTTCTCCTAGTACCGCTAACGGAGACTTTCCTCCTTACCACCGGGAGAATTTCATGTTGGATACTAGATATCTTCCTATGGGAGAGTCTGTTGTGGGATAACCTCCTGACAGATTGGTAGGATATGTGGTGGTTGGCACTGGCGATGGGGCCAGATCAGGCCTAAATAGGCAATTCTTTTAGTCCGGGGCCATGGCTAATTTTTACAATAGAGACACCCCGTCTCGAGAGTCCGTCCACACTGTAACACAAAGCATTTATTCTCACAACCTCGGTCACCCAACTGCATGGAGCTCCTATTGGGATTACCTCAGCTAGATTCGCTAAGACAGATATGTCTCTCCTCCACTGCGAGAACCATATGTGCTGTATCAGACAGACAGACAAGACAGACAGACAGACAGACAGACAGCGATAAAAATCCTAGACAGCCAGCCCCCCAGCCCCAGTCCCCAGCCCCCCCAAGCGCCAGCTTTCAGCCTCGTCTTTTACGAAAGTTTAAGCAGGGCCCATCTGGCCCAGGATAGAGTAGCAGTATTGGACTGCTTGAGCGATGGTATGATCCACTTTCAGGCTCCACCAAACTCGACGACGGCCCAATTGACTAGTACAGCCCGAACTGGCTTCGTGTGTCCACGTGCCTCGTTCAAGAGATAGTCCATGAATGTCATCATGGAAGTGAGCATTCTCCAAAGTCTAGTCTAGGAAACGGCGCTCTTTCGTGAAACCGTATTTAATAATATCAGGTAAGCTTTAGTTGCCACTTCCAGGGAGCAACAACTAGAGATAGTCCAAGAGGCTGCCAGGATCGCATCTGCACACAGCTTCAATACAGAGCCCCTCTATGGCTACAAAACTGAGATTGGACAGCATGGCTAGCTCCTCCTTGGAGGACAGCGCCAACGCATTGCCATTGCTCGCAGCGTCGTCTCTGGACCCAAAATCGTCTTACTTGACGAAGCCACCAGTGTGCTTGAGACTCAGGCCGGGACTGTCGTTCAACAAGCTCTAGACAGAGCATTCAAAGGTCGCATTTCGTGATAGTCAACAAGCTTTCTACCATGCGCGATGCGGGTAACAGCATTGCTATGAGTAAGGACTGGATGGTGGAACACGGGAACCACGAATCCTTGATCGTCACCCACGATGTCTAAGCTAAGTTTGTCCGGATTCCAAATTTCAGACCCTTGCTTTCAGAGCAGCCGCACATCAAGAGTCTACCGCTCACACTGACAGTGATAGCGCCATCGAGGTCGAGACAAACATGAATGCAGCTTATTCGCTCGTTATCTTTCATCTGTTAAAGTGTTCGTGGTAGAGAAAAGGGATCAAGACAGCTGCGGGCCCGCGAACAATCGGGGATCATTGGGATAATCTGGGGACTTGTCAAAAGAAGCTCCATGGGACACTTGGTCGTAACGTTCCTCCAGACTGGGTTTAAGGAGGAGGTCACCTAACCTAGTATCTTGTGGCCCAGGTGTCAGTGTCCGTTTTCTAATGTAGTTACGTTTGAGCAGCGACTGCCTTTCCCGCCAGGCAATTCTGATATTCAAGTTTGTTCTAGTACTGAATGAGCCCGGATCCGTACTAGCGGATATGGCACTTTTACTTCTCTTTGTTACTTTGGACGCGGGCTACCTCCTGTCGTACTTTCCGCTGGGATACTCAACAAATAGCATCACGCAACAACTCAACTATGAGTACGGAAAACCAATTTTTCAAGATTTAACTCATCAGGACATACAACTTCTCAATAGACCAGAGAACAGCACAGATTCCTTAGCCAGCTGAGCGTAATCTTCTCAATCATTCCTCGAGCTGATGGGATTCAACAATAGCCCTGATAAGCATATTGGTGCTCCATCTTGCAGCATGCAACGTTCTCTCTTTGCCTGACGGCTGCAAACCCGAATTAGTCGTCGTATTAGCTGGTCTTCCACCCATGGCCTTGGTCGGCCTTCTTAAAATCCGTTCGCGAAGTTGAATCGCGAGATTCCAAGCGCTATTCTACCAGCACGGTCATCGCCTCTGAGGCTGTTGCTGCAATCCGAACCGATCCCTTTGGGGCTATTAAAATTCGATCCTGACACAATATCCTGCGGGGCTCAAAATCAAGGTCCCCACCTTGCCAGCTATGATATGATTCACTCTGATGCAGGCTATTAAGTATTGGTTCATGGGTCTGGGCTCCCGGCAAGTCTATGTTTTAGGCGTGGTGCCACTTTGACACCCTACATGTTAGGTACAGTTGCCAACTTCTCTCGTTCAACGAGGTCGAATTGAGCGCAATCCTCGTCACCTTCCTCGGATTGTTCTTCGCCGGCCAAGCATCTTCGACCATGTTTCACTTCTCAGCCAGTAGATATGAAATTTCTCATTCTCTCTGCTGGTATGTGATTCGTCGTCTCTGTTAGGCATCAACAAGGGCTTGAGCGCTGCCAACTACGTATCCTGACTCCATAGTCTCCAGCCAACCTTTCGCGCTACACCCGACAATCATGATCGTGCCCCCGGATTGCGTAGAGCTCCACGATCTCCGCTTTTCTTATACGTTGAAGCCTGAGGTGCCTATTCTAAGAGGCGTGAACCTGAAGATACGCCACCCTGTGACTACCAAACCCATCGCCAGAGTGTCAACTCACTCCACTGAAATCAATTCAATTCCACTAAACAATATTTATTATCAATTACATCCATTCCACTAAGCTAAAAAACTAATCAATTCCATTCCATTAAGCTATTCAGTTGATGTAATTGAATGGGTTTAAATGGATTAAGAGGGAATTTCCTCCCCTTTCCTCCCTTCCCCTTCCCTTCCTCTCCTTCCCTCGTCTTTCCCCTTCTTATCTAATCACCTTATCTTATCGCTATCAGATTAGATTAGATAAATGATTAGATAAGGATTTTTCTCGCCGGGGCTTCGCCCCGGACCCGAGAGGGAGAAAATCCATTTGAACCCATTCCATTCAACTAAATTACACTGGAAGCCTTTTTAAATCAATTCAATTCCACTGATGGCTGAAGATTTTCCATTCCATTACACTATAAGGTTCAGTGGATGTAATTTAGTTAGTTGACACTCTGCCCATCGCCGCTTGACCAGAAACCTTAGCCGGACGGGACACTCCCTTGCAAGCTAATAAAGGTCAATTCGTCGCCCTTGTAGGTGCGTCTGGCTGTGCAAAATCAACTGTAATCGGCATTCTCGAACGCTTCTATGACGCTTCTACTGGGCTCAATACAGGTGGTGGGGTCAATGCTGCCTGACCTTGACCCAAATTCCTTGCAGAAACGGCCAAAGTCGGCGACAGAATCACACTTGTTATTGCTCACCGTCTCAGTACCATAAAAAACGCCAGTTTTATTTGCGTTTTCAACTATAAAAAGACCGCGGAGGTTGATACTCATGCTGAACTGATTGCGCAGGGTGGTATATACCAAAGCATGTGTAAGGCACAAGCGCTTAATTAGGTGGTTTCTGTTTCCGCCTCTCCATAATTATTGCCAGGTTATACGCATTACAGAGGACTCCAAGACATCCATCAATATCTTCACCGATTTAAATCCATTTTCAACCGGTACTATATTTCGAGTCGTCGCTCGAGGTGTGCTAGGCGCATGGATTTTGTGCTTGTGCGATCTGAACGGGTACTCAAAGCCGCAGGTCATAACCTTGCCGTTCCATTTTTAGGAATCTTACAACGCCAAATGTTGCATTCGGATCCTTAGTCCCAGAATCGCCAGTGGTTGGATTCCGTTGGAACCGGCTCTCGCCTTTCTGTATCGCGCATGAGTGAGTGATCTTGAACCTTCAAGGTTGGTGGTTTCGGGAATGCAGTGGAACGAAGACACTCGTCCTCGGACCTGTCATGCGTTGTAAAAAATGACACAACCAAATGAAAACTCTGATATGTATGCAGATTGAGTATCGATGCGCCTCTGACTTAAATGCAGGATACATTTCTTTGCCCCCTCCACGCGTGAGAGTGTCGCGCCTGAGACGTCGATTGTGACGGAGCATGCGGGTATGATTCGTCCAAGATTGAGCAATCAGACCTAACGGTCCTGGGATCGTGTTTGTTTCTCACGTCGCGGATGCTCGGGCAATAGCACGGACGTTTCCAATCCGAGATAGCTGCTGTTTGGCCGCGTCCATCCCAGGAAGCAGGATCAGCATGGGCATTGTCAGCACGACTAGCTATACTCGTCCGAATCATGAGAAACATCCGACTAATTTAACTGCATTCGGTCTGCCGTTGAGACTTCCGTTGTGCTGCATCATGACTGTTTCTGGCTGCAGAAGGTGGCTTTGGGAGTTACTGTCAAAGTTTTGATATGAATATGTAATGATACAGGTTCAGACTCCGGCTCGCTCGATTCCGGCTTACACAGATAACGACAATATTGGCTCTGATAATAACCTCGAGTCTCGGTACCACCTACGTCACCGAACACGAGATGTCGTTGGATTGCGGCTGTGGTGGTGGGGTCATATGTGCAGATGGCCTTGGACAAGGGAAACTCAATCTTGTCGAACTAGGCTTGTTGTGGTTGTTCGGGGTCCAGTGCTCGGTGCAGGGGCGATATGATGGAACCATTAATGGAAGATTATGAGAACTGAGTTTTCACTGCGTAGCGAATCCAACATCGGCTGTTTTGCCGTGAACGTCTGTGTTCGACTACGGGTAGGTGGAGTTGGCAAGGTATCCTGGTTGACAGGTCGTTAGTGCCGTTGATTTCCTGGGCCGCAGTCGCCCACCCACAGTCGAAAAGTTGGAGTTGAGCTCTGAAACTGGGCCGGCTGGTGCGTCCAAGGTGCATCCCGAGGAGACCCTTCCAACCCAATTTGTGCCCAAAGGCCGTGAAGAGAGACGCAAGAATTGAGACACGAGCACGGCATATGCACGGTGGCTTACTGGTGAGCAGAATGGTTGTGCCAGCCTGCGGTTCGCTGGCACAACCGGCGACTATATCATATAGCCCGCGAGGCCCCTGGCCTGTCTCACGTCCCTGAGTGCATTGCTTCACTTCGTTATCACAAATTACTTTCTATGTCCAGCGACCTTCCTCCTATCCCTGGTCTCTACCCCATCATGAAGAGGACGGACTCTACTGCAGCAACTGTGGGCTCAGGCTCCAGTTCCTCATCCCGTCGCCATGACAAGGAGAGATCCAGCGGTCGTGGCCGTGAACCTGGCCTTGTTGACTATGTCCATGACAGAGACAAGATTCCTCGCCCTTCGCTGAAGCACCGGGAGTCAAGCCGCGAAGGCAGACGTCACCATGAGTATCGGTACTACGAGCCCCCATCGGGTCGTCACCGTGTCCGAAGCGAAGAGCGCCGAAGCCCGGGCAGCTTGGCAACGGCAGCAAAAACAAAGAGTCCGGACAAATACGGAGACAGCGACCGGTCTGCTCCAAAAGAGTCCAGGGGCAGGAGAAGGCAAACATCCGAAAGGTCAAGCGAGACACGCAGCCGAAGTGAAGACCGGCGTGAGGACCGTCGCAACAGCCGACGGCCCAGCGACGATGGTCAGGGGAAGAAACGGTCAGCCGCGGCCAACTTTGGCAAAGCAGCCCTAACAGCTGGTGCGATGGAAGCTGTCAAACAAAAGGGGCGCGGCAACAGAGATAGCAGAGACACCGACGCTTGGAAGAGGGTCGCTACCGCTGCTCTAGGGGCCGCTGCTATTGATGCCGCTGCCAGCAAGGCCAGAGGCAAGGACCCCAGGGATAGAGGCAAGGGCTCTCTGATCGGAGCATCTATCGGAGGCTTGGTCTTGGACAGTCTTGTCAACAAAGTCCGGTGATGTTTTCGAAGTCGTTGGCACCGTTCAGATGTTTTTATTATCCTTGATGTCACACTCCATTGGTGTGTATGAGTTGTCTTGTAGAAGGGATATTTTGATGTCCCTCCCCAAAATTCTAGGATCCAGCGTCTATATAATTTCAATTAATATCTTCCTTAATCTACGGTCGAAATCTAGCACGTGCATTGGAAGGATAAGTCTTGCCGTGTCTTATGAAGAGAACGCATCCACGGATGATTGGTCTTCAGCTGAATAGCGCGAAGCAACACGTTAACTTCCAAACATGCACATGAAGTTCCAACTGCTGTCTCCGAGGAAATACGAACGCAGTAATAACGGGTCGAAAACCTCCCGCATTGTATGAAATCAGGCGAGCCGCATGTTTCTCTCGTGGATATCGGTGATGGCTTCTCTGGGAGCCAGGCTTCTGTCACAGCGAAGTGCCGGAGATCGCATGCTGAGGGGATACGATTTGATGCTCCGAGGTGTCGGATCTCGACTTACCCACTAGCTGACGGCGGCCCCATGTTGGTCCTCATGCGCAAATTTCAAACCCATCTGCTCTATATAGTAAATATCGGACTGCTCAGGTACGGTCAGGGCGGCTTAGCTATCGGCGAATTCCCTCAACTCAATTGTGCTCCTAACACTTCTCATACTCCACGGTCACGGATCATTACCAATGAAAACACACGTTCTTGGCGTTGCGCGTGGAGTTTCTGCAGAGACATCGCGATGAAGCTTCCTGTGATATATGGTGCGATATATGGTCAGTTCTTGGTCATCTTTGTCTTCTACCAGAGCGCTGATGCAGTGCCTCTCTCGAGCTCTTGCACACTCACAGGCTTGGCTGCTCATAATGCCTCGGCAGTTTGTAACCAGTGCTCTTTGAAGGGGAGTCGTCAAAGACCATGAGAATGATCATCGAAGCCAACAAAACGGATTCGAGGAACAGCAGGAATGGTCTAACAAATTCTCCAGGCGCGCGATCTTCTCAGATTGCTTAGACCTTGGCAAGGCTAGCTAGAAAGGCTACAAGACTCACGATGACACCAAACATGATGCCGACGAGAATGCTGCTTCTGATAACTCCAATTTTGGCTGGATAATCTGGGATTAGAAAGAATTCAAAGCTCTGGGCATAGTTTCTGATGCGTACAGTCCCCAGCGCTGCCGAAGACACGCAAACTCAGGAGCGATCATCTCAATTGGGGATTGCAAAGTGGATTGGGTCACGTCTAACTGGCGATTCCAAATGGTACTTTTGTATCCGGGCCGGTTGACGAGAGCGGTATTGAAATCTTCGTTGAGACGGAATTCCGGACGTGCGATCCAGATATCGCAGCAGGAGCTGCTTAGAGGGCAATGATATTCCTTTGGAATGGAATATCTTGTGATTAGTACTTCGACCAATGATTCCCACCTGCACACCATTCTGAAACAGTCGAAAGGGCTTAGCAGCTGAATAAAAAGAGAGCGTGAGAACAATAGGCCTTTGTCACTCAGGCGAGAGAAATTGACGGCCCTCAGGCGAATTGGCAGCCATAGGCATTTCGCTACTAATTCTAAATGATAGATTCCATCAAAATGGAAGAACCCATTCATAACTATGTTTCGATTCCTGCGCTTGGGAAGGCTTCTCCTTTTTCGCCTCCTGGTTTTGCTGGTGTGGTATTGCTTTCGACATTGTGGCTCGCGGTACGATCTGGGTTTCTGAATTTACAGCTCCTCATGCTTTATCTGCCCGTCATCATGCGCGTTCATACCGTCCCAGGGCTTGACCTTGCCCTCACTGATATCATTCAAGAACGCCTCCACCACCTCGGAGGTCAGGTCCTTACCGCCTCTATATGGATAGACACCACCGTTGCTGGGGCTTGACACTGCAAGCACCTTTGCAGACGCAGCCTTATGGCCCATGACAGCCGGCATCTCAAGATATTGGTTGACATCCGTGGTGGCAAATATGAGATATTCCTTGAATTTCTTGGCGAGAGGTTTGATATCGGCAACGTATGCGTCGCGATCCTCGTCGGCGGACACGAAGTAGTGTACGATACTTTTCCCAAGCTAAAAATAATAGAATCATGGTCAGAGCCTCCTGCCTGTGGTCCGGGCGCATCTAGGTCGTAGATCAAGGAACTCACCCGCATGTACTCGGCTTCGTTACGCCGAGTTAACTCTGGCACCAAGGGAAGTGTGCATTGCTTGATAAAATTTTCAATCGATGCTGGGTTGGAAAGCTGTGTTGTGGAGAACTGTTCCTGATTTCCGTTATTGATGCATTGAAGCGACGAGCTATCGGCTGCCACTGGTCCGACGGCAAAAGAGTATCGGTCACGATATTGATGGACCATATCAGTGTAACGGTCTTCAAGGTACTGATCTTTCTCAGAGAACTGAGCGATAAATATCACGTCGTCTGTGGTCGCAAACGAGGTTATGTTGTTTTCATTGACCACAGATATTGGTGATCTCTTCATGCGCTGAAGATACGCTTTTATTCTGACAACCTGTGTCAGCAGAACGTCAAGTTGGAACGGTGGAAGATGCGCCACGACATACTCTTTAGCTTTTCGTGGTCCACGATAGCGTTCGAATGTGCCATCCTTTTGGTGAAGTCTAATGGTCGGGAAGGAGACGATGTTAAACTCGCCGCAAAGCTTTGCACGGGTTGAGCAGTCCACTGTAAGCACCGTGTCCTTTTCTGCTGATTTCTGCACCGACGACCATTCCTTCTCAAGGTTTGTGTGTGGTTCACTGCTAAAAATGAGCTTTCCTATCGCTGGGGAGACTTGGGAATATATTTCTTACTCATTTGCCTGTGCGCGAATCCCGGGTCAGTCAGCGGAGAATTTAGACAAATTTGGATGGAGAAACTGTACCAGGACATCTATAAAGGACAGCAAGTTAGACCCAGCCCCGAAGACGGTCTGATGTAGTTGCTCGACTTACATGCTACCAAAGTATGTTCATTGGTGTTGATGGCCTCCCGAACCCCAGCCTCATCGACTGTCGGCCATTTCGCCAAGGCCGTATGACCCAGGAGACTGATCAGTGAACACGTGGAGGTGATTCTCATTATGTTGAACTACATGCACCGTCCTAGTAAAATTCTCATCGCCGGATTCTGGATGTCTTAGAAAATAAGACTACGTTGGAAAAAAGCTTCTTTTCTAAGGTGCGAATATTGGGGTTGCAAGGATTGGGGCTGAAGGAGCTCAGGCCAAGATCGGACGAGGTTGCAGCACCAGGGGTCGCGCCAGTTGATGATCAGACGGATCCGACCCCTGATGTGCTGACTTGGGAGCGGCGATGAGACTTCAGCCGCAACTCGGAGGCGGCCCAGTATTGTTTCACTCATGAATCCTTACAGACTCACTTGAGATCTACATTTGCACATTTGAGGTTCCTCGCCGCACTCAGGCTGGTCTCAAGTGCTCAAAACGTATTTGGCAGCCGGCCCAAGGAAGCAAGCTTTCCACATCGTCACTCAACTTCTTGTCCAAGTTCGATTGTTTACAATGAAAGCCACGAGTATGAATATTTTGGAGTGGGTCATCCTGGCAGCTGCTCTTGTCAGCGGAGCAAGTGCAACTCAGAAACCGATAAAAGGCGACTTCATCTGCGAACACCCTCCGTACACCGTTTCGCTGGTATCCAAGTCACCGCTGGTTGCATACCTTCACAATTTCATCACCCCAAAAGAGAGGGCTCACCTGCAGGAAGTGACGTGAGTGCGACCAGCCTTTCAGGGCTCTTGAGCTCATTTCTGATCCATTACTCTGTAGCAAAGATAGCTTCTCCCGTTCCGGGGTCACAGGGGCCGATGGCGAACACTCCGTGCGAACATCACAATCCACCTCCGTGGCACCGGATGATGTTGTCAGGTGCATCGAGGACCGCGCACTTGCTTTCCAAGGCTATGATGTCCAGCGAAGCCACGTTGAACCCTTACAGCTGGTCAAGTACGGCATAGGACAGCGATATCACTTCCATACCGACTGGTTCACCGATCTTTCCCACGCCACAGCAGACCTAGGTGGGAATCGGGTGTCGTCCTTCTTCGCGTACGTGCACGTGTCGAACGACACGACCGGGGGAGGGACGAACTTCCCCATTCTCGAGGCGCCGAGAGATTCTCGCTGGTGCTCCATAGTGGATTGCGACGAACCGTATGAGAATGGGGCGACTTTTAGGCCTATCGAGGGCAACGCGGTGTACTGGGAGAATCTATTCCCAAACGGCATGGGTGATGAGAGGACACTGCACGCTGGATTACCGGTGACGACGGGACAGAAGATAGGCATGAATATCTGGACAAGACAGGGACCACTGAGTGATGAGATCCGGGGAGACAGATGAGGCAATCATGTCAACAGATCATTCAGCTCTCTTGATGCCAACACAGGGGGAGGGTGTCGGCGCGTGTGCTTCGGGTTTGACCCTATGACATGAGGCGTATCCACCCTGACTTTTCCGACTTCGTTGCTGGCCTGTGACCTCGAAAGACGTCACCAGTAAGAATGGCGGGCCTCAAGAAGACGGTCAACCAATGTCATGGTAACAGGAATGGATTTATGTCAATCGTGGGTAGAGGAAAGGGGTCGCTAGTTATGATGGAGCCCAGGTCAAGGTTGCAGTCTAACCGAATCGAGTTTCTGCCGAGGTCCGGGAAAAGCGGCTACGCTCGGCGACGCTGACAGGTCTCCGGATTCTCCCAACATCCTCGTGGCGTCTCATCTCGTCTTCACATGCCAGCTGGTTCTTATTTTGCTCTACATCCTGCTCATTGCTATATCATTTGTTCTCGCAAATCTCATCGTCTGCCTCTGTTCGAAAAGGCAAAGAAAGACAAAGACGAAAGGCCCAGGGATTCCCGCGCACACGTCATCCAACAACCCTGAGCAACATGGTCGCCATCAGCAAACGGCCCTCCCTGACAGTTGTCGACAACCGCACAGGAAAGACATACGAAGTCCCCATCAAGAACAACTCCATCCTCGCCACCGATTTCAAAAATATCAAAGCCCAGGCAAATGGCGACAGAGCGGAGGATGAGACGGAGCAAGGGCTCCGTGTTTATGACCCGGCGTACATGAACACAGCTGTCGTCCAGAGCAAGATCACCTACATCAATGGCTTGGACGGCATTTTGAGATATCGGGGGTACCCCATCCAGCAGCTTGTCGACAAGAGCAACTTTTTGGAGAGTGCCTTTCTGCTACTGTACGGAGAGCTTCCGACAACTGCCCAGGCCCAGAGCTGGCAAAATGAAGTCATGCACCATACCTACGTCCACACGGACATCGAGGATATGTTCAAGTCGTTCCGGTACGATTCACACCCAATGGCCATGATGACATCCGCGTTCGCAACCCTTGGTGCGTTCGCCCCCGAGTCAAACCCGTCGTTGGCAGGCCAGAAGCTGTACACAAACGCTGCGTCTGGGGATATAGAGTCCCTAAAATTGCTCGACAAGCAAATCCTCAGGATTATCGGCAAGGCACCAACCTTGGCAGCTGCTTCGTATAGGATGCGCCAAGGCCGGCCGTTCAACCGACCTGCTCATGGCCTGTCCTACGCCGGCAACTTCCTTTACATGCTCGACAATCTTTCGGGCAGTGAATACCAGCCTCATCCTGTCTTGGAAAAGGCCTTAGATGCACTATTCATCATCCACGCCGACCACGAAGTGAACTGCTCCACTGCGACTGTTCTGCAAGTTGGAAGCTCCTTGGTCGACCCGTACTCTGTGGTCGCAGCTGGGTGTGCTGCGCTATATGGACCGTCTCATGGGGGCGCTTCGGAGAGCGCTATCCGCATGCTAATTGAGATCGGTTCTCCAGAGAATGTACCGGCATTCATGGAGAAGGTGGAAAAGCGGGAACGTGTCTTGGTTGGGTTTGGCCACAGAGTCTACAAGAACGTCGACCCGCGGTCAACAGCGATCCGCCAACTTGCAGAGCAGGTCTTCAAGGTTACAGGTCGGAACAAGCTCCTCGACACGGCCCTGACACTCGCAGACTATGCGAGGAAGAGCGAATTCATGAGGAAGCGAAATCTCTACCCTAACGTCGACTTCTACTCTGGCCTCATCTACCAAGCAATGGGCTTTCCCCTCGATTTCTACCCGGTGCTGTTTGCCGTGCCCCGATGCGTCGGGTGGCTCGCTCACTGGAGACAGCAAATGCTCAATCCTTCCGGCGTAAAGATTTGGAGGCCGCGACAGATTTATCTTGGCGAGGGAGAGAGGAACTACGTCGAGGCTGACAAGAGGAAGGAAAAGCCTGGGGCCAGCATTTTCGATGCCCCTGTTGCGGTTGAGCACGGTGGTGACAGCAAGAGAAACCAACTAGCTACATACAAGGATGAGCGGGGCCAGTCACGGACGAAGAGCAAGTTGTAATGGGGCTTAGGGGCGCCCATGAACCATCTATAAGATTGATGTACTGCAGCATTGTGTGTATTGTAACAGGGCGGAATTCAATTATTGAAAACTAGAATCAACCTGATACGCCTGTTTGATTAAGCTTAGTGGTGTTCGCTGTCGCCAGGCCGGAACGGCTATCACTCTCAGATAGGCTGCTCTGTGGACTAGGCCTTGTGAGACATGATTTCCGCTTGGTAGTAGTACCAAGAGAATAGAAGGGGACCAGGGAATGATATAGTTCGTCGTTCTCGGCGATATCTACTCAAGAATGACTCAACCAAATTGGCCAAAGAAGTTCTTCCTCATGTTTCTCATTGCACATCGAATTAATCCATGAGTCTGATGAGATAGCGGCGATTCGCAGAACGTGCTGCAAAGTCACGATCCGCGTCTTCGTGATTGTAAAAGCGGTGAGCAGCTCCTCATTATTAGTTGAAGACGCGGGCATCGAATGCTCAGGCTATCGTTGGCCTGGCTTCGCGGACACGGGTGTGGATCGACTATGACGGCGTTAAATCGCCGAATCAAGAGCCCTTGGACAACGGTCCACGGGGAATGTGTCGAAAGGGGCAAGTGGGTCGAGGGCCGTGGACGTTGACGTGTATGAAATTGGTTCAGCGAGCGTCAGCGGCTCCACAACGTTTTTCTTTTACAGTCAGAGATCTTGAAACATCATCTTTCCACTCCTTTTTGAGTTTCAACACGTCTCCTTCTCGCAAATTTTTCGAATATTTGACGCTGTATTTCCAACTCGTTCTTTTGTGTTTTGCGTGAGCGAGCGAAGAAAATGAGCATGACTGCCAGACAATCGCCAGGATCCATTTCGATCTCCAGATACGATGCAGTCCCTGCCGCCGGAGAACTTAGTCCTTCCAGCAAGTTGAGCCCAGGCTATCATGACGGCGATAATTCAAGAAAGCACATCGATAGCTCGAGTCAAAACAACGAAGACGGGTACTTCGGGACGGTCCCGCTTTTGCCGATGTCCGAGGACAGCACATCACAACCCCCGGTCATCACGCATCCATCTCAGCGCTATCAAGATGCACCAAGGCCACCGTTAGCAAGAGATACCGTATTCTCTGACATCTCAGGCCTGTCAGGCTTCACGGATCACTCTGGAAGGACGATAGGTTCGGATCCTGGGGCGCCAATGTTGCCTGGAAACCTAAAGTCGGCCTTCGATGAGGACGTGCCTGAAAAGCCAAAATCAAGAGTTATTCTTTGCGGAATAAAGCGGTCTAATTTCTTTATTATACTGGTGCTTCTACTTTTTCTCATCGGAGTCGGGGTCGCCGTAGGCGTCGGCGTAGGCCTGGGCATGTCCAAGGCGGACAACTCGAGCCCATTTTGAGAGCAGGACGAGAGCACCACCTGCTCGACAGCGCCAGCTGCTATAGCAACGAGGACGCCGGATATGAAGTATTGCTGATCAGCCTGGTGCTGAGGTTCTGCGTCAGTAGTCACGCTGAGAGAGATTTTCACGCTTTCGCGGCATCTACTTATAGGTACGATCAGCACCGTGGAGGTGGACTGCACCATACAACAATTACTTTGAGTTTCTCGCCGCTAAATTCTCCCTAGATATCATTTCATAAGATACCGGACGCCTTTGAGGATGTTGAGTCAGCTGATGTGCGACGAATACGGGCAGCTGTAACACGACATCGCACGAGACACAATATTTGAGACGTAGCAATACTTCGGAACCACGATATCAATTTCAGTGGAACCGACCACTGATGGTGTTTCCACTGGCTGGTTATCCCATGGTTGGTTATCCTACCAACCGTCTAGACTATGATATCGGTTGTTATCAAGAGCGCGATACATGCCAGTGTATCACGAGCGGAGAATCACACATCTTGATAATACACAATCTCAGCTATTAAACTGAGTAAGACTATAGTTCTGTGACAGACTGAAAGTTTCGGTGATCGTAGTCTCTCATTATGAGTTTGCACCTCGATGGCCTTCCTTCCCACTCTATATAATGCCGACACATGATAAGCTGAGGGTGGAAAATACATGAGAAATCATGAGCCATGGGATTGTAAGGACAGCACACAGACTTGATACCAAGCGCATCTCAAATGCCAATGCATGTACCCAAGTTTGATAATACGCAGGGTCAAAGATCATTGATTATGCAATTGATTCAGACTCGAGCCGGAGAGGTTTGAACACTCAATTAATTAAACGTATTGGATTTCGGGGTCTGTGTCCACCAGCTACACAGGTGAGCACGACACCCAGTATTTGCAGGTCTAAAACTCAAGTTCAGGGATTTTATCTACTTCATGTATGCCCGCAGCGATTTGCGTCCCTCTAACAAATCTCCTCCTCCTCTTCTTGTGCATCCAATGAGGGAGTCGCTGGCCACGGAATGATTTTCAAATCTGGCCAGATAGCCTGCCACCTCGCGGCTTTCTTCTCATATACTGTACGATTTCCACTTGCGGGATTCGGTCGCACGGTCAGGTTGAGAATGTCCGCAAAGCCCCAGGGAGCGAACACTTTCCAGTCACCATCAGCCAATAACCGAACACCGAATAACGCCGTCCCCGACAACCATGATGTTATCGCTCCCTCGGTCGAAGTGTGTCGTGGACACGGGATGCCGAACTTCTGCGGATACCAAAGATGTACTCGAGCCTGGTTTCTGATCTCTACTCTTGTGGGCAGGTCTGCAAAAATTCTCATGCCCTCTTGAATGACGAAGTCCTCCGCTTCCCAGGATAGGTCTGAGTCATCGCAGTAGATGAGGTCGTAATCGTCGATGCCTTTCTCGGGATCTTGGTGGGTGATATAATTCCAGACTGATTGGGTTAAAGCGCCGGCCGCGAGGTACCAGCCCGGAAGGTTCAGGGTGGCTGCGCGGCGCAGGACTTCCATCAGGGTGGTGTTGCGCTCCAAAGCGGCACAGAAGCGGGCTGCTTCCTCCTCCGTGTGGGGTCCATCTATTTGCATTGTGATCAGGCGCACGTGGTCGCCTTGATAATTACTTGCTTCGGCACTAGGTGAAATGATGTACTGCTGGAAGAGTGCAGGAAGCAGTCACGGCGATTGTAGTCTTGCGTGTGGTCAGACGCGCCACGAATGCTGGAAGCCGCCCGGTCACATCGGAGCGCCTTGGCGTGAGTTTAGTTACGGCCAGGGTTGATTAGATCGAGACTGGCCTTCAATTTTTTGCACATTCAGAACATAGATTTCAAGTGCGAGTGATCAGTCAGCCAACGAAGATTGTCTCCCTCATACCTAGGCATTCCTTTCCCTTCTCACATATGTCAGATCTCAGAGTATTTTCCTTAACTACAAATTCGTCCTACAGTGCTATGAGATGAATGTGTTCGGGTGTGCCCCATGCAACAGCGGGGTCGCGACACTAATGCAACAAGCTCCGGCTCGCCGCCTTTTCTTATAGCTACGGGGCATGACAGCCAACAAAGCACTCATATAATACCGGATGCAAATGCTTGAGAAATGAATTGGCTGAGGTTGCATGACTGCAAACACAGATATAACGAATCTGACTCTGCCGGTGCTGAACAGTCTCGCAATAGACTGTAGCCGTGTGGAGGAGATGCCTATATCTTTGCTAGTACTCCACTCTGCTTAAAAGCAGCGTTGAGTAAGCCGGTTCGAGTCTGTCGAATGGATATCAGTGTATGATCATGTGGACTTATGTCAAATACCGGTTGTGTTGTAAGTTCCAAAGCATCAAATACTGGTGGTTATATATATCAAGGCATTATGGTCCCAATATACATCGGTTCTGAGGCCCGGAAGAGTAGGTCTGGGGAGGAAGAAATTTGAAGCGTACCTGGCGGAACCGTGGCGAATTCTTGAAAAAGATGATCTGAGATGTGGTATGCGTAGCGCGAGAATATCAACATTTCCAAGACCCGGTTCTATCATGTCCAGCCCTAATAAGGCACATCATATTTTGCCAAGCATCCTGCGACATCAGATTACCCAAAACTCGTAGACTTCGACTACTGTCACAGACGTCAGCATGTCCAAGCTCAGGTGAAAAGCCCGAAAGGTGCTAGAGAAGGACAAAATCCGAAGATTAATGAAAACTTTCAAATTCATTTGTCTACTTATTTTTATGAACATTACCTCTTCCCAGCCCAAGTTACTGCTCGTCTTGAGAAGGGTTCGAACTCAAGATCTACAGCTTAAAAAGTTCAAAAAGTGTTGGCCGCCCGACGTGGGACTCTGAAACACTGTTAGTACAAATTGGATGAGAACTTTTTTTAGGATTCCACTAACCGAACCCACAGCCTTGGGATTACTCTTGAACGTTGATTACGTAAAAGTCCCACGCTCTAGCCATTGAGCTAGCCGGGCTTTTGTTGTTAAAATTAGAAAAACATATGTTTTATATAGCATCAATGTCCAGGGCGAGTTTGGACATTTCTCCAGATCTGCTCCCTTGTACGTCATTTGAGAACACCTTCACGATTATTTTGAGATGTAACGAAGCGTTTGAGACCATTTATTGGCAGGTACAATAATAGAAACACCAAGGTAGGCTGGAGTCGAACATAATAGGCATCAAGGAGCACCCGCGCTCCGAGGCCGCCAGGCCACCACACTGGCAATGAGAACCACAGCAAGTAAATGAATAAGTTTAGTCAGGTGTTCAGTTAACGTTGACAAGGTGTTTATCAATTCTTTCTACTTGGAACAAATAATGTACCTGTGCTCATTTATAAGGTACTCAGAAGCAGGGTCATGGAAACCGCACTGCCTTCGCAGCTGATATTGGAATGATTAGTTAGGCAACGATGATCGTAGAGTATAGGATATGGCTGTGCGTCTAAATAAGCAGATTTTCCAGTTCTGTACGGCTTGACTTGTTGCTGCGTGCCTACGTTTCTTCAGAAATTACTTCGTGCTCAGCCTCGCAGAATGTCTTCCTCTACTCGCCACTCCTAATGTGCACGGCCTGATCGTCGGCTTGCTTTAGCAAAAGCAGGCTACTGAGAGGTCATTAGACTGGCTTGCCATTTAAAGTCTGTGAAAGTCTTGAATGTGCTATACCAGCTGTATTGCTTTAAGAAAACGTGATTACCACTTGTGAGATCGACATTAGTTTTTAAAGTAGGCAGTCATGATCTCAGACATCGTGTGTAAAGGTTAAGTTTCATTCTTTCCAGGTGTATCGCCTTTCGAAATAATGCGATATAATAGCACCCAGGTATCCTTTCCGATAACTTATTCAATTACATAATCATTTTCTATCGGATAAATGACCGTAGGATAACCAGTCATAGTATCACCAACTCCAACATAACCAGCTGTGGGATAGCCAGCTGTGGGATAGCCAGCTGTGGGATAGCCAGCTGTGAGATGATAGCTGTATATATACAGAAATAGATAGACAATTTCACGTGTAGACCGAACAATGCTAGAGTAACCTTTTAAAGTTCATTTTTTATTTCAAGACCTACGATAAGATTCTGAGGTATTCATACACCTCTCGCAACGTGGACTCCGGCAAGAAGACCTGGCGAGTAATCTCTATGAGCTAGCATATATGGAATAAGCTGTGTAGAAATTATCTGGTGGAATTGGTTGGATGTTTCTACTCGATAAAGTTTCATAAGACATCCCTTTCAGAATATTCCAAGATTCCACATACGCTTCCATATTGACATCGCCTCTCCCCACATCGTCAAATATACTCAGCGCAAATAAGATCACCACCAAGGTCCATCACCTCCGCAATGGTAGCATTTGGGATGATTCCAACCATCCAAAGCGTATGGTTGAGAGTCGTCGTGTTGCCCGGATCTCCATCGTAGTCCAGTACCGCAGCACTAGGGTATGGAACCTCGTTTGTGATAAGAAAGTTTGCGAGAGGCACATTGCGGCCAGTCATATCTGTCAGCCGAGCCGTCAAGTTGACCTGCTGCCATTCCCACCAGAGCCGATCGAGATTGGTGTGGTGTAGGAAGAACAGTGGATCTCCAGGGCTTCCCGAACCGTCGAGCATCTGGATACAATCGTCAGAACCTCCACATCCTCACTCAATAAGATATATTTCATGACTAAGAAATTGATTGAGGGTGTCACTTACCGTTCCGCCTATGGCTGCGTGGCCAGCGGTGTGCGGCTTGGACTTGTAGCATTGCCAGGCTTCGGAGTAGTTGGAAGACGCGAAACATGCGTCCACATAAGTGCTGTTGCCATTCTGAATGGACGTCGGACTAAAGTCTCGGCTAAGACAGTAATCGGCGTAGTTACTTGTCCGATTCATGTGCAGGGTCAGATTGGCAAATGGGCCGTCTGTCACACAAAGATCATCGCCGGTCCCAGTGCCGCCAAATCCAGAGTCAGGATCAAACAACGCAGACTCGTTGAATGCAATACCAGCGGCTATGTCCTCAGTAGTTGACAGCTCATCCCAGTACGGCTGAGCCCCTGTATAGTTACACTCGGTTTGCAAGAGAATTTCGTGTGCCCGCATGTAAAGCCGGTGCCAAGGCAGGAAAGAACCAGTGTCGTGGACCACATTTGTCTGTACTATATGCGAGTAGTGAAGCTCATCCCACCGCGTTATGGCACCTTCAATTGTGCCGGTCTTTGGAGGCGAGTTGATGAGGCAGAGCTCAGCCTCGATGTAAGCCTGCTTCTCTTCGGTAGTCAGGGCAGTCCTGCCACCTGAAGTCAGTAGGGAGACTCCACGGAGAAGTGAGGAGCAACACCTACCATGATTTTCTCTGGTTCAGCGAGGTGCACGCCTCGGTGTCTTGTCGAGGTAATAGATACGCATGAGAACACGAAGAGACTGCAAGAAGACCAGAAAGGAGAACGCGAGCAATCGAGTGAGACATAGCGAAGGAATGCAGCTAAGCAAACGAATGACTGAGAAAGAGTGTGTGCGCCGATGAGGGCAACGAGAGTGGAGGCGCTTGAGAATCTACCAAAGGATTCAATACAGATCACACTTGTAGAGTCCTCCTTATATGCCGAACATTGATAGTGAGAGATATCTTGTGGATGAAGAACCCAAAGGCTGCTGTGCAATTTGTTGCTATTACTCGCGAGGGTCTCTGGGCCGCCCACAAACCGGCACCGAATTCGTCATCACTAAACCCCGTATGCAACTCAACTCTTTGTTATATTGCCATACGGAAGCTTACGAAGAGCTCCCCTGAATGTAACACGCGTATCCAAATGATCAACCCAACGCTCTAGGCCAGGAAGTGACCTCGAGCGCGACGTACTACCTAGGTATCGAGAGACTACGCATGCACCACCGACTATTCATTGCTCGGCCTGAAGTGACCCATATGTATTGTTTCCGGTAGCTCTAGCAGAAAGAGAATTCAATGGGCTCGCCTACTAGGTGGGTTTATAGTGATCCATGCGGGAGATCATCATTAATATTCACGAGGGACTGAACGCGTTTGACTCCACAGGACGCGACACTTCGAATTCACAACTGCTCCATGGGAGGAACCAAGCGATATACTACAAGTTGATCAACCTGCAGAGAGGTCAGGGGTAACGGCGATCTCCTTAGCAATACAACGTTGTCTGTGTTTATACACCCCGGCAGGATCCCGGCAATTTCATGCTTTGGCCGGCTGACCACGCGGCCTTTCCCACGACGGGAAGACCAAAAATTTCCCGACCGAAAGCGAAAGTCGGATGAACTTTACGTGTTGATTTGCTCCTTTTCCTGTTGAGGGGCAGGGAAAACAGTTTGACGCTGATCTCGTGAATTCATCGTGAGGATGGACAAACCGCGTCAGCATCTGGATGCAGGCATTGACGATACGGGCCTCTCTGCACTGGTCGCCTCGTTGCTCACTTCAGACAGTTGTTCCCCGTAGTGATTGCGTAATCCATATCGATTCATTGGCTTGGCGCAAGCCGTCGATCAAAAATGTGACGCAGCTAAGATTCGGCCCACAAACAGAGGGCTTCATGACGACTCGATCAGCAACACAAGACAATCCGAATATTATCGATATGGCAAGCAACTCGACTCAGCCACGCACGTTCAGTCCGGAAGGGGTACCGGCACCACCGCCGACCTACAACCACGTTGCAGTCACTCCTCTGCTCTCATCCTCCCGACTCGTCACGCTTGCCGGGATGACCGGGTGCGACCCCGCCAGCTCTGAAAACCCCCACACAGTCCATGAGCAAGCCCCTATTGCGTACGAGAAAATTCATAAGGCACTTGCCGCTGCTGGTGCCACCCCGCGCGATATTGTTCAAGTATATTTCTCATACCATTAATTCTCCGCGTATTCGTATTCACTCGAGGGGCAAACATCTGACTGATGATGCTCAACAAGGTCAGGCATTACATCGTAAAGGAGACGGGTAATGCAGAAATCGACCGCCTAGATGTGGTAGACCGTGGCTGGGGTGACTTATGGATAGAGTTCATGGACAGGACCGCCGATGGTCATCGCCCTCCGGATACCGTTGTGGGAGTGGCCAGTTTGGCGAAAAGCGATATACTATATGAGTGCGAGGTATGGGCTATTGTAAGTAAGTAAGGGTATTACTTCTCGCAGTTCTAAGCCGCGTTGTGTGCAAAGGGTCAGGGTCGAGACAGGTTGAACTATTGTCTTCATACTTTTTCGAGAATGGTATTATGAAAACGACGACAGCAGCTATAGCTCTGAGAACGAGCACGTTGTTTTCAAAATCTACGGCTTCAAACTTGGCTGCTTGAGTATTAGGCTATCAGTGCTTTATCCTGGTATTTCGATCACTATTACAACAAAGGACATAGTTTCTGCACCCTTACGCATGTAAATGAGCAGATATCATTGTGCAGACTCGGCCTATTCCAAACCGTGCTCTCAGAATTGCACAAAAAACACAGTCCCAGGGGAACTGATCCCCATTTAAAAGGCTCGTAATTGTTGCAACTCATTTCAGACCTTCAGCTTCTGTGCAGAGTACGAAGAGACGTTTACGATGCACGACTTCAGAATGACGACGCCAGACCCTGTCTGCTCTGCTTGTTCGAATAGGAGTACTCAACTCATCAGGGGTAACAAGTCTAGTCACAGAGAAAAGGTAGGTCCAGGATAGAGCCCTGAAGATAAGGCTGGAAATGAGACCACAATAGAATGAGCACTGAGGCAAAATGACACGACGTAGCTGGATTTACTTCACCTGGCTATTCCAACAGGACATCTAGAATGAGTTCATCCATCGGGATTCCTGTCTATTTCCCGGACTTTTGGGATCCTTGCGAGTTGATTGAGGATTGTCCGACAGCTGCCACATGAGTAGCCCACAGACAGTTTTTGAGGTTTGGCTGCAAACCGCTCTATACATGCAAAAGTGCGAAAGGGCGACTAGCTATCCTGAAAACTAAGATGGGTGGCAGTTCCGCGCACGAAGCTAGGAAAATTTCCACTGCAGACAGTTCACAGACATGAGGAGGATCTCCTGGTGTGAAGGACACCAGGAAAGCGTTGCGGATCAAACCCATGACCCTTCCCAGAGTGCTTAGAAAAGGTACGCTCTTACTTGCAACAGCGAGCCCATCGAACGTCTGAGACGAGTAAACAGAATCGATTTGACCAAGTCTTTAGGCCATATCACCAGATTTAAGTCCCGTACTCAATTGCAGCGTGGGCTTAGGTCTCTAAATATAGGCTTTACATCAAGCCAACATTTAAGATAAAAGACAGCTAACATGCTAGTTCACCTCGACGCATGAAAAGAAGTGTTCTTGAACGCAGCAAACTTTTTAGGCGTGGAGAAGGTATGGACTAACAACAGCCTGGGCTCGGGTTACAGCTGAGTCGGCCTGATTCGCCACGGTCCGTGGGACAAAAGAGACCAAGGCCGTTTAATGCCTCCGCGGGCCCAGAAGCGACTGTCATGACTTGGCGAGATCTTGCGTACAACTCTAGAGGTGACAAGATCATAGGCGAAACTCTTGGTCATCCCGCAGAGGTGCAGCCTAGCTTTATGCGAAAGCTTGGCCACGATTAAGCAAAAAATTGTGGGCGTCGGGCTCTGTGAGGCTCGACGTCCAAGAGTCGTGTCTCAGACAGTGCCAGGTTTGCTGATCCCTGCCCACTAGCCCAAACATGAGCCCTCTTGGCTTGCTCTAAGATATTTTTGGTCCCTGTAGTTCAGACGAAGCTGATCTTTCGAGATCCAGACTTTCGGGTGATGAACATAGTTTGGCCTAGGTGACGGGTAGAAATAACAATAGACACTAATTTATATTTAGCTTGTTTTGCAGATATCTAGGCACGCTTCAGTACTGGCAGCGAATGTTTTGATGGATGGACGAAGTGGGCGCTTTACGGCATTCAAGGTAGAGCGTTGCTTTGACCTTGATTGGGAGGCAGATCGTGCGTCGGGGCTTGAGTCAGCATAAAGGCTTGCAAACCTGTGCTTGGCATCATCGCTACCATAATTCCATGATATGACTCGGCTAGGGAGGTGACAAAGCCATATAGCAATGCTTGATATGGCCCAAGACTGCGGAGGTCGGTCAGACACCCGGGGCGCTGGATCGCCAATTACTGCAGCCAAGGTCCGCCAAGCTGTCTGAGCAGAGTCCTTCCCCAGAACTTTTCGGCACCATCTGGTCTCGGAGTCCAGGCGTTCCTGTTTCTTGCCTCTGTCCAAGACTTTTTTTCGTAAGGGTGTCAAACACTGACTGATTCACCGGACCGTCTTCACGGCCCTCAATTTGGATACCGTTGGCAGCGCACATAGGCAGACACCCTTGCCTGGAGTCCTGATGAACGACGAACCAGGCAGCTTGAGGTAGCACATCCTTGAAACGGCACGCGATGTTTCAACGGATGGGTCCTTGATAAGATCCCCAGTGTTCCCTCGTCCCAACTTCAATCAGCAACCATCTCTATTCTGTCATTCTCTTCTCTCCAAGTCAAGCTGGTCTGGAACCGCTCATTACCGCGTCTTCCTACTTTATAATAACTTCACATTTATCCACAATCACCATTCACAATCCCACAAGATGTATACTCGAAGCATCCTTCTCTACCTGGGCGCACTTGCGTGGCTGACCCAAGGTGCACCTCTTAATATTAACCTGGGCGCTTATTCTCCTGCCTTGGTGGTCGGTGATGGAGAAATTTCTTTCGGTGGCGAGGCCGAGGGAGGAGCCGCCGCCGGCGGCGAAGGTGGTGCAGCAGGTGCAGAGGGTGGTGCAGGCGCTGGCGAAGGAGGCGCTGGAGCTGGAGCGGGTGGTGCAGGAGCTGGCGAGGGAGGAGCTGGAGCTGGCGAGGGCGGTGCTGGCACAGCAGGAGGAGAAGGAGGTGCTGCCGCCGGAGGAGAAGCCACCACTGCCTCTGCTCAGGTAAGAACGACATCTAAAAAGTACTCCCCGAAGAGCTTCAGACTGATGGCATACATGACAGGATTTCTCGGCTTTGCAAGGCATGGGCAAGCAGAGACTCCCCAAGTCTCGATCATAAGCACGGTTTCGACAGGCTTTGATGAATGAAGCGACCAAAGCCGCGGCAAAGACAGACACACACACACACAACAGTAAGAGGGGGGTTTCTGACATGGCTACTCCGACATGTGACCGTCCGCAGGCACATGTCATCTAGTATCAGTCGTACTTGAGGAGTACTTCGGTTTCACATGCCTCAAGGCATGGAGGCTTTACCAGCTCGATACCCAGTGCAAAAGCAGGTCTGGCAGAATTACATGGGATACATACAGACTATATATTTTACTATAATAGACAAAGGGCATGCGAATACCCAGCTTACAGGGGATATGTGATGTGCAGATCAATATCATACAAAATCCATGATGTTAAAGATGATAGTGCTTTAGTTATTTATGAGCTTAAGCTCGGGTGTCCGCTTTGCGGCCATGCTATTTATTTCGAATAGATAGAGTAATAAAGGAGGGGGGCGGTCCATAAAAAGGAAGTAATCTCTTAAAAAAACCTGTTCTAAGAAATTCCCCTATAGAGCAACCTTCAGTGGGATAGCTTTTTGTGGAATAACTTCCTTTGGGATAACCTTGTGGGATGACTTCCTGTGGGAATAGTTTCTGATGGGTAACTTTCTACATGGGAAAGCAAATAAGCTACAGGGGGCTCTGCAATGATGCGTTGCGATTTTTGAGAGTGTATTTTTATAGTGATGATGCTCGAATGGTTCATTCATCCATTACAGTTCAATTTTCAGGGGGTCCGACAAATGGGAGTAACAGAGGCACAACATTGAAGAAACAGAAAATGTTTACCGTTCGGGTACGGTCCCCTGTTCGGTGCTTTCCCCGAAATCTGACAATTTGGACCAATTCACCTTTGGACTGCGTGGAGGTAACGGAGCAACATAGTCACACACCTTGGCCGGGGAATGTGATGGCCGTATTCGGGTGAGACGTTAAGTGCTTCCTTCGGGCCATGTGCTCTCATGTGCGACAAACGGATCAACTCTAGGTAAGCCGTACTCCTTTAGAGGACGCCCTCGTTTAGAATACGAATATTGCTTCACTAACCCGTAACCGCCTAGCCACTTGTTACTCTTCTGTGTGTTCAAAGTGTAGCGTTCATGACAATTATATCGATCCCCTTTGAATAAGTTTAATTTTAGGCAACTCACTCAACGCGTGAGGTGGCACTCTTTTGAAGCCGTGGCTCTTCCTGCCTCTCTGGACATGGATATTTGATTGTTCACTGTCACATGGTAATTTCTGTCCCAGTCGCAGCGAGTGACTCCTCGCCTGTAAAGAGTGTCGTGCAGGATCAACTAGTCTCCGCCATCAGCTCGGCACCCAGGCGCATGTTGAAGCTGCTTGGAACATACGAATACGAAACGTAGGGTTGTGCTGAGGTTGATTCACTACTCAAATGATCTGCAAACTTGTCTTGTGAATGATTCAAATATGCCTCTTCACGGACGCGCTCGGGAACGGTAACCAGTCAGCTGACGTGTCGAGGCTTGAACAGGAAGTATTGACCGTGACATTTAAGCCGCTTCCCCGCATGTTGCTCGATTGTTTTTTTATGTTGTGCGCTCCCAGATGCACCCTTGCACTGCTGCGCAGGAACCCGGGGAATATTTGACTAGAACCAGACCTGGCTGCTAAGCCTCCTTGAGCAGCACTAACAAGCGTTCGCGCAGAATTGTCAAATGTCACTAAAGTCTAATAAACTAGCTCAGAGCCCAATCTGAAGATAACACTGAACAAAGTCTGGCCAGACGCGACCGCCCCCGCTTGTTGTCAAAAACTCGTCTCCTCACGTTCACCGGGCCTGTCAGGATCAACCCAGCCGCTGAGGAACTGACCTGCAACCATCTTGATTTGAGGCGTCGGTTATGATTCGACAAAGCCGCCCGTCTCGCTTAGCTGTTCCTGTCGGCGAGCTCCTCCAGCCCCCATTTGCCAGTTCAGGAACCTTGGGAGCTGCTTACCCTCCACCTTCTCTGCTACGCGCCAGAACTCCAACGTATGAGGGGCTGGCATCTGCAATGATCTGCCCGCCCGCCCAAGCGGCCCAAGAGTGTGGTGCGTTAGCTTGGATGAACCTCTCCGATGCCGAGGTCTGGTCGTGGCTTTACGAGGCATTGGATGAAAGATCTTCACATGTGCGCGCCTCCTTGACCGCTCCAGGCACATGCACTTGATCGACCGTTGCATCTGGGACGTGGGAAGAGCCGTCTGGAGTGGCCGGAGCTAGGGGAAAAGTCGTTGCAGTTCCAAATCTCATCAAATTTTTGGGCGCTCAAGTCCAGCTTGTCCGAGAATTTTTTCCCCCTATAATTGTAAATTACCGATTATCATGTCTCTTGAACAATGATTCTGATGAGGTCATCGATAAATCGACTGCCGTCAAGCCCCTGCTGCATGTGCATTGGGGGAAATGAGATACCAACATCTTGCCGGCGTGCCGGAGTAAAAGCTTGTGCCGACCCTCCAGTCTTCCAGAATAGTTTCTACCCCACGGGGTAATGGATTGGGATCCCCGCAATGTGCAGCGCAGCGTCGTACAGATCTAAGCTCGGTGCCAGGTAGTATGCCCAAAAAAGGCAACGGCCCGGCGTGGCACCCGGAGACTACTCCCATATCGTCAATACATCCTTTCACTCTGGCAGTCAGCTGGCCTTTTTTCTGGGCAGTACGAATCGGGAATATTTGGAACTGCATGCAGAGACGGTGTAGTCTTCACACACCTATGATCGCCATTTGTATATGTGGAGAGACAATTGGGCGTCGGGAAGATACCAGTCCGACGACCGACTTCGTAGATAAATGATCAGCAAGATCCTCTCTCCTGTTCGTGATGGCCCTCGACTGAAGCACTGCCAGTCTCGTCTTGGTGAACTTGTCTCCCGCGCCGGCCTGACTGCAGAATCCTCGACTGGTGGCTTTTTGCAACTCCTTCAATCAGTCAAGCGACAGCAACAATGAAGGTTTTTTCCGTGTCGGTTTGGGCCTCTCTTTTGGCCTGCGTGCTGGCTCTGCCAGCTCGCCAGGGGTCTTCTCCCGTGATAAACGGTCGAGCAGCCTCACCAACTGTCGTCCTCTCCCCGTCCAACACCCTCGTTGGGCTGGCGAGCGGTGATGTTGAAAAATTTGCAGGCATCCCGTTTGCAGACCCACCCACTGGGTCTCTACGACTCAAGCCGCCCAAGAAGTTATCGACGAATCTTGGCGATGCCTATGATGCCATCAACCCAGCGGCAGCCTGTCCACAGATGCTTGTCTCGTCAGGCGAGAACCAGAGCCTGTTCCTTCAGGTTCTTGGTGATCTTGTCAGCCTGCCGATCATCCAGGCAGCAACAAACCAGAGCGAGGACTGCCTGACAGTCAGCGTGATCCGCCCAGCGGGCGTGACAGCTGGCGCGAATCTGCCAGTTCTATATTGGATCTTCGGGGGCGCGTTCGAGGTAAGACAGCCGGGCACACGAGAAGTCCCACATGAAGATGCTAATCAAGACACAGCTTGGATGGGCTGCCATGTACGATGGAACAGACCTGCTAGACCAAGCTATCAGCCAAGACCAGCCTTTCATCTTCGTTGCGGTCAACTATCGTGTCGCTGGATTCGGCTTCATGCCCGGCAAGGAGATCCTAGCCGATGGATCTTCCAACCTGGGTCTCCTTGACCAGAGGTTGGCTCTGGAGTGGGTAGCTGACAATATCGAGGCTTTCGGAGGCGATCCTACGAAGGTGACGTTGTGGGGCGAGTCCGCGGGTGCTATCAGTGTCTTTGACCAGATGGCTCTGTATGGGGGCGATAATACTTACAACGGCAAACCACTATTCCGAGGAGCTATCATGGACTCTGGTAGCATTGTCCCTGCGGACCCGGTGGACTGCCCCAAGGGACAGCTCGTCTACGACACTGTTGTACAAACAGGAGGCTGCTCCGGAGCGAGTGACACCTTGGAGTGTCTCCGCGCTCTCCCGTATGACAAATTTCTGAACGCAGCCAATTCAGTCCCAAGTTTCCTTGGATATCAATCCGTGGCTCTCTCATACCTCCCAAGGCCAGACGGCACAGTGCTTCCCGACAGCCCCGACGTGCTGGCTACTCAGGGCCGATACGCCGCAGTACCCATGATCAACGGTGACCAAGAGGACGAGGGAACCATATTCACACTCTTCACCTCTAATCTGACCACCACTCAGGAGCTTCTGGAGTACTTGGCGACTTATTACTTTACCGGTGCCACGACTGAGCAATTGGAAGCCCTGCTCGAGACCTACCCCCAGGACATCACACAGGGCTCACCGTTCAGGACCTCCCTCCTCAATGAGTTGTACCCCCAGTTCAAGCGAATCTCCGCATTGCTTGGAGATCTGGTCTTCACCCTCTCTCGTCGCGGTTTCCTTGATGTCACCAATGCTGTCAACCCAAGCGTTCCGTCATGGAGCTACCTGGCAAGCTACAACTACGGAACTCCCTTCCTGGGAACGTTCCACGGGAGTGACCTGCTGCAAGTGTTCTTCGGAATCTATGACAACTACGCCGCGAAGAGTATACGGACGTACTACTACAACTTCTTGTACAGCCTCGACCCTAATGTCGGCTACGGAAGTTATCCAAACTGGCCGCAGTGGAAAGACACGGGCAGCGGGAATCAGCTGGTCCAATTTTATGCCCTGTCACAGAACTACCTGGCTGATGATTTCCGGAACGATTCTTATACCTTTATCAGGGAGAACATTAATTCGCTTCACATCTAGTCATGTCTTGTGGGTAGCATGTTATGAATGAAGTTACGAGTAATGAGGGCCGGACTGAATGCTGAATGCCATTTAATGTCCAAGCTATGATAACGCTAAAATTAAGCAAAAGTCAAGCAATTAATGATTGATTCCTTACAATGCGCGCGATTTCGCTTCCTCGGCTAACGAACCGCGGCTTTAGAAGTTGGCGATATCACTGCTGGCTCTTCCGTTTTCTCAGGCCTATATAAAGTGATCCTTGTGTAATCTCGATCACCTCACTTCGGAATGAGACGGAAGTTTTCTAAATGGATGATAACGGAGTGATATTTGCCGAGAGGTCAGCCTTGAGATCAGAACTCCGTCACGATACTCATCAAGACCCAGCGCGCAGAGCCTGGCTGTTCAGGAACATCAAGTAAAGGTTCCATCCGTGATGATGTTACTCCTTACTCGCATGCAGAAAGTACTGTTGAAGATCAATTAAGATTTAGATAAGGGTCTATATAAATGGCCCGAGGCTTGGAATGACCCAGATGATGGATGGAGTAATCGCCTAAGATTTGGTCATCTATAAGATTATTACCTGTTGGATAATCTTCAGTGGGATAAAGTCTTACAAAAAGTCTCTAGTGGGATGATTGGTGGCAGGAAGGTGCCAAGAAAATATTGATGTATATGGTTAGGGACTGGCATAACATAAGCGACTTATTTAGTATGCATGCGCGGACAATTGCGGACAGTCTGTTCACACTTGGGGCCCGTGAAGTTTGATTCATCAAATCGAAGTCGTCTTTCAACGACTTCAGTTGTTTGATTATCCTGGCTCCACAACTATATATCGTTGAAAATGTACAAGCAGCCACTCCTTCGACGGACACGCCAGCGGGCCTCTCATCTTTTCTCTTGCATAGTACTCTGTTCCGGCTTATCCTTCTTGCCATCATCCGCCCTGAACCACAACGACCAGCCTGACTTCCTGCTTTCATCATCCGAAGAGCCTCTCTTGGATTTGAACAAGTCCAGGGGTGGCTGCAGGAGGAAGGCAAAGGAGAACCGGCTTTCCCTGGGTGAGGAGCCGCCGCACGTCGTACACGACGACACAGATGAAACGCTGCCTCGATCCGCGGGACGGCCGAGGTGTGGGTGTTTCGTACACGGACGCGGATCGGTTGAATTGTGCAAGCGAAGTTTGTTCTGTAGTTTTTGCACCGGGCAGTTCACGGAAGCTGCAGGCTCGAGCTGTTGTGCCAATGGCTCGCGCGACTCCGTCACCTGTGCAGTAGGTGACGGCGGTACGATGGGTTCGTCGGTCCGCGATATTACCGATCGAACTTCAGGTACTGGCGACAGCGTGCTTCCGACGAAGAAGCCGTCCAAGTCCTGGTCAGAAGTCTTTGTCTTCGATCCACCACGGCTAACCAAGCCCTTCAAAGACTTTTGGATGATGGGCAGTGGCCTCTCGAGGATCGAAGGGGAAGCCAAGTCATCATCGTCGTGATCCCATGCGGATGGTGATCGAACCCTGCTCAGTCTTCCTGCTGGGGCCATGCGGGACTCGGTCATTTCTGGCTCAGGAGTAGATGTTCGGCTTGGGAGTCTCTTCCCGCGCCCCATGAATCCACCCCGGACACTCTTAAACGGCTGTTTGAATGATCGCAGGTAACCCTTCCTCCTGAGTCGGAAAAGGATCAGGATCAAAGTGCCGATCATTGCCACAGCAGAAACACTGCCGACTAATAAATTGTCAGTCAATTGTTATATCTCTATGTTCATTACAACCACTTACCAGCGATTCCTGCCATCTTTCCAGAGGACATGACAGGCCCGGGTGAAGTAGCATCGTTGCTGTTGGCGAGTGCGGATGGAAGAGGAGCTGATGCCAGAGACGGAGTCGGAGCGAGCTCGGCAACCAAGGAGCCCGAGGCGGAGGGTGGTACGACAACGGGCAGTGGTACAGGTGGAGGAGTTGTCTGTGGTGAGAGTGAGACTTGGGTCTGGGCAGCGAGAGGCGGTGTTGAGACGCTGAGTGAAGAAGAGGCGGGTATTTGCTGCTGCGTCGTGCTAGTTGATATGGGTGTACTTGAGGTCGAAGAAGTCGAGGTCAAAGATGAAGATGTCGAGGTTTGTTCTGGAGGTGGTGGTGGCGGCGGTGGTTGGGCTGCGAGAGGCGGTACTTCTTGTGAGGGAGCAGCAGCAGCAGGAGGGGGAGGAGGAGGAGGCTGTTCTGTAGGCTCAGCTTGGGGGGTGGAGGTTGTCGTCTGCTCAGCTGTCGAGGTTTGCTCTTGCGTCGTCGACTTAGATTCCTCTGACTTGGACTGGTTGTTGTTCCCATTATTATTATTGTTGTTATTATTATTGTTGTTGTTATTGTTGTTGTTGTTATTGTTGTTGTTGTTGTTGTTGTTCTCGTTGGGATTCTGTCCCTGATTTTGGGTTTGTCCTTGTCCTCTGTTGCCCCCCTGGTTCTGCTGGCCCTGCCCTCGATTACCGTCTTTGTTCTGACCTTGGTTCTGCCCTTGATTTTGGTTTTGGTTTTGGTTCTGGCCTTGGTTCTGTTGGCCTTGTCCTCGGTTGCCTGGGTTCTGGTTTCCGTTCTGATTACTCTGCCCTTGGCCTTGCCCTTGATTTCTATTGCCCCCTTGGTTCTGGTTTTGGTTTTGTGAACCTCCCGGTGGCCCTCCATTCGGGGGTCCATTGGCCTCTCTTTGAAAATCATCGGGATTTGGGCCGCCTTGCGGCGATGGTGGTCGTCCTTGGCCTCGTCCTTGTCCGTTGCCTCCGTTGGGACCCTGCCCCCCGCGGCCATCGTTGTTTGGATCGGGTCCTCCTCGTCCACCATCATTGGGAGGAGGTCGACCTGAGCCACCGCCCTGTGGAGAGTTTGGTCGGTCAGGGCCTTCGGGCTGACCTCCGCCACGCTGCCCACCTCCTCCGTTGCCTCCTCCTTGCTTTTCTCCTCCACCTCCATTACCGCCGCCTCCACCACCACCTCCGCCGCCTTCTTCTTTGCCCTTTCCTTCTTGCCGGCGTTGTGCGGGCCAGGCACTGCCCTGGGGCCGTCGGAGGACTCCCATACTCCAAGTAGACATGGATCGCAACCGCTATGACGAGATCCGGAGAATTAAACAACGGCAGATGCTGATCGAACCTCGATACCGAAATTCAACCTGTCACCACAATCGAAGCATCGTGTCCGGTGATGCGTGCGCTCGGAAGCTTGAAGGAGAAGCGGGCCCCGGAGTAACGGGCCTTGCTGGGGACGGGGTACATTAAGGACTAGTTCTGCGGCAGAAGAAACATATGAAAAGCCAGGCCGGCCCGGATTTCAGAAAGCATCTGTGCTTCTTGTTGGCGACTATGGTGGTGAAACATCCTCAGCGGGCGGGGGGCCGCACTGGCACACTTGGGCTGATGTGCTCGCTTCTCCTGGACCCCCCGTCTGTGCCCACCTTGCCAGCATTGCCATGCAACCATTAAACTCCCGTCAACTGACATGTGTTCGGCCTCTTTGGAACCCAATCTATTCACGGGAGATCTGCCGTGTTGGGATTGTTCGCAAAGCCGACTCAGGGGGGCAAGGCCTTGATTGGGGGCTGTTGAATGTTGGCAGCAGCTGGCACAGTGGCGTTTCGACTCTCAAACGCCAGGCATTGGATGCAGGCATAGGTCTGCTAGGCACGCTGGCTTTGTATGGGGTAAGCTTTGGCCTAGAGCATCGGGCCAAACGTGGAATTTTCAGTCCAAACGAAACCAAGCACTAGCCACAGGCACGGATGTGTAGCGTCCGAGCAGGTGTGCACAGCCGGGGGTGGGTCACACACACCTCCACAGTTGAGTTGACTCTGGGGCATTTTTTGCCGCCGGGGCGCCCAACGTGATTGGGGACGACTTCAGATGATTTCAGACGACAAGAGCCGTGCTGATTTAACGGCGACGCCTTCAGCTCAGCTGATTTCGAACTGGTGGCCTAAACGGGCCAAGGTTTGGATTTACTTCCTAGGCTTGAGCATTAATCATTTGATCTTCGCGACTCTGTCTAATTCTGCTGGTGTTCGACATCGGGAGATCTTCTATGCTTATTCTCGAAGAAGTAAGGTGCCCACCCAACGGGAGCTACAGTAGATCGTGCTCGAGTTCAGGAAGGACTGCGACAATTTTGTCAACGGGTCAAGTTACGAAAGAACCAGAATTGATCCCGCTCAAATAAATGGGGTTGGAAAGCGTCCTATTGCTCTTCCTTTCATACTCCGAGGACCATATAGCCAAACACGACTAACCTAACCTAGAAGTATATGCCGGAGCAAAAAGCCACAAAAAGCCACCTCCTGAGCGAATTCCCCCTGCTTGGAGTCCTCGGCCAAGTAGCAGCGGCATGGGAGAAACAGCGACTTCATCAACCTGCTGAACCAATTGCCGACAAATGAGGGTAAAAAGTGGCTTCCACATCCTTGGCCATCTGCGGCTCCGGCTGCCGAGGGAGGATTGTGTCACAAATTCGGCTCAAAACACCAGGGTTTTTAAGCTCAAATGGCCCCTGTTCGGGGATTTACCTCTACCGTTTCGTGCATTCGGTACCACCGTAGCGATAACTCGGTTGGGAAACACGGCGATCTAATGTGCAGGCTGGAAATGTCATGTGCTCGCTTCCTACGCTGGCACATGCACATGCACATACACAGGCGCATTGGACCCGCGAGAAAAAGCATGAAGGTGATGCGTGTGAGGTATAAAGCAGCAACATGCAAAGTATTGAATTCAGATACGTGTGTTGCAAAGTTTCTAGAGCATTAAGCACAGCCTCATAGTTTTTGTGTCTGTGCTGAAGCAGGGAAAGGATCATGCTCCTCACCTAAATCCAGCAGACATGGGTTTGTGGGGGTTACCCCTGGCTCTTGCAGTTGCTCTGTGTTTCGAGGTCTTTCGAGGGTTATACCCGGACATTTGCAAACGCTTGGTCACATATTTAACTCTCACTTACAGTGGGCGGTTTGTTGAGTGCGATCCAGGCATGAGAATTGTGATTTGCTGTATACTAGTAGATCTCGGGCTGTGCTCGCACGTCAGAGTCCAAAATTTTGATGACATGAGATGCTATGAACGGGAAATTGAAATCCCTGCGCTGATGGTTGGTCAAGGTGTATCTGAGCTGGCTGGGTCGAGGGGCTGTTAATTCATCAGCAGTGGTATTTGTCAGATTCCCCAGCACTTGAGCCAGACCAGCAAAGCTGATGAGCACAGCGTCATGCCAACGCAAATGTAACGAAGAAGAAGACTGATATCGGAGATAGTGAGGGGAAAAGTTCATACATTGATCTGGAAGTAATCAAGTACACATTGGACTCGGGAAAAATACCAACCTCAAGCTATGACTAATTCTTGTCTTGCACACATAAGCGCCAACCACACAGCTAATAACTGGATCAACCAATGACAGCATTTGTCAGCCAGACGAGGAGATTTATATACGGCACGATTGTTGAATGTAAACAGTTGTTTAGGAGTGAGCACCATGTTCACGAGTCCTACTTCGAAAAGCTCACAGGCCCGAACTTCAGTGTATGGGAAAATGGCTCCAACAGAATTGCCTTTACTAGTTGTCTTCGGAGCAACCGGCTCGCAGGGTCGCAGTGTGATCACAGCCCTGCAGACCTCCAACAATGCGGCGTATCGTCTGCGAGGGCTCACCTCTAACCAGTCTAGTGATGCAGCAAAAGAGCTTTCGAAGAGCGGCGTTGAAGTGGTCGAAGTCGACATAGGGTCAGAGGCCAGTATTCACAGAGCAGTGGAAGGGGCAGAGGTGGTGTTTGCAAATACAGTCTTTCCTCCAGATATATTTGCTTCCCATGGAGCTGCTGCCGCGGAGGAGGCCGAGTCCAAGACTGCCTTGAGGATTGCCCGCGCAGTCGCACAGATCAAAACTCTGAAGCACTTGGTGTGGTCTACCCTTCCCGATGCCAAGAAGAAGACCGCTGGGAAATTACATATTCCTCATTTTCAGTCCAAGGTTGCTGCGGTAGAATTCATTCGCAGCCAGCCAGAGTTGGTCAAGAAGACTACGATGCTATCTGTCGGCATGTATGGATCTAATCTGAAGAATCCTGGATATGTACCAGTCTATGATGTGAGTTCTGGCCCCATATCCTATTGGCACTCGCTAACTTTTACGCAAGGCATCTATCAAAAGATATGTAGTAAAGCTCCCTCTTCGCGCTGATGTCTCATTTTCCAGCATCGGAGATGAGCGCAAGAACATTGGTGTGATCGTATGTGCCATCCTTCGTAGCGGAGAGAAGAGTTACGACAAATGGGTCGTCGGAGAAGCGCACAAGACGACAATGAACAAGGACGTGGATGCACTGGACAAGGTCGTTCAGGAGCAGCTCGGAATCGACAAGCGAGTGATATTTGTGGAAACATCACTTAAAGACTATGAGGTTGACTCGGGTATTTTGGTCACGGAAAAGGGCCCCATGTTTCAGTACTATGAATTGCAAGATGATGCATTCGTTGACTTTGGGCAGGATGGGAAGACATTATACCCACACGAACTCGGGGTCACTCATGCCGAACTGGCAACGGTGGAGGACTGCCTCAGGTCTTTCGACTGGCAGCAAATTCTTCAGGGACAGAGACAGTGAGCTGGGTAGTTCCTTTCATGTTGATGCAGTTGTCCATGAGTCTTCATGGTCCCCGATTTTGATATCACATTCCCTAGGTTTGAAGTGTCACGGGCTCCTATGGTGGTATGGATTGATCTGAAGCTTGTTAGCTCACGTTGTCCAACGGGGCTCAAAAATATAAGAAGACAAGAGAACATATCAGTCTATCCTATGCACGTATGGTCAAATCTATAAGCCGGGGACATCATTCCATGCTTGTCATCGATCATCATCTAGGGATTTCTCATGAACCACTCGCATATGCAAATACCACGTGCAAGAGGAAAGGGCAATGGTAAGAGTCGAGACAGATGGGTACAACGTTCCATCACATACCGAAACATATATGGAAAACATTGTCAATACTCCAGCCGGAGGCAGCTAGAGGCACTGCAAGAACCTCGCCACAGCTCCATTGTGTGACACCCGGACAGCGGAATCATCGGGATCACCGTTACGAGAATCAATCGGTGTGACCCACGCCTTGGTTCTCCTGTACACAGCAGCGCCATAGTACCCGAGTGTATAGCCAAAATAGAAAAAGGCGGCGAATAGTGGTACGCTAGATTAGCGGTCAGGAATCATTGGTCGAGTGCGACTCGACCGATTCTTCACTGCACTGTCAGGTTAGTGGTGCAACTCCTGCAAGTGCGGTCCAAGGCCGTAAAGTGGTGGAAGACTACCAGGTGCGATTCGACACGAGTCAAAATCTAAGACATACCTATAAGCGTTGTCGGCAGCTACGAGCCCGAAAGGAGGGAGCGGGAGCCCGCAAGTGACGTTGGATATTTGGGAATGGGCAGGGAATACGAGGCCTTGGCATCAGCGATCACCGCCGACGTCACCCTGCCAGCCACTCACAGTTGAAGAGGATCAACTTCTAGGCTTCTTCCGTATGCACGCATCTCCAGGTGCCCATTACGAGAGATGCAACAGCTCATTCTTCCTTTGTGAAGTAGTCACGATGGCTGCGCAGAAGGACACCAAGATATTTAAAAGCAAGCCATATTGCCGCACAAACATGCTGTTGATACTCGTACATGTTCACCATCGACTCTAGTCCTTAAATCACATTAAGCCTAAAGAAAATCTACAATACTCTCTGATCCTATCGTACACAACTGCTCTTTTCTCCCATATCACGCCTCAACATGATGCATCGAGTTATCTCATTGATCGTGGCCGCCGCCGCGTGCTGCTCTTGCACGCCCCTCGAAAAGGCGCCTCGGGACTCGGCCGGCTGCTCAGACACATCGTTCGGTGACTTCCATTGGACAGTAGAAGACTTCGACTATCACGCTTCATACATTTTCACTACGCCTGCCCACCAGAATTCGTGGGGATATGTCAACTTCAACCTGTCGAACCCTGCAGTTCCGGATCTTCTGGCTTCGTGTAACGCAGCAAGCAGCCAGCTCTCGGACTTCTTCTACGGAAACTTTCAATACAATTGCACATTCAACGGGGAAGTAGGCCAGCCAGGACCAGCACCGGCCAAGTTCACGTTTAGCCGGCCCTCAGGTGAACTGGTCATTGACCAGTCGTGGGTTTGCAACGACCAAGATCCTCAATACCCGTGAGTGCCACCGATGCCCTGCTCATTAGCCTATATTCCCTAGCTTACATACAACCGATACAGTATCACGTTCTTTGCCACTGGACAGGTCAATTTGACGCTGGACTGCACCGACACTACCTGGCAGAACACGAATTGGACTATGGGCCAATTTTACTCAACCAGAAATGTTGATTGCGCACCGGTGACGGTTGATCTCAAACCGTCTCAGATCTCGGCAGTGGCATAGAATGATCACTCTGAAAGCAAATATTGATAGAGGATGTCTCAGAAGATCTGTTTTACGGGCTGCTTTGGCGTATAGATGGTTGGGAGCTGAGGGGACCCATTCGTGTTTACAAATAATTCCGTAAGAACCTAAGAATTAGTCACACGATAATTAATTCCTGTTGAAAACTTTGATTCGTTTCTCTGCTTCTCGGGAATGACACGGAATACACCATATCCCTCGGACGTGATTGACAGTCGACTCGCAGCTTTCCTGACTTACTGGAGTAGAACCTAAATGCGGTAGATTCGGCCACTATTTCCGCAGGAAGGAAGTATTTCGAAGGCAATCGCCACTTCCGTGTCTAAAGAGCAGTCAATGATGAGTAGCAGCCCAGTTCATGGATGCTTGCGTCTTTACCTCGCACCGCTGGTCAATGAGCATAGGTAGCCACATAGGATGGATAGTGCAGCTGTCGTTCCGTCAACTACGCTCTTTCCCAGGGGAACAGGCGGTTGTCCGACACACAGCAGGTGGAGTAGGAAGGTACTCAACAGACTCTCGTCCTTTGTAATCTGATGTTGATCCTCGAAGAAGGTTGACGTCCTTGGAAACAACAGCAGACAAATAATCAGAAACACAAATACAACCACACACATAACAACGATATCGAACATCAATATTTGCGGGTCTTTCTACCACGGCCTGACGATCTGAGAAGTACTGCGCTTGCCCAATCATCGCACGTCACCTCCATCATGCACTTCAACAGAAATCTCGCACTTGCTACGGCATTTGCAGTCCCCTCCTCAGCGCTTGCAACCCTCTACGAGGACCACCACACCAGTGACGCGGTCGTTCAAGGCAAGTTCATCGTGAAGATGAAAGATGCTATGAGCACTGTCGCAGCAAACGAGGTCGAGAACCTGATGGACACTATCGACTACGTCTACAACGTTGGCTCGTTTAAGGGCTTCGCCGGAAGTCTCGACAATGCTGCCCTCGCCGCTGTACAGGCCCACCCAAGTGTGAGCCCACTCTCGATATCTCCGGAGTCATCCTAGTCTCAAGCCTTGAATGTTGCTGACAGCACAGCACAGGTGGACTACATTGAGAGGGAGGTGGCAGTCCGTGCCAGCAGCTACGTAACACAACACGGAGCCCCATGGGGCCTCGGGCGAATCTCGCATAAGGGTCCTGAGAACTTCACGGATGGTACTACGTACGTCTATGACGATTCTGCCGGCGAAGGTGTTTGTGCATATGTGATCGATTCGGGCATTCGTGTCGACCACGAGGTGAGCGCGTGTCACACTGCTCAAGACATGACGAGTCGAATCTGAGTTTCAATTCTTAGGAATTCGAAGGCCGAGCCGAATCTCTAGTGAATTTTGCAGGTGGCGACGACGAGGACACTACTGGACACGGGACTCACGTTGCTGGTACAAGTAAGTTATCGCATCTGAGAAGGGCGCCTTTCAGTGCATGGTCACGCTCAAAGTAGGCTAATCTATGATCAGTCGGCGGAGCAACCTATGGTGTGGCCAAGAAAGTCAATTTATACTCTGTCAAGGTCCTCGGAGACGCGACTACACTGGAAAACGACATCATGACTTCCAGCGCCGTTGCGGGTATGCAATTTGTTGCCAATGACACACGAACTCGGCACTGTCCAAATGGCACTGTTGCAAACTTGTCCTTTGGCATTACACATTCCCGCGCAGTCAACGATGTGGCCAAGTCTCTCCTCAACATGGGAGTCTTTATCGCTGTTGCTACTGGCAATGAAGGCCAAGACGCGAGCTTCTGGTCTCCTGCGAATGAGCCGGCCCTGTGCACGGTGGGAGCTACAGACAAGAACAATCTCCTGGCAAAGTTTTCCAACCACGGCCCTATCGTAGATATCTTGGCACCCGGCGTCGATATTCTTTCTGCTTCGATTGCCAACACAACTGCTTCGGTAAGTGGTTCATTCAGAGCAGCAAGATGCTATTATTCGACATCATGCATGTGTCAGTTTCAATTCTGATAAGTGACTTCCAGATTTCCTTTAACGGCACTTCTATGTCTGCACCTCATGTTGCTGGTCTTGCCGCATGCCTGCTTGCCTCTCAGCACCTGGACCCGAAGACCCTGTGCGAATACATGGCGAAGACAGCAAATCCATTGATCACCGTTCTTCAGAACAACACCGTCAATCTCGTGGCTTTCAACGGCAACCCAGAGGGATAAGAGGTCCACGCAAATTGATATGCAGTTTGGAGCGACGTCGAGCGGTCGTGGAGGCTTTCTGCCGACAGAAAGACAACAAGCTGATAAGTTTGGAGCCTGGAAGGATCATCCTTCTATGGGACACAGATTTACGGTCCCTGAACTGGGTTGCGCAAATGGAGCGTGTATCGAAAACCAGACCTATGTACCTATATACCTATGTGATGATACAACCTACGAATAGCACGCATCACAAAATTGTAACTGCATGTCAATCAATCTTCACACACTTCAGATGTGCTATTACCATGACTGATCTTTCCAGCCATGTCAAGAATGATCTGCGTTCCACGGTCTCTGCTATGCCTGTATTGCCTTCGTGGGAGCTATCTAGATTCAACGGGTCTTTGATGTTTACTTATTGACAGTCCGGGGGGGGGGCTATTGGATCGTACTCAACCCATATTCCCAAAGTTGTAGTGATGCGCTTGACCATGGTCTAGGCACATGGCGAGGTCTATTCTGAGAAGTGAAGGAGTGTAGTATAGACAGAACGAATCGCTTCCCATGAAATCAAAGAATGAAGAGCAATTATGCACCATTTCCCAATATCTTTTCGATGGATACAAGGGGCTTCAGGTGTCAGTATTCATTCTTAGAATTTAGTAACCAAGTATCAAGCGTGGCGATCACACTGAGCAACTTGCGAGTCTTTCCCTCCAGGCGTTTGTAGACTGCATAAGGAGCTAGTGCATCGAAGTAGGAAAACTCAAACGGGAGGAAAACACAAACGCCTGAGTTCCAATCGACACGTTCAACGGAGCTGTTCCATTCACCACATAATTGTGGAGACCGCCCAACATCTTCGCAAAACAAAAGGAAGCTGCCTTCAGCAACCAACTCTCAACTCTCTTCCCAATACTTCGCACATCGACCGTCAACGACAAGACCTTCTGTTCTCAATCTTTTACCAGACAATCAATACTTGAGACATCGCTTCTCCACAATCACACCATGGCCAACCTGGTTTTCATCCTCGCCGTTCTCGGCTACCTCATCACCAATGTTTGTTTCCTGTCTCCTGCCCGTACCTGATCCAAATATACCCAGAAACATCACGTTACTCACACCAGCCCCAAACACTCATAACCTACTTCTGATCAAGTGCGCTGGACTTTGTCGTCTGCATTAAACCTTTGATCTTGCCTGATGCCATCCAGGTTCTGACCACACTCACAGATTGGTGGCCTCAAGGTACCCATGGCTGGCAACGATCTCATGAGCACCACTTGTACTGTTCAGCATGATGCCGCGGACGCTAGCCCTGTCAACATTGCTGGAAGAAACCAGGATGTGTGGTAAGTTGGATCCGCTCAAGAGCATACACCCGCCCTTTTTCCCAACACAAGGCTTGCACACCTCGGAGTGTAACCCGCACAACTAATCGAATTCTGCGCCTAGGAACCCCCCAAACCACACCCTCCTGAACAACCCTGTGCCTCATGCCAGCAGCTCCGGCCAGCCTCCCGCCACCCCAACTGCTGACAACCCCCCCGGTGTTCCAACTCCTTCTGGCACTGTTATTTGCTGGCGGTTCCCAGACACAAACATTTTCTACACTGAGCTCGGTGTGGGAAAACTATTGCAGCAGGACGGCAAACCCACGATCGATGCTGGCCCAAGCAAGTGTGCCAGGGTGGCCTGCAATTACAGCGGGGCCATATACTGTATGTACTCTTGGCTGGTTCTCCCCTGGCTCTTCCATGGCTCTTCTGACTTCTTAACCAAGGGTGCAACGACAACAACCACAACATCACACTCGAAAACTACGATCGACTCGCATGGGCTGCGACTGACATCTATGAGAAGTGCAACACGAACCTCGTAAGTTTTTGGACGCACTACTGAGCTGTGAAAAAAAAATGACTAACAATTTCTGTAGACGTACGAGGGTTTGACTTCTGGTCGTAAGTTTTACACCTTTTCATCGCCATACAACGTTTTCATTCGAGATTCATTGCTGACATAGGTATGCACAGAGAACTTCTACTACGATGAGGGCTGGAACGTTATCGTTCGGGGGGATACCTGCTAAGTGACGATACTTCAAATTCAGATCAGGTTTCTTCCCATTTTCTGGAAAGAATGAAGTTTGGCATCGAGGAAGGGCGACGATAGTGATGGAGGACGATACACAGCTCTAGTGGAAACGGCTCTGGCCGAAATGTGAGAGTTTTTCACTCTAAAAAGATGTGTTCACGTGCTTGTGAAAGATGAACTCTGCATGCACATGCGACTTCTTTTCCGTAGCCACTGCTCTGGGGCTCTTGTGCGCAGTGAACTTGTTGCTGAGATTTTCACCGAGCGCATCGGACAGCGCCAGCTCCTGGCCCACTGGATTTTGGCGCTATCTGAAGCTACAGGGAAAATGGATGCACCCACACCCCCAAGCGTGGTTGTGGCCCTCATATAGTGGCTTCCTGATTCCAACACTATCAAGAGTCACAGCTACTCTGCGGAAATCAATACAAAATCCGCTGTCAAGTCCTCGCCTGTGCAATTATCATGCCCCGACAGAACTAGTGTTGCCTTGGGAGTCTACTTTGTGTGAAGACTGACCATCTACCTGCCCAACCCGCCGCACGAGCCATCTAGGGGAGAGAGTCTGAGGCGCGGCGTCTCTGCTGTGACAAACCTTTGCTGTCGTTTTGGTTCATTCCTCGCGACTGGTCGTCATGTAATTCTCTGTACTTTGCTGCTGGGATTGCTGTCTGACCGAAGCTTTGCATCTCCTGAGATTGGTCCATGGACTGGCAGAAGGGGACTGGCCTGTATGCAGTTTATCGTCAGACGGCTCGAGCATTTTTTATGGCAAGAATCGTCTGCACTCACATTCGGCAGCTTTCTGGCCTTTGATCCTATCATGTCCTTCTCGTCACTTGCAAACCACTCGGGAAACGACGTATCCATCTAAGGGGAGGCGCATGCCATCTTTGCTTTGCGTACTGCCCGGATATATCGAAGTGAAGAAAAGTAGATTGACAATCGTCCTGTGGTTGAGATATGGAATAACTTCTGACCAGATCTACGGGTGGCACCAGATCGTGAATCGCGCGAACAACTGACTGAAAAAAAGTATGAATGATTCAGGTGCATGTAGATGGGAATTTTGCTGAGCTGGGTCTTTGGGGTCTTGAAAAAATCTGTCCTCCATCCAAAGCATAATGCGAGACTAGGCAGCTGACGAGGAATTTTATGGCGTGGGGTGACTGCTAGTGGTGAACACCATGTTTGAAGCAGATCATCTCACTACAACGGCTCCAGATAGACGCTGCACGAGAGAGGTGATGCAGGACAAGGGTTGGTTCTTGCTGTAACATGAACTCTCGGCCAGGCTCGCATTGAGCGAACCGGAATTTCGCAATCAGCACACTCGCTAACCGATGGCCCGAAAACATCCTTGTGGAAGGATCACCTTGCAGCTGCAGGTCAGCATACTGTGTAGCCCCCAAATGCGACTTTGTTCTCAACTCGGCTTTATCATTTGAGCGATTGCCTGCTAAATGCGGTCCGTCATATGATGCGACACCTTCTGCGACGCTGTGGAAGACCAAGCAACAGCCGTCGGCCGCCGACCCAGGATCCAGAGACGGACCAAGTGTCCTTGACTTGTCCTCGCCCTCTCACCTATATATGCTATAGATCACTCTGTAAATCGGATACTACGTCTCGAACAATACGATACGCACCGAAATCGACTCAGTGGACTCACACACAGCAAAGATGGATGAACTCCGAGCAATTATGCAAGAGACAATCACAACCTTCGTGCAGAACAATACAGCTGTCGTCAAGACAAAGGATGTCTCTCTACTTTCGTCCGTCCTCTCCGATGACTGCGTGAAGATGTACCGGCCGCACTCGTTCGTCAACAAATACCCGCAGTTCTTTAAAGCCCAGATCACGAATGCGGAATACGAGGCGCAGGTGAAGATGGAGTTGCAAACTATTTCCGATGTAGTGCAGAACGTCACCCGGACCGTGATCGATGCGCATCAGCGCGTGGCTAACGTGTGGATCGAGATGATTGTGCACACAGTCGATGGGCTCAAGAGCTTTGTCGAGGTAATGTTCTGACTTGATTCAATGTTAGAGTCCCCTGAAGCTAATTGTCTTTACAAGGTCATCTATGACCTGGAGTTCACCCAGGATGGGAAGCAGATCTCTCAGTACATTGAGTTTGTGGACACCTATGAGAGTGCCAAGGTGTTGGAGCAAATGCTGAGCAAGCTTGGTAGTGGGAATTGATGAAGGTTCATCATCGTGGGATGTGTATCGGGCCGGCCCTTGAGGCGCTGAGCTTCTGTTCTTGGTACTCATCAAGAAGCCTGCTAGTCTTGAATATTATTCACATCCCTAATATTTACACTCTTGACAGAGTGAGGTCTGTGAGGCATCAAACTGGCTAAGGCAACTGTGCCGTCGTGGGCGTTGTCTGATTCCCTTGATTACAGGCGGTGGCACACAGAATAGAGAAGATGGATTCGTTCTTGCTGGAATGCTTCTGAGCTCACCCGCCCATCCTCTGTGAGTCCAACCTGATGTGTTACCAAGCACGGAATTTGTCGACTGACAGTAACAGTGAGTGCGCAAAGAGTGGCCCTTTCAGCGTCCACGCTAAAAGACGGTACACACATACCGAAGGGGTGCAGAATTGCTTTTACCAACGCTAAGCATCAGACGGACCCCGCAATTACACCGGACCCGTTCACGTTCGATCCTATGCGTAGCTATCGTAAGCGGTACTCGTTGCCGGATCAACAGGATAGGCACCAGGCTGTTCTCACCGACATGGACAACAATTTCATGGTTGGCTATGGGAACCACACTTGCCCGGGAAAGTTTCTCGGAGTTGCTGAGTTTAAGATGCCGGTGGCACGTTTTCTTGCGGAAATTGATTTCAAGTATCCTGGGGGCAAGTCGATGCCGAAGACTTTGAGTGCGGGTGAGAATGTGTTTTTGGACCCTAGTGCAAGACTTTTGATTAGGAAGAGGAAGATTTCTGGTACTTAGGTGTGTGCTATATACTAATGTAGCCAAATAGAAGACAGGAAAATATGTGTGTGTGCCTAGTCTGGTTGTGTGGCCTCGCCAATCCGTTGAATGCTATTCCTCGATACATCAACCCTTTTCAATGTCTAAAAGCACGACTTTCGGTCTTCGCTGCGGTCCTCTCTAAGTTCAGCAGTTGAGCACCCGATTTTGACTCAAGTGTAGCTCGACAGATGCCCTCTCGGAATGCAAGGGAGGCAGGCAAAGACAGTCAGGGTCAGCAATAGTAGGGACATTGTTCCATCGTTGCTTTTATTTTTTGCCCCTCTCGCCGCCGCAATAGAAAGGGACTTCATGCTGGGAAATATAATAATGAAGAAGTTGCATCATTTCACTCTGCAAGATTGGCAACGTGTTCGCCATACGAGATGGAGGGGCGGGTGCTGCAACTCGTCTGACCCGTCCCGTGTGACCCTGAGGAGTGTCACGGGCAAGTATCAAATCCGCGCTAAATTGGTGGTAACCAAGATTCCAGCATCACCTCAGAGGTCTTTTGAACAACAACCGGGCAGAATTAGTGAATTTTACTCGGTCAATAGCCCCATGTGCCAGTGCATCATACTAGGCCTGCAACCCTGCCACCTCACTTTAGATGTCCATTGATGGAAAAAGCACCAGCCACCGGCCATCCAATTTGATACATGGTCGAGGTACAACACCAAGAAAATATCCTTGATTTACCTTCGTAAAATCTATCATGGGCACAAGTGACCGTAATTCCAGCCTGAATACGCCAGTAGTGGATGCATCGTGCCCCCTACTCGCTCTATTAGGACTGTCAACTGGCCACTGGATTCGAAGAAGCCTCGTGCCACACACCTATTGATGTGCTGCTGGTATTGTTGGAGATGACTTTCTAGATTGTGGACCATTCCTACACCGTCCAGAAAATATATATCTGGCTCGTGCATGTTGTCTCGCAGCCTCTGTGGCCTACCGATTATCTCTCCATACCGCAAACGAAATTTGCCCTCGTACGATCGTTACTATCCCCCCTATTCTACCGCATAATGAGAGTTACTCTCCTTTTCTTGGCCACTCTCGCTGGCACGGCTCTTGCGGGTCCACTACGCTCCGATGTTGACATCCGGGCCCACCTCGCCCGGGGCTTTGTCAGTATCAATGATGGACAAGAGAGCACTCGTGGAATTTCCCAGAGAGGTGGCCCTCATGGGCCTGCCATAGAGGACGCTTAGCTTATGCCAACTGTCGATGGCCAGCCCGCGCAAACAAAGCTTCGGAAATTGGGCACCGCGTGAGTGACCGTTTGCATCGCTACACCGTCTCAATAATTGGGTATGTATGTACGGGAACTGAGCAGCCTGGTAGTGATCATACATTGGTGGCCCATGTGAAGGACTCAAGGCAGGATTCTGGTGACTGGAAGAGACAAGGACGAATTGTCGTCGAATACCTGCGTTCCAGCCGAGGATTAATCGGATCTTGCAGGTCTTTTCATATTGTGTATATACGAAAGGAGTAATAATTATCACACATCCCTCGTTTCAACATGGACTGCTCATCTGGCTTCATTCTTTAATCTGCGATGGGCACCTTTTACGAGACACAACTGGCTTGCCGGCCTCGAACGCCCTTACAGGAAACCCCTCTGCGTCTGTTCGGCAGAATGTGCAGTCCCGACAGGTCACGGAAAAGCAAGTTATGCAATGACCGTGCAAAAGTATTGCTGTGGTTATTGTGTCATAAGAGGGTCTCTTCCGAGTCATCCACCATCGACCTATGCAGGTATCTATGTTGTCGTCTGAGTCGCTTGTTTCTGCCCGATAACACACCATTATGGTGGTTTCAGCTGTCGGTGCCGTGTCAGTCTCACCAACGTTGAATCACGTCAATTTTTGTCTGTGCTGGCCTGGAAAATTTTGGAAGTTTCTCAATTCTTTTTTTGTATACTATGGAGTTCCAGCCTCAGGTGTGTTATCCAGGAAGAGGAACATGTGGCCAACTCCAACGACGTATACAGAAACTTGCAAAAGAAAAGGCCTGTTAATATCCTTCAACTTTGGCCCCTTGAGTGCGCATATAATTGCAATCAGATGTCGTGTTCGAAGCTCAGATTCCCCCCTCCAGAGGTTTACCACTTCGGTCTTTGACTTGCCCATGACTCCGGTAGCGTATCCGCGGCCCCTGTTCTCGGCCATAAATAACAAATAACTGTTGAAATTCAATTCCTCATCTGTTTTTTGACTCTGCGTATTTCATGATGGGAACCGGCCAGAATATTGCGGCTGCTGTCGCCGGGATATATCTTTGTTATTGTTAGTACGTCTCACCGGCACATGTGTGACACTACTGATTCGGAGTAGAGGTAATGAACTCACATTGGGAGGCCCATTCCAGCCTTTCGAATCAGGCTCATCCAATCCGCAGGGGCTCTTACTTCTTGCCGTTGCTTGGATAGTTTGCGCAGTCCTTGTGATGCGTACTGGTAGAAAGATTGTGTTGATGTGGCGGATGATGCGCCTCTGGAGATTGAAGGGGCAGAGCGAGCGGTCTGAACCACAACGCGACGAGTTGGCTGCCAGACTTGGGAATTCATATTTGCGATATCTGTGTGATTCAAATAGCTTTGTGAGAGTCAATGAGGTGAATTGGTGTGTTAGCTTGAGGCGTATGGATTATGATTGATCAGTGTTGTCTCTAATGGAAAAGGCAATACTTTACTGGTCGGAAACAACGGTATATATGTACTTGATATCGATGCAGCTGTGGAGTGGCTTCTGCAAGCCGGAGGGGATGTCGTTGAAACCATCGCGGAGGTCCTTTCGAGAACGAAACCGTTCGACCCGGTGTTCTATTAGACCATCAGTCGACCGGGCTGGAAGCTTGTATGACCATATTCGGAAAGACTATGATTATGCTGTGATAGTCATACGATAAGATCCACCTGTTTCGTGCAGCACAGCGCGTATGTAGCACAGACCGTTGAGACACACACCTGTGGGCCTACCATGACCTCATTCCCGTAACCTTAAGACGGCAAGTCAGTATTGCCGAGCATTACTGCAGGACAACATCCGTTCCGATGGCCCAGACTGTTCTAAAGGGATCTGGATCTTTAAAAACGTAGATAAGAGTGCACCGGAATGTATGCGTCGATTCCGGAGATTCATGATCCCACATTCATTATAGCGTAATGGTGCACTGTCTCAGTATTGCCCAAGGGCGGCCGGATCGGTGTGCAAGTCTATATGCGTGCATCAAAGTCGACCTATGCTTGCTTGTGCACTCCACAACTCGTGCATCCGTTGATCTTCCGAGCACGTTGTCTTGCCACATCACCTCCATCTCCCCGGGGCTTGCACTACGCGACGGCAACGCCGCGTCACTTCCTAGCTCAGTGACTGGGTCGTACGCTGGCTGGCTCAGTGCTCTCTACCAGAGCGGAATACACGCACGCCGTGCTTGTGCACACGGCAAGCTTATCGCCCGTTGAGAGTTCGGAGCTCGCCCTCTTCCAGTTCGTCGGACGCCGAACTGCCCGGATGAGCCCCAGCAACTTATTGCATAGTGGTACGAGCCTACAGTCCTCCATATGATATACGATTAGTCTTGACAAGTTAATCATCAGCCAAGTCCAGGAGAGGCTGCAGAAGGTCAGGAACAACTTTGCGCAAAATCCCGAGCCGCGAATTGAACTTGATTACGTGGAGCTCATCAGTCCGTTCCGGACATATAGAGCATCACTTGTCCCATATGCACTGGAGAACCTGACGTGAGACTTGCTGTGATGCGCCATGGAATCTTCGTTCGAAATCGCAATGTGTCAAATATTTTCCGGTGAGTGTTGTCTCAAGCTATAATCAATGTGCAGGTATAAAATCACTACTAGATCGATGTGTGATGCGTGCAGGTGGGTAGAGCTGCGGCTCGAGCCCATTTGAAACCCCTAGCACAATGAAAAGTAACCAAAGGAGCAGAGCTTTCACAGTGTAGAGCCATTTTTCATAAGAAAGTACAGCTACGTGAATAAAACATAAATTTAAGCTATGGCACTAGCTGTACCAGATGGTGGGTACGCTCTGATGCAATATATCACCATTTGACAATCGAGTAGTAATCATAGTTCTGTGCTCCTTTGGTGACCAAGTCCGGAACTTCGAATTGTCATTCAGCGATTTTCATATGAAGCTCAAAAGCGATCAAGAAACACTCAAGCGCCGCTTGGGTTCCAAATGTTCAATGCAAACAGGGTGGAAATGTTGAAATATGGTGGGGACAGATTCAGATGATATGATTTCGGCGAAACCCCTGTCCTTCTCAAACTGTCTCAAGATAGAGGATACCCTTCCACTCAGGGGAACGATTTTTAAGTGGGTTTACCACCGAAGTGGAGTTAGCAGGAGGTTTACAAAACTAGTAAGATATTGCAGACTGTATTGCCTGTGTTCGTGTCGCTTCTTTTGTCTTTTTCTTTTGTAACATAGCAATGCAAATAAGGAATATCTACGAAAGTCTAAAGTCTTTGAAGCTATGGGCGAATGTACATGCACGTTGGAAGATTAACCGATGGGATTCTGTTTCTCATTCTCCTTGCCATGTAATGGCCTTTTGTTACTCCATCAAAGAAGCCCGGAAAGAAACAATACAATAAATCCTCAAAGCACGATTTTCCATCAGAGCTTAGTCCAACTATCTCAGTGCATAGACTTGTTTACATTGGTAGAAGACAGGAGCTCGCCGAAACCGGTCGCCTCATCCATGGATGCAAAACAATCACGATCATATAGAGAAGATCCCCCTTCTAGACTGTCATTTCCTCAAAAACTACCAAGCGAGAGCCGCCAGACCGCCTACCTATCAAAGTTTTGATACTTGAGGGTGGGTATGAGAAAGCATCAACAGTCGGGCAGACAGGTGGTTGATGCCCCTTCCTAGTCGCCAGTAGCGCTCGCTTCTACTGCGAATATGTCAATTTGTCATTGTTGAGATCAGAGTCATATGATAAGTCCACCAAGACTTCGACGGTTGAATTCAGTTTATAAAGAATATTATCTCAGCTCTCTGTTGGTTGAAGTGACGTTGGTGGCGCGCTACGCTTCCCTTGCAGCGCGGGCAGCTGAAGCGCCTATGCTGAGCCTAGAGGCTGGGCAACATTCCCTCCGTCTGGTTGGCTTAAGACCGGTATTATCAATGAAAGAGGCTCAGAATGCAGGGGCCTAGGAAAACCAAATGGATCACTTTTGAAAAGGAACACCTTGGGCTAACCAAATCAAGGCGCGTCTGCCTGGAAGCACACTTGAACTGCCCTGGCGGATTGATGGCTGACTGCATGTGCTAGGCCGCTTTCAACCTCAATTTTCCCTGCAGGAGCAATTAAGTGCTTATTGGTCCGCAATAATTATGCATTCTTCCTTCAAAAACCCATCTGATGACTGTCTCTCAGTTTTACCGCAGGAAACGCGGCACGATTCTTTTCCCTTTCCTTTGTTGATGCACACGAGACTGAAGGTTCATACGTACCACTCACTGAAAAGATGCATTCAACCTTGGTCTCCGGATGGACTGTGACGAATCTTGTAAGCTGAAATTGGATAATGCTTTGAAATTTTGCACTCTAACATTAGGCAGGGTCCATTGACCACAACCTACACGGCGCCTCCGTCGTGTTCGACAGATAATGTATATATCCAAATCGGAGAGACATTCGTTGACTCGGGTACCAATGACACTCGAATTTTTCCCGTGGGCATGGCATGCAATGAGCCCGTTCCGTCGTTTGGAAGCTGTCTGCCCTCAGGCGCGAAGCTTGACGAAGCCTACAGCTCGGTAGACACTGACCAAGTGTCGGCGGGATATACGGTTGCATATTACTCTCCCGGCCTGGTCTGTCCATCTGGCTGGAGCACTGTCGGCGTTGCGACCAAGACAGAAGGAGGGTCAATTACCAGTTCCGGCCCAGGCTTCGTCAATCCTTCCCCGGAACCTGACTTCACGTACGTCAACAATGTGGGCCCAAACGTCCTTCTAGCGGGTATGGATGAGGGCGACGCGGCCGTTCTGTGCTGTCCAAGGTATGTCCCGATCTTTACGCGGTATGAATCTCCAGTTTCTCTCGAGCTAACCCAGCCCGAAATCAGCTCATACACTGCCGATGCCCAGGGAGCTTGCTCCTCTATTGTGTCATCCTACAGCGTCCCCAACGAGTATTGTATAAGGGTTATAGACGATGATAGTAGTGACAGGGCAAACACTACTCTGAGCATCTTTGGAACCACTGTGACCGGCACAGCATTCGGGACAGGCACTATTACGACTGAGACCATGACCCTCGAGACCCCGACGGAGAGCTACGTTGGCGTCTCCTACGTGGCGATGTTGTATTTGGTCCATGATGCTACAGAGACCGCCACGGGCTCCTCATCGCCGACATCGTCTCCGTCTCCGTCTTCATCTTCGTCTTCGGCTGCTTCGGCGAACGCCAGGGTCCCGAGGTTGGCGTCCGCTGCACTTATTGTTTCGACGCTGTTTGCTGCTTTCACGTCGGGCTTCATGTTGCTGATGGCTTGATTATTTCATCCGAATGCCGCGTAGATATATATGATGTTTATACGCATAAAAGCACGAGGTTCTAGTGCTGCCACATAGTACAGTAATGTTATGTGTCGATATTGCAAATACTGCAAATGCCCATCAGCTGCCTACAGCAATGCGAAGCGCGCCCGAGGCAATTTTTCTAAGATACGAATGAAACCCCCTTGTACATTAGAAAAGCTCCAGATTGGATGTTAAATCAGCCCACTGTACCCAATATCGAGGCAGAGGTTGCACTCACCTAGCCTGACCAGTCAGGTTCGATCATCCTGCAAGGTCCGAATTGTCGTAGTTTGCACCCGAATGGCCGCCGTTGTTGAAGCCGTACTGTCATGTGAAGAGCCTTTATCCTCAAAATCTAGAGGGCTTATCTGTCCCGTGCAGCCGATACACTGCGCAGAGCCCTCAACGCCGGGATCTTGACTATTCCCAACACTAATCTCGTTGTGCACGCTGCCTCTGACCGTGTCTCTCAGCTCCACTTCACTCACGTCCACGCTGCGCTTACCTCCGAGCCTCGTATCCTCCAGCAGCCTAGAATAATAGCCGGGCTGCCCTGGCTGCCCTGCAGTGTTGCCCGTCTCACCACTGTTTTTCGACATCCGCAGTGGCTTCCACCTCTTCAACTCGTGCAACTGTGCCCCCGATGACTGCGTGCTGGCCTTCCTCCCCACCGACGGGAATGCCCTGGGCCACACCCTAGCCAGGTACAGCCTGATGGCGGGCAGACTGGCGGCGATGACGCTGACGGATACCTCGAAATCGGACCAGATGTGTGTGTCCACGTAGTCCCACGTGGGGTTTCTGCTCCTCGCAAACAGGACTATGAACCGTAGGCGGACGCAGCTGGTGATCAGCACGAAGATGCCGAGGCTGAACATTATCACGATGCCGATCTTGCGGCGCCAGTTGGTGTTGAGACGGAGGATGAGCGGGAGCGGCAGCACGAGGATGGCGATATCCTGTGCGATGCTCAACCCCGCGGCGGCGTATGTCAGTGCGTTTATATTGAAGCAATGGTAGGAGCCGGGGTAGTTGCCGTCCCAGGACCGCCAGATAGCGTCGATGGGCGTGCACTGGAATATCTGCAATGTGATGATGATAAACGACGAAAGAGCAACCCAAGTCATCACTGTCCAGCAACAGACGCGGAATCGCGCGTTGGGAAAGACCCGAAGGAAAAAGAACAGGATGGATATTTTGGTTAAGCCCAGTGTGGTCAGGTAGAACGTCTCGGCCATGTAGAAAAACTAGGCTACCACTCAGCATTTCAGACTGACCACAAGGTCTTAGTATATGGGCAACGGGATTTCTCACCTGGAGCGCTAGAGTCAAGTCGTCAGGTTTGACATACCATGCGTCGACGCCAAACCCGAGGAAGACACCGTATTGCGCGACGACTTGAAAAGGAACAAACAGGACGGCGACCGCAAGCATGACCCAGTCATCCGTGTCGAACTTGGTATCCAGATACCAGCGCGAGTAGAGACGAAAGATGTTGGCGAAGAACGCCAACGCGCAGAGTGGAATGGCCCCGATCAAATCTCCCTTCCTCGACCGCTTGGGCACATTACAGATTTCTGCATTTGTCCGTGCGACAGCTGAAATAGGTAAATCGTTCGTCAGTCGAGGTGCTCATGCTTCTGGAGGTGTAGTATCTCTTCCGGGACGTACCTAGTGCATCTGTGATGTTGCAGGATGAAGTGACGCAGGACTCAACTGTGTACATGAACCATTTATCAGTGCAGGTGCATGTGATGTTGGTCATTGAGCAGTTTGATCGAGGTATGGTGTTCAGCACGCAAGTAGTCTACAGAAAGATATGTACTTGTTAGAACTCGCCACAGGGAACAGGGGCGATACGACAAAAGCTTACACCACATTGCGGCATGCTCTGCAATAATTGCAGGGCGCCCGTTGCATTATCTGGTTGGCAGTAGGTGAGCAATGATAGTGCAAAGATCACGATAGTGATCTTCAAATCCATCTTGACAACTTGCTTCCATCTGTTCTAACAGACCAAGCACGGCGATCACTAGTGACGGCGGGAGTACCGGATGGCGGACAGAATGCAGATAGCTGAGACCTCAGAGATGACGAGGCTGGGGCATAAATTGAGATCCAAACACGATAAGTCACCAGTGGATGCTCAATATTTTCCCCTTGAGGCTGGGTATGATTCTCTGGGGGCCAAAGTCTTTGTACAAGATATCTGAGCCTTCGACTCAAAAGGATGGCTTGTGGTTGAAGATCTGGGTCGTCGATTTTCGGCGGTACGGATAGCGCATGTCTGGGTGTCAAATTGAATTACAGTTACTGAATCTTGATGCGACTTCGGACTGTCATGTCTCCTAGCTCAAGAAGAAGATCTTCGCGACGAGAAGTATTCTTCGGGATGATTTTGCTCCATGGTGCCCAGTCCTAAATCTGAAGAGATTGACCTTCCAAGCCTTCCAAGTGAACTCTTCCACAGCACAAACCAACAAAGAGCCCAGAATTCGCGCGAAATGTCGCAGTGTACAAGCGGGGTGACATCGCGCTAGGAAATAGAAGTAGCAGTCCCATGGGTGCGAAGTGCCACAGATGGCACGGGCCTGTGTTCTCGTAAGGGTGACGACGTTGGAATGCGGGAGGGTGATGGTCGCCAATCTCTGTCTCGACCCGCGCGATCGACCTTTTGCAGCTCCGATTTGGCGCGTCGGTGCACTTCCTGGTTCGACTGGCGCGCCAAAGAAGCGCAGACTACTTTGACAAAGAAGGCGGGTCATAGATAGCAAAACAGTCCAACGCTTCTCGGTGTCCGACACGGCGTGCTCGCCATGGAACATAGCGATGCGATGCCATTGAGGTCTTCATAATGACACAGAGTGTTTGCAAAATCAGTACGATACAAGATTTGTTTCCCGTTGCAATGTGAACGAAACATCAGCCAAGATATCCAAGGTTTCCGGCAAGTTGAGCTTATTAGTACTTGAGTGGTCGATGGGTAGAATCACCGTGCCTCATGATGTGCTCATCACATTGGTATCCAATGAAAAGACAGAGCAGGACATCTCGTTGAATCCGTGCGCTGTAGATCAGAATCAACGAGGGCAGATTCGGCAAGATGTAAGAGTGGAACGGAATGACAACTCTATTTTTAATTTTTTTGTCTTGATATACCTCAGGTTGGCAAGACCATATTCGGCTCCTGCGCGAAATACTCTGGCAAATACGCTGACCCGTCAAAGGCCTCACCAGACCCATCATAAGGGCTCGGCTCGCCCTCCTGGGACCGCCACTTGTTATACACCTGCTGAAGCACTGGCAAGCCCCCCGCGCCGACGAGCTTCATGTTTGGAACCGGAACGGGCATATACATCGTGGGGTCTGAGTGGAAAGCGCCCGGGTATGACAGGCTGTTGTTGATACCCGCGAAGTTATCCGGGTCGCCGATATTTTCGTATCCCGTGGCGGCAGCAACGTGTTGGAATATGTTGGCCCCAACATCGTACCGCCCTAGACATGGTAGTTCCCAATTGTTCTGCAACGTTGCTAGTATAGAATAGTGTGTATAGTATGTGTCGTCCTCGGTGCCTTTCAGCTCGCTTGGGACCGCATTGCCAAGGAGCAGGGTGCTGATCTTGTTGGGGATATCGTAGGACTCGCTTTCGTCGTACGTGAGCATGATGAGGGTCCGCTCCTTGAACACGCCGTCGGCGAGGAGGGGCTCGATAAAGTGGTGTGCCCATGAGGTCGCGTACTCGAGGGTGGTATTGTGACCGTCGTTCATCATGTTGGGCGACATGAAGACGAATTGTGGCACCTGGTTCGCTGCGAGGTCTTTCTTAAAGTCGTCAAAGGAGCCGAGGGACCAGAGACGGCTCCCGTTGTTGGCGATGTTGTCGTAGGATACGAAGGGGCTACACAATAGGCCATGTTGTTAGCTTTACTGATTGCAACAAAGACCGTCAGTCCGCATTTGCCAACGCACTTGTGCTTCCTGACATAATCCCATGTCCCGTTTCCCGTGCTTCCCTCGCTCGCAAGCCCCATGAACCCAGGCCCGGGCTGGTCTTCAAAGTAGCCTCCCCACGAGATCTCTTTCGTGTCCAAGAGATCTACCACCGTCGAGACATTCTCCGGTATACGAAGGTGGTCATCGTGGTTCAGGCCGAAGTAATCGCCCCCGATAGCTGCAATATAGTTTGGTTGCGATGGGTGCGTCTGGGCGTAGAATTTGGTGAGCGAGATGCCCTCCCTTTTCAGGTCGGCGAAGTGGGCGTCCTTGACGACCTTGTCAAAGTCCTGTTGTTTCCCGAGCTGTCAGCAACCCACCCGGCTTTACGTGGTTTGAGGAAAGATTACGCGAGGCAGACAGACCTGGTTTTCCAGCCATATTGTGATGAAGCGGTCGAAGGACCGTCCGCTGTCGACGATCTTGAACTTCTGGCCCGTGCCCAGAGCCAATGCTGGTGTCAGGCCTGCGAGGCCGACGAGTAAGTTGTATAAGGATGGCATAGTCGCGTCGTGCTATGGCATCTTTGGTGCCGTTGTGAGAGTGCCAGCTGCCAGCTCTGGTGAAGATGCAAAGTGCCAAGGTGGCGGTTCGAGATGCCAGCAGCAGCGTGCGCTGCTACATAGCTAAGTATGTTTCGCGTTTCATCCGTGCCCCGCCTGCAGGGCCCGGCGTCGAGAGCTCCGAGACTGTCGCATTGCAAGTCCCAAGGGGGTGTCGACTTGGTTACAGTCGGGACGTAGAGACGGAAGAACTTTCAACTGAACATATGCCCCTTGGCTGCAAAAGCCAATTGGCCTTCCAAGTCGCGCCGCAAGTGGTTTCCTTGTGGCTTATTCTGCCGCTGCGGAAGATCCCACGGTGGGTCGACCCACTGCAGTGCATGGCAGTACCCCGGATTCCCAAGGCGGGAGCCAAACCAAGCCACCCCACGCCTTCGAGCCCCTCGGATCCAATCCGCTGCAGCGGTCTAGCACGACCATCAATTCTCTGGACGGCTCACAGTGGGCTCTTTCAGGTTGTCTTCTTCAATGATATTTCCTTTTCAGTTTTCCTCTCTCCTATTTGTTTGTTCTGTTCCTGATTGTATACACCAACACAAGAGAGAACACCATACTAAAATTACAGAACATTCTTCGACACGCGTTGGCCGAAATCAAACTCTGTAGGGAGGAGGGTATCAGAGCAGTGGGCTCATTCTTCATATACTCAATGCCACTTTTATCTTCCATTTCCCCGATACATTCATTTCTCGTCAGCAACGTGCGTCCTTGTTTGACGAAATATCTGCCCCATCTAATATGCGTCCCAAGTGTCCACTGCCCACAGCTCACCCAAGTTAAACCCAAGCATCTCCATGTTGAACTCGGGGTTGAGCGTCCCTTGGGGCTGCTGCATCTGCATTTGTGACGAATCGCGGTTACTACTGCGTTCCGGAGCAGGCCCATGCACAGGCCCGGCCCCATCGGGAGGTAGACTTACGGTGGGATCCGCCGCGGCCAGCCACCAAGGTGTGCTCGGCAGCCCGGCCACGTCCCCCCCTCCACTAACCGGCGGTCCTCCAACTCCCCCAGCAGCGGTAGCAGCAGTGACAGGCATCCCCGGGTGCAGGAAGGGCGTGATGGTCTTGGCCCTCTCGAGCAGGCTCGGTCCTTCTGCACGCGGGGGTAGGTTCGTCCCTCCACTCTGCTGCTGGGAATGTTGCGCCTGGGCGGCAGCGATCTGCTGCTGCTGCTGCGGCCCCAGCACTGGCGGTTCCTGGCCAGCAAGCAGGCGGTAGTGCAGGTTGATGAACCTCTCCGCGCTCGAGCTCTTAGCTGTCTGGCTGTCCTTGATCCCCAGGTGCGTCTCGAGCAGGCCGTAGGCAGCGCACATGATGCTGTAACCCCACGGCTCGTTGTTCCCGCAACGTAGGATCCGGTCCTCTTTCATCTGTAGGCACTGGTCTAGCAGCTTGAGAGTGTGCGGGCTATTGACCATGATCATGTTCGTACTCCCACGAGACTGAAGCATCGTGACGCTCGTCAGGTTTAGGGCAAGTGTGAGGGCATCTTCCCGAAGGAAATTCAACGTGCGGACGCCAAACTCTGTGAGCTTATCGTGCAGGAGCACCATGTCGCGCGCCGCGTTGTAGAACATGACCTCTGAGAACTGGTACTTGGAATTGACCTTGCGCATCCGTAAGAATGGCTGATGCAGCGGCATGATATACTGCCGCAGCTGCACATGGAGGAGAGTATATGCAAGTAATGGTTTCGGTGACTCCTGTTCTTCCATGCTGGCCGAGGTATCCCACGAAGGAAGCGCATCTATCTCTTGTGTGATCTCGTTCGTATAGCGGATCACTTGCTCGTAGTCGAGATCTTCGGGTGGGCCTGATAGCAGCTTGCTGAGCTCCAGCCGAAGGGGTAGGCTTTGCCGGCACAGATGCTGAAAGGAAGCGCCGGTATATTCGGAAACCGGCCTAGACGGCGGCAATTCGGTCACAGTCTCGTCAAACTCGTCGTCGTCGATGTTCCTCGGGGGTTTCACATCCAGATGAAGCGAACTGACGATGGTGGGTAAGCCATGATCGAACGACGCCTGGAAGTCAAATTCCTGTATTGTTGCCCAAAGCCTCCTTCGCATCTCTTGGTTGAAGACGGAGATGTTGCGGCTGGCACCAATCATCGCGTCGGGATCGCGGTGCAAGCCCAGGGAAATGCCCTCACGGGTCAATATGCCAGAATTCGTCCAGAATCGCTTCTTCTTCACGTTGTTGACCCTCTTCGCCAGGTATAATAGTAATGCTATCTGGTAGTGTATGAGTCGGCGATGCTTATGGCTTTGCTTCCTGTGCCATTCCTCACATGCCCATATCCACTTTTCGGCTGTCTGGTGAGCGCACGACACCATTCCTGTGAACTTGGGCGGCGAAGAGGAGTTGCTGTTCATACAAGCCGAGACTGCCATCATCGCGAGGACCAGAGCAGTGTACGCCGCTGGTCGAACCTCGGTCGGTATCCAGAACCGTTCGTATTTGCGCCTGAAGCTGGGGATGTGGACGATGCGGTGGAGCTGCTCAAACTGATCTAGGTATAGGGAGGTGAGCATGTCCGTCTCCATCTTGGAGGGCAGGAGCTGTTCGAGCTCGAGGTCGGCAGCCTTGAACTTGGCCTCCCGTTCCGCCTTCCTCTGGTCGCGGTTCTTGGTCCGCGCAGCCACGTGCAGTGGCTTGAGCCATTCTTCGGCCGTCTCCTTCATGAATGGCGACAGCCCCGTCAACTGGCTGAACGCCATGGAGGCGTTGTGGGGGCCGAAGTACCGGGTCCGGAACTCCTTGCCTCGGAAGAAGCGCATCTCGTCGCCGGCGTCATGACCGTACTGCATGAATTCGGGCAGTTTGTGCTCGGGTACCAGGTCCGGATCGGGCCTCACGGTGGCCTGAGAGGCGGCGTCGACGGCGAGGCCACCATCACTGCCGAGCTGCTTCGACAGCAGGTTCTTCAGCTGGGAGACCTCGATCTCCAGTCTTCGTATGCGGTCAAAGTCTCTGGCGCTATCCTTGCGGACGAGGTTGTCATTGGACAAAGACAGCCGGCCATCATACTGAGAGAGTTGAAGGCCGGCAGGCTTTGGTGGCGGCGCGACCCCAGGCCTGGTCTCGTATGTGCAGCGATCCGGTGTGCCTGATTTAAGACATCTCTCGCATGGATAGCCTCGGTCACACGACAGCTTTCTCCGGCGGCATTCTAGGCAGGACAGGCGGACTCGCTGTCTCTTGCGGGGCGGCTGGTCGCCGTTCTTATCCACGGAGCGATCCTCATCGCCGCCGATAGAGCTGGGCGATGAATGCTCATCTGCATGAGCAGCCTCGGACTCTGCTCTCGCAGACTCGGACATTGTTGGCTGTGGGCTGGTCGGGCGTGTCGGGGAGCCGAGAGGTGATTGCGCGGAAACCGAGATAGCCCAAGGTTCAGGCGTACAACGCAGTCAAAGGCCTAGTGCTCGCACGGTGGCTCTGGGCACCCATCGGTGTGTTGGGACAGTGCCTGGAGCCAGGCGAGCGGGCCTCATCCACTGAGAGAGCGGGCCTGGCCTGGAAGAGTGCGCTGAGGTTGATGCGGTATGATATGATAGGCTTGTCTCAAGCTGGGGCTTGCAAATCTGGCCACCATCAGGCAAGTTGTTACCGTCTAGCCTCTGGCATCGACTGAGATTTGGAAGAAAAGTCAGGATGGACCACACCATTGCTGGAAGAGGCTGTGGCCATCGGTGCGAGCACTTGGAGCGGAGCCCACGCTCTGCTCCGACCACTCGGAGCTGCGAGCTCGTTAATAAGTAGTGCAGGCCAAGTGGCGGGACTGCTCTACCAAGGCCTTAACCGTGCCCTGCTGTGCTCGTCGACAGTCCACGCCCTTCAGCTGACGTGTTGATGCCATGATAGCATTGACGATCACCTTGGTCAGGATTACTCGCACACTCGACAATGCTTCAGAATTCGTCCGAGTCTTACGTCGCTCAAGACCGTGACCGCAATGCCACTGTTAGGCATGGGGTAGGTAATGCTGTCAAGCCGAGCACCGTCAGCGATCCCAGGACCAAGTAGCGTCGCCAGACCGCCAAGGCTCGGCGATTGGGTCGGTCTCCGAGGCTCACACATTCGACAGCTGCGACAACAACAGATCTGGCCGTGCAAACTGGATTTTCCAAGAATATCGCTCATGTACAGTACGTCTGTGCAAGCGTGTTTGGCTGAGATGTAGGTCTGAAGAAATTCGTGTTCGCAAGTCATGGAGTCTGCTCCCCTGATGAGTTGACTGGCCACAGCCAAGACGAACAAGAGTCATTTACTGAACTCGAAAATTGAAATTCGGTGACGGACACATTTCGCGCTGGTGTTAGCTAACTCTAGCTTTCAGCATTAGCTCGACGGTCAGCTACCCAGTTCTCGATTGCGTAGAGCTGGATCCTGGGCAGCCAGGCAGGCGAACCTCAACTGCAATTCCGAACCTTGCAAAATTGAGTGCATTTACGAGATGACCAGGCAGCGACCATGTTGAATGCAGGGAACTCTCGATCCAGAGCCTCTGCGCTTCCTGGCTACCAGTGGTTGGTTCATTCTTCAATGCGTTGACACCAGGGTCTTCACTGGCCTCAGAATCTCTTGCTGGCGAGAGTCCCATACGATCTGGGCAATTGTGCCTCTTCTCTCTGTCCTTCATCGGTGCAGAGCCATCGTACTGACGAAGGCTTCAGACATATGGGTCAACCGCCTTGAGCGACAACGGGAATCTTTCGAAATACTTCGGTACTTTGAGGCGGTATTCAAAGCTTTCTGGAAGGTGCTGAGATGCCTGTGTTGTGATGGTGCCTTCCACAAACTTGGAGGTGATGGAGAGCCTCCGTCTGTTTGTGCCTGCCTCGTCTCAGGGCAGAGCCAGGACCATGTTATGTTCTTCCTCTCTGGCTGGTGGCAGGCTCACGTTCCACTGTGATCTTCTGAGAGAGCTTCACGTTTTGCTTTTTTGGCATCAACAGCAATAGTACCAAGCCCACAGGTCCTTCGGTCTCGTCTCAGTGTCGTCACTTTCTTGCCTTTTGGTTGAGTCAAAACCACCACATTGTGCTTCTGCTCTCTCCTCTACCTTGTGATTGTCTCTAGATCACGACCCACTGCAGAAGTGTCGCTGTTCGACCAGCCTACTGGATGGTCAGCAATGGCCATTCTCTGCTGCTGTAGCCAGTTTCGCTCCCGGAAGCGGATTCAGAATGAAGGCTACGCAGACCTACCGGTTCCCCCTCCGCCTGCAAAGCTACCTCCTCCTGTCTTGCATCCCTCTGCTACTTCTCCGGGCTCCACGCTCGCGAGATCGTCTTTGACCAATCCGCTTCCTGGAGCCGCCACAGACGCTTCAGTACATCTGGGCGAACTTGTTGTCGAGGAATCTGACGACGATGATGACGAGGATCCTGTTCAAGACAGCAGGAACAGAAGTACCAGCACCTTGCTAGCCGTCAAGTCACGTATCCGTCGCCATCTATCACAAGACTCCCTCCAGCGGCAAAGCGAGACAGAGGAGCAGATCGCCCACAGAGCAGAGGTGAAGAGACTCATGAGAAAGAGGATCCAAGAGGAGCTCCAGAGTGAAGCCGATAATATCCCTAGCCGGTCCTCTACGCCTCAGCGACATGTGCCTGGCCCTGCCACTCTCCCAGGAAATGGCCCCCGAGATACGATCGAGTTCACTGTGGACGAGAATCACAAATCCAGGGAGCTGGCCCCAATCACAGCGGACCATGTGATGGAAACAGATGAGGAGGAAGGACACCGTGAGTCAAAATCACTGTACAGAGTGTCTTCAACAAGGTCATTCGAAAATGAGAATCGCCGTCCTACAAGCCTTGCAGCCAGTGAGCCCGAGTGGATGGATGCCGATTCCCGGGCTTCTCACATTGAATGCCATCATGGCCTTCGAGAGCGCAGTTCCCTGCCTGATATTCCCAATTCCCCAGTTCTTTTTCCAGTTCACGGCTCTACCTTCCATGACGCATCGTCTCTCGCATCTTGGCGCCTGTCACTGAGTGCAGATAAACTGGCCGACCTATTCACGCCTGACAAGAGTCTTACGCTGTTTCGACCTCTTGCCAACACTCCTGCTACTTGCTCCACGGCAGATCTCAGGGAAGGTGCTTCCCTCGTGCGTCCAAGGAGTAAGTCCTCACCTTTGGGCGTTCGAGACTCAAACACCAAAGTCAGGCTCCATTCGCGTCAGGTCTCTCTTGACTCTACTCTTTGCAGTCGGCTTCCTGCTTCGAAGTCTTTGGTACGAGAGGAGTCGCCGGTAGGGCTGTGGCTTCGCACTCAGGCAATGCAGTTTCGCTCCTCCACGGCATCTCGACCACAAAGTGAGATCGGGACCGAGGAGCACAACAGTCTTCACACAGCGAATCGTCGAATCAAGACTGAGGATAGTCTCGCTGGAACGCCAACAAAACCAAGCTTGCTTCCTCAAGCTGACACACATCAACATGTGATCATCCCAGGCTCGCCATCGGACTACCGTAGCAGCACCGACACTACAAGACGGCCATTGATAACTTCAGTGCCTGTTATACACAGAGACTCGAAGTCAGCGCAAGAAAACGGCCAGTCTCAGCCCGAACGGGCGATTTATTGCGCGATGTCCACGGGAGCTAGCTGGGCCATCCCGGGGCCAGAATTCAATCGTTCCTCACTAGTATTGCCGGCGGCCAACGAGACTCACAGGTTTTCGCATGGCAGCTCACCATCGCCACCTTATCGCAAGGGCATCAGTGGGCTAAAGCTGCCGTCTTTCAAATGTGTGTGCCTTCCCTCCGTCAGGAGTCAAGTATTCACTAATATTTATCAACAGGGGCTGGTCTGGCGAGCAGAAGTCAAGATGCTTGCGGGCAAGATATGTCAATGAAACCCTGCTCAGAAGGTTCAACGACACATTTTGGAACTGTTGATTCCTGTCGAGCGACCATTGAGGCTGGTTCTGAAACTTCGAGCTTCCTGCGAAGAGAGGCTGAGCTTCAAACAGTGGAAGAACGATTCCGCAACTCTCACCTCAGAAAAGGGTCCCTAAATCCCGTAGAGAGCAAGTTCCGGGAGATCTTCGATCACGATGGTGATCCAGGTCCAAACAACAGGATATCTCTTCTATCCAAGCTACATTTCAATGTACCGAAACGAGCGAAAGTAGCAATAATCGAGACTTTGGACGGAAGTATCTCCGGACATGCTCTTGCCGGAATGCATGCATCGCCTCCGTCTGAGTTGCATAACAAGACCTCTATGCAGGCAAGTTTGGACAACGAACACCTCCAAGTCCCGGTAATTGTGCATAGAAAGAGCACCGCAAAAGCCACCGGCATAGGTCAGACGCCTGTAATCATCCATGGTAGATCCCGGCGGCTCCGTGGATTCTCGTCTTCAAAGGATGGCGACGACGCAGCTGAGCTATGGAAGCGCGCGGTGAGGGCAGAATCTGAATCGAGATCACCGAGAGGCAGTACATCATCCAACGTACCCGCCATTTGCTTGTCCCCAGCAATCAGTGACCACGGCAAAGTGCCTAAAGCACCTCAACCTTCAGGGGCCGGAAGCCTTAGTTCATCTAGGTCTGATGTGCATTCTCCGCTCTGCAAGGTGCATCCAGATTTGAGTGGCGAAGCAGCTGTTCGGGAGGCACTTCGGAGGTCCACGACAATTCTCGAGCATTGGGTTCACCGGATCGAAAGCCAGGAGCGTGAAGCCCAAGAACAGGGCAAAAACTGTGCTTCGGTACCCTTTTCCCATTACAAGGAGATGAAAATGCCTCCTGCGTCCTGGGCAAAGTTCCCCTCATACAACCGCGAGGAGCGAAATGCATCTGCTGGGGGAGACGACAACATCAAATCAAAGGACTTCGCAGTGAGGAACATTTCAGCATCGGGAAACATAATTTGGGCCACAGATAAGATGGGTAATCATCCATCATCCCAGAAGGGTATCGCGCGGACTTTTTCAGACAAGTTCTCGCAGACGTTCAAGTCACGTTTGAGCAAGCTCATCCCTGGTCGCTCCCGCACACCATCCAGAGACAGGTCGATACGAGGGGAGCGCAGAAGCAGCATACAGATGGCTGGTGACTTGGAGTATCCGGAGCTGGAGATTCTGTCAACAGCAGGTGGATACCGAGAGCTTCGTGCTCTGGAAGCAGAGATCCATGAGATGAAGGGGATCGTGGATACAAAGACACAGTCAACTCAAAATGACTTCGCCGCCCCTCCACTCAGGCCGAGCTTGGCTGAGAAAATGGCCACTGCGATGCAGCAGCATCATGGCTGCTCGGACCCCGACCTGTCCCAAGCGAGCGATGCGGCCAGTTGTGTTGCGGAAAAGGCCAGCATCGTACAAATCCGCTCCCCCGAGACCCCCACTCTACAAGTTCGATACCCAGAAGCGACACGTGCGAAGGAATCAACCGGCTCTACAGTAGAAAGATATGCCACACCACTCAGTCATCTGTCTTTGGCTGGAAACGAAACATCTCGTTCGGGGTCCCCTGACATTATCAACAAGATGCTGCCTTCTGCCGACTCTCCCAACTCAGTGAACAGCGCTAAGTCGCTCACGAGACGTGCAAGTGTACGCGCGGTCCCAAATGTCGAGGCATCCATTCTTGGTCCTCATATTTGGCAGAAACCGAGATGATCCCAGGAGGAGATCAGTTTTAATGCTTCCTGGACGTGGTTCAAGCTGAGTCATCATCTTTGTTCTCTACAATAATCCGCATCGAGTGGTACCTAGCGACTTGGTGGTATGTGATTCACTGAGTCGTTATGGGATTCGAGCAGAATTTGTGACAATGCAAAATGTTCTGTATCAACTATCGAAAGTCGCTAGTGTTCGCTACTTGGGGCAGCATTGACTGTTAGTCATTCGCATCATTGTGTGCAAGTAATTTGTCTCCCTGAGACCGGGGATATTGAATGAATACCTCTGGATGATTGATTGTGGCATATCCCTGTTACAGAGTCGGTATATTATTGGCGAGGAGCACGATTTTTGGAGCCTGTGAGTAAGAATGGGGCGGGATTAAGGTGATATGGCATATTACATACGGTGCAGACGCATCTGATCCCTGATTAATGACCCCAATGGGACTGCTAAATACTGAATCAATCAAAGACTATGTCCACGCGCATGCGACGAGACTCAGCACTTCGTTTTCCGCTAGAGAATTAGGCAATGATGATCATAACAGAGTCAGCTTACAAGGAATCGACTTGCTCACACTGCCCGTGATTTGGATTTGTCTGGTCCTAGAGCAAGCTAACAGTTCAGGGTAGTCCTCGTTTCACAACTTCGTTAGCCACCTAGCTGAACGTCTAAGGCTGATTCTCCGGCGCTTTCTCGCCGTCTTACAATAGCTGAGCTTGTAATCCGCCCTAACTTGGCCATCTGATCCTTTCGTCTCCAGATAATAAATAAGTCTAAGAGCATTGGATTCAAGGATTCTAGTGTGATGTGTAGGCTCGATGTTCGCATTCCCTGTCGCAAACTGCTTCTCTTCTTGCTTCCTGCCGCCACCTCCGGAAATCTCCTGCCTCTGGCGTGCAAGCTGCTCGCCACTGTCTTTGTCCGTGACCACTCGCAGCCCTATTTTGGGAGGGCAGTTATACATTGACCAAATACTTCGCAACACACCTCCTCGCACCCATCATGGCACGTCACCGGAGCCTCGGCCGAGCTGCAATCGACGCGTCGGATCAATTCACATGGGGGCCAGGGACATGTACGACAGTAAGCGAGACCGCCATTCTAGCCTGCCCGGTTCATCCAAGCTCTCAGCCGCAGCGCTTATTTGTTGTGTAATGTCCCGATAATAGCTCAAAGACGCTGTCGGTGTTCTACAAGCTCGAGAGATTCATTGGTGCGCTGCCCACCCTCCATCACCACCCCGTGATGACGCTTCGCACAAGCTTCTCGGGTCCTGGTCCACGCCGGCGAGATTCAGCCCCAAGGAGGGACATTAGTCTTCATTCACTGTCCAACAGTATATGGATCCCATGTTAGACTGCACACCGGTCTAGAAAATCGTAATGTCGGACCATGAGCGCCACTTTACGATCAGGTGCAAATATGTCCTACTTCACCTTCACTCAAGTGTCATCCATTATCCTCTCCAGGTGTTTTACACCCCCTCAGCTGGAATGTCAGTTGGAGATCGCGAATAGCAATTTCATAGCTAGCGTAGCCTTCCTGGACTGGATAGAGTCTCATAGAGCGGTCCAGTCCGGGGTGTCTCAGACGATTCCACTGTTCCCGGCACGCCCGGGCTGTCAAATGTTCCCGGCTTCCTGGGAATGCGGGTAGGGCTGCATCAACCTCCACCTCTTGCCTGACTGTGATCAGCTTCTCAGGCACATGCCTCGTATCGTAGTGCCAATGGATTTCACCGGACCGCAGTATATCCCTGCGTGGTCTCACACACCTGAGCGCCGCTTCCATCCACAATCCGAACCGCCCGGTCCGGTATGATAAGTCACAGCACAGAGGATCCATCTTCTGATACTCAGCCACATGGTCTGAGGTGAGATGACCTGGACCCGGTCAAGATAGTTGCTTCCGTTTATGTAATGGTCTGGAAGCCCACGTGAAATCCTGACAAGCCATGCGGATTGCACATTTGCTAATGAGGGTGGCAAGGCAGTGAAGGAGGCCCGGGGAGGTATAAGATGCGCCACTGAGACGGGAAACCTCGCTGTCTTTCAACTTGGCATCTCACCCGCCTGGGCAAAAGCTTGTGCAAAGTGCCAAGATCGTAAATCTGCTGTATTTCATGATGGGCTTCCTTCAATCTTGCCTGGAGCAGCTCGTCAGGCTTGCTGCACTGGCACCGTTTAACCCCTTTGAGGACCTTGTCCAACAGCCTTTCTTCGGATCCGGCGACACCTCTCAACATCCCATTGTTCCGGCCGGGGCTGAGAACACTATTATCCACCCCGAACTCGCGTCTCCTGGGTTTCAGTGTGTGTATCCCAGCAGATGGAAGGGCTGTAATACTCCTGAATCGCGCGACTGTTGGCTTCAAGATACAAGTTCAGGCCATGGATTCGGAGGCTATTCACAGATTGATATCCACACTAATTGTGAGTGAACACATGTCGCGCATTTGATTTCTCTTTCTCATCATCACCTTAGACGAGAGTGTGGATGCCACACCGCCAGGCATCACCCGAGAGTACTTCCTTGAGGTTGATGGAGACGTGACCCTATTCGCGGATGGATTCGAGAAGACCAGCGGGAAGGTCTTCAACAAACAATATCCCGGCCCGCTGATTGAGGCATGCTGGGGGGACGAGCTCGTCATTCATGTCACGAACAATTATGATAAAAACGGGACCACTGTTCACTGGCATGGAATCCGTCAGCTGAACACAAACCAGATGGATGGTGTCAATGGTGTCACACAATGCCCTATTGCTAAGGGAGACACCTTTACTTACAAGTTCCGGGCGCTTCAATACGGCCATACTTGGTATCATTCTCACTACTCACTTCAGGTAATTTCTCCCACAACGCCAAATGACCATCGATATTCATTCATTACTGACTCGGTACAGTACCCGGACGGTCTTGCAGGACCACTGGTTATTCATGGCCCTTCAAGTAGCAATTGGGACATAGACCTCGGCCCAGTGCTCGTACAAGACTATGTCCACGACTCAGCTTTTGTCCGCTACCAAGAGGAGATCGCTCCCATCCCGGGCAGTTTTGCCCGAGCTGATAGTGTTGTCGTCAACGGCCACGGTCATGATCCCTCAACTGGCAATGGGACATATTTCGAGACAACATTCGCGCCCAAGAAGAAGCACGTCCTAAGATTAATCAACGGCTCGGCTGGCACGCATTACGTTGTCTCGATTGATAACCACACCATGACCGTCATCGAAAATGATCTAGTGCCAATCACGCCGTACCAGACAACCGCCCTTAGCATCGGCATTGGCCAACGATACATGGTTGTCGTTGAAGCCGACCAGCAGCCTGGCGACTACTGGATTAGAACACACCCTGCCACGGGATGCAACGGCTTCAACCAATCTCTCCCCTGTGGCGGCATCTTCAACCAGACGTGCTCACCTTTCGATGTGAGGACAGGTATCATCCGCTACAACACATCTTCCGGGCCCGACAACAAGCTTCCCACCAGCGAGCCCTGGGACTACCATCACGACTGTGTCGATGAGCCTTACGAAAAGCTGCAGCCCATTGTGCCTTGGGCCATCGACCACCACCCGGCAAATGAGATTAGCGAGAACAGATTCGCGGCGGCACACCAGAACGTTCCCAGCTCAAAAGAGACCGGTGGTTACAACCATTGGATGCTGACGCCTGATTTCTTGTGGCTTGACTTTGGCAACCCGACCATCCTGAACCTGGACAATGACACATATGATGCAAATCCCAACTTCCACATTGTCAAAGGTCAGCGCAGATGTCCCTACTCAAGACAATTTTTGAGAAGTTTCAGACTAACAACACTTGCACTCAGACGATTTCGAGTCCGGATATGTCTTCATGGTCATCGAAGCCTCGGTCAACACTACCATTCCATTGCCAGCTAATACCAGCATCATCCCAAGTAAGTAGACCCTATTCTTAGAGAAACTAATGTCTTCAACCAGTCCCACAGTGCTGATTTGTACGTCCCCAAGTATCGCATCCTCTCCACTGGCACGGCATGGATATCGTCCTGCTGGCCCAGAGCAACACCACCTTTGACCCGGCCGCCAGCTTCTCCACATTCAACTTCCTCAACCCGCCGCGCCGAGACGTCGTGCTCCTGCCGGCAGGGGGATACATCGCGATCGCATTCAAGCCGGACAACCCCGGCGCATGGCTGGTGCACTGCCATATCGCCTGGCACGCCAGTGCTGGTAAGTTCATGTCTCTCTTAAGATTATGACGACCGCCATTCGCATGGGTGATTTAGGAATGTACTGATGATCGTGTGAACACAGGGCTCGGCCTCCAGATCTTGGAGCGCCAGGACGATATTGTTGGAGCTCTGGGTGGACCGTCTGCCCTTACGGACACCGAGAGGGTGTGCCAGAACTGGATCCAGTATAATGCGCAGCACCCGGTCGATCAGGAGGATTCGGGGATTTGATGAGGGCAAATTAATCGCTGTGTGTTATGATTTTAATAGTTTCTCTGCGTGAGATTTGGCAGTACACGCACAACCAAGCAAATGAGGGTGCTGCGGGAGTCGGTGATTCTCTGGGCTTCTGAATATTCTTGATACTCAATAGTTGATTGAACACACACTGTCTTTTATCGACCTCTGTTATTTCCTCTACCGTCTTCTTCTTTCTTGCGAGATGTAGACATTGATGCACAACCAAGCGCGTAAACATGCAGAAGCTTTGCTTCTTTGTAAGCTCGATTTCCATCTTGATCGGCATGCTCTACCACCCCATTTCCGCTTTGAGCAACCCGCAAATGGCCTCAGTTATGCCAGTAGCACGCGTGAAGTAATGCTGGTGCCGAACAAGAGCTTCGTGTATGGTGACTTCGATCATGGGGCTCAAATAGCGGTGCTTTTCAGGCCCTGCACGCGAAGTCGACGTTCAGATCGACCTAACATTGAATAAAATGAAAAGGCAGGAAAAACTAGGTCACGACAGAATGGTGTGCCCAGTGATAATTGCTGTGTAGCGATCTCTAAGTAGGAGAGGTCCTGCTGTTGAAAATATGTAGAATGTGCTCTCTCCTGCTATGTTGACCACTTACAGTGCCGGCGGGAACGGTCTCAGTCCATTAGCCGAAGACACGTGAAGCTGCTTGTGATAAGTCCGCGCTCTCACAAACTGGTCATGTTTACAAAGCATGCACAGGCATCATGGGTCAAATGGGGCGCAAACGTAACAACACCGCTTCAGCGAGAGACTTTCTCAAAGTGGAGACCACATGAAGCAGAACATTTATATGGGAGACAATCTAGAGGAAGAGCAAATGTAGGAGAAATGTCTTCCTGGCAAGCGAAAGTCCTGAGGTGCATGTCCCCAGATCAGTATGCTATCTTATCTAGACCAAAGGCAGATAGATACTTCGAAACGCACAAGGCTGAAAGTAGATTCAGATGACAGACAACAATTGATACCAATCGTCTTCTAGATGATCTTATACTTCGGGAGGGTATCTTGCAATGCAACATTGACGGAGGCTCTCTGCAGAAGGGAATTGAGCTTGGGGAGGGGGTCGCATAGGTTTGGAATTCTGTGACGTAGTGATACCATATCAGGACTAGCGGATCTTGGGACACAACCGTCTCCTCTCTCCGTCTCCCTTCCTCTCCCTCCCCTCTTCCCCTTCAGCAGCGAGTGATAGTGAGTGGCCCTATCCAACCTCTGAGCCTGGGCGAGTACAATTGCAGAAGGTGCTATCAGAGGCTATGATCACATGACTCTGTAGAAAAACGAGCCATGGTCGTTGGGTTGTTAGCCGGTAGTCTGCCATCAAACAGCCGTGGACTGTGATGGCAGCGAGTGCTTGTGGAATGGTGAGCGGTAGAGACTGTTGCAGGGCGATGAACGGCACACTGTGAGCGATGAGGGGAAGAGGGCAGGGTCAGACGGTGCATACGAAACGGAGAGAGAGATCCTGGCCCAAAGTGGCCTCGAGCCTTTCCCAAAAGCCTCCAAGCACTATCAAGCTAGGAGGGCGCTAACACTGCACTATCAGCCCAGATTCAGGCGGAATCAATCGATATCGACCCATAATTCTGCAGCACCCCGAGTACCCAGGCGGGCCAGGTTGTGCCAGGGACACACAGTACCCAGTACCTGCCCAGCGTGCCTGGGCATCCCATCAAAAACCGCATTTCTCCATATCGGAAGCAGTCCACTGCTAGCAACCGACTCGCAGACTCTTGCCCGGCTTTTGTTAGTGAGGACATCTGCAGCCCCAGAGTCACCCTCCACTTTTATCTAATCGATTTTGATCTCACCCCAGCCCAGCCCAGGGCCGACGACGGATGATCACCCTGCCTGCCCTGCGCTTGTCCTGCTTTGCCTCTCTCTGCCTGTGTTCTGCAGTGCGGTGATGTGTGCTGGCTTGTCGGAGAAGTAGACTACTACAGTAGATTGCCAGACTACCAGACTACCAATCGTGCCAGCCTACCAGTCTACCCTGGACGTTGGCGCTCGCACCTGCACACACCCTGCATACCTAACCTGCTTGCACTTGCACTTGCACCACTTGCACTTGGGCGCACTTGAGCTGCCGTCGCACCGCAAACCTCACCTCTCGCATTCACAGCCTTCTCCCTACCAAATCGCAAGTCAATCTCGACGTCGATCCGTCAAACTTGACTTGCAGCCACGACATTTCCTGCCCCTCGGACCTTCGACCCTCAACCCTTCAGTCACTGCGATTAAGTGAGCACGTCTGATCGACGACATTACGAGTCGACGCTCCCGCCCTTGGCCGGGGCCGATCGCATGTAGGTCACAAATCCACCATGTCGACCGAAGCGACCGGCGCTGCGGCGCCTGGCACCCACAATCTGAACCTCAACGGCAACGGCACCCATGGCCATGACTGCGACGAGTCCACCATCGCTGTCGTCAATCCCTCAGCCGACACAAAGTCCCCCAAGCCCACCGGCCTGCACTCGCCACCAGACTCGAACAATGTCGACGCCACCGACTCCGAATTGAGCGACTTCGACGAGGCAATTGCCGACGCCGACTCGCCCCCAGCAATCACTGCAATACCACGACAGACCACACCAAGGCCCGCCTCCGACGATGCACCAGCCTCCGGTGATGGTTCGGAGCCCGCCCAGCCTGAGCAAGCCCCAACTCCTGAAGAGGATGAAGACATTGGCGAGGTCCTACCCGACCATTGGTCTGGAACCGTCCCTGTATTTAGGCCGACCATGGACCAATTCAAGGACTTCAAGAAATTCGTGCGTTGAGCCTCCCCCCCTCCCCCGGGCCCGAACAGCCACTTACTCTGGAGACAATGGCGCATACTAATACCAACCCGCTACAGATGAGAGCTGTCGATTCCTACGGTATGAAGTCAGGCATTATCAAGATCATTCCCCCAGAGGAGTGGAAAGACTCCCTCCCAGATATCAGCGAGCTTGTGAAGACGGTCCGAGTTAGAGAACCGATCAAGCAGGATATCATGGGCTCCAACGGTACCTATCGTCAAGTCAACATCCTCCACCAGCGTTCCTACAACCTGCCTCAGTGGAGACAACTGTGCGACCAGAGTGAGCATCAGCCTCCTGCACGACGGGGCGAGCGCCGCGCAAATGCCGACAAACCAAAACCCGCAACTCGATCTCGGGCTGCAGCTACGACAAACAAGTCGAGTACACCTGCCGCTTCTAGCCCCGCGCGACGTACCGGCGGTGGTCGAGGCCGACGAGGTCGAGGCCGAGGCGGCGCACGAGGCAAGGGCAAGAAATCCACCGCACAGGAAGATACCGATATCGAAGACCGGCCAATGACACCAGAATCCCCCAGGCCTGCAGACGACGAGAAGAAGGGTGATGCTGTCGTAGAGTCCATCGAGCAAGACCCTGGCGTCAAGGTCGAGGAGGAGGACTGCGAAGATGAAGCGCCCCGACGGATGGGATTCAGCCGGCAGGCAAAGCCCAAAGTCCAGTCGACATCAGCTCGTCGAAAATACAGCAAACGGGAGGGCTCCGCTATGATTGATGAGGAGGCCTTCAAGGACTGGGATTATAACATGGACATTTCCGACTATACCCCCGAGCGATGCGAAGAGCTAGAACGGACCTACTGGAAAACTTTGACCTATGCAACGCCACTATACGGAGCCGATCTCATGGGCACGTTGTTCCATGAAGATACTGAGATGTGGAACTTGAACAAGTTGCCCAACCTCCTGGATGTACTGGGTACGAAGGTTCCCGGTGTCAACACCGCCTACCTTTACCTGGGAATGTGGAAGGCAACATTTGCCTGGCACTTGGAAGATGTGGACCTGTACAGCATCAACTATCTCCATTTCGGTGCACCAAAACAGTGGTATAGCATTTCGCAGGCCGACGCTCGACGATTCGAGGCAGCCATGAAGAGCATTTGGCCTACTGATGCTAAGGCCTGTGACCAATTCCTGCGTCACAAAGCCTTCCTGATATCACCTTCACATCTCCTGCAGCACTACAACATCAAAGTGAACAAATGTCTCTCATACCCCGGGGAGTTTGTTGTTACCTATCCATACGGCTACCATTCCGGCTATAATTTGGGCTACAACTGTGCCGAGGCCGTCAATTTTGCTTTGGATTCATGGTTACCAATGGGCAAGATCGCCAAGAAGTGCGAATGTGCTCAAGCCCAGGATAGCGTGTGGGTCGACGTGTACGAGATCGAGAGAAAGCTCCGCGGGGAACCCACACCAGAATACTGGACCGAAGAGGAAGATGAAGACGATTCAGATGAGGACGAGGACGAGGACGAAGAAATGGGAGGCCTGCCTTCGCCGCCTGGAAGCCACACCGTCCGCATCAAGGCCCCGAGTCGCAAGAGAAAGCAAGCAAAAATCAGCAAGGACAAGAAGGAGAAAGCCAAGAAGCTACGTCTGCGGGTCAAGGCCCATGTCGAGCCACCCTGTTGTCTATGTCCGAACGACATACCTGGTGCCGAGATACTGGCAACCGACGACGGCCGCAAGGCACATCGCCTCTGTGCGTTGTACCTTCCAGAGACTTATATCGAGACAGTCGACGGGAACGAAACTGTCTTCAATGTGGAAAACATTGAGAAAGCCCGCCTTGAACTCAAATGTCTCTACTGCCGGTCGAAGCGCGGCGCTTGCTTCCAATGCTCGCAGAAGAAGTGTCCACGCTCTTATCATGCCACCTGCGCTGCGGCTGCCGGTCTGTTTGTTGAGCAGGGCGACGTCCCAGTGTTTGATAAAGACGGCATCGAGTACAAGGAGGAAGCGTTCGAATTCAGCTGCCGGTTCCACAGGACAAAGCGAGACAGACGTCTGGATGGCGATGCCCTGGAGGAAAGCACCCGCATTAAGGAAGCCGCTAGGGCTCTCAAGAAGAACGAAATCGTTCAGATGCAATACTACAAGAAGGAGATATTTGCGGGTGTCGTCGTCGAGAACCGCGCAGGCGAGCAGACCTTGCTTTTGGACGTCATTCCGAATGGGTATGAGACCTACTGACATCCTAAGAATACGAAATGCATACTAACGGTAAATAGTGCCCGGATCGAAGTCGAGTGGAAGTGGCTGCTTCTCCCCGATCCAGAAGACTTCAAGCTCCCTAAAGCGTCAGCCAATGCTTTGCCAATGCCAACATCTAGAAAAGCCAAGGAAGAGATCAATGCGAAGCGATCTGCGGATGAGCCCCCAAGGGCCGGCGATATTTTCGTTGAAGGTCCTGCACCGGGCAAAGACTTTGTCTGGTCAGAGTTTCATACATGCGAAGCATCTGAGTGTAAGAATAAAGCCCAGACCAAGATCGACTTCTCCAAGGAAAATCAAGTATGGCACTACTTGGGCAAGACGTCGACCGAGGCGAAGGCGCAATACACAGAAGATCCACGGAAACCTCAACACAATCCGAAGTGCAGCTTCCTTGACAGCGTCCCGAAACCGCCGCCGCCGCCCCGGCCCCAGCATCAAGCGTCGTATGGTGCTACTCACCCAGCACAAGCGAGAGCCCCGATATCAACGAAGCCCGAGAAGCCATATGTCTACAAGCCGAGGAAGCCGGTGGATACTTCATTCGGTCCTCCTTTCACCACACAAAAATTCGCCCCCAGTAACACGGGGGCAGCCGGGGTCCCACCGCTATCGTTTGGCACGGATCCTCGATTCTCTGCCGGACTGTACTCTACCAACAAATTCGCGCCGGTTACAGCGAACAGTCCGCCTCAAAATCAGCGTCATGGCAGCGCCCAATTCACGCCCGTACCACCTCCTCGCCAATCTCAGCAGCATCAACAGCCTCAATCCATCAACCCGGCTTGGCTATCCCACACCCAAGTCAACAGCCCTCAGCCACAGGCTATACCTTTCCAGGCACCACTATCGAGGCAACAGAGTGTCCCGAATGTTCCCGCTGCTATGGGTCAATCATCGAACTTCCCAATGCAGCAGCACGCAGCACCGATGCAACAACCATCTCAAGCGCAGGCCCATGTACCACAAGCTTTCCCACAGCCTGCCACGCCCTCTGTTCCACAGCATGCCTGGCAGAAGTTTTCCTTCTTCCAGGCCTACCATAACAGGTAAGCGGACTTCTATCGCCAGCGCCAGATGAGTCACTGACACAAAGGTATTAGGGAGCCTTCCAGGTACAGGACACCGTATGCGCTTTGGGGTGGCTTCACCAACGGGTACGAGGGCGACCTACGGAAACACTTGATGAAGAAGCCGGAGTCAGCGCCATTCAGCAACCGTCGATTGAGCTTCAACCTTGGCGGAGGTCTTCAGGGTCTCACCCGGCCACCATCCCATCGCTATTCTAACTCAGCCGGTTCGTCCAGGTCATCACCTTTCAGCGCGCCCCGCGCTAGGTCACAGTCTGGAGCGGCCTCTCCTACCTCGTCATTTGCGTCGGCCATGTCGCCGCCACCAGTCCCCTCTCGGGGTCACCAACGCACACCGTCCGTTCCCTCCACTCCGTCCCATCCTGCAATGAGACCACAATACGCCTCGTCATCGCAGATGAATTCTAATGCGGGTCAGACCAGCCAAGGCAATTTAGCAGGCTCGCCCAATAGCCTTTCCAATGGCATGGGCCTACAGGGAGGGTCCAGCTCGATGGAAGCGCAGTCCTCCAGGGCGTCGATGCCTCCCATATCACCAGCTGGAATCCCCTCGCAGCAACCAACTTTCCTCAACACGTCACCACAACCAGTTGCGCAGGGTGCCTCCGCGGCAAGTCCAACACTTCCAATGGATGTGGATCCCGAAACCAATGAGTCGCCTGCTCAACAGTTGAAGCAGCAATTGCGACGCATTTCCGATCCCAAGGAGTCACCATTTCGCATACCTCGCAGTCGAGGCCATACTCCACGTTCTAGTCTGAATCAGCTGCCGAGACTGCAGTCTCCCACTGAGACCCCGGACGTGAGCCGGCAGGAGGAACGAAGGGCCTCCTCTGGATCGACGCAGGCGACCACACCTTCGGAACTTGCTGCCAACGGCGTAGCGGTGCGCGAGTTTCCCGAGATGGCGGCGGATAACAAGGCGTTTGTCGAGAAAATGATGCTGGACCTTAGGAGGGCGAGTCAAAGCGCGGTTGACGGTACGCTGAACGGGCTTGGAGAATCTACACCAGCAACGAATCCTTAGTGATTGTGAGGTTTGAGTCAAAGACGAGCTATTTCATCGAGGGCTGCATCGAAGGACATGATAGTGGTTGCAAATAAACCCGGCCGCATAGCTTTTTGGCTGTGGGCACGTGGTCTCCAAGGGTTCTGGCAAGGACTGGAACAAAAGCTGCACTGGTTCGGGCATATACGGAGTTTTGATGGACGATTTGCTGGTTTGGAGTTTGTGGCGGCTGCTTCTAAGAGCAGCCTGGGTGGCGCCGGTGATAAAGGAATCGGCCAGGCGTAACGGAAGAGATCAAGGACGAATCAACGAGGTCATTCATGGCGCCCGAGGGCGCATGGCTTAGCTTGCTCCTATATGTAGGACAACTTCTGTACATTCGCGCGTGCGATGCGAAAAGGGACGACTACTCACGAAACTTGGACTCGATGTTTGATTTGAACTGCGGGAGAAGTGGCACGGGTGCAAGAGTATAGAGATACACACAAATGCAATACTTTAGCCTCGCATTATGCAGCTTGTCTACTGCTTGCAATATGCCTATGAATAAGTTACTGGCCAGGCAGGGGGTCTCATTCGCCTCTCCTCGAATAGATGACTGCCGAGCAACGGTACACAGCTGACATGTGTGCTCGGGTGGTAAGTGCATAGCATTCACGGCAGGATCCGACTTGGCGAGCAGACAGACTTGAGCCTCACCGACTTGTCATTGGACCGTGAGTCCAGATTATCCAAGGATCAGGCCGGCGGAGATTTACGTCTCTACCATTAAACATTGGCCGTCAACCCACCCCAATGTGGACACTAAACAGCGATACTGACACGCGCATGAGCGTTCCATTGGCTGAGGACCTGTTTTGGATGCTCGAAACGAGCCAGTGGGCCTCCGCGTGCTTCATGGTCAGGGGTTGCAGCATGGCTGTGCCCCGGTACCGTAGAAGATCGTGGGAGCCCTCGGATACGATGGCAGCACCTGAGCCCGCGTGAAATGAATATCGCGGTCTTTTCTTTATACTTAGGCCATCGTCCGGTCGTGAGAGTCAGCGACCTCATCTACCCTCGTTCAGCTCGTTGAGACCGAACTTCCTCTCCTTAGGTTTTCGTTTCTGTGTATCCTATTCTACACGGTACAATTTTTCTTGCCCAAGATGGGTGTCCGATCCTTTGTCAAGCGTTCTGCCCTGCTCGCACTCGCGGCAGGTGGCAGCCACGGCATTCGCATTATTCAGTCTAATGACGACGGCTGGGCCGAGCTGAACATTCGCGAGTTCCACAGCAGGCTCATTGAAGCGGGTCATGATGCCGTTGTCTCGGCTCCGGCTGAGAACATGTCCGGTAAAGGTACAATATGGTTCTTCTCATATTCGAATAGTCCACCTGGCTGCCATCAAAATCCATGCTGACCCGCCACATCATAGGCTCCAGCGACGAGGACCCAAAGCCTCGCACCGAGGCCTGCGAGTACAACAGCTGCCCAGCCGGCACCAACGAGACGTTCGGCAGCAACGCGACGGACCCGACGCTCAACTGGGTCAACTCGTTCCCCGCGACGTCGATGCGGCTCGGGCTGAGCACGATCGGCCCGGGCGTGTGGGGCGAGGGCCAGGAGGCCCAGCTGGCCATCACGGGGCCCAACGTGGGCTCGAACCTGTTCGCGCAGGTGCCCTTCTCGGGGACCATCGGCTCCGCCTGCTACGCGGCACACGAGGCCGGCGTCCCCGCCATCGCCTTCAGCGGCCTCAGCGACTCGAACCTTGGTCTGCTGGGCGGCAACGCCGCGTGGAACACGACCGAGCCGCCAGCCAGCGCCGGCGTCTTCGCGGAGTTGGCCCTCAACCTCACCTCGCGGATTATTGACTCCGGCGCGCCCTACCTGCCCAACGACACGTACCTCAACGTCAACATGGCGGCGCCGCTGGGAGCCTGCGCCGATGCCAGCGCGTACAAGTGGGTGCTGACGCGCATCGACCCTAGCGTGCCGCTGCTGTCGTCTGCGGACGTGCAGCGGTGTGGGCAGGACACGCTGCCACAGGAGACCAAGGTCGTGCATACGGACGGGTGCTATGTCAGTGTTAGTGTTGGTGACTGCAGCGACAAGACGACTGCGACGGCGGATGTGCAGCAGGCTGTTGTTGACAAGATCGGAGACATGTTGACCTGCTTCTCTTCGTAGAAGCGAGTAGGCTTGTGAGCATGTAGCGGTGTTTGAGACACGCCTGGCCGTGTGGTTCTTTTCTGTTGTATTTATTCACATTGCTCTCGACTTGCACGTCAAGGTGGCGTGGATACTCGCTTTATAATTCAATCCCCTTGGGGCACCCAGAATTCTGTCTAGATACAAGTATGATTCGTATGCAGGCACAGACTCCAGGCTGCGGTAGACATCGCCTCTGTTGACATTTGCTTGGCTATTTGGTAGGCAGAAGACACTCACTACCTAGGTAATTGTGAATTTCAATTATCTGAGTGCCACCAGATTCAAGTCAAATAGAAAATGGTGCGAACAGAACGAGGAATATCAAGCAGCATTGCAATAGGTACATAAGCTTGAACATACCAGTGAAATGAAACATATCCAAGCCTCTCGAGCTCAAACGCTTTGGGAGCTCAGTACAAACACTGAGCATAATACGAATGGAAGACAGAGCAGGTAGCGGGTGCCTGACAGGAAGTCTTGCCGCTCCAACCTTGGCCCCCACATTGGCCATAGAGGGTCTGCCCGTCGCCATCTCCGACCGGGCCCGGCACGCACTGAGCGTAGTAAGGGTTGACTGTCGAGCAGTAGTTGGACCCGTAGCACGAGGTTGGGCCAGGATAGTTGGATCCACCGCATTGACCCCTGCATTGGTACCAAGTCAGCAAAGGTTCTCTGCACGGTAATTGAAAGGACGGCTGGCCCAGATTATGAGATAATAATAGAAAGCTGACCACTGTGTTTGGCCCACCGCCGCAGGAGGCTGTGTCGTGGCCGGCATTGTCACCGGTGCCGTAGTCGTCCTCGATGTGGACATGGGGCTCAATTGAGCCGTCGAGGTTGTCAGGGTATTTCCAGCCGATGTAGTGGGTGTTACCGTAGTCGGGCGCGTAGTTGAAGTCTTGGAAACTGTAGTCGCCAGCGTTGTCTGGCCTGGTGTCGTGGCACTGGACGTGACCGTCGCGATCGACTTGCTCTGTGGCCCCGAGCTCACCGCACCAGGGATCAAAGTTGGTCCTGGGACAGGATAGGTCGTGAAACTGGTATAAAGGTTGAAGAATATCCCTGGATCAGTGGCTCTGTATAGGTCAGTGCCATACACACCTGAGGGCTGGGAGGTGCCAGTCCCAGAGATTTCGAGGTTAAAGCACTGTGGATAGGCCTGGGCTCCGTTGGCCTGGTTTGCTCCGTGTAAGGCGATGATCTCGTGACGAAGAACATAACTTCCCGGAGCAATATCTTCTCGGATATTGATCAGCCAGGAGAGACCGTTGGCGATCAGTGCATCATCAGCCCAGTAGCCAGGATTAGAGCCCGACACGAGCCCAGCACCATCGATCTTGAAGAACTTGAGTGAGTTCTTGTCCACCGTTTCGCAAGGTCCGTTGCACTTAGCCAAGTAATCGACAACAGGGCCATGATGGGAGTCAGGCCACGTATTCCACTGAATTGATATGGAATCACCTGCTTGGACAGCAACGTGGGCCTTGCCTGGGGTAGCTGACTTGTGACAGATAATGTCAGGGGACTGGAAAGCATCGGGTGCCACATAACCATTATCGGTATTACCAGCTGTCCATCCCATGACTTTTGGTGGGTTTGGGTTGTAAGGATCATTGTCTGGGAGGAAGTTGCGGTAGTATATGCCGTTGACAACTATGTTAGTGACATGACCATGAGCTATCACTGTTACAGCCGTATAAAGTAAAGTGGCTAGTACATTTGTTGTCCAGTACATTTCGCAGAAATATTTCACAAGCGATGAAAACGGTAGATGACAGCGGTCGGGTTGCGATGTGTCTCACTGTGTTCCAAGGTCTCGCTGGGCTTTGAAATTAGTTTTGTTCTTATATTTATATTCTGATATAAACTTCTAAATTGTTTTCATGCTCAGCTACTTTGGACTCCAAAAACCTGGTGTCCCAGTCGAGATAAGACTCTGCAGCATGGTGGAAGCAAGGGCGCCGCCAGTGAGGCTGAACTTCTGACCCAGAACACAAGCTTCGCAACGAATGAATCCTGACACAGCTAACGCCAAGAATCCGGCGCAACGAAACTACTCTAATTGGAGGACATGATTCCCTCGTGAGCAGCATTGTGTGTTTGAATGAGACATTCACAGCCTCGAAGATGCCCAATTCCTCGGGTGCTTGGCAGGAGGACGCATAATCGGAGCATGACGTTCAGTCCATTGAGATTTGTCGAATCAGCTCGTTCATACACCCATGTCAGCACCACACGCCGAGACAGCGTACGGATTCTAGATCATGAGTGTTTGAACCGTGCTCAGGCGGTCCAAAGGGGCCTCGATCGGTGTAAGCGCACTGCGATTGCGCCTCCCGTTCTTTCGGGGAAAGAATAAAGAGATCACAATCCAGCGATGACCATTGTCACAAAATTTTGCCTTTTAGCTCAATGCTAGAACGTGGAAGTGTCCGGGCGCCACCAAGACATTGCGGCCGGTTCCGAGAAATGAGCGGCAGAGAGTCAAGAGAGAGATGGGGGCTTTGGAGATGTTCTAATGACTACCTGACCCAGACATTTCCAACCAGGCCAAATAAAAAAGGAAGCATCACATATTTGAAACAAAAGTCTGTTAGAACCGGATTAATCATGATTCGATAATTACTCTGCTGTCCCCCAGGAGCTTTCCTGACTCCTTGAATATGCTTTCCAAGCTACGCTAATGGCCGCCTGGGCTTTCTGCGGCCTTTAGAAGTACCATAGAGCTCTTACCTAGTTGCTGGCTGACTTACCTTATTCACTTCATAACTCAAGGCTATTCTCGGGTGCCAGACTTATAGAGAATTTCGCCTTTCGAGCAAATCTGATTGCCAGTCAAGGGCATTGGGAGCGACCAACCCTGATTACACAATCCGAATGTTTTTTCATCATAGCAGTGTATTCTTCCATCAGCCTCTGGGCAAGCAACCTGGCCGTAGGCCCATGAGGGCTGGATCGTACTGGTGGGGGCGATCTCGGATGCGGTAGTCCTTGCTGAAGGCTTGATGCTGTTAGAATAGTTTGACTTTTGGCTGGCACTTGCTGACGTCGTAACGGTTTTGAATGAACTCTGGGACGTCGGAAGGCTGGTCGGAGTAACAGTTGAGCCAGCCGTGCTGGCATTGTTCTGCGATCCTCCATCAACAAAGGATGGAGGGTCCGCCGCAGGACATTGCCCATTTCCTTTTGGGCTAGGCTCAGCGTAGACTTTGCCAAATTTTCCAGGGTTTGGAATATTCAGCAGCTGGCCACTTTCGCCAGTTTCGCATGTGCCTGGGATATTGGCCTGAAAGACTGGGGGCAGCGAGTCCATGAACGCCTTGTCATTTGTACCCCCAACAATTTTCACAGGAGAACATGTCATATACATCTCTCTGTTGCCGATCTTGTTAAACCAGGTGAACGCGAATGTAGCTTGTTCAGAATTTGCGAGTCCACTTGGAATCGGGACATCAAATTGGCGGACACACTCACTGCCGCTGGAATTGCCGCATTGTCGTCCGTTTTCTCTGCCTGACTTGTCTTTTTCAACTGTTTCCAGATTTCCTGCGGCCTCTGCGGGACAGCCTCCGATGATTGTGTATAGTGTCTTCCATTTAGAAATGTCAGCAGGGGGCGGGTAATCGTACGTTATGCTGAACTGGCAGCTTCCACCCCCATGGACCGCGGATATCCAGAATTTTACAGTCTGGTTTGAGCCTGCGGTAAGAACACTCCTGTTTTCAGCATGCTCTGTGCGTCCTTGACAAGGAAAGGGGAGCTTTTCACTGAGTGGTGCTACTTGCTGCAAAGGCTCAGTTTCAAGGTTGTATGGGCGAGGCTCGATCATTATTCCGTGGCCATTGGCCAGAGTGGCGATGCTTAACAGAGCTGTGGTTAGTGGAATTGGATGATACATTGCCTTCAGGACTTCCTGTTCACAAATTGAATGGTTATCGAGAGTGATTGGCAGTACTTTGTCTCAGAACAAGGTTTAGGTGATGTGTTGGGAGCGGGTTCGATCGATGTGTAAGTTAACTTTTAGTTGATTTGAGGATGTCCACGAGATCCTGATGTGAAGTGGCGATCTCTACTGGATTAAATACTGCTCTTGTACAGGACGAATTTTATCGGTCCGGCTGAAAACAAAGAACCATTGTAAATTTTCGTTATTGTCAATCACAAACCCTATACCTTCACTGACCGCGGTATAGGATAGTGCGGCACGGCTGAAGGGAATGGCATTGAATCAAAGTGATGAGTGATGGGAACATTCAACAATTACACAAAGACAATGCCACGGGGGAATCCGGATCCTTCGAAGGCACACAGACTATCAGGGCTATGGAAGAGCCGTATAACAATTTGGCTGTCATGTCGTAAATCACATATAGTCACAACTCCTACGTACGAGAAAATTGCGACAATGTAGTTAAAGATTTGATCCACAAAAGCCGTGTAGCATGATGTGAACCCCAAGGAGCCGTGAAAGAATCTTCAATTTTGATTCATATATATACATATTGAAGCTGAAGCTATTTACGGGATCCTAGCAATGACACTCGCCTCATCGACAGCGGTGCCGGCCTTGGACACTGCGCCCTTGGCGAAGGCAATCTCGCCGCGCTCATCATCAGCCGCAAAGAATGCAGCAGTAGCGAAAGGCGAACCAAGGATACAACCACTGGGCTCCAGGCTGAGAAAGCAGTATCCAGCCTCAGTATCACTGTCAATGGTGAACCTCACGTACGAGCGGATCGGCACCTTGATCGTAATGGACTCGCCCTCGTTGACTCCGTCGAAGGTGTAGTCAACAGTCTTGTCAGCGGGAATAGAGTCACAGGTGCCTGGCCATGAGACGTGTCCCGCGGGGCTTCGGCGGATGCCGGTCGCGTTGAAGAACGCCGCCTCGTCAGCGACGGGAATGTCGTCGTTGTGTGTGCCGGAGTCGACGAGGCAGTCTGGCACGTCACCACTCGCGCTGCCTGTGGCGATCGGGATGCCGTTGGAGGACAGCTTGGGTCCAGGCACATAGTAGCCGACGCGGCCTTGTGTCCAGGTGTTGGGAACCTTCACAAGCGGGCCGTCATATTTGGAAGTGTCAATGCCACCCTGCAGACCGCCTCCAGTGTAGGTTCCGAGCACATCGGATGGGGCCTCGTCGAACCACAGCGACTGGACGGGGGCAGAGATGAGTCCGCGCTCGAGCAGGTCCTGGCGGAAAGACGGGCCAGTCGTGTTGCGGCCGGTCTCATTATTGCTGTGATAATAAGGCGAGACTCCTAGAATGCCAAGATCATAGATAGGGGTAGGGCTGCAATCTCCATCGTCGCCGAGGCGCTGTTGCAAGTAGTCTACGATGGCGACTGTTGTGTCGGGACTCGTGGTGGACTGGCCCGCGTTGTTGATGAAGTTGAAAGTCTCATTGATGGCGACCTCCCCAAGATATATCTTATCTAAGCCTCCATATGCGTAAAAGGAGCTGAAAGGCACTGGTTTTGATGCTGTAGAGGAACTAGGGTAGTTCAAGTAGTCTCCTGCAGGGACCGAGGCATTGCACGGCCCCTGGCAGCCCAAGCAGGTGCGTCCCCAGTTCGCAATCGAGTCAGGACCAAAAACGAAGAAGTTTTCGCTGCCCTGGTCATAGACTACCTCGAGTGTCGTGTTGAGTGAAGGAATGAACACGTCTGTCGAAGTCTTGTGGTTGGGTCCGTTGCGGAGATTCAGGGGAATGTGTACGGTTGGCACGGTCTGGGCGACCACTGTGCCAACCGACATTATCATCATTCCGGTCTTCATCTTGGGGGAGTCGATTGAAACGAGTGACGACTAAGGCAATGAGCGAGTGTGTGGATGGCTGCACAACTGGGCATTTAGACTGACAGGAGCCATCCCACTTATGTAGTGAATACCCGAGTCTTGTTGAATGTCTGGTATTCCCACACTGACATCAACAGATAGCGGTAGGTAACATTCGGTTTGGAATACGAGGTGAGTGTCAAGCAGTGGGCCTGTTCACCTTCTCGCTTGAGAAAAGACTTACCACATTTGTCGGTTATGCCGGGCCGAGGACGATCTTCTATTCTTTATTAGTAACCTTAATCAAAAGCTTCTTCTGACAGTCATGCCCTACAGCGGGCCCTGCAAATTACCCATGAATTGTCGCTTCCTCGCGTGTGAAGTGAGAACAGAGCGAAGACCAGCCAGGGCTTTTAGATATTTCTATACTACCATAGATTGACGGCAGCGTCGCGTCGCCAATTCCAAGAGAACCGTCCGGCCGATGGCCATCGTCCCATGTACTGTTCAATTGAGTTGCCAAGACACCCATAGACCGTTGCGTGAACCCCTTTCCTGATCCCTGCTAGTCTGGCATTTGAGCCGTGAGGGAGGAGGCCTTAAAAGCGGGCTGCATCGTGTCGTGCCACGCCAGTTGGGCCAGGGACAGGGAGAGCCAAGAATAGCCGTCGGCTGTCCAAAATAGAACCTCCACTGATACGGAATACGGATGCTTAAAAACTCAGTCTAGTGTCATTGGGTGACAGATTCAGAAATCTACTCGCCACATCGCATGGGTAATCTGGTGTCAAAAATCAGGTGTCATGTTGCGTGGTGTTCATAGAGCTCTGGTTCAACTGTATTTATGCGAACACGTCCAAGTCAGGCTATTGGATACACTTTCAATCGACGTATGTTGATCAATCGCGTGCCACGAGTGTCTACTGGTTCTACAAGCACAGTTCGGTCTTCAATGTATCAGCAATGGAATGCACCCGCCCACCTAGACCTCGGATACTCGGCGTACTCACGAGAATTTACTGCAGATGTGGGTCACACTTGCATACGTGCTGGCTCGGCAGTAGATAAGCACCAGTGCAGATCTTGATTCCACTGACTTAATTTTCGAGTGCTGTTGTAGGAGTTCAATTACCGATTATGCGAATTCAACGAGATAACAAACAAATGATCGATGGTCCTGCGCTAGACGGATGACCTAGGCACATCTGCTTAGGGCGCCTGTGAGTTAATGAGCATTTCTAAATGAACGGTCACGATGAAGTGAATAGGGACAGTGATCACACTCGAGACAGCTGCCTAAGTAGTTTTCTGTCTGTGCCGTAGCATTACTTGCAGGGCCAATTTGAACCGGCGCGGGGCATGAAAACGGCCCATGAATATCAGAAGAGAGCAAGCGTTGTATGAGGAAGCTCACATATCCAGTAAATCATTATCCGCGGTGTCTATTATCTAGACAAGAAGAGGAGCGTATTTGATCTTCAGCCTGTTGACGTTGAAAAATACTTTTGTTGATGGTGTGTATCGATCCTGAGGGCAAAAAGCCACCCAACCTTACTTTTTCAAGCTGTTTGCTTTTCCGCGTGAATCTTTACCAATGAATCTGGCCATGAATGTATTAGCATCATCATCCAAAAGTTGACGTCGAATACCTGAAATCTCTCACTCTGCAGATATTTGCGTGCCCCTCCTCTTCCTCTGATGCAAACGAAAACCTGGAATACCAATTCCCAACCTCTCTTTACTTCCACATCACAACTCAGAATCCCTTCATTACCGTTTTCAGTGCCTACACCATCACTGAGGACAACTGAGAATCAAAATGATTGCTTTGCTCATTTCTCTCCTCTGGCTGCTTCCAGCAGCGATGGGCTTAACCCCCTATCAGTTGCCACGAGACGCCGCTGACTTTCACCAGCGCAACTTCGACACTATCAGCAAGATATACAACCTGAGCACCTATCCCAATAACCAGGCTTTTCTAAAGGACGGTGCAGCAGCTGTACCTAGTGGCCTCTTCTCAAAGGACGTTATCGGCAGAGTCACCCCGCTGGGTAACTTCAGTGGTAGTAAGACCACCTCAAACGCCTGCTTCCTCCGTTTACACTGACTGGGGGTCTAACAAATCTCAGTCGATGACACTGTCGAATACTTCTTCGCCCTGACCCCCGACCCATCTCCACCAAGTTACGCCACATGGACAAATGACACCATCACTCACTTCGTGTCCGAGTGTCCGGAGGTCGCGGCGACCGTGGTCTACGGCAGGACGATGGGTGTGAACGCCTCGGTTCCCTCTACCTACCAGAAGCAGGTTTCGACGATCAAGCAGATTGCTTTCTGGCGCTTCGACGACACCGGTGCCGTGCTGAAGTACGACGCTTGGCTGCCGACACTGCAGCAGTGGTGGAACACGACCCACGACGTCGCGCACTACCCGATTGACGAGGTGCTGGTCCGCCAGCAGCTTTGTCAAACCACCCAGGTCCAGGTGAGCAGCTTTTTACTTGAAACTTTCGTCCAGCAGAGTGACATGGAAAACTCTCATCGAAAAGCAACGCAAAGCTGACGTGGACCTTTATCACAGTGCACCGGAGCTGACAAGCAATGGGACTCTGTCGACCAGTGTGTCGCCACACTGAGCCAGAAGCCCATGGGTAACTTTGACAATCTGTGGGGCGATAATATTTGGTGCAGGGCTTTGCACGTCCGACTGACCCCGATCCGACCTGATGTAAGCCAACCCTGTATACTGTCAAGATCCAGGAAGAAAGGGAAAGGATCACAACATACTTTGATCCGAGCTTGATACTGACTAATTTTCTAGGTTCACTGCGCTCACGTCGGCCCCAATGGAGGAGGCAAGTGTGTAAACATCGCTTACAACGATGCCTACTTTGACGATGAGGCTTTGTTTGGCGAGCCACCGGGAGATACTTTTGTCTGTCACAAGGGCAGTGGATCCTAGAAGGTCTATGGTATCTTACATCGTCGACGGACAAAGAGTCTCTTATTCTGGTCACCACCCATAGACCGGAGACTCGAGGCTTTGAGTATCCACGACGTTAAATCATGAGACGTTCGGCACCTGAGATTATTTTTACAGAGCCAAGATATGATCGCTGCAGATGCGAGATTCCATACCTGTGACTTGATTTCGACCCTATTGTTCACGAAGTGTCTTTGTCCGATGACGAACAATTGGGATCATAGTAAACGGCTGCATGATCACTAAGTTGGTTTTATACTCAACCTCAAATTGCATGTAATCACCTGTGGTAGTGGGACTGAGAGGATGAATTTAAGCGTTGCTATTTTTCCTGCGCCGTGGTTGACAGTCCTATGTACTGGACGAATAAAGTCAAAGGTTAATCCTGGACATCTCAAACTTGTCGACTCTCGTCTACCGAAATTCCTTCTTGAGCAGGGGCACCATTGCTCCCAATTCTCGAAGCTTTTCCAAACACTAAGGTGTATGAAGCGAAATCATGCCAAAAAGGTGTGATTAGACTGTGTCTTCTGCTTGATGAAAATTCTGGAACTGCGTGTTCGGTCTGCGCGTATCTTTGAACTTCAAAGTTGACCAATTCTTGGTCACATTTTCTAGGCTGTCAAAGTATTGAAACCTACCTTTTCAACCCAGTCAGCAGTTCCACTGGGCGCGGGGCGACGTTTCTCGATCGCCAAGACGGTCTCGATGAAGCTGCGCTTGAGCACACTCTTCTTCCGCCTTGCCAACAGCTGAGCCGTCTTGAGAATGTTCTTGATCTGTCGCCCGTTGAGCTCCAGCCTCGCCAGATCCTTGATGTCCTGTTCCGTAATCTCGGGCCTCTGCTTGGCCGCGGAGATAAAGTTGCGCCAGATGTGCGCCCGTGACTCAGCCGTGAGGTCAGGGTACTCGAGCGAGACGTGGATGCGGGACTGGAATGCCAGGTCAATGTTGTCGACCCGGTTGGTCGTCATGAACAGGATGCCCTCGTAGTACTCGAGCGTCCGCAGGAAGATGGAGACGACCTTGTTGCGTTCGAGGTCGTGCGTCGATCGAGCCTCGAGGAACACGTCGCACTCGTCCAGCAGTAGGATCGCGTTCCATCTAGCGACCAGCTCGAGGATCTGCGACAAACCCTGCTCGACCTCCCACGGACTAGAGCCCAGGTCGCCCGAGCTGAGCGTGTGTAGCGGCACGCGGAGGTTCTCCGCGACCGCCTCGGCGGTCAGGGTCTTGCCCACACCTGGCGGGCCGGACAGCAGGCAAATTATACCTCGGCCCTTGCCGGAGATGACGTCGTCAAATGTGTCTCCCCCCTCCAGCTGCGACTCAGAGAACGCCATGATCAGCTCCTTTTGATCATCTGGCAACACGAGCTTGTCGAATGCATCTCTGTTCCACTTGATCTCCTCGACCTGCTCGACATAGAATTCTAGCCACTCTTTGCGCTTGAGAGAATATCCTCGGGTCCTGGACCGTGCCAGCATCTGGTAGTATGGAGTCAGTCTGAGTTGACCCTGCTCAGACAGGCCGTGCTTTCGTCGATGTTCGTGCAAACGTTCGAGATCCTTGGGCTTCCAGTCCATCAGCCGGCGGCGACGCCACATATTGCTTCGGTTGAAAGAATGAATGTCGACAACTATACGGCCGCTAATCTGGATAGGAACTTCGTTTCCTTGCTGGTCCCAGGATATTGCAGTCCCGTCGTATCTGTCAAGTAGCAACACGTCAGCAAGAGCTTTTATGGCTGCCTTCCAAAATGTGCAGTCACCTACCCTTTGTAATGGTGGCCAGCCAGCTTTTCGAAGATCCTACCCCTCTCCACCAGACTCGATGCGACTGCTTTCTCGTCCTCGTGGAAAGTCAGAGGGAATGCATTCAGCCCAGTGATCTTCTTGGCGCCGATAAACTCAGGGACATCTATCCGCTCTGTGACACGACCGAACTCCTTGCCACTATAATCCACGCAGTCGGCAAAGAGGCCGAGGAATTTGCCGCACTGGTTCTCCATGTACTCCGCTTCGCCCAGCTCGAAAGCAGAGAAGGGCCCTTTGTGGGCAGCGAGAATGACAGAGCCGGGCTGGAATATCATCCTGTGTCACTAGTCAGTAAAGTGTTTGCAGTCCATTAACGAGACCACTTACCAAAGGTGCTCGAAGGTTATTACACCGTTGAGAACGTAATCTTCATAAGCCTTGATGCTGTCACCGATTTCGTACTGGAGGATATCGTGGAGCACCGTAAGGTGCTCCTTGGTGGTCACTTCAAGGTCGGGTCGCTTCATGTACTCGAGAAGTTCGAACCAGCGGTGAATGAATGGCTTGAAGGGAGCCTCGAAAGTGAGGCGCTTCAGTTCGCACGCCACACCAGGGTAGTCCTTCAATATGACATCGCCCAGGGCTTTCTGCAGCCAGGGGCTCTGCACGACGATGGAGTGGGCCTCGAGCTTCTTGCGGCCATCCTGGCTCTTGACATTGCGCACGAGCACCGCATAAGTGTCCGTCACAGCATTCTCAGCCGGCTCCTCGACGTCTTCGGGGTATTTGTTCACCCAGGTCCAGACACCATCCTTGTCTTTGGACGACTTGTAGATGTTCTTGACCTCGCTGACTGACCCGACCGGGGCATTTGTGGTCTCCTCCTCGGGGGTGTCGGTCGCACTTTCCTCTGTGCTTTCCTCGTCTTCTGAGCTCTCCTCGGCCTCGTCGTTGACGCTGGTTGTCTTCATCAACGCGGAGAACTCTTCAATGCTGAGCATCCTTGGCGACGAGTCTTCTCTGTCATAGACAGCGACTTTCGGCTTGGTTTCCGTCATGGCTGCGAAAACAAGGCTGGATGACAGGGAGATGAGTTTTGCGTCGCGAAGTCGAGGTGCGCTCTTGTCAAGCTCGAGTCGTAGTGAAAGTGAAACAAGGAGCCACAGGCGCTGTTCCAGTTTCTTCAGAGGAAAATGTTTGAAATGCTTGCTCCCAAAGCCTGGTATTTATGTTTGAATGTGGTTCTTTGGTGTGAGGGATGCCTCTGCGCACTTGCCGCGTTTCTTGGTTGGCCTCAGTGATCCTTTGACTCCAGCTGGCAACATTTAAAGCAGGCACACAAGGCAACAGCTTCGCATCGATAGGTCTCCGGTATTTACATCAAGGAGAACTAAGACACTGATGCAGCATCAGCACTAGCTTCAATAAGGTTGGGTCCTCGCGAAACGTGGCGGCTCTCTGCAGGCTGCTGCCTACGAAGGCGGATCTGCCCCACAGCTCAACGGCGTAAGCCCAAGCCAAAGAGCTCAGGATTGGCTCAATTCGAAGTGTAGTAACACAACCCCATATGCTTGAAACGTTTTTGGTCAAGGTATCACAACTTCAATAGCAAGGCAGTATTGCAATACTTTGTTTGTTTGCAGTGGCCAAGCGTATGACGAAGCATGGGCAATGATAGCCACAAATTGCCACTGTACCAGAGCATGAAATATGCCTGGCTGCCTAGCACCCGTTCTACCCCGGGCTTCCAGTTTTGTGCTTGTGAAAATGAGAGAGCAAATGGCCTGCTGATCCGCACACAATATAAAACAAGATCCCAAAGATCTCGATGAGGAGGATTGTGCAAAGCAGGATGAAAAGCACCACCGCGCGCAAGTAGCTCCAAGCTGCAGCATCTAAGCCTTGGCTTGGCCTCATTAGAGATGACAGAACACATATAGATCCCCTTCGTCGCACCATGTAGAGGCACCGAGATATCCTTCCTTTTGTCACGAAACACCATTACGAGGTGCAGTCGAAAAAACCACACACATTCCTTGGAATAGAGCAGAAGTGGACAGCTTATCGCGGAGATGCCTACAGACTCTGCAACCCATTTGCGGGGCTCATTACTGGCCACGCACCCTCCTACATAGTGCAGTGCCTTGTTAGCAAAGGCTCTTGGGTATAATGATGCTGTTCTGTGGGCCAACACGATCTCATCGATCCTCAAAATGGCCCTCAATTCCTGTAGTTGCACGTGGCAGACAGGGTCATGCTCGCCAGTGGAGTTACTGATCTTTTTAGCTCGTCGGAAAAGATCATTCAATCCTGCATAGCATGAAAAGAACAAATATCTAGGCAACCGGTGCCATAGACCTATTGACGTGACAGACGGACATGACGCCCGCAGTGGATCAAGTAAGGAAGCGGAAGGGTATTCTGCATTCCGAAGGAAGCGAGACTTTTGCAACCGCCAGCACTTGGCTTGTCTAGATAATGTCAAGTTCATGAGTAGATCGAGGACCGTAAGGCCACAAATATCTGCAACTGAACACAGGCTCAACACACGCCGTGCGAACGGAGAGCAGTGGGTACGACGCCAGAATATGTGGGCTTGTTAGTTACAATCAGACTTGTGTGCTTGATTAATTCCGAGGCAATAGCCGGGGCTTTGCACCAGAAGTCGACGCTGTTGTGTGGTGACTTCATTCGACTCGACTCAATCGAGGGATATACCGTGCTGTTCATACGGCGACCCAAGGTAGGCAAGCTAAGATACCGAAGCCTGCTTGAATTAGATAGACATATTGTCCTCCTAAGTCATCAGATCACTTTATTCCTCTTGGTGTATCACGATGTGAGATGGCACCTTGGGTGGAACTTTTGAAGCCAACTAGAGCTTGGTGAGTGCTTTACACAGGCATCAAAAGAAGAGGCTGACGAGCAGAAGTTTCATCCAGCAGTAATCACATGACGAGTTCGAAAAGACTTAATATTGTTTTTGGAAGATAGCAGAGATTGGTGTGGCCTTGGCGTTGATGAGGGCATCGTGGGGCCGGCCACGTCGACGACAACGCGAGCGAGGAATGCAATGTTATTTGAGGTTGATTGGAGCGGCCCATAACTTTGGCTTCGGCGCGGTTGGCTCGGGAAGGCCCTGAGTCCGACGGGAGGACATTGGGGTCTGAAACGGCGAGATACATTTGGTCCAGTAGGGCCCTGGCCCCTGTGCGCGGGTAATGAGCTGTCATTAGAACAAGTGGGCCCGGGACAGGCCGTCCCTGCAGATTACCAACCGGATACGATCCCAATCACACCCTCGCAGCGCCCTGCGTTGAATGCTGGCCCTCCAGGTGCCGAAACGAGTCGATCAGGGGCGGGCGCATTGCTACCTCAGATGGTGATTGCACGACTCACCTCAGGGCGTCGGTTGCCTCTGGGCAATGGCAATATGATGAACTGAGCTCCCGTCCAAGCTTCTTTCCTCCGATCACCTGTTATTCCCTCTCATCCCCACGGGCAGACCTAAAGACAGACAGACAGACAGACAGATCAATTGACTGACCTTGAGCAAGAATCGTCCTGTGCCTGTGCCTGCTTGCTCGCTCTCACCACCTCGTCGGAGAGCATTGGCAGCGATGACATGGCAACCATGGGAGAGGTTCAAAGCCAGCCACCCCGCCACGGCGGATCGCATGGCTGAGAAATGGACTGCTACCCGGCCATATCTACCACCGGTGAACTTCATCACCATGCACTATGCCTACTTCATCTTGGTCGGGCTCGTCTTTTCCGGCATCTTCTATGGGCTGTCACGCCCGAACCATAGCGTCAGCTTCGTCGACAGCCTCTTCCTCGTCATGTCCTCCTTCACCACGTCTGGCCTGAACACGGTCGACATCAGCCAGCTCACCTCAGCCCAGCAGGCCCTGATCGCCTTGATGATGATGTTGGGCAGCCCTGTTTTCGTCTCCATATTCACAATTTGGCTCCGCGCCCGTGTCTTTGAGGAGCGGTTTGAGGACATCGTGGAGGCCGAACGGAGCAGGAGAATGAAAAAGACGGGTACAATAGTTGGCATGGCTGGCGCAATGATCGGTCTACCCGTCATGTCATCCTTCAAAGCCTCCAAAAAGAAGGCCAAAAAGGGTAGACATGCTCAACGCGCCGAGGCAGACGCCTTTCAGCTGTCTGGCTTCAAACGGCAATCTCGCGACAAGGACCAGGATCAGGAGGCTGCACTAGGATCAGGCATGTTGGATCCCATCCAGGAGGGCCACAAGCTTGACGTCGGGAGCAGCTCCGCCGAGCCTCTCTCGCCCAAGTCCAACACAACCACCACCAGGCGAAGGCCTTTCAGTCGAGACGACGCCCGCCTGTCCATGTCAGAGGGGTTCGATTTCAGGACCTTCATCCACGAGAACAAGAAGTCTGTCGGTAGGAACGGCCAGTTTTTCGACCTCACGGAGGAACAGCGCGAGTACTTGGGCGGCGTCGAGTATCGAGCCTTGAAGGTCCTCTTCACCATCGTCTGCGTCTACTTCGTCCTCTGGCAGCTGCTCGGGGCGATCACGCTCGGCGCGTGGCTCTACGTGCACAGCCAGAGCATCACTGCCGTCAACTCCCAGAACGCGTGGTGGTCTGGTATCTTCCTATGTATCTCGTCGTTCAACAATGCTGGAATGACACTGCTCGACGCAGGCGTGGCAGCCTTCGACAACGATGCTTTCGTCTTGACCATCGTCACGATTCTCTCACTCGCTGGAAATGCCGCATTCCCGGCGTTCCTCAGGGCCACCGTCTACTTCTGCAGCTTCGTGCTGAAGATGGCGGTCGATGAGGATGATTACACTGTCTGGAAGGAAGCATTCGACTTCATTCTCAAGTATCCACGTCGTCTGTACATGATGATGTTCCCTGCCAAGGCCAATTTCGTCTTTGTCACCATGTTTTCTACCATCGCGGTCATGGACTGGGTTCTACTCCTTGTTCTCAGTATCGGCAACGCCGCCATCGAGGCATACCCGGTCGCGAAGCGGGTCGGGCTGGCAGTCTTTCAGGCGTTGAGTAAGTCACCACCCGCCACTTGCATCGGCCCTGCGTGGGACAAGTATGTCTTGTAAAGCGACTTTTGCTAACTTTCTCACCCTTAGCAATCCCATCAGGAGGCTTCGCTGTGGTTCCAGTATCAAGCCTTTACTTTGACGTGCTCGTCTTGTGGGTGATTGTGATGTACATTTCTGCATACCCAGAGATCATCGTCATGCGAAACTCAAATGTACGTAGACATGTTCTATGCTCTCTCTTGATGTGAAGTCCTCTCTCGCGCCTGATCACCCCTCTGCGTATACCACTGGAGTATGGAGGTGGCTTCGACTGAGGGGCTTACTGCCACGGACTCTCTCCAACCTTGGCCACGCATTGACTTTAAACCATCAAGACTTCTCACTGACATCATTCAAGGTGTACGAAGAACGCTCCCTGGGTATTTATACCACCGAAGAGAACAAAACCGAGGACTCGGACTCGACTGTGAATGGCTCGACAGATGAGCTTCCGACGCTCGAGGGACCCCTCCTATCGCCGCCGCCGTTTGGCCCATCACACGGCCCACCGCAGACGGCGGTCTCCGTGTCAGGCGTGTCACAAGCACAATCTCGCGTATCCGCCAGGTCCGTCAAGAAGCTAGCCGCTGTTGGAAGGAAGGGGACCTCCTTTGTGGGCAAGCAGATCCAGAACAGGATGAACAACTTCCAGGGCGTGGGCGTGACGACCAAACCTCCCCTCAAGCGCTCCGCCGAGATGAACTTTGACGTTGGCAACCCCGTGGCGAACTCTTCAACTCCCGAGGGCCACGTGAGCCTAGTGTCGCAGCACCTGCGGGGCCAACTTTCTCACGACATCTGGGCCATTGCCTTCTCGCTGTTTTTAATCACACTGATCGAGACGTCCCACTCGATCGAGGATCCGCGCACCTACAGCGTTTTCAACTTCCTATTCGAGATCGTTTCGGGATATACCAACATTGGCCTTTCCGTCGGCCTCCCCGATCAATCGTTTAGCTTCTGCGGTGGCTGGTACACAGGGTCAAAGCTCGTAATGATTCTTATGATGATACGTGGCAGGCACAGGGGTCTGCCGGTTGCCCTGGATCACGCTGTCAAGCTGCCTGGCTGGGACAACGTGAAGAAGCAGAACGAGGATGCTGAGATTAGGCGGAGCATAGGGAGGAGTCGGGCGAGCTTGGAGATATAGATTTTAGAAATAGAGTTTCCCGTCGGCAGATGGAAGAATAGAACAGATTCGATTCCAATCATTAGACTATTGATTGCAGCTTTTCCTGTTCCACAACGTCTCCAGGTCAGACGGTAACTGCAGATCTCTGTTGCGGACAAGCAGGGACATCCTCAGCCGGAAGGCGATCCCACCTGGCAACGGACTCAACTTCAGGATTGACCCTGCCACCTAGGCACACCGACTAAACTTACGACGATTACTTCCCCCACATTTTCAGACAATTCAAGACGCGAGGAACGTTCGGGACTAGGTTTCTAGCTAACTGTCTATTAGGCTGGCCAGTATCTTCCCCTTTCAAACAGTGACACATAGAAATACATTGGGGCAAGACTCTTGTGGGATAAGCATATTTAGTCACTCATAGCTTTCTTGACAGGAAAATTATAGAGTTCTGTGGAAAATGCCTGCCTGCCAGGGCCACTCGTCTCACATTCTAGACATTCACGACTGAGACAGCCCATAGTTGGTCGCCAGTGTATTCTCATTAGTAGCTCGTTGTGCTCGTCGACTATCCGTCAGTCATCCCGCAGTCCAGCCCAGAGTATGTTCCCCTCCCTCCATCAGCATGACTTCTCAGCCTTCTTACTAGTTAGCCCAGCGGGAACTCGCAAGGCCCTTGTGCTTCTCCGGGTCGAAGAAGGGGTTCTCCATCTTGACTGCCTTCTCCTCTGAGAGTTCCCCGATGATGCGGCGGGGTGTCGCCTTGGTCTTGGCGACGGGCGCTGGGAGGTTGGTAGGAGTTCCGTGTGGATTCTTCTTCTGATTTGTCTTGTGTTTCGCCTCATCGACCTTGTTCTTCTTCTTGTTGACAGTCTGGTTGGTCGCTTCGGCGGGGCTGGCCGCCCATAGGGACTTGGTAAGGCCATTGACTGATGGGACGTGCGCCTCGTCCTTGACGACCTGCTGGTTGCCCTTCTTCAGAGTGTTCACGTTCTTGGTGGCGGTTTCGGTGGGGTTTGCAGCCCATCGTGAACTGGCAAGGCCGTTGGCAGTCGAGGCGGATGCCTGGTCGCTGGCAGTCTTCTGAATGCTCTTCTTCTGGTTGTTAGTCTTCTGATTGTTTAGCTTCCGTTCATTTGTCTTCTGGCCATTTACCTTCTGGTTTGTGGTCTGCTGGTCGACCACCTGATGGGCCATCTTCTGCTCCTCGATGCCACCGGGAGCCCAGCGAGAAGCAGCCAGGCCCGCGAAGAACCAGGTGTTCTTGACAGAGGAAGAAATATCACAGGGGGAAGGCATTGTGATTAATTGCGAGTGTGGAAAGTGTTTTGGTATAGTAGATGACGAATAGGGAGATATCGAGGTACGGAGAGTACAAAACTGAGTGTTCTTCAGTCCGTAGAGAGGAGTTGAGAGGTTGTTAGGTTGTGGGACGGAATCAAAATTCAAAGACAGATCGGTCGACGACTTTAAAATAATGGTTCTCAAAGACTTGAAGCAATTCACTTTCCAGACGCCTCGGGTGATTCACTATTCTTGCGATTAGTTAACGCTCCTACGAGGGGATCAATTCACTGAGATGGGCTTCTCGTTTGGCCTCAAGGACAAACGACTGTGCCCCACAATTTCTAGTAATTTATTGGCATGTGAGATCTATCCAAAAAATTCACATAGAGCTTCGGCAGGTGAGCCATCAGGGGAGAAGGCCGGGGGAGGAGGACGGGCAGGAGGGGGGCCCTGGTCTGAGCGCTACCCAGCTCACGCACCCTTTTCTTGACCACTTGGAAGGGAGCTGATTTGATTGGCTGAAAGCTAGCTGGCTGATCTGGGGGAGCTCCCAATGGGGCCCTGCAATATTTAAACCCTCGTAGCTGGCGTGGCAGCTTGCGTCTTTCTTCCTTTCCCTTCATCATCGAGGGCACGACCAGAACCACCGCTTTCGTGGAGGATCTGGTCACGACCGACCACCCCTTTGAAGTGCTCTGTTTGAGGCTCACTGCTTGCAAAGACGATCTCATCACTTCTTAACACCATACGCCTTGAGTCGAGCGTGCCCGATGGGGCGCGTTTGATTGGGACCATCAGAACACTGTCGCACCATTCACAAGGCTGCTGGGGAGCCTTGGTGTGACACGCCGATTTGGCGACGCATGCGAGTGGCCTTTCTTTTACCAAAGCCATCTTACCTCTGCGGCCATTTGCGGGGCATCCGGGGCGGAGGGTCCAATTCCCACACGTCACAGCAGCGACTGCTGTTCAACACAGCAGCACGCGGTGCCCATCGGGTCGGTAGCTGGGGCCTGGCGCTTGGCTCGGAGCTTGTTGATCATGGAACTCGCGATCGATCACAGCTCCCTGGACTTGCTACGCACTTACACTGGCCAGAGGGTGATTCCTCACAGCCTGCGTACCTGTCCTGAGCCTCGCAAAGCCGTGCGATGTTGGGTTTCTCCCCGTTTTCAAGGGTTCGTGGGGGAAGACACTGGGTTGCTGGCAAGAAACAGCTGTTCCTTCTGGATCATGGCGACCAAGATACTCGTGGCGGTCATTTTCTTAATTTTTTGAAACCATTCGTCTTTGTGGCGATCCTACTTTTTCATCACAGTCGCTAGCTTGCTGGTGATGTGAAGAAGAAGCAACTCCCACTCTACACCTTGATGAAACGCTGACAGTACTTCAAAAAAAAAAGTCGCTCATCTTGCTTGAATTACACAGCCAAGGATCCAGATCAAGGCCTGTTTGGTGTCTTGGGGCCTTCGAGATCACCACTGTTGAAGACTGCAATGTCGATTGTGTAATGAGTATCCCACTTCGAAGACACACAACAAGCTGCCTGCGGTCTTGAGTTCGTTCGAGGTCAAAGTCACACACAGTTGAAGACTGCGCATCAGTTTCTCTACAAATGTCGGTTGACGAGATAGTAAACAAAGCACTGAAAACCATTGTGGTCGCGCATCGCAGCGGTGTTCTACTTGGTAAACATCGGATCCCTCACCAGTCGCGAGGAGAGAGCACCGTCAAGGCAATCCAATGGAACAACCCCTGTGACTGAACACATTACGCTCTTCAGAACCTGGCCGATCGAAATCGCAAATGTGGCCTTCGCGCTGGTATTGGCTTGTCTACGCAGAACTCATCTCTCCCATTTTAACACATTGGTGGTTTGTGCAGACACCCCGAAAAGGTGTGAAATTACCTCATATTGCGCTTTGGAAACTTTCGTCAAATTCATAAATTACAAGAACACCAAATCACTGAAGAAACAATGTTTCCTGCCTGTGTACACGGGCGTGTCGGTGGGCGTAAACATAGCAAGGCATGGAGCGTGTCAAAACGCCTTGCTTGGGGCTTTTTTGGGCGGTGGTAAATGTACTTTCTCGACGTATCCCTAAAATTTTCATTGATCCTCACTCAATTCGACATATTGAAACTGAAATGCATCAAAAATATGCAAAACAGCTGGAAGGAAATAACTTGAGAGTGATGTTGACTGAAGCAAATTGACAGACGTCGGCCACAGCTGATATTCTTTTATCCCAGCTGGCGGCCGGCTGGGCCATGACCAACCGGCCCCCTCTTGGTCTTCAAGCACAGCAGGGGAGCAGGCCCTCTCAGATACCTAACATCGCCGTAACCCTGAGATTCTGTGTTTTAATTCCATAAAAGCAATGGATCGACTAAAATATTCTGTATCGCATACGGCAATGTAAGCTGAGTCTCGTCACGCGGCCGGGTCTCCGTCCAGGCACTTGAACCCCTTTGATCTCTTCCGTCATTTCCTAAAACATGACTGTCTTAGACCCTAGGCAAATCTACTTGGTCCAAGTGGATAGCAAGCACCAGGAAAATCGAACTACTCCTGTTGAACAGACTTGGCGCTCTCCTTCACCTCCGCCCACTCCGTAGAGTTCACCTCTGCCCACCTCCAGATATCCATCTGGCCCCTCGTCAAAGCCAGCAGATGCCTCTCCCAGTAGCCCGTCATGGGCTCCTCAGGAAGCACCCTCACAGGAGGTCTGACCTTGGTCCCAGTCCCAGTCTTCACCTCAGCGTCTTGTTGAAACACCCACTGCCACTGTCCGTCTCCCCTCTGAAACCTGTACAGCCAGTTCTCATCATAACCCATCCCCGTCCTCTCAAGCTCCTCCTCCCACCATACCCCTTGCGGCCCAGTCGCCCGCTCGACGGCGGCAGCACTTGCCTTCTCGGGCCTCCAGACCGGCCTGCCGTGGCCGCTATCATCTTGCAGCAGCGAAGGGCACGACCACACGCTACGGTCGTCCATCCCCAGACCCTCGCATACGAGCCGTACGCGCACGCAGCTGTGAATCCGCTCTTCGGTGTTCACAAGGGGCTCGTCCGTGTCAAGGTTGGTTTCTGGGTCGGCACGCATGAAGCAGCCTGGGTGGCGGACGATCGTCCCCGTCGCGAGCTGCAGCCAGCTGTCCGGGTAGCGGGTCTGCCCCAGGCCCCAGGGTCGAGGGGGCCCGATGGCCCATAAGGCTTGCGGGCTTCCGTCTTGGTGATGGTCCTTGCCTGTGCAATTGGCTGTGTCTCTCGTTTCGTTCTTGGCGGGGGGAGGGCAGACGGCTGGTGACGAGGCCCATGGCTTAGGAGGCGGGTGTCTGTGGTGCAGGAGTGACTTCCAGATGAAATCGGGCATCAAGACTGTTGGCGGAGGTACGTATGGGTAAGGATGGGCCGCGTTGTAGCGCAGGCCGTCGATGAAGGTGCGTGTGAGGCGGCGAGGGTTGAATTCGATGCCGAGAGTGCTTAGTTGATCGCAAATCCCTGTGCCCAAATGTCAGCCTGTACCGCACGAGTACCTACGCTCGCGGAATCTGAGGGGACCTACACGCGAGGGAAATATTTGCTATTTGCTGGTCGTACCAGCCACCTCCAACGTCACCGTGGTTCCCTGGAAACCATACCTGCTTCAGGTTTGTCACATTGTTGCACTCAAGACGTTCCCAGAGTGCAGGGCGAAAGGCAGCTCTGGGCTCATCCAGCGAGAGAGCCTGGAAGGCGTTCTCTACCTTCCTGGAGACGTGGGTGCTCGTGAACTTCCACTGCTTAGCCGAACCTCGGATGCCGAATACGGGAGCAGGTGGGATTCCTAGTGAGCCGACTGTGTCCCAAACTGCAATGGCTTTGATTCTGATCTCGGTCGAATTGTTCTGGTAAGTGTCACGGGTCCACGATTTCTGTGTAGGATTAGCACGTAGATGGGTAGCGAAGCATTGTATAATCACAGCTCACTGTTTTCAACCACTTCTTGTACTGCTCCTTGCGTTCATTCTCCCAGAGGATCTTGGCCTTGCCTTTCTCGCCATGGTATGGGACCAGGTCGTGAAACAGAAACTCGCTCGCAGATCGTTTCTCATCGCCTATGTGCTCGTAATCCTCGAAGATGGGATAGAAATTGTCCATGCCTTCTGTAGTCAGCAACCCGACCGACGCGATCAAGTCCGCTACTGAGCGGGCCGTGAAAGCCCCTCTCGAGAAACCGACTAGGATGATTGAGTCTCCGTCGACGTAGTTGGCACAGGCGAAATTATAACATTCACGGATGTCCTGTCCCTCGTCAGACCCGATCCGTCTGAGTATGCAGAAGCTGTTACTGGAGGACAAGGCTCACTTGGTCTAGTCCTTCTCCAAAAGCACCACCCGTAAGCATGTCCAGCTTGGAAGGGCCGGTTCCCACACCTGGAGAGTACATAATAATCTGACTAGTCCCATCTTCACAGACTCGCTTAAGGCTTCGGGACAGCTTTGTTCTGTTTGACAACCATATTAGCGACTCCGCTCGACTTTTTACATTAATTGACACCTGGGCTCGACGCTCTTCCGTGAAGCTTCTTGTTAAAGCTGCTCGTTGCTTCCACAGTATCGTCGGGCATGCCACGAACAGATGCCGCGATTCCGTGGATAAGTCTCGAGGAGTTCTACGGGAATTACATTTGATGGTGACAGGCAAAGAACGACAAACCGACTTACACATTAGATGGAGGCTCGTCCTTTGGGCCTAGAGAGTTCACCCATGTCCCATCGCAGCAAATGAAGATCCGCTTTGGCTTGTGTTGAGAACTCCGAACTCGTCTCGGTTCCATTTTGAGTGATTTTCTCGACAGACCTAAATGTTCCAGCCACTTTAGGTTGATAGATATATGATGATGTGAAATTGACCGAGCAGCGATAGATGCTCTGCACGGCAATTCCAGCGAGAACAACACGTTGGGGCTTGGACTATATGTCGGCACAGAAATGCCACACCCTCAATTATTGGACTTGCCTGTTTAGTGGCGACAATTAGCCGTACAGGTATAGGAGGGTTGCATTGGGGTCGCCCAGCCGGGCTGCGCAGTTCATGGTGCGTGAGACAAGATAGACCTGCAGAGAGACCACATTGGGCGATGGCAGTAGTGCCAATGGATAGTCAGGCTGGAGGATTGACATTGCCGACACACAGCATCGGGCGGTGGCTCTGAAGGCTGGTGGATAAGTCACCAAGATCGCTAGCTGGGCGGCGGCGCAGGGCGGCGAGACTGTACTCAGCCGTTGGCGCAAGCTGAGGATCGCCAGTACGACCTTGGCTGGATCTTGTGATTCTGAAAATTGGCGGAGGACTGGACAAGTTCATCCTACGAGTGAGCCACTCGAGTCCATTGACTCAAGCCACTGGAAGTGAAGCGGCAACTGGTAAGCACTGCGATCAAGATGGAAAGTTTATATATGTGTGGGGCTGGTGGATTTGGAACATAGGGTTCCAATTGAGACAGATAGCGATCGACTTAATCCAGGGGACATGTTCGAGATGCACGTCCGTAACCAAGGTCTAGCCCAGGCCAAACTCTTCCAGCAGGCTCTACTGCGGTATGTTGCCCAGGTACTCCCGCACGTCGTGTAACCCAGGTGGTCAAGGTACTATGTATAGTAGAGCGGCAGAAGCGGCAGCCGCCGAGGGCGCCCCAGCTTCGGTTCCCGATGGCACCCTCACCCTCCCTGACTCCTCGAGGGCCTAAGGACCTAAGGGCCTGAGACTAGTACTAGTCCTTGCTGCTTGGAAGCCTTAGTGCCCCTGAGGCACGGTACACAAGCACGACAAGCTCCCAGCCCCAGGAAGCCCAGGCCGTGCGTGCATGGGAGCGGTTCTCGTTTGCTCTTGTTTGCTGCACAGCGACGCCAGCCAGCCAGCCAGCGAGCATAGCTCCCGTTTGACTTTGCAGCTGCATGGCCTGGCAGCTAGCCTGACTGCGACTTGGGATTGGCAGCAACATTGGCAGCTTAGCAGTGGGCGGGTTGCCCGCTCTTGTTATCATTTCCATTTCTTCACGCGGCTGGTCTTCGACACAACCCCATCCTAATCCATTGCAATTCAGTTCACACTCTTTCTTAACCCGATGTCCACGTTTCGTGTCGTCTCAAGAGGTGCGGCTGCAGATCAGTCTGGGTCTGAGGTTGTCGTTTGCGGGAACGGGAGAGTGGGTCCACGGCAGCGTTATGACATCACTCTCTCACGGCCCCTACGGTATGATATCACAACCTTAAACCAACCCCAGCCAAACACCAAACCAGATCAACACCCCGGGAGCCCGGCCAGACCAGCCAGACTGCCCAGAGCACCAGGAACGGCCGGAGCATCGACTCCTCTCCCCGTTTCCCACCACTAACCCTCTGTCCCTCTGCCCTTCAAACGTTGGTGATGGTCCTTGCGATGATGATCTAGCTCTTGGCTTCTCCCATACACACGTCACTTTACCTACAATCCCTGTGCGCGTGTTACCTCCGACCCATACTTTGGCACACTAGCTCATCCACGCAAGCACTCACTCTCCTACGTATTGGACTTCTGCCCAAAAATAAACACCATTTGCCCCATCTAATTATGTTTCTAAGGTGATATACCTACTTCTTATCTGCACACTGATTTCGTTCTCCATTGTCTGTCGTTATCTGCCAATGCGACACCATGGACGACGAACATGATCAGACACAAAGGGAGAAGGGAGAGGGCATTCCACCCGTAGGCGACGATGTTGTTGATGAGAAGGCGAGGGCCAGCCTGCACTCGGATGAGAAGCCCAGCAGGCTCGGGCGCCACTCGCTCGATGTCGGCAGGAAACCTGACCTGCCCAGCAAAACCAAAGACGAGAGATCACATAGTCTACCAGCTCTCAACGACGACACCCGGCAACCCCAATCGCCGCCCCCAACCCACGCCCCTACCAACGCCAACTCATCACGCCAGCGGGCAGTACGGGCCAGTGCCGAATTCGACAGGCGCTTTGATGGACCTTACGCGAGACCTAGTATATCCATCGCCCGGCGAAAGTCATCCCAGCAGGCCCGTTTGGACGCCGAGCACGTCGTCGAAGCCGTTGAGGGCAGGGAGCCAGCTTCGGATGCCTCGGCCACGTCGGGCCCAGCGCCGCAACTCCTCGAGCCAAGGCCACCACCACTAAACTACACCCTGCACACGCGATATTGGGCCATCTTCATTTTCTGGTTCTTCATCATCTTCGACTCCGTCGTCATGCCCATCGCTTTGTACTATGGTCTGTGGTACGGCGTCGGACCCGGGAGCGTAGAACCAGGCAAAAAGTCGACCATGTCCGCCAACACCGTCTACACCGTTGTCACCGCTGCCATAGGTGGTGCCAGTATTCTTGAGTATTTTGTGCGGTTCTGGAGGTTGTGGAAGAAGGACAGTGTTTGCCGAGTCATAGGAGCCCATAGATGGTACCTCGATGCCTTTCACTGGAACTATACCCTGGCCTGGCTGATCATCATGGTCGAGTTGATAGTGTAAGTACTCCTGTCTCATTTCTTGCAAAAAAAACAAAGTCTTTGCTGACCCAAGTTCTTCGACAGAGGCACTGTCCAGGATTGGCCACCAATTCGGCTTGTCGCCATGCCCTTGACTACCATGCTCTACACCTTCGGCACCGAGATGCTCATCGTCGACATTCTTCGGGTGTTCCGAGTCCCGGCCCCCTTTCGCCTGTCATCCATTCCCAAAGGCGCCCAGCTGCGACCGTGTGTATACACCCTGATCGAGGATATCTGTGCTGTGGATGGGTCCGGGGGAACAGACTTTCGGGAGGCTCTCAACAGGAGATACGAGGCCAGCCACATCTTCCGCACCATGCTGCGGCGGCTGGGAGTATTCTGGGCCGTTGGAGCTCAAGCAATGGCAGTTGTCTGCACTATCCTCATCTTTACGGTCAGCGAGGATGCAGCCTACGCCATCGGCTGGTCAGTACCCTTCGGATGGGCCGGGGTCTGGGCGGTGGCTACCATCTGGTATGTGAAAAAGGAGTTGAAGAGGGAGAAGGCTCATTGGATTGCGGAAGCATCGAAGAGCACGGCCTAAAGCGCAAGGATTCGGATCCAGAAATACCCAGGGATGCAATACATAACAAGACAAACAGACATAGAAAATTTCAGATACAGCAATTTACCGGCGAAGCAAGCAACCGAGATCAAACTCGAGTTCGTCATCACCGCGTGATATTCGACGATTTTCTGCTGTGAGGCTACACCAGCCTTCTTGACGTTTGAGAAACAAGTTTGTTGTGTGTGAGAGAGCCTGGCCGGCCACTTGTTGTTGATGATGACAGCGGTCTCCCAACCAGTCGTGATAACCAGCTGGGGACTTTCTCGGGCTGGCCGTCAATTGATCGGCCATACAGCCCGCAGTCTAGATCTTTCATCTCAGACCCAGCTTTTGTAGGAAACCCATTGGGCGAGAGGTCGGTTCACCGTCGGGCCTGTGGCCGTTATTACACAGCTTCGGTACCGGCAGGAGGCTTGGTGCAGTGGCGTTAAAGGGGGCGGGTGTTGGTGTCAACGCCAAGACTTCTCTGAGCGGCTACTCGACATTCTCATCTCGGTTGTCGATATTGCGCCTGGCCCAGCTTTCCTTTGGGATCGGTGCAGATTGATGAAACCCGATTGATGCAGGTGAGCAGGAGCGAAAACTGCGAAGGAATATTGCATCGCCTGGGCCGCCATCGCTCACTGTTTATGGTTGCACCGTTACGGTGAGCCAAGCCTGTCAAGGAACAAACACAAAGCATAAAAACAGTTTGGTCAGTGCTGAGCCTCTGAACTCTAAGGCCCAGGAAGGCGCCAAGCTCTGGTAGATCCTGTCGATCTTGTGGACTTGGCACGATGATGGAATCCCGACCACACGGGTAGGGTAGATCGTTTTGTGCATCACCACCAGCTGCAGCATTAATCACTATTCACATCTTATGCTAATGACTGGCTAGCTCGCATCAGATCCATGCCTCCAGCACGCGATACCGCCTACTGCATAGTAGGTCTGCTAGCCAACGGGCACAAGTTCCTGCAAACGACCTACCGAAGTGCCAAGGCTTTCTGCTTGAAACACGAGGAGGGGATCACGGAAATTTCACAGAAATCCCTTCAGCAGACCCAACAGCTGCAATCCCTCATTTGAGGATTTTTCCGGCCAGGATTCAGGGGGGGCACCGTCGTTGTCGTGGTCGTCTGCCACGATCCCCGCCTAGCCCCTGAGCGGTAAGTGCGGCGCGACAAGACTGCAGCCTCAAGGTGACATCGCAAGCAGCCAGCCTGGGCCGGCCAACCACGAGTCTCCTGAAAATGAAACAACGCCCGAGGTCGACGGGCGTCTGGCTGGAGCCGCCCCTGTGCTGATGTGCTGCAAGCTTGGGAGGCAGGGAGGATAGGGCCCGCCTTGCCGTCAAACGAATAAGCGATAGGTGAAAACAGCCCTGTCAGCGCGTGCCACTCCGTCAAGAGCCTCAACCTTGTCCGTAACCTTGTTGCCAAGACGGCCGAGCCTGGTCCTGTTCATCTTGTTTACACCATATCGGTAATTTTCTGGGGCCCTGCCTAGACCCACGATAGCAGCCCCCCCTTTACAACTGGGCAAGCCTCCGAAAGCAGCGAGGCAGTCAAGGCCCATGGACCAACCCCAGGGTGCACATGGGGAGATGGGGGCGTCGTCTGCGATAATCATAAGAAGGGCACACCGTCGGCCGAGAGAGGGCTGATCTTTTTGTGTTCTCTCCAGACTCTCTCGTCATCAACTCACCACATTCATTCTTTCGAAGACACTCCTTCGGGCTTCATTCTTTCGCTCGTTGCTGTATTGACTGCAGTAGATTCGTTCATTCCGCCAGCCGGGTATTCTATCACATCGCACCACTCTGTACATCGATTTGTTCAGGTCCCTTCAATCAGTCCTATCAATCAACCCAATTATCAAAATGCCTGCCAAGTCCCCCATCGCTCTGGCTCTGGCCGCCGGTGCCAGCCTTGTCTCTGCCCACGGATACGTCTCCTCCTGGGAGATCGGTGGTGTCACCTACAAGGGTTTCGACGAGCAGTGGGCTGTCAGCCAGGGCACCAAGACCGGAAACGAGTTCATTGCCTGGAGCGACTCCGCCTCTGACAACGGCTTCGTCGCCCCCGATGCCTACGCTTCCGCCGACATCATCTGCCACCGTGATGCCACCAACGCTGCCCTGAACAACGCCACCGTTGCCGCTGGTGGCACCATCAAGGCCATCTGGAACACCTGGCCCGACTCTCACCACGGCCCCGTCATTGACTACCTCGCCCCCGCCGACGACCCCACCACCGTCGACAAGACCACTCTGTCTTTCGTCAAGATCGCTGAGGCTGGTCTCATCTCTGGCTCCAACCCCGGCACTTGGGCGTCCGACGAGATCCTGAGCAACAACCTTGCCTGGGAGATCACCATCCCTGAGGGAACCCCCGCGGGCAACTACGTTCTCCGTCACGAGATCATTGCCCTGCACTCCGCCAACCAGGCCAACGGTGCTCAGAACTACCCCCAGTGTGTCAACATCCAGGTCACTGGCGGCAGCGGCTCCTTCCCTGAGGGAACCAAGGGTGAGGCCCTGTACACGGCTGATGAGGATGGTATCCTCTTCAACATCTACCAGGACTTCTCCTCCTACCCCATCCCCGGTCCCGCACTGGGCTTCAGCTCCTCCGGCGCCTCCAACAGCGGCTCCTCCTCCGGCTCTGCCTCTTCGGCTGTTGCCTCTTCCGCTGCCGCCGCCACCCCCTCCGCGGCTGCTTCCTCCTCTGCCGCCCCGGTTGCCGCTGAGACGACCGCCTCTGCCGTCGCCGCTGCCCCTACCAGCAGCACCGTCAGCAGCAGCTCCGCCCCCGTTGCCACCAAGGCTGCTTGCAAGAAGCGCCGCCACGCCCGTGACGTCAAGGCCTAAGCTTCTCTCACATTGTCTATTTCTTCCCCATGGGAAGTAGTGGTTTTTTGCTATAGAGGAGTGACGGATTGATACCAAGGATTTCTAGACTATGGTTCCCATCGTCTTTCTGATTGGACCTATTACATTTCTTGTATAATATTTCTCGGGCGTTGCTCCGCAGCGGAGAGGGCTGGACACTTCGCGATATCCTCGGGCTTGGACTCGAGATAGCGTTGAATTATTGGGCCTTCCCTGTTTTGGAGCAATAAGCGCCTTGTATTCATAGTGTGATGGAGAGTCAATACAATGAGTACGTCTCAAAAACGAACAAGACCGTCTTTCTCTCTGCTGTGTGTGCTCTGTGAATGTCTGATCGCGCCTTGACAATCACACGTGGCTTTGGTACCGCTTGTCACCAATAAATTAAGTAAATCAACTTTCCAACGTCTCTCACTGAATCAGTAATTATGCGGTGATATCTAGGTAGGAATGTCGTGATAACAAGCAACCTACGCGTCTGCAGGGTCATGGCATTGAATTCCGCTGGGGGAAGTGTCGAGAGTAGATTATTTTGAGGCGTTGCTTGACCAATAAATCGGTCCTTCCCAAGCACGGACTTGCGATCGCTCTTCGCTCACCGTTTTGGCGCTTGCCTTATCACAAAAAGCAACGCCGGAAAAATCAGCCTCCATTTTGGCAGTCATGGTAGGATGGCCCCGAAAACCTACTCGGGACTCAGGGCCGTGAATCTTGTTTCTTGGCCCCCAAGGTGGGCCTCTTTCATGCGTGCAAACATGTGGTTTTTGTCGTTCTTGTCTGAATAAAGCTTAGTATCCGACCGATATATTGGGCCAAGATGCCCCCTTTAGGGTTTTGAAACAGGCACGATTTTCTCAGGGATATTTACGGCATCGATTTGCTTTCTTGGCAGCCGGGGAAACCTCGGTAGGTGAGTCCTCAGAGATTTACCGATACACGTAAGCACAATACAAAAATGCTTCTTCGCCAGGTCAAGCATTCTAGGTCAAGTTGTCTGCAATGTATGTAGTAGGTGTGTGAATATCAGTCACAATGTGACACATGTCTTGGCTTCGATGTCAGGTTTCCTCAGTCTTGAGCAGCAATTCTTCGAGAAGATGTTTCCACAGTTTAGCCACAGTATGCGAGCCATGACCTCGCGTCTCTTCAGCGATGGGCAACACAACAACCTTGCCCAGGCCCTCCCTCAGCCCAGCCTTTGCCTCCTTCTCCAGAATCTGCAGCTCAGGTGGATTGATCTGGTCATCCGCCGTGTTGACAGCAATCAGCGGCGCCGTGATCTTGTGCAGGTCAGGCCGAGGGTCGTAATCAAATGACGCGTCCAGCGCGAACAGCAGATCATTTGCGTCCGTCGTCGCGAGGCCAGACCGTATCTTCTCCTCGAGGAACGAGTCCGCCGCGTCCCTAGTAGGCGCCTGCGCCTGGTACTGCAGCGGACTTGACGACATGAGCGTCAGGATGTCCAGCGCCGTGTTCAATCCGGCCCGAGGCTGCTCGCCCGGCGCGTAGTCCCCGCCCTGCCACGCCGGGTCCGCCCGGATCGCGTCCATCGCCATCTTCCGCCACATGCGGTTGCGGCCCGAGATCTGCACGGGCAGCGACGCGAGAGGCATCAGCGCGTCCATGAAGCCTGGGTGCGCCTCGCCCCACAGCCAGCTCTGCATGCCGCCCATGGATGTGCCCATCACCAGGCGCAGATGGTTGACGCCCAGGTGCTCCGTCAGCAGGCGGTAGTCGGCATGGACCATGTCCTGATAGCGGTACTGCGGGAACCGGGCCCGCAGGCCGCTGTTGCTGGGCTTGCTGGACTGGCCGTGGCCGATGCCATCGCGCAGGATGATGAAGTACTTTTGCGCGTCGAGCAGCTGCCCCGGGTTGAAGAGCCCCCCTGCGAACTGCGTGTTGAGAAACTGCTCGCCTGAGCCACCTGTCCCGTGCATTATGAGGACCACGTTTGTCTTCCTGCCATTGTCTGAGGTCTTCAGGGTGCCCAGGGTTTGGTAGTGCAATCGCAACTGCGGAATCGTTGCGCCGGAGCTGAAAGTGAAGTCTTGGAGTATATAGTCTCCATGTGTTGGGGTCGGCCACTGCTTACTGCTGACCGACGTCCCAGACTGCTGGATCGATAAGCCCTCCGCCATTTTCTCGCTTCAATGACTGGGCTGCAATTGTGTGCCTGAAGATAATAGATGAAATGAAAGACGTAGGTGATTTCGTGAAGTGTCGATTGACCTTCCCAGATAGGTGTAGCGCCTTTTCGTCAATCAAACTACTGTTCGCAGGGATTTGGAACGTTGACGAGACTTGACCAGCTCGTTCTTTGCCCCATAATGTGGAATGTCTGGACTTATCGTTTCGGAGATACATCTCATTCATATCAGCAGATTATCTATAAGTGACAAAGACAATTATGTGTAGAAGTCATCATCAGCGCGGAACACGCCCGCAAAAACAAAAAAAAAAACATTAGAACCAGACTATATAGGTATCGAGGCATAGTGCAGCGTAAAAAGAGGTCAAACACGCAACTACATTTTGCCATGAAATGGAACATGCCTTTTATTGCAGTCCTTGACAGTCCTTGACATAAAGACTTAGCCGCTTATCAACGTAGTCGTCATTTCAAACATTCCTAGATACATATAAACACTTTTGACATTGTGATCCATGAAGAAGCCTGATGCACCATGCCGCTCATACGGAACCCCCGGGCATATGGCTGCCATCCCTCAGGTGTTTGAATATCTTCGCAATCAATTTTGTAGAAGGCGGGTTACGACAAGTCTCCCAATTCTGAGGCCAATTCCGGGTCTTCGCACGACGCTTGTGCTACGCCGGCACGCACTCAGCTCTTCTTGACCACATACGGTCCCAACCAGTATGCACTTGTTTTGTCTTCAGATTCGTATACTAGTCGAATTGAATCATTAATTCCATCAATTGGCTACTACAATCAAGCCGACTCATCTGCTGTTGTAATCCTTGCCTTTCGTATGAGCTTCCACACAAGTACAGAGGTGAGATTGATCATAATTCACCGTCAAATCTACTCTACTCGAGAAACAAAGGCCTGTGTCTGCGTCAAATTGTTAGTATGTGAATGCAATTTCTCAAATTTCTAAGAAGCTACAGCTAGTTGAAAATAATTATCTCCGCGCGCGAACGCGAAAGCCGGCCTTTGGAGGAACATGCAGATATCCGAATATATCCGAAAGACTCCAAGTTCTATAGGGTCCCAACGAACTAGACTTCAGAGATTCTTGGTGAGCACTAGGTTGTTTCCCCTCAAGACCCCACCGTCACTATTGAAATATTGGTCTGTTAAGATGGGTCAGATGTCTGCACGGAGTCTCATGTCTCCGCGAGACCGACACGGCAGATGGATTATCAATCACCACCTCCCGCTTACCGCGTCACTCATTAGAAATTGATAAGCTATAGTGGCCCAGGTCAGGTCATCTCATGGGTTTTCATACGCGGCACACGACTTAAAAAGAAGGCATGCTGGTCGCCATGCAATGCAACCATTGATCGCGCCATTCTCAATTATCTTCTACACCCTGAATGTTTATCTGATTCCATCACTATGTTGATCTTGATCGCTGGAATAACCGGGATGGTGGGCCAGCCTTTGGCTGAGTACGCAATTTCCAAGGGCCACCGCGTCAGGGGACTTGGGCGTAATCCAGCCAAGTTGCCTGCTACGATTCGCGACAATCTGGAGGGGTTCGTGACTTCCACGGGCATCTACGATATCCCCGCCCTCGACCGGGCCGTTTCGGGTGTGGATGCTGTTATCTGTGCCTACAATTTCGATCCTGAGATCGTGGTTGAGGGTCAGCTGTTCCTATTGAGGGCCGCAGAGCGCGCCGGTGTCAAGGCAAGTGCAAGCAAACAAAAAGCTTCAAATGGCAGGGTTTCTAACGAATACAGATCTTTCACGCCGCGTCGTGGAATTACGATTGGACTTTGGGACATCTAGGCCAACATGAAACGTACGACTCATATATCGCTTTTGCTGCTCAAGCGCGCATCAGCTCGCGAATCAAGCCGCTCTATATGTTCACGGGAGTCATCGCCGAGTGGCTTTTCTCGAACCGCCGCGATAACATTTGGGACCGCGATACAAAGACAATGTCGTATTTCGGAGATGGCACTGAGGAATGGATTGGCACTACGGCCGGGGACCTCGCTGCTTACACTGTCGAGGCTGTCTCGGCACCATCGGCTGAGCAGGGAGGCTTTCTGCGCGTCGAAAGCTTCCGATTTACACCAGCTCAGCTTGTCGCGGCGTACGAGGAGGCACGCGGCGGTAAAGTTAAGGGGCATCTGAAGTGCCATGGGTCTTTGGACGACGTTGTGTCCATGCTTGCCAAGGCTAGGGCAGCGACAGATCCAATCGACCATGAGAACTATATTGGGCTTGCATATGTTGAGCATACGCTCAAGGGTACCTGGAACTATGAACCAGTGGACAACAAGCGCTTTCCGACTGTAAAGCCTACCTCCCTACGGCAGTTCTTCGAGGCTCACCCCGAGCTCTAGCGAAAGTGATCACAACACAAATGGTTCAGAGGTAGATCAGACAGAATTGACTACTATCTCAGAATGAAATAAAATTCGCCACGCTTATTGTACTTTCCTTGTCTGTGAAACAATATCTGAGGTTGTAGCTAGATAGGCTGCTTCTGCGATGCCAGCCATGGTATTCCAAGTTTGTAGGTGACTTCAAACGCTTCAAGGATCTCGAAATGGTAACATGGAACGTGGACTATATACACCACTTGACTGATATCTGGATTTTCCCATCTCTTATTCATATGCAATCGATATCTGCTCTGATATGCTCTTTGAAGGGCTAGCAACCAAGTATTTGTGTTGAAAGCAACTTCAAATACTAAGGGACGTACATCAAATCTTGTACTTTCAAGACGGGATGACCAGACGTATTCCAATCAAGATTCAGGCCAGAAAGAATCTAACGGTCCAACATCAGACAAGATGCTGTCTCTTTTGGATCTAGTGATATATGTAAAACAAAGCAATCGAAAGAAGCTGTTGCCAACCCTGTGCCCCCTTTCTCTCTCCCATGAGAATCACACAGTATCTTGGAGTCCTGTCCTTTGTATTAGCAAATTTTTGAATCTTACGGTCTGACCTGTTCAAACGTGCGCCATCCTGGCATGTGCACAGAATGTCCATGTTAGTTTCTCTCTTATGAAGTTGAGTATGTATTGAATCTCAGGGATTGTTTGGTCAGACCAGCGTGCAAGTAGCTGCATAAGCGGCTGAAGACTCCACTCCGCCCGCAACTAGCGCTTACTTCAGCAGAGCCATAATTTTAGTTCCACAACTCGCCCCGATATTCACTTCCGCTATGATGAATCAAATCCCGACAGACCTATCATGAGGCTTCTGAACGTTCAAACGCTTGCCTTTGAGGAGTTCATTGGAGAGGTAGGCAACGGCATACCGCCGTATGCGATCCTTTCACACACTTGGGGCCCCGAGGAAGTAACGTTCAAGGACCACACAGAGCAGCAGGATGAAAGCTGCGAGAAGAAGGGCTACGACAAGATCCGTGGATGCTGCCGGTTAGCAGAGTCCGAGGGCTTCCAGTACGTCTGGATCGACACATGCTGCATTGATAAGTCTTCTAGCGCAGAGCTCTCTGAGGCCATCAACTCTATGTTTCAGTGGTACCGCGACGCCGCTATCTGCTATGCCTACCTGAGTGATGTCGACAGCTTAGACGACCTGACTGTACTTTCTGATGGCGATGAAAAGTCGGAAAGCAGTTCAGTCTTCGCACGTAGTCGCTGGTTTACCCGCGGTTGGACGTTGCAAGAGCTTCTGGCGCCGGCAGAAGTTGTTTTCCTGGCCGCGGACTGGTCGGAAATCGGTACGAAGAGGTCGCTAGGAGCTGAGGTGTCTCGAATCACCCGTATCAGCGAGAAGGTGTTGCTGGAATGCCGTTGGGATGAATACAGTGTTGCGCAGAAGATGTCTTGGGCCGCTGGGCGCCAGACCACGCGATTGGAGGATGCGGCCTACTGCCTTATGGGGCTGTTCGATGTCAATATGCCTCTGCTGTACGGCGAGGGCCGCAAAGCCTTCTCGCGTCTTCAGCAAGCGATAATGCAGAGGTCCGAAGACCAGTCCATCTTTGCATGGTCGTACCCTGATGACAAGCACTCTCACATCCTGATGTCTGGCATAATGGCACCGTCACCGGAGTATTTCAAGGATGCGTCTCAGATTGAGACTTTGAATCGAAGCGATGACTACGAAAGCCCCTTCGAGGTTGTTAATCAGCTCGTGAGATTAAGGCTGCGGTTGCTAGATGAAGTCGAGGGGATAAAGCTACAGACATACGCGTCAAAACCACTTCTCCACGACGTGATCGAGGTTCAACAAATCAACGGAGGGCCTCAAGTTCTAGCTCAGGATACAGGCATTGCTACGATTCCAGATGCTCTACCAGTCATAGACAGCGCAGGTGGAATCCCACGCCTTGGTGGAGTAGCCCTGGAAGACGAGCTTACTGAGATCAATGTCGACGGTATCAGTTCTTCTGGCTCCATGGACCGTGACCTTCAGAAAGATTCATCAGATGGAAATGAGCACGAGAACACCGGAGAATTCGAGACGTTAATTCCAATCAACAAACCAATGTGGCGGTGGTACATATATGAAAAAGTCGTCATTGCGCCTCTCAGATGTCGCATCGGTCAAAATCAGCTCGGGATTTTGCTGTCCAAAGGACGGGCATACAGCCTTGGTGGCAAGATGAATTTGCGACTGCATTACCCATCTCTCGTCATGATAAACAGTATGACAGCAAATATGGCAGCTGCAAAAGTTCAGACAATGTACGTCGCCGTGTCCATGACTAGAACACCATTCAGAACGCCAATCCAGGAGCAATCGTTCGTTCGCCTATGTTGGCCTGAGATACGTTTTCACTCCTTGAAAGCCGCGGGATACCGTCCTGTGAGCGAGTCAGGTGCGGCTTGGACCCTGGACTCTGAAAAGAGTCTATTTAAATCATTACACTCAGAGGTTGTCGGCGAGCCTGGAACGACAGATTACGGGCATGAGCCAATCGTACTATTTCATCACCAGTCTGGGAAGGACTCAACTTACCCGACGTTGTTCTTCAGACTCACAGTCACCAACCGAGATTTGACCGCCACGCGACGAAAAGAGTCCCTTGTGACCTGTGTCCTGGGAATCTACAATCCCACCACTGCAGGGTCAACCGCGTCAATGAATGAAGACTTCCGTATTTATAGCACGAATCTTCTGCAGAAAAGAGGGATTGAGGTTGCCTCAGGCTATCAAGGCCACTCGGTTGCTGTCAGACTTAGACAAGGACACGGTGTTTTCTTTGTAAATGTGTCATTCCAGAAAGCATGTCGTGGGGCACTGCAAGCACCGCAGGATATCCCTGACGCCTCCGAGGCCAATTGGCTCGAGGCGAAGTTGAAATCCGCTCGAGCATCATTTCGTGAGGACTAGCTGCCGTTCTGCTGTGACTCAGCTGGCGATGTCAGATGATCTATCCATAATAATTGAAAGCATTTCCATTGCACAGTAATCCGAGCTACGTCGATTGATTGAACAGCAATGTCAGAAATGTGGAACTGGTACGAATACTTTCAAAACGTCTTACAAAGAGAGCTGTAATAAACGTTTTATTCAATAGCAGAGTCAAATAGGAGCCTGAAGACTTGATCTTTGGCGTGTTCACACGTACTGTGCCAGACGAGCGCAATGTATAACCGCCAGAGCATCTGCAGAGACAGAGAATAGATCGGCTTTTACAAAGTGACCCAAACAAATATGGAGTTCATTCTACATCAGGTTCAAAGGCGATGACGCAGAATAACAGTGCCATTTATAGGATAATTATGGCTGTTCTTGCAATTTGGTGATTTATGAAGCCACGCCAGATGTTATGTTACGGTGGCACGCTGGAATAATCTTGCGTTAGAGATAATTAATAACATGACCTTCGAAGCAATTAAATTACTTAAGTAAGTACAGTGTATGCTGCAAGTATGGGGCATGACTGTCTCTCGGTCGATCTATGCACATTGTGTCCGGATCGTTCTGTGTTGCCAGCAAGATCGTCAACTGATTGGTGCTTGGGAAACAGCATTAAGGTTTCTCATTGCTTACATGTTTTGCCCGGGGGGTCGCATTGGAAAGGTCCACGGTGTTCTGGACTCAACCGGCTCACACGCGCGGCCATTTCGGGACCGATATGCAATAAGCTGCATGTGAGCACCATTTTGATCTCGATAGGCAAACCATTGTATGTATACTTGCTGTAGAACGAGAGGGGCTGCCAAACGATCCGATTGGACAAGTTTCGGTCAATTTTGCCTGCTTCTCACAAAGGTGTGGTGAGGATTGCGTCGTCTTGGCGACATACTCGGCTGATTCTTAAACTCTTTTCACCATCATATCGGTTGCCAAGTTACCAAAGAGAGGAGTCGAGCAGAAAGCAGTGGCAACAATTCACTGTACAGTATTCTATGACACTGAAAACTCGGCTAAAAGGAATTCTTACCAGGTCCATGGACCGGGTCATAAACAACAGCTCTGTGGCAGTGATAACCACTTCGCCGAAGCCGACTATGTTCCAACTGACAAGACAAGTAGTGGTATCTGGTGTGAGGTCATCAACGGTCTCCTCAATAGGTAGAAGCGTAAGCGTTATAAAGCAAAAGCTTCGCTCTCCCTCCTCGGTCGGCGGCACAATGAGATACCCGAACTGGACATCTGTCGGTAAAGTAACACAGCATGCACATGCCGAGATCACCGTCCCAGTCACCGGTGTTAGGTATGCAGTCAGCGTCTTTGGACTCACATACTTGAAGTTGAGGTAACCCCGCACCACCACTGAGATGGGAGGCTCATGTCGTGAACTCGTCAATTTCCTCCTTAACTTGATAAGACATACCCAAGTATTGTACTTCCCCATTCAAACAGTGAAGATGGCTAGAGAAAAGGTTGTAGAGGAGTACAATGCATCAGCTTCGAACTGTAAGTACCATTTTAACTCTTTCACCATACATACCCTCCAGCAGCTCCTCTAAGAGCATATTGTAGGCTGTAGTAGTGGTATTCATATGATGTACCTGGATAGTTAACACAACATAGATGAGACTTTCACAGTCACCACGCCCATCGGACGCCTCGAGACTGAGCTCTACCTAACCGCGCTCGGCGACCCTACTGGTCTCAACATCCTCGACCTCGGCGGTGGGACCGGCTTGCGAGCTCGTCAGGCAGTCGAGCGCGGAGCAGCTGCAGTGGATGTGGTAGATATCTCCCCCGAGATGCTTCGCGTCGGGCAACACGAGGCCGCAAAGAATGGGTTTGCGGACCGCATCCGGTTTATCGAGGCCGATGTATCGCAGAGCTTGAGCCATCTGGACTTGCGAGAGTCTTATGACCTCGTTCAAGCCAATTGGGTCTTTGACCATGCCGAGAGTATTGAATCCCTGGAGAGAATGTACACGAATGTCGTGGCTTATCTGAAGCCTGGAGGCCGGTTTATTTGCGTCCATGTTGTTAATCCCAAGGGCGCCAATCTGAAGGGGAAGAAGTACGGCGCATCACATTCTGAGATCGAGGAAACCCCTGGAGGCCTCAAGTACTGGGTGACGCTGTATACCGACCCACCCGTCAAATTCGGCTCAGCTTCGCTCGAGGTGCTTTATTCTGGGTCTTTAAAGATGCATGAGAAATTCGGGCTTGTTAATGCCAAAGTCGTTCCAATCGAGAATACGAAAGTCGCTAGAGAAGACCCAGACTTTTGGCAGGATTGCGTGAAAGAGCCCATGATACAATTCGTCACGGCTTCGAAGGCATAGTGGAGAGCAAAGTTATAGTACATGGTCCTCTCGCTAAATCTAAGGGAAAACAAGGAGACTCGACAAAGACATGAGAAATATTGTTTGGAGACTGTGCAACGCAATAGGTTCGAGCCGAGAGCAACTGAAGTGTTTTGGGGAGATGTGTGAGTGCTGAGAATGAAACAACGCCTTCTTGAACCTCAATTTCTCGCAGCTAGCTTCAAATATGAGAATAGCGAAATGCTAGAGTCGTCACTTGGTGTTTTCAGTCCACTTAAGGAATGAATGCCGTCTCAAGTGTTCATGAACAGCGAGAGACATTCCACAAGTTTAGTTTGGGACACAATCAGGTTATTTCCTCGAATACAATGCTATTAGAAAGGACTCGGACTTTCTAGGTCTGCGTCCACGTGCCTCTGCTCCACTATCAGAGCCTTAATTTGGTCCACGTTTACTTGTGGGGTTTTCTCCCAATGCCTCATGTGTGAGCAGACGTAAAGCTGGGAAGGCCACAAACTCCTCGTCAAGCTGACAGGTGCTCGAGTATCCAGACCTTGATCTCAGGCTCTGTCGAATAAGTATCCCCAAGGAAAATCCATATCCACGACCTGTCGAAGATGAGATAAAAGAGGGTGCCGACGCGACTGAGAGCATGCGTTCAGAGAGCCAGTTCCCATGTCAGGGAATGTCATAGGAAAATCGGATGCCTCAACTACCTTGGAACGACAGGCAAAGACAGCATTGAAACGTGGTGAGAGGTCGCAGGAGAGAAGAGGCTTACACAGCTCGCACAGCACGTCACAGCATACGCCCGCCTGGGAATCTCCTGTGAGCATGTCTCACCCTTGCATTCCTGGTCGACGATCACCGTCAATGAAGGGAGGCGCTCGATAGCCCAATCAAAACTGCGAAGCACAGGGCGTGAGAAAAAGAAAATTGACGCACGAACCGTAGCTTCGGGAAGCTGCAGCCTCGGTGCACATGAACCTGCCATCAATCACCCCCAAACGTTGGGTGGCCAATTATCCAGGCACCAGGGTCCACTCAATTGCCCCCAGCCCAAGCGTCACAAGCGTCACAAGCCTGCTGGTCGTTGAGATGGTACCAGACATCTCTTCAAGGTCTCAGCCATGTTGATGCACCGCGGAAATCGGCTTATTTGATTGTCTTGCCTCTTGTCCTACTAAGCCACGCCGTATATCCGACAAGAAGGGCAGGCCAAGTCAGTAGCATGCTTTTCTCATCGGCGCCTGCCAGATCTGCCAGACAGGTCCGATGTGGCCCTTAAGACGTCTGTCATAGCGCGGCTCTCGTCGATTTCATCGACCTCAACGCGTTGCTGCCCTTCAACCTCCTGCCTGGGCAGTCAGTCACTACCATCGTTCGTCATAGCCCCCCTCACACGCAGGTGGTGATCGCTGAAATGCGATCTCAGAACCCATCGTCCTCACCCTCCTCTGCCTGATCAGTTCAGATCACTTCGCACCGCGCGCCTCAACTCACATTCTTTCACACCATTCATCATGATATCAAACAGGTCCTTCAGCGTCATTCTCTTTGCGTTCATTTCCGCAGTTGTCCTCCTCATCACAGCTAGACGCCTCGATCAGTGGGATAGCAACGGCGGCCACTACCACACGGGGGAGCTCAGCCCACATGTTGCTGTCGGCACGAATGTTACAGCCACAGCACCGCTCGAGAGCACCGACGCCATCCCCATGTCAGCTCCAGCGTCGAACCAAGGCCAAAACCAGGCATTTGCTGCGAACCATGGGCTGCAGTCCCTCCGCCCTGATCGTGATCCCATCTGCGATGGCTTTCCAGACACCTCTGGCATCCTCCTGATCATGAAAACTGGCGCCACCGAGTCTTTCGACAAGCTTCCTACCCAATTGATCACCATTCTCAGGTGTCTCCCTGACTTCCTCCTCTTCTCCGACCTAGACCAGCACATTGCCGGATACCACGTTCGTGACAGCCTCGAAACAGTTCTAAGCACCGCCAAGGATGGCAACGCCGACTTCGACCTCTACCGCCAACAGAAAGACTGTGTTATTGATCAGGAAATGTGCGCCAAGAACCTCGAAGGGGCCCAAGGCGCAGGGTGGAACCTAGACAAGTACAAAAACATCCACATGGCCGAGAAAGCCCACAGGCTACGACCTGGATACGATTGGTACTTCTTTGTCGATGCCGATACATATGTCTCCTGGCCCAACCTTGTCCAGATGCTTCGCAAACTCGATCCAACAAAGCCGCGGTATCTGGGAAGCCCAACTCTGATCCGAGGTTATCCCTTCGCCCACGGTGGCAGCGGGTACGTCCTCTCTGGTGCAGCGATGAAGGAATTTGCAGGGCAGAATCCAGGCATCGCGAACAAATACGACGCACAGATCAAGGACGTGTGCTGCGGGGATTACATGTTCGCGATTTCCCTCAATGATACCGTTGGTCTCATGGTGGAGAGCCTCGTAAGTGACGAAAGCTTGGTCACCACCACAGCTCAATCAGCTGTTATGAGGTGCAGTATGCCAGGCTGATTCTGACTGACGTCTTCCGATCAGTGGCCCCTCATCAATGGCGAGAAACCGTCCACGTTCCCCTTTGGAAGTAGACATTGGTGCAACCCCATCGCAACAATGCATCACATGAGTAGCGAGGAGGTCTCGGCATTCTGGGAGTTCGAGCGCCAACGATATACCAGGACCCAAGAGCCTCTATTACTCAAGGAAGTCTACTATGAGTACTTTGAACCAAAGCTCGTACCAGTGCGCGAAGACTGGGATAATCAATCTGACAACTTGTATTACATCGACTTGGACTCACCAGACCACACGTGGGAAGACTGGCGGATCACCAGAGCACCCAGAGAGGAGGACAAGTCCGAGTTAGAGAAGCTGGCCCATCTGAGTGCTGACGACTGCGCCAGGGCATGCGACGAACACAACGATTGCATGCAATACAGCTACAAGAATGATTGCTGCGGCATGAAGGGCTCGTTCCAGCTCGGCAAGCCTGTGAAGAGGCCACAGGAGGAGAAGGAGCGGATGACAAGTGGCTGGGCCGTCGCGAAGATTGAGCGATGGATTGAACAGCAAGGAGATTGCGAGGACGTGTCCTGGCCTGAGGTCAAGCCGTGAAGACTAGCGTGGAGGACACCACGCTTATGGTCGCACGAGCGACGTCGAAATAACATTGGTGACTGGTTTTGGGGGCCGCGTTCTGACCGAGACCCTGCATCCTCCGCTGGGCAAAGCTTGTGCAGGGCCCAAACATTGCAGGTGGGCTCCGTCGCACAGCGGCCTTGGCGGCATTCCGTTAGCTCCCAGGCCCTTCACCGATTCCGGCGGTGATTCCCTTTTGTAAAAATAGATCATAGACTTTCTTCGCGATAACTGCGAAGTCAAATAGACCAGACGACCGCAATATGTGTAGAGCTGATAAATTTAGGCTTTTGACATCTTATTCACCAATGCCTTCTGATACGCCAGCTATTTCCTGTGAGAGGCATGGTAATAATGGCTGGCCTTTAAGGTTTGTTGTGCCATCCTCTCCGTGGAGCACGGAAAGTCGCAAACCCCGGGCGCTGAACCATGCCGGGCAGCCAGGAAGGTCGATCACGTCACCAGCCCCGCAGGCGACGAAACTGATTATGAATATCAATTGCGTTCCTTGGAGGCTATCCCTTGTAGATATTGTTTGTTCAGGCGGACAACCTCAGAGGCAGGTCTTCAATTCATCAACAGTACAAACCGTTCTCGCAGTCTTGAACCCTCAAAATTGGCGCACCAGCAGCAAAGGGGTGTCACGCCTACCTCTCTCAAACTCTCTAAAATGTCTCGTCTGTCCCTGTTGGCACTGCAAGCACTCTGTGCTACTGCTGCCGCATCGACATGGGAACAAGCCAGCCAAGATTTGGACAGCCCGCAACGGCCTCTGCATGGAGACGAAGCCGTCTCGGTCGACAAGTTCCCCAACTTGAAACTGAACGACGGGCATGAGATTCCCACGGTGAGTTCTTTCAGTCCGCACTCCAAGATCAATCAAGTACTAATGCAATCAACAATAGGTCGCTTATGGCCTAGGAACTAAAAATTATAAAAATGGCGACGACTTCGACCAGAGCATTGTCGACGTGACCTTAAAGGCACTGTCAGCTGGGTTCACGCACCTGGACGGAGCCGAAGGCAAGCTGCACCCACACCGCTCTCACTTGACACGGGAAAGCTAACAGAACTTTTCAGCCTATAACAACGAAGAGGAGCTCGGCGCCGCGATCAAGTCATCCGGGATCGCCCGCGAGAAGCTCTTCATCACCACCAAGGCCACCGTCAAGGCCGACAAGCCCATCGAGGAGAACTTCTCGGCGTCGCTCAAGAAGCTGGGCCTGGACTACGTCGACCTGTACCTGATCCACTCGCCCTTCTTCGCGGAGGGAGACCCCAAGGTCCACCAGGCCAAGTGGGCCGAGGTGGAGGCCATCCAAGCCTCGGGCCGCGCAAAGTCCGTCGGCGTGTCCAACTACATCCAAGAGGACCTCGACGCGGTGCTGGAGACGGCCAAGGTCAAGCCCGCGATCAACCAGATCGAGTTCCACCCGTACCTGCAGCACATCACCGACGACGGCAAGGAGAAGCTCCTCGACTACCACCGCGAGAAGGGCATCGCTGTGAGTGGCTATGCAGGCCTCACTGCCATCACCAAGGCGGCGCCCGGGCCCGTCGATGGTGCTTATGCCAGGCTTGCGAAGAAGTATAATGTGACCGAGGGGGATGTGGCCCTCCGATGGACGCTCGACCAGGGTGTGGTAGCTATCACGACGAGTTCCAGGGAGGAGAGGCTGAGGGAGTATGTAGACAAGCTGCCCAGTTTCAAGCTCACGTCTGAGGAGGTCAAGGAAATCTCCGACCTGGGACTCAAGAAGCACTTCCGGGGCTTCTGGAAGAACCAGTATGACGATGATGATTGGAGGTGAATTGGGTGGGTGATGCGGTCATTTTGAGCAAGAGGTACTGTCCGAATTTGACCTGGTTGAGGGCGTCTTGGACTTGACTCTTCCCTATGAGCTTCTGATTATTGTGCGAGGATAATGATGATACTTGGCAGCATTCGAGTGATGGAGGATTGACAAGTGCTGATGAGGACTCTATATCAGCAAAACTGAAGCTTTGGACGTATATGCCGATGAGGTACCCGGTCATGTCTATTGATCAAAAAGGTGCACCATTCATACGACTCAACTTACATGCCAGTACAGTAAGGCCCTGGAAAGCGATGCCGACAAGTATCATTTACTGCATATTGATACTAGATTGAACACAAAGTGTTGGCTGGGTCACGTATTCGAATACGATGCACATGTGTGCAGTTGGAGATTCTCTAGCTGCTGTTGATTTGGGTGTGTTTCGTTTAGTTGGTTACAGGAAGCAGCCGAAGGCTGCATCCCTCTGTGACCTACTCATAGACTTAGGCCGCTCGGACCAATCAGCCCACTACAAACGCTAACGCTACTTTCCACACAAAGACAGTGTCCTACCGTCGGTATTGGAGGAGTAATATCGACGAGACGCTGCTCACAGTGAGTTTGCCCTGAATGAATTTGGCAGGGCGTGCCTCATTGTGGTCTGTGCTCACTTAGATGTCCGGCGGCCAATGAGCGGTCGGTAGCAAACATCAGCCACAAAGCACCATCACTCTTCCTGGAACCTATAGTTTGGAAACAGCACATTCAGTAAGCAACTTGGTAATCTTGGAATCTCTTTTTATCATGTTGCAGGGCAAAATAAGAGAAGAGGCAGATTTAGTGGTTCGGTAGTGCCGCACGGGTGGTCCGTGCGCTCGGCTCTGCCGCACCAGCCGAGTGCCGGCCTCCCACACCAACAAAACAAAAGATATTGTCCTCGGTGAGACTCGAACTCACGACCTTTGGATTGGGCATCCTCCTAGTAGTCTAGAAGGTCATACAAGGAAGTATGAGACCAACGCTCTAACCAACTGAGCCACGAAGACTGATTTTCACTGTTTTGTGGTTGTGAGAAACTGGAAAATTGCTGGAATATAATCTCTAACCACTCTTTACGCCCGGGACCAGATACCTGGCATAGTATTTTACACCTACTTGATTGTATAAGATAGGCCATTGGATATCAGACAAGCAATGGGATGTAGACTGTATTCAGAAGAGAGACTCATGAGTGAATATCAACAGGTGGATTGAAGATATACATGTCGACCTAGATAGTACATTCTAAGAACTGGACACTTGAAGTGCAGTTAACTCCCATGGAGCTCGGCTTATGCCACATCGATATTCTTACAAGCGCCAAACCCAATAGATACCAGCTATAACGCACGAGAAGCGGGCCATCCCAGCTTCAATGTTTTGAAGTACAGACAAGAAAAAGTTCCCAGCTCTTTCACATCCGAGTCCCGACGTTCCAATGTTGTTACATGGTCGCTCAACGATCGCTCTGATCCTCAGCTGAGGTGCGATACATCGACTGCGTCGTCCTGGGCGGTCGTGGCGGTCGAGGCTGAGCCGGTAGCCCAAAGCTACCCGCTGGTGGAGGTGGTTTCCAATAGCTCGGCGTCGACCTGAACGCTTCCATGAGAGACTGCCGCCGGCTGACTCTGTCCGCTGGCCGCGGGGGAAGCTTCCCCTCCATCGCCATGTCTTCGGCCAGCCCCACTAGTGATGCAGCATCAGGGGCTGACGGGTAAAACACGGCAAAGACTGGTTCCGCACCATTCTGCATGAAGGATGAGGTGTACGAAGGCTTAAGGATCTGGTGGTGGATGCCAATTTGCTCCAACCTGTCCCGGATTTCCCCACGGGATAGCACCATGGCCTTCTCCGCGTCCCCAGCCTTGTTGATCGAGTAGTCACCCGGCTTCGATGATCCGTTGGGGATGTGGAAGAGCAAGTCGAATCGGAGGGCTGCATACAGCGCGACAACAATAAGCTCAAACGTGAACTGTGTTACGTAGAACACTGGCCTCCCGTACAACACATCGCCGCTGTTATTAGGACGGGGGTTGAAAGCGCTATATGTTCGTACGGTAGCACCCGTGGCTAGCAACGCGGCAGCAAACATGACCAGCGATGTCTTGATTCTCAAACTCCCAGATCCAAACTTCTCTGGTCTAGGACCTGGGATGGAGCAGGATAGAAAGATGACGACGAAGGGGAAGACAACGAGCCAGAGGTTCCATGATGAGCCGAACTTCAATAGGGCTTCGGCAACGTCGGAACGATCTTGGTTGTCCGTAGAGAGGAAGAGCAGACTGATTGATGTGATCTGAAGGATGATGATTGGTGGCACGGAAATTACGAGGACCGTTGTGCCCAGGCCGAAAGGGACGGACCAGCCAAAGTTGGGGTGCATTGAGCGAACAATACGCTGAGCGAGAAGGATGTTCACCGCAAAGATGACAGAGGCTCTGATTCATTTGGCAGTTAGCAATCTGATTCAAGGATGTTCAGTAGTAATGAAGTGCACTCACCCTCCATTAAAAAATATCTGAGCCGCCAGAATTATGCCTCGAAGTTGACTGAAAATAAATATAATTCGAAATATGCATGTGACCGTTCGAATCATGCAAAAGTCGAACATGAGATCAGAAAGCAAGAACTTGTGACCTCGCTTCGCATTCGCCCTGTAAATGGAGATGTGTGTGAATGCCCCTGTGATGAAGAGGAGTAAGTAGACAATGGTAACTGGCAGGTCGACGTTCTTGCTTGGCGGGTTGCTACCGAGCAAGTCACCAGTCGCCGGATCCTTCTTCATTTCCATTCCCATTCCCTCTGCCTGAATGGCTGCGACAGCCGGGCCGCCGTTCGAGGCTTGATCGACACTGGGCCCTTCCATCTGGGCTGCGGATGATGAGCCGGCCTGGGCCGGAGTCTCACCCGGCTCAGCAGCTGCCACACCTTGGTTCATTGCCGGGGTCATCTTTGCCCCAGATGCTGGATTCTCCGCCGCTGGGGGCGGACCAGCCGCCTGTGCCGTTGAATTCCCATCATTGGACCCGGGTGTGTTTTGCTGGCTCGGGGTCGTGGATGCTGGTGTTGGTGTCGGTGGAGGCGACGCAGACGGCGAGGCATTTGAAATCGCAGCTGGTGTCGCTTGGATCGGAACTGCTGTGGGAGTAACAGTCTGTGGTGTTGTCTTCGTAACTGTGACCGTCTTGTCGTCGTCATCGTCTTTATGGCCTTGGACACCGCTGTCCGCCACCAGGACGCACGCGGTGGCCAAGACACGGTAGAGATTTACCAGCCTCATTGCAAAGAGCCACCTTTAAACGTCGATCAACCTGCCATATGTCGGTCGATTTTTGATGGATAGTCCGAACCGGGCGACGGTAAATAGCAAACTCCTTTGATAGAGTTCAGCAGCAGCAGCAGCACTCGGCACAGGTTATAGTATTAAATTAATCAAGACCAGAGGGCTATATCTCCATATTCTCGGATCTTCTGGAGTCCTGAGGTCGTCCCAAGTCCTCTCGGGACAAGTATGTTCGTGTTTTGCGCATGCTTTTCTGCATATGGCATGATAGAACACGCACACGACAGACAGACACACATATTTGCCTACAACAGAAGCAACATTGGGGAGGCTGAGACAGTCCCGGCGACCAGTTGCCAAGAAGGGAAGTCTTTTGACTCACTCCTACCATCCAAATTCTCGACGGCTGTCAACTGGTCCAGCAAAATCAGAGATTAGATGGGTCTACACCTGATCAGGGAACACACATGGACAAGACAAGGAATTCTCCTGCATTCACCAGTTACTATGGGCTGTGAAGATCAGACGGAACATGAAGCAAATGCAGTCTTGTTTCAATTTACGGGTAGGACGGTGGAGGAGTCCGATGTGACAACGCAGTAACTCAGTGTTGTCACGGCGAGCCTTACGTAGAGGCTGGTGGGCGCCTTGCGCTATTAAAGAGGGGCTCTTCCAGCCACCACCAATCTGATCCATTTGGCTGACAACTATTTATACTGATCGAGTATGTGACGTTATCTTCGCAACAAGGCTACGGGATTGCAAAGAAATCCGCAAGTCCGTCCAAGCCTGCAGACCGAGCTTAGACACAGCACACCGGTCTACACAGCGACCGCCTGTATTCCTCGGCCATGTTTGTTATACCGCAGCACATATGACTATTCTCATGAAGTTCGCATGACATTTACCCTTACGTGTCCGCGGGTGCACTTAATGGACCCGGGAGAAGAACCTCACTGATGTTAGGTGAAGTACGATACCAAATGGAGAGCGTGTACAAACTCGGAATGGCCTCTAGGTCGATCATGTCATCAGCATCATTAGAGAGCTCCTACGCCGTAGCCCGTGTGTATCAAGATCAAAGTAATACGTTGCCAAAGAACGTAGTGCAAACCTTGTTTATCCGGTCAACTCTATGTTATCGGGCTAAAATATAGTCTGCGAGTGCCTGCGCTTCTCTTCGTCGGCTGGCAAGCTTCAGAGAAAAATGTTTCGCTGGTTCCCTAACCCACCCGGGGCTCTCCCCGTGTAAAACCAGAAGAGTCGCATGAAATGTGCGCGAAACAGCATAGCCCCGGCGAATACCACAGGCCCGGAGGCAACGGTTAGCGCAAGGTTGTTTTCCGCCCGCCCGGCCGACGCCCGACTCTTACTCCAAACGTCCCCGGCCTTGAGTGGGCGCATTCTCGCAAGACATTTCCCCTTTCCGGTTATCTCGTGCGAGGACCACAGCACCTCTACACAAGACTTTGGCCGTACATGAGCATATTTCTATGGCTGAATGGTGATGACGCTCCCAATAACCCCCCACCTTTTTCCCGACTCTTCCATGCAGGCTGCCATTGCTTTGACGCTGGGCGGAATCGGCTCACATCTGGCAGCACGTCAGGACATGACGACAGGCTGTCAAAATGCGATCTTTAGTCTTGCCAATGCAATGCCTGCAATTCCCCTCAACGTCATCCTTTCTTGCCCTCAGAAGCTCGCAAGGCGGCTTTCGTCACGGCAGAGGCGCGCGGGATCGGCCGATGTCAAGATCAGTCCGATTCTGCGCCTCGCCCTGTGGAAGCCCACTGAGAACAGACGATGGCTAACTTGTTGAAGCCCGACCTTGCGGACGCAGAAAGCTAGATAGTCATTATTGTCGTCAGAGCTGCAGTCATTGGCACGGGATGCCTCGGAAGACCGTAAAGTGCTCGAAAGAGGCTCAAGAGAGGCTGCAGTGCGCCTTATACTCGACGATTCAACGTGTTGCAACGTGTTGCGACTTTTGTTGTTGACTAGAAGACCTATCTTGCAGCCTCCTTAAATGCAACCTAAATCTGCAACGGCCACCATTGAGCATAATGCACCAGGCGCGGGTAGTGGACGCTACCGGCGGAACATGTCGTTCAGGGCTCAAGGCCCCGTCCGTGTTGGACTGCCGCTTAGACATGCCAACTGACTGACTGACAGGTCTCCAACACAATGCTGAGTCTTAGTCGCATCTTACAGGTCCTGTCGTGTTTCTAGGGTGGGTTTCCAACGGCTAGAAACGACACAGGACGAATCACAAGTGAAAGGGTGCGCGCACAAGAGTGTACATGCGGCGGAGGGATCTCTGAGACTGTTTCAACCGATGTTGGGGTTACAACTTTCCCACCACCCGAACCACTAACATCCTGGAACCCGAAGCGCATCGGTCAGAGCGAAAGCAGGGCGGAACTAGGAAGCAAATGCCTTGGCGAGTATGTTGCGAACATCACGATCACCTGCTTGCACTCATTCTTCTTCTTCCGTCCTTGTACGTACGTGCCTATGCCACAACGTCCCAAAATCTTCAGCCCGGTGCAAGCTTCGTGGAAGTTTCATGCGTTCTAGCCCAGCGCCTAAATTTAGTCTGACACGTTGGCAGCACCGCGCAGCGCCGATTGGCTTTGCGATAGACAGCTGTGTGCCGAGGATATCCAAAGAGGTAGAGACCGAGCCTGCGGACTAAGTTGCGAGGGTTTAGTTTCATTCGACTCGTGATTGCAGGTCTGCCCGATATATCCTACCTGATCTACAGCGTTGCGACACCTGTCGTTCAACCGCTGAATGAGACCGACCCTCTTTCCTTCTAATTGGCAACCATGGTGAACACCGGACATCCGAGCAGGGCCTGCAAGCTTTGTCGGGCTCGCAGAATTAAGTGTGACGAGACGAAGCCGCACTGTATCAAGTGCAGGAAATCTAAACGGCAATGTCCTGGATACAGAGATCCCTTTGAGATCAATTTGCGCGACGAAACCCAGTCGACCATCAGGAAGGCGAAGGCAGCAGCAGCTCAGAGGAGGACAAGTCGACAGGACGACAGAGAGACGTCCTCAGATGAGTCTCCGACCAAGCCGACCCATTCTCCGAGCGGCAGCTTCTCCCGGAGCAGAGGATCGCCGCACGCCTCCGATGGCTCGTGGGAAACTGTGACCCAGTCCGCCTGGTCATCGCCATCCTCACAGGTGGCCAGTATCAACAGATCCTCCAGGTCTCCGACCTTCAGTAATGGCTTTGGTGTATTCGACTTCACTTACTCGTCACCGACCCATGACAATTCATTCGACTTCAACTCGGCATGGTCGTTGCCGGCAGCAGGCTACTCGATCCCGATCAAAAGAGTCGCTGAGGCTCTTGGGTCTTGGGACTTTAGCCGCTCTTTCGATGGCACGACTTGGGGATGCAGTGACAGCTTCAACGCCGGGGGTTCTACTGTTGCCCCAGTCCTTCCGGGCCTTCAAACGCCACTGGACGAGCAGGCCACGTGCTTCTTTCTATCAAATTTTGTTCTGACACTCTCAACCGGTCAGAACCCTGGCCTATTCAGCTTCGTTCTAAAAATCCTGCAGGCACCTGGGATCAAGGACACTCCTTTTCCCATGGCATTCACCGCCGTCTCTCTAGCAGCTTTGGCCGGGAGGCCCAATTCAAGGCATCTGCTTCCCAAGTCTCAAATCTACTATAGCACAGCCCTTGTACAATTAAAGGAGGCTCTGCAAGACAAGAAACGCGCCACAGCTGATACGACGCTCGCCACAACAATACTGTTGTCGTTTTACGAGGTATGATTGCTTTTAACATCTACAAAAGCACACCATGTCCTAACTGCAATTAGGGGCTGGCCAGTGACAATGAGAGTATGGCTGGATGGTCAAATCATCTAGACGGCGCAAAAGCGCTCATTCGCCTTCGGGGGAAAAACGTGATTACAGAGTCGACCCCCGAGGGACTCGAAATGTTTCAACTAGTGAGATCAATGTCGGTATGTAGTAGCATCACTTTTGGCGGGTTGTGTGAACCAAAACTTTTCGCGATTAATTGTGCCTTTGAAAAACTAACATCAACATCAGATTCGACAGAACATGTTTGGCTTTGTCGCAAATCCATCAGTTAGCGACGTAGAATGGTGGGGCCAACACGTCGTCTCTGACAAGTCCGGTCACATCGCCCTGGTGCTCAATATGAAGACAACGCTCATCCGGGCAGAAGCCGACGCGCTTCTCACGTCCGGCCCCAAGACAGCAGGGAAGATTGACAAGGCCCTAGACCTCCTCCGCCGAGCCCGGGAGATAGTGACTGAGCTTGGCCGGTGGCTTGAGAACTGCCATCCGACCTGGCCAAAGTTTGTCTCTGGCTGGGCCAAGGAAATCCCCGACGACAGGCTTGACAAGGCCACCAGCTATCCTGGACCCTTGTATACCTTCCCTAATGTTTGGGTTGCGGGGAAGCATCTCAATACCAACGCATCACGGATCCTGCTCGCAGGGATTATTGTCCGCTGTGTGCGGTGGATATGCGCCCCGTCCGATCACACCAAGACTGATGACTATGCCGAAGCCATGCGCATCGGCTGCGAGGAGGTCACCAACGTGATTGCCAGTGTACCGTACTTTGTTACCTGGCAGGGCGATCGTACGACCACTCCATACTTTCCATGTGGCGCGCCGACAAGCCCTAAAGCATACAGCGGCGTGACGGCCTTGTACCCGCTGCTCTGTACTGGGCTGAGCGAGTTCGTGACGCCGAGGCAAAAGAAGTGGCTTTGCGGTCGCTTGGTGGGAATGTCAGAAGCTATGGGGATCAAACAGGCCGAGGTCTTCTCGAAGGTACCAACATTCCTAAAGTCTTTTTGCGACAGTTCGAGAAGCTCAGCACACTGACCATTTGATGCAGTTCATTTCCAATCAGGCGCCCATAGTGGTTGCTTGAACACGATTGTTGCCAGCGCTATCCAAGATTGGATTCATTCTTAGAAGTAGGGTGTTTAGGATCAGCCAGGTCAGGGTGCACTCGATTCAGATTATCATGACATGCGTAGGGCGTTATGAGATTATCACACAAGCCCAACCAGGGCACGACTACAATTCGGTTTCCGTTCACACAGACTAGACCACCCTAGTGGGTTGACTCTCAAGAAAGCTCATTTCGATTTAACTAAGCTCAATACGATTTTTCAGAAAGTCTTGCTCTTCGTCGATAGACTCTTTGTCAGGTACATGATACTGCTACGAACTCAACCGACTCCTTCTGAACTCTTCGCCAACTTCACTCTGTCCAATAGCGTACAGCCACATCTTCAGCCACATCTGGATTGAATTGATTGCACAGCTTTTGAGTCTGCTCAACGGGTATGCAGATGTATTGATGGCTTTATGGGTCTAAACGGCACCACTAAGGATGAAAAGGCTTGCCTTTGCTTTTCTATAAGCAATCAGTAATCCTATAGGAAGACCAGGGTACTCCATAATGCTGGTGATGCATCTACATGGCCAGCACCAGTATAACACAGAGGCGCAGTCCAGTCCGTTGAAATTGGAAGTGTTGCCCCTGTGAAAAGTACGCCACATTATTTTGGGGCCCAGAACTTTATCTAGTTGTTAACAGATCAGGCGCTACGATGATGCCCTGTTACATGGGCCTCTGCAGTTTGAGCTCGGAGCCACCATTCCAGTCCCGCCTTGGGTAAGGATGCTTCACGGATGCCTGTCCAACTTCTGAGGAGATCTATCCAACGAATGCATATGAATCAGGCTTCAGAGCAGCGTCAAGGGGTGATGGTTCCATGATGTAACTCTTCGAAATAGACCGGTTCTCGGTCGCTCTGTTCATATGTCCAAGTTGACCAGAGTTCTCTTTTCAATTGATCAATATTTAGTACCACAGGATTTTCGGGGCTGGTGAAGCAGAAAGAAAAAGAGTGCCGAGGAGGACCCAATACAAGCCACGCTATTCAATCAATTCTTCTGCTGTATATCAATTTGTATGACGCGGCTTAGTCTCCTTAACAAAATGCAAGCGGAAGAGACATGCATCAAGTGTGAGTGGAAAAGTAGGCAAACAGTATGCATAGCCTTGCTCCTGAGGATATTCATGGGCACCAAATTCGAGCGCAGATCGGGGCCGACGGACGACTCTAATGGCTGGGGCTGACTGCTCATCTCTAGACATACAAAACTTCAGGCTCTCGAAAGCGAGTTTTTCCACATGCACCAAAGTTACCAAATACTATGGCAACTTAATTGTGCTAATAGTATAAGCTGACTGGGACATAATCGGTCGTGTCTGCAGCCTTCTTGGGGTCATAGCCTTAGCTTATTAAGCAGAGGCACCGGCTAAATTGTCAGCACCGAATATTCAGACTATTTTGTAACAAGCAAACGAAGATGCGCTGTCAAGATGATGGCTCGCCGAAGCTAAGGTCTCTTTCTGCCAGCCTTCGGCTCCGATTGTCCCGGCGCCCGGAATGTGACGCGGAATTTATTAGCCGTCCTGCCAGACCAAGACCATCGCACGAGACGTTCAGAATGCTAGACGTGCGAGTAGAATTTGTCACTGGATGTGGCGACCGGAACAACTGACTCGATGCCATGTGTTCTTATCCAGCAACCAATTCATGGTTGCCGACAATCTCGCCTAGGTGAAAGAGGGTCCCTTACCCCGGATTCGCCAAGATGTGGGCGTTAAGGGCTCTTTATCCGTGCCGTCGGATTTGATCCACCACCGCCCAGCCAGCACCATTGGCGTTGAACGCAATTGTCAAGCTCTAGGGTTAGCATGCTTAGCATTGTCTCAATTTTGCAATTCTTGACAGCTTGTAGGAACTCTACCTGCATCCTTCCAGCACAGTCTCCCGCCGGAGTTCATTGGCCTCATGCAGGCTTCTGGGAACCTGTTGCCGATCTCAGAGTGGAGTCACATCGTACGGCCTTATCTTGCCATGGGTGGCATGGCCAGATACGGGAGGTATAGACCAGATAAGTCGCCGGTTAGCAGCTCCGACACGTCTAGACCGAGTCACAAGACGAGGAGGTATCTCTGTCGGGGTTCAATGTCACGTCGCACCGAAGCAAACGAACGGTCGGGTCTCCCACCCCCTCTGTCACGCGTGCCTGAGTTCTAGTATAAACCAATTGCACCCACCGGCCCTGTACATAGACATGCCCGCCTCGTTAAGTTACATTGTAAACGTTTCTAGACGTCGTTTGATTGTGGACTCGATTGCAATTGTTTCAAGACCAGTGATGACTCGCAGTCGCAACCATGTCCGAGATTGAATCGACAAAAGCATCTGGCTCCCCTGTTCCAGAAAAGAAGGGCGCTCTCACCACTGCCGTCGACGTGGGCCAAGCAACCTCCGATCTGGAGAAGATCAAGCACGCTCATCAATTCGACCCAAATCTGCCTCAGGAGAAACTTGACTTCATCAACAAGGCATTGCATGATGGCGACGCTGGCGAAATCATTGAGGCTGACGCCCTTTTTACCGAAGACTCCCCATACGATCAGGTTCGAGCAGCAGTGCGAGCAACAGATTCCGGAGGAGTTGCTAATACTCTTCGTGCCTGGGTGTTGGGGATTTTGTTCGTCACCGTGGGGAGCGGCCTCAACATGTTCCTGTCTATGAGGAGTCCAGCCATAAATTTTCCATCCTTGGTAGTCCAACTTCTCGTGTTCCCCATCGGCTGCTTCTGGGCAAAAGTTGTTCCCACCAGAGTCTTCAACACTTTCGGTGTAAAATGGACTTTTAACACTGGGCCCTTTACAATCAAGGAACACGTTGTTATTACCCTGATGTCGAACGTTTCCATTGGCTACGCTTACAGTACCGATGCCTTGCTTGCGCTTCAAGGAAAGCCATTCTATGATATCAACCTTGGATGGGGTTTCCAACTCCTTTTTACGCTGAGTTCCCAGCTCATTGGCATTGGCCTGGCAGGTATTTCCAGGAGATTTCTCGTTTGGCCGGCTGCAATGATATGTAAGAAGTGCAGCTTTCCCCCTAAGATTCACACCTGTGCCGTGATCAAACCAATTGGCACGCTGTCGCCATTGCATTCTGACCTCGAAGCAGGGCCCAACCAATTTAGTAGCACGTCTCTCTTCTTTGCCTTGCACGACAAAAGCAAGAGTGATGGATCCGAAGCCAACGGTTGGACCATCAGCAGATATAGATATTTCTTCTACGTCCTGATCGCCATGTTCTGCTACTATGTAAGCAACTGAATACCTGTTCTCGGGAGGTATCAAGAGTTGTAAAACTTGCTAATGGGAGACCTTCAAGTGGATACCAGCTGTCCTATGGCAGGGACTCTCAGTATTCGCCTTCATTACCTGGATTAAACCCAACAACGTTGTCCTTAATCAGCTGTTCGGTGGCTATACTGGTCTGTCTTTGATCCCAATCACATTCGACTGGACATATGTCACTGCTTATTTGGGCGATCCCCTGCTTGCTCCCGTACATACTGCCATTTCTGAACTCACAGGGCTCTTCGTATTTGTCATCCTCGCAACAATCGGCATCACATACTCCGGCGCTATCTACAGCCAATACCTACCAATCAATACATCTCAAACTTACGACAACACACAGAGCAAGTACAACGTGAGCAGAATATTGGGAGACAACTTCACTTTTGATCTGCAAAAGTATAAGGAATACTCGCCACTTTTCCTCCCTCCCACGTTCGCCCTGAATTACGGGTTATCCTTCGCCGCATTGACCGCAGCATTAGTACACTGCGGCCTGTTCCACGGAAAGGAGATCTTTTATCGGCTCAAGGCCGCGAGGAATCAAGAGCCAGATATTCACATGAAACTGATGAAAAAGTATGTGGATGCCCCTGACTGGTGGTACATCGTACTCTTCGTGATCTCGATGGGACTCGGTCTCGCCACCGCCGAAGGATACGACTCTCAGTTGCCTTGGTGGGCGTTCTTTGTGGCCATCATTCTTGCCGTCGTCTTCATGATCCCGTCCACAACAATCTTGGCCATATCGAACCTCGCGTTGGCACTGAATGTTCTGTCTCCATTCTTGGCCGGCTTTATGATACCGGGACAGCCGATTGGGGTGATGATCTTCAAAGTTTATAGTGTAATCGTGCTTGGCCAGGCTCAGACGTATGCTGGTGATTTGAAGCTGGGTCACTACATGAAGATTCCACCCAGAATTACCTTCTGGTGTCAAGTGGTGGCGACTATATGGGCTACGTTTGTGCAGATTGCAGTCATGAACTGGACACTCGGAAATATCGAGGGTGTCTGCGAGATGTAAGTTCACTCCGAAACGGATTCTTCTTCTCGACGATACGAAAGTTCCTTTACTAACTGGTCTCGCCAGCGATCAACCCGCCAAGTTCTCCTGCCCCAACGGTCGAGCATTTTTCTCATCATCGATCGTTTGGGGAGTGATCGGCCCCTATAGGATGTTCGGCACTGGATCCATATACCAGTACTTCAACGTATTCTGGGTGATTGGAGCGGTGCTTCCTTGCGTCCTTTACGCTCTTGTCAAATATGGCGGACGTCTGAGCTGGATCGGTCGCACCCTTCACGCACCGGTGATGCTTGGTGCAATGGGATGGTTGCCACCAGCAACGCCACTGTCTTTCTCGACCTGGGGAATTGTCGCATTGCTATTCAACCACGTGATCAGAAAGCGGTTCCATGGGTGGTGGCGCCAGTATAATTATGTGACCGCTGCTGCTCTTGATGCAGGGTTGATCATCTCGACCATCGTCATCTTCTTTGGCATTGTAAGCACTACTCCAAGCGTCATTTCTTTTTACTACGCGGTCCTATGACCATTTATCATGATCATTTGGAGTATCGGAACTTAAATTCTTGTATCTTGAGACGCCTCAGCTTGCATCCTCATGACGTTGACAACTAACATGACCTGCTTCAGACTTTTCCGGGAGCAACAATCCCCCAGTGGTGGGGAAATGTTGGTGTTTACAACAACATGGTACGTCACGATTGTAATTTACGTTGTCATCAAGATCTTGTTCTGATGTGAATTATTATAGGACTCGGAGTACACCGCCATTTTAAAGACAGTTGATGATGGGCAGACGTTCGGACCAGCTACTTGGTGAATGGTCAGTACAAAATTAAGCAAAAGTGCTGGTGAGTTGTTAGAATGCGATGAAACATCAATATTTATTCATGTCCATAAGGAATAGGATACTCAGCTTTTGCCCAGCTTTAATGTGTCCTGACAGACGATTGCCCTGCCTGTCGTGGGACCAAATATCCAGAATCGAAGTAATATATGGCATTATCCTAGTTCAGGCCAGTTGTGAAGGATGACCGATTAATGGACAGTAGCTTACTATCCCGTGCTATGAATAGGCCATGCTTGCTCATTTTCGGTTGCTATATCATCATCTCTGTCAACTGGTGATCGCTCCTGTCCGCAGTCATGATGGAAATGGGCATTGTGGGTTTGCTTACGGCAGAGTCATGTTCGTGGCGGCGACGTTCGCCTAACATCCTTCGCAGATCAGTCGTGGGCAGAGAGCTGACTATTCGCATCTTCAGAGCCTATAGTTGTCTCTGATTTTGGCTCGGTCTTGCGATTCACTTCAGGAAAGGTGTTGTTTTACATTCGTAAGACCAAGTACACTCACTCCATATGTAAATTTATAAAAGGGTATGCGTGTCCATGCGGGTATGGCAGGCTGAATGCTGATGCCAAGCCTCCTTACCCGACCGCTATGCCCCGAAGGATGCGCCCGCTCCTCGTGCGCCGGGTTAGATTCGCTGATCCCGGTGTGGCTGTAGCCTGCGTCACGAATCCTTCAGGCAGACTTAGACAAGGCAACTGCCGATCCAGACAACGCTTAGACTTAAGTCCACAAGCACAATTAACAATCGACACTTTCAGTTAAAATCCATTCTTTTTTAAAATATCCTGCTCTTTCTCACATCCGTTGTGACACGATAATTACTTAAATTGCTTTCTATCATTACACAGTCACAATCTCGAGTTACAATCTAGCACCTAGCAGACATGCCTCCATACTCCAACGACCACAGCGTGAGCTCGACAGTGATGTTGCGCCGCATCACGATTCTTTCATTTCCACCGGCCTTTTTCATGCTCCTAATTCACGGTGTTAGCTGCCGTTGGGCTTTCCCAGCCCTAGGGATCTTGCCGCTCGCCGTCTCAGCCGTACTGGGCGCCTTGTTACTCCATCGCGACCGTGTGGCAGCGCTCGGCTCACCCATCCAGGCATTATCAGCAGAAAACATATTTTATGCCGATTCGGCCCTTGCCGTCTGGTATTTCGCTTTCCTCATTGCGACATGGGCGCTCCTGGGTAAGCCCTCAGAAGAAGAGATGATCATTCTGGGCACGTACGGCTCTGTGTTCCTCATGGTGAATTTGTTTGTCTCCCTCTTCATCTCCCATCAGCCCCAGTGCTTCTGCTAACGTTGGATACACCTAGCGGTATTCACTTTTACTTCGCTGCCGCTGAAGCTTTGCACATCATCACCACACAACGGAGTCCATTCCAGTCCCTCGCTGCAGAATATACTCCACTCCAAGAGGAGTACAGGGATGATCTTGAGGAAGTCGAGGAAGGGAACGCAAGGCTTTCTTAGGCTGATGATCTCATGCCTGGTTATTCGCGATTCTTTCTACACTTTTTTTTTTCGGCCAACGGAGTTCCGGTTACATGTTGGGATCTCTTGGAAGCTTTCGGATCTCAGGAATTATTAGGTTGTAGCTTTGGATAAATCAAATTGGAGAGGCCATACTTGACTGCTTGACGATGATATTTCTACCCTTTCTCTTGGGTGCTTGAAAGCAAAATCCTGTATAGGAAAGGGTTCAAGGAACGTCATAGCTAGGGCATTGCAATGGTACCTCGTCTGGACTTATGGGCTGGCTTACCTGCTTTTGCTTATTTGCCACAAACGAGAACTGTATTTCTATGGACGAGCTTTTGTTGCAGCTAGAGACGCCAAGTTACGCCGAAACAATGCAGTGCCAATTATTAAAGTATGTGCGAAATTTTGTCTGGTCCTGAGTTGGCCTTGGTGATCCCACTCCGTCTTACTTGCAACACAAGCCGTGGACCGAGTAAAACTTGAATCCTGTTTGCAGCCCAATCACTCATCAGGCTTGCCCTTGTCACTGCATTGTCTACACATTCCCATCCCATCTCATTCACATTTCCCTCATACCTCTTCAACTCCGGGGCTCACATTTGCAGATTCAGTTTCCCAATAACACTGGTCACGCGTTGACGTGTCTTGTCCGCCACTTCGTCAAACATGCTGCCGACCATCATCTCAACCAAATACGGCCGATACAAGACCAATCAAGATGACCTTGCAACCTTCCTTGCCGTCACTGGTGCTCTTTGCGGTGCGCCAAACACGCTCATCAAGCCGGACGACGCGTCCTCGGACGATGCCAAGTCGAATCGACCCAAGGGTAAAGACCGCAAGCTGGCCAAGCAGCGTGCCGCTGGCAGCATAATCGATGAATCGACGCGTCAGAAGGCTCCCAAGCTCGCACTTAACAGCTACGTTCCCCTAGCAAAAATCATTGCCAAGTCAACCAGTGTGCACGGGAGGATCCCAAAGTGGATAATCACGGTCATTGACAAGATCATACGCGACCGCGAGGAGTGTTTTCGACACATAAACGGCGAAGACGTGGCAGCTTTCCTTGCAAAGGGCCAGCAAGACGGCCACGTCCATCCGATCAATGTATTGCAGTGTGTTCGGTCAATCCTCCTCCCAAAGTACCAATATCAAGTGGCATCAAGCCAAAACAATGACCATCCCAAAACTCTGAGCAAGAAGGTCCTTGGTGAAACCTCCGGCAATGCCAACACGAGGCATACAGCAAATATGTTTGCTAGTCTGGGGATCAAGTCTCCTGAGAGCTCGCCTTCTTCAGGTAGTGATGATCATGACCAAATTAGGGCGATCGAAGCTGAGGATATAGAGAAGGCCGATGCCTGGAGAACTTCACTTGGTCAGTATCATGACACTCAGATGCATCCTGCATCAGCCGTTTTAGTTCTTGTTTTTATGCAAGCATCTGTCTCAACTCAATGACTGACTGTCGGCTGTAGCTCCTTCTCAGGTTTTTGCAGCCTATCCAGAAGCCTCCCGTGAGGAAGCCTTGCTCGCGCTGGGATCCTTGCGAGGTGACATGATGTTAATAAGACAGGCGGTTCTGGAACAGTGGGTCAAATTTAAAGATGGAGCTGTCGACCCGGCAGCCGCCGCGATCACTACGAATACGGCGATCGACCTCGTTCGGTCCCTTGAGAAGCAGGCTCGACCCGTCATCGAATCGTACACAAAGAGCCTTAACTCCAAGGATACTCAACTGCCTGTCTACTGGTACTCCTTGGGCAGCTGGATCAAGGATATCGACGACAAGACTTGTGGAACGAACATCTATGCACCACTCCTAGGAGCAGACATCGACTGCCAAGCTAACCAATCGGCCGACTTCAATTCCCGTGACAACACATGTGTGGAAGGCGAATACATGGGAGATTGGATTCTCGAGTCCCGTAGTTTCCGTTGGGCGTACATGTTGATACAGCTGTACTGTATGGAGTTCTTTTCCAAGACAAACGCAACGTTCAAAGTACCTCCTGGTCATGAGCCAATCCGTTCAGGTAGCGGTGGTCGCCCAGATGACGCCAAGTTGTTCGAGCAGATCCGTACTTGCCACGGACAGGACATTCAATGGCTATATGAGCTCTCGTTCTTGGCTAACTACGGGTTCGGTCCCGTCTTCCCATGTCTCGACGAAGTATCTCGCGGCTTTCGCATCAGTAAGCATTTTCCGTTGACCAGGATTGTCGTGCCACTTACCATACCTCAACAATATGCTGGGGTGCACCTTATGCATCTAGAGGCTGTTCCTCCTTTCCCTCTCCCTCTTCTTTTTGCACGAGATGCCCTCTTTGGTGTTTTGATAGCTGACTCCAGGCTCTTAAGTGCACGAGGATGTCGACCTCAAGCTGTGGGCCGTGTTCGGTGTCCAGGTATTCTGCGAAATCAATGAAGTTCTTGGGCAAGCCGCCCAGCCCCAGCCACTTCAGTATCTGAACAACTTTGTCCATGGCAGCCTAGACTTCTTTCAGAAGGCCCAAGACCTTTACACTTCCGTTCTTGTTGTCAACTCGGGAGAAGAGGTTGGTGGCAAGAGCGACGAGCCTGTTAAAGAGGCTCAACGGGGACACACCGTAATCAGTTGCTTGCTTCCTGAGCGACTTGACGAGGAGATCGAGCGGATGGGCCACAAGAGCTACCCGAATCTCAACAAATCTTACCTGATGAGCCAGCATCCCGTCCTGTGTGGCATCCTATTGCATACCGCGCGGTTGATGGTGCAAAAATATGGTATCACTGTCGAGACTTGTACCAGATCTATCATGAAGATGGCTCACTTCTACAATGCCTGCTCAACCTTTGACCCCATCAAGACTAGCTGGTTTGACCTCGACCACTGCATGACTGCGTTGCAGGGCCCCAACATCTTCATGTCAGGAAAGCCACCTAAGAAAGACACGAGGAATGACTTTGGCAAGGCTTTTTTATTCGCCGTTGGAGCAATGTCCCTGACTTACGCTGCGCCAGATTGTCGCGACAAGATGGGGAGACGGGGTCGAAACTTCACTGACGACCAGTTCAAGTCGCGCAAGAACAGTCAAGGAAAAACCTTGCAGAAGCTTGGCCCGGTCTCTTTGATGTTTGAGGACAGGTTATGCAGAGCTGGCGACAGGTACGAGCTCAACGAGGAGGACTTGCAAGCCATTACCGAGCGTGCAGCAGCCTACAAGGGCAGTGAGGATGAGAAGTACCGCATGCGAGCAATATCGAAAACATCTCGTTCCATTGTTGAGAAGCCCAAGTCAGTCGCCCAGCTCCTTTCTGACCTCAGCTTGGGGCTTGACCAAGAAGTGCTTCCAATTTCTTTTCCATACATTTGCCTCAATATCGAATGCACAAAAGTCATCTGGAAGCTAGAAATAAACCTGCGATCCACACATTACAAGATACTTCACGGCGAGCACATGCCTCCCGGCTTCGGAACTATAGCCCTTCATCTCCTCGCCGGACACTCTGACAAGCTTTGGATCGCAGCCGATGAGATCCACAACTACGTCAGAGACAAGACGCCGGGGAGCACCAATGGCTGTACAGCAGTCAAATGGGTAGTGGGCAATATCCGGGAGCCTCTGAGGTCCAGCCTTGAGAAGAAGATATGTGAGCGTATGCAGGAGGCTGCTGGAAGCTCGAAGCACACCACCATCGGGTTTGGTCCTGTGATGAACTATACTATTCCCGAGAAGCCGCAGAATGATTGTTAAAAGCCAGCTCACGTTGGCATAAACAACGCCGAGGCATCAAAGAAGAAAAGCACTGCAGCAAGTGACGAATAGGGACAGTGGATTCCTGTCCCAGCGCCTTCTTGATCCCGAGTCGGATGTCGAGAAGTGATTGGGTGTTGGCCTGCCGCGTGATGGCTATCAACCTTCGAGGCTGTCTGACATTACCGGACTCGTCTGACTGGAAGAAACGTATTGGGTTAGCTGCTGGCTTGCTGCTTGAGGATTGATGTCTGTCACTTGAATGGGCGTTTGGCCTTTTGAACCGTTTGTCTCAATCAATGTGTTCCCTTGTCACAAGCTTTGTGTCATACTACCACTGTCTGTGCCTATTTGTTCAGGGCGTAGAACCGATCAATTTTCGGGCAGAACCAAGTGCGAACAGTGCTACAGTAAGGCAATCTAGGCCTAGCATTATGCCTCTAAAAGAACTCTTCTAGAGTCTCTTAGAACTTTCAAGAAACTATGTTCTAGCTTCCGAATACCAGTGTAATCGGTTACTTGACCTGACATATCCCCACTCCACTGTCTCTCCGGCCGCTCTGCTGGCCCACAGCTAGGCCGTTGGTATTTGTTGATTGCTCAAGAGATTTCCATTCTTCCAGCCCCAGCCAGTATGTCAAGAACCTGCCGATCATATGCTCGTCAATTTTTGTGCCGTCTCTCAGTGCGTTGGAATACTTCCGCGCTTCAAACAGATCCAAGGCGTCTTCGGCACGTGTAGAAGCCTGGTTGTCATGAACGACTCCGTATCTTCTCTTGAAGTGCTGAAGTAGTCTATGATTAGGTACTGCGCTTTCTAGCCGGCGCAGCCATTCTTGTTGTGGGATTGCCTCGAAAGCGAGATTGTGCCTGGCGAGAGCAGGCAAGAACTCTGTATTCCAGTGCAGTGGAGTTGTGTTGGACACATGAAACACTCGTGCTCCCTCTGTGTCTTCATTGGATCGACTGCGGAATGCAAGTTCGATGATGGCAGCCGCAGCTATGTCAACTGGCAGCCAGTATTGCATGTCGGCTCCCTCCACGACAGGAAGCGCGCCGGTGGTCAAGGCGCTCTGTACAGTCAACGGGATCGCCTCCTTTGGGTTCCACATGCCACGCTTGTTATCACCAACAATCTGGCCCACCCGGAGAATCTGGACGGGGAGATCGACGCCATTTTGCGCAGCATACTTGACAGCCGCAGAACAAATCTCCTCCCCAACCCACTTCGATTGCCCGTAGCCTATTTGACTTGCGGCTTCCCATCCATACCTAGTCTCCTTCACTCCTTCTTGGGCTTTTGCAAGAGCGATAGCAGCGATGCTGGAAATGAATGAGAATTTAGGCCTAGGATTTAGAGGAGAACGTATTGCCAAGTTCAGCAAGTGCGAGATCGAGGCGATGGAAGGGTTTTCGAATGATGACAAGGATAGGTTGAAGTTCACTGCCCAGGCACCATGAATAATATCCGTGACCGAAGTACGCAATATCTCATAATGGCTATTGTTCAGACCTAGGCTGGTCTGTCCAAGGTCGGAGGCAAGGGCGACAATCTTCGATCTCTGGTGGCTATCTGTCACTTCTAGGTGAGCTTCATGGAGGGACTTGGTGATGCGCAAGTCTGCCGCCTCATCTGAATCTGCTCGAACGAGGCAGTAGACCTGGTCCACATCTGACGACGAGGCCAGACGATGAATCACATGGCTGCCAATAAAACCGGTCGCTCCCGTAATTAGCTAGGAAAGTCAGCATCATTGCTTTGGGGTGAAGTGATGTTCATAGCCACTTACAACAACACGCCCAGGACCAGCTTGTAGGGTCTGTGGTTCGCACTGAGCAAACTGAGTGTACTTCTTTAGAAGGCCTTGCGCGATTTCTCTTTCAGAATGAGTCGCATCTTTGGGATCTCGTCCGTTTCTCACCGCCAGTATATAGTTGGTAAGCTGGCCCACGGTGGGACTCTCGAAAACGACATTGGTCGGCAGGAGACGTCCGCCAAGGTTCACGCGCCTGAGCAGCCGCGAACGCACATATGAGGCCTGCAAGGAGTCCATGCCGAGACCGAAAAAGTCGGTGTCGATACCTAAGTCCGCATCTTCGGCTGACACTACTGAGCTCACGACTTCGCGCACAACGTCTTCGACCTCGTCGTCCGCGATGGAGACCTGTGTGCTGCTTTGCGCTTCTCTTGCGGCGTAATGCGCATCGATGTCCTCTTTGCACATTTCGAGGAACTTTGAGCGTATCAACGTGTCCTTCGCCGTTCTCGGCACTTCGCTCCCTGCTTCTCTGAAAATGACGGCATCAAGTGGGACCCGCGTGTAAGCTGATACTAGGGAATTGCCCAGCTTCAGGTCAGGGGCAATGCTAGCTGCCAGCTCCTCCTTTGACAGCCCTGATGCATGGGCCGACGGAACCACAACCAGACCGAGGGAGTCCCGTCCTGCGCCAAAGGCCATCGTGGTATCCACGTTGCGGTTCTTCGCGACAGCCTCCTCTAGCAAGTGCGGATCCGCCTTCAGGCCATTCACCAGCACGATTATGTCGTCTGCCCTGCTGGCAAATTTCCACTTCCTGGGATCTGTCGGATGGCGCACGAAGAGATCCTGGGTCGCGTACGAGCCATCAGGTCTGTTGGACATTACCAAGGTTGGCAGGCCAGGAAGTACGACCAGGTGGGAAAGCCCCTGATCTTCGTCTCCGTAAGGCTCAAACTTCAAATACGGCTCAGCAGCTGGCATAGGCATGTGCCAAACCCAGTCTGGTCCGGGGACATTACGCATCAGGGCACCACTTTCTGATTGTCCATATGGAGAGACAATGTTCACACCCTTCTCGGCCAGCTGATTTCCTAGCACCTCCGGGGTCGCTGAGCCGGCTGCCGCGACACGTTGTAGTCGTGCGAGCCTCTCTGCACCACCTGGAGCCTCGACGATGAATTTGAGTAAGTGTGGTACCGTCGCAAGAGCCTTGCACCGTGTGATGTCTAGTGCTTTCAATATGACTGAGGCAGTGACTGGTCGGGAGGCGTTCAGCAGGCTCAATGTGAAAGTGCCCCACAGTGTGGCTATGAAATGGCCAAAGCCAAAAGCATGATAGACAGGGAGCGTCGCCAGTATGTCTGGAACAGACTCGGAAATAAGCTTTGCTAGATGCATGAGATCACGACCCATGTGACGGGGAACAGGTTTTGGTAGGCCCGTGGTCCCTCCACTGTGGATGACGAAGAAAGGCGTCTCGAGATCGTCTTTGTATTCAACGACAGGGAGATCGATAAGAGCTCCATGTCGAGAGATTGCGTCGAGTTCTGCCATCTGTGCCATGGAAATGATATCAAATTCTGGCAAGTTTTCCTGGATAGTCTTTACTCTCTCCAGGGCTGGTATGGAGAGGCCAGATGCAAAGACGGCCACACAGTGTTGATGCCGTATCAGGTGCGCCAATCCCTGGTCAGGCAGCCGTGGTGACATTACCACAGTTGTCAGACCCATCCGACTAAGGGCGAAGAGATGGACGTAATATTCGAGGCTGGAAGCCCCTACAATGGCGACTGCGGGCGCCTCCCCGGGCTTTGCATTCTGTGCAGATTCTCTGAGAGACTTTGGGTACGTGCTTATTGCACTTTTCGTCAGGCGGTCTAAGTCTGCGGCCGTGTAGTCCTTGAAGTCCAGTTCATGGTCTGGATAGGATATCATCACCTTATCGGGTGCAGTCTTTACCAGTCGGCGAATGAGGATGTCGACGGAAACCACCTCTGTGGGCGGCTGGGGCTCCATAGTGACTAATGAATATAACACTAATTATTTGCTTTGCAAGGCAGAGTTGGTTTCTGCTCTATCAGCAAGGCGAACAGCTTCTGATATATATCCAATTCGCGTCTGGAGATGTCCCTATCCCCCTCACCGGACTACCGGTGCTTGTATTTCCCGGATTCGGGACTAATATGCTTTATCGCGAACTATGTGCGTAGGATGCTGCTGACCCGAATCCTCGGCCCCGGCGGCCGCTCTCAAGGTTTATCCTGACATATGTGGGGGAGAAACCAATCCCGCTTAATAGAATTGTCTTCAATTATGCATGAAAAGTAGATGGTTTCGCACAAAGTTTCGCTTTCGGATTTCGGCTTTGAGCCCGCTGAACATCGAATACATTCAATGTGGGCGATCCTGATTAACCGACGCGCCTTAAGAACACGTACCTCGGATCTGAAGCCCGAGGATGAGCTTTCAACATGAAGTTCTATTGGTTGTGTGTTTACATATCTGTGTGATTTGTGTGACTCGACGGTTTTGAAGTGGAGTTGTAGCCAATGCAACACAATTTCAGATTCAGCAGGCTTGAACCCGTGAGTCTGGGGCTGTGTGGATCAATGGCCATCTCATCCCCGGTATTGTACTAGTGAATTCGCAGATGTGCAGTCGGCATCAGTCTTGCGTGCACTAGACTCAGAATTGTACAGCGCGAATAGCACGATCGGGCAAGTTCTTCCAGAATTTGGACCAGCAGTCTAAACGAGGTACTTCCCATTCCCGGACGGCTCAGATTTGATCAATTCTATCTTCACCATGTCTAGGCTTTGCAAGGTGGGTGCGTCTCAAGGACGGTAGTGTGGGATCATTATGTTCTTTTCCGAGAAGTCACCCAATGAAGACAGTTTACACTGTTAGAAGATACCAATTCGCCGTACGCCGCCCTCAGCTATTGCCGTCAATGAGAGCGACCCCAACTTCTTCAGACTTGCGAGAACTCTGATTTCTTTTGGACTGAGACCAAGACAAACCGGATCTTTTGGTGTGCCACCAGTCAGGCGGGACAATTCCCGCTATTTCAAATGCTTCTGTCCATTAATAACCTAACGCAACGGCGTTTTCAAATGACCGGCACGTGCTGACTGAGCAGACTCCCGTTGGTCGTTGGCTGCATGTGGTTCCATTGTCTTTCAAACTTGGATCTGTCCCTCTGGTACAAGATTACAAAGCGCCGCTGATGATCAAGCCGAGAACCTTTTTTCACAGGTACAATCCAGTGCCATTCGGTAGCCATCCCGAAGTGGTGCCGATAAATCCGTACGTACGTAGATAGCCAGGTCCACGGTCATGGTACTGGCCACTCCCGAAATGATCGGAAGTCTCGGTTCTATCACTTCAAGAAGGTTGGCGTTAACCAGAAACCATAGCATGCAAGAGGAAAGCATCGCCGCAGTATGCGTCAATTATTGCGCGTCACCTGAGAGTCATCAACTCCTCCCTTTTGCGCTGAGGCTCAGGCGAGAGAGACAGAAGCTGGTATGGAAACCGTTAGTACAGTGACAGGGGCAATACAAGTCATCTTCGGGCCCTTCATTACTCAGCCGACGGTCTTCTGCGGTTTCGAGCCCGCCAGGCTATAACATTTTGTCCAAGCCCAAAAGAGCATCTACACCTTTCACTCCAAGCAGAAGCGCTGCTGCATGTCACTGCGGCCAACCACGGCCTCGAGAGCCACTTCGAAGTAATTTACAGCTGCGTTCATGTGCTCTTTTTTAGATCATGGATGTTAGTGATCATCCAACCCCAACCTCCCGGGGACCAACCCCAGCTCCCCGTGACCCCATCTGATGCACCACCGAGCCGTGGAGCCATCTCCATAGCGGCATTTTGCCGCCCCACGCATGGTGTGTGTGTTGATCGATTTCCACCGATGCTCAAGCAATTGTTCACCGCCTGATCCTAGACAGAATCTTGAGTCCACACAAACGCAGGAATTTCACTTCTGGGCGCCGTGGCAGAGTGGTCTAATGCGATAGACTAGAAATCACTGCATCAGTGATTCTGGTTATCTATTCTCCTCGGAGGCGCATGTTCGAATCATGCCGGCGTCGATTTGTTTTGCTCTCTCTTTTGTCTCGATGAGAGTTAGGTAGGCAATCAAGTTAGAAATCGTACTCTTCCATATCTGAATGGATATTTCCCTTGTGAATGGAATGGCCGGTGGCCTATACCTATGTGGATCGGGACTAGGTGAGCAGATTTATGGGCACTACCCACCACTAATGCCTATGTTTCGCATATCAACTACATCACTTGAATTATAGTGGTTTGCAAAAGCCGTATTAGTAGCTGAGGGCGTCCTGAACAACTATTCTTGCCTCTTTAGCTGTAATTGCTCCTCATTGTTCTATAGCGATGATAGGAAACAGGAGTCGAGGAGAGAATACGAGCGGGAGTGGAAAATGAGGGGTTGGGGGAGGCATATGGCCTTTGAAGACTAGAGGGCAGCTTGGATTAGTGGCTCTACACCTGTCTAGGTTGTTTTCACCACACGAGAAGACGGCTTCTAGGTCCTGAATCTTATTCTACACATACTGCCCCGATTTGCCGCCAGTATGCCCCAGCTTCCTCAGAACCACCTGGGCGGGACCACACCTCGGCCAAAATCCCGCTCTGCAGCCCCGCTTCAAAATCTCCGACCCATTGTCATCTCGGGGCCTTCGGGTGTTGGCAAAGGTACACTTATTGAAAAGCTTTCGGACGCACACCCGGGCACGTTTGGTACAACTGTCTCGCATACGACGCGTCAGCCGCGGGCCGGCGAAGTCGGAGGCGTAAATTACTACTTTGTATCCGCTCACGAATTCTCGACTCTCGTCTCTCAAAACGCCTTCGCAGAACATGCGTTCTTTAGTGGGTCCTCTTATGGAACTAGCAAGCAAACCATTGCAGACCAGACAGCCAAAGGATTGGTGGTCCTGTTAGATATCGAAATGGAAGGGATAAAGCAGATGAAGGCGGATGCAGGCGTTGACGCGCGTTATGTCTTCATCAAACCGCCCAGCATTGAGGAGCTTGAGGCACGACTCAGGCACCGCGGCACGGAGAACGAGGAAGACGTCCAGAAGAGACTGGCCCAAGCCAGAGCGGAGATTGAGTTTGCCGTCACACCAGGCATTCATGATATAATCATTACTAACGATGATCTCGAGAGGGCGTTTCAGGAGCTTGATGAGTTTGTTTGTCGACCGAGGACATGATTGAAGGTTGCAAAGACAGACATTTGAGAATTTCAAGGGTCATGAAAGCTTAAAATATCTTTCTGTGCATTTCTCTAGAATAAGCCTAGTTGCTCACAAATACTTAACCCCAAGTAATAGACAGTTCACACTGGTGGGCTGCTTAGAAAACATTGGCGCAGTGATGACTTGAAAATTAAGGTCATGATTGCATTAATAATCTACAAGCCGTCGATACTAATTAATTGTGGTGTTTTTTCGAACATTGCGAGGCAATTGACAAGTCTTGACTTTGTACTACCTGCATCATGTGGTCTTAGAAGCTTTCACAATATCCTCAATGCCAGCAAATGAAAGCTCCTCCATTGTCTCTCTCCAAAGTCGTTTCGCAATTTGCTCACCCTCAGCAGTGTATATGATTGGAGCCGAACTAAGGATTCAAACTAGATTAGTACTGATAGAATATATTCCAACCGATGTGGCAGGGTATTACTCACGGTCTCAGCTTGCCACCTTCCACATACTCGCCGTGAGACTCCTGTCCCTTGTTCACAGCGGCGTCAATCACCGCTCGAGCACCAATGGCAGAGGAGTGGCCGATGATGCGAGACATGATGAAGACGACGAGGCCGAGTATCGTGCCGTTTGCGTCACGGGCCAAGCTTGTTCCATAGCAGAACCCAGGGTTGGCCGCGTTGATGACAACTGTGGAAGAGGGCACCACCTTGATCAACTCGGAGAGAAAGAGCTGGAACAAGAGTTTTGAGGTGCTATAACGCTCAGCCATGTCCCACTTTGCTGGTTTCTTGTCTAGCGCAGGGAGCAAAGGATCTGCGTGTCTTTCGGGAAACTTCGCCCAAGCAGCCAGGTCCGAGGTCACAATAACAATGCGCCCGGCTGTGGATATTGAACCGGACTCTCTCATGGACTTGAACAGCCTGATGAACAGCAGGACGAGGAGGGTGGTGGACAGGTAATTGATCTGAACGTCTTCTTCGTGGCCCGTCGAAGGGTTGAGCTCCATATTGATTCTATACACACCAGCGTTAAGGATCACGATGTTGAGTCGATCAAGGGCACTTGCGCGCTCAGCAAAGTTCATGATTGCTCCGTAAGACGACATGTCGAGCTTCCATATTTCTACCTGCCCGTGTGAGAGCTTTCGTCCGGTGCCAGTGGATATCTTCTCGAGAGCAGCCTCGCCTTTCGATTCTTCTCGTACAGCAAGTACTTGAAACCCATTTGTAAGCAGAAGCTTGGATAGTGCGCTCCTTCAACCTGCATTCTCTACCGCTATACACTTCCTGAGAGCAATTCTGCACTTTTAAATCACCGGAAGATGCACAAGACGATCAAGCCGAAACAAGATTATTCACTTACTGAGCTTGTTTAAGCCCAGGTCAAGAAGCTGACGGGCGCACTCCACTCCGATACCGCCATTGGCACCAGTCAGTATTGCTGTCTTGCCATTGAGATCGACGTCTTTCTGAGTGGTTGCTGGGCAAGTTTCGAAGAGCTGGTGGCGAAAATACTCCAGGTTGCTTGCTTGCTGTTCTGGAGTTAAGTCAAATTTGGGAGGCTGGGCCATCACGTCAAAACGCGAAGATTGTAACACGAGGCGAGAGCTCTTATAAACGTAGTGGCTCGTAGCACTCTCAAGATCGGCGATATTTACTTTACCAATTCTGTACAGAAGATCATAAAGGGATCAGCGGAGTAGGTTTGGAAAAAGTTTCGACCGTGGATTGACGGGCCAGAGACATATCATCCGGTTAGCAGATAGATGCCATCCAGTGCTTGAAGGGTACTGGTGCATCCCAAGCCTTCAGGATTCAGGATTGCGGGGCTCTTCATTAGTCCTACATCCGCGCTACCGTTATTCGCCCAATGGCAAGATAGAGAAAGACCAACTGCATATTTGACAAGCGCAGGATCGAGGAAAATTCTAGGACCAGGGGATTTTGGTCGTGAGCGGCATGGGTAAATCTGCCAAATTTACGGCGCTTGGACAACCGCCTTCGAAACGCGAAGGTACTGCCCGGCTGCTGTCAACTCCTGGATAACTTCCTTGGGACCTTTTGCGCTTCACTTCAATTTCAGGCTAGATGTAAATTGACGGACCGATAGGCCGATATTTGGATAATGATGAGCGTCGTTATCGAACCTTTTGGCGCGTTCAGGAGTAAAATAGCCTTGTAATCAGGTGCTCTAGGTACTACCCTTCTGCATTTTTGTTTGCGAAATAGTTTTCCTCTGGGATTGTTAAGCCCAAGCTACCTTTTACCATACAGGAGACCATATTTCATCTGATTAGCGTCGCTAAGCAGGACAGACAATTACTGGGGTGAAGATATTTCGCCGGGCTCATCATGGCATTGAACACAGCTGTCGACGTTGAATATCTTACTCCTATATTCATGAGACTCGCACACAGAGTATTCATGGATTACTCATCAAGCGCATTCGAGACATTCACTATAAAAAATGACGATATATCTATTAATAATATATATAGATTCGACACTGGAATGGTTGTCTGCAAATGTCTATCCAAGTGAGCATGGCTGTGTGATCAACGTGTCTCAATCTGGTAACCCAGGTGGCTTTCTCTATGAGTTAAGTGGCTTTCTCTATGAGTTAAGTGGCTTTCTCTATGAGTTAAGTGGCTTTCTCTATGAGTTAATCGTCCAAACACCGACAATGGATTTCATGTGAATTGTGGGCTGAGCAGATTCGGAGCGTCTGATTATCTTCAACCCCTACCCCCCACCTTCAAGCTGGACGTGAATCCCTGGGCGCTTGTGGAAGTCTTGATGCAGGCAGCGTATTGACGGAGGACTTGGCTGAGGAATTTGGCGATGGCGTAACAAGTGGCACCAGTGCGGCATTCTCTTGCGTTCCGCCTCGTGCTCGCAAACATGATGTGACACGAACACAAGCCGGGTGCCACTAATAGGATGTCATTAATGACCAACTAAATGGCCACTTGACTTTAAGTTCACTATAAGAACAATAGGGCATGTTTGCTCGTTCAACCCTGAGGTGACTTACCTCTTGATGACTGCGTGATGGTAGGGATCAAATCGCCCGTTCTCTATGTAGGCCACACAGTTTCGATACCCGACCCGCCGCTCCCTACTGCTGCAAACACGTCCTCAAGCTCAAAATCGAGTCACTACCTTTACACTGCACGACATCCTGTGCTCTCTCCACACCTAGTCACTCGGAGCGAGCATTACACAGTTCAACAAAATACGCTAAGTTCAAGCGCAAATACTTGCGTACATCCGTCGCAGTTCCTAGTGAAGAACTGCCCACGAGCTGTGAAGCAGCAACAAGTGCTAAACTAGGCTTGCGACGGCGCACTTCGCCGTCCAAAAGGAGACAGACGGCCCCCACACAGTCCAACAGAGTCCAGCCACGCAAGCTGTCAAACTGTCTCGGCGCTTCTAGCGTAGGGCTGAGGTGGAGACGCTCGGATTATTTCCGTGACCAAGAACAGGAAACGCACGGTACGATGCGAACCAGGCACACCTTGGCACGCACTCGTATCTCAGCGACACAGGCCCCGAATTCCTAGCTTCTTGCTTGTTTTCCAGGCTGTTTCGAAACCAAAGATTTCGCCGAAATTGCCCCCCTCCGTGCTGCAAAGCACATGGCGATCAATTAATCTCATCACCCTTGCGCTCGCGCGAAGCAAACGCGAGGCACCCGAGCACGTCGGAAAGAGACAGCCACCGCGTACTTGACCAAACATGACAGCGAGTTCTATCAGAAGCTCTTATCATCACGCTTGAGGGCAGCGGGCCTCTGACCGGTCTGCCTATCTGCCCCACGTCACATTCTTGACGTGGCCTTGCAAAAGCATGCGAGAAAAGACGTGGATCACAAAAAAAGAGGAACAGACAAAAACAGCGAGAATTTCTTCTCTTCAGCAGTGACTCAAAGCCAGATATCATTTTTCTCCAAAGGGGTATCTGATAACTCGTTTTTGCCTAGAAGGCAGTGTGTGGTGGTACAGGACCATTATAAAACAGTAGTAGCACGTCTCCCAAAAAATACATATATACATATAAGTCCCTTCTTCTGGACTTCACAATCCTCGTTCCGTTGAGGATTCTCTTCCACTCGTTGATTCATGATGTCGTCCTCGTACACCTGAGGACCATTTGTGGTCGCGTCGTTCATTAATCCACACACACATTCTCATTTGGGAGGGGGGTTTAATTCTTCTCGTCTCTCTTTAGACAGCATTGCTGGGGCCGGAGTCCTCTCCGTCGTGGTGTCCGGCGTTGGGGGTCTCGCCCTTGTGGAAGTCGCGCGCGCCAGGCTTGAAGTGCATGCTGTCGGTGTTGACGGGCTCGTCGAGGGGCTTCCAGGACTTGGACTTCCAGGGGATGACTCCAAGGACGTACATGGAGTCGACCTCCTCGAGGGAGCGGCCTTGAGACTCGTTGACGAAGAAGAAGGTGATCAAGACACCGAGGAAGCAGCAGCCGGCGAAGACGTATCCGTAGCGGTAGCCAATGGCGGCGGTGATCCAGGGGGTGAAGAAGGAGATGAGGAAGTTCCACAGCCAGTTGGCGGCGGTGCAGAGAGCCATGGCGACGGCACGGTAGCGGGATGGGAACATTTCACCGACGATAGCCCAGACAAGAGGTCCCCACTATTTTTGCACCAGTTAGCGGATACGATCTCAGGAAGGCATTTTTGGGGTATGTAGAAACTTACAGTAACAGCGAAGCCGACGATGAAGAAACAGGCGGAGGCAATCATGGCGGAACCAACGGAGGAGTTGGTGCGGGCGTTGGCATCGTTGGGGTTGTTGTCAGGGTACAAGGCGAACGAGCCCAAGGAGGCGAAGATGATGAGCCACAGGAACATCCAGACACCGCCGATGATCATGGAGATACGGCGACCGAACTTCTGACCGACATACAGACCACCGAAAGTGGAGAAGACGTTGACGGCACCGAGGATCATAGAGGTGATGTAAGAGTTCGAGATACCGACGGAGGAGAAGATCTGGGTACCGTAGTAGAAGAAGAAGTTGGCGCCAGTGAGCTGCTGAAGAGCCTGCAGGGCCATACCGACGAGGACACGACGGAGCATAGCTGGAGCCGTGAAGATCTCAAACCACTTGGGCTCACCACCGGCGACCTCAGCCTCGAACTTCTCGCGGATCTCACCAAGCTCACGCTGGACCTCGGGGTGGTCAGGGGAGACGTTGGAGATAAGAGCCAGGGTCTGGGCGGCCTCGGCCTCTCCACCACGGCGGTACTGCCATCGGGGGGACTCGCGCATGGTCAACATACCGGCACCCATGATGGCCGGGGCGATGAAACCGACACCCATGGTAATGCGCCATGAGGCCTCAGATGAGATGGCCTCGGTGCCGTAGTTGACACAGTAAGCGACGAAGATACCGAGGGTGATGAACAGCTGGTAGGCGGAGACGAGAGCACCACGGGCTTGGCGGGGCGCGGTCTCGGACTGGTACATTGGCGTCAGGACGGAGAGAGCGCCGATGCCGAAGCCGTCAATGAGACGGCCCAGGACGATCTGGTACCATTTGTCCTGAGTAGTAATGCACACGATGTTGCCGACGATGTAGATGATGCACCAGAAGGTGATGGAGAACTTGCGGCCGAACTGATCGGCGATGGGGGCAGAGACCAGAGCGCCAACCAGGCAGCCAGCGCAGAGCATAGCGACCATCAGACCTTGCCGAACGTTACCGAGACTCAGAACGCCGTTCTTCTGGGTGTCACCGAAGTGTTCCCTGAAGTTGGCCATTTGTGTGTATCCAGAGATGGAACCACCTTCCCATCCGAAGATGAAACCACCAAGAGAGACAAGTAGGCCCATGACGGTGACCCTGAGGTTGAGAACCTTGACTGGGGGGTAGTTGCCGGCATAGTCGTTGACGCCGGTCTCCTTCTCATTGTGGCCATTTGGTGGTGTTGAGGCACCGCTGGCCGGTGTTTCTGCCGCAGACATGGCTGTGGGTGATATTGTATTGTCCGTGCGATACACGCGTTGTTGGTGTTGTTGGTGTCGCAAAGCAGCGGGATGTCGAGTAGAACTCGAGGGGAAAGATGTAGATTTAGATCTGGGGGATGAAGGTGTTTAGATATGTGAGGTATGAGCCTGATCGTGATGATGTCCAAGCACCAACACTATAGCGGGATCAAGAGCTTTTATGGGCTGGGGATTAATTCCATGGTGGCTTCTGTGGGCACATCACGAGGGTGACTCCAGACCTCCGTAGTCTTCTCCATGGGCTAGTATCATGGAGACACTGGAGAAGTACCACCGGGGCACCCAGTTTGGGGAGCGTGACCGACCAGGTTGTCGGTGCCGTGGGGTGACAAAACATTGCATTGTCACCACAGATAAATCGGGCGGGTCCAGCGGAACCCTCCTGGCCGCCATGATGGTTTGGCGTGCGACCAGGCGGCCCGGGTGCCATGGTCGAGAGCCAAAGGCCTGGAATGATCGTCACGGTCTGGGCGATGAACCTTGTGGAGATGCACAAAACTTTTTGCGGATCTCGACCTGGAGATCTCTCATCATCCGCAGAATGTC